CAGAGGGCAGGATGTCCAAGGGTTAGGAGGACGGAACATCTGAAGGACAGGATGCCTGGAGGTACAAGGGACAGGAGGTCCGGAGGTCCGGAAGGGATAGGGGCTACATCAGATGGTGTCCGATGTAGAAACAAACAGAGGTAGACTACCCTAAGGTAGAGTTGGAGAGACAGGGATTGGACCTAAGTCTGGAAAGAGGGAAAGTGCCGGAAAGGCAGAGCTCCAGCCTAGGGAATCAATCCCTAGGCCTGATGAGTAGGACAGACTTAGGTGGACCAAAGTCCAAGAGAGGATTGGGCAAGTCTAGGTTGATATTCAAACTAAGGAAACTACAGGAGTATCTACAGGGGTTATATACTGGACAATATCTGAGGGGATCAATAAGCAAAGGAGCAGGGCTATGTACAAGCATGTGGAAACACATTAGTAAGTAAGATGGAACATAAGTAAATGAACTCGGAGATGAAGACTTGTACAAGGATCAATCAGCAAGACGGAAGAAGAGGTGACCAAAAGCCAGAAAGGTAGAGATGCCTAAATGGGGATAGGCGCAGGATCTCGGACAGAGGGTGGGAATAGGTCCAGCGTTAATATCCGGAGGTCCAGAGATCTGGGGATCCAGAAGACAAGGTGGATACAGGACCGGAATATGAGAAGGTGGATATAGTCCAGAATCCAAGACAAGGTGAAGTCCAGATGTCTTGCTGGATGGAGTGTGCATAGGGTGGATGGGACAGGGGGGTATGGATCAGGCTAGCAGTGGAGATCCAATGGTCCAGAGCTCAGGGGTAAATCCGGAGCATAGTAGATCCTGCTAAGGTGTGGAGCACAGCGGAAGGGGATCTGGGAATGAGCTGGATATGAAGTAGGGTCCGGATGTAGGCTCAGAAGGCATGGGAATATGATGGAACGTGGGTCCGGATTGTGGGATATGACATATACAGTGGACTATATAAGGCCAGCCAGCATGTATTCTACATGGACCAGCTGAGAACTGGCTGGCCATGGTTCTACTTTACATTTACCGGCCAGCCATGCTTTTAGCACATCCTAGTACATTATTATATATAGTGGACTACATAAGGCCAGCCAGCATGTATTCTACAAGTACTGGAGGACCAGCCAAGAACTGGCTGGCCATATTTCTACAAGGTCTTGGCACATCCAGGGCACTGGTTCTATGTTGGAAAATGACTGAAGTATGTGGATTGGAGGCCTTGCCTTTGCCTTTGCCTTTGTCTTGAGAATTTTGCTGAGACTCAATTACTGCCAAGTCTGTAGAGGCTGGAGAGCAACAAGATGTGATACACAACTCCGAGTCTGACAGCATATTGGGGGGATATCAGTTATAGATAAGTGCACCTTTGTGCACTGGCCTTGCCGAGTCCTTCCGTGCCGAAGGTCATGTGAGCAGGTCACATGATACCGGAGTTGAATTCTGATTTCAAATTTATATTCTGAATTCTAGGTCGAATGCATACAGTATATGACTGCAGCTTGCATAGGAACGCGTCGCAGTAAGTGTTGCGTGCAGTACACCCTATGGCACCGTATCTACAACATTCGGAATCGGTGTGGATTCACTCGGTCTAGAAGGAGCGGAGCGACGCATCACTTCGGAATCTTTAGACGCGGGAATCCCCGACCTACTATGATCACCGTGTTTACTTTCTTGAGCGACAGTACTTATGCTTATGATCTCCCTCACCTATCTATGCTATGGCACGAGCCCGTCATACCACATCATTCATCAAGGGCTGCCATGGGCCTATCGATGAGATGCTTTACCCTGTCTCCTCAGTCTGTCATGGTGCGAGCGACCGCAAGGTATATATCGAGCTTCCACCGGGCGCGACAAGCTCGGCACAGATCCGACAAATCGTAACTCATCAGAGCTCCATAACCCTATAAGCAAGATGCGGCAAGCAAACCGTGACCGAATTCGAATTAGCAGACTATCTGATTCCTGCCAAACGAGTTCGAATTTGTCCAAGATGTGATGCCCGTTATTAACTGATATATGCATGGCCTATCTAGTATGTCACAGGGTATGTAGTTTTAACGTTACTTGGAAGCAGAAGTGCAATTCAATAAGTATGTAAAGAACTCATTCCGGCCCTTATCATCATCTCGCGCTTACCATGATTTGTCGATTATCACAGGTCCGACGGTGATGGATTTTGTCCTCTCATCAGCATGTGGTCTGAGATGAGATGCAGCGCTTAAAAGTCGAAATTGTGGCTCCCTACTGTTACGATACCGATCACACAGAACTCCCGAGTCAACATTTTCAGCATGAAGGTTTGATTTGAGTGATATTAGAAGCATCACTTGATGACATAAAGCGGCCAAAGAACCGTATTGGCGGGCTTGCCCACTGGGTGCCTGAGGTCAGGGGATGCCTCGCGAATATAAAGATGATCTGATGTTGGCCCTCTTCCGGGATCAGACTATCTCTATCATGTCACCGAGATTTATTCGTGAGCTCATCCCGCGTCGCGAGACTCGTACCCCTCTCGGTGCTGTGGTTGTTGCGCTCAAAAAGCTCACCTGGGTGCAGTGGGCTCAGTTCTGGTGTGGGTCAGTATCCTACCTCCAGTGCGCTTCGTGCTATCATCTTTACCACATATCACAATAGCTGGTTTGCTTGGATGTGCAACGCCATTGATTACGTCGCAGTATCGCTTACAGTACCGCTCTTGTCTAAACAATTTGGAAAGTCAACGAGTGCAGTCGTACGCCCTTTCCCTTTGTTGTTTTTTTGCGTTGCTGATGCACGACTCGGACACGGTCAAAGACGACCGCCATAACGTTGACGCTCTTATTCCGATCAGTCGGCGCCGTAAGTACTACACCTGCTTCCCTGCTAAGCTTACCATTTCCTAGGTGATATTCGGTATGATATCTGACCGGTTCGGGCGCAAGTGGCCCTTGGTTGTTAATCTCCTTCTCTGCTGTGTGCTTGAACTGGGGACTGGCTTTGTCGACACCTTTTCACAATTCCTCGCCTGTCGTGCTCTATTCGGTATTGCTATGGGTGGGATCTGGGGACTTTCGTCATCTTCAGCTCTTGAGAACTTACCCATTGAACTTCGCGGGCTTGCAAGTGGGATTTTGCAGGAAGGCTATACCGTCGGCTACATCTTTGCAGCTGTTATAAACCTGACCTTGGTAGCCCAATATGGATGGCGCGCGCTTTTCTGGACTGGAGCAGGCATCACCTGTATCGCCGCAGTCGTCCGTGCTCTTGTCCCTGAGAGCCCGTTCTTCTTGCATGCCAAGGAACAAGAGAAGGCGAAAGGGGTCAATACCTCGCAGAATTTTCTTAGGCGAACAAAGGAAATGCTTAAACTTCACTGGCTCTTGTGCATTTATGCAGTGCTCTTAATGACAGGTTCGACTCTCTTTTACTTCCTAACGCGAACATACCAACACCTCTCTGCAGGGCTCAATTTCTTGTCTCATGGTTCACAGGCATGCGCATATCGTGTTTGAACGTGCACTCGATAATGTAATGTCCGTCTAGGATCTGTATCCCACGTACCTCCAGATCACCAAGGGTTTCAGTGCTCACAATGCCAGTGTCGCGACCATTATTGGCAACTGCGTGAGTCTTACAAAACTTACCTACTTGTCGAATTTCAATGTGCCAAACAGGGAGCTATTGTGTGAGTTGTTGGTTGGTTCCGCATGCAGTCTAAGTCCTGAGGGTCGTACAGCGGCGGTGCTGTTGGTGGATGGGCGAGCCAGTACGTTGGACGCCGCCTGACGATCGTGTTTGTGCATTCAATGAATGATATTTTCATGGCTTTACTCACCTTTCATAAGATTTTTTGTGGTTCTCGTAGCAGGCAAGCACCAATCCTAGTAATAGAAAATGAGACTTATGTTCTTTCGCAGTGTTCATTCCATTATGGGTTCTGCCCTCGTCATTCTCTGCCCTCTCTGCTGGAGCATTCTGTGTTCAATTAGGTGTTCAGGGCGCTTGGGGCGTCGTATGTGTTCGCCTACTCTCGTTGTGAACTTGACTCTTAACATCATTGTAGATCCCAATTCAACTGGCTGAGATGTCACCACCAGCATTCAGGGCGACGTTCCCTGGTGTCGTTTACCAGCTCGGCAACGTAGGTCGCGTGGACATCATGCGATACGTATAGCTAACATGTTCGTGGTAGATGGTTTCTTCTGCATCCGCACAAATTGAAGCTAGTGGGTAGACATTCACGTTCCCACTCGCAAATGAACTTCTTAAATTGTTCAGCTGGCGGTGACAACTTGAAAACAACGATCATGAAAGATGGAGTGCTCACAGTGGTCCCAGACTACGCAACGGCAAGTCGTCGAGTTCCGCTTCCCCACGGTCTCATTCATACTTCATTAGGTGCAAGCTATCTTCATCGGTGCTATTGCTGTATTCGTGATCGTTATCGCAATCATTGTGCCCGAGTAAGCCCTGCGCATGTCCTTGGACAGACAAATGCTCACATTGCCCTAGAAACCACGGTTCTAATTTTGAGAACGCCGATGCCGCTTACCACGGCGGAGATGAGGTTACGGATCATGCATCGCAGATATCATATCGTGAAGTGAACGAGAAGAGCAGTGCTTAGGTACTCCTCAACGTCTTATTACTTGCCTACCACGAGACGAAATATTTGTGTCCATTTAAATGAACGGGTTTTACCCTACACGATATAGCTGCGGTATGAGACACAGGGGTGCGCGATGGAATTCTGGGAAGCCAGTTGAGTGCATCGTGCTTCTAGTATTCTCACCTGGTGTTGCAGATGGCGATTGTCTATTGTAACCGTTGAGTCTGACCGGCGCCTTTCTTCCTCTGCTCACTGTGTAATCAAATGTTGTGCGCGTATTCCACACATTTTTCCTAGTCGTGTCTTAACCTGTACGTGAAACGAAGCAGCATGTGGGTTTCCTCAGGCATTTCATTGCCACCACTGCCAACGTAGCTTCTATGTGACTTACAGTGAACTGTGGACAGCCCTTCCAGTCGATTGAATCTCGGGACAACTTGCGGCTCGTTCGAACTGAGTTGATAGTATGCGGTCAGCCAGGCAAATTATAATACTGCTCGTGCACATGGGACTGCGCAGAGCTGGGTATGAGATATGTAGTCCATATAAGACGTACATAAAAAAATTATCCGAGTGAGTGTCTCAGTAAATGCACCCGTGACTAGTTGGAACGACGATGACCAAAGAAAAATCCACAGCAGTTGATTCCAATTTCTTCTGGCTCGCTTGTCGAGGCTTGTGTTTGTGTGGGCCGTCTTTGAGGCATAAGTACCCCCATTGCAGGTTGACCTGGTCGCATTGAACTACCGGCCACATCGTCATTGGTGCGTAGCATGGCTGGAGTCGCTTCTGTATCAGATTCAGGAGCGATGGCGTATCTCTGCAGAGTGATTTCAATAATATGGAAGGGGAGTGATGACGAGTTACTCACGTCTTCATCGCGGCAATCAGCAACATCGACAGGACGTCTAGAAGATCTTACGGGAAATAAGCTGGAATTCCAGTGCCAGAGCTGGCGCAGTATTGGTTGGGGTACATTTGCAGTTCGAGTACTAGAATGTGTGGGTTTTGTCCCCTCGAGACTGCAGTAGTCTTTCCAAGAGTGTTCGATGATCTGTGCCATAGAGGTGGGCGGTGAGAGTGCGATCATAAGACGGTGGGCTCTGCTCGTCGGCGGGAGGTTTATCTCGCCGTTTGGCTTTATCCTTTCTGGCGCTGAGTAGTCGTGCTGAAGGTCGTCGTGTTGAGATAACAGGGTGAGAATCGAAACAGCGCTTACATCATCAATACTTTTACCTTGTTCACCCCCGCCCTCACTTCCCGCCCCTGGTTGGTTCGGTTTCATGGTTGCGAGCACCACTGACGAGTTTGAGCGAACGCGACGACTGGAGAAACCACGCTTGGAGCGTTCTTGTGGAACAGACTCGTCTGGCGGTGGGCGAAGTGGAAAGATGACATTCCAGAAGGGCTGAGATGAAAATAAGGAAGAGATATGGAAGCCAGGCGAAGGCGAAGGAAGATATTGTTGCGAAGACTACAAGTACTTGTTATCAGTAGTGCTCTTGCACGAAACAAGAATCTTACCTGGCAGTCGTCATGCGCCTCCTCGATGAAGCTATCACCCCCCGTAGCGTCGGCCTGCAACAATACTGTGAGAAAGGAAGACGAGCAGTCGAATGTGAAAGTACTGACGTCGAGGCACAATGATGACGATGGGGAATTGGACCGAGTTTCCTGTTGTGTGCTTCGTGTATCACTCTTCTGAACCAGTGTAGGTGCTGGAAGTTGAGGAACTATGTCTTTGACCGTCCATAGAGTGAGTTTCCCGTAGTCTCCGCCATATACTAGATATCTCCCGTCTCGAGAGAAGGATACGCAGAAAAGGTTTGTACGATCCTCGGGCAATGACTGGCCAAGAGGCTGGTGGGATTTTGTGTCCCATAGCTGTGCAATGCCGTCTGTGCCCACGCACGTCAGTACATTTTGTGTAGGTGAAAGTGCGATGGCATAAAGGGCGTGGTCGTGTTGGAAGCGATGGAGTACTGCGCCTGATTTGCTCTGGAAAACACGTGCCAATTTGTCGGATGCGGAATAGAGTTTCCTGCTGTTTGACGACCACACCAACGACGTTACAGGGAACCCCAGCTGGTCTTCGATAGGACCAACAACGAGCTCGCCGGTCTTCTTGTTCCAGATGCAAATTGTCCTGTTGCTCCCGCCTGATGCGATTCTCTTTCCAGAAGGTGAATATGCGAGACTCCGCACATCATCCTGCTTCGTCTCTATTGGGCCCACCTTGACTTTTCCGCTCTTTACTTTGCGAATCAGAATTGTTCCATCTTCGGACCCGATGGCGATTTGTTTTCCGTTGGGTGACCACGAGAGCGACCACACCTTCTTGCCATTACCCGTCCAAATGCATTCGATCATATTCCCATCGGTAGTCCACCGCTGAATACTTCCGTCCTCCCTCCCACACGCAATTGTCTTCCCGTTCGGTGAAAGCGCCAGTGCATATATGCCTCCTCCCTCCCCTTTCCATGGTTCCCCGACAACAAGTCCTGTGTCGCAGTTCCACTTGCGCATAGTGCCGTCCTCCGAACTACTCACCATGTGGATATTGTCGTGCAAGAAAACGAAACTCCAAATCGCCTTATTGTGTCCTTCAAACTCGCGCTTTGGAGTCCATACCCTGGCTTGTGCTGAGGTTGAAGCTTCCTCGAGGGTCGGCTTTGCAAAAGATCCAGAAGTCATAGCTCGTTGGTGGATCAATCCGACTCTGCCGCGGGTAGTGATCAGTTATGGGAGCGAACGGGTTGACCAACACTCACTGGTCAGTATACTTGTTTGTTGCTTGGGGGAGAGCTGGAAAGACAGGCGAGTTTTTATGTCCTGCAGATGGAAGGCATGGATTCCGCGAGGCGTCGCTAACCGTCTATTCACAGGTTCATACCGCGACACAGCTGTTTGATCTTTGCAAAATATTGTCCCCAATATCCCATTCATCCATTCCTAATCATTGAATCGTGCTTCGATCCATATACTCAAGACAACACAGTGGTTATCCAGTAGAACAGCTTCTCGCATCTACGGTTTGCTTCAGAGCTCATGGAGTCGTTTATTGTAGTCTGCACTCTAATTGTCTCTCGCTCCTTTAAAGCTCTACTCTCGCCAGAACACAACACAACACCATTCAGCACTTACTTACGTCAATATGGCATACGCGAGACGATATAGTTTCTCTATAGCCTAGTGCCGGTGAGTCAACCTCGTCCAAGTCTGCGACTAATTACATGACAGAATACGAAGCATGATACCCTCCGTCCCTTCAATGAATGGAACCCGGATCTAGGGCATATTCTCGACCATGGAACGTGACTTCTAAAATACCAATGGCGAGGAAGTCATCGAAGTGCCACTAGTCAGGCGCATCTTGAGCACTTTCTCTGGGAACATCGTAGTCAATGCCTGCCGGAGCTAGAACGGCTTGAAAGTTGAAACACATTGTGCGGCGCGATCCACAGTCATCTTGCCAAGCACTACACACCACGCTCTCTCACCGATTGACGGCGTATTGGTTTGGGCCATCTGTGGTCCACGCGACTTCAGTTAATATTCTCATACCATAATGATGATGCTAATAATAATGTGCATACCCTGGGCCCTGGTTAGAGCCTGGCCCATCCTGCGCAGCACGAATTCAAGAAGACTTTCTAAGGGACTATGCAGTCCACACAAATCAGTTGTTCCGATGGTTGAGTGCTGCCAGCACGAACTCTTGTCTTCCTCCACGAGGAAGTCCATGCGAGATGGCGTTCATCTGGATTGACTCGTTCGCTCACCGCCGGGATTGATTAATTTTGGAGAGCTTCGACATTCCATGAGCGACAATATTGAATAAAATAACGTCAAGGGCCAGGTCAGGAGGACTGGGATGCATCAACAATTTGTGACTGGATGGCTTATGTTTCAACAGAGAAGCTCTGCGGCCCGAGTATGCATCAAATTCACGCATTCATTTATGCAGTTACGTCACAGTAATATTTTCTTTTTTTGCCAAGTAAACCTGCACACGTGGGGCCGCAGGTACTGCAAATTCATTGAGAGGGTCAACGCAGAGCCATTACGTTCGTTCTTGATGGCTTTTGTTTGTAAGAAGGATGTATTATTGTTAGTTTGTCGTTTCTAGATCTATGTAGCAAAGTGAACAAGGCCGCAGTAAATGTCCAGGCGCCAGGCGCCGGTAGTAAAGCCAAACAGCACCAAGATATCATATACTAAAGGATATGTTTCACCGTTCATACGTACTTCCCAAAGAGGGGTATTAGTGATTGTGCAAGGGTATAACTGAAGACCAGCTTCGGCCCAACGACAAGAATCTGTATTCACAAGTTATTAGCACAACATTGAACTAGGACAGATAGTAATCACTTTTGGAGTCAAGCCCTTGAAGAACGCTGTAGGGCCTTCATTCCGGATAAGATCCTTCACGACTGTCAGGCCAGGCACCTTCTGCTCGAAGTTTGCATTCTGAATACGAGTCTTGACTGTGTCTAGAGGTGCTGCAATTGTGATCGACGCAACAGCTCCTGCGATAGATGCAATGAAGTTCTGGGTCCATGTGGCTTTGGAATAATCAGTGACGCCAAGGGCGTACTCCTTCGTAACCGCCGACGCGCCGAAGAGCTGAAACAGGGATTCAGAACGATGGGCTGGGCCACCTAAGTAGACTTACCGCAAAGGAGCCTGGCGCATTACGCGCCATGGTCCAACCCCATCCACGGTATAGGGTGGTGCCTTCCTCCATGAATATCCGAAGGACTCCTCGTCCACGGAACGCTTCGGGGTTGACTTGTCGTTTTATCTTCAGGGCATCTAAGGGAAGTAGGACCTGATAGAGCGTTACTAGCCCGTCAGGAAGCTAGGATGAAAGATGACTCACAACTTCACCAATACCAGTCAAGCTGCACGAAGCAATCAGCACATCTGCATTCATCACGTGAAAAATGAAATTTGCCTGCCAGCAGTCGCCTGCATCATCATCTTGCCCTTCCTCTCGCCGAACACGCGCGTGAATTCGTCCTTGTAATTTCGCGTAATGATCTCATTGAACCATGGCTGCCCACCGAACTTGTATATCCGTTGAGAAACTTTGTACCCTGCTGCATACCCAAGACCGGGGAAGAGAGACAAAAGTTTTTTGGGTAACGAAGCCGTAGCGTAGTCGCGGAATACGATCGGGGAGAGCGATGAGAAGGACACCTGGACGGCAAGGGCAAGGGTGGTCAGCAAATTGCAGTAAATGAGTTTCATCATAATAATGTACTTTAGCTTTATTGCTCATAAGCCGTTTTGCTACTGTGTCAACTGGATGAAATACCAGTAACTCGGCGACACCTAGTGGTCAGTGAGCTACTTTGTTGCTAGTACAGCAGACCGGGACCAAGGTACAAACCAGATGCACCAGACCCTAGAATCCGGGCAGTCCCTGATTCTTTACTTTTCCCAGAAGTTGGAGGAGACATAGTTAGTGAGGGTCTGGTAGATGAGGGAGATGGTTGAAATAGTTTGGAGGCGTCTCTGTACGTGTCAATGACCTGACCTGCTTATACATACTTGCATTAAATTTCCTTCAAGTGTGCCATATGTGTTTAGACTTATTTGTCCACTGATAACGAATGGCTTAAATATATAAAATAGGCCAAATTGACCTAAATTTGAGAAAGTCTGCCAAGTCCAGACTCTGCCACAGGCCCACAGCAGAATCCAATGAGAAGAATGACTACTGTCACCGTCTCCCACATTCCGTTAATCGGTTCTCACTGGAACGAAGAGTCAGGGTATCACGCTGGCCTCGTGATCACCTAACGACCTTAATATGGTCAAGAACATGACTTGAGAATCACATCTAACTGGGGCCGCGTGTAAGCCTCTTGTTTCTCAATTCTATCCTACCACCATGTTCACCAAAGGGAGGGCTTTCAGCATCCTCTGTTTCGCGCTCGCAGCTGGTGCGACAACCCAGACGTTCCTCGGTTTAGGCACTCCCAACCGTGGGACTTCGAGGCAGCCAGTGAAGTCGTTTACACAGTCCTTCACAGCACCTTACGACGAAGGGCTGTTCATGCCTGTCGAGGAACTCAGTGCACTCTCAGAGGAACAATTCACCACCCTCGGTCATCCTGTATTCCCGAACTATAGCGTCCGGATTAAGAAGTCGTCTGATTTCTGTGATGGAACTGTGAAGTGAGTACAGTCTGCAGATGTTTAGAACCGATACGATAACGTGTGTAAATCTCAGCGCTTACACGGGATACATTGATATCGAGGCCAGGCATCTATTCTTTTACTTTTTCGAGAGTAGGAACGATCCTGCCAAAGACGATGTGATCTTCTGGACCAATGGTGGTGAGTTGTACTGTAGACAGAGTTCTGTTGCGGTTCATGAAACACGTTTATCAGGCCCTGGGTGTTCCTCCAGTCTTGGTGTCTACGTGGAACTAGGACCCTGTCGAGTGGTGAACGACACTAGCACGGTGTTCCATCCCGAGTCCTGGAACTCTAATGCGAATATCTTCTTCGTGGATCAGCCAATCGGTGTTGGTTTCTCGTACGCAGACTATGGAGAAACCGTGGTAAGTCGAACGCCTGTCACATGAAACCACACTATTAATAACCGTCTGGCAAGAGCACTACTGAGGAAGCTTCGAAAGATATCGCCGCGTTTGTCGCGATTTTCTTTGAAAATTTCACTCAGTTCAAAGGACGTGCGTTCCACATGGCCGGAGAGTCTTATGGAGTACGTATGGTTCCTACCGTTCTGGCGTAGAGAGAGGTTAATCGGAAAACTCAAGGGGCGTTACGTCCCAGTATTTGCTGCTGCAGTCTACGACCAGAATGCCATATTGACTGCAGCTGGTGTGACGCCAATCAACCTTCAGTCTATCATGATCGGTAATTATTGGCACCAGAAACAATGTTTCATTAGCTTATACCATGTGCAGGTAACGGCTTAACCGACTTTTACACAATGTCGGCGGCCTATGTAGACATGCAATGCACTGGCGCGTCAGTCTTCCCTGTGCAGAGCATCTCGTATGTGATTTCCGACATTGATATTTATTGCCTGACGTACATATCCCTTCCAGTGCCTGTAATCGTATGAAGCAAGCGGTTCGGTGCCTTCATACAGGTGGCATCGTTGGAAGCTGACCTACTTTCCACAGCTCCCTCGGTGCCAACTGTGGTTAACGGAATCATGCATTAACCAGTTCGATTTAATGAACTGTGAAGCAGCTTCGAACTTCTGTGACAGCGAAATATCAGATCCTTTTTTCGCGACCGGTAGGTCTAACAATCTCCTCGTCCAGGTGCACACGTTTATACTATGGTAGGCATGAATCCCTACGATCTCAGCAAGGTCTGCGATGGACCTATCGCAGAGACGTTATGCTACCCGATCACGCTGTGAGCCGACAGTCTTTTTGTGCAACCAGCCTAGCTAACTGTAGGCTAGGTCTATGGCAAACTACCTTGACCAAGCCTCCGTGCGTCAAAAACTCGGCGTGGATCCCGCTGTCACAGGTAACTATAGCTCCTGCAGTAATCCCGTTGGACAGGCTTTCTCGTTGGCTATGGATGAGTATCACGCAACCTACCCTCATGTTGCCGCACTTCTTGAGCGCGGCGTACGCACATTGATATATGTGGGTTCATACGACTGGATCTGCAACTGGCTTGGTAACCAGGCGTGGACGCTCAACATGGAATGGAGCGGCAAAGAGGCGTTTGGGCAGCAACCACTCGAGTCTTGGTTAGTCGAGGGAAAAGTTGCTGGAAAGACTAGGAGTGCGAACGGACTCACGTTTGCTACTGTGGATGGTGCAGGCCATATGGTCAGTCTCAAGCTCACCTTCAATTTCATTGCAATGCCGACTCAAAGTGATAGGTCCCGCTCGATAAACCCAAAGAAGCACTCACCATGGTACAACGTTGGTTGGCTGGGAGTGGTTTGTAGGTATTCACCCAAATACCCATGTACATCCGTCTATAGTACGTTCCCCCACAAAAGTTGGAAGCAGATACAATTTTATTATGAGCTCTAACGTCTGATGCCACAAACATGATTCTGACCGAACATTCAACAAAGACGTATACGAATCACAGACAGGAATTGACGCAAGTACATTGAGAGTGTCTCGCGACAATAAACCGTGATTATAATGTCAATCATGGTTTCAGATAGGCTTGCTTGTCTTCGGATGACGCCGAAGCACAACTTGACGACCACAATTTAATTTCGGAGGTGTAGAGTCACGGTTTGGATCGTGTTTTCCAAGCGAGCAAGATGAGTTTTCTTTCAGTTGTAGGACTCACAGGCCTTTATTGACACGGGTCCACCTACGCACTCACCCCTTCTTAAATCCGACTTCCCCACATTGTTCGACAATCTGGCGTGGAAGCGCCAGAAGCGACTGACGAAGATAGCCTCCGTCACTGTACGTAGAAAGAATGGTGAGGATTGAGAATCAAATAGCGTTCACTGCGGAGGCAAGCAGCTTCATCTGATTTGGACTTGGTAGAGCCCGGATAAGCAGTGTGCTCTCGATAACATTCAAAAATCATGTCAATTGATATTAGTATGTGATGATATAAAAGATGCACTAGTATTCAAACCCTATGGCGTAATGTACAGACGAAAAAAATCATCAAAAATATTCAACAAACACCTGTAAGATAGGCGCAATCAGCAATCGAAGTAAATGGGTGGGATGAGAAAAGCGGAAAAAGTCTCAGAAGTAAATATGGTGAGGTCATGTCCTGCCTGTCGAGCAGGTCGCATTCATTATAATCAGTATATTTTAAGATCATGGACAAGAATATGCACAATATGAAGAACAAAAGGATGAAAGACTCACGTTGTGTAGGAATCAGGATGATAGATAAATTTGGATGTCCCAGAGAAAAATCGACATGCCACGGCCTCAGGATGGCACCGCGACACTTCCTATAGTGGGTTTGTTCTCGAAGGTAAACAAAGACTCGTAGAGTCCATGGCACTGAGTCGACAGTGGAAATTCTGCGAAACGACCAGCGTGGCAAGCCTTCTTGAAGGAACAGAAAAAAATGACACTGCTTATATAGAATGTTTCAAGCGGAGTTCAAACCTGTACTCAGCAAGCAAAAACACCGTGACACGCCGAGTCATTCTCAGGGGCCTGCTTGACTGCGATCGACCCGCCATGCCCATTACACTTGAAGGAAGCTGCCATTGCGGTACTGTGCGATTTACGGTAGAAAGCAGCACCCCTGTCCCATATCAGGTGAGCAGATCCCCGATAACTTAAACCTCTAGGATCTTTCGAGTTGTGACTGTGCATAAAGCTATGTCTATGTTCCATCTGCCGCAAAGTAGGCGGTGTTGGCGGCTCGATCAATCTTGGTGCGCACTCCAAAACCTTGATTATCATCCAAGGTAAAGAACATATCGGGTACGTAGTTTTCTCACGAAACTTCCCGTGCATCCTTGTTGAGTATGAGAATAAGAGTGTATAAGGCTGTGATGGACAGGGATACTCCAGAAGAGCACATCGCCATTTCTGAGCGCAATTTTTGCACGAAGTGCTCTTCCATGCTCTGGCTTTATGACGAAACCTGGTAAGTACTTGAGTGATATTTGTGCATCAAATATTTTATCACGGCATGAAGGCCTGAACTATTGCATCCATTTGCATCGGTTATTGACTCCCCAGAGCTAGATGTGCCTGATGAGCTTGTAAGTGTTAGTCACTCAAGTGCGGTTACTGACGTATGGATTTCAAAAGGTTGTTGTTAAAACGAACTCAAAGCCTAACTACGTGCGCCTTCCAGAGGGAAGGAAGGAGGTGTTTGAGGATTATTCCAGTGATTCGATTGAGAGCTGGCACAAGAAGCACAAGAAGTATGTGAAGTGAAATACTGACTTTGTTAGAAGCATGAAAGAGCGGATGGAATTCTATGTACGCTCAAACCTTGGAAGGAGATTACCGACCAATTGGCCAGACAATTGTATACCTTCAGTAGCCCTGTATTATGAACATCAACCAGTAATTGGGCAGAGCGCCAGTCGTGATTCATGGCAGAATTAATTTGTAAAGTCACGTGGTGAGACGCGTCCCATCTAGCACGTGACCATGATACGCGTTTCCATTCCCAGGGTTGAAACATACTACTTACACCGATCTGCGAACACATGCTTTGCGCCTTTATTGACGACGACGACAACCTCGAAATATATGCTAACGATGGCGTCCACACCTGCACCCAGCAAGCTCACACGATCCGTACCTTTTACACCCAAACGTCCGCTTTCCATGGCATCTAGCAGTGAACTCCCTTCTGCAATAAAGACCAGCGTTCTTGGTTCGACAGCAAAGAAATTTAAGGCAGCTTTATCTTCTGAATCCAGACTACGGACTACTGCCACGACCAAGTCGTCTCTCGCAACTGTGCCCGCAACTCCAGCAAAGAAGTCCATCGAAGGAACTCGCCCACGTACACCTGGAACGCCGAGGAGTCAGACTCCAATCTCCCACAAAACCACGAGTGATATGGATGTTAGTCGGATTGATCCAGAAGATGCACTAGTCGATTTTCAGACCGTCGAGCCCGGTGATGTTTCAGCAGACATCGATGAAGCAATGATCCTTGGGCCCAACTACGGAAAGGAAGACAAGGTTCTTGTATCTATCAGGTCATTTCGCTCCGCTGGTTTATTCTTGTCACATACTGAAACTATTCCATTACCCAGAATCCGCCCTACCACCTCTGCGCATCCCGCATGGGATCATAGCGCACAACACACCATAAAGCTTTTCCCTCAATACGCCAAGTCAACTGCCACCACACCACCAGAGTTTCATTTTGATGAAGTTATTACTGGCTCTGAGAATCGCCCGGTCTACAATGCTGTTGCTCGTAGCCATGTTTGCGCTGCCATGGACGGCTACAATGCCATTATTTTCGCTTATGGCCAAACAGCTAGCGGGAAAACATTCACTCTTGTGAGACTGCGCCTTTGCATCTACATTTGAAATGTTCTTATTTTTATTTAGTCTGGGAACGAAGATCAACCAGGCATAATACCACGTGCAATGAAGGATGTGTTTGCTTACATCCGCCGCACACCCACTCGTGAATATCTTCTTCGGTGCTCTTACCTCGAAATTTACAATGAAACGATATATGATCTGCTCGCACCGCCTTCAATGTCTGCTGCTCAGCCTGTCCAGATTCAGGGTTCGGGTATTCTAGTGCCACTTCGAGAAGAAGTTGTGACAAGTTTGAAGGGTGTCAAGGAAGTCCTTGAACGAGGAGAAAGAAACAGAAGGACGGCTAGCACAGACTGGAATGAGCGGAGTAGTCGAAGCCACAGCGTATTCCGACTTGTAGTAGAGAGCAGAGAAAGGGGAGAGGGAAGGAGCGAGACACCAAGCGGCCGTCAAACTCCCGGCACACGCCCACCGACACCTGGTGGTCCTCGATTACAGACCATCGGAGGAAGAAGCGTGCAGACTTCGGTGCTGGTGGGCTTCATTCTCTTTTCGGTCTCAGTGGGGTTATTGAATATTTGAATATCTTCATCCAGAGCCTGATTGATCTTGCTGGTTCCGAAAAAGCCACTTCGGATAAAGAGAGAACCAGGGAGGGGAAGTATATCAACACCAGCTTGCTGACACTTGGAAGCGTCATTGGTACTCTTGCAGAGAACGCTGCAAAGAATAAAAAGTCAGAGGCGTCATCCTATGCTATGCTTGGGATGCTTAAACTGTCTTTCTCAGCGACCACGTACCTTATCGTAACTCCAAGCTAACACGACTGCTCCAGCCTTCACTATCAGGAGATGCTCGAATCTCGGTCATATGCACCATCAATCCCGATGCAAATGCCGTGGCAGAAAGCACAAGTACGCTTTTGTTTGCTCAGAGGATTAAACGAGTGCAGGTTCGTCGTGTTCTTTCTATCTGTTGTTCCTAGGATGCTAATTCTTCGCGCTCCTAGCTTAATGCGAAGAAGAAAGAGATTGTCGATACTGATGCTTTGATAGAACGATACAGGAAAGAGATTGAAGACCTCAAGAATAAGCTTTCAGAACGAGAAGCAGAGGCGCCTGCTCGAACTCGCAGGCTCTCAGCACGCGAGGTAGTGTCTGCCTCTCGCTACATAATTCTCAACAGACTGATTTCTGTCACAGCAACTTGATGAATCAAAAGCGATGAAGGACCTCAACTCTCGAATCCAGCAGCTCACGAAGCTCATTCTGACATCTCAAACGGTTGATGAAAGCAAAGGAGACGAATCACGTCCCGCCAGCCCATCCAAAGTTGATTTTGATATGTCACCATACCAGGTTTGTACATTCGGTACTGTTGGATCGTTCTATCCAGTTAAACAATGCCGAATCATGACAGCTTCAACAAGAGCTTCTCGCAACTCGCCGTCAACTCGAGTCACAGTCGACTCAAATTCTTTCCCTAGAATCTGCTCTCCTTTCTCGCCCAGAACTTCCGCCGGATGCCTCAGAAACCGAGAAAGACAAGCTCATTGCTGAACAAGCGAAGACGATCCGTGAGCTTGAAATTGTAGTGCGTGGGTATGAGGATAATCTAGGGGAGCCTCTGAGAGCCGTCAGAGAGGACGTTGAGAAGGAGTGGGTCGGAAAACTTGAAGAAGAAATAAAGAGGCGAGAAGAAAAGGAGGCTTGGGCGGCCGAACTTGTCAGGCAGCTGGATAAAGAAAAAAAGGTCAGCTTTTGCATGTTGATATGCTTTCTTTTATGGTTCTAAGAATCGAATACAGCTAAGGGTAAAGCTTGAGGAGGAACGTCGTGCTCTTGCATCTTTCGTCAGCAAGTTCGATTCGCTAGGCCTTGCCTGTAGCAGCGCACTACCTTCAAAACTCAAGCCTGCAAAACCAACGCCGGGAGGTGCATCAGTAACATTCGCTGAACGTCAACAGAGCCGAGCCGCAAACGTGGCGCCTGCAATCATGGAAGATGTAGAATGTTCTCCTGCCCGTGTTGATTTTAGCAGTATGAAGGCACAGCCAAGTCTTTTGGATCAAATGCCCGAGGAGGAGTGGTGTATCATGGACGATGTAAGTTTCGAGATGGAGTCTGTGAAGCATAAGTCCGGAGTGACGAGGTCGAAGAGCAAGGAGAATATACCATTGTAACACTTTCGAGGTCCGTTAGCAGTAACTCCGGATCACTTGTACGTCTCATCTTGTTTTAATAAGTTTTCACTTTCATGTCTGTACCACTGGCAATTCATGGATAACTGGATTATTCTTACCCTGTTTTTATCAAGAGATCGTTCATGTTCTTCCTCCTGTATCTGACGCTGGAGTTTCTCCTCGTGAACTTCAGAACCTTTTCTGGATAGTATTTTACTCGATCTATGGAGAATATATCACATTAGACAAGGCTCCCGTCGAGCTTCTCGCTAAATTCCTTCCCTGAGGAAGTCTGCGTTTGCAATGTTTGGTTTTAGTGGAGGTCTCATGTGAATCACGGATGAGTAGGCGTGAAGAAGGATTATCCAACAAAGCTATATATGCAAAGCATTGCTTTCAACCTGCGGCCTTATAAACAAACTGAATTGCATTTATTGACGGAACACCAGTCGCGTGACAGTCAACTGGCTATATAGATACAGAGATGCAAAAGCACGAGCAACGAGCAAGGAATTTGTGAGATGCAAGCAGGAGGGTCTTGATCCAGCAAAAGAAAAGAGATCTAGTATACACAAACAAAATCTAAAGTGGAATGGAGCAAGTGAAATCAAAAGCACATGGTATCGTTTATAGCCTTTCCACGAAGTGACACGCTTCCTTGAGCTGCTGAGATGTTTGTTCGATCTACATAATTGAGTGTCAATTGACTTTTCTTCCTGATGTATTAAACACTTACGTTTTCGGGATTGAAAGGTGCGAAATGGTCTCCTGGAATTGACCAGGTTTTTACAGGGGACCGTGTGAGGGCTTCCCATTCACCAACGACGGCACCTTCGCTTCCACGATATTGCAACCAGTGAGGAACGTCCAAACCCGGAGGAGCATACCCCTCAGACGAGCGCAGCAGAACTATCGGAACTTCAAGCTTTCCTTCACGAGATGGCTTGTAGACAGAAAGGAGTCGCGAGCTTTCTTTGAATTGTTCTGCGACGAGACTTATGGTTCCTGAATCAATTCCTCGGGAGTGTGACATCGTGACGTGGTCTATAACAGATGATGAAAGGGGCACATGTTTGCCAGGACAAGGAGAGTCGATGAGAACGATGCCGCGGACACGTACGCCGTTCTGAGCGAGCCTCTTAGCGGTTTCGAAGGCCACCACGCCGCCAAATGACCACCCTGTCTTGCGTCGTTAATTATGTTCTGCTGAACAATAGTAACCGACTGCTTACCGCCAATAATGATCTGATCTGATTTCGCACCCAAAACGACGTTGGCGTAGGATTCTGCAATCTGCTCGACACTCTCCCATTTTCCACCGGTAATCAGACAAGGATTGGAGAGAGCAAAGACGTCACGATGTAACGGCATCAAACGATTGTAATGGCTTATTAAGCCGCTGCCATCGTGGATAAGAAGTAACGGGACAGCGACCTCGTCCTTGCTGAATTGGAGTTGTGACATGCGATTATCAAACGATGCGGGCTGTAATGTTCTCGTCGACGCACGGGATCTTCCCGAGGACTTCTTTGGGGAGGAAGATCTATCGAGAAAAGCACTCAAGGATGCGATTGTGGAATAGGACTCGAATGTGTCGTGGGGGAGGTCGATATTGAGGTCGGATTTGAGTGCATGTAGAGCTTCTAATGAACTGAGGGAGTCAAGGCCGAGCGATTTGAAGTCGGAGTCATCTTCTACATCGGAAAGCGGAAGGCCAAGTACTTCCGCGATAATACCTCTCATGCGGATGCGTCTGTCACTATCGGATACTGTTTCTGTCGACTCGGCGGATCTAGCTGGCGGCGGTTGTGGTCTTTCCAAGGACTTCTGGGGGGTTCTTTCCACGGATTTCTCGGGGGGATGGGATTTATCGAGCAAAGTGCTCAAGGATGCAATTGTAGAATAAGACTCAAATGCGTCGTGAGGAAGGTCAACTTTGAGCTCAGTTTTGACCGCATGTAAAGCTTCTAATGAACTGAGGGAGTCAAGGCCGAGCGATTTGAAGTCAGAGTGATCTTGTATATCGGCAGTCGGAAGGCCGAGCACCTGCGCAATGATATCTCTGATGCGGATGCGTACATCGTCCTCAGACACTAGGGTTTCCGGTGAAGATGGTCTGCTAGAATTACCAGAGTTACTTGTTTGTACACCGCCTGTGTTTTGTGTACTGGTTGAATCGGTTCGATTTCGTGTCTGCGCAGGGACGGAGTCTGCTGCATTTTCCAACGCTCGAGCAAGACCGTTCATGCGGACGCGCTTGAATTGGATGCCTTTCATAAGCGCAACAACACGACGAGGCTCTTGTTCTTGGACAGCATATGCTTCGGTGAGAACGATGTTGTCAAAGGACATCCACGACCCGCGACAATGAACAGTGTACGTTTGTTCTTGATCAATGAACTCAGAGAGCATCTGGAATGACCCGACCTCGCTGCAGATATAAGCGTCGCCGATATCGCCTTGCGTATTTGCTAGGAATCCAGCGGTATGAAGGAGGGTGTCGGCGAAAATAGGATGAGAGGCGAAAGAGAGTCGTGGGGCATCTGGAAGCTTGATCTGCGCTATACCATCCATTCCATCCGCGCTGGCAGTCAGAGACTGGATCGTGTGATACTTTGAAGAGTATTCAACAACACGAGGGAAGACAACTTCGTATAGCGTTCGAGTGGAAAAGATCTCTGCTTGACCTTCCTTTCGCGAACCAATCTCGAAGCGCTAAGTCTGGGCATGAGGCGGAATTCACTTTCAAGATTAGCAGAAGTCTCCTTGGTGGATTGGAAGCGTATTTCTCCGCGGACGTGAACCGATTCGTCTTGAGAAGATTGCAGTCTGGATGTTATATTGAAGAGACCAGTGCCATCTTCGTGAATGGTGACATGCGTGCGGACAATGCGATTGACTTGGGGATGGTAAACAAGTGGTTTCGCAAAATTAACACCTCGGATAGCAGCCATACTCTTCCCGAAATCGAGTTTAAGATGACGCCGTGAAAGATCTGCGCCCGAAAGAACTTGTTCAAGATAGATTGATGCTGGGCATAGGTAGTGCCCTGCAACCTTGTGTCCTTCAATAAACGGAGCTAAAACTTCGATGGGAGTATCGAAACTGGCCGAGTTGCCGTTCTCGCGCGATGGGTACTGCACCCACCACCCCAGCATGGTATAGTCAGATATCAGATCGGATTTCGCAATGGTTTGTGATGGTGCTGTGCTGTCTGTGCTTCGTGCTGGTGCCGTGCTTCGTGTTGGTGCCGTGATTTGTGGTGGTGCAATGGTTTGTGATGGTGCCGTGTTTCGTGCTGGTGCCACGGTTTGAGGTGGTGGAAGAGATTCATAGAAAGGTTCTTTGTATGGTACCCAAACTTTGTTCCTCTCGAGTGGGTATGGTGGCAGATCGGCGCAGGTTGCTGGGGACAGCTCCGAAAAGACTTTGCGCCAGTTCAAAGGAGCACTGGTTCTGTAGAGCTGGGATAGGCTGGAGGTAAGAGTAGCGTTATCATTTTTGCTCAACGAAGGCAATAGCGCCTGCTTCGCTGGGAGCAGCTGCACAAGCCCGTATCATCAACAAGCATGACGCTTGGGGTCCCATCTCGATCCAAGCATCTATCTGTGGGAGCGAGGGGTGCTTACACAGGACGTCGACGGTTGGAGCAAAAAGGACAGGCCGACGGAAATGCGAAGAGAAGTAGGTTGCGTCGAAGGTCGAAGTGTCTCCTGCGGGAACAAGTCGTCCAAGAACGGTGGAGCCAATGGACACCTTTGGAGAAGACAAGGGTACAGTGCGTGCTAGTTGGGTAAGATCATCCAGAACAGGGTCCATTGCTTGACTGTGATATCCATAAGGAACGTCAAGGAGACGAGCCTTGCATCCGGTAGTTGCCAACTCCCCGGTCAGAAGCGTGCAGCTGAGACAATGGGCCAGAAACGACGCAGGCGCGATCACTGTTGACGCAAGCGACAGAGAGATCCGAGTATGACCCGGATTTCAGAACGGTGTTGATTTGTTGCTCCCCGAGCCTGATAGCCAACATGCCTGTTGCACCGGCACACAACTACGCCATGTGAGGCGAGCACGTGATGCGACCAAAAACAAGGCTGCCTCCAGCGAGAGCACCTCGGCGATGACTAGAGCGGCGTATTCACCGAGGCTAGTACGATAATGTTAGGTATCGACCAGTTGTGTATTAAAATAATCCTCACCTGTGCCCAACGACTGTGGAAGGCGTCAAACCCCAATGTATCCATAATGTTGCCAACGCGACTTCTAGCGCCATCGTAGAAGTTTGAGACGCTTCGAACTCTTCTATTTCATCCGACCCACTATCTGCGGCCTCCCCAACAATACTTGGAAGGATACCCGCAAAGCCTTTGGACACGAGGTATCGGTGGCATCTGTCAATGCAGCGCTGGAAGACCGGAGAGGTCGAATAGAGGAGCTTCCCCATGCCACGATAATAGCTGCCTTGTCCAGAGAAGACAAAGACTACTTGACCGAAATTTCCCTCGGAATGAGACACCTCAGCGCTTGCAAGAGCCTGGACAAGTTGCGCCTTGCTCCCTACGTCAATTGAAATTCTGAAAGGGTACAGCTGTCTTCTTGCTGTAGCAGTATACGCGATGTCGCTCATGGGAATTGAGCGATTTCTAGCGTCGTGAAGCCACCGGAAGTAGCTAAGGCGGAGAGTTTCGAGGACCTCACGAGATTTGGCAGAGATACCAAAGACGTAAGATATGCCACTAGCTGGAGCTTTCGCTTGCTTTGGATACTCTTCCACTATGAGTGCCCCATTTGAACCTGATGCTCCGAAATTGTTGAGCAGCGCCATGCGGGGCGACGATCCGCGCACCCACGGCGTGGGAACCGTGTCGATGATAGTATTATCCTGGGCTAGTGGTGTGATACGTGGGTTCAATGTCTTGAGGGAGATTTGAGCAGGAATCGTATCATGTTGGAACATGAGCAAAAGTTTGGCAAGTCCAGCAGCGCCAGAAGCAGCCTCCAAGTGACCGATGTTGGCTTTAATTGAAGTGACATGGAGGGGGTTTCCGCTATCGCGAGCACGGCAAAGAACGGCGCGGATACTCTGGAGCTCGGAAAAGTCTCCAGCCTGGGTACCAGTACCGTGCGCTTCTACGACACTGACACGTGATGCATCGATTCCGGAGTTCTTTAGGAGCCTGTTCATTAGAGAAACCTGGGAAGGTACGTGCGGGTGGGTGATTGAGTGCGCTAGCCCACTCTGATTGAGATCAACACCACGGATGACACCAAGAATATCGTCGCTTCTCTGCAACTGCATCTGAAAGACGTTTGAGAACGAAAAGAGAGCATCCCTCTGATCGAGAGTAGCCGTCAGCCGATGCATCAAAAGATTTGCACTGGCCGGTCGGGCTGAGAAAATGCCCATGATCCAGGCCAATAAACATCTGTCAGGGGAATATCATTAGCGTTAAGGATTGATATCGAGAATCCAGTTTCACTTACGTCCGGACTCGACATGGTGTTGACTCCGCCTGCAATTGCAGCCCTGCAGTCCCCATTAACAAGTGAACGACAGGCTTGATGGATTGCGACAATTGACGATGAACAAGCAGTATCGATAGTCATGGAAGGACCGCCAAGTTGCATGGCGTACGATATGCGGCCACTAAGGAAAGCTTTCAGGGTTCCTGAATGTTTGTCAGAATAAGCACTGTGTTGAGAAGAAGGCTGCATACCTGTGCTATAATGCACGTCAATATTCTCCCGTAAATTGTCTGCATAATCATGGGTTGCAGTACCGATGAAACAACCAAAGCTATCACGCTGGAAAGACGGGGTAGCATCTGGAACATAACCAGCGTTCTCAAGGGCGTCATGAGCAGTGTGCAGAAGAACTCTTTGCTGTGGATCCATGCTCTTTGCTTCCCTAGGTGATACCTTGAAGAATTTGTAGTCGAACTCGTCAACACAATCTATGAAATTCGCGGTACGAGCCTTCATCCCCCGGCCGCTTTTAGCGTCGGCAGATGTGTAGCGCTCTAATTGGAAACGGTCTGCCGGAATCTGCAACAAGGAAGTTTAACGTGTGAAATACCACGGAACGCAGAAACAACATACCTCTGAAATAGTATTAATTCCTCGCTCAAGAAGCTCCCAAAGCTCGTTCGCGGTTCTTGCACCACCAGGCAAGCGAAGTGCCATTCCGATAATTGCTATCGGCTCTTGTTTGAAATTGCTCCCCTTCGGACTATCAGGGCTGCTGGAACCGCTAATGGCCACATCCGTACAAGTAACTTTCTTGTGAGAGTGATTTCTCCAGTATTCGGAGAAGACCAGAGCTAGGGCCGAAGTTTAATACTTGTGTGGGAGCATCGGCCGGTACCGAACCACCAAGCCCCTGTATCACAGACATCCAGTCTACAGGAGACACGATTATCATGTCAAGGACTGCGTCAACAAGAGAGGAGTGCTCAGAACTTGGCAACACAGGCTTCCCAGAGACGGTCGAAAACACGGGATATTTAAGGTCGGAAAAATCAGGAAATCGAATCAGATGTCTTCTGGAATCAGCCAGGACTTGGGCGTGAACATTGTGGAGGGTGTGTGCATGATATAAAGCATCTACAGTCGTTGGATGAATTGTGCAGGACTTGGAAATTGAAATTGAGGACGAGAAACGCTGTAGGATATCAGGACGACCCGAAACGGTGACCTGCTGTGTATCCAAAATAGCCGTCAGGTGAAGGGAAGAATTGCAATCGTTCTGATAATCCTTGTTCAGCTTTTTCTTAAAGGTCACCAATGTCCAACCGCCTCTCACCTTGGTTTCGAAATCAGAGATAAAGCCCAAGACATCGGCTCTACTCAAGCCAACACAAACGACGCTCCAAGGGAGTCCTGTGTCAGGGAAACCCAAAGCGGATTGAAGCTCTTTGGTTCTATGCTGCATAGATCGCACGCCGATCCAAAATGCTAGGCGAAATGCCTCTACTGCATTTGACATGAACGTGAGCACACTGTTAGAAGCTCCTACCACGCATGCCGTGATGATCCCTGAGGAGAAGCCAGTCACCCCAAGACTGTGGTCGGCATTATCTGCGAAAGTACTACGGCCATTGGGTTCTGTTGATGAGCCTGAGAAGTGCGCAAGGTATCTCAGCGCTTGAACGAGGAAGAGCGAGATGCTGGAAATGATGGGATTGTTCTGGTACAGACTCGAAGATGATAGAAGCGAGGTGGCTTCCTGAAAATCGACCAGGGAAATGTGGGTTTCGTTGAGCTCATCTGCTGATAGCTTCAACACCTCTGCATGAAAAGCCTCGTGGCATGAAGCCAAAAGCAAATGGCCAGATGGTGAACGAATATCACGGAGGGCCTGCTGAAGAGCCAAGGCTAGGGCACCAGATGAAGACCCTTGTCCAGGAAACAAAGGTACGGAAACCGTTGGCGACACACGGTTTTCCATGCTAGAAAGGGGTTGCAGTGATATGATCTACCTTTGAGAGTGAAGGAACGAAATGCACTACCTCTCCCTATTAAATACGGGCCTAGGTACGATTGCCGCAGTCGCAGGATCTAAAGTTTAAAATAGAGCAGCTGCGTCAAATGATGCAAAGTTTGAGTGGGAAAGGCATGTCAGTGGATTGAGAAGAAACAGCTGCTATATTCATATTGTACGAAGAGGACGGGCACCAACCTGTGATGTGACCTCCGCGGTCTCTCCCATTCCTTGACAGAACGTGCACTGGAAGAACGAACACGTCCTATTCCGAAGATGCGTTACATAATTAACTCAGAAACGCCGTGCTACTTGTGTTCAATCTGGCAGGTATGTCAATTTTTTTTATCATCGGAGCAGAATTCGTTGGAGCCTCATCGATACGACGACATCAACCGGCTATACAGCGCCCAACTTCAAGGAGTAGGTTTTGACATGTTGAAACAACTAGGGATCTGTCAGTGTTAACAATTGGAAGAAAGGGTTTAGGAAGTTGGACAGGCTTCGGGATGGTTCTGAATGATGATCAAGTAACCGAGGGAATTTCCCGAAGCGAACGTTAAACGATTATAGATGCAGAATTTGATAAGATGTGATAAGGATCGACAGTTTCTGTCATGCGATACTCTCTATCTGGTTCCTGAAGAAGCGACCACCGCTTGCCCGTACCTTTGGAGGCTCCTCTATGTTGTAAGGAGTGCCACTGTAACTCTTTTTGTACCGCTTGGACCCACTCGCTTAATGATATGATATCCTCACTTTCCGTATCTTTAGTGAATTAACTCACGATCTATCAATCCCTGTCTAACTCACACCAAGCCTTATAGTATGAGATGACAGCGTGGATTCATCAAATGATTAAGAGAAATTTCTCCTGCCTAATAATAGTACTTGAGATTTTGGCGTTTTGACGGACAGCGTGAGTCAAGATTACAACAACTTTTCTATAGTTACTATCTACCTAGTCTAGTAAGTACTTAGTCTAGGGTGTGAATGTGATAATTTAATTAATCTCAATAAACTCTTTGAAGCAGAGCCGTTAGGGAGCGACATAGGGGTTCGGTGGCTTCGACGTTATGTGATGACAGCGTGGGTTAGTCACCACTCCGCCTTTTCGATATGTAGTTACTATCCTTTGCTATCGGACCACTAGAAGATACGCTGTGAACGTGATAATGTCCCTTTCGGAAAGTGAACACCAGATTCAATGAACTGGACAATGAATTGGAAGGCACTTTATGTCCGTAGCGAGCGCACCGAAGTCCGAGTGACATTGTACTCGTGTGACCGAAGTAATTCTGCTCCAGCTAGTAAATATAGCTATCAACATCGAGTTCTTGGTACTATGTAGTATGGAGCAAGGTGGAGTTACTAGCAAGATTGCGATATTGTGATATCACGCGCAGATATAGCATGGCACAATTGTACCCGAGTTGTTACATGTTTGATAGTTTGTCGTAACCTTGTCAAAGTAATTCATCATGAAAAGGAGCACAAATGCCAATTATCAAATATAATGAACATTGCAGGTTGCGCTTTAGCACATTACAACCTCCTTAACCCTCTCAGTATCAATCTGTATGTTCACGAACTTTTGTCCACTCTTACATCCTATCCTCAAAAGGTCCTGAAACAAATCATTCCATAATTAGTCTGGTCCCCGCACTTGTACATTCGCCTTCTTTCAATAATCTTATAAGGCAGAGTATTCCCTATGATGTGAAAGCGGTTAGTAGACATACGGAGATTGTTGCGATCTATTACTTTTAATACCTTTCTTATCTGATGATATCACAAAGATCTGACGGATTCTGCGCTTTTAGATATCCAAAATATTATCACAATGGGATTTACAAAAAAAGGACTGAAAGCTTATTTGATAATGAAACAGTTGCGATGAAGGGTGTTGAGAGAATTCGGATTTTGAAACAGACTCGGCGGATACTTCCTTGGATGAAGATAGACTTCGAGAATAGTCAGCTTCTTGTGAAGGCTTCTGAACATCGGCACTGACCCGATGTGACCGAAACTTTATTAACCAGGCCAACTTGAAAGTAATGGAGGGTGGCATTGCTATGACTAGTACTTACTAGTAGTAGTAGTGCAGCACCTGCTGTCTCAGATGATCGGAAGAACGTTCACATGGCCGATGTTCTACTAGAGGGAGTGTTAGTTACCGTGACTAGACTAATGTCATAATATGAGATATGTTCCAGTCCAACAAATGTACCAACATTCTCAGTCAAAGGACGACTATATCTTGCAAAGGTATTTTGGCAGTAGATTCCTTAGATATTTTAATAATACCCGGCACTAACGGCTGTCTCGGACTCGCCCCGACCGAGTCGGAGGCACCGGTACTGGCATTGGATGCATCGATAATGATTCATGCACATGGATTATTGCCAGAAAAGTGTACATAGCATTTTCAAGCTCAGCAGGCCCTCGCCACCAACGACGATGTGTTCAAACATCCGCTAAGCTCGCGTGGCAGAGGAAATTCCAAAACTCGTTTCATCTGCCAATCCGAAAAGCGTCGGAAGCTGACAAGTCGCGATCGATATATGCCGCGTCAAGCTACGTATTTGCTATTGGCAATGCACCCCTTCGGATCCTGCAAATATTATTCTTTGAAGTTCAGGTCCGTTAACGTTTGCCCCTTAATCGTGCTTCCTCTGATCTGTCCACATTCGACATTTGATTCCTATTGAGTCCTAGACATGAGATTCGGATGCCCGAATTCGACTGATCGAGCCGGGCTGCTCGGGGCTGATCCTATCGTGTCTGTGCCTGTGCAGACTATTTCCGTTAGCAACTACTTACTAGTCTACGGGCTTGCCTCGAATTTAATTGTCAGGTGATTATCAGGCTACTGACAATCTGTACGCCAGGGCTGGGAACTTTGATCTCGGAGCAACCGAGAACATCTACACGTTAGGATTTCAGCCGGAAGAGATAACGGCCAAGCAATCGCAAAGGCACACTGTGCTGGCACGATTCCTAGGATCCCCGATACAATGAGCTGGAGGCTGGCGAAACGGGGTTAGAGACGTGATGAAACAAGTACATAACAAACTAGGACCAGTATGAGAGTTTGAATTCTTGTGTAATAGCATAATGCTTGGTTTCTTGATCAAGGTGATTCTTTTACCAACTCGAGTTAGTTTCCACTTCTACTGTAATGAATCTTCCTTGCAACGATTACAATGTCCAGTCTGGGCCGATCGCTTCACATCATCGCCGCGATAGCCCGAATTCTTAGTAGAATGTCCCGGCTCCGTGCTTCTGATCTGGCACGTCTACAATCTTTAAGGCCGCTAAGTTTCCCATTCAGGGGTTTGGTTGTATTTGCCATAAGCCTTGGAATTCAACATGAGTAAATAAAAGTCTAAATATACACAACTTAAAGTAATTGAATAATTTGAATTATCGAGCGAGCTATACAAAAACAACTGCAAGAAGCTCAAATAAGTAACACAAACTGACTAGTAGTGATTAAGAAATCGTGACCAACCAAGTGGGGAATCGAGAATACGCTCCATACACTGGACAAACATGGCATTTCCGCTTGCTCGTTATCGACCGGCTTTTCTAATCCTACGCAGATCAGCGAGCTCACTGAGGAGTCTCGCACGCTCGTTCAGAAGTGCAACCGTGCGTTCTGTGGGAGAACAATAATCTATCTTCCGCATGTGTGCCGATGATGACAGCGCCCCAAAGGGGGAGGGAGATGTCTCAAGGGTAGAGAAATTATCGACCCGAGTCCGTGCCGAAGGCGCACTAGCAGGAATGCGCATTGACGTTGTAGGCATACGAGGGGTAGAATTCCCGCTTGCCACAGGATAAAGACCAGAACTCCGCCGCTGACCCCTGGCCTTGACAGGCGTGCTTGTGTTACACTTGTTCGCTGCGAAAGCTTTCATTTCAAGTTCAGAATCGACAGCACCAATCCGACCTTTCAGACGAATGGGCTGAGGCGTGGGAGTTGGGGGCTGTTCTCCTGAGGAGGTCGATTGGGTAGAGCAATCGGGGTCTAATCCTTCCATCGAATCATCGACATTGGACGCATAAGAAGCGTCACGTTCGAGATATGATGGGTCCTCGAGCTCGTGAATACAATGTGGCTGGTGATATACACCGGTGTCGTGGAATGGCTGCGTCTCTGTACGATCTGAGCGTTCGGAATCTGCCATGCTCGTGTCAGACTCCATATGCGGGGCGTAATGCATGGATAGATCGGTCTGGGCGCTCATGGTGGTAGTGGACCGCATGGAGGGAGAAGTAACGCGTGGATGCCGCGGGACGTCTGTGATATGCGACAGTTCTACGCCGAAGGAAGGTTCTGGACACAATAGCATCGATGCTGTAAGATCTACCTCGCCCTCACTATCATCACCGACTAATTCCTCGATGATGCCTCGTTTCCTCCCAAGCCAGCAAAGCAGTTCACCAACGAAAACTGTTTCTTCCCAACATCCATCCGCTAGTCTGCGTGGATCAAGGTCTGCGAGACCGACGTCCTCGTCTGCCGGGAGGACGTCACACTCGAGTACGCCAAGAAAAACCTTCATTGCTTCTACTTTCGCAAGAGATGAGCGAGAGGCGCGTATTGAAGCTGGGATAGGGAGGCGGGACTCGAGTATAGACTCCAGGATTGCAAGGAGTAAAGAGGGCGTCAAATCCGTCGGGGAAGTAAGCCCGAATGGGAGAGATAGGCCAGCAAGGAGCGCATTCAAAGTTGGTACGAGAGTTGGTGGAGAAAATGATTGCGAGAACTCTGCGAAGGACAGTTCAGACATCAAGCAAGTATATGCACAGGGTAAATATTTGGCTAGAAACCGAGTAGATAGAGTATTACTCTAAGCGGGCTGCTGCTTGTAAGAGTGGCTGACTAGTGTAAAATTTGTGTCAGAAAACTTGCAGGTGGTCGGATCATGGACGGTTGAGTTGAACATGACCATTTCGAGAAGGTGGCCGACTTTCAGCGTCTATCTTATGTTTTGAAGATCGCCGCATCTTCCCACGCAACGCGCTCGCCGAGTGCAGTCTGAAACACAAAGGCCGTCAGCTCATCTGACTTCTGCCTCCATCAAAGTTGTATAATTGTAATCAAGTATCACCTTGCAGGGACCCCGGCGCGGCTGAATTGCGCAGCTCGAGGCGGAGCTCCATAAACTTAAGTCTGTTACGCGTTTCACCTATCCCCGGCACCCGAATTTACATACCAGCCAGTTAGCCTCAAGGTCCACGTTACCCATTAGCAAGTTAGTATTATCACTACCACACAAGCACATAAATCAAACAACATGAGTCTCACAGCGGCGAGCTACTCGAGTCACGAGTGTCATTAGCGTATACAAAGATAAACTTGAACTACCCCGCATGTGGCCTCACACGGGGATCAACGTTCGAACTTCCACGTGCATACTTAGGAACTTAATAGTATACCCATCCCTACCCCACGATGGAACGGTTGTCTCGCCTTTCATGTCTCTTGGCCTGACATTGTCAGTGTGAATTTTGAAAGGTACGACAGGCTATTCTTAACTAACAAAGCCTGGGTTTCCCGCGGCGCGTTGGTATCACTGCCGCATTTTGCCACAACCGCAGAAGGGAGGAATTAGCTACTGAACTGATGCCTAACGTGTGCGGACCCTCCTCTGAGGGGTATCGGTATTTGGTCGTGACGCGTATAAGTGATCACGTGACCACGTGTTGCGTTAGCTACAAACGCGCGTTAAGTTCTGACCGACTCCGACTACCAGATAGACTCGCTTGTTTTCTCACTTATATCATCCAAGATGCCCGGAAGACGCGTGTCATCAGGTAGACCTCCTTCTCAACCACTATCAGGAGACGAAGGAGATATAGACTTCAAGCACTCTCAAGGCAGTAGCAATGACCACAACAACGAGTATTTTCGTGATATCTAATACTATCTACCACGTTGACAACAGATATCTAAGAACGTTTGCGGTCGTCGCAGCGGAGTTCAAAGGTGTGTGATTTATCATAGCGCTAGCTGGACATAATTATATGCGCTTGCCAGCAACATGGGAGAAAAAGTTGAGGGGACGTGACGATAAGATAATACAAACAACACGAAAAGAATTCCACCTTGCTGTTTGTATCCTTGATATCCATGACCTCTCATCTTCACCTTTCAATCAGCTGCAGGAGAAGGAAACCGAAATCGCCAACATCATAAATGATATGTAGGAGGTCCTGTCAGGGCGTGTATACCACCGTCTGCTCAATACTGACACGCAGTCGAAGGGAGACCCTCCACCAGGATTTCCTCGAACAATATGCGATTCTAGAAGACAAGAAGCGCAAAATCACAGCTGCGATTGCTGAAGCACAGGAAGAACTTATAGTCTGTCCTTTAGCGCTAAGAACCCATCATTACATTCTCTAAACAAATATCATCTTACAGCCGCTCGTGGTGCAACGCCACCAAGCGACCATCAGCCTTGGACACGAGGTCGAGAACGGCCAACTGGAAGGGATGGCCCTCATCAAAGGTGTTTGTCAGTGTATGCTTATCTCCGTTCTCTTGTTGCTCCGCAGCTGATCTTCCTCGCTCCGTAGCTACGCGAGACATTGCTCAGGAGCTTGGCATAGTTACACTTCGATTGCTGACTGATAGTGCAATCCATTGTTCCCCCTTGGCCAGCTTGGCCTGTATTCACGGATATGGTACTTACGTATGAGTTGTCTTCGCAGCAAAGTGGCTCCTGGTCATTAGAACAACTGGTCGAGGCGCCGACAACGTTAATGGCAGAGCAGTCGAGACCTACAACAGCCTCCACCAGTGCTGCAACGTCGACAAGGCTAACTTGTTCAAAGGCTTTCTGAGCGGCGGATGAATCATGCTACAGATATTTAGTCAAAATTGCGTCGCACGCCTTGCATGATTCTGAACTCATGCTGGCATTGCTGTCGCAGCAAAGCTGGTTGAGAATGATACTTAGTGGGAGGATGAGTTGCTCTCACCTTTTTGCCTTGCTTTTATACATTCTCTCATTATTTCCGGGACGTTATTAGGTGAGCATTTCCATCCTCGCCTTCAGATTCTGATCAGTCGAACGTTTTGTAGCGAAACAACGACAACAAATTGTCAAGGATCGTACAGCAGTCACCTTCAGCTTTGCCAAGGAGCCATTCAATCAACAACACTCTAGACCCGTCTAGACTCTGGTGACGCGCAGTCTAATTACGCTGTTCTTCCGTACAGCAACGGGTTTTGTCCTTGTTCCGAACGGCCTGTAGCACTGCTAGTTGGAGACCCGCTTTCGTCATAACTTCTTATTCGGGTTGGCATTTGTAGCGCTCGTGGCGCCCGGAAAGAAGCCCTGATACTCCCATGAATGTGGAGTGTCAACGGGACGCGACTCGGACGCCGGTGTTAGTCTATTTAACTTCTGTCATAACGAGACTGATTGACGACTAAGCGTTAATCGTGAATGTTTAGAGTAGTTGCGATCTACTACCGATCAGTGACAGTGCCAAGTGGACACGGATGTTGTAAGCGCATCCCAGCTGCCTGAGGCACGAGTGCGTGAGGAAAATGGTGTATGTTATTACACGATAAAACATACGCCAGCGTCCTGTCGCTTCAGACAACTCGCCGGTAATGTGATAGCTCGTTGTTAAGTAAATTTTTATTGCCCTGCTCACCGTGATCCCTACCCAAGTTGACGTTCTTGAATGTGTAATTCCGATGCCCTCGTATCCCTCAAGTAACATTGTCGTCCCTTCTCTGTCTTCCATTAGGCACGTCTTCATGCAAGAAGAAGCTGGTACTTCTCCCTTCTGTACACAATGGCCAGCGGCAAGACCTGCAAACACGGTAGATACTATCATGTGGCCCATCTGTTGCCCCTTTTCACACAACTCATGCATCGGTAGAGGTGGCGTTAAGCAGCAAGATCTGTCTTGTTTCTATTTATGAGGCCGCGGTGATCTATAACGCGATAACGCGACAACAATATTTTTGCTTCAGCGTAAGCCGCATATTTTTCTAGTCCAATGCGTGAGCAAGGCTTACAACAAATACGCGGTCCATAAACGAATGCTTTTCGGTAATGCATGACAGGCCAGGCTGTGCGTCTCGACTACTATGTTCAATCGTATGATACGGAACAATCAACAATATCCAGGATGTACTTAGCTTTGTTTTGAAACTTTTGACTCTTCTTTCGTCAAAATCTAAGAAGCTTACGACATTCGATCGACAAGTCGATACCGAAGCTGTCGTAGTAGCTTAACAACATCAAAGCCTATATCAAAGCCTATCTGACCCTGTGTAATCGTAATTACATAAACCCAAACGTCAGCTGGCGTTGAACGTAAGACACATTCTATCGCGTAGTTCTAGATTAAAGAATTGCCACCTCGTCGGCAAAAGACAGATGGAGAGGGACCTTGGGAATGTAGAGGAGACCTTGTTGTCCCCGGCGGCCCTACTTGCAGTAAGTCCATTGCAATCTGCATCATCCTCAAGGAGCGATTACGGCTGTCGACAAGGATCACAGTACTCGGGAACGAATTGCCCTGCAGGAGTTCTTGCATAACTCTGAGAAAAGGTTTAAGAGTGTATCATCCATGACGGACCGCAGCTCGAAGTAATACTATGAATCTCAACGTCTATCAGTGGGCCTCTCGTGATCGACGTCGCGCTGAGCGGTAATTTATGCCAATCATTACCTCCTCGCGGTCGTGATATGATTATTGGAAGAGCTACTAGGGCTTCGAGGACGGATTGAATGCGCTGGTATAATATCGTTCTCTGGAAGAAATAAGTGTGATGGAGGTTTGTATGATTCGGAAGCTGTACTTGACACAAGCGTGTCAAAAAGGATTGTCAAGGTTTGAATGGTATGAGGGCGGATTCAAGGCGGGCCGACGAGCCATGCGGCCCGCACTTGGCCAAAAGCGCCGAAGGTCCCGAAAAACCAACGAGCAGAAACAAAAGCTGACATCGATGACCAGTCGAGTCAACGAACGTGTTTGGAGGACAATTGCCACGTTCTAGTACTGACTTCACGGGAACCGATCGTGGTAGTGTCGAAGACTCCCAAGTCATTGAGCTTTCATAGTGTCTAATCAGATATCTAACTTCAAGGGAAGACTGTATTTCTAGAATCGATGGCTCTGCGACTGCGTGCACTAACCCGGCGCACGCTTACCCTCCTCGGCCTATCCACCGCAACAGCAGCAGGCGCTGGCTACTTCTACCTCAATTCTGGTCCTGCTTACTCACAAACAACACACGAGTCTCGACGCCCACCACCACTATGGTCTCCTCCTCCCCGCGCAGCCATGATCGATGCCTTAAAGCGAAGTGCTGATCCAAAGCGGGGCGATGATGATGATATGATGCCCAGTTCGATATATTGGTCATAGGAGGAGGCGCAACTGGTGCCGGTGTCGCTGTCGACGCTGCAAGTCGCGGTCTACGAGTCGCTTTGGTCGAGAGAGAAGATTTCGCTAGTGGTAAGTCTATTCACTTCCTTCCATGCAACCCCACTACATACGTATATCAATAGGTACGTCCTCCAAGTCAACCAAACTTGTCCATGGCGGCGTGCGCTACCTCCAGAAAGCCGTATTCGAGCTTGACTATGAGCAGTACAAGCTCGTTCGCGAGGCTTTGCGCGAAAGGAGAGTCTTCCTACAGACTGCCCCTTATCTGAGTCATATGCTCCCTATCATGCTTCCCATTTATAAGTGCGTCATTGTTTCCAATCCCCCGTTCTCAACCCAAATCCAACTCCCCCATCCATCAACCCCTCCAGTGATTACCATCACTGACTAATAATCAGGTACTGGCAAGTTCCGTACTACTGGTCCGGATGCAAACTCTACGACCTCCTCGCTGGCAAGGAAAACATGGAATCATCGTACCTCATGTCCAAGGGCAAGGCCCTCGCACAGTTCCCCATGCTGAAGAGCGACGGGCTTGTCGGTGCCGTGGTCTACTATGATGGTATGTCCTATTTTTATTTCACCCTATCTTCATCCTCACCATCCTCAGGCCAACACAACGACTCCCGCATGAACATCGCTCTCATCCTCACAGCTATTAAAGCAGGTGCAGCCGCCGTCAATTACTGCGGCGTTACCTCCCTCCGCAAAGACCCCACCACAGGTCTCGTCACAGGTGCACGCGTCAAGGACTACATCGCCGGAAGTGAATTCGACGTCAAAGCCAAGGCGCGTTCTCCCATCCCGCCCCAGATAACAACTAACACTCCAACAGGTGATCATCAACGCCACAGGCCCTTACACTGATTCCCTCCTCTCCCTTTCCACTCCTACACACAAACCCATCGTGCGCGCAAGCTCAGGCGTACACATCGCCCTCCCTTCCTACTACGCCCCTAAAGGCATGGGCCTCCTGGACCCTGCAACAAGTGACGGCCGCGTCGTCTTCTTCCTCCCATGGGAAGGCGGTGTCGTAGCAGGTACCACTGACGAGCCCTACGACATGCGTGCGCATATCAAGCCCCAAGAAGAAAAAGACGCGTATCTAAGCGGTGACGATATTCTCCCCCGCGAGTCTGAGATCCAGTGGGTCATGGATGAGGTGCGTGGGTATCTGAGTGGGGACATCAGGGTGCGCCGCGGGGATGTGCTTTCAGCGTGGTCGGGACTGCGTCCGCTTATTTCATCTGGCGCCGCGGGCGGCACGGAGGGGTTGGTGAGAAGTCATGTAGTCAAAGTTGATGAGGGTAGAATGGTGACCATCGCGGGTGGGAAGTGGACTACCTATCGTGCAATGGCAGAAGAGGCGGTCGATGAAGCAATTAAAGTGTGTCCCGGGTTGAAGGCAAAGGCTTGGAAGTGTCAGACCCAAGAGCTGAGACTCGTAGGAAGCGAAGGGTGGGATCGCAACATGTTCATAGGGTTGATTCAACGCGTGAGTATCAGCCCTTTGCCCTCCAATGCATTTCACATTTCACATCCACTACTATTCTTACTGACGTACGCTGCAGTACGGCCTCCACCCAGAAGTCGCACAACACCTCTCCTCATCCTACGGTTCACAAGCATGGGCGCTCCTCTCCTCGACGAACCAAACGGCCGCTTTGGACCCACACCGCCCTCTCTCCGCCCCGTACCCCTTCACACATTCCGAAATCACTTACGCTCTCACGCATGAATACGCACAAAAACCCCTCGATGTGCTCCTGCGGCGCACACGCCTAGGTTTCGTCGACGCACGTGCAGCACTCAGTGCACTACCAGAAGTTGTACGAGTCATGGGCGATACCCTAGGGTGGGATACGAGACGGAGGGGAGAGGAGGCAAGGAGGGCAGAGGAGGTGCTGCGCGGGATGGGCGCAGGTGGACGGGTCGAAGTGGGTCCAGCATCGTCGGGAGAAGGCTGGTTACGCATCGGGGAGGTACAGCGGCGCGTGTGTGCACTGTTTGGTTATCCTGCGCTTTTACGCCGGTTTTCGGGTGCGGCGACGTATCCGCGTGCGTTGTTTGAGCCCGGGGAGATTGAGGCGCTGCGGGAGGTGTTTGGGCAGTATGCACGCGTGTCTGGCGATTCTGGTTCTGGCTGCGATTCTGAGCCTGGTTTTGATTTGGAGGTGGAGGAGCAGATGAGGATACCTGTGTCGATGATACGAGAAGCCGTGCAGTCTGTTGCGGTGCTTGGGTATGCTTATGACGGTGTACGGGAGTCGGATTTCCGATACGTCCTAAGGGATGCAGGGCTTTCTGATTTGCCTGAGGGAAAGGGGAGGGGGAGAGATGTAGATTTTGAAGAGTTTGTCGAGGTTCGTTCTTATTCCATCTCCCGCTTCATCTTTTATGTGTTAATTCGTGCCTCATGCTCGTATAAACCTTGACTTTGCAGATCTGCGGAGATTTGAAAGATGTGTCGATCGCACCTGCTGTGAACAAGAAGGGCGTGCAGAGGAGGAGGATACCTGTTGAGAAGAGTGGTGGGGGTGTTTGAGATGTAGTGTTGGCGCATTTTCTATGTTTTACAGTACTAGACTTGGTTCGATAGGTTTTTGTACAATTAGAGAGCTTTCTCTTGAGGTCATTGACACCTAGATCTAGCCCATCAGCTAGTTGCTTGAATAGAACGTCGACCTTGTTTGCAAAGGTGAGTTCCGACCGTCGCCTGCACTCTGACTCGGACATCATAGAGTCGCTTGGCACACTGTCAGGCACAAGCGAAAATCTTCCCTAGCTTGATAAGATAAGTCTGTGCTACCCTTCGTTCCGAAGCTATGACGCATCAGCTGGGCTATCACAAGATTCACATGCACATCTAATCGATCTCATCAGTCTCATCTACACATCTATCATCCATGGGCGTCATGTTCAAGCGGCACCGTGGGACCCGTAGGTGCACGGTAATTCTCAGACTGCCACTGCATGATCAGTTTGTCGCTGTTTGTACCATTTGCATAGTACTTGTTCTTTATGACCGGCTGAGAATCCGAGGAATATGGATATTCCCCGACTCCCGAAGCGGAGGAGAGTTTTGTCGGTTAGAAACGCACCCGTCTCTGTCAAAAATTTTGTGGGTTTTCATTTCATTTAACGAGTTGTTACTTGTTACGATGTTCGATTGTTCTATCTCAGGATCTCACCAATTGAACTTGCATATACCGGCGCTCGCGCGGCAAATTCTCGACTCCGGCTCGCTTGCATTTTTCTTTCTGCTGCGAGATTCCTCACCTTAGATTCAGACCACAATATTCCCAGTCTACCGAGTGTCAATCAACTCATCCTTCTGATCTCCAGAACCCGGACCGATACACTAGTACTGATCTGATCTTTATCAGTAGGTACATCCGAGTCATGATAGGCATCTTGGGCTTACTATTTAACGATCCCGTTGACCCACGGTATGTCTTCTTCTCCACAATCCATAACCTAGTGTTTATTCCCTCACGCGTGTTTGACCACTAACACATTTCCAGCGACATCGACTGTGTTCGACGTGATCCCTACAATGATAGTACAATCTCGCGAATCAAAGCATCATCGACAATTTAATGGTGCGTGTATCAATGAATGTTCCCAAACCCAAGTGCCGAGGCGGCGCCCACGGACATGTCCGTAATGAGACTGTCCGTTTTACGAAACCGCCCTGTGTAAATGAAACAAAGAGATCTGGTCCAAGCTGATTGACCCGGTGGGTCACTTGGAGCTGCGAGATGTCGGTCACTGTCTCCACGCTGTCCCGAAGTGGGACTGACCACCTTCTCGCGCTACTGAGAGTCATATTACAGTGAGTGGCGACAAAGGCGGCAATGCGATGTGGGCGCAGTCACAGAAGGTTACTGGGGACAGAAAATTATCTGGTCGGAAGCATTGACAAGGCGACATTGACGAGGCGGGGGAGCGAGGAAAGATTTGCCGAAGAGGGGTGGGGTTGTTGAAACAGGCTCGTGCGATGGAAGGGGTGGGAAGGCCCGGGAGTGGTCGAGAAGTTAAGCGAGCGGGGAATGACGCGGGTTAGACTGGCAAACGACATCCATAGTAAGGTTGAGGAATTACAAGAGACGGTAGTGAGAAACTACTAGTAGATACGACTTGAAGGAACTGACAAAGTTCCTCCTCGGGGAGAACATGTGAGGCATACGTAACTATAGGCCAATTAACTTTGGGGTCAATCCATAAGAAGCTCGTAGACGTCTATTTATTCTTGAGCCTAAATTCATGCAACAAGCACTCGGAATTCACATCCACCAAAAGACGTGTCTATCAAACTAGATCTACCATCCACTTCCCTATGCTTTTTTCATCCATGCACCACACCGAGGCCCTTGAACGCAGCCCACATTATTGCGCTTTCCATTTGGAAGTCATATCTTCCCTGCATATCTTTAACTGTGGTTCGATAAAGGATTTCCGGCTAACATCATTCTACATCTCGAGAACTCTAGCCATAAGGAGTATGAAGGAAGATTCCAAGACCATGTGAAGTCACGGTATGTACGAGTACACGTGTCCCGCGGAGTATCAGAGTAGGTCTCGTCGAGGAATTTGGCACTTGCGTGGGAGTCGGAGGCTACTACGCCAGCGTTGGGTCTTTAACTGGCAAGGTGTATTCTTCCCTAGCTGTTGAAGATGCGCCAATGGCTTTCATGGTTGCGGCAATACCATAAAACTCCGCCTATATAACTTCATGCGGAACTCCCGAGAGGGCCTTCATACCTCGTCTTTAATGGCCTGGGGCGTCCGGTCACTTCTTGGGGAAGCTTGTTTGGTATGTCAGAAGGCCGGGTTGTAATATTCTTAGCAGCTGCAATTAGTATGTGGATCTATCAACGCTGCTGATATCATAAGAGTCCAAGGTCATTATAACTCAAGTTAGCGGTAGGCTATTGACCCGTGAAAGCTGTCCGAGTCGGTCTTTACACCACTTCGAGCGAAGTGAAACTCCTGTTGGACATTATCCCCGTATACCTCGATCTATTCCAAGAACTAATCATGTTCCCCGCATCTTTCAAGACGTCCTTCAAGTTGTACCAAAACATCGGCTGACTCATCACGATGAAGAGAACGGACCCCCCGCAACCTACTGCCTATTCTCGCGTAACGCTGCTCCCTTATTGCAACCCTGCTTCAGATATGCCCAATCTCCATCGCGTATCGGACCGTCAGACGAGAATTCTTCCCAAGGAAGCTGTTATTACTTTGAGCGGGTCCGACAGAAAGACTCCGCGCTTACGACGTCATGGTAGGTATGCATCGTTCAGATGTGCAGAGACGGATGGTCATCTCAGAGCCGTGCGGGAGATGGGCTTTGACTAATAGGGTTTCTCAAGGATTCGTCAATGACAGCACCGGTGTTGCGGTCGCTGAATACGGGCACGGTATACATGTCCGGACCGGGCGGCACTCTAAGACCATAGAGAACGATCGCAATGTCAGGATACTCAAGGTAGCTCCTTGTAGCTCATACGAACCTGGCGGAAAGGTGAGGCAGTCCTGTTGGCACTCGAAACGAGCATGCTGACCTGGACTTTGACATATCTGGAGACTAGTAGCTTCCAGGCAATTGAGAGGGGACATTAAGTAGAATGAGCTGCTCATTGTTTATCGTCAATTTATCGTGTCTACCTCATCCAGCTTGACATCGCAAAATAACTCCTACCAAGTCTGGACGACACAACCGCTGATAGATGCAAGATTTCTAACCACATATTCATGTTTTGTCCGAGCTACTGGTATGTATATATTACCAGCATTTGTCACATAACCGCCTAGTTATTGGTTTTCGTCTCTATGGTGGAAAAATCAGCGGGTACGCGGTCATCCAGACTCAGACCAACAGGGTCTTTAGTGTAGGAAGTACAACTTTCATACATTCTAAAACCTAACACACCATGACTCGGCTCTCGGTCTTTTGAGTCAAGACTGGTACCCCATTACCGTGAGGCTCAGTATAGATCCAGCTATGGAACATGATGCAACCCATATTGACACACAATTGGGCTCGTTAAAGTTGTCTGAGTTACGCTATCCCTTGCGCCCAAATAACCACCGACGGCTCTAGTAGCATAGCTAACTACTGTGGTAGGAGAGATGGTTCATCTCTTTGTTTGCCTTTGTCCTTTCCTGCGCAGTGTTTATCATTCGCGGAACACTGACAGCGTACGAGTCGAAACAGGATTTACATAATTGTTATTATCATGTTCACCTTCCTCGTCGTCTTCTTCTGCTCTGGCTATCCAATTGTAGCGTTGTTTGGGTGGGGTTCATAGTTCTGAACCCAAGTGGTGTCACTAGTGAGTTTGAGCGAGGATGACGATCGAAAAAATGGCGCTTTTGGCGTTCTTGTGGGACGGCGTGTTTGCTGGCGGACGGTGTCGAGAGACGATGTTCCAGAATCGTCGAGCTGAGGACAGGTTAGGAGGGTCAGGGGAACCGGAGTCGCGGCAAGAAGGAATGACTGGGAAGATTATCATCAATACTGGTACCCTTGCACGACAAACACGAGTTTTACCATCGGGAAGAAATTTGTGTATGGATCATCGTGTCCCTCCTCGCAGTCCTCCGTAGCATCAACCCGTGACAGTCCCGTGAGCAAGACGAGGTATGCAGTCAAATGTGAGTACTGGCACAATGAAAGGTTTCGTGATCCTTGTGAAATGGCTGGCCGAGTGGCCCATGAGACTCTGTCCCAAAGCTGTGCAAGGCTATTCCTGCCCACGTACGCCAGGACATTGTGTCTGGGTGAAAGTGCGATGGAATTCACCGAATCGTCGTGCTCGACGCGATGCAGTAGTGCACCCGGTTTACTGTCGAAAAACGTACAAATCTGTCCGAGGTGCAGCAGAGTTTGCTGCTGTCTGACGACCACACCAATGATGTCACTGGCTCCTGATCTTTAAATTGAACGGGGCCGACGAGACGTTTGCCAGTCTTCGTGTCCCAAATTCAAATAGTACACTTGTACCCGCCTGATGCGATCCTGTCACCCGAAGGTGAATATGAATATGCAAGAGCATGCACCCTGAATTGTTGCGTTTTGACTGGGCCCACTTCGACCTTTCCACTTTCGGCTTTTCGAACCGGAATTCTTCAATTCTCGGACCCGCTTGCAATATGATCTCCACTGGGTGACCACAAAAGCGACTGCACCGCCTTGCAATGCCTCTTCCGAACACCTTCGATCTTTGCATTAATAGCGTCCCACCGCTAAACACTTCAGTCCTTCCTTCCACACGCAATGATCTTGTCGTACAAGAAGACGAAATTCCAATTCTTGTTCACATGTCCCTCAAATACGTGCTTCGGAATTGGTCCTTTGACAACCCTGAACACCGCGTCGATGGGACTGCATGTGAACGTGTAAGTATATACATGACGAAGCCCAATGGATGTGGCACAGATCATAAGAAACGAAGTAAAATACTTACCCCAGGAGCGAGGCAGTAACACAATATAGTCGCAAACTGCAGAAGCAATCTCACGAGGGAAACGCAAAGAGAGCGAGGCAACAATTAGTGACTAGTCATACGATTGTTCAAGTTGACAATTCGAGAGTTATAGTCTGTCTGTGGGCGCCATGACCTACAGGGTATCAAGGATATACGCGCTGCAGAAGACGACTGACCTCCTGCTGAAAAAGATCGATGATCGATAGCTGAGCGCTGAACCCTATAGATATCAGAGGTAGAATTGAAGAAGTCACATTGCTGCAACTGCTGCGGTATTTGCCGCGACGTTCCACGCTGTACAACTCGGAGCCTGTAATACGGTACACTTCAACTATTACAAATAAGTACAACTTGCTTGTTGCTGGCCACATGCTCCGGATTCTGTATCGGCGTCTTGAATGACTTTATATGATTAAGTTAAACTCACTCGGACATTGTTTTCTTGAATTGAGGCACTGAAGACTAATTCTAACTCCCCGGGCCAGATTTCAGACTTCGGCTTTCTGGACTTTCAGATGATACGAAAATCAACCACAAAAGTATATATTGCAACGTGAGTCTGCAACATGATGTACAAAATAACCGCTGAAGGATCATCTATTGCATAACTTTCCAGCAAGTACTAATTTAAGGTCTTCAATATCTCAATGCTCGAGCAGGGTGAAATTTGCTCACCATGAGCACTCAACAACGAAGTACTTGCATGCCGTGTCGTCAACCACACGACTCACTGGCACACAGATATCTACCACGCCGGTGAGCCACGGGGTTAGAAGAAATTTACTCATACTCACAGGATCTAAGCCAAGTATTACAACATTGCATTTGTGGCCAGGGCAGCATTCGGTCGAGTCGCAGAGATAGGGACAACGATTGACAGATGGCATAGACGCTGACAACTCGAAAGCAGCAAGAATGACGAGGATGAAGGAGAGACGCATTGTTTGTAAGATGTGATATGGGATTCCAAAACAAATCTGAAGGGGACGGCAGGAAGACAGCTTGCTTTTATGTCTTGATCAATTTTCTGTGCATAACCTGACCACCTTGAATACTCCTTCAGACACATGACATTTGTATTGCCAGCACGTTGCCAGCAGACCACAGGTTTGACCTGTTCTTTCCCCGACATTCTCTGTGCAGAAGACTTGGAAATGCTGGCAATGTGTAATCCCAACCCGTTGTGGCGTACGGCGTACGGTAGGTGACACGACGATCTCCGGAGCTGGAGTCAGGGGTCATGTGGATACTGAGAGAAATTCAAAGTCTCATCACGTATGGGGAATGAGAAATTGGATACCGGGAGATCAGCAGCTGGCTTGGAGAGCAAAATCCCAAAGGAGAGTGCTCCCCAGATGTACTGTTTTTTTCGGAATGTACATCATGCAGTATCATATACTATATAGTGCTGGACCCCAACCCCGTCAGTGACCCGCAACATCCACTGGACCACTGTCAATGCGGACCATTATGTGTGTCTATATACGTAGGCTCTGACTTTGGTTCTCCACTAAAATGCACATTTCATAGCAGGCACAGACGTGGCACTAGACACGATTTACGTGAAGGAATGGTGTAATTCTTCATTTGGTCTAGCTAGGTGAGATTAGTCTCCATCGTTCCAAGGATGGAGTGATGCATGGGGCCTCATGCCCAATGGAGTCCACTACATGAACACCAGAGAAGTGTTTGCGAATCACTGTCCTCGGCATTCACACACGCTTTAATAGTTCTTCCTATTGCCTTGACTCTTGACACAGCAGACCAATTTCCATCCTAAAGTCCGGAGAGGAACATGGTCCACCTGCAACTGCCATTACTTTCAATTATCGGACTCGTCGGTAGATCTTATGGTGCTTTACGTGCGGTTAAAATCACAAGTAGAGAGCTAGACCGAGCATGTGATGGAGGAGTGCACTGTAGGTGAAATTCTACATCAGCTGATTCAGGAGGGAATCCGTCCGGTCAGTGCTAGGACTTGCATAAACAGACTTGCATAAACACTACAAGCGATCTGCTCGCCTGCGGACGGTCCGGTCCTTTATTTTCTCACTCTCTCGGCTCTTTCTACAGCAGCAACGAAGAGTAAACTACATTCGCCGTATCCATTTCTTCATTCGTGGGTGACCACAACGCTCGAATGTCGCGTCGATTCCGGACTCTCGACAGCGCAGTGTACAATTGACCATGTGCAAATGCTTCAGCGCGAAGGTCAATTGAGCACTGCGCGTCGGAGAGTGAGACCTTGCGAGCCATTGAACGTCGTCGCATATGCAGGCCGCAACGGAATTTTTTTTCGGTTCACAGTCTAACTCCAGCGCGCAGGATTAAAAGAGAAAGTGATGCGGAGAAGATAATTCACTTCACCCGTTTGTGGAATTTGCATTTCGACAAAACGTCCGTCTGTGCACAGCAATGATTCGCACGCGCGCATTTCGTACTAACCGCTTCTCCACCGACATATGTCGTTGCACTGCGCATATTGCCGCTTGCGTTGGTGTACTACTCTGGATCTCCCATGGTGCGAACTGATGTGGTGAGCGCGGAAGTTCACGTGTACTTCCGCGAGTGGGATGATTTGACTGATGCCTGCGAGTGGAGTATATTCTCCTGCTCCATTAACCACCGGTCCTACTTGACGGAAGTCGCCCAAGCCTATCAGGAAATTCCTCCGAAAGGCTTGCTGTATACATTCATGATGCGACGACAGAGTTGGTCAACGCACTCCCACGATGCTTTGTTGACCATCGGTAGTAACTCTCAGAGTTGTCGCATGCCAAATGAGATCGGCTCTGGCCCAGGGAGACAATGGGTAAATGTTCGAATGCAGGACCGTGCTCTCATCTGTGACGGGAATGCCAACATATAATGAACAATCCGTCCCCGTTTATATGCTGTTGTACACAGTGCACTACTTCCGACGATGAGCATGATGTATCCACGTAGTGTCGAAGATAGTGCGTTGATCATGAATCCCACTAAGCTTCGGCTGTGCCCGAAACAACCAAGGTGTGCCAGGATCTGCTTAGGGCAGTAGTTGAGGAAAAAGTATCGATTAGCACATCTTGGATACGAAACAGTGCAAATGGCACAATTACAATCAGACGGGGCAAAACCTCTGATGCCTGCCTTGTGTTTTTCTTCGCACGAGCATACGAAAATCATACTGGCGCATGTTAGCGCGCACTTTTGATTCCCTGATTGAATGTGCTTGTAATATGATTATGCTCGAATATTATTTGATTACGCTGAGATATAAAACACACCTGGAGCACTAGCATAGCTCTAAAATACTACAGAAAGCAACGAGAGTGCGAGATAAAATCGGGAAAACGTGTTGAACGGAGCATCGAAAGTGTATGGGGTGGGGATCAGAACAGCGTTAGAAGTGTCTGCAAGCGGGTAGGATGGGAAACAGCATTGAATGTGTACAGCGCGAAGGAGCGGAGATCTACTAGTACATCTTGCCTGTATTGACAATCTTGTTCCATTTGTTTTCGGTAGCCTAGAAACAATCAATCAGAACAGATGGTAACGGCTGGGGAACTGCACGGGTGAACCCGGGGTATTACCCCCAACGGGTATATCCACGGGTCACTATGAAGAACACAGGAAGCAACGCGCGCGCGAATCCGTCGATAATAGACAGTGATGTTCAGTGCTGAGCGATATGGGAGTCAGCATCCGCTAAGAAGCTCGAAAGACGAGATCACGCACTCTCTGGGAGCGGGACAGGGCTGCGGCACCATCAGCGTTAGCAAAAAAGACATTATGTGCAGTCTGAGAGTGGGGGCTGGACTCGTGTTCTCACTCTCGACAACGCTGTGCACAATCGACCGTGAGCGAAGGGATCAGTCCGGAGGTCCAGCGCGGTTTGCACTAGCGTGGAACCTTAACATCCATTAAATGTAGTTGCATATGCGGGTCAGAGAGGAAACTGTCTTTGATTCACTGTCCGTGACGAAATGGTTTGTATAGAATGCGGGGGATGCAGTGGCTTTCAAATGTATTGGGAAGTTGGACTTTGAGAAAGTGACAACATATACACGAGCGCTTCTGACCGTGTGTTCTGGTGCGCTCAATGGAGTCTGTTCAGCTTCTTTCAGGCTGTCTGAACTAAAATAAGATAGTACATGGCTCCGTGAGTGAAATGTGTGGTTGATATCAGCCGCGATACTTACGAAAATCGCCCGGGAATTTATCTGGAATATTGTCGTCGAAAATCCATCGACATAGACGTTGAGAGAGGAAAGAAATGCACGATCAAGACAGTTCTTCGATAATTGCTGGGAAGAGGAAGTCAATGGTGTCGTCAAAGTTTATGGTCTGAAATGAAACCACAGTCACTAGTGAGGAAAGAACCGTAAAGAGGAGACAGAACCATTGAACGCAAGACGGACAATCACAGGTGAACGTGTATGAGGAAACCGATGAGTACGTACGAGAATCATGTCGAGAGTCACATCTTAATAGTAGACTGGCTCTGATTCACATGGAAGCGGCTCCTGCAGTTTGACGAGGCTGAGCGCTGAGGAATGGGCATGGCATACTGACAAAGGGAGTGTGCCGTAATTGCCAAATGGCTGAGAGGGCCGCTGGAAATGAGATAGAACTTTGATGTCCTCTCATTTTCGAAGCGAGTCAAGTTTGAACTACTTTTGAACTCACCTCGAGTCCTCGACAACTTAACACCAACCACTATGTAGTAAACGACATCCCGATCGACTCTATGCGTTTTGAGTCAGGCATGAAGTTCGTTGGGCGTAATGATATAAAGAACCACTTCCACTTCTTACAGTTGGTATCCAAGGCTGTATCTTGCCCACAAAGTCGAGTACTTGCGCCATTCTGTCTCTGAATCACCGATGGTTGGATGTGGGAGAGCCGGCTTATGAAGAGATGAAGGCAGGCACAGCGGCAAGCACGGGATGCGAGAAGCTGATGAACTTCCGCCCAAAAGCCAGGGAGCAATTTGCGTGGTCAGATACCTGTTGCATCGACAGAAACAGCAGCACCAAGCTCGACGAGTCGGTTCGCTCCATGTCCCGGTGGTATCGCAATTCGTACATCTGGCACAAAGCATGATCATCGAGGATATATTGCACGATGAACGGACGATGACTCAGCCTAGGCTGGACATTGCAAGAATTAATCCTTGCGCCCTACCTCATCAGGTTCTTCAACAAGCACCGGATATCCACGACGGATGATGAGAAGCCTTAGCAAGACAAACAATCAATGGAGGTTCTGGAAGGAGCCACCGGTATTCCTCAAGATTACCTTCGCTGGTTTTATCCAAGTCCATCCAAGGTAGATGAATGGATGATATTGGCAGCCAGACGCAAAACAATGTGCATCGAAGATGTGGCCTATTTCTTATGGGTGTGTTGTTTGATGTCAGCCTGCAGATTGTATACGGAGGAGGAGTGACCAGCCCTGACTTGCCTCTGGTAATACTCAATCTCAATCTCCATTCGTTTACATATGACTATGTATCCTGCGTCACACTCGACTCCCCGCTGTGTCCGACCATCAAAATCGATATCGAAACGAAGAACTTATATTCCTCCACATATCAGTATGCACTTGGCATTGTCAGCCACTCACTCATCGGCCATGAGTCAGCTCCATCCTATTCCGAGTTCCTAGACATTCCTTACGCTCAACTTTACCACCATTACATGACCAACTGACTGTAACACTTTGAATCATGATTACCGAGTGAGTGAGTTTTTGACATTACTCATAAGTACTTAGAGATCGTCAACTTGTGACTGTTTTGATCAAGTTTTGACGGGAAGCAGCACCCATGAACCTTGGATGGGTCGATTGGCTTTTTACTATTGCATATGGATTAGATTCCACTGGGCTTATTATTTAGCTGAAGAGTCCCGGTTCGCATCTTATATCTACTTCAACATTTATACATGTTCCCTCGAGCCATAGCTAACGCCTTCTATTTTACACTATCCTCAAGTCAGCGTTGATCGACGTTAATTCATTTTCCAAGCAAAGACATAATAGCAAGTCGTACGATGACCACCCATCGGTCAAAGGTATCAAGAAAACATATAATGAAACATGCATACTTGACACATCACAGTTTCGCACTCGCTTTTACCTCTTTCTCATACCCCTCAACCAACACCCGTCTCAGCACCTTCCCAGTTGGCAACTTCGGAATCTGCCCAAGGATAAGGACTCGGTCAACTCATTCCCTAAAATAAAACGAGGAATGAACTTACCGTCTCAACAATTCCAATGCCTCCTCTCAACCACTTATACCGACTCAGGCGCTCCTGCACCCACGCATTGAGTCGTGTCACAACCTCTTTCTCACCCAATGCTGTGCCCGCAGGGGATAACACGATCCACGCGCGGGGTATGCGTTCGTCCGAGGTACGCCCACCCGAAACACCCGCAACGCTCACATCGGTAATCAGCTTATCGGGCTGCGCCAGGATCGCGTTCTCGATTTCAACAGGAGACACTTGCATCCCTGAGATTTTGAGCGTGTCCTGTGAGGATGGGGATAAGTAAATCACAAAACGAGTTATGTTTATGGATGGTGCAGCTTGCCTTGGTGCGGTCTTCGAAACTGCGAACAAGACAGATCGACTCTAATATGAGTGGGCATATCGCACTTGTCTAACCAACTTACAAAAGTACCTCGTCCTCATCGATCCGTATTTGGTCGCCTGTGCGCACCCATCCATCGACAAACGTTTCCCGAGTGGCCTTGTCATTTCCCTTGTATCCCAGCGCCGCAGAGCCTCCGCGGACGAGAAGTTCGCCCGGCTCGTTTGGGCCCGCAAGAGACCCGTCGGGACGGACAACGCGGGCTTCGACACCGGAAACGAGAATTCCGGCAGAGCCAGGCTTGTTTTTGACACGTCCATTGAGCATGCCAGGGACAGGCTTCATGGCAATGGCCATTGTCTATCTCAGACAATGACGTCAGCGGGCTGGAAGGAGCAGATGGGTAGATCGCTTACGAATTCGGACATACCATAACCTGTGAATATCAACAGTAGTACCGGGGGTTGCACACGATACGTAGAGGACGCACCTTCAGAAACTCTTGGTATGTCTGGGAAACGGGCGCAAACCTGGTCGGAGAGCTGGGACGGGAGGTATGCGCCACCGCTTCCAATTGTCTTAACCGACTTCATATCAGTAGTTTTGAAGCGTGGATGGTGAACGAGCTGGTGCAGAAGGGAAGGGACGACGATTATGCTTGTGATGTGGTATCTACATTGCGACTCAAGATGAGTACCAGAAGTACTACAGAATACGCTGATTGCTCTTGGTATTCACTTACTTGGGGATGCTGTCAAAGAATATATCGATGTCCCATTTCGGGAGCATGACAATCGTGGAGGGACTGAGGAAGTTGAGGAAGCTGGTCGTGTAAAGGCCGATAGAGTGGTAGAGCGGAAGGACATTGGAGGTCACTTGTAGCCCATCAGGAGTGTTCCATACTGATGGCTAGTAGAAGAGTCAGCGAGACCAAGAAAGTAGAGTAGGAAGACATACAGCCTGAGTTTTAGCTATTTCCATACCGTTTACCATTGCTGAGAGGGTGGTAGTAGCGATATTTCCATGGGATGTCATGACGGCTGTACAATATAATCAGACGGTGCGTCTATGCTTCTGCGGTTCGGAACCGAGACCAGTGGTAAAAAGAGACGCATACCTTTAGGAGGACCACTAGTTCCACTAGAATAGATCAAGTAGGCCAGAGTGTCCTTGGTAGCATGACGGACTGGCACACGTGGAACACCGTTCTTTCGAGCAGAGGAGATGAGCTGATCGTAGCTTGTATACCCTTTATTCTCTCCTTCTAAGAGGTAAATCCGATCTGCTGGAAGACCCGAAGTCAAAGCGAGTCGCAGTAACGAGGGGCTTGCAAAGATCCTAGTCGCCTGCGCGAGAGAATTGGCGTGTTTGAGCTCGTATGGGGTTGAATAGGATGAGAATAGCGCAAACGGGACGGTGATAGCCAGTAGGGAATGTAGCAGGGCTACATAGTCCTGAAAAAATTACCTTATCAATTCAGTCTCGAATGAATAATGGGATACAACGTACTGGGCAGTTCTCGCTCAGTATGCCTACAAGATCTCCATTCTCTGGACGAAGGCCTAGGCCACCTTGCGACACATCAGCACCCAGTGCAGTAGCGCCATCACGGACACGCTCAACGAACTCCCTGAACGAACGCCGCTGGCCAGTGGCTATATTCACGAATAATGTGTAGTCTGGCCACTCCCGCTGATCAGGCCGGTTGAAGAGCAGGTGGTGAACATTGGATTCTGGGACCTTTGGCAGGTCTGGGAAGAGCGACTTGTAGTACATGCTTGACAACTGATGCCCGAGGCTTCACCAGTGATATTGACTGCGGTTGAGAATATTAAAAGTCCTGTGATTGACCCGGCTTTTTATACAATGGCATGATGTGCCGGACTTGTACGTTTGTGGTCAGAAGTTAACCGGTTTACGAGCGCTATCTGATCGAAATTGAATCTCGCCAGCAAATTTACTCAGGACGGACCATGAAAAACGTTGGCGCCAGGGTGGTCAGGTGAGATGGGGCAGGGTGGTCACCTCAATCAAAATTGGAGCCGACCAACCGGTGAGTCGAAGAAATCAATCACGTTCACCGGGATCGAGTCAAGCTCACATGGTCCGGAGTGGAAGTGCACATGATTACACTCGTAAGATTCGCTCGTATGTTTCTGGATGCGGTAGACTCGTCGCAATTAATCGGAGGTAAAATTTTGTTTTCGCAGGTTTAATCTGTGAGGCAATTTCAACGACCGTGACCGCGCATTGATACGGTCCGTGCACCGCTGTGCTTACGTGGATTCAAGCCCCTCTCTTGAAGTATATCTGGGCACCTGCGCACAGGTGAACTGCATCTTTTCTGCTTTACTGCCATGAAGCAGAAAAATATTTCACTATATTTGAACATGCTTAACTTGTTCCATCATTTCATTCAACTTTGTATGGATCCTAAATCATGACTCTCTCATACTCAGACTAGTAGTAACTCGTGGTCTCCTTCTAAACAACCTTTGGAAGAACGAAGCCCCTCTCCTCGCAAAAATACTTTCAATTCTGATTGTTTGAGCTTGGTAGGTGGTTACAGAAGAGGAACACTCACCAAGACAAATGCCATCTTTGAGATCTTTAAGCGAGCATCATATGTCAACAGAAGTGAGTTTGGAGGGTGATCAGTTGCCAAACTTGTCTGTCCTTATCACCAGATGCTTGACTCCTTTGAAAAGGAAGTTGTCCAAATTGGAGAGCAAGATCATGAGAACAAAGAAGAAGCTTCAAAAGATGGAAAGGAATTGCAAGGAGTCTATAATAGCACGGAGCTGTCCATCAACTCAGACTCCAAAGAAGTCTCTGAATCAGAGGTTGACAACTCCAACTCTGCTTCAGAGGCTGACAAACCATTGCGTAAAAAGCAGCAAAGATTTAAACTTGACCTCTCGAACCTCACAAACCCTTCTGTCATCAGAAGGTTGAAGAAGCTCCCTGTCTCATTATGAAAAACCAACTCTATCCTCATGAATTGGGCCCATGACCCCAAACAGGTCAAGCATAAGTGGCTTGAGTCTCCATTCATCCCAGAGTTCCCAGAGTCTGAGCTCTACAACATCATCTGAGGGAGAGTTGTCAACTTCGACATTATCTTTACTGGATGGTACTTGGACAAGGCAGAACATGATCATGAAGAAAAGCTCAGAAAACTCAAATTTAAGATCAGTGGAGAAGCTGAACCTGCAAAGTCCATGTGGAGTTCGCAGGACTGGAATGTTGCCTATTCACTATTCACTCACACAATGTGATTTGCTTTCCCACATCAACTTGATGAACTTGAAGACTATGGAAACTTCATCCACCAAAAGTTTGCCCAAAACATCAGCAAGTATCATTCCTGTGTCATCACCTTTGATAAGGCAGTCAGGAAATGCATCAGTTGAAGGAGAGACTTGCAACTATCTGATTTTGACCAATTTGTAGACCTCTATGAAGGTCATTTCTCCCTCTCTGGCTGCTGTGTCAATGATGAAGGGAGCTCAAGTGGTTCCAAGTGTCAATGAGGTGTTGATGTTACAGACTAGGATAGTTGTAACAACAGCAGCTCGATAAGAGTGATGGCTGAAGTTACAGTGGCTCAAAAAACTGTCCGCATGTTTTGACATTTTTCACTATCTATAATATTGTGTGAGAACGAACAAATGCCTCGAGGACATGCTTATACCACATTGTAGTATGGCTTCAGGGCTTTCATTTGAGCTCTACACCGTGGGAATCGGTGGAGATATGGTGGAGATACAAGGCTCACAAAATGGTGACTCATGCAGACAGTTTTTTGAGCACATAAAATTTCCATATGTCATGGTTATTTTTGGTTTGTATAGTTAGATATGGTTTTAAAATGACATAATGACACCACTTTATAATTTATTTAATGGTGGCATGATTGTTATGGTGTCATAAATGATGATTTATATAGTTTTAATATGTGCTCAAAAAACTGTCTGCATGAGTCATGATTTTGTAAGCCTTATGTCTCCACCATATCTCCACCGATTCCCACGGCATAGGGCTCAAATGAAAGCCCTGAAGCCATACTACAATGTGGTATAAGCATGTCCTTGAGGCATTTGTTTGTTCTCACACAATATCATAGATAGTGAAAAATGTCAAAACATGCGGACAGTTTTTTGAGCCACTGTATCACTGTCTGGTTGGCTTGGTGGTGGTGCGATTGTTCTGATGGAACATGGCACCCCTTTGCCAGTTACTGTCAAGTTGGATGGCAGCAGTGACATATTTGTCGAAGTCTGTTGGAATGGTTTCCATCTGGTAAATAGAATTACTGATTCCCTTCTTAAGCCCATCATTGAAGAATGCAATTAAGATGGTATCTTGCTTTACAGAGGCTTGTGTGGCCAGGGTTTTAAAGCTGGCAATGTAGGAAGTAAGATCACCTGTCTGTTTCAAAGTGCAGAGCTTGTTCATAGCTGTGCCTATGGCATCAGCTGGTACGAATGCTTCTTTGAACTTTGTTTCAAAGTTTGCAAAGGTTCCATAAGATTTGGTGATGGAGTTGTTGACTTTGGTGTAAAAGGTGAGTGCCCAACCCATGGCACTATCTTTGGTCATATATGCGAGGGCGGTAATGACTTTCTTTTTGTCTGTGTTGTAGATTGTAGAATTAAGGGCAAAATATGCCTTAATTGAAAACAACCATCATAAAGCCTGCTGAGGGCTCCCATCATAAGATGTTGGAGCTCTGGCTTTAAGTTCTGGGGCAGTCGTGGGTGCTGACATTCTGATCTTCTGGTCTAGTAATGTGTCTGGTTACAGGGGACATTTTGTCTCTCTCTGTCTGGTTCTGTTTTGCTGATGTTTGGGACCTCTTTGATACAGAGGGTCGATTGGGTTACTTTAATCTTTTGTTATGGACTAGGATAGTCATAACAACAGCAGCTCGATAAGAGTGATGGCTGAAGTTAAGTCAAGACCTTACAAAGGTAAGGGTCATAAGACAAGACAAAGAGAGTGTCTTCAGCTTGAATATCAATTCAGACGACTTAGGATTGGAGGTCCTAAGCGAAGGAATATTCAGGTGAAAACCTAGTAGATTAAAGTGAAGAACTACAGAGTACATCATTGGCTATATATAAGGTTTGTAAGTGCTTTAGGGCAGGCGTGGGACTGATGATGAGTCAGAGATAAGGAAGGATGCATAAGTGATAAGGGATGAGTCATCTAATGACGGCAATGGCAATCACAATGTAATACAAGAGTGAGTCAGAGATAAGTCTAGTGGCAGCATGTGTGGCTTGTGACATAATACAAGGTAAAGAAACAAAGGAGAAAAGAATAGGGGTGTACACTGGTTGTAACAGTTGACGTCTGCAAGAGATGGAACTACAAGACCTGTAGTTGATCAGACTCATCTTGCAACTACCAGCACATATGCACAAAGTGCAGCAGTTCAGACCACCCCAAAAAGAATTGCCCCTCTCGCTCCTCTTCAAACTAACATGAAACATCCTCAGTACTTATGAGGAATGGTGTGGTTCATAGATGAATCTTCCTTCAGCCCTACTGCTAAATCTTCTCTATATGCAACTCCTTTACCTCCACCCAGAGATTGTAAATTCATGGAGTCTTCTTTGGACTCTTTGAACACTCATCCTGATCTGTTCGCAATTGTCACCCCTATCAAAATCAGTGTCCTCCATGAGCTCCTGAAGGAGCATACAAATCGTCCCTTTGTCAAGTCTATTTTAGAGGGTCTGCATGAGGGGTTTTGGCCCTGTGCAGATACTACTATGGACGGTTACCCTGTAATGTGGGATAACTCTTATCGACCTCTCAAGAGCGAAGAGCATTGAGCTTTTGCTCAAGAGCAAGTTGATGAAGAAGTATGACTTGGCTGTTTCTCTCTACCTTTTGGTCCAAATTTACTTGCTGGAATGTACAGCACTCTGGTTCATGTCATTCCAAAACCTAACTCATCCAAACTGCGACTTGTAGTAGACCATAGCATGGGAGAATTTTTGCTAAACTCCATGATCAACCTTGATGACTCCTCAGGTGTCAAACTTGATGGTGTGCATTTGCTTGGTCTTAGTCTTCTGCAGTTTTGTCGGGAACATGGTAATGTCCCTCTTGTCATTTTCAAGTCAGATGTTTTGCAGGCATACCAATGCCTTCCAATGCATCCTCTGTGGCAACTGAAACAGGTGATTACAGTGGATGACAAGTGTTATGCTGACTGCTGCAACAATTTTGGAGGGAGAGGATCAGCACTCATTTGGGTCTCATTCATGTTGCTGGTAACCTGGATTGCGAGCATTGTTGTCATGATTGAACATCTCAAACTCTACATGGATGATTCTTTCTCTTTTGAGTTGGAAGGTAACATGCTCCTATATATGAGCCTTATGGAACCTATCTACTGTGAAAGCAAGATCTTTTGCTGCAGCTTTGGGACAAACTTGGGATTCCTCACAAACCTGGAAAGCAACTTTTTGGTCAGCATCTCACCATTATATGTTTTGATGTCAATCCAAACAGCATGATCATTTCAATCCCACAGGAAAAGAAATGGGAGATCATTACCTACATTTGCGCATTTGCAGTCCCACACCATTGCCATTCCTTACATGAATTCCAAGGTATCACAGGGACTGTCATATCCCATATGCCAGACATAGATCCAATCATATTCCCACGCTTTCCAGACCTATTTCCGGACCCCATATCCAACTCATTCCTGGATCCCCTATCCTGTCCACCCTACACACATTCCATCCAGCAAGACATCTGGACTTTACCTCCTCTTGGATTCCGGACTACATCCACCACCTCACATATCTCAGTCCTGTTTCCGCCCTGCCTTCCAGATCCCCAGATCTCCGGACCTCTGGATATTAACTGTTACTATCTCCAGACCTATTCCTGCCCTCTATCCGAGATCCTGCACCTATCCCCATTTAGGCATCTCTGCCTTTCTGGTTCTCAGTTATCTCTGTTTCCGTCTTGCTGATTGATCCTTGTACTAGTTTCATCTCTGAGTTCATTTACTTATGTTCCATCTTACTTACCAATGTGTTTCCGCATGCTCGTACATAGCCTTACTCCTTTGCTTACTGATCCTCTCAGATAGCCTCTAGTATATAACCCCTGTACAACTACAGTAGAGTCCTCAGTCTGAATATCACCTTAGATCTGCCCAATCATCTTCTGGACTTCAGTCCGTCTGAGTCTTGTCCTTTTCTGTAAGGCCTAGGGAAGGATTCCCTAGGCTGGAATTCTGGACCTTCGGATTTGTCCCCTATGTCTCTGTCCCAAGTCTAGGGATTGCTTCCCTAGGCTGGAGTCTTGCCTTTCCGGCACTTACCCTCTTTCTGGACTTAGGTCCACTTCCTGTCCCTCCGACTCTACCTTAGGGTAGTCTACCTCTGTTTGCTTCTACATTGGATGAAGTCCGATGTAGCCCCTATTCCTTCCGGACCTCCGGACCTCCTGTCCTCTGTACCTCTGGATGTCCTGTCCCTTGGATGTTCCGCCCTCCATACCTTCAGACATTCTGTCCTCCATACCTCCAGACCTCCTGTCCTCCATACTCTGGACCTCTGGACCTCCTATCCATCCATCCTGTTTTCCTGTAGAAGTATTACCTTGCAGCAGGAACTCTCCTGAGCATTTCCTGCATCCCTCTGGAACTCTCCCGTGCTCCTCTGGACATTTCCTGTGCTCCTCTGGAAGTCCTCTGGACTTCATCAGACCATCATTGGACTTCCTCTGACCATCATTGGACTTCCTCTGAAATGAAGGGCACATACTCGGGTAAGGGGCACAGTGTACGAGCTGAGGCCAAGCCCCTCTGAGTCAGTCTCTCTCTCCTTTGAGCATGGTTCTTAACAGGGACTATCAATTGGTTATTCAATATGTTCCCCCTCCTGAAGCCAGGTCTGTCTGCCATCTACGCAAAAATGTGTGACAAGACAAAGCCTCTAGTGCAAATTTATGTCAATGTTGAGGTGGTCCATGAATTGATGTGGTTAACTAACCACATGGAAAAACTGCCTGGCATCCTACTTCTGGACTCTCTCAATTGGAATCCAGAGACTGCAGATGATGTTGTCATTCTCCCATCCTCAGTCAATGTCTACCTTTCAGGAATCTGCAATAAACTCAAGGACAAGTTCCTGGAGATCCGAAAAGTTTGCAAATCTCATTTATTACAATGAACTCTTGCTGGCTGTAAGCATCGCTTCAGCCATCCAGTCAAAAGGAAACAACCACTCTCGTGTAATGACCTGCATACAGCCTTTCTATGTTATCATGAGTCCAAGGACCATGATGACATACTCTTCCTGGCTCAACTATACTTTGGTTTTGAAACACTGCAACACCTAGGAGAACTTGTTTGGCCTGACTTGGCTAAGCTGCAATCCTATGACCATGTACCCATACAACATACTGTATGTCTGGGTGAGGAATCAGTCTCTTACATTCTCCCTGTGTCAAAAACAGATAGATTTGGACAAGGGAGCAAGATCTTGGTAAAGTGGACAACTTATGAAGATGACTGCCTATGTATTTTAAAGAGATATCTGTGCTCACAGGATGCAATTTTCCCTCACTACCCTGAGCTATGGCTCCACCATAATGGTCATGTCCCTACATGCTCCTGGTTCTCAGCACATTTTCAACTAGTGTTCAGAAATCATGGCTTCAGTGGACACTCAATGAGAGCAGGAGGAGCAACTGCTCTCACACTAGATGGTGTTCCTCCACAACTCATTCAAGCAGTGGGAAGATGGTCATCAGAGGAGTTTCAAAAATACATTTGCATGCACCCCTTCATTCTACAAGCAATCATACATGATGCTGCAGCTTGACTACTCATTAAGCAACACAAAGGGAAGCACAACAACAATTTTCATCTATCCCATCTTGACACTTGTTCCACATGTCCTTCAATTCTTTCCAATAGTCCATTAGCAATCTATACTCAAATTTTTGTACTGTTAGCCCCAGTGAACCCAAGCTTTTCAGCTGGGACACTGGGCTTGACAAATACATTTGTTTCTTGGTGGACACTCTCAAGCTTTAGTGCTGAGAGTGTTGTGCTCCTCCTATTTTTTTTATTTTTATTTTATTCCAATTTGTGTCCTTTCAGAGCAGGCTCTATGTAGGACATTATGATCTAGTCTAATGGGCCCCTGGTGCCATATTTGCATCTCTGAATCCACAAATGCCCTGGTGTAAGGCATACCCCACCCGTCTGCCATTCCTGCTGGCCATTTTAGACATGCGATTCAATGAGGATGAGATGACTTTTAATAGTATGTGTGCGATAAGTATATATAGCTGTCAAGTGGAAAGTGTAACACATACTTGGCCTTTGCAGGCTAGTACAGGAATCGGTCTGAATACAGTGAATAAGTTTGGTAGGACCAAATATTGGCAATGGGTTCCTTCGGATTCGCTGATTTATTCCAGTGAGAAGCTTGATGATTCTGTGTAGATAAGTTGATGGGAGAGGGTTTGGGGAGAGGGAGGAGGTTCAGTGTTCTTGATGGTACAATGTTCTTGATGTTGTGGTTATCTACATGGGAAAGGGATGGGAGGTCATCTGTCTGGAGGCATGCAAGGGAGAGGAACTTCACCAAAGGTTGCTTTCAGTCTACCAGTAGCATTGACAAACTGAATGAGATGGGGAGTGGCATCTGCATCAGATAGCAGGAATGGGATAGAGGTGGCTTTGTGTCTGAGGGTCTGCATTATAAAGTGATGGGTGCACTGATATTGTGGGCAAATGGTGAGGAAATGATGAATGGTTTCCTTGATTCTTGGACAGTGCAGGCAGAATGAACTCTCCACTTTGCCAATGCGATGCAGGTATTTGTCGAGGGAGGTGTGGCCTGTGTGGAGTGCCATGTAAAGTCCAGTGAGCCATTTGGGGAAGTCTGTTGTGAGCTTGATAAAGGAGTGCTGCATTAGTTTGGGGTTGATTTGATGCATACAATTGTATCTTGGTGACTTGCACCAGTGGCATTCCCAACAGGACTGCGTTTCTTTGTGATGGACTTCCTTGAGCACCAAGATGCTCAGAGGAAGGACACTACGGTGAAGGTACTTTGGGAGCTTCTTGGGGGGGCTGCTGTGCTGTCTGCTCTCCACTGCTAACTTGGTGTGTTTGTCAACCTCTTCATTTCTGTGGATGCCTAAGTGGCCCAGAACCCATCTAATAGTCAGTGCAAAGTTTGTGTGGCATTTGGCCACATCCCATATCATCCTGTGAAAGCAATCTGCCAGATACAATCCCAGTGTGAGAAACACAACAAGAAGAGAACTGGAAAGTAGACTTCTAATGTTGGGCTAAATGTGCTATGCCTAGTTGCTATTCAACCCTAAAGGGTTTCTGGACTAAGCTTAGTGCTCAGAGAGGATAGGAAATCATGCTATAAACTCTTAGTCTCTGACTGGTACTGGTAAGTGGTGAAAACTATGATGATTACATAAGCACCAAAAGTGCGAACATAACACTAAGCAATATCTGCCTATACAAGCCCACAGAATATGAAATCCCTATACTGGTCTTGAATAAAAACTCTCACCTGCTTGTATTGATGCCTGGTAGCCATGCCCACCCATCCCTTATGTCTTGATCCATTGCTGTAGACCTGAATGGATTTGGTGAGTTGTTCATGTTCCGCTATGGCATCTTCCTTGGATCCAGTGATGTGCATTGACTATGGGTTGGAGGAGGAGGGCAGTTGTCTCGATGGTATAAAGGTCTTGATGTTGTCGTGGATGATGGCATATCAGCAGGTGAGTTTGTGTAGGGAAGTATAGTGTGCTGTGACATATTTGCTTGCTGCTCATCTCAAGGGGTCATGTAGGGGGTGGGTTTTGGGATGAGTGGTGAGGCATATGGCAGCCCTGTAACAGGCATTCTGGAGGAGTGTGGTAGGCAGGAGGTTGGTGTGTGCTTCAAGTATATCAGTGGCTGTGGTCTTCATAGTGCCTGTGATCATGAGAGCTGCAATCCATTGGACAGTTGAAAGGTGTTTTGCAACACCAATTGATCCCAATTGCAAATCATCTGTACCCTCATGGTGCACAGGAGAGAACCAAAGGTCAACAGCATAGAGCATTTTCGGGACTGCTACGGCTTGGTAGAGCTGATGCATCAGTTGTAATGGTATCCCTTTAGCAGTAGAGGAGAGATGGCATAGCTGGAATACATATGCGGTCCCACATGCAATGGCAGTGTCAATTTGAGCCTTCCAATGGAGTTCTTGGTCTAGCACTACCTCAAGGAACTGGTGAGTGGGGGTGGGGTGGATGGTGGATCCCTGAATATGCATGGTAGGTCTTTCTTTGAGGCAGTTCATCAAAAAGTCCATCAATGTGAACTTATTGGTCTTGAAGCAAGAGTTGTGGTCATTGGACCATGCATAGCCTCCTCCCAGTCATTCTAGCATGTCAGCTAATATGCTGTGAGTAGTGGCAAAGTCTTTGGTCACTGCTATGAAAGCTGTATCATCTACAAAGGCAAGGGTTAGTTCTGTTAGTGATTCTCAGCCTCTTTGAGGCCTAGCAATGTCAACGAGTCCTGAACTATAAATAATGTACAGAATCATGGACAATGGATCACCTTGCCCAATGCTATTAGTAATGGGGAACCAGTTGGAGGTGAATCTGTCAAACTTGAGTTGAGTGTGTCTATTGGAAAGAATGAGTTCAGTAAAGTGAATGATGTTACCTGGGATGTGGTGCATGTGCATATTATGAAGAAGGTGTTTCATAACTGTGTTGGGGAAGGTGCCCTCAATATCCAAGAACAGTGCTGATACTACCTTTTGAGATTGCCATGCATTTTTGACCATTTCCTCCAGTAAATGAAGTGAGTCAGTGGTGGACCTACCTGGGTGTCCTCCAAAATGAGTGTTGGGAAGCAGGCAATGATGTTCTAGGATATATGTTAGCTGTTCAGCAATGACAGTGGCCAGAAGTTTGCCAGTGGTGTTGAGGAGGGCAATGGGCTGAAAGGCCTTGGGTACTGAGTAATTGGGTTTGCCTGGCTTTTGAAGAACAACAGTGGTGAAGCAGCACCAGGGCTGGTAGTATACATGATGGGAAAAGACTGCATTAAAGAGGGGGGTTAGATATGGTATCAGGGTACTTGCATATTCCTTGAATACTATATTACATATGCCATCTGGGCCTGGGGCTTTGTATCTGCTGAGGTGGGTGATGGCATGGGCAATCTGGTCTGGGGTGATGGGAGGTGGTTGCTCAACAGGGTTGGGATATTCAGCATCTGGGGGAATGGTATCAACAACAGGGGGAGGAGGGAAAAGGGACTTAGCTATTATATGACTCTTGTCATCATTAGTAATTGCTTCAATAATAGTGCCGTCAGGAGTGGGCACTGTGAGAGTGGGAATGCAAGCCTTTCCCCCATCTCCTGGTTCTGAGGATATGTATTTGTTAGCTGTCCACAGATCATTACCTTCAATATCCTCAAGCCATTCAACCTAATGCTGTTTCTTGGTGACCTCAATTTTGTTTGTGTAGAGGTTCTTGATGGTCTTAAGTTCCTCATGGCACACATGTAAAGGTAGGCCTTGCATCTGGTATGATATCCTACTGAGCTCCATTACCCTGTCCCATAGTCCTGTTATGTGCCGATTCCACTGCTGTTTGGAATGAGAACATAGCTTCAAGTAGGGAACACATTTGTCAATGGTTGTCATTATGGACTGGGTGAGGTGCCAGGCTGCTTCTTGAAATTCCTCACCAGATGCCAAGGGCTGAGCTGGGTGGGTAGAGATGAGGTTGGCAAGTTAGTTGTTGAAGGCTTCCCATTCAACTTCCCACCAGTTCTGATGAGGTGTCAAGTCAGTTTGGAGTGTCTCTAGATCTAGAATGGTCAGCATTGGGACATGGTCAGTTTTGGGTCCATGGAGGGAGGGATTAGTGTCGCAGGAGATGATAGCATCATGTAGATGTTCTGTGCCAAATATGTTGTCGGGACGAGTCCAATTGCCAGAGCTGGTAGATTGAAGGGTTGGAATACCATATGGAAGCAACTGTAGCATGCTATGGTCAGCAATCAGGTCAATTAGTGGGTGAGCAGCAGCATAGTTAAATAGGTGTCTATTACATATGTCCTCCCATAGAGGGTGGTGCTGGTTGAAATCTCCCAGCCACATCATATGGTCTGTGGTGGTGGGTCTAATAATGTTCATGTTAGAGTCTAAAAAGGTGTCAAGGGTGGTTAGCATGGCAGGAGAGTTGCAATCATTGTAGATGTTGAAAATAGTACAGTGTCATATCCACATATCCGGATCTCAGATCTGATCCTTATCTCATCTCAGATCTGATCCACATCTTATCTCCAATCCTATCCACATCTTATCTCCCTCCAACATCTTGTCATCCAATCTGTCCAACCTGTCCAGTCCAGTCCACAATTCATCCAAATCCACAACCAGCACTTGTCTCCTTTTGGTAATCCCCTAACTCCAGTATTTTGGCTATCTGTATATCCATCCTGCTCCCTGATCCATTACCTATGCTTCATTTCCATTTCATGATTTGTGATCTGTTTCTACTTATCAATAGACTATCCATATGCTTCGTACATAGCCTCAGACTCTGCTGATTGATCATTCCATTAGATACCTAAATATATAACCTCCTGTAACTCTCTGTAGCACCTCAGTTTGAATATCAACTTAGTTCTGCTCATTCCCATCCTCTGGACCTGAGTATCTCTACTCTCATCACCCTCTGAGACTTAGGATTGATTCCTATAGTCTATCTGCATCTGCCTCTGTCTATGACAGCCACTACTGCTAGTTTCTAGTCTGGACTCGTCCAGATTAGCCCTACAATACTTATCCCACATCTGGAAGTTGTCCGGATCCGCTATACTACCCATCTGACCCTCCAGACACATTAGCCTTGCCTTCCTGAAATAAGGGGCAATACTCGAGTAAGGGGCACAGTGCACAAGCTGAGGCCAAAGCCCTTTGGATCCAGTTATCCCTTGAGTATGACCTTAACATACAGTTACTGTATGGACCTGATAATTGGATGACTACAACATCCAAGGATGGGAAAGAGATCTGTTTCCAGGAGTTAGTATCTAGGGATGCACTGATTAGGGTGATGGTGTGACAATCATACCGGTGCTAGGTGCGTATGATCAATAGCATGGTTCTTCTCACCTTCAGGAAAGGAGATAAAGCACAGATCATTAAATCCATATATATCGACCCATCCACTCTTACTCTGGTCCAGTCCTAGGAATCCACCCTTCCATGTCCTATCCATGTCCACCTATCTCCACTGGTGCATTAATTTCCCAAATATCATTGCTAAACAAGCTACAGGTCTTATTACACATCTACTCACATTCCACAGCACATGATGTCTTATTACCTATAGACTCATTGCACACTTGCTAACTACACTACAATTCTCACCTATGCATTCCAGACATTCACACACTATGATATAAATGACTGCAGTACATATGATTGAGTAGTTCCCTGCCCCCCTGGACTCAGCTCTATAGGAGAGTTGTTCTCACATTAATTTTGTAGACCTTGCACAATCCATCTATTTTGCTCTTTCTTGGCAATCCTGGGCATTTCGACCGCTCTGAAGTTCTGTACCACTAGGATCTTACCCTTAAGCTCTTGCAAGAATACCCAACCTGTGACTGGTAGTTTAGCACAGTTCTTCATTCAAGCTATATCCCTTGCAACCGGCTGCTCCATAGAGTGCAGTCAATTTTGTGCACATTACATCTGCTGCACCGGCATCTGACATCCAATACACTCACTCATATCTTCCAACAGTTCATCCCACTCTTGTGATACTAACATTGGTCAATTTTGCCTGCACTCACGGTCAATTCTTTGGCATAGAAATTCAAAGGTATACATATGGTCCATGCTCAAGTTTCTTAGGCTGACATAAGTTATAACTCCTTCACTCACTTACTTCCCTCACATATAATTGAAGAAAGTGCTTCAATAGCAGTCCTCTTGGGCCAATCAATTAACTCATGCCTCTTAGGATAAGTAGTGCTAGTTGCTAACTGCCTAGTACCAATTTCTTCTTCACAACGGCTCAAGTTTTGCTCTGAGGTTGAGTGTAATGTAGGGTCAGATAGAGGACATGCCAGTGATGATTCACACTGGTGTTGTGCAGGAAGTTGATATGGGGTTCTTGGATAGTGATTATGTCCCAGTTAGCAACAATGCAGTTATTGAGGAGTGAGGCTTGTGCCATGAGAGAGGTGTTGAGGTTTTGCTGCCAGATGCAGAGTCTTATGGAGTTGTTGTTGTCATCAGTTTGTTCACTCATGAGCAGTGGTGAAGGAGGGTGAAGCAGGACTGTCGAGGGCATTAGAAGACCTGGATGGGCCAGGGGGGGTGGAGGGTTTGAAGTCACCAAAGCCCATAGGAGGGTAGAGCTCCCTAAGTAGGTCCACTGATTGCTTGTGGAAGTCAAGAGGAGAGGGAGGAGGGTTGGAGCCCATGCTAGGGCTGGGTTGTCTTGAGGTGGAGGAAGTTCGGGCTTGAGGAGGCTCCAATTGGTTTGGGAAGGCTATAGTAGTTTGGCAGAGGTTGGCATTAACAAGTCTTGGGGAATGTGCTGGGGATGGTGATAAGGAGGGAGGATGGGCAGGCATTGGGGCTTTGGGAGGCATGGGAGGTTGGATGGCATGGGTCCAGGCAGACTCAGTAGGGAAGTAAGGCATTCTATTTTCTGGGTATTTTTCATCCAGGAGTTCACATCTGCAAATGAACTCCAGACACTTCCTACTCCAGCTTGTGTGAGTAGAACTCTTGCAGTTCACACAACAGGTGGTGCAATATGCAGTACATTGGGTGGTGTGGTGTTTGCTACTGCAGGTGCTGCAGGTGTCGAGTGACATAGTACAGTTGCATGCAATGTGACTGTACTGCTGACATTTTGCACAGTGTATTGGCTCCTTCCTGTCTTTGCAGACTGCAAAGCACTCGCTGTCAATGCAGAGTCCATCTCAGAGGATGTCATTTGTGGTTGGGGCCATGAATACCTGGAGCAACGCAAAGGCCTTGCATTGTTCATGGGTGCGATGTAAGGGAGGCTTGATCCATCTGATGGAGGACAGGGTATTGGAGGGTAGTTGATTCTCTAGTTCAATCTTGCATAAGAACTCATCCTGTTCAATCTGCATTTGAATGGGTAAGTATTCTATGACAATTGAGTAGGTGTGGTTGTGGAACAATATGGTGGAGTCAAATTACCCTTCCAGGAGTGTTTTTCCAGCAGTGCTTCCTAACCAGGACGCTAGGCATTTGAACTCTAATTCAACAACAATTCCACCATTATGGAGGGAGGTCACTGATCTGATGTCTCCTGGAGGTGTGGCATTGGTATGGATGGTAGTGAGGGCTGCCTTCAGCTTCTTTGCAATGTTGGGGTTGGGGGTATTTGGTGGGAATAGTGTGTTGCTGGCCTGGGGTTCCAGCAGGATCTCTCATGACTGTATGGCTGCACATCCAACTGCTTTGTTGACCAAGGGTGGGAGGTGCGAGGTGATGATTGAGCTGTATGTAGGTTGGGAGGAGGTCTGGGGAGTGATTTGCTGCAGGGTGGTCAGTAGTTGAGTTGAGAGCTGGTTAATGCAGTCTTGAGTGGAGTCTAGGGATGGGGTCAGTGTCTTCAGGGATTTCTGATACTCTTCTACTGATAAATGTAGCTCGTTCACTGCCTCTTCTATTCTGTCAGCTGCTACTTTTGCATTGTCTTCCCATTCTTCACACTTGGCCTTGAGCATTCTGTGCATGCACTCAGCCATCTCTATCATGGGGGTTAGGGTCTCGCTAATTTGTTTGATTGAGTTGGTGAGGTGTTCAGAGGTGGCCTGCATGTCCATGACTTGCAGTGTGAGGGCTTCCTTCAATTGAGCTGTCAGTTGCAGGACTATGGTGGTCACAAGTTGTTTGGCAGCAGTGTTCACTATTTCACACACTGTGTGTTTTTTCAGGATGAAGGCTACTGCATGGATCACTATAATGACTGGGAGTGGGGTGCCTGTGGACATCTGAGTGATGTGAAAGAGGATAGATGTGAGGTGGGACAGGGTAAAGGACTGGTCTCTGTGACAGAGCAGCTTGGAGGTAAGGAATGCTTCTGTGCTCATCGCATCCATCACTGAGTTCAACATAGCTTTGATATCCTCAGTAGCAGTAGGGTTCTGGGTGGTATGGCAGGTGTTAGGACCAACACTCAGCATCAGGGGGCATAGATTGGGTGGACCATTCCCTGGTCCAATGCCCTGCTTTGCTTGGGGCATGTCAGTATGTATAGGCAATGGAGCATGTATCTAATAGATGTTTTTTGAGGTTTTTAGTGATTTTCTGAGTAAAAGGAGAAAGGTTGTTGGCACTGTTGGGTGGCTTTAGTGCTGTTGAGCACGATGATCTCAAAGGGTTTTTGGGGTCTTAGTCAGGGTGCCACTTGGTATGTGACCAAGAAGTGATTGCCTTCATGTTGTTTGCTGATGACGCGAAGTAAAAGTTTTTCCTCCTATCTTGTTTTCTCAATGCAAGACTTGCAAAGTCAAATGAGGAACTGATTAATCAGAGGTAAAATTTTGTTTTTGCAGGTTTAATCTGTGAGGCAATTTCAATGACTGTGACTGTGCATTGACACGGTCCATGCACTGCTGTGCTTACATGGATTCAAGCCCCTCTCTTGAAGTATATCTGGGCACCTGTGCACAGGTGAACCGCATCTTTCTGCTTTACCACTGTGAAGCAGAAAAATATTTCACTACCCACTGCATATCCCACTCCCTGATTGATGTATATAGCGATCTATACTCAAATTTTTGTACTTTTAGCCCTGGCAAACCCGAGCTTTTCAGCTGGGACACCAGGCTTGACAAATACATCTGTTTCTCAGCAGACACTCTCGAGCTTTAGTGCTGAGAGTGTTGTGCTCCTCCCATCTTGTTTTCTTGATGCAAGACTTGCAAAGTCAAATGAGGAACTGATTAAAAGTACTTACTTGCACTAGTACTCGAAGAGCTAAAAGGTTTTATTTGAAATTTGAAATTCCCACCGCATTTTCACAATCTTGCCTTTGCCTTTGCCTTCACCTTCCCATCCCTTGCATACTCATCCACAAGCACCCACTTCAACACTTTTCTGGTTGGCGACTTTGGAATCTACCAAAGCATTCAGTCAGCTCAAGAAAGAAGGCAAGAAGGCGAAAACGCGCCCACCATCTCCACACACACAATTCCCCCCCTCAACCACTTATACCGACTTAGCTGTGTCTGCACCCATGCATCAAATCACACCATGACCTCTTTCTTACCAAGCGCCATGCCTGCTGGGGAAAACACGATCCATGCTCATGGGATGCATTCATCTGAGGTATGCCCACCCGAAACGCCCACAACACTCACATCAGTGATGAGCTTGTCGGGCTGCGCTAGAAGCGTGTTCTCGATTTCAACAGGGGAAACTTGCATCCCCAAAATTTTGAGTGTGTCCTGTGATGGCTCAGCGAGCACCAATGAGTGATATGTAGATGGCACAAGCTTGCCTTAGTGCGGTCCTCAAAGCTACAAAAGGGTATATCAGCATCATGCAGTGATTAGCATGTCGTTCGTCTCACAAAAGTACTCCATCCTCATCAATCCGCATCTGGTCACCCATATGCAGCCACCCATTGATGAATATCTCCTGTGTTGCCTTGATATTTGCCTTGTATCCCAGCATCGCGGTGCCTCCATGTACATGGAGTTCACCTGCCTCATTTGGACCCACAAGAGATCCATTGGGATGGAGAATGTGAGCTGTGACACTGGAGACCAGAATTCTGGCTGAGCCAGGTTTGTTCTTGGCCCATCCATCGAGCATGCCAGGCAAGGGGTTCATGGTCACCACTGTCTACCACCGGGTAGTGGGGTTGGGGTTATAATGAGTAATGGGTGCTCACCTGCAAATTCGGACAAACCATAACCTGTAAAAGTGGGTAGTCGTACAATAATCCACAAACAAGACAGGAGTAGGAAATGCACCTGAGGTAATTCTTTCCATGCTTGGGAAACAGGCACAAAGCTGGGCAGCAAGTTCAGGTGGGAGGTGTGCAGCACTGTTGCCTATGCCCCTAATTGAGCTCAAATCAGCAGTTTCAAAGTGGGGATGGTAAACCACCTGGTGTACTAGTGATGAGATGAGGCTTATCATCGTGATACGGTATCTAATTGCAACCCAATCATAAATATCAGTAGCACAGCATATGAACTGCACTTACTTCAGGATACTATCGAAAAATAAGTCAATATCCTATTTTGGTAGCATGACTATTGTAGAGCATTTGATGAAGTTTAAAAAACTGGTCATGTACAGGCCATACAAGTGGTAGACAGGAAGGACAGAGAAGTAGACTTGAAGCCCATCAGGGGTGTCCCATACAGGTGGCTGGCAAAGGGTCGGGATAGCAAGAAAGTAATGTCAGATGAATGCATACCTCTTGGATTTTATCTATTTTCATGGAGTGTACCATCACTCCTAGGGTGGCATGGATGATATTTCCATGGGATACCATGATGGCTGTAAGATGAAGTCAGAAATGCTACATATGGTGTGCCCATGCTTCTGTGATAAAAACTGCAAAAGAGATACATGCCTTTGGGCGGACCACTTGTCCCACTGGAAAAGACCAGGTAGGCCAAAGTATCCTTAGTAGCATGATGGACTGGCAGCCATGGAATGCTATTCTTGTGAGTAGAGGAGACAAGTTGATTGTAGCTTGTGTAACCATTATGTTCTCCTTCTAAGATGTAGATCCGATCTTCAGAAAGACCTGAGGTTAAGGCAAGTGGTAGCAATGAGGGACTGGCAAAAATTCTAGTCACTTGCACAAGCGAATTGACAAACTTGAACTTGTAAGGTGTAGAGTACGATGAGAACTAGGGTACGGGTGAAAACCCATTTTTTATTAGCAGTGTTAATAACAACATGTTAATAACTTGTTAATAACAGTTAATAACATGGGTGCCGCATGGGAGGGGTTAATAAAGTGCTAATAAGTCAAGTGACCCCTGCACACGAGGGTCCAGCCTTTGTGCCTTCCCCTTGATCATCGATGATCATCAACTGGACTCTCAGCACTGTGCAAATCATGCAAAGAAGACAGCAAGAACAACTGCAAAGTATTACAATGGCATTTTTCCAACTTTCTCTAAGCTCTTTGAATCACTTGTCTGTCAGACACTAGCAGTTATGGTTGAAAACAACAACTTGGACTCACTTTTTGCCATTCCAGACCGCATGCGGTCTATTATTTTTCCAGACAAAAATATGTCTGTGTCATCTCTTTTACTGTTTTGACTTCCATCCCCCACTGTGACAGAACCCTCATCTTTACATCAGTATTTCAGTAACGATGACCCACACCACGAAAACTCATATCCCTATGACCTTCGCACGCACACTACACCTACTCCTGAGGTTTTACAGCACCTCCTGGATCATGCACCACATGCAAAATCTGCTGGTAGCAGATCTGTACTCTACAGTCACACTGACACAGAACAACACTTTCCTTTCTGGATTCTGACATTTTGGCTTGAAGTCTGACCAGGCTCTAGCAAATGACAGCCACAGCAGTGATGGACCTAGTGACCTGGAGGATGCAGACGCCAAGTGGACCGACTGGTAGAGAACTCAGTGAAAATTTTGAATTTTTGGTCACATGATTGTTAAAAACTTGTTAATAACTTGCTTGTTATAATTCCCTGTGAGCGACATGCTAATTAACCGTGTTAATAACTGCTCAAAGAGTTTTCACCCATACCCTAATGAGAACAGCGCAAATGGAACTGTGATAACTAGCAGCAAATGCACTAAAGCGATATATTCCTGACAAATTGAGCTTATTCACTTTAAAAGCTCAGTGCAAGAAAATGTAACATACTGGGCAATTCTTGCTCAGAATACCTACAAGCTCCCCATTCTCAGGGTGAAGACTAGGCCACCCTGCGACACATCAGCACCCAGTGCAGTAGCGCCATCGTGGACACACTCGACAAACTCCCTGAACGAACGCCACTGGTCAGTAGCCACATTCGCGAATAAAGTGTAATCTGACCAGTTCTGCTGGTCAGGCCTGTCAAAGAGAAGGTAGTGGATGTTTGATTCAGGGACCTTTGGCAGGTCAGGGAAGAGTGACTTGTAGTACATACTTGACCACTGATATGGCACGAGGCTTCAGCACTGCTACGGCTGACTTCTGAGGATATGAAAATGACTTGTGATTGGCCTAGCCATTTATACGGTAATAGATGGAACTGAACTCGTTAGCCATGTGCCAGTGCGTTGTGCGATGGCCGCATCACACCGGTATTCTAGCAGTGATCGAGACTTTTGACTTACATAATGACAAACCTTGCGTTATTCGATTCCATGGCTAGTCAGTTACATACACGCGCAAGTTTACTTATAGTCACGATAAATTGAAAAGGGATAAATCAGCTTCATGTGGTGATGGGCAAACCACCGTCGTTAGGTTAACTCAAAGTCACCCATGCGCACCCACCTGTCAACGAAAGTCTGCCGCGTCGCTTTGTCGTTTTCCCTGTATCGAGGCTTGGCTAGGCTTAGATCGTGTATAGACTCGTCACAATTTCGCCTGAGCTTTCATGTCCCTTTCATACTCCTCCACCAACATCCGCCTCAGCACTTTCCCAGTTGGCGATTTCGGAATCTACTCAAAACACAATCAATCCACCCCAACACAAACAAATAACACTTACCATCTCTACACGCCCAATTCCTCCCCTCAACCACTTATATCGACTTAAGCGCTCCTGCACCCATGAATCAAGCCGTGCCACGACCACTTTCTCACCAAGCGCTGCGCCTGTCGGAGATAGCACGATCCATGCACGCGGTACGCGCTCGTCCGAGGTGCGCCCACCCGAAACGCCAGCGACACTCACATCAGTAATCAGCTTGTCGGGCTGCGCCAGGATTGTGTTCTCGATTTCGACGGGGGAGACTTGCATCCCCGAGATTTTAAGCGTGTCCTGTGACAGGTTAGTGCAGTACTAACTAGTAATGGTAGATGGTAAGCTTGCCTTGGCACGGTCCTCGAAGCTATAAATGGAAAAGTAGATCAGCATTGTAGTATATCGTCAACGTTGAATTAACTCACAAAAGCACTCCGTCGGCATCGATCCGCATGTGGTCGCCCGTGCGCACCCACCCGTCGACGAAAGTCTCCCGTGTCGCCTTGTCATTTTCTCTGTATCCCAGCGCTGCGGCACCCCCGCGCACAAGTAGTTCGCCTGCCTCGTTCGGGCTTGCGAGGGACCCGTCGGGACGGATAATACGAGCCTCGACACCGGGGAGGAGGATTCCGACAGAACCAGGCTTGTTCTTGGCACGTCCGTTCAGCATGCCAGGGATAGGTTTCAAGGAGACGGTGACCGTCTACTCCAGGCAGTGAGGTCTATGAGGTTGTAGTGGGAAAGGTTACTCACGAATTCGGACAAACCGTAGCCTGAGAAAGTAAATGCTAGTGTCATAATCCGTATGCAAGAAGGGAAGAACGCACCTTCGGTAACTAAGTCCATATCCGGGAAGCGGGCGCAAAGCTCGTCGGCAAGCTGGGGCGGGAGGTGTGCGGCACCACTGCCTATGCTTCGAACCGAGCTCATATTAGTAGTTTTGAAGCGGGGATGATGAACTAGCTGGTGGACAAGTGATGGAACGAGGATTATTGTCGTAATGCGATATCTAGTCGCGATCCAAACACGAATATCAGTAGCACATCATATTAACTACTCGATATCCACTCACTTCGGAACACTGTCGAAAAATAAATCGATATTCCACTTCGGTAACACGACTATCGTAGAGGGTTGTATGAAGTTGAAAAAACTGGTCATGAACAGCGAAAAAGAGTGGTAAACTGGAAGGACATTGAAGTGTACTGGAATCCCATCAGGAGTGTCCCATGCTGGTGGCTGGCAAAGGGTTTGGGCAGACCAAGAAAGTAGCGTTGGATACATACCTTGAGGATTTTAGGTATTTCCAAACTATATACCATCAGCCCTAGAGTAATGTGGGTGATATTTCCATGGGATATCATGATGGCTGTATGATTAAGTCAGAAATGCTGCGTAGTCGATGTGTACATGTTTCGGCAATAAAAACAAGAAAAGAGATACGCGCCTTTAGGAGGACCACTTGTCCCACTGGAAAACACCAGGTATGCTAGAGTGTTCTTATCTGCTTGATGAACTGGCAGCCGTGGAACACCACTCTTGCGAGCTGAAGACACGAGGTGATCGTAGTTTGTGTAACATGTGTCCTCTCCTTCTAGAAGGTAGATCCGGTCTGCTGGGAGACCCGCAGTCAAAGCGAGTGGCAGTAACGAGGGACTAACAAAAATCCTAGTCACCCGCGCAAGCGAATTGGCATATTTGAACTCGTGTGGTGTTGAGTAGGATGAGAACAGTACAAATGGGACTGTGATAACTAGTAGTGAATGTATCAGCGCGATATAGTCCTGAAAATAAATGACCTTATTCACTTCACAAGCTCAACAGGAAGATGGGAATGCAGCGCACCGGGCAGTTGTCGCTCAATATGCCTACAAGCTCCCCGTTCTCTGGACGAAGACCTAGGCCACCCTGCGCCACGTCAGCACCCAGTGCAGTAGCGCCATCGCGGACACGCTCAACAAACTGTTTGAATGAACGCCGCTGCCCAGTAGCTACGTTTACGAACAGTGTGTAGTCTGGCCACTCCTGCTGGTCAGGCCGGTTGAGGATCAAGTTGTGGACATTCGATTCGGGCACCTCTGGCAGGTCGGGGAAGAGAGATCTGTAGTACATGCTTGACTGAGTTGAACAGCCTCAAACCTTCAGCTGAGGGATACAAAACTGGGTGTCTGGTACTCATATGAGGCCGATGAAATGAAGCCAGCATCCATCGTGATTCGTGGCGTTTGTGGTGAGAACATAACTAGTTTACGTACAAGCGCCAACCATATATGACATTCAATGTTATTATTAGCTCTGGAGCACTCGCCAGCGAATCAATACTAGATGAGTTACGCAGTGACTCAGGCCAGTGAAATATCAGATTCACGCGTGCACCCGCATCCCCGTTAAACCAAGGTACTATTTAATGATGCGATCTACGCAACAGGGAACCGAACGCGTTATAGGGTATATAATCCATGTCAAAGTTCCGTTAAACATTGTATAGTGATGGAATAAGTGTTAATTGCCTAAAGTTTGGCCTTAACTGCCTTCTGCTCGTGCTCATATTTCTCTACCAGCTGTCTCCTTAATACCTTTCCTGTGGGTGATTTTGGGATCTAACGGTCTCTGCATGAACACATGAACGCCTTTGAAATAAAACTGACAACGCACCATATCGACCACCTCAATACCTCCGCGGAGCCATTTATATTTACTCAACGACTCGCGCACCCATACGTGGAGCTTTGCTATTGTTGCAGCAGCTCCCAATTTGTGACCCTCAGGAGACAGCACGACCCACGCCCGGGGTATCCGCTCGTCAAGGGTGCGTCCACCACTCACACCCGCAACTGATGCGTCAATAATGAGTTTATCTGGGTGCACCAAGAGCGTGTTCTCGATCTCTACAGGAGAGACTTGCAATCCCGAGACCTTGAGTGTATCCTATGACCATGTCAGGTGGGTGAATGAGGGCGGTTTCTTTCCTCAGTAGTTCGTACCTTTGCTCTATCCTCGAAGCTGCGCTGCAATCAGAAGGGTTTGCATCAGTGTTTCAAGACACTCACAACAACACGCCGTCTTCATCAATTCGTATCCTATCACCGGTCCGAAGCCATCCATCGACGAACGTTTCATTGGTTGCTTTCGGATTATTACGGTATCCAAGCGCAACACATCCCGATCGAACGTGTAGCTCTCCCGGTTCGTTCACTCCGGCCAGTGTTCCGTCCTCACGCACTACCTTAACCTCAACGCCAGGAAGCAGGACGCCTGTGGAGCCTGGCTTGTTTTTTGCCCGCCCGTTAAGTACGCCGGGAATGGGTTTGTTAGCAATAGATATTGTCTGACCAGTGAAGAACCGAGCGTCATTGCGACAGAAACGATTCGTCGGGCGATAAAACTCACGCTTTCAGACATCCCATAGCCTACGAGAGATTAGCAAAGTGTAAAGTCAAAAGGAAATTTGCAGCCCACCTTCACCTATCCGCTCAAGGCCCGTAAAACGAGAAAGCAGTGCTTCCGAAAGCGACACAGGCAAATAGGCAGCTCCGCAATGCACAACTTGGACGGTGCTAAAGTCGGCGGCCTCGAACTCAGGACGATGTACGAGCTGATGGACCAAAGAAGGAACAAGGTATAAAGTGGTGGCGCGATACCTGAAACGAATAAGCTATCATGTAGATGTGCGTTGAGGAATCTGCACACTTAGGAATGGCGTTGAGGAAGGTATTGACGTCCCATTTCGGGAGTAAGACAACGGTGAGTGGCGAAAAGAACACCCGAAAACATGATATATGCAAACCATACGTATGGTGTATCGGAAGAACGTTAAATAGCACCTGCATGCCGTCGGGACCATTCCAAACGGGTGGCTAGGTCGCCATGTAAGCGTATTTCTGCACAAGAGGAAACGAATAAGTACTTTCTGGAACTTGTTCACCTCTTCTGTTACAACCTTAACCTGAAGGAGTGAATTCGTTAGGTTTCCATGGGATATCATAACCGCTGTTGAAAGGAGCAATGATCAGGGTGGATTTCCAATATAGTTAGATACAAAAACCAATGCGGCACACATACCTTTGGGAAGACCACTTGTTCCGCTCGAGAAAACCAGATATGCCAAAGTGTTTCGCGTGGCATGCTGTACAGGCAAGCGCGGTATTCTATTTCGTCGAGCGCGGTTGACAAGGTCTTCATAACTCAAGCGGCCTTCGATGTGACCTTCCAGCAGGTAGACCCGGTCCTCTGGGAGACCTGAGGTCAAAGCAAGGGGTAGTAATGAGGGGCTGACAAAGATCCGGGTCGCCTGCGACAGTGACACAGCATGTTTGAATTCGAAGGGAGTCGAGTACCCAGAAATCATAGCGAAAGGCACTGCAATCGCCAACAGAGAGTGCAATAATGCAATATAGTCCTGGATCTGTGCATATAGATTGATAATACATTGCTAACTGATATAGAAGCATACCAGGGAGTTTTCGCTTAGGATCCCGACGATCTCACCCTTCTCAAGGGAGATACCGAGACCACCTTGCTCGATGTCAGCTCCGAGAGCGGTGGCCCCATCGCGCACACGCTCAACGAATTGACGGAAAGACCACCGTTTACCAGTGGTCGCATTCACGTATAACGTATAATCTGGCCAGGCCTGCTGGTCTGGCCGATCAAAGAGCAGGTGGTGGACATTAGCCTCTGGCACGACAGGGAGGTCGGGGAACATGGACTTGTGGTACATCCTGCCAAGTCGTTTGGGTGGATAGGGAGAGGCCAATAAGTGTGTATTCGAAAACGATCCACCTTATGAAAACTTTTCTGTTGCTTTTTATCAGCGGCTCAACTAGAGTGAGTCTGAGTCGTTCGGAATGGCTATTGCCATAGCCGGGGGCCTGGGAAGGTTGCTGGGAAGGTTTATTACGGTTTGCTTACACTAGTACTCAGGTTGTGTTGACTGACCTCTCGGCAAGTTGGAATCCTGGATCTAACGGAAGTACGTAGTACCATGATTTGCCATGCTCTCTTCTTGGATGTGTTGACATCCAGAAGCAATCATCCACATGTCCCAATGGGAGTTCTTGTGGGTGGCCTGAAGACACCGATCAGCACATGAATGGATATGTCAGTTCACGGTGTGGTGCCAGTGAGTAAGAACCGGGTACACTATCTTTTTTTAGCCGGTTTCTGTTAGCTCCTTGTAGGGGCCATTCAAAACACTCCCGTTCTTTGGGAAGTCCAGACTCTTTCTACGGCAATGATACTCCCTGAGAAGGCCCTGCAAATCATTCAGTTGGTATTCACCGCCGCTGAAAGTCATTAGTACTGCATCATTGGGTCGCATCACAGAGTAGATATTCCGCGGGGCTGTCGCTTCTCTTATCGTTGGCAACCGCCACGGTGGCCGCTGGGGATCGACGGCTGAAATGTGCTGTGTCATGCTTCCACTACAAGATAGTACTCGATATCAGCCGTTTGGCGTAATAGCGTCCCAGACTTCCAGCGCTCCGCCAGTTGTGTGAGTGGTGCATGGCATCAGAATTCATCATCGAAACTTCGCAGGTTCTAGTGGTGTGTCATTTCTCTGGATCGTTTTTATGTCGATTGTAATCATGAAATTCGAATCCTTCGATGTATCCCGGTTAGGTTGTCTCCAGACATCTCGTGATTGACGCTAGGTGATATCATTGCGAAGGGAGAAAAATTTGTCTGCCTGCACTGCCTGTCGGCCGTTTTGACACCGCATGCTCCTCATCCGGGCCCGTCCTCCTGCTCAAGTTGGTCAGTCACATTGTTCTTCACTTCTTAGATGCGTTCGCTTATCAATACTTGGGTCGTGAATAGATATATATACACTGCCGGGCGCCAAAGATAACACCTAAGCAAAGAGCATAGAGTGACGTGTCGGAATGTGGGTCCGCTAGGATGTTCCGACCATCCGTACCCGTTTGCGTCATCGAGGAGAAACTGTCAGCTTGAACTGGCTTTTAGTCGGTTATAGCATGAACCGGTGCTTGTCACGTTCAACAAGCCCCAAGACTACCAAGTTGATGATATCAATGAATCCTCACCCACGCCTGATAACGTTTGCCACAACATATATAGGGATCGGCCCCCGGAGATCTCCCAGTTCTTCCTGCAGGTCAAACGATGCAAAAACTCAGTTTAGGTGTTCGAACCAATTCATGGACGTGACGAGTTGCTCACGGACACGCCAGTCAAGTCTAATGTACTGGTGACGGGTATTCGAGTCACCGTCAAAGTGAGTCCTAGAGTGTCAACACCATTCCAATAAGAATGGATCCAAATTGAAACAACTGTTCTTATTTGGGTAGCGGCGGGCAGTATGCATTCCCTTTCAATTGAGTAGACTATCGCTGACATACTGCCTATGCTCTCACCAAAACTTTGCATCCCCCCAAAAATCAAACCAACCCATGACCACTCTCATCGAACGACCTAGGGACCACTTTTTGATTTAAGTGTGGAGACTTTGACACTCGTGCGACAATCCACTCTGTCTACGCAGACAGCTTTTCAAGGTCAATGACCAAAAGACTTGCCATCAACTTATCCTTGCGGTCAACGGCGACCCAAAGACCAGCCGTAGAATCTAGACACTTCCTCGCGGAAGGACTTTTACTTGTCCCGGGAATGGGGTTGTGCTGTGTCGTATACATACCCTGAAGTCCAGACTTGAAGTATTCGACTAAGACAATGGATGCCGGAAGCGCAAAGCCTGGCTTCAGGCAGTGGGCCGAGCCAGGCCCAGCATTGGAGTAGGGCCCATGAGGGCTCAAGGCCCGGCTTAAGATATTTCGCAAGCCTGAGCTGGGCCCTCGAGTCGCGGCTTTCAGTGTGAAACAGAGTGAGTACTTTGATGTGAACATTTACACTATGATAAGTAATTTTTTACTCCATCCGTCTTTTCCGCAAATGGTAATTAATTTAGTACCCCCGGCTTTTGAGCCGAGTACACGCCGCAGCGCAAGTTGAATGTTGAACTTGCGCTGCGGCAACCACCGGTGATATCAGCCCTTCGTCTTGGCGGACTGTGCCCGTGATGATAGGGAACACTATCAACGTCTTACACTGCATTGTCTAATCTAATTACCATATATGAAGGTGCAGCACTGCTAAACCTCGGGGACCAGCACCGCAGCCCGAATCCTTGCCCGAGAGCAACCCGTCAAGCTCACCGATCGCTAGTCTGAGTATTTGGCTAGACGTTACCTTGCCACTGAATGAATCCAGCACGTCCATGAAAATTAGTAGCGAGGCGAGTCAGACATGTCTTTTCTGACGCTAGGTCTGATTGCTTTTCGTCATTTTGCACCTGGTTACAGTTCAGATTTCCGAGTCATTGGAGTACATTTTTAGTAGCTACTGGCATTGACCTTGTTCATTGCTAGATTGCCTGCTGTTATCGTTATTCTTATTCTGGATTGCGCTCCTGTATATACATGAGAGAGTATATACGGATATAATAAGAAACCCGTATGGTTACAACGTTTCACCATCATTGACAAGAGCACTGTCAACAGACAACACACGCCCGCCTCGTTGGCAAAAGTCAGCTCAGCTGTAGTCCCTTGAGGCTTCTTCTCTGTACCATTTCAGCCTGTAACAACCTTTCCTTAAGATGACGCCCAGCTTGAAGCAGAGACTTGCTGCTCTTTCACTTGCATCATCTTCCCAACATCTCCTCTCGGATCCGACTCAGGTCCTCATTCTCTTATCAGTCGAAGAAAAATATTCAATCCGCCATGGAAACAAAACCTGGATGCTACGGGAGACGAACCCGGCGCAAGGGATAAAGTGCAAGAGGTTATGGGCAAGGTTATTTTCCAGGCTGGGGTTGATTTTGAGTGAGTGCAATACATAGTTAGCAGCTGTCAAGCTATTCATAGTTCCTTTCCTCCCTAGGACTAGGCCTATGTAAGTTCCCGTACTACCTTAGCCTTAGTGACGGATACTAGGACGCTCTAATTAACGGCTAACGTGACTTGTAGGGTTATTCTCAGTTCCTCAGCGTTACCTGATCCGCAAGAGGTCTCCTATGACCTGCTTTTGCAGTACGTATCTGTGCAGAGTGCAACCACTTATTATCCTCATCCTATGTCAGGCGAATTTTGGCATACCTTGATCTCTTTGGTTCGTTCGTCTCCAGTACTATCACTATCTACTGGTCTCACCTCATTCTCTCCAGTCGAATCCGATTACACTGTAGTATTCTTCGCAGCAGGCGGTCGCTACGCTCCCAACTGGAATTGGGTCTGGAAGGCATATCGAAGCCTGAGTAGGAAGTATCGTAAGAACTTGAAGCGCCTGGTCAGGAATACTTCACTTACTCATGATACAAGTAACTGAATGTTCAGCCCAGCTCATTGTACACTCTTCTTTCTTCTCGAAAAGTAGGTGAAATCTTTCATTCAGTCGGGCGCTCCTTTTACCTGCGTTCCGCAGTGCTTTTCTCGTTGGCAGGTGCTGTCGTCAGGTCTTTCAGTTTCGCTGTCATGGTTTTCTAGTCGCGCTGAACATTGTTACGCAGCCCAAAGTTCTTTCGCAAAATAGTCTACGTCGACACTCTGTCAGAACTTGCTACCCAGGTTCCATTGACTCAAATTGACATTCCACCTGCAGTGTATAAGTAAGCACACTTTAGTCTGTTCAACACTTCTGATAACACATCTATAGAGAGAATTTGAAACAGGAGCGGCACATTGTATTACCGACTCCCATTCGCTCTAGCGTCTTTGGTGTGCCCTTAGAAGAACTCATGGGCCATGACGGCGAAAAGGGTAGCATTCCGCGGGTTCTGAAAGATTCCATTCAGGACCTTTTGAGCTCTGGTGAGTATCGAGGATGATTGTTATTTTGCCTAAACTCATCAAACATACATAGGGCTGAATGAAGAAGGGATTTTCAGGCGCTCACCGAGTTCCGTGTTGCTCAAACAAGTTCAAGAAGCCTATGACAGAGGTATTTTTCTACGTTGACACTGAATTGCATATCGTGACACTCGGCTAGGCCAGGTCGTTTCCCTCCAAAGCTTTAATGACCCTCATCTCGCAGCTGTGCTATTGAAGAAGTATCTCCGCGACCTTCCCAACCCCCCATTCCCAGAATCTCTGTATCCCGATATACGTCGATGTCCGACTCCATCGAATGACTCAACCGGCATCCTTGCTACGACATATATTCGCGACACACTCCTGCCACAGCTGATGCCATGCATGTACATCTTATTGAGTAACATATTTTGTGAGCTACGCTGTCCTTTGATATGCCAGAAGACATGCACCTAACGCCAATTTAGATGTGCTGCACGAAGTGTCTCTACGATCGAATGTAAACCGCATGGATGCACACAATCTTGCTGTTGTCATTTGTCCCAACCTAGTCAAAAGCTCGGACCCGATGCAAGATGTAATCCTATGTTCTATACCAAGTGGACCATCGATGTCCAGTACACCCTCCACGACTGCAACGCCCACACAGGCGGCACCAACATCCTCCACTGAGACTTCAGATGGCGGTACTACTTTGGGGTCTATCGTTAAGCTCTGCATCCAGCGCTACTATGAAATATTTGATGAAGTCCATGATCGCGCGGAGGTGGTGCCCCCGTCCACTCGAAGGTCACCTTCTCCACCATCATCGGAGGGTTCATCAGGCTCACAGCTCAAGCAGTCCCGTCCATTGAGTTTACGGAGTGATGATGAAGATATCGATGATGCGATGTTGGTCATGCCGATTGGGCCCAGTGGGTCGGGAACTGTTTTCACGAACGAGAATTTGGTCAGTGTATGGGGCAGTGGTGGTGCAGATGCAGATGCAGATGCAAATGTCCTCCCATACCAACCACGGCGACGAAATCTTCATGGGGCCAGAAATGGAGGCAGGGGCAATGAAAACGGCGTAGGTTTTGTTAATGATGAGAATCGTGATGGTGCAGGGCACCGCCATCGAAGTCCAGCGCGTTCGACAATCAGCATAGAGCATCCGGGAAGTGCGTCTGGTTCCGGGGGAGGTTCGATATCCATTGGTCGTGGGGCGCTTCGCAAGGCTAGTGGTTCGGGGGTGGAAGCAATGGGAATCACTGCTGGCGGGTTTTTCACTGCACCGGGCACTGCTCCTCCTGTGCCCACACCAAGGAAGCGTCGAGCATGGGTATAAAAACCAATGCTTGTTGCAGGTTTTTTGGAGTTTTGTTATATTTTCCTATCCGTTATCTATTCACCAGTTATCTTTGCAGGAAGATTGTTAAGTAATTCTATCTCATGCTTATATCATACATTTGCAATGTATATGTACTATGATAGTCTTGTAAATTGAATGCTGTACCGATTCGGGTTCCACACTTTCAGATATCAATTTATCCATGCCAGGAATACGAGAGAACTTGAATATGAGCGTCAGTCGGACTCAATTGGCCATTATGACTCTTTCTCCAGACTTAATGAAGTTGTGAAACGGAGATGCTGATAGGGCTGGCCTTGGCTGCTTAACACAAGGCCACAGTGACAGGTCAGCATGAAGACACCCAAATGTCCTGCAGGAACCTCCGTCAGCAGCAAGGTCCGACAGAGCCAACGATAACCGATAACCGATAACCGATAACCGGAACCTCCATTCGACCTCCATAATGATTTAAATTAATCAACTGTCGCGGTGACTTGGCTCGGTGCCGGGCGGTAGCTTTGATAGTTGGGTTCTGTTGGGTTGGAAATTGAAATAGTTCGGCTAACTTGAACTGTATAGTTCAAACCCGGTAATTGCCGCTCTTGTCATAATCGGGATTCCAATCTTCTTCGCTACTGCTTTTCTTCTTTCCCTTTCATGATATACATCCTCTACTATGAGTCTCTGTCCAAGTTTTCAGCTCGTGTTATGATCAGCCTCGAGTCGAAAGCACGAGGGAGTGGCAGGCAGGTCCTCTTATCGGCTTTCTCTGTGAATACATATTTCGCAGCGAGGCAGCGATCCAGATAGGCAGATGCCTCCCGGCAGTACTTTGCTGTTTTACTCACCGTGCAGGACTATGCCAAAGATATCAAAGCGCCAAAGCGATACTTCACGATATTTGACTTCATGTCGATGCCTATCATAAACTTGACAGACACAAAACCATGACCAATTGCTACTATGACAATGATACCAAGGGTCAAGTGGCTTTGTATTTTGCATACGAGGACTATACGCTTCGATTCGTCGAGCGTGGTTTATCGATGCATCCGTGCGTTCGCATGCGGCGTTGCCCTCCTTGACCCGCCCAAACTAGAAAGCATCTGACGAACGCATACTATGCACTCATCATTGACCAGATTAGTGCCTACTCGTACAGAAACGCGCATACCACGCAGTCATACCTTTGGCCAGATCAGTGTTTACTCGCACAGAAAACGTGCATACCACGCAGTCATATCGTTGGCCAGAACAGTGCTTACTCGCACAGCAACTGCGCATACTGCGCAGTCATTGTCGACCAGATCAGTGCTTCCCGCACGGAAACGCGTATACCACGCAGTCATTATTGACCAGTGCACTACAGCCGCACTGAATTGCGCATACCACGCAATCATATCATAGACCACGCAGACATACATGATGCGTTACTCTTGGGGCAAGTCATGGACAAAGCATACGAGGATGACCTTCGAGGAATCTATCGGTGCTTCCGTGCTTGGTGCGGCATGACTCAGGGTGTTTGAATTTTACTAGGACATGGCCGTAACTAGGGCATGAACCCACGACATATGATCCACGAGACCGTTGCCATATCCAAAGCTCTGCTGTAATATCAAGCTGTAGCTGCACGCTGTCGATCCAGCGAGGCTAGCTTCGAGTCAGACTCACTATACCTTGAGTTGTTTCGGGTGTATGTGGGTCTCTGTGTGTACGCACGCAGCGAAGTGGAAGCCCGTTGAAAATATATCCTGCCGAATTTGCAAAAAATTCATCCTTCCGCTGGGAAGAGTATACATCACCGTTCCACGGAACTGGTTGTTCTGCGATTTATTCATGTCTTTCGGAGCCCTTCATGGTTTCTCATGGTCGTAAGTTATACATCTGTACTGTGACTTGGCGCTCATGATAAGATTTCGCAGTGGCTTGCCGCCTTAACTTTATATAACGGTTCTTTCCGTCAATGCGGGGCAGATCCCATGGTTTATGCTAGGGTCTGTCATCTTCAACTAGAGCCCTCGGGCCTGTTGAGGATTATCGCATAATTTTTTGCTCCTTCCCTTCTTCGTGAAGGGACCTGGCTTGGACTACGTTGCGCGTAGGTGGATAGAAATTACCCCTCGTCGTATCCTGTATCCTTTTTGTATGTATGTACGACGCAACACTCACCAGTTAGCGATGTGGCGCGTTCGTCCCTGACTCTTCCTCAGATTGTCTTCCATTTATGATTATACATGATATCTTATGGTGCTTGATCCGTTCAACTATGACACGACCATCCAACACCTCACACAAACGAATATCTATGTATACAGTCGCGTACTTTTACCGAGATATATCAAAATGTTTTTGGCGAAAAAATTAGTGTGACTGCACGAGCTTGCTGTCCTTCACAGCGAGCTCATACTCGCCCAATTCTTAATCTTTTTTCCGATAAATGTGTACGCATACCATCATAGTCACCATGATATCTTGCATGTTTTCTCGAGTACTTCAGATCAATAGAAGCGCACAAAAGCGTTTTAGTATTCTCAGATCTTAATGATATCAAACTACCAGCTGGCGGAGTGACCTGCTGTACCACGTATGATCTACCTTGCTGCCGTATAAAGAGTGGAGTATTACGGGTCCGGTCATTGTTATGGCCGCCTTTGCACGCTCTCTGGATGTTGAATTTGTAAAGAGAAGTAGACATTCAAAATTACTCGTCTGTTGGGTATTTTATTTTATTTGGTTGTTTTTAATGAGCGTGACAGACAACGAGTGAAATCAGGGATAATCTAAAAACAAAAGAATTTGCTTGCGCTTTCAGGCGTCAATCCAGTCTCTCCATGCCGAGAGCATCATCAGTCCAAATGCTTGCGACTCCGTACTCAGCAATCCTGTTTGGTTCCAATATGGAAATGGATCTGGCAAGGGATCCGTGATAGGCTGCAAGGTACCGAGGTTCGTGACGTTGCCCACAACAGCATCTCGTATTTTTGCAGCCACATGCGTGTAGTTTCTGTGAAATTTCCGGGGGAATAGATGTGCAGCCCGATATGCTACAGAGGCCAAGGCAGCGGAGGAGGCTGCATCAGGAAAGGACGGACCCCCAATGATATAGTTCGGGACCAAATCGTCTGATCCCTGTGTCGAGAACATGACGTTAGCCATGAAGGGGGCCAAGAAAGATTCATCCCTACCAGGGAAGCAAACTCGCCATCCAGAATTTCTTTAATCCATGAGGTAAGGTTAGCAATCTGAGGAGCCATATCTGAAGAATGCTCAGTCTTGTGGATCGTCACGGCAACGCGTAGCATGCCAAGTGCTGCCCACGCATTACCTGCGTGAATTTCGTACGATTGTAAGTTGTTTACTGCGTTTATGCGGATCCCGAACAACGGGAGCACTCACCAGTTCCCCAGATACCTTCATCTATCCACGCTTTAGTATCATCGGAGTAAATATGTCCCCAGAGCTTTCCAGTAGGACCATCTAGAATCAGGGCATCACGGTACAACCGACATTGATCGTATGCAATCTGGAGGAGTGTTGCGTTGTTGGTGACTGCCCCAAAGTATGCAATAAATGGAAATCCCATGTAGACGCCATCTGCCCTGTTCAGTCACGTTGAGCATTTAAAACAAGCCGCAGACAGCAAACATCGAACCAATATTGACGTGAGTCGATACGATGGGAAATGGCTCCAGTAGAGGTGCGAGGAGCTACGTTGAGTAACTAGTAGTCACAGGTCAGTCCGAGGAGATGTAACTAACTGCAGAACACACAAAATTCAGTTGGGCGTTAGCCGCATCCAGCCAATAGTTGTGCCGAGATGCATCAGTAAAACTGCCTGCCTCAGTAGTTAAAATTTTGAAATTTCTGGAACAAAGTGGCGTTTACCCAGCAGAACCGCAGAGCCAGCGGAGGCACCATCTAAAGCAGCACCATCCAGCGCATCACCGATTTCTTGGCTGAGGCGACCGTCAGGACTTTGTCGTACAACAGCGCTATAAGCCAGTTGCAGAGTTGAAAGTGGAAATTTTCCGTCGGAAACGAATGGAGAAGATCCAAAAACAGAGTACTCTGGATCATCGAATTCCAGAATGGCACCCACTGCGGTTCCTTGTTCCCAACTAAACCTCAGGCTGTCAGCACGCTACAACTGGATTAAGTTATCATACAGTGACTTACCTGGTCCTGATAGAAGCCAGCATGACTGATCGAATGTTGCCTGCCACCCATAGCTTGCTCTGGTACAGTGATGCATCCGAAGAATGAGCCGCATATGCACCAAGGCATAAAAAGGACCATACGCAGACTGCCAGCCTGGTCTGACGCATTATGAAGTAAGGGTGGATACAGAGAATGTAAACTCGCTTCTTTAAGTTAAATCGGGACCCATCACTGTGACGGAATGAGTGTCAGCAAAGTTCAAGACTCCGACATACGCGTGTAAAGTTACATATACCGTAACAGCGTCTATGCTTCAAGTACCAGCTTCGCTTTGTGCACCTAAATTTGCAGATCAGCCCGTGCACTCCTGGACATGACTTGGGATATTTTCTGCAGTACTCCAATAGATATCGACAATGACTGAGGGGTCTGCGCCAAAATCTTGTTTGAGTCGAGAGTTCGGGATGGAATGAACCTTTCACACACTGCTAAGGCCGATATTTCATCTTTGAAACAACGCTTTTGGAACAAGAAACCAGGCAACACCATATGTGTGCTATAGGCATGCAAGCAGATACACAGGGTATAGTAGCGTACGCACTGGGGTAAATACTGTTCCGATTGCTTGACTGTTGGAGAGAATGTCAGCTAAAGCTTTAGGCACTTGCGTGAATTATGCGAGGCGTTGATATCGAAACGATAATTCACGCAAATGCCGCTAGAATTTCTGGCGGATATTCTATGACTATTCCGAAGGGTTGCCACGAGTACGTAGGAACTGGCAGCGCGGAGATAGATTCTAACAGCGGTCTCACTATTATCCAGATTCAGTTACCCCATCGTCCATGGCGGAAGGAAAGGTCAGGTCCCAATGTCTCTGTAGCCCTGCAAAAAACACTCAACCAGAGTGCTTTGAATCCGCATGCTAAGAGGTGCAATTCCGGGCTGTTTTGAGCGGCTGAGCTGATCGAAGTCCTGCAATAGTCTGTCATCTGCATACATGACATTGTACATAAGCGTGTACTTTTTCGTGGCGAAAAGACCAGAGCTCGAGTGCCAGGATGTTAGAGAGTCGGCCACTCTTCGAAAGCGCCTTGACTGAAACGAAAGAAACTGATGTTGCCCGAGTCTACGGCCGCGATTACTATGTTCTTTTTGCCAGCCTTCAATGCTGCAAATGGATGCGGCCGTGGTTGAGATGTTACAGGCTGTGGCGTTGACGATGGCAACAGCCACGAGAAAATATGTTTGAATGTTGATGTGTGGACGGGCGATGCGACTGCCACAGGGGATGATTGAACTACCGAAGGTGCTCCGCGCTTTCGTGGGAGAGGCGGGGGGATTTCCGGAAGAACATTGAATAGCTCCGTCAATTCGTACAGAGAGGGCACAAAAGCGGTTCGCGCGCTGTTATACAAAGTTCAGTTGGCAAGGCCTCGAAAGTCAGTCTGATCTTACTTGACAACGACGACTTGGAAATCAGGTTGCGGGGGAATAGTTTTCCGGAAGTTAGTTGAGGGCTTGTACATGTTGTAGAATATTTTGTATGGGGAGGAGGGTGCGACAGGAGTCGCACGACTGGAATGAGGCGCGACTGAGTGACCTGCAGGTATGACTCGCAGAGACTTGAAGACCTTGCCTAGACGAAACTCGTTATTGAAGGGCTCGAGCGGAGTAGAGTGGTCCCAACCATATGATTTATCATGATGTATCCACCGACTAATCCCGAGCGGTCTCCACCAATTATTCGACCCCCTCAAAAATCTCAAAACACTCGCTGTAAACAGCGAGAAAATCGACGATAATCTTTGGTAGAATGACAGAGGTGCACTCCCTACACGAGGTGGGGGTACTGGGTAACTAGGGCTGGGTGGATCTGTGCGGGTGACGACATACCCCAAGCGCCTCAAGTACGCAAAGACCTATAAGCGATATTGAGTATTGTTGATGAAAAATCTGTGGTTTCAATCACCTGATATTTTTCGAGCGTCAGGTCTTCCTTCCCAATTATTTCTGCAAAAGCTTGTTGAACAGACATCGGGGCACCTTCAATGTCATCCAACCCAGTCAAATCCGTTTGAATATCCTTCCAGCAGAACAATGCGCCCCTTTCGATTAGATAAAGCGCCTCTTCGGGCAGTAACTCTAGTCTCTTCTGCAGCTTCGTTGAACCGTTATCAATTGATGTGGGCCGTGCTGCTGAATGGCCCATGGCAGAAAAGTGAATACCTCTGGCAACGGTGACATGAACGCGAGATATTTGCGGGCACCAGATGCCATAGCTGGCAGATTTACTATATGGTGATCAATGTTGATTCACGCAACTCAAACGTAAAAATACCTAGATATAGCGCGATCAGCTTTGAGGGCGTCAAACATCGCAGCGCGTGCTCGGTCCAATACATGGGCTTGAAGACCTGAACCCCCTCCTGCAGCGGGCTCAAAATCTTTCTCTCCGCGTTTTGGGATTACCGGACGTACGGCACCAACCTTTCTGCTGCGCTTAGTATAATGTGTGTGCTTGCGATGCTCACGACTCACGGTAGCTTTGTCCAATCCAGACCTCCATCTTCACTCCCCGAAGATTCTTCTTCAGCTGGATCCAAAGTTGGTGTCGCAGGCTGAGGTCGCGGCCTTTCTAGTACATCATCCATGTCAGTGATTTGCAGGTGTCAATAATGGTCAGCTAGTGAACTAGGAATCGTCAGGCTTGAAGCTGTTGGGGTTGCAACTTGCAAGTCATATCCATGATGAAATAGAAGGCACGATAATTATGTAATTTTTTTAGAGCAGTCATACAAAAATGTTGGTGTGAAACTTTGGTGAAAGAGCTTCGAAGTGGACCGCAAATTGGCAATCATGGCAGCAGAACGGAAACCGACGTTCTTCCAGTCTCTCGCTGTGCGCAAAGTTCCTTGCAAGACGAGAATATGTTCTGTGCCAACGTGACATCCCTCATAGGCTGGTGGATTGGCGGGAACAGCGGTCGACCTACTGTTCTTCCCGATAGACACTATCAAGACGCGTCTGCAATCTGCGCAGGGATTCGTCAAGGCTGGCGGCTTTCGCGGGATTTACAAAGGTGTGGGCAGTGTGGTTGTTGGAAGCGCCCCAGGAGGTATGCACGGAATAGGTTGTCAAGTAATGGTTGTTCTGACGCGGATATTACAGCTGCTGCGTTCTTCTCTACATATGAAGCCATGAAGCATTCGATTCCTCTTCATGACCAACTTGCGCCTGTAAACCATATGTTATCCGCGTCTGTGGCAGAAGTGGTAAGTTCTTCACTTACAAAATTTATCTTCGCAAATGAATGAATCTTTTCCCGCTCAGGCTGCTTGTTTGATACGTGTTCCTACGGAAGTCATCAAGACCAGGACGCAAACATCGATGTATGGTGCTTCGGCATCTTCGTTTAAAGCCACAACGCTGGTCCTGCAACATGACGGCATTCGAGGGTTCTATCGTGGTTTTTTGACTACTATCATGCGCGAGGTAAACAAATGGATTGTCATACCTTGTATGAATATTCAACTGATCTAGTGCTTGTACTTCCAAGATACCCTTTACATCACTCCAATTCCCGTTATATGAGTTTCTCAAACATCGATTATCAATATATCTGGACCGAAAATCCCTATATGCACACGAGGCTGCTGTCTGTGGGAGCATAGCAGGAGGGACTGCAGCAGCGGTAACAACGCCGCTCGATGTTCTTAAAACACGTGTCATGCTTGATCTAAGAGTGGGTCTCTATTATGAATCTCGGTGGCATATCTAAGCATATTCAGGACCCTTCGAAGCAGCAAGTGCCAAGTCTTCCTATGCGACTGCGGCAAATCTACGTGCAAGAGGGCACAAAGGCTCTTTTTGCAGGTGTGGTGCCGAGAACGATGTGGATATCTGCAGGAGGAGCTGTCTTCCTCGGCGTCTATGAATGGGCCGTTCATGGTTTGATGAGTACTTAAGCGAGAGTAGAACTACGATTAATTGCGCCCACTCCTCTTCACCATATCATTTGCCTACAACGGACAGCAGGATTGTGGCAATAGACTAGAGTCAGCTTTGCTGTTTTATGCTACTCAAAATACCCAGTGCCCAACCTTTATCGCCGTAAAGCTTCTCGGCGAAGAAATTGCCTAAAACATCCTGCAACTGCCTCATAGTCACAGTGTCCCCATCGTCCGTTGCATCTAATGACTCGGGCATGTCCGATGCCGCATGCAGGACATGCAAAGCAGTCTGTTGGATATTCAACACGTGTGATTACGCAGAATAAAAGGCATACTGACCATAACGGAATCGACGAGAGGACCGGTCTCCCCTAGTGCGCATTCACTTCCCACAACTTTCACTCCGCCACCCTCCACGAGTCCCTTCCTTACCGCCTCCTTTCCAATTCCCACCAGGCCGCGAATGGCACCTTCCCGCGTTCCCTTGGATTTGTCTGATGAAATGAGAGCAACGAGGAGTGTTTTCATGATTCGTGGTGAAAGGGATGGATAAGTCGTAGAATGTTGGGTAAGTAGACGGGATAGCGTCTGAGCAGCAGACGTGCGCAAGTGGGTGGCATGTGATGGTGGAAGAGTGGAATGGAGAAGAGTTGAAAGGATAGCTGGTAGTAATTGATGGAGCTGTACAATATCATTTTACTGAACTGTGTTGGGTTCGGAGCATCACTCACATAAGGTTCGATGAATAGCGTATTGTTTTCGAGAATAGCGCTGACGACATCCAATAAAACCTCCAACGATCGACCATCTGCCTCAGTTTGAGCACCCTCCTTTAGCGCAGTCACAACACCCTCTCCAAGCCAGCGAATAAGGTAAGGCAAGAGTGCTTGTAATCCTGCATCATTGCGCAAACTCGCAAGGGCCGCTGTCCGCTTGGTAGAGTCGGTAGGCGGTAACAATGACGCCGTAAGCCGCGTATAATATAGCTGTAGTTCTCGTGATAGTACTTGTTTGACTAGTTGTTGCTGCTGCTGTTGCTGCTTCTTGACAGTAGATCGGCTTTCTGATGGCGGGGTCAATGGGAATGCGCCGTTTGCTTGGGGTGGCGACTTGGTAATTTCTTGAGCGACGTCCTTCGGTATTGCCGGCGGATTTTCAGGAATGAGAGGCTGGACGCCTTCAACTGCAAGCCAGTGAGCGGTCCAGCTGACGCCTTTTGGTAGTGTAATTTTCTCCTCTCGAAGCACGCGGTCAAAGTCGATCTCTTCATCATCCACGAAGTAGACGGGGCCTACATTAGCCGCATTCGGAAATGGCAGAGCACGTCTGAATACAGGGGGGTTGTCTGGATTGTGACCATAAAGAGGCTCGATGTTCAAAACTCGAAGGGCCTGGTCAATGTCTAAAGTCGTGATCGTGGTTCGTCGGGCATGGCGCATGAATCGCGAAGCTTCCTGATATTTCCTTAGCTTTTGACAAGTGCATCTAGACGTAAATCACGCACCTCTATGACTTGATGGATGCGATACTCGACATCACTAGCGAGTGAGGATGCTACTGTTTCGGATAAATTGGCGATGCCCAGCGACTCGGCGACGTCCTGCAAATGTCGGCTTCATCTCGTCGCATAAATTGACACTGTTGTGATGCGTACTCTGACCGAGTCTGACTTGTATATCCCTGTTTGATGTGTCTGAGCAGCTTTCGCTTTCGGTTTGCTCATCGTGATGTTGATGCCAGTCCTGCGGGAGTCCAGGACGCTTCAATAATCGCCAAGTCACGTGCACGTCAAATCGTCAAGCTTGCATCGTTTGGACCCATCTGAACTAGTATCCTGATAGAACCCTTACTTATATAAAGAAGTCGATGGAATCAGCGTTCCGCTCAGTGGCGTTTACTTATCTTCCACCAGATCACGTCGACCAACAATATTTTTATCTAACAGGTGGCAGTTGTCCACTTGCACGGAGGGGATCCGCCGTAGGAAATAGACGGAGCTTATTCCCTACTTCCCCTCCTATGCATCATTTAGTCATCCTGGTACGCCCGCCGAGCAATTATCGCCCCTTCTACTCGCCACAGTACTTCACCGGCTCACCTCCCCACGCACAACCCGATCTGCATTATCGGGTTGCTCCTCGAGATTCCAGTGAATACAGAACATAGGTTCAGTTCCGGGTGTTGGTATAGCTGGTTCATGTGAGATACCCAAAATGCTACTGGCAACTACCTAGACACATGTATCGCTTTCCTACCCGCTCGCCAATGGTACACAACGGGAAGCGCAAGTCAATAAATGTCGACTCCGAATATAAATGGATGACCGTCTTGTGACTTTGGATAGAACACTTCCTATGTTTATCGCGAATAGCCATGAGGGCGTGTCCGAGTCTGTCCGAGTCCTCTTTTCTCCCTGGGCCCCAGAGTGTCCAGCCCCTTGACTTTGTGCTGCGGGCCCTCTGCTGGGTCACGTGCACCTCGAGCGCCTCTGCAATGACATGTCCCATGGGCCATAATCATTCTCAGCACTCAGATCTCAGACCAGAATCAGCGATGCCAGAAAACCAACACAACGTTGACAGTCCTTTGACCTTTACTTATAAAGAGGTCGACGGAGTCCGTGTCCTGCTCGACGTCTATCTTCCACCAGACGACGTCGATCAACAGTTCACCGGACAGGCGATTCAGTATCACCCAGCAGTCGTTTACTTCCATGGAGGGGGGCTCACTGTAGGAAATAGACGAAGCTGGTTCCCTACCTGGCTGAAAAGTCAGTTTTAGTCTTGCTACAAGTCCGACCTTTCCCTCACACTGACCACAATAACACCTATGTACTAATGCGATTTTTAAGGCCGGTTATCTGCACGCGGTATCATATTCATCAGTGCAGATTATCGTCTTGTTCCTCCAGGGACCGGATATGATGTGCTCGCCGATGTGAAGGACGCCATCGCCTTTGTCGCGGGAGATTTGAATGTTCAGCTCGATCAGGAGCTGGCTGATCTTGGCACTGGTTCACGTTTCCGCATCGATCCCACGTCAATCGGTGTGGCTGGAACTAGCTCGGGCGGGTTCTGTGCGTATCTATGCGCTATCTATGCAGTCCCGAAACCGAAAGTAGTTCTCAGTTTATATAGTATGGGAGGCGATTTCCTGGTATGCCCCGTCTTCTCGCCTCCAAATGTTTCTGATCGTATTAATACTACATACTTCAGACAGATCAATATCTCGCTCCCAAGGCACAATCTTTCCTCCGGGGGAGAGAAATGCTAGATCCCGCACAGTTCTCTGAATATATACATCCGTTCGACAGCCTCCAAAGCACTTCAGACTCACAACTCGTATACCATCCACAGTCATATCATATCCCGGGATATCCTGCGAACCCACGAATGTTAATCTCACGCTTATACCTGCAGCTCGGGGTCGCCTTGGACTATATTACAGGCCAGCATGAACCAAGTCTTAGTGTTACGTTACGCAAGGCTATCCATACCGAGGATCCCTTCGACGAGGCACTAATTTCTGATCACAAGATTATTTTCCCTCAGTTCAACGTCACGTCGGATTGGCCGGCAACATACCTCGTCCATGGAACTAGCGACACGGCTGTCCTCCTGCGGGAGTCTCGTAATTTGCATTCCTTGCTCTTGAAGGCTGGCGTAGAAGTCGTATTGGAAGAACTACCAGGTCGAGAGCATTCATTCGATTATCAACCAGGCGCAGAGCTGGAAAACAAAGGATTATTTGATGACATGGTTCAATTTCTTTATCGCCACCTAACTTAGAAGTAGTACCTAATTTGATGGATGACTTGGATTGACTAGTGCTGACTCCTAGTATTGGCGGCTAGATAGATAACAAACACAGCACAGCATCAAGTACAGTATTTAATGGACTTCCTTAGACTGTTAGATGTGCTCGTCATCATCACTTACGTACCACAGTAGTTGAGACGTTTCACCAACGTTTCATAGTCATGGTTTATAAACTTTTCCCGGGAATACAAAGCACTCCGCTTGACCTCCCTTGAAATCGATCCTGCCTCATTCAGTTCCACACACGAACGCGAGATTGCGTTCACGCCTGAAATCTGGGCACAACGGCTTGCATCATGCTTCAAGCGCACGTTTATCGCCTCCGTGAAGGATGAAACATGGGTCGGAATGATCTCGGTACTCGGACCTTCTGAACTGATACCCGCCACGTTGGAACCATTCGAGAGGGCGGGCACAGGGGCAGACTGGGATATGTATTTCGTAGTCGGGTTGTGGGTGCACCCAGAGCACAGGGGAAGAGGTTTAGGGACACGTCTGACGGAAGAAGGGCTGGAATGGGCACGGACAAATATGGATTCGAAAAATGATTCAGAGGAGAAGAGAGATAGAATAATCATATTGCTGGTCGGGGATGATAATGCGAGCGGCCGCGCCCTTTATCAAAAGGTGGGCTTCACGAACTTGACAAGCATGCCGCCAAGGGAAGGAAATAGTTACATGAGTATGAAGGTTGCATGATGAATAACTGTGGAATATCTTGTCTACAAAGAAACTGTTTGACCGTGTTCATTGAGCGACATCTAGGCTTTCAAAGCGAAGTCTGATCGTCCAACTTCAAGTCGGGAAGACGCAGAATCAACACGTCTTGAGACCTGTCTCCATATCCCCATCACCCTGAATGTCCACACCCCGTACTGGATCGTCTGGCTTCTGTAATTGCTTGCACACAGCCGGAATGAACCCTGTCATCTGCCGACCTATCATTCTCCAGCTCGAGACCCTGGTTGGGTCCGCGACTTTCTCCTTATCTCGTGGTCCAGCAGTATACAAAGACCCAAACACAAATAACGAAATCATGGAGATCGCAACTGCAACAGGCGTGCGAGTCTCGACATCTGTCCTGCTGAAAGTAGTCTCGCAAAATGCAATCGAAAATAGAATCAGGCTAGCGGGTGAGATCAATACCAGGTGTGGATGAGTTAGAAAGAGACAATCTCACCTCCACATCAGCAAGATGTACGGCAGGCTGCAGATAACGGCAATCCTCTCGAGACCATATCGTTCGCGGAAGATCCGCTTCAAAATTGTGATCTACATCATTATGAGCAGTTTCAAGAGAAAATAATGTCAGCCCCCTACCGCTCTCGCAGGAGTATCAGCACCCTTTGCACGGTATTGTTTGAAAATAATAAGACCGATTATGATACTTCCGATGCTGCAGATGACGGAGCAATATACGACAATCTGTTCCCCTGATCTTGAACTATCTGCACTGCTTGAGTCCACACTTCCAATTGCCAAAAAGCCGATGTTCGTGCTAAGCAGGACGGTTGCCTGATATATAGATGAGCTGTGTCAAATGATGGCAACTCTGTAAATCGTACCAGTAGATTGGAATCACGGATACTAATATCCACCTTATTCACAAACTTTCTCCACCGCTCGAGTGAGAAATTGTCTCGCAAGCTGTGTAATTCTTCTGCGTAGACTTCCGCAGACTTGAGCATTAATGGAGACAAAAGTGCCATCAGGATCGAGCGTCGGTAAGGTTCCGAATTTGGCTCAGAATACTCGATGTCGAAATAGTCGTCATTTTGACCATATGAACTTCGTAACATGCCGGTGTCTGATGCATCAGCGAGGACTCAACAAAACAGTTGATACCAGTAAATCAGACACGAACGATATAGCACCATGAATTTCGCTACAGCATGTTATGAGTCAACGAAGAGAGCCAAAATATGCAAGTTCATACCTATTGTCCAAGCTGAGGGCCCATTCTCGCCCTTGCGCTGAGCTAAGTTCAAGCAGTTGAACATCAACAAATGAGTGGAGCTCTGATACGTACGCTCGATATTATTCACAAGTTCTAACATGGTTGAAATATTTTCTGCGGTATAGGGCGATGTCGAGAATTTCGAAGTCACGCGATCTGTTTCCAGTCGTCATGGACAGCATCTGATACCAAGCAACCTAAATACCTGCAGATGCTTGAACTAAAATGCTCTTGAGTTCACGGATGACAACCTCTGTGACGTCAAGTGTATTCGGAAAGAGCTCGCAATGCTTCCTGTTCGAAGTCGCACTGCTCAATAATTTGACGAGTCATCAATTACCCACCAGTATTGTGCTTCAGCGCCTGAAAGACAGGGTGATTAGTATCCATGCTTGAGCATGAACTTAAGCTTACATCTAGAAGACGATTCCATAGATCCGTCACATTCTTCTGACAAGCAAGCGAGGCTAAAATCTTCCAGCCAAAAGACTCGCTTGTGAGTATGAGAAGCAAAATAATACCCAAAGGTGGGTCTCTGGTCTGCACCGACGGAAGAGAAGAATAAATCCAGAACGACAGTCATCTCGGAGTCGGCATCAGGAGGAGCCCTTTCCTTCAAATCGCGGAGTAGCTGAGTGATGACGCCATGTAGGGCGCTCATTTCAGGATTCATATTGCTGCAAACTCCCTGTGTTTTGGGTTGGCATGCAAAGTGACGTGCGCTGTACTCACCATTTCCTTGTGAAAGTAGTAAGAGCCAAAATCCGGATGTCGTATCCTGGTCCAATCGGTGGTGAGTCCAGACAGTCTGCACAATGCATATAGAACCATGCTAGATTAGAATAAAGGTTTTGTGTTGACCCACGACCTTACTGATCATCCTGAACAGCATTCGGGAGTGCTCTCTGAAGATGAGAGTGATTCACTAGACTGCAGTAGAGGACATTAGTCTCATGGCAGGGTGCCAGCGAATACTGCAACGATGGGTCACTAACGCTGGACTTCTTTTCCTTCGTATAGTGGATGGTGCCAACGGTCGAAACGAGTGTTCAGATGAAGAAGCCATTGACGGTATGGTAGTACCAGCCGTAATATTGGTCCCAGTAGTAAAGTGATCCAGAGTGCCAAAGCTTAGACCACTATGAGCGAGATTACTATGCGGGTCTTCGACATGCAGTTTTGATGCGGTTAAAACGTGGATATGGAATGGAAGTGGTGTACACACCGGCTGATCGAGTCGGACCGAGCCTTCTTCGGTCTTCGGATCGAACAAGCGCTCCGTTCACCTTCGGATGGAGGTTACAATAAGAGATACTACTATCTACGTTTGCTGTCGTCTTTTCCTCTTCCTCTCTTGCAAAAAGCATTCGAATATCTCGCCGACATCATGATCGTATAGTTAGGAGAGAAATGAGCGATCGCATGTAGAGCTCAGAAGACACGAATTGCAAAAGGAAAAGTAGAGACACGGAGATAAACGAACAACGCACACAAATGGGAGACTACCCAGTGGCGCGGATAGTGAGTAGTTGAGTGGTTCGGAGTGCATTGGTATGTGGAACTCGGGTGAGGTACGCACAGTACACGGTGGCGGGTGGACACGAATTGCTTCCGTGAGATTAAACGTTCCGTCCTTCAAGTTCAATAGCCTGGGCCAGTGGAATGCATCAGGCAGTGCTCTCAGCTCTACCAGTACTACGGGGAAGAGCGCGGTGCTGCGTTGTACTCACCACGCATCGACATTAATTGCTCGAGCTGTGCAGTAGAGGCCGGCGAGTATGTATTCACCCGCACCGTGAATAACATCAATTCTCCCGCTGACAAATATTTCACAGATCCAATCCAACGATGTATCAATCCTGAGTAAATCAATCCAAAGTTCTTCATTGAACGTCACCTCTTGCTCCTGGTCCATCGTAGGACGTGAACGCTGTAAGGCTAGCCATAGCAATGTACGACCAGGCGTGCCAATTCCGTACGGATACACCGCAAAACCCTCCCGTTTTCCACCGCCACGTTAGCTTTCATGAAGGAAAACATACGCGAGGCGTAGCTTGAGATCTTGTTTCATTGGGTCATGACCTGAGACACTGTTCCGGCTAACTGTCGGGTTTGGTGAAGATTTATGGCAGGAACTCGGCCACTCGGCCAGTCATTTTGCCAGGATCACGAAACCCTTTATTATGTGTCGTTCTCTCGAGACAGAAGGTGCATAGCATATGGTGGGGACGAAGGGAAGTTCACTCTGTAGACGGTCAAGACATCATTCCTAAGCTGGCGGCGCCATACCTCGAGAAGGTGACAGAGAAGTTATGCAGGAGAAACTCGTCCCTGTTATTGTCTTGCCTCAATGTCAGTACTCTTACATGTAACCACCTGTATTGCGTTGCTCATGGGTTTGTCATAGGCTGATACTACTAGAGGTGATGGCATCATCGAGGATGGGCACGAAGATTTACATGACAACTTTCCAGGTAAAACTCATGTAAAGGGTACTAGTGATGTTGATACTTACCTTTGGTCTTTTGGCAAGGCACCTCCTGAATTGGCACCATCTAATTCACATCTCCTCTATCTGTCCCCAGCTTGCCGCTTCTGGAACATCATCTTTCGACATCGCTCGTCGGTAGACGAGTCCGTTCCACTAGAGTGTCCCAAGCGCAACTTCTTGCTCACTCAAACTTACCCATGGAGCCTGCAATCAGCATAACCACCCAAACAGTGCATGAAGAGAAGGAGCAGAGCACGAGGAAGGAATGGTGGCGCGAGTTCTTTCTCGGCTCTCAGAGTCTCTTCAACATGATGGGTCGTCAGTGTTCCGTCAATCTTCAGCTCGGCGGCAGCAAACTCTAAAAAAAGGTCAAGACGAGCAACGAGAAGGACCCCTAACCGATGCGTAGAGCCCACCGCTTGATGATTCCCCTCTCCCTGCGTTCAACAGCGCTGATAACCGAAACATCCGGAAGCGGCTAATGCGTGGTCGAGGAAAGGATTCCACCGAAATGCCCCCAGCAATGAAACGTCCAGAGGTCGTCGAGGTATACGCTACACGCGGGTTCCGGGTGAGCTTCAGTTGCATCTTGTGCAGGATATCATTCTTACTAGAGACGGAATGAACAGAGATACGTTGCAATGAAGCGGGTATGCAAGACGAAGTCAGTGGCAGCGAAGCGTAGTGTTCCTCCTGCTGCAGCATACGCGAATGACAGCTCGTCACAGCCTGGATTAACATTGAAGTGATCTCCATACAGGCAGGGTCAAACTCACCAGCGCTTTCGGTGCTTCTTCCTAGCACGTTCCCTCCTTGCACAAATGCACAAAAAACATACCGCTACTGATACTCGGAACATCCCATATCGTCCGCAAGAGTACTATTAGATCCTCCTTGACTCCACTGGTTTCATCCGAGATGCGTGTCATATTGCCCTGGCGAAACGGTCCTTAAGGTTCTTCAGGTCTGTAAGAGTGATAGCAGCAAAGGGACATGATGGGGGTCTCCTGACATCGGGGCAACGATGGGGCTGCTGCACGAGTATCGACTCGCAACGAGGATGATGACTGAGCCATGACACGCTGCCGCTTGCAATTCTGTATACGACGGCGGGAACAGGAACCTTGATAAACCTTTAAGATTACGGATTTCAGCTACCGCTGCTCCCCATTGCTCTTGAAGTCTCCTATACTGTATTGCTGTTCAATCAGCAGCAGCTCTGTCAGCGCTGCCGGCGAACCCTGAGCACCAGATAGGTGCTTGGTGATCTCCGAGAGCTTGTGAGCTAGTTCTGGACTTGCAGACTTCAGGTCTTCCAGCGGGGTCCTGAGTCGAGAGGCCAGCGACCACTGCTGGCCACGACCCTGCTCCAGGAATTCAACTGCTTGTCACAGATCATGGACACTGCATACTTGGACTACGTTTCTGTGATGACGGAACCATCCCCTGGGCTGTTGGTGAGTTGTTGCTATTTCGGAAGGCCTTGTTTTATGTACCCTTGCTCAACCGTCCTTCACGCCTCTAGCTTTTGATTATGTTGCCTCAGGGATCATCAACACAGCCTCACCGCCACTGACTCTCAACTTGATGGCCCTCTTCACGTTCCATCACAAACTGTACCATAATAGGGTGACCAGAACTGCAAGACATCATTTACAGACTTGGCAAGCATCCCTGGTTTTACATACATAATGTATGCTAGTATAGGCCTTGCTGACAACCCACTACTTGATATGCTGTTGTTGACAGGCAAAAATCTTATTGCCAGTGCAGCAATCAATATGTCTTAAACAACAAAGTACATAGGATCTTGTTTCTTTCCCACTTGCTCATTTGCATATATCCCACTAATTTTCACATTTCTTAAAATAACTGAAGCTCTGCATCATCTTAGGTACAGGATCCTGCTCTAGTGGCACCCATGCTTCCCCTATCTCGAGTTCTAGAGATTACATTTGTAGGGGTCCATGGAGAACTTGGCTTTTTGAGGGGGATTAATGATTCAGAGGACTTTGTGGATCCTGTCCTTCCCATCTCTGAGCCTCTGTCCTTTATGTTGCCAGAGACAATGCTTGCAGAGGCCACTGAAGACTGTCATATCCCACAATCTGGACCCACGTTCCATCATATTCCCACACCTTCTAAGCCTACATCCAGACCCCACATCATATCCAGCTCATTCCAAGATCCCCTTCTGCTGTGCTTCACACCTCAGCAGGATCAACTACACTCTGGATTTACCCCTGAGCTCCTGGACCATCAGATCCTCACTGCTAGCCTGATCCGTACAACCCTATCCTGTCCACCCTATGCGCACTTCATCCAGCAAGACATCCAGACTTCACCTTGTCTCAGATTCTGGAACTATATTCACCTTCTTGTATTCCAGTCCTGTATCCACCTTGTCTTCTGGATCCCCAGATCTCCAGACCTCCGGATATTAGCTCTGGACCTATTCCCACCCTCTGTCCAATATCCTGCACCTATCCCCATTTAGGCATTCTCTGCTTTCTAGCTTTTGGTTACCTCTTCTTCCGTCTTGCTTATTGATCCTTGTATGAGTCTTCATCTCCGAGTTCATTTACTTATGTTCTGTCTTACTTACTAATGTGTTTCCACATGCTTGTGCATAGCCTTGCTCCTTTGCTTACTGATCCCCTCAGATATTGTTCAGTATATAACCCCTGTAGATACTCCTGTAGTTCCTGAGTTTGAATATCAACTTAGACTTGCCCAATCCTCTCTCAGACTTTGTTCCACCTAAGTCTGTCCTACCCATCAGGCCTAGGGATTGATTTCCTAGGCCAGAGCTCCACCTTTCTGGCACTTACCCTCTTTCCGGACTTAGGTCTAATCCCTGTCTCTCCAACTCTACCTTAGGGTAGTCTACCTCTGTTTGTTTCTACATCGGACTCCGTCTGATGTAGCCCCTATTCCTTCTGGACCTCTGGACCTCCTGTCCCTTGTACCTCTGGGCATCCTGTCCTTCAGACGTTCCACCCTCCATATCTTCGGACGTTCCGTCCTCCTAACCCTCGGACATCCTATCCTCCTGCCCTCTGTACCTTTGGACATCCTGTCCTTTGTACCTCCAGACATCCTGTCCTTTGTACCTCCAGACATCCTGTCCTTCTGTCCTCCATCATCCTGGTCCTCCTGTCCTCCTGTCCTCCTGTCATCCGGACCTTTAGACCTCCTATTCTTCCATCCTGTTTCCTGTAGAAGTATTACCTTGCAGTGGGAACTCTCCTGAGCACTTTCTGTGTTCCTCTGGAACTCTCCCACACTCCTCCAGACATTTCCCACACTCCTCTGGAAGTCCCCTAGCGCTCTCCAGCAGAGTAGCCAGCCTCTGGAAGTCCTCCGGACTTTGTCAGACCATCATTGGACCTCATATGAAATGAAGGGCACATACTCGGGTAAGGGGCACAGCGTACGAGCTGAGGCCAAGCCCCTCTGAGTCAGTCTCTCTCCCCCTTGAGCAACATGGTTCTTAACAAAGACCCAGGTGTTTATCATCTCTATAATGAGATAGAGGACTTTGTAGATCCTGTCCTTCCTATCTCAGAGCCTCCATCCTCTCTATTGCCAGAGACCATGCTCACAGAGGCCACCAAAGACCCAGAAGTTTGGAGGCTCATTAACAAGATAGAGGACTTTGTGGATCCCAATCTTCTGTGCTGTGAGTCTGCCACAGATGCCACTGAAGACCCTGATTTTTGCCACTTTCCAATCAGGACCCTTTTGATAAGTTCTTGGCTAAATCATTCTTATGGGAGCGTTTTGCACCATGATACCCTTCTGAATTAGCATCTCTCTCCTCTGCCCTGAGCCCTCATCAATCATGACATGTAGAATTCACATGTTTCACTTTACTACTATCCACTATCCTTTCTATGTTTTTCTATCTGTTGTCGCCTATTCATGCACAGCACCATAAATTCTCTCATACTCTATGGCACAGCACACTACCTCTTTGTTCTTACTAATACTATTACTGTTGTTGTTATCATTATGGTGAAATACACGCATCCCTTTGATCTTGTATATATGCACTGGAACATTTAAGGAACAAGCAAGCAGGTGAGGTGAAACGTTTGTGACATCACAGGTGTGCAGACATCTAAAAAGAAGTGCTGCATCTTACTGTAAACCAGAATGTCCTACCGAATTAATGTGAATGCATGCATGCATCATTAATCACACAGCATAGCCCTTTGATTTGTGAGGACAATTGGAATTAACAAAACTCAGGTACTCAGATCGTCCAACTTGGGGATGAGGAGAAGCAGAATCAAATTGTCTTGAGACCCATCTCCATGTCACCATCACCCTGAATGACCCCTTCCTACCACGTCCCCTCCTTGCACAAATGCACAAAGAGTATACCGCTATTGATACTCAGAATCTCAAATGAATTGCAGGAGACTCTAGAGTAGACAATATCTTGCGAGGGGATACGAAATAACAGTATGACCAACATGGAAGGTAATCCTACAACTGGCAGGTGCTACAGTGACAGGGATGAAAGAGGATCGAACACCAACAACATACAAAACCTATACCAGATGAAAGCGATATGGCAGGAACTACATACCCACATGAATAAAAACCATTCTCTGCTCGAGCGGCACTTTCGTCTTCACGGCGTGCGTAGCACGATTGAGTGCCCAGGCCGCCTTCGTGCAGTCCATCACACCACCGTCCTCCAAATCCTAGAACATATTCTCGTAAAAAGCTTTCACAACATGTTTTGCGACAGCATCGTCGACCTCCCACAGCGTGCCAATGACGCTCTTGAACACTGAAAATTGCAGTCCAGCCGCGAGGTGAATCACCTCGTCAGGAGTCTCCTCATCGCCGACGATGGTATGACACGCTGATAAGAACGCAAATTCAGCGTGGGGAATGTCTTTCTCCATGATATCAAGTAGCGTGATTGGTTTATCTTTCATGACGAAATGAGAGTTGTGAGGCTGCTCGCGGTCCTGCTTTCCATGACAGGCAAGGTGCACTTGCTTATTCTCTTGCATTGCTCGGAGTGCACCTGCACGTGTGGCTGCGTCGCCAGAAATGGTGGTACAGTTTGCCGTCGCAGGGACGAGCTTTCGGACGAGCTCGAGCTCACTGTCGACAGCTAAGAGCTCCTTGCTTTTCCCTGTACATGGTTGGCCCTGTCCAATTGCCACGAAAGACAGAGTGACACGCTTCTTCATCATCTGATCAGAGCTGACAGTGTCGGTGTGTAAGAACAAATGTAGAGATCCTCCAGCCATGGTTCCTTCAAGCGATCTGCATTTGTTTGAAAGGGGTGGGCTGCGTGAAGAGAAATGGATGTGAAAGCTGCAGTTGGACACAGCCAGATTCGGGATTGGCGCTTGAGCTTGAGGCCATACTCGAGTACGTTGACAATGGGTAGCATGATCTCTTCCCATATTATTCGCAATAGTATTATGAGATCCGTCCTCGACTCCGTTGGTTTCATCTGAGATGACTGTCATATTGCACTGGCGAAGCGATCCTTGAGATTCTTCAGATCTGTAAGAGTGATAGATGGCAAGAGAACATGATGGGGCTCTCCTGACGTCAGGACAACGACAGCGCTGCACGAGTATTCACTCACAATGAGGATGATGACTGGGCCGCGACGCGCTGCCGCTTGCAATTCCCCATACGACGATGGGAGAAGGAACCTCGAGAGACCTTTAAGATCACGGGTTTCAGCTACCACTGCTCCCCACTGCTCCGTAAGCTTCCTGTGCTGTATTTCTGCCCGGTCAGCAACAGGTCTGTCTGTGCTAACTGTGGAATCTCGAGCCTCGGACAGACACTTGCTGAGCTCCGAAAATCTGTGGGCTGGACTGGGATGAATTACGATCCTTGTGTTCAACGGGGCGCAACGTTTCTTTGTACAAACAGATGGCGTCATTGAGGTCATGATATTTCCCTTGGTGTGTGAAGCGAGTCCAGAGTGACCAGACTAAGTTATTCAGGTAGGAATCATGTTCAGAATCTCCCTCGGAACACAGAGAAATGATTTTACGACGACATTGTATGCACTCGTCTAAATCATCAATGCTGCCGTATTGTTCAAAGTGTGTTATGAGAGCCCATGCAAGCTCGTTGAGTGCGTTTGGATGGTGTTCGTTGCCCAGGGGACAGAGCTCGAGTACGACTCGTCGAAGGTGGATGCCTTCATGGGATGCATCTACTGGAAGATTGTTGCATTCGCGGATCACAAAATCAACACTATCTACCCCTACCACGATGCTACGAAGGTAGGTGCCCTCTGGATAGAGGGGCAATAGCTTGCAGCACAGCAACGCGGACTCGTGGATATAGATGGCAATGAAGTTCTCCATTTTGTAGCGCCAGATCAACGTGTCAATGAGATGACAGATGGATAATGCATGATCAGGGTAGCCCTGCAGACACAATGCAAGGGCTTTGCGGAAGAGAAAAGTGATACAGTCGATGTCCTGAAGATCGTAGTCTCGAAGGCGGGCCCACGCGAGGTTGGTGAGAGCCCCTGCGCAGTCAGGATAGCCGCCCAGACATCGGTCCAGGGCCAACTGAAAATGCTGTATGGCATCGTTCAGGTGAGAGATCGTCTTGCTTGTCACATATTTAGCAATTCGTTCTTGGCCCGCATCCGTCTCTCGAGCAATCTCACATTCAACGATGGACTACATCAGGTGTTCCGTCAATAAAAGCCAATAACACAGGGTGGTTTCACTCACGTCAAGCAGTGCGCTGTCCTGATTGTCGCAAGAATGTAGAACACCGGCCTTCAGCGTGAGGGAAGGGTGAACACCATCAACAGGCGGGAATGAGATGTCTACAAGATGTGAGTATATGCATATGAATAAGAAGCAGGTTACTCACCGAAAGGCTCATTTCCATGATCGAGCAGCGCATCCCATGATGTTTCAAGTTTTCCAATGACTCCTCTATTGCAAAGCATCCGATCAGCCTCGAAGGACGCCCTGATCTCCACCGATAATTCGGGTGATGCGTCTAATGATCTACAAGTAGAAGCTCAGTCATCGACTCACGTCCAAAAATCGGCATGGACTGTACAGAATCACGGTATCGCCCCACGCTACTGATTCGTCGGATGATAGAACTCTGGTGGCTGATTTCCAGCGTCTCCTCGAGTTAGCATGGATGAATATATAAATGCCAGCGAAAATGCGCTTGGAAGGAACTTGAACATTTTTTCCACCGATAACTGTAGATAGAGGATGAGGGTACAAAAGATACGAAAGTGATGGAGCGACTCACCTTCGAGTTTGATATATCGGCCTTCTAAGCTACTGAGCATAATGGTGTGATGAAGGAAAACGACAAGGGTCGAGGATGGACTAGGTGATGGACAGAATCTTGAAATGGTAGAAGAAGACGTGAGTGGGGAAATGGGAGCTGTGAATGAGTTAAGGTGAGAGGGAGAAGAGAAGTTGAGGGTTCGGCTGATGCCGCACGTGTACTTCCATGCTGCTCGACGGCAGTTCAGCGCTAGCACGATAGACGCTTGTATGATTGCACTAAGCGCCGAGGCTAAAAGATCACCGACCAGCAGCAAAATGCCATGGATTAGCGAAAGTGGCATGCCAAGGACACTGTGCAAGTCTCAGAATGTCCTGTGATGCAGACTCTACTCTCATAGTGGTTGTTTGAGACGTAGTATGATCATCAGCACAAGGCTGAGGCAAAATTGTAGAATTCAGTGTATTTCATGGTGCAAACAATACAGACCACTAAAAATGACGGGAGCAGGTAGAATTGACGCTATGCCCACTGAAAAGCCGATCCGTTCTATACGAGTCCACGCCAAGGGGGAAGGATGACCGAACTAGCTAGAAACAAAGGCAACAGTTTGCATGGCAGGTCGAATGCAAGAACTACACAGCGTGACGTGGCCACACTCGAGCTCGGTCTTTGGGATGAATGTGAAGGATATGTTGACTCTCGTTAGCATAGGAAATATAAACGGAACTTCAACAAACCTGTGTAGAGGGCATTCCCCAGCTAGTTCCCCAGGTTGAAACGTTAAATGTTGAATTATGTACATGATGAAGAGACCGCCGCTTATTATGTAATTATTCTTGCGGGGTTCTCATATCCTGAAATCCGCGACGGTGCTGGCAATTTCAGAAGGAGGACTTGGAAGATCCAGGCTTCGACCAGCCACGTTCTGGATTCAACTGATGCAGCAATTTTAGTTGCGATTGGTGTTGGAAAAGAAAAGTCTTCGTGGAGTCCACGGCTTCATACTCAATTTCGGTGAATAGTGGGTGAGTCCAGGGTCACCAATCTACCAGATGCAAACACAAGTGCGCTTTTCTTTTTTCAGCTAGTCCACCTCGTTCATGCAGATCGCAACACAGTAATCTTGACCAAGTGTGTGGGAGGCTCTATGGTCGGAACGTATGGGTTGACCCTTGCCCGGTTTTGATGTCCTGCAAGTAAACTGGAACCTCGGAATAACAAGTCGACTATCATGCACTCAACCGAACCACCAGCCTGGTTGAGAGAATGTGTGGAAAGATAAATCAGCTTCTCCTTCTTCTATATCCACATCACCTCAATACTTCACCCCCTCCCCCCCATTCTCGTTTCACTCTGTTACTTCTGCTTGAGGGTATCATCGCGCGATTAATTAATATTCCTCTGTGAACCTAGTATGAATCACCGAGGCAGACGGAGGTAAGTGAAAATTCCTTTGTATATTATGGCGAGGGCCGGATAACCCAAGTGTTTGTTCCCAACTTCGTTTGACCTACATTGCCATTAGCTTCCTCCTGGTTATCCTCACGCAACCAATACTCGCTAGATTGTCGATGAAAGTTGCTGTTATAGGGTCTAGAGTTTCTAGCTTAGTTGCGGCATGGGTGCGTTTATGCTATGATAATTGCTGCAATGGAACGATTGCTAACCTGGTGCCTATGGGATTTATTCCAGGCTCTAAACGAACATAATCCTCATGAAGTCGAAGATCGTGCGGGAAGACACGCAAATACGATTAGATACATACATCTAGGTATATCAGACGGAGACGCAGTTGACGTGGACACGTAAGCGCCCTTTTCATTCTACTTGGCTGGATTCTAGTTAATCTGTTGATACCAGAGGATTCGTACGTGCTGGTCATTTCACTTTCACTTTCTTGCATCTCGCGCCGTATGATTAAGAACTATTTTTGATAGTTTCTGTAGCCTGTGACAACTGCGATATGAAGTACACCGCCTGAGAAGTGCTTTATGAACTTCTCTGCTCGGACTTTGGTAAGTCTTTCGTTGTATATTAGGTCGGATTTGATGGTCATTGTTCACAGGTACAATTCATGAGTACTTGAGTAATCACCACCTTCTACAGAGTACGGGCAAGCCGTCGTGGTTTACTATTGAAGGTGGGAGGTGGTGCAATTTTATAATAGACGCTATCGAGTCTGACTACATTCCCTGGTCGCAACCACGTTAATGCGATTTTGTCAATACTTCCCAAGGTTACAATTGTTCTCTCCTGTCAGCGATATGCAGAACAACCCAAGGCGAAGGCCGCACGCCGTGTTGATGAGGACGGCACACTCAAAATTTTTGAATAGAATACGAGTATCGCAGTGCTGCACGGTGACATTAACGTAGGTGTTCTTGCACTTTCACATCACGTCTGGCCGTTCATGCACCCCTCCAGTTAATGCTAAAAGCCAGGACTGCGTGGTCTTGCTGGAACTACCTCACATTCTCCAGCTTGAACGACAAGGGTAAACACAAAGCTCATATAAACAAAGTCGCGCTGTAAGTCTTGACCCTCAGGCCTTATCGTCAAGAAATCCGTGTTCCGTTCTAAACCATACATTACAGCACATGTAAACCGATGACATTCCTCACCGTCATCTTCAATGGCACTCATGAGCGGCATCTTTAAGACTACATGAACGAGTTGCAGCATCTGCCAGAGAATCTTCACGGCCCGGTGCTGGTTACCCTAAACCCACCAGCAGATTCAGACGTCACTAAAGCTGCTGCGTGATTCGCCTGCGAGCACCCCATCCTCGACACCAAGGTGCGTTTCGTTACGTCTTCATGCCCATTACCCATACGTCAACATACGCACATCCCCCTATTTACAAGCGATCATCGCTCAAAGGCAATGTCGAACATTCAGGGCCGTGGCGGTGTCCTGTTGGCAGGAGCGTGGCTTGGGTATGGATTTCATGAGGCCGGGTTTACGTCCAGTTTGCGCGCCGTCGTGGAGCATATCCATGGTATTCAGCTTCTTCGATATAGCTGGTGCTGATCGCAAACCTTGCGTTACCTTTGTTGCTCCGCCCTTTGGGTTCTTGGAAGTTACTGGTATACGTGCCATAGTCGGCACAGCTTTGATACTGGTGCTCCTCATCAAGTTCATCGTACAGTCATATCAAAAGCTTTTTCATATACAATCATAATCCAGAGACGCGTGTATTTATACATCATGTTCAAGCCATTAATGCTACATTGACGAACGATGAGTTATGAGAGTGCGGTGTGATGCAAAAGCGGTATCCGAGTGATTTCGACGAGGTGACCAGACAATTAAAAAAACGTACTGAACGAGATATATACGATATATTAATCTTCAGATGGGCGTCTTGCCTGAGTGAAGCCGAATGTGACTTTCCCTCTCGACTCCAAGCCATCAGTGGTAGACGGTTCGCTAGAACTGCCCTGGGGCGCCTGTTCAAGTGTCATCCTAGGAGTCGTGGCACCAGTCCGAGGCTCTTCGTCGACGAACCGGACCGACCGAGTAGGCGAGACATCACGGGAGTTATGTTCGCTGGTCTTCAGAGACTCCAACCGTCGGTGCTGGATGGAGTGACGGTAAGTGTGCCCTGATCCCTGGCGGTGAGGTGTGTGGCTTCTCCCACGCTGGTCCTCATCTTCAAATGGTGCCATCTCACTTGGCTCAGTCGTAAAGGCGGACGCCGGGTCCTGCTCCAGAAGCTGCTTAGCATGGCTCGAGAACGTTCCGCCATCTCCCGTTGATTGTCTTCGTCGATGACTTCTTGCATTTCTGGCAGCTGCAGAATGGGTCCCGCTCTTCGTTTTCCATGATTTCGGACGCTTCTTGTGATCGCCAGGCAGCTCCCCTAACGGGTACGCAGGCCCGTCGCCATCTCCGCTTTTGTCTGACGTCCATCCTTCTTCGTCTTCATCACCTTCAGCACATGCGCTCGTGTTTTCATCACTTGATCCACCGACTTGGAAAACTTCCTGGGCTTTTGACTTGTAATGCATGTATATCATGCTTAACAGTTTCTTCAACGTGTTCAGCTCCCCGATGTATATCTTCAGGCATATGATGTAACTTGCGAAGATACGCGCGACCTGCTTGTAAGGCGTCACTTTCTCCTACAGAAAACCGGGAGTGCACAGCTCGTTCAGAGGGCTTGAATGCGTTATAAATGACTTCCACGTCAACCTGAAAACAACGTTAACATCACTATCAGTAATGTCAATCAACCCACACACCTCTTCACCAGGACCACCTCGTCGCTCAATAATTTTATGCGGGCCTTCCTTCCACTCCGCCGTCGCCTCCTTTCCATCAGGTGGTGTCTCCTCCTTTGTCTCTTCCTCATCCTTTGCCAGCGCAGCTTCCGCACGCGTCTCCGCACTGCTCGCCTCGCCGACCTGTTCCGTCCCATCAGGCGATAGCGGCGACGCAGTGATCGTACTTGCGCGCTTGCTCTCCAGTACAGACTTCTCCTCTTCCGTCAGTCCGCCCTCACCACGCTCGAGTCCAGCAGGGTCACGGTTAATGATGACGTCTTCCGCACGTGTAACGTGCCGCGTATGCGTTGCCCAATCGGGTACGTTGGATGAGGCATGACGGGACCACGTACGAGACCCAACTGAATGCACACGGCGGCCTAGGAGTGAGAATGGGATGGACAGACCATGAATAGCGACGCTGCAAAGTACCATGAATGCAACGATGGGTTGAATGGTAAGTGCCAAGAATTCAGTTTGGTTGGTTGGAGGGTTGTTGGGTTTTGGTAGCTGTCGGGCTGCTAGTGTGGAAATATATATAGCGCCTGTAATGGGAACACGTCATATCAGTATGTTGCAGGGATTATGTGAGATATATCACGCACCAATGCCTATGGGCCCGAAATGGCCACTGAAAACGGCTTCCCGGAAAGTCTTTACGTCGGGTATGAATTTGTAGAGCGCAATCATAACCGGCAACCTTTTTAATATCAACACTAAAATGGCAATGACGATGAGCCTCCACACACTGAGTGAGAGGGTCTCGTTGTTGAAACTGTCAAACGGCATCCAGGCACCGACATAAACGAAGGCAGCGACATTGAATAGTAAGTCGATAACGGAACTGAACACTGATTCCTCTGTCTGGCGATTGAAGAAACCGTCCCAAGCAAATGCCGTTCCGCAACAGAATGCTGCCAGGAGATCATCAGAACCTAGGATAGTCATGATACCGATGGTGAGTAAAGCCAGGGATATGTACTGTGCAACGTAGGACTGCCGATCGACGAAGTCATTGCGCTGGCAGAATTTCATAAGGTGCCGGAAGCCCCATCCTATCAAGGCGCCCACCACCACACCTAGGATGACTTGATCTGTTATAACGGAATTAGCTGAGGAACTGTCACTGAATTTTTTATCTCACAGAGCCAGAGTAGAAGGAACCAATCTTCAACTGCACGACTGGTAGTGGAGTCCAATATGAGATACAATGCGATATAAAGGAAGGGATACGCTGCTCCATCGTTGCAACCGCTTTCTGCTGCGAGGAGATGGCGAAGATGAGCAGGAACGTGTTTATCGGCATATTTGCCACCGACAACTGCAGCAGCAAGGATCGGATCAGTCGGGGTCAAGCATGCAGCGACAGCAAGGCTTGACAAGAATGTGAGGTCAGGTATCAAAGCATAAATCAAGCCTGCCGACACAAACCAGCCCTGGTGATAGTTAGAGAATAGGTCAAAGACATGTTCAAGATGTTACCCACCCATGTCATGACAGGAAATAGAAGGTATAGCAAACTTTTCCAGTGACGCTTCATGTAAGCTTTTGGAAGCTCGACGCCAATTGCGAAGACTCCGATTGCGAGGACAACGCGAGTGAACTCGAGTGTAATTTTATTCACGGTATCCTCGGTAGTGTCACCCCCCCAGCTGCGGGGATCAAATATGCCGGCACCGTAAGGACCTAAAAATAAAAATGGTAAGGCAGTGTGATTAGAAAACTTTAAAAGCATGATCCGCTGAGCTCACCGATGATGACGCCGAAGAGAAAAGCCCAGCATGCCTCGCCAATGTAAAGCTACACACAATGAGTATGGAGGTTGATATCATCACAAATTATATTACCTTTTCTCGAATGAACAAAGAGAACATACCAAACTGTAATGGATATCGCAATGAGACGTTGCAAAAGTGGACAGAGCACGCTGTACTTACCACAACGACGAAACCTCCGAGGCAGGCATAGGCGATGTGCGGTATGGTTAATGCAAGCTGAGAAAGTCAATGAGTGCTGCAACAGTCGGGTGCAGAAACAGTGCTTCGTACCGGCCGGAATAGCATGGCGTGCGGTGCCGAAGAGTGCTCAACCGAAAAGAAGCTGGATAGTGCGTGCAGCTGAGCAGTGATTATGCCCACTGGGGTTCATAAAATGGGACGTGGTGGGTCAGTCCCGGGTCGTTGGAGTGAGGATATAAGAAGATAGAGGAGTGTGCGGCAAGTCGGGAGTAGACCGTACTAGTAGCCGAGTCTTTATTCCAGGTTATGTCAGCCAATATCTTCGCCAAGCGAGTTAAGAGCCAGGGATGTGGCGGCCTGCCAGGTCCATAAAAACCACCCCACATTTATAGTCGCAGCACCCGGCGCGGAACCTGCTGCCAGTGGCCCGGGCAGATGACGGATGAGTCGCGAGAGAACGCATGTTCAACGTTTGACATCCCTAATTAATTTTCGGCTCAGCAACGGGCTCACCCCTCGACCCTCCATAGACTATCCCGCCAATCAGCTTAACTCTGGGCATTGCAGATAAGCCAGGATAAGCCACCATGCTACATTTTACTCGCAGTGTTCATTGGAGTAGCGCTCTTCCTGCTACCCACGGAACAACTCTACTTGTGTATGTGGCTCAATTTTTTCTCTCATGAAGATCCAGGAATGGGAATTCATCTCCACCCCCGCCGCTTAAAGGACGCGATACCCTACGTATAATTTGGGTAATATCGTTGCATTCTTGACATTTTTTCGTCAGCCGTGACCTCACTGAGGTGGAGTCTCCTGTCACTCGTGGTAGTATGCAGCGAGTTCGGACTCTCCAGAGGGACCATGCCTCCGACACCCCTAGCCTTCTATCGTGCCCGCCACAAGATGCCACGCATTCTCCTATGATTAGCAGATGGAAATGTTCTAGGCATTCGAGATCTGCACTTGACTCTGCATTTTAACTTCAAAGCTATCTTCGATCGTACATTCTTCGGTCTTTCGGATGTCGCAGGTCCCTGTACAAGTACACCCCCATCGCCAAGCACTCAGCAAACAAGCTCGTGACCAGCTCCATTCCCTGACTCAGGGACTATCTTACTCACCCTGACATTCACTTATCCGCACTAAGCTAAATTTTCCGCCTCGTCGTGAGGCTGTTCGGAGATTCGCCTTGTTCCCGATTTTTTACATAAAACGCTCTGGCGGCTGGCTGCGTGCCAGTACCTCGGTGTGTGTTATCTCGATAATTACCGTGACTGCATATAATCTGATATGGAGCTGCTTATGAATATGGGGTCCGTAGTGAAGACGCCGGACGGCCCTGCCGCAGACAGCGGAAGGTTTATCGTTGACTTATCAACCCAATGCTGTTCATCCTATGATCATGGCGCTCGCTACCAAGTGTTCCCGCTCCAAACCTGTGTCACCGCGCAATATCAACCAAACGTGAGTTTCATTTAGAGTCCCTGCGGCTTATGCGCATTGATCTGTTTGCGCATCATTGAGAAAGGGGTAAACCCTACTGCGGCATCGTTTCGCGCATTCATGTGAAATGTAATCAATCTTGCCATCGGATTTCTGCTACTGGCATCCTATATTCGTATACACCATGGCGCGAACCACCCATTCTCTTCCTGAGTTCTTTGTTACACCGTCCCTCATGTCCTAGGTGAATTTCGTGGTGATACGAATACGCCATTGGGTGAAGGTCATATTGAAATACGAGTTCTTGGGTCTGGAATCTGAACCTGCGTCATTCACGCACCACTGCCGAGAGTAGAGCTCAAGAAACGGGAAGTATCTGTAGAAATGTGGCGAAACCAACATACCTTCTGACCCACTATATTCGTCCACAGGCGGTGTTCCTGCGAGTGCAGAGAGCACGACAGATACTACTCTGCTGGGTATATGCAGTTGTAATGGTGTTGGTTAATAATTCCGTGAAGAAGACCATCAAGGTGTTCGATTCGATCATGGGTTTAGGGAGTAACTTGCTCCATGACGCCAAAGATGAGAAATTTAATAACCCAAAATCAAGCATATACTTCAACTCACGAAATGAGACCCAGCAATCTTCCCTTGAGGAACAAAGGAAGAGATATCATTTCTTCATATTTCGTTTTGACATACTCTTCTCACTCCGGATCCTGCTCTGTTTACGAGGCGCGATAGCGGCCCTCTTGACAGCGCCCGTCTTCCTCGTTCGTCCCCCATCCTTCTCCTTGCCACGTACAGGCACACCCTGCTTCGCAAGCGCCATTCTCACTTTCTTCTTCGCCATCCTCCGCGCCAGCCGGTCAGCATCCGTCGCTTTTATCTGCTTTCGTTCCTCTTTGGAGAGGGTCGCTATTTTTTCACCCAGAGAGGGATCGCCCTTTGGCACGTCGATGGGTGGAGCTGCACCTGTACTGTGACTAGTAGTTGCAGTCTTTGAAGCAGCAGCTTTATCAGTCGCAGAGCCCTTGGGGAGTATTTTGCAGCGTTGAACGCGTAGTTTACGTTTTGCAAATTTGAGTTTCGACTCTTCCATCGCAAGAGTTTCGTCCACGCAAACACGATCCTGGAAACGAATCTTCAGAATGTCACCCATAAGCAATAATCAAACACTAACCGTAAATTGCACATATGCGAAGCCCTTCCCAAGTTGAGTCTCCTTATCCCGCACAATTCTGACTCGTGAAACCCAATGCTTAGGTGCATCTGAAGCCTGACTAGGTGGCCCGCGCTCGGCAGTGATAAGACTTTCGAAGAATATCCGCAGATCTTCCTCTTTGCTCGCAAAGTCAAGGTTACCCACGAAAACCGATGATTTTGGATCTCCCGCAAAAGTACCTAAGAGAGCACTTTGTTTTCCAATGCTATCTGCAGGCCTGCCCAAAGAATCTACACGGATTGTACGATCCATGAAAACAGTCCCATTGCACGTCTCGACAGCTAGACGAGCTGCCTCGTGTGGGTCCATGACTGGTAGAAGGGGAGGCAAATTTAAAGGCCGCTCGTTCGCAGGAGGGGGATATGCGAAGACGACGTATGCATTAACTGAATCGGCGCTAGGGTGAAGTTCATGATTGATAAATGCAACTTTTTTTTTCTGACTTGGAGTAAGAAACTTCTTCTCGTCATTTTTCGGCTCGTCCGCTGTGGGATTAGCTTTGCGCCACGATGATGCTCTGTCTAGGCCGTGCTGCCGTGAGCCGGTCTTTTCTGTCCCATCATCATCGGGAAGTTTACTGGTAGGATTTTGAAATGCGACGGAGCGGAATCTTGTGGACTCGATTTTTGCGGTAGGAACGAGCTCTAGAATGTGCCTGTGGAGTTTTTTCTGCAAAGGCTAACACATATTCAGTATGTGTTAATGCCACTATTAACAAGTATTCAATGACTCACTCGCTTCTGAGCAACCTCGGACGAGAGGTTACCCACGAAGATCGTGCGCAAGCTGCGCTGCTCCTCGGACTCATCTGGCGGAGCGAATTTCACCTTGCGCGCGGATGCGCGTTGGCTGGACTTCGCACCACTGAGCAGCGACTCGTGTATGAGCGTAGATGGCCCACTCTCCTCCTCGGAGTCGGAATTGTCGATAGGTTCAGCCCCTCGGTATTCAGCACTGCTGCCCTCCACGGCTGAGATCGCCTTTAATTGTTCTTGAGTTTTTAATTTTCCCTTGTCGACCTTTCCTTTCTTGTTCTTGACGCGCTTTGGAGGGGAATCGTGTTGTTGCGACTCTTTGAGTGCGGACTTGTGCTTTTTCAAACCATGCCCCTGCTCTCCCTCCGGCTTACGCTTCTTGTCATTGAGTGCTGCAGTACTGCCGTTATCTTGGACCTTATGAGCCAATACAATTCAATGTAGACCACCGTAAAACAAAAAACATGAAAGTCAGAGTGACGTACCTGAGTATGAAAAAGGCATCTAATTCCGTATCAATAGCATTTTTGGTTGCTCGTAGTTTTCCCTCCGAGCAGGAATGATGAGAGACTCATGGTTGAGGACTGAGTACTGAGTGAAGGAAGGTACTCGAATAACGTCGAGACTCGAGATGTTGTAGCGAGTGTCAGAGGTCCTGGTGCCAGGTGGGGCGGCCTCTTGGTATTTTCCCTTAAAAGTCAAACTACCAGCCTACCGTGAGCTGCCGTGGCGATGGAGTCCTAAGTACAAGAGTACGACGTAACCTGGACCAAGTACTAGTAAGCCGTCGAGCCTCTGAGGTACTTCCCCCCTTTTCTCGTCTTTCCTTAGTCGTTTTGATAGTCTTATAAAAATCGTTTAAGGCTTTTTTGCATACAAAATTCGCGTTCGGGGTTCGGGTACGTTGTACAGTTCTGACAGTATCTAAGTCGATTTTTTATGCATCTTTGTGTTTATCAAATACAGAGGACTAGTGGAAACTCTGGAAAACTCCAGATAGGAGTATAACCGCAAACACCAATACCGCTCTGAACTCTTAGATGAAGAATGACAATGCCGACGAAATATACTGAAGGTCAGGACTAGGACGTGCACCTGAAATGCAACTTTGACTGCGTTGAAGTCTTCCAGGGAGGCCCAACACAGATACTGTGACAGCCGGATCCGAGGTTTGTTTATCTCATTCACTGAAGTGAGAGCATTCTGACCTCGTTGTCAGGTCTGTATTGCACCAGAGTGTCGTCGTCAGTCGGGAGATTCTTGGCCTCTAGATTCACAGTTTCCAATGGCAATGGATTGGACAGACGAGGGTCTGAATGATTTCGCCTCAGCCACCCCAACGTTGTTTCCGGCGACTGTCTAAATGCGATAATACAGACATAACGTTCACGCCAAGGACACTGCTCTTCCTGTAAGAGTCCTCGCCTGACTAGTAATGCATCAACATTTGAGGCTCAGCTATCACTCAGAAAATCGATGGACGCTATGCCGTGGATTCCAATTACTTGCCAGTGAGCTGCATATCTGGTTTAATTTTAGGTGATGATATCTCGTAACAAGGCAAGCTTGATAACGAATTTTGAATGTTTCAACTTTTAATATTACCAATTGCGAGTTTTGCAAACTTGAATGAATATATTCAGTCAACTGGGTTCTATGAGCGACCATCTGATTTCGAAGACCCTACCTATCCGGTATGCTTCTGATTCATATCGATTGGTCGATGGAGTTTACTTGCCAATCCAGGCACTATGTATATGGTCAATGCTTCCCCTCAACATCGCTCGGCCATCATCGATAAAGAGTCGGTTTCAAGTTGGAACATAGCGAAACCCTCAGCTAGTCACTTCGTATGTCACTCTGATTGGGGCGGGTGAACGGGTCTTGCTCCAGTACGCATCGATGGTTGACGCTCAGCTATCGCCTCAGCAGGTTGATATCTCACCAACACGCGACCCTGACCTAACTCCTGATTTGACGTCGCAGATAAGTAAGCAGTCCCTTAGTTGCTTTAGCTTTCGCCTATCTCACGTTATCGATGAGATAACAAACGGTTATTGAGCACGGAAACCAGAAAACTCGATGAGTTTTCGGTCAGATCCTAGAATATGCAATACTGTCGTACCAACGGCGTGATGGTGAGGTACAGTTCTCTGATATCGACCAGCCTCACGCCCGTAATATTCCAGGCTATTCCAAGATCGAAGGTTGTTGTATCCGGGCTCACAGAGACGGGTATCACTATGTCTGGATAGACACTCGTTGCATCGATAAGAGCAGCAGCTCTGAACTCTCCGAAGCGATCGACTCGATGTTCATGTGGTACAAGAAGGCCTAGATCTGCCACGCATATCTGGACGACGTGTCCAGATGTGACGCTTTGATGGAAGATTTTTCCAATAGCCAATGGTTCAGAAGAGGGTGAACTCTTCAGGAGCTCGTTGCCCCCAACAATGTCGTATTTTTTGCGCGATTGGGGGGAGATAGGAAGTAAATTTAGCTTCGCTCCCTTGATCAAATGGATTACGGGGGTTTACTGCATGGTCCTACTTACGAACCACCCGGGAGACATCAGTGTAGCAACAAGGATGTCCTGAGCTGCGGGACGAAGGTAGAGGATCAGGCATGTTCGCTGCTTGGTTTGTTTAAGGTATACATGCCTACGATATACGGGGAAAGAGAAAGCGTATTCGCCAGACTTCAGATCCAAATCATGAGGAGCTCCAACGATCAAAGCATTTTCGCTTGGAAATCTCACCGAGGAAACACAAGTGGTCTACATGTCTCTTCCGTAATATACACCGCCGGGGGCTGTGCAATTTTGTCTTTAGAATCCAAACAGCTACTTCCGAAAGTCTACCTTGAATGTTGCTGCCAACCACGATCTCCCATCGTTTGCGGCCCCCACATCCAAGTGCCAGTGTGCCACCCCAAGCAACATTCTGTAGCTATGGTGCGGCGCTGCCATTGACACAACCACCTGCGCCCTAGAGCAACCTCCTGCCGCCTCCCGCTACGCTCAACCAAGACCCTTCCCCACCCTTCTATTATCCTGCTGTTGCCCTCCATTGCCACACATATCCAACCAGGACCTTCTTTGTGCTCGTGCTAACCCAGTGCTGCCGTCATGACTCACTGCAGTCTCCCGTTTCCCACTTCGACCTCCTGCACTCCTCCCACACTCCAAGGGCAACGTCCTGCAACGTCTCACCGCCCTGGCACGCCAACACAGACCCCTCCTCACTCTTCCATGAACCTGGTGTTGCACAGCCGACCATGACCTTTCTCGTGCTACCGCTGACCTGGCACTACCACCGCGATCTACCCGCAGTCTCCCGCTGCTCACTTCGACCTCCCACACTTCCTTGTCATTCTTGGCGCCTCACGCAGCCAATTATGATTGCCTCGAGTCCAGTAGGAATTGTCCGTAGTAGAACGCGTGCACAAATGCTGGGTATAAATAAACCTGCGTATTGGCGGCACGGACAGTGCAGTTACGAAGCAGAACTGCTTAAATGACCCGATGAAACATGGTGTATTTGATGTCCAGCGTGGAGAATAAGAAAAACGAAACGAACAGAGGATGCAAACTAAGCGCACGAAAATCTAGGATACTAAGAATCCTCGGGTGGCTTGCAAATATTGAGCTCCGTCTCCAACCATATCTTGCGATGATGACCCCACCTATATGTAGATCACTTCAATGTTAATCCACGCTGTGACGAGCTGGCACTCGTGTATGCTGCAGCGGGAGGAACACCACCCTTCGCTGCCACTGACTTTGTCTTGCGTACCCGCTCCATTGCGATATATCCCTGTTCATTCTGTCTCTGGTAAGAACAGAATTCTGCGCAAGACGCAACTAAAGCTTGCCTGTAACCTGCACGCAGCATATACCTCGACGACGTCCGGATATTTCATTGCTGGGGTCATTTTGGGGAATCCTTTCCTCGATTATGCATTGGCTGTTTCCAAAGATTTCGGTTATCAGTGCTGTCGAGCTCCACAAGGGGAGAGATGATCAAGCGGTGGGCTCTGCGCGTCAGTTAGAGGTCCTTCTCGCTGCTCGTCTTCAGTTATTGACCCCGAACTGAGGATTCACAGAACACTTACGACCCATCATGTTGAAGGAAGTCTGAGAGACAAGAAAGAACTTGCATTATCATTCCTAGCACTTCCTCGTCTTCTTCTTGCGCTGGTTGGTTGGGTGTGATCCGATTGCAGGCTCCACGGGTAACTTTGAGCGAGCAAGACGAGTGAAGAAGCTGCGCTTGGGATGCTCTAGTGGAACGAACTTGTCTACCGACGGGCGGTGCCGAAAGATAATGTTCAGAGTGCTGACATCAAGGCAAGACAATGACGGGGACTCGGCACGAGTTTTCCTCCTGCATAACTTCCATCACCTTCTTGAGGTATGAGTGCCGCCAGCGTAGGAGTGATATCTTTGACCATCCACAGATTGAAGTTCGCTTCGTCCCCACCATATGCCCGCCTCCTCTCTCTCGACACAATGAAAGATTTCGTGATCCTGGCAAAATGGCTGGCCGAGTGCCCACCATCAATTTTCAAACCGGACGGTCAGCCGGAAGATTATCTCAGGTCATGAGCCAATGATACAAGATCTCAAGCGCAATTTTTTATGCCTCGCGTATATATATTTTCTTCGTAGAAACTAAGGGGGTGAGGGAAAACGGAAGGGTTGTGCGGTGTCGCTCGGTATCAGTACGGAATTGGCACGTCCAGTCGTACATTGCCACGGCTAGCCCGACAGCGTCCACGTCCTACGATGGCCCAGGAGCAAGAGGTGATGTTCAATGGAGAACTCTGGATTGATTCAATGCACCTGTGAGATATTTGTCAGCGGGAGCATTCCCATTACGTACGCACATTGTTGCCTCTACTTCTCGATCATTCGCATGGACTCGTATAGAACGGATTGGCTTTTCAATATTGCGAGTCGTTCTGCGCGTAGCGCACGACAGCATCATTTTCACCTGGCCCAGTCGTTTTTAGTGGTTTGTATTGTTCGCACCATGAAATACACTGGATTCTGCATTTTGCCTCAGCCTTGTGTTAATGATCATGCTCAAACAACGGTAGGGTCTACATCAGACGTTCTGAGTCGTCATTGAAAGCTTAACGTGCCACTTTCGTTAATCCACAGCATTTGCTGCAAGCTGGTGATCTCTCGGTCTCAGCACTCTGTGCAATCATACAAGCGTCTACCATCACGCTAGCGCTGAACTGCCATCGAACAACATGGAAATACATGTGTAGCATCACCTGAACGTTTGAACCCTCAACTTCTCTTTTCTGCCTCACCTGAGCCTGAGCTTCATTCACAGTCCCCATATCCCCACACACCACCTAACCCATCCTCGATCCCTCCCGTTTTGCTTCATCACCATGCCCGGCAGCTTAGAAGGCCGATATATCAAACTCGAAGGTAAGTCGCTCCATACCACCTTCGTATCTATTTCGTATCCTCACTCCCTATCTACAGTTATCAGCGGACAAGATTTTCAGGTTCCCTCCGGGCGCGTTCCTGCTGGCATTTACATATCCATCAATGTTGACTCGAGGAGACGCTGGAAATCAGCCACTAGAGTCCTGTCATCTGATAGATCAGTAGTGTGGGGTGATACCGTGACCCTGTACAGTCCATGGCGATTTTCGGATGCGAGTCGATGGCTGATCTTTTGCTTGTAGATCATTAGACGCGTCACCCGAATTATCAGTGGAGATCAGGGCGTCCTTCGAGTTCGATCGGATGCTTGGCAATGGAGAAGTCATCGGAAAACTTGAAATATCATGGGATGCGCTGCTCGATAATGGAAATGAACCTTTCGGTGAGCAACCTGCTTCTCATTCATACGCATATACTCACATCTCGTAGTCATCTCCTTCCCGCCCGTTTATAGTGTCCACCCTTCCCTTACACTGAAGGCCGGTGTTCTACATCTTTGCGACAATCAGGACGACGCACTGCTTGATGTGAGTGACATCAGCCTCTGCGTTGTTGGCTTTTGTTGACGGAACACCTGATGTAGTCCATCGTTGAATGTGAGATTGCTCGGGAGACAGATGCGGGCCATGAGCTATTTACCACATACGTGACAACCAAGACGGTCTCTCACCTGAACGAAGCCGTACAGCGTTTTCAATTTGTCCTGGACCAATGTCCGGTCGGCCATCCTGACCGCGCAGGGGCTCTTACCAACCTCGCGTGGGCCCGCCTTGAAGGCTACGTTCAAAACGATCTTCAAGACATCGACTATATCACCTCTCTCTTCTGCGAAGCCCTTGCATTGCGTTCCCAGGGCCACCCCGATCATCCATCATCCATCTATCACCTCATTAAAACATTGATCTGGCGCTTCAGCAAGGAAAACTTCATCGCTGTTTATATCCAGGAATCCGCGCAACTGTGCTGCAAGCTATTGCCCCTCTGTTCAGAGGGCACCTACCTTCGCAGCATCGCGGCAGGGGAAGATGGTGTTGATTATGTGATCCGCGCATGCAATAAACTTCCAATAGACACATCTGATGAGGGCATCCACATTCGGCGAGTTGTGCTCGAGCTCTGTCCTTTGGGCAACGAACACCGTCCAAATGCACTCGACCAGCTTGCATGGGCTCTCGGATCACGTTTTGAACAATGCGGCAGCATTGATGATCTAGACGAGTGCATCCAACGCGGTCGTGAAGCCGTGTCTTTGTGCTCTGAGGGACATTCTGAACGTGATGTCTACCTGAATAACTTGGCCTGCTCACTCGACGACCGCTTGATACACCAAGGAAAATATCATGACCTCGACGAGGCTATTTCTTTGCACGAAGAAGCGCTGCGCCTGCGCCCTGTTGGGCACAAATATCGTGATTTCTCATTGGACAACCTAGGAGCCACCCTCTGCACCCGTTTCGACCAACATGGTGATGTTAACGATATCAACAGAGCTATCAGCCTCCAGCGCGAGGCACTGACGTCGCGCCCGCCTGGGAATCCAGATCGTGATTCCTCACTCAACAACCTTGCCAACGCGATTAAATCTAGATATCACAAATTGGATGTCAGCGAAGATCTCAACGAGGCTATTGACCTGTTGCAGGATTCACTTCAGTTAAGGCCGCACGGTCATCCGTACCGCTATATAACTCTTTTCAGTTTGAGCTCGGCGCTCTGCTCTCGTTTCACGCAAGCTCAGAAGGATGAAGATGTCGAGGAGGCCATTCGACTGTGCCAAAAATCGTTGGAGGCTTTGCCTTCACTGCACCCGAATAGATCCATCAGCTATGTAAAGTTGCTGGAAGCCTATCTGTCTCGTTACAGAGTGCAAGGCAAGTCCACTGATTTGTCGCTCGCTGTGGAGAACTTCAGGCTGGCAGCACGACATCCCACGCAAGGCTTTCCACGCCGCATCAGAGTCACTCTAGACTGGGCTCACCAAGCAGAACTCTATCAACACGAATCTGCCCTAGAAGCATACCAGACGTGCCTGGATCTTTTCGAAAGCCATGTGGTGATGCGATCCACGGTTATCTCACGACGCGAGGCTGCAACTGCTTTTGACGGCGCCCAATCACTGCCAGTAGATGCAGCCTCATGTGCTATACGTCATGACCATTCACGACAAGCGGTCGAACTCCTGGAGCTGGGTCGTGGCCAGCAATGGTCACTGGCCTCTCGACTCAGGACTCCGCTGCAAGACCTCGAGGCGCAAAATATGAATCTAGCCCACAGATTTTTGGAGTTGAGCAAGTGTTTGTCCGAGGCTCAAGGTTCTGCAGTCAGCATAGACAGGGCTACTGCTGACCGGGCAGAAATACGGTACAGGAAACTTACGGAACAGTGGGGAGCCGTGGTGGCTGAAATCCGGAGTCTTAAAGGTTTCTCAAGGTTCCTTCTCCCGCCGTCGCATACAGAATTGCAAGCGGCAGCGCGTCATGGCCCAGTCGTCATCCTCATCGCGAGTCAATACTCCTGCGCCGCCATCATCGTTCCGACATCAGGAAGCCCCCATCATGTTCCCTTGCCGTCTATCACTCTTACAGATCTGAACAACCTCAAGGATCGCTTTGCCAGGGCAATACGACACGCATCTATTATGGGCCCAAAGGTGCCACGAAATGATCTAATAGTGCTCTTGCGGACAGTATGGGACAACATCATGCTACCCATTGTCAACGTCCTCCAGAATGACCTGAAATTAAAGCACCAATCTCGAATCTGGCTGTGTCCAACTGCAGCTTTCACGTCTATTCCTCTCCACGCCGCTCACCCCTTTCAAACAAAGGCAGATCGCTCGAAGGAGCCATGCCTGGAAGATCTCTACATCTGTTCTTACACCCCGACACTTTCGGCCCTGGTGAGATCTAGGCAGATGATGAAGCAGCGCGTCCCTCCATCTTTTGTAGCGATCGGACAGGGTCAGCCGCGTGCAGGGAAGAGCAAGGAGCTCTTGGCTGTCGACAGCGAGATCGAGCTCGTCCGAAAGCTCGTCCCTGCAACTGCCAACCGCACCACTGTTTCTGGTGATGCGGCCACACGAGCGGGTGCACTGCAAGCATTGCAAGAAAACAACTGGGTGCACCTTGCGTGTCATGGAAAGCAGGATCGCGAGCAGCCTTACAATTCTCACTTCGTCATGAAAGATGAACCTATCACGCTACTTGATATCATGGAGAAAGACATTCCTCACGCCGAGTTCGCGTTCTTATCGGCATGTCATACCGCCGTCGGCGATGAGGAGACGCCCGACGAAGTCATTCACCTCGCAGCTGGACTGCAATTTTCAGGGTTCAAGAGCGTCATTGGCACGCTGTGGGAGGTCGACGACGCTGTCGCAAAACATGTTGTGAAAGCTTTTTACGAGAATATGTTCAAGGATTTGGAGGACGGCGGTGTGATGGACTGTACGAAGGCGGCCTGGGCACTCAATCGTGCTACACACGCTGTGAAGACGAAGGTTCCGCTGGAGCAGAGAATGGTTTTCATTCATGTCGGTGTGTAGTTCCTGCCGTATTGCTTTCATCTGGTATAGGTTTTTAAGTGGTTGATTTTCGATGCCCTTTCATCTCGGTCAGTGTAGCACCTGTCAATTGTAGGATTATCTTCCATTTTACCATACGGTTGTTTCGCATTCCCTCACATGATATCGTCTACTCTACAAACCTTTGCAATTCATTCGATGTTCTAATTATCAGTAGCAAGATGTTCTTTGTGCATTCGTGTAAGGGGGGAATATGGTAGGAAGGGGACATCTTCCAGCGCATATATACAAGATCAAGGTAATGTATGTATTTCGCCACTGATGACAACAGTAATAGTAATAATAAGAACGAAGAGGTAGTACGCTGTGCCATAGAGTATGAAAGAATGTCTGGTGCTATACATGAATAGACGACAGCAGATAGCAAAATATAGAAAGGATAGTGGATAGTAGTGAAGCAGTGAAATATGTGAACTCTACATTTCATGGTCAATGAGGACAGAGGAGAGAGATTCTAATTCAGAGGGGGGTCATGGTGTAAAACGCTCCCATAAGAATTATTTAGCCAAGAACTTATCAAAAGTGTCCTGATTGGAAAGTGGCAAAAATCAGGGTCTTCAGCAGCATCTGTGGCAGACTTGCAGTGAGGAAAATCGGGATTGACAAAGTCCTCTATCTCGTTAATGAGCCTCCAAACTTCTGGGTCTTCAGTGGCCTCTGTGAGCATGGTCTCTGGCAACAGAGAGGACGGAGACTCTGAGATGGGAAGGACAGGATCCACAAAGTCCTCTATCTCATTAAAGAGATGATAAACACCTGGGTCTTTGGTGGCCTCTGAGCATCGTCTCTGGCAACATAAAGGACAGAGGCTCAGAGATGGGAAGGACAGGATCCACAAAGTCTTCTAAATCATTAATCCCCCTCAAAAGTCAAGGTCTCCATGGACCCCATCAGTAAAACACTTTTTTCCCACCACCAAAAAATGGCTGGCCACAGCTTGGTCCCTTCTGTACAGAGCTGTACAGAGCCCACAGAAGCAAAGTGATTTGCTGATGCCCTACAAATGTAATCTCTAGAACTCGAGATGGGGGAAGCATGGGTGCCACTAGAGCAGGATCCTGTACCTCATTAGCTGCCCAAGACTCAGGGTTGGGGGTGTGTTCAGTGGCCTCTGTTGGCATAGTCTCTGGTGGTGAGTTATAGGGCGTCATCATGGTGGTTGTGGGTAAACTGAATGTGAATGCCACACTGGGTACTCCTGCAGGCGAAGCAGAAGCAGAACTCATGGAACCTTGGTAAGTGGCTGAGTATGGGGGGGCACCCTCAGCTGCTAGCTTTCCACAGCTGTCGTCCCAATGCCTCTTGCAGGCACCATGTTGTGTACAACTAATCATAAAAGCAATGAGACATGCTTATTGGAAGTGTTAAGATGGAGGATACGCACATTTCTGGAGAAAGAGGCCATTTGAATAACATGAGTCCACAACCAAGATGTTTTGCTGTCTTGACATCGTATATGTGACTCCCAGGATGGATTACCATACCATCCTTAGAGCATGTGTATGTCCCATCGTGTTGACCATATTGATCTAACACAGGTTTCTGTCCCAAGCATTAAGAATGTGACTTCACAAGATTAAAATAAAACTCACAAAATACAGGTCGTTATTGATCTTGCCAGAGCCCATTTTGATTTGCTTGGTCTCATGGTCTTCAAGGTCTTCTGCGACGCGCTTTTGACCAACAGGTGCATATGAGGGAGCAGAAGCATGCACCTGCATTGCACTGGAAAAATGATAACTGTATGATGAGGAGGGGTGGGAAGTGGATTGGATCATCTGGAGGCAAGAAGTAAATATAGTTAGAGAACATAGGTGTTGGATACATGTACATGGGCCAGTAGATAATTGATTGAACTGTTGTGAGGGTAGTGCTGCCATGGTCCGGTTCGGTCTAGTTCAGAGGGTCCAGGACGAGAACCAAGAACTGAACCATGGTCCAGTTCTGCAAAATCTTCAAACCCAGAACAGGACCATTGAGAACTGTTCTTTGCAGTCCAGTCCAGTTTTTTTCTGGTCTGAACTCGAACTGAACTGAATTTTTTTCTATACTGAGTGCAAAAAAAATGTTGACAAAATGCTAGTCTACACATTGAGTAGCTAGTCTAACATAGCCTGCAAACTCTTCTGCCTCTGTAGCTGCTGAAACATGACCATTGTGGTAACCCACCTTCAATAATTGGAGTGTGGAGAATGTAGCTGGGGCCAGTGCATTGTGGCAAAGTGTTAATGTGATCCCCCCGCTAGAGAAAGCACATTCTGAGGGAACTGCACTGCCCTGAATTGGTAGATAATCGCACGCAATATGAGATAGTGTTGGATACTGAAGTGAGTGTAGCTAATGAATAGAGTGAGCTCAGAATGTGATAATACAAAGAAAAAAATGTACCCCCCACCATGCCACAATATTATCTGTCTCTTCCAATGGCGAAGTGAGATATGATGAGAGTTCTTGAAGTGGGTCACACGTGCAATTGTCTGCTGCTTGATGTGCTGTGACAGCATCGCGCATCCAGGATTGGCCATACTGAACACCCTGCAACACTTTCATTGGCATGACAGCATGTTCCATGGTGCGCAACATCAGAGGTGCTTCGTAATATTTATTAAACTACACAACAATCAGCTGATGGAATATTAAGTGAAGTAAAACTTACCAGGGCTTGAAGATGAACCCTCCCACTTGTGACCTTTGCAGCGCTCCAATGACTTTTGACATACGCCAACTTGTAGTTGGGGTCAAGAACTGTAATTACATTAGAAATACACTGCAGGAGAAAGAAAGAAAAAAGTACTCACCCAGACAGACAAAGTATATATCTGAGTTGTTAGTTTTCTCATAGTACTTCCCCACATTCTTGAGGCCTTTGTGAATTGCATCAGCGATTGGCGAATATTCTGCACTGTTGGCCATTGTCTGCCACATATCAGCAAGACACTCCAGTGTGGGTATGGTTTGGGAGGCTGTTGGGTGTGTGGCTGAAGAGAATGATTGTTGTGCAGTTGTGGGCTCCTATTAAACATAAGTAAGTAAACATGTAGATGAACAAAAAAGAATAGCTACCTTGAGGACATTACACACAAGCTGAATTTTCTTCCAGTCAGTCCAATCAAGCTTGAAGTCGCTGTAAGATTTGTTGTGCAATGTCAGGACTTCGGGACTCTCATCAGCAAGCAGGGTGAAGCAGTTGATGGCCAGATGAAGAGACATGAAACGTTCCAGGCATTTGAAGAGAGATGCCCAGCACGTTCTCACCCAGGCCAAGATCTCACAAATGGGGATGCCCTCTTCCTTGCAGGACTTCTTCAAGAAAGTGCAGGCTTGTGGGGATTTGCGAATCTAAGTTTTGCATCAGAAAACAACTCAAAGATGAAAACTAAGACTTCACCTGTTTGATGAGAGCAAGTGCCTTTCCAATGGCATCCCCAACATCAAACCCATCCTTGGTTATAGCCTCGGGATCATCCTCCAGTGTAGCGAGCTGTTTTGTCAAGCTGTCAATGTCAGTCTCATCACCACTATCAATAGCACTGCAGATCTTTTTGAGTAATGTTGCTTGAGGGGTGGGTGTGACTGCATCAACAAAGTGACATGCAGTGAGATTGAGGATGTGTTCTTGACATTGGATGTGGCAAGAACCCGGAAGCCAATGAGTGCCATCCTCATCAATGACCTTCACCACTTCTTTCATGGCAGTGTCATTGTTTGAGGCATTATCTGATGTCATCCACCCAACCTATACATACAAGTAAAGTTAGTTCTAATGCTAATGCGAAACATTTAAAAAAACTCACCTTCTTGTGAATGCTGAACCTATCTATGGTCTCAACAAGTATGCGGCCAATGTTATGGCCACTATGGTTGCCTTTGACACAGCTGAAAGCAAGCTGCTTGTTTTTCAACTCCCACTGTAGCAACTTGTCAGGGGGGGGGTTCCAAATGTAATGCCCAGTAATGGAAAAAAAGGGTTCACCAATAATCAATGTCCATGAGTCAAATGTCATGGAAACTGCACTGTCAACATGCTACCAAAATGTTTCAAAGGACTGGTCACAATATAATTAGAAAAAAACATACTGCCAGACATTCCTTGATAGTTTGAACAATGGAGGTTGCTCAAGCCTTGATGGTGTCAGTTAACTTCGTGCGATGTGGGATATCTTTGTTGGTAAGAGATGGACATGCATACTGCAGCAAACATCGAAATGCTGGCTTGTCTATTAGCTGGATGGCCTCGTCTTCGGTCACGATGAGCTCCATGATGTATTCCAGTAGGCCATCCTTGGTAAATGCAGGTGGCCTCAAGACAAGGCTGGCATCAAGAGTCATTTGCATCACTGCAAGATCTTTGCCAGGTGGGATTGCATGAGGGTGCATCATAATGCCCCCCACCTCACACCATTGTTTGTATACCTGGAAATGAGTCCTTTTGTTGCAAACAACATGTGTCTGCAACATTGAGGTACCACCACAGAACATGTGCTTGTGGCCAGGTTCACCAGTGTCCCATACACAAAGTGAGAAACAATTAAAAATAGAACTAAAAACTTACTTGCACAGGTTGCAGACCCACCCATCAGAGGTGTGAGTGAATATGGTACAGAGATCCACTGTGTGTTCACTTTTGGAGACCTAAACACAAGCATCAGTTAAGAAACAATGAATGAAGAGAGAGATATGTACTGTTGTCTGACTGGCATCATCTCCATTCCCAGATTTGGCTTCATTGTTGTTGTTGTTGTTGTTGTCTGGGTGTGGAACAAACTCATCATACAATGACCCTTCTTGTGTAGGGGGGGAAGAAGGTACACCCTCATTATTGCCCTTGTCCTCATCCTCTTCATCAGAGTCCAGAGGTGACAAAAAACGCATGGCAGCAGCTTTCTTCAGTGCTGGAGGATCAGTGGCACTGGATAATGCACGCTTCCTTGTGCTCGTGCTTGAGGACACATTGTCAGCATCCCAAACATGAGTGGAGGGCCTTGATGTGTGAGTAGAACATTGGGAACCAGCCATAGTTAGCACTGGTGTGTGTCCAGATTGGAGCAGAGTGGTGAAGGCATTTTTTGGTGGTGGGACCTGCAGCAAAGGCGCATGATCGTCAGGATCATTGTAAAATAAAATATCTGAGGCATCCTTGAGGGAGCCATCAGAATTCAGTGCGCACAAGTCATGAGACATGTTGAGGGAGATAACTCACAGATTCATTGTTGGGTCCCCCTTTTGTGCATGGAACAGGAAGATAACACCTGTGCACCCAAGAATGATGATATTCCAGGAGATTGGGCAATGTGGAAAGCCTGGTGGAGAATCATGACCATTGAGGAAAATGTATAGACAGAGATAGCTGCAACATAGTAAAACATATATCAGTGGAAGAGAAATGCAGTCTGATTAATTGGTACTTACATTCAAAAAGGCTAAAAGGCAGCCTGACCAACCGATCAAGCATGATCAAGCGCAAATCCCGAAGGTCAGCTTGACATCAAGGCAAATGATGTCGAAGCCACAGTTTGGAACAGTTTGGGAATGCCGAACCAAAACAGAATGGTTCAGGATGACCAAGAACCAAGAACCATCTTCTGGTCCAGTTCTGGCTGATGTGAGAACCATGGACCAGACCAAGGAGAACTGGACCAAAAGTCTGGTTCAAACTGTGGTTCTGGACCAGACCGCAGCAGCACTATGTGAGGGTGTGTATGCATTTGCAGTGGTAGCAGATACAGTTGGTAAGGGATAGAGGATGAAGGTCACCACAACAGTATTTATATGGTTATCACATACCGCTTTGAAAGTGTCCTCGAGTTGTGTTGCCACTGTGGGGACCTTCCTTTCAGGGAGAAACTCTTGTGGACCATCATTATTCACTAGATGGGATGGTGGTCTTTTTGCTCAATGCGTCCAGCTTTGCATCCACACTTGAGTTGTTCATTGTTGCAAGTCCGCAATGTGTTGTGGATGCATTGTGTTTGTGCCCTCCTGGGCTAACAATCTGACCAGAGCGCCACAACTTATGTTTCCAGTCCACAAACAGTTGCATAATCATAGAACCAATGCCAATTCACATGAGTGATGACATCCATTAGGTCTCTGTGAGTCACAATTGCTTCATCAAGGTCAAACGAAGTGCACTGCTGCTCAATTTGCAAAAATGGTGACAGCAAGGTTGTTAAGAGACACAGATCAAGCATAATTTCTAGAGGGACAGAGTGCCAGTGCAGCTCAATGGAGCTTGATGGCCTCATCAAGGTCAGACAAGGCGCCCCACTACTCAAATATAGCTTGAAGACTGTTGGCAAGGTTGCTCAGAGACAATGATAATCGATTAGAATGGTCTGGAGAGGTGAGCGTTGATCCAGCTCAATGGAGGCCAATAGACTCATCAAGGTCAAACAGAATCCCTTCGCTGCTGGAATTTGCCACAAGGCTGTCTGTTGGCAAGGTGGTGGAGAGAATTGAATCAATCGGGGTGACCAGGAGGAGCAAACACCAGTACAGCTCGATGGAGCTTGAGGGCCTCATCCAGATCAGACAATGTGCCCTGCTGCTTGAATCTGTCATGGAGGCTGTCAGAAAGTTTCTTCAGAGACGTATATCAATTGAAATGATCAGGGGGACAGAGCGCCAGTGCAACTTGATGGTGCTTGATGGCCTCATCAAGGTTGAACATAATGTCGTGCTCCTCGCATCCATTTTAAAAGTCATTTGCAAAGTGACAAAGCTGTTCTACAGAGACAGATTGCAATTCACCCATAATACTATTGAGTGTCTCACTGATAAGTGCAAAATCAATTGAGATCAAGGTAAAAATGCACAGCAACAGCAGAACTTCAAGCACTGAAATTGAACAGTTGCGGATAGCGAGAGAAATGATGTCTAACATGAATTCTTTGATGATATTGATGATAGATTGCAATTACTATTAAAGATCTCGCTAATAAATGAAACCAATTGAGATCGAGGCAAATATACACAGCACAAGCAGAAATTCAAGCTCTATGTAGGGATGAACATACCTTTTCTCTCAATTGTGTCGAGTGGGATGTTTGAATGGCTGCTTGGTGCCACTATGTATGATTTGGCTTATAGCAGTGGGTTGGATCTTTTTGTCACTATTCCGATGTGTACAAGATTTTAATATTGTTCTGTATGTTGCTGTGAGAGGAAAGGACAAGTGTAACCTTTCCTTAGCAAGTTTTGACAATGTCACATTAATGTAAAGGAATGTAGTCAGACTCAATAGCCTCTATTGTAAAGATGCATTATCCGCCACCTTCGATAGTAGGCCACGACAGCTTACTCGTAATCCATGGAAGGTGGTGATTGCTCATGAATTGTACCTGTAAACAATGACTATCGAATTCAATCTAACATGCGATGAACTCCAACTTACCAAAGTCCAAGCAGGGAAGTCCATGAGGCATTTCTCAAGTGGTGTACTCAAGATCCCAGCTGTCATAGGTTACAAAAATTAGTTCTGTTCTCGTTAAAAGAACACATGATACAATCAAATAATTATCCTGGAAATCCTTCTTGGTCTCCTATTGATGAGCCTGAATCATCGGAAATGGCCTTGTTGGAGACAAGGCATCATGCACAGGCACTGAACCTGAGCATATAATAGACTAATCACCACATATCGGGATCTAGAAGACATGACAGCTGTCGCCATAGAGCCTCCCACACATTTGGTCCAGATTGCTGTATTATGGTCTGCATGAACGAGGTGGACTTGATAAAAAAAAAGAAAACACGCTTGTGCATTTGGTAGATTTATCCTCCATTAACAGAAATTGAACATGAAGCTGCGGACTGCATGAGGACTTCTCTTCTTCACCACTAGGTGACTGACCAATCGCAACAAAAATCGCCATCAATAATATTTTTGGGCTGCTTCGGTCTGAATCCAGAACGTGGCTGGTGGAAGCCTGAATCCTCCAAGTCCTTCGAGGTCTGAAATTAGCAGCAAGATTAATTATTGATGGTCGTTTGAGAATATGAGAACCCCGCTTCAAACTTGAAACTTGAGCTTGAATTGAATTGAATAAGCGATGAGCGCTCTGAGCATCTGGTCTCTTCTGCTTCGCTTCATTATGTAATTTGTTATTTTCAACCTGGGGTGTCACCAAGTACTCCATACAGGCTCAGCCCTTGTAGACATGGGTTCGTTGAAGTTCCGGCTTGTTATCTCCTGTGCTAACGAGAATCAACACGTCCTTCACCTTCATCTCGAAGCTCAAGTCAGTTGCCACGTCCCGCCATGTAGCTCTTGCAATCACATTCGACCCGTTATGCAATCTGTTGCCTTTGTTTCTAACTCGATCATCCTTCCCCCTCGCTAATGTGCCATGGACTTGTACGGGACGGATCGGCTTTTCAGTGCGCTTCGTTTTGCGCATAGCATACGATTGCATCAAATTCGCCTTGCCCCGTCGTTTTTAGTGGTTTGTATCGTGTACATCATGAAATACACTGGATTCTACATTTTGCCTTAGCCTTGTGCTGATGATCATACTACGTCTCAATCAACCACTAGTCTACATCACAGGTTGTTGAGTCCATGAGCTGTCCTTGGCGTGCCACTTTTGCTGATCCTTGGCATTTTGTTGCTAGTTGATGATCTTTGCGCTTATTAGTGCAATCATACAAGCATCTACCATGCTAGCGCTGCAGCGCTGAACTGCCATCGCACAACATGGAAATACACAACATTAAACCTGAACGTTCTGAACCTTCGACTACTCATCTCCATCACCTTGACTTCATTCACAGACTCCATATCCCCACTCCCATCTTCTCCTACCGCTCATTCTATTTACCACCCAGCTCATCTTCGATCCTTGTCATTTTCCTCCATCGCACCATCATGCCAGGCAGCTTAGAAGATCGATATATCAGACTTGAACGTGGGTCCTATATTGCCTTCATATTCATTTCGTGCCTCATCCTCTGCCTACAGTTATCAGGGTAAAAGACCTTCCACTCCCTTCCGAGCGCATACCCGCAGGCTTTTACGTGTCCATTAATGTCGATTCGAAGAGGCGCTGGAAATCAGCAGTCCGAGTGGTATCATCCGATGAATTCGAAGTTTTGGGCGATATTGTGATTTTGTAAAGTTCATAATGACTTTCAGATGCGATTCGAGGACTGACCATTCGTCTGTAGATCATTATGCGAGGTGCCTAAATTATCCGCGGAGATCAGGGTATCCTACGAGCTCAGTCGAATGCTGGGCAATGGGGAAGTCGTTGCAAAATTAGAATCATCGTGGGATGAGCTACTTCGATCGCGGAGATGAGCCTTTGGGTAAGTAACCAGCTTCTCATTCATACGCATATACTCACATCTCGACAACTCCTTCCCGTCCGTTCATGGTATTCACCTGAGGGCCGCTGTTCTACATCCTTGCGACGACCATGGTAGCGCACTGCTTGACGTGAGTGGCATCAACCTCTGTGTTATTGGATTTTGTTGACGGAACACCTACTGTAGTCCATCGTTGAAAGTGAGACTGCTCGAGAGACGGATGTGGGCCATGAACGATTTGTCACATACGTGACAAGCAAGACGGTCTCTCACCTGAACGATGCCGTACAGCACTTCCAGTTGGTCCTGGACCAATGTCCGGTCGGCCATCCTGACCGCGCAGGGGCTCTCACCAACCTCGCGAGGGCTTGCCTCAAAGGCTACATTGAAAATGATCTTCAAGACATCGACTATATCGCCTCTCTCTTCCGCAAAGTCCTTGCATTGCGTCCGCAGGGCCATCCCGATCATCCATTATCTATTTATCACCTCACTGAAGCGCTGACCCGGCGCTACAGCAAGGAGAACTTCACCACCGTCTATATCCACGAATCTGCGCAACTGTACTGCATGCTATTGCCCCTCTGTCCAGAGGGCACCTACCTTCATAGCATGGTGCAAGGAGTACATGGCGTCGATTATGTGATCTGCGCGTGCAACAAACTTCCAATAGACGCATTCAATGAGGGCATTCACATTCAAGTCGTCCTCAAGCTATGTCCCCTGGGCCATAAATTGCGTCCACAAACACTCAGCAAGCTTGCATGGTTTCTCGGATTACGCTTTGAACAATGTGGCAGCATTGATGATCTAGACGAGTGCATACAACGTAGTCGTGAAGCTGTTTCTCTGTGTTCCGAGGGACATTCTAATCGCGCCTCCTACCTGATTACCTTGGCCCACCCACTCCTGTCCCGCTTCCATCACCGAGGCAACTCTCATGACCTCTATGAGGCCATCTATTTGTTCGAAGAAGCGCTGCGCCTATGCCCTGTTGAGCACCGATCTCGTGATTTCTCATTGAGCCATCTAGGACTCGCCCTCTACGCCCGTTTCTGCCGATGCGGTGATGTCAACGACATCACCAGAAACGTCAGCCTCCAGCGCGGGGCACTGACATTGTGCCCACGTGGGAATCCAAATCGTCACTGCATGCTTAACAACCTGGCCATCGCGCTCAAAACCAGATATGGCGAATTGAATGTCAGCGAGGATCTCGACGAGGCCATTGATCTATTCCGCGACTCACTTCAGTTAAGGCCGCATGGCCACCCGCTTCGTCATACAGTTCTTCACAATTTGAGCTTGGTGCTCTGCTCTCGTTTTACGCAAACTCAGAAGGATGAAGATGTCGAAGAGGTCATTCGACTATGCCAAGAATCATTGGAAGCTTTGCCTTCACTGCACCCGAATAGATCTTCCAGCTATTCATGGTTGGGGGAAGCCTATTTCTCTCGTTACGAAGTGCAACGCAAGTCTGTTGATTTGTTGTTCGCTGTAGAGAACTTCAGACTGGCATCACGACATCCTACAGAAGGCTTTCCTAACCGCATCCGAAGGGCAATAAAGTGGGCTTGCCATGCAGATCTCTATCGACACGATTCTGCCCTAGAGGCATACCAAATCTCTTTGGAGCTTTTCGAGAACCACGTGATAACGCGATCGTCGACCGTCTTACGGCGCGAGGCTGCAACCGCTTTTCGCGACGCCCAATTACTGCCAGTAGCTGCAGCCTCATGTGCCATACATTATGATGATCTGCGACGAGCAGTTGAACTCCTGGAGCAGGGTCGTGGCCAGCAGTGGTCGCTGGCCTCTCGACTCAGGACTCTGCTGGAAGACCTGAAGTCTGCAAGTCCGGAACTAACTCACAAGCTATCAGGGATCAGCAAGCGCCTATCTGACAATCATGGTTCCGCCAGCAACACTGACCGAGCTGCTGTTGATCGAGCAGCTATAGAGTACAGGAGACTTCAGGCGCAGTGGGAAGCAGTGGTAGCTGAAATCCGAAATCTTCAAGGTTTCTCGCGGTTCTTGCTCCCGCCTTCGTATGAAGACTTGCAAGCAGCAGCGTGTTATGGCCCAGTCATCATCCTCATCGCGAGTCGATACTTGTGCAGCGCCATTATTGTCGTGACGTCAGGAGACCTCCATCATGTTCCCTTGCCGCCTACTACCTTTACGGATCTGAAGAATCTCAAGGATCGTTTCGCCAGGGCTATACGACATGCATCTATTATGGGCCCAAAGGTGCCGCGGAATGATCTAATAGTTCTCTTGCGGACAGTATGGGACAACATCATGCTACCCATCGTCAACGTCCTCCAGAATGACCTTGAAATTACAGCACCAATCTCGAATCTGGCTATGTCCAACTGCCGCTTTCACGTCCATCCCTCTCCACGCAGCTCACCCCTTTCAAATAAAGGCAGATCGCTCGAGAAGCTGATCTACATCTGTTCTTACACCCCGACACTTTCGGTTTTGATCAGATCTAGACAGATGAAGAAGAAGCGTATCCCTCCATCTTTCGTAGTGATCGGACAGGGTCAGCCGCGTGCAGGGAAAAGCAAGGAGCTCTTGGTTGTCGACAGCGAGATCGAGCTTGTCCGAAATCTCGTCCCTGAGACGATCAACCGTACCACTATTTCTGGTGATGCAGCCACACGAGCAGGTGCACTGCAAGCATTGCAAGAGAACAATTGGATGCACCTTGCGTGTCATGGAAAGCAGGACCGCGAGCAGCTTTACAATTCTCGTTTCGTCATGAAGGACGAACCTATCACGCTACTTGATATCATGGAGAAAGATATTCCCCACGCCGAGTTCGCGTTTTTATCAGCGTGTCATACCGCCGTCGGCGATGAGGAGACACCCGACGAAGTCATTCACCTCGCTGCTGGACTACAATTTTCGGGGTTCAAGAGCGTCATTGGTACGCTGTGGGAGGTCGACGACGCTGTCGCAAAACATGTGGTAAAAGCTTTCTACGATAATATGTTCGAGGATTTGGAGGACGGTGTTGTGATGGACTGCACTAAGGCGGCCTGGGCACTCAATCGTGCTACACACACCGTGAAGACGAAAGTTCCGTTGGAGCAGAGGATGGTTTTCATTCATGTCGGTGTGTAGTTCTATTCTGTCGTCTGCTTTCGTTTTACGAGTCATTCATCATGGATTCTCTACCCTTCCTGTGTACATCAAGCTGTTGTATATATTATCCTGATACTTCTGCGGTGTAGTCACCTGGCTCTCGTATACCTCTCGAACGCAAACTATTCTACTTTAGCAAAGTCATTAGTCGACTCGTTACTTTCCAACTATTCTTGAAATCCTTTTGCATCCTCCACTAAATACCCTCAGTGCAACGACGTCTAGATAGATGCACAGCTCGTCCATTGACTCGCTCGCGCATGCACGCTCACCGATCGGGGTTGGCAGCTTATTAATACCTCAGGTGCGTGATCTTCCAATGACAAGCAGAATGGATGATTAGACATTGGATATCGAGAGCTCGTACAATTCTGCCAACCAACTGCAGGGATATACAGTATTGCCTTCCATGTAAGGCGATACCTGAGACCAGAAGTGCGCTTCAGAGTATCAGGGATGAGCACACCTCTCTCTCAATTGTGTTGAGTGGGATCTTCGAATACTAGCTGGTCACCCCCTGTGCCACTATGTATATTTTGGCTGGTAGTAGTGGGTCAGATCATTTTGTCGTTCTTGCGATGGATATCAGATGCTTGCTATACATTGACGGGCGGCCACCTACTCTTCGTACTGCATACGAGATTTAAAAATATGTTATCCACAAGTAAATTGGAGACTATGCGCTGCTCGCGAGTTATACTCGGTGCGACCGTGGGTTTGCGATAGTGATAATTTGAAAACTGGTACCGGGACTCCTTGGTACGCTGGCACACGCCGCAATAGGCCGTATCAGGAGACAGGAAGGGATGTCTTCATGGCTAGTATTCTCTACGATATCAGTAGTAATGATTGGCTGCTTATGTGAAAAAGTGTATGACGTATCAAGGAGAGATCAGTGAACAGAGCAAAATCTCTGATGAGAAACGGTAAAAAAAAGGACATGAAAACTTTCAGAAGAACCGACTGGAGGAGGCAGGAAAATGATGACGGACAGAGCAAGGTGGGGGGGGTCGGGTTTGAAATTTGAGTCACGAGAGAGCGACACTCGCAAGTGCTACTAGAAACAAATGATTTACATGTATGGGGTACCCGATGAGAGTACTCACAGCAATTCCTCCGAATCTGCGCCGTCCTCTGAAAAAAAATCTAACATATCAGTGCTGGTACTCTCGTGTCATACTGCAGAATTCAGCCCTCAGCACGCACAGGAAAGTTCCGCAATCAGAATCTCGAACCTCGATCTCCCTAGTTCAAAATGGGAGACAGTGACAACGCCGCAGTAAGTGCCGAGTGCTACTAGTACTGTTGCCAACCTAATCTGCCTTGTAGAAATCTGGTAAGCTTCAAGTTCGCAAAAATGCCAGATACCCCTGAACCTAAACCTAAATTTCGGGTACTTCGCCGTTGAACGTTGATTCTCCACATTCAAACTTCCATAATCATACGAAACTGGCTCCTGGGACTTGGAGTATATTATATCAACTGCGTGACAAACCAGCTATTATGAGATTAAAACATTCCGAGGAATGGGAACCCTCGAGCCCCAGACATGTGACTACCAAGCTTCCCATCAAGTAAAGGAGAAACTGACTTGAGGGTCCACAAAGTGATGCATTAGACACCCAAACATCAAGGTTGAAGGCATATTCGAATTGACTCCCGTGAGCACGCAAGCAACTGATTGTAACTGAACTAGCCTTTCAGAAGGAAGAGTTACTAACAGAAAACAGGCACTCTCATGGTCACCGTGCCGGTACTAATGGTTACTATAGCACATAGTTCGTGACAACCAGGTCCAAACTCTTCGATCTGGAACAATCGAAGCCTTGTGGGTACGATCCTCGCAATGAACGTATCAACATGGGATTAATAAAATCAGGGGAATGACCCACCGCAGAGGTTCTACATAGGCTAGAGCACCCTACGCCACCCTCCGCACAAAAAGAGATTGCGGACTTATTTCGGTTTGTCGTTCCGTCATTCCACTCGGAGTCCCGTAGTCTTTAGTTCGTCTGCAGCATGGGTACAATCCCCAGTTTGCTCCTTGGTAGAGCAGGGAAAGTCCGAGGCAAGGCTTTTAGATCTTACACAGTCTTTCCAATCTGTCTGTCTGAAGTTCGCCTGTACATTAAGACAATATGATATGCTTCAGTGTACAATACCTCCAGCGAGTCGGCTCCACATGTATATGAGTGTGTAACCATCGAAGTCGACGACGCCAAGATATGGGTGACTCTTTGCTTTCTCAGTGATAGCCAAGTAGAAGGAACAGCTGGCTTCTTTCTATTGGTCTGCCTACGGAGTCAAGCACCCGCAGCGCATATCTACGACACCCCTGCTAAGCTGAGGAAGGCCGAAGGCATCATGGTGGAGTGTGCACGATGTATAATGAGTATCTCGAGCGTTCATCGAAAATGAATCGCACGTATTCAGTCACAGTAGACCCGAACCATGTTTACCTCAACAATAATGGCTGCCCTTTGCACAACGAGTGGGAGTGCAGAGAAATGGTGAACACTGTACGTTATTAGAGTTGTTCCCACCAGTGTCACTGGGATCAGGGAGATATTCGGAAACCTTGATGAGGCTTACAATAATAGATGCAGTGAACGTTGAGGCATTGTCGATGTGCGACCCGAGCCAAACCACGACATGGCGACCAAAGGGAGAGTTATATAACCTTAGTAGTATTCTGCACACACGGTATCCGCTGAACGAAACAAGTACAGCGCGTTATCGCATTTTTATTGTGGTGATATACAAATTTCCTTCAAAATTCCCAGTTATGATTATGCCTGCGTTGGGTACCCGGTATGAGTACTGCAACAGGCGCCGCCTTTTTACGAATGAAGGAGAGACGAATAACGGCAGAGCCAGATTTAATGAGAAAGCGCACCTCGTGCGCAGAGTATGGGTAGTCGAGGGGTCACAGGGGATGATATAAACGACAGCTAAAAATTACCAGCCAAAATCATAGGGTGCTGTCTAGATGACTAGTTATCACAAGGTCAATGACGCGAGACAAAAGTACATACTGAACTTGGTACTATGAATTTTGATTCACGACTTCTGGTGACATCCTATCATAGTGAATCCTTTAGATGCATTCCAGCGGAATAGAGGAAATCGCCGCACCAGCTAATAGTTCTTCCCGAATGGTTGGCACCGGTAGCTGTATGGGCATCTGTATGGAGTCGGTAACTATACTAAAACTCGGAGTCTTTCCTCCTTCAGGGTCTGTGCCACGACCTCGTATAATTTTTCGAGTGTTGAGTCTAAGCAACGATATAAGTGAGACAATAAGAACAGCCTCGTAATCCGCTTACGTAGCCAGGAATGATATCGCATACACTGGATAAGCCTATCTAAGCTTGACGCAAGAATGATTTGTTCATGACTTACGTTTGCTCAGAACAAAATACAGGCATATAAACACGAAATTCGTCGGCATAATGTTGAACTTTCCACACAATTCAGTCTGTGAAACCTGCGCATAATATTATCACACACCAGAACAAGGGTCGACAAGCTGACGGTGCTGCATATAGAGCGTGTGTCAGGCTTTAAACTTTGGAAAGCACTAGCGAGACCAACCTGGTAAGAAGACCAGTATTCACCGCGTATATTGTCAACGTATTAATCATGGAATATGCACTAGAATAGCGGATTCATCAGAATACATGACAAATGTAAACTTGTGAGACGCACGTTGAATGGCTTGAGCGCATTTTCTGAAGGTAAAAGCATAATGCGGCAGCTATGCTCATGTCCGTAACGACTCCAATGCCCAAGGAAAGGCTTCCCAAGGCCTAAAAGTAGTGAGAACGGAGGATAGATAACCGTAGACTCATGTACCTTCAAGGCAATCATGTGCGCGAAAGAAGGCAATTCAAAACTGTTTCATGTACAACGTCAATATACTTGACGGTGCAATCAAAAAAAAAATAGAACCATTTTACAGTGAATACTGATAAGAAGATTCAGAATAGTCTCGGAGTAGAACCTAGTATGCACTCACTGGTTGCCGTGCCAAGTTGCGCAAGAACCATTAAAAACTTTACAAGGACCATTATCAGCACAGGGAAATGCGAAATTGAGTTCAACCTACCAAGAATCCTGTGAGCCACCAATTTCTATAGCTAACTGTGCAAACATCAACACAACATTCTGTAATAATGTGAAGACAGCTTCCTACACCTCCAGACTCGCAGTGTAAAACAGCTATCAGAAGCCGAAGGTCAGTTACTCGTTCACATGTTCATATCGGTAGAACTATTCCACGTACGCCTTGACAATGGCACCAACAACAGCCTGTATTCGAAATGATGCTTCGATTAGACACGTACACCACATATAGTTGGTGGGAGGCACTCACGCCCAAAGTCATTTGCAGCTGTTGCACGAGGGAAGCTCAATTTATGCTAACGGTAAACGAAAGTATGGCCTCACTATAAGAGTCCTAGCCCAAACGTTAGATAGAGGGAAAGAGGTCATTACTTGGAATAGAATGGCTCACCACTGTGGTTTTCCTGTAGCCAATGGGAGCGGATTCAAATAATTTCTAGTGCATTCATTCAGCGACGTGAGGCGATGATAGCGGACAACTCACGTGATGGTATAGAAATATACACCGTAACCAACGAAGGCTTGATCAATGACAGCAATCGACCTTGATGATCTGAGCCTTGTTTTCAGCAGGGAGGACATCCACCTCACCATATCAATGCAACCTGGTCAAATGTTGTTGTATAATGAGCGTGGAGGTGAACCCGATACTAGTCCTGCACTTACGAGAGCCTTATATCCAGCCTTGTCTTGGGGAAAACACCTGTAGTAAGTGAACACCTGAATGGTCAACATTCCAAATGCACTGTAACGCAAGGTCAAATTCAAAACTGAAAGGTCAAATCCGTGAATACCTACGTGGCAGAGACAGAGAAGCCTACGAGCAAAGCACCGAGGGTGTCATCAAAACGCGGGACGACATATTCTACGGACATCTTGCAGACCTAACCAACAGGATGAACGAGCGAGTGAGTGAGGATGAAAGTTGCAATTAGAACACGGCAATATGAAATAGTCAGCTGAGCCTGCAACTCAAGTGCTTAGCCTTGGGTATACATACTCCGTAAACGGATTGAATCCTAGGTCCGAAGAAGTTGCGGACTCAGAGCTACCGATAGCGCTGCGGCTGTGGCAGTGAGCGATGCTCCAGGCTCCAGCGTCCGAATACCGCGTGGAAGTCGGCGTTGAGTGGGAATCACACACAATTGCATCCTGGCAAATTTTTAACCAGGAGAGGAATGGTATTCGGAGGTTTTTCTTGCGTCTTCAACAGTTCATGCACATCACAACTTTAAGCAGCGCATTTCAAATTGACCAGTACTTAAGCGTTGCCAAATGCGGAGGATCCGCGGCCCGCGCAGTCAATTGCGGGACCGAAAATTCTGGTGGCTTGTTAAAGCACATCACTCATGCATAGTCAAAAACGCAGGCCAATTGTCAGCTTTACAGCTCCAGTTCTGCAGCGCAATCATGCTACAAAGGGTGCTTGTATGACGTTTGCCAATCTGGTGCAGCAGTACTATTGCCGAGCGTCTATCAGTGCACAAAGTTGTGCCTGGGCGTTGAAAATTCTCTAATCTAACGAGATCTGAAGTTAGAATCCGGAACCGCAATGTAGAACGCGCAGTTTCTTCAGGTTTCTTTCAGCTTGAGTGTACCCTCGAAAAGTTTATGCGCCCTCGGATATTATCATACTTCCCATCGGCGAACCAATGGTCAGTGTGGACCGATAGAAGCCTCGGCAAAGGACTTCGATCAGTTCGTACTGCGTATGGCGAGATTAATTGATCTATTTGAAACCCATCGTTAACAACAAGTGCCATATGGTCAAAAAGTTGTCAAAAAGTATGGCACACCGCTCGATAACAAGAAGAGATAGGCACAAGGGCGCATGTATCTTCTTCTGGATCCCCCACCAGATCGGTTGCACACCAAAGTGCGCAGAGATAGGATCGATAACAACTATGGTGACTTACGTTGAGCGCAAAGTGCCGATGCCGATCAGAGTCACCGAGTTGCGACTGATGTCATGGCGGTAACTGGTATTCTGCAGAACGGATTCACGATAAACTCGGAGTTTTGCATCACACTATCCATCATGCATCATGATCAAGCACGAGGTCTGTTTGAGGTATACATTACCAAAAGGCATTTGCAATTGGGGCGCGTCCAAAATGTGTGTGCAGCATATCCAAACTTGGGACTAGTTGACCAGCACTACAGTTCCTAGTGCATGAAAAAAAAATCATGATTCCGAAATGTTCAAAATTCAAGATACTCACTCTGAAGGATATTGTGTATTATTAATAGTATTGCAATTGACAAGGTTCCGTTAAATGAAAGAACGTTGTAGGGCCATCCGCCTGGAGAACGACGTGCAGCTCGAAGGCTCGTTGATTCAAGAATGTTCCAAAAGCGAGAGCGACGTACTCCCTCTGTCCATTCTGGGTGAAGTTCTCGGATAATTGACCTTCTTGATATGGGTTTGGGGACGTATAGGTACCCTTCATATCGATGTCTTGAATAAGAAAGACTCATGCGTACGATGCGATCAGGCATTGTGTGCTACCAAAGGCTTCTCCGATTTCTCACCGGTACCGTACATCGCGGTCGTTGATCTGGTAGATGCTAGTCACCCATGCATCGTGAAAAGCAAGCTCCAACATCTATACGTAATTGCCGCAGTGTCATGTGGTAGACAGACAAGGGCTATCGGAGGCAAGGCCCATGATTGAAAGCCATGCAATGCGCATCAGCGAAGACACTAATCTGCGAAATGGATTTACCGTCGTGTTTTGCATCATAATGGAGGTCTCCTGAATTACACATTACCAAATATCATTTGCGAGAGCGCGCGCCGATTGTAACACCCAACTGCAACATTGTTACACTGAGTACCGGACATATTTTCCGCAAAACATGTGCAGTATATTTAGAATAGGATCTGTTGACCCATCACTCCCAAGGCAGGGAGATCCTGGCGAGCCTCAACATCAACCACCCGCTCCAGAATATTACAAGCGCAAGAGACTCACCATTTTCGGAAGGCGTGCATTCTGTTTTGCAGAGCCCAAGGATCACAGTGGATATACAAAAAAGGCCGTACTTGCCCGCACCGTCGAACTCAGAGAGAATGCACATCACCTCAAATACCAAGTCCCACTAAATAAAGATTCACGGCGGTTCCACTTTAACCACATCGCCTTCATCCGCCTCCCTCATTTCTACACTGCCATCCCGATCCACAATCTGACGGAGAGAAGCTCGCGTCAACGATCGTCCAAACTCTACAGGGACTCTCACTCCCGCCAGACAAAGCCCCAACATGTCTTTGAGAGTAGTCGTAGCGAGCCCGTCACCATGGACAGGATTAGGCAATGACAGCCCTCGTAAGAGGTGTCCTGGAGTTAGAACAGACCCTACTTTTCTTCCTCGCTTAGTTCGTGCCACCTTGCCTTGTCCAGCAACTGCAACAGTACTACTGTTTCCAACACCAGATGCAATCGCAATATCCCGTTTTGCAACGTCCACTGCAGAGCGCACGAGGACGGCAATAAACGGTTTGAGCACAGCGGCTAGTAGCGCTGATGGTGCGAACGCTTCTTCAACCTCTGAATTTGTACGACGATTGTCCAGAGAGGGAGAGGGAAGTTCGGGAAAATGCGAAAGTCGCAAAGATCCGACGCTCCTATGAATAGTAAGAATGAGGTCTGGCGGACTTAACGAGACAATCTGCCGAGGAGAATAACGCCAGGGTCTGAGCGTTTGAGAAGAAGCCATAGATTGATGTGGAAGCGCTCGCCCATCTTCCGCGGTTGCCCCGGCGTATAGGGCAGTTTCTAGTCCACCTCCAAAAATCTTCGTCAAATCAACAGTGGGTATTCGTAAACCCCGTTCAAGTTCGTGTGGCGGAACGATATCGCAAACCCAGGTTACTGTCTCGTCGAAAATAGGCTCCTTCTTCACTTTGGCAGTGACGGCAAGTGCGGGGTGGAAACGTTTCTTTATACCACAGACAAAGCAGGGTTCATCCACTGGCAAAGGTGTGGATTCTGTCTCCCTGTCCTTGTCCTTGACTTTGTCCTTCTTATCTTTCGCACTTCGGAACGGGAACTTCGATCTTCGAAGACGAACGCGGAAAAAGCCCTGAATCTTCCAAAAAGGCATAAACATCACCAACAGTGAGGGAAATCAATTCTGCCGAAGCCGAGCTGGCATGTTGGACATAAAGTGCTTGCAAGGCTCGGGCTCTTCCCCACTACGAACAAGTTTAAAAACATGACGCCAGAAAAGTCGATACCGACAAAAATACGCACTTCGATGGCTTTCCGTCTCCCAGGTACAAGCGCCAGAAGATGCGCCGGGGAGGGAACGAGCTTATATGGTACCTGGAAAGGTGAACGGAATTTCATATCTATGGTAACGTCATATCAGAAAATTGCAGATGAACTAGCCAGAAATACCTTTGAGCGTCATAGGAACTCTTGGCAACAAACTCCGCAGAACCTTCTCGTATCCTAATTCATTTATAGATTCTTGAGATTTTGTCATAGATTGTCTTGTAATCTCCGCAGGTTCACGTTCCAAGGAAGGAATAGGCGGTGGAGGACCGAGAGGGACAGGGAGGAGGCGTGTCCCTCTATCAAGTTCGACATCGTGAACTTGTTCTGAACCAAGAACAGAGCTCGCTGCATTCCCAGGGTCAAGCTACGTGAAGGCTGAATATGAGTGACGCGAGGCCAAAAGTAAGACATACATCGATCCAATGTTCTACTTCCATTCTTCCGCCACTGGCCCACTCCATCACGACCTTTGCAAGAAAGGGCTCAGACGATGAGCCTATGATGGCGAAGGGCATTTTTTCCACAGTACAAGGTTGCCGTTGTGTATTATCAGATGGAGCCACCGCCAAAACTGTCAAGCGTATCATGAATGAAGCTAGAGGTATCGACTACAGAAACGTGGATGTATATCATAAGGCTCAGAGGAAAAGAAAAGAATGCACGCACATAAGAAGGAGCAGTAACACTGAGCATCCACCGGTGAGTATGCGATGGCGGAATACTGAGGTCTACACGTCGACCTACACAGATACGATCAAATCTAATTAATATGGGGTAAAATGTGAGCATACTTGGAGATATAAATAAACTTCTATCTGTGATATGCACACGAGCGGTGATATGGAAGCGTGAAGTTGTGCTTCCTGGTATCGCAGAAGTTGTTGTGTTTTCTGCAACGTTATCAACAAGGGCAGGCACGTCAACAACAAGATCGAGTTCAGGCCGAGCTCTATTTCGATGCGGAAAAGCCATTCGCCAAGGATGATGATGATCGCCCTCGTCTGCTCTCCTCGTAACTCCTTCCCTACTTTCGAAAGTGGAGGAGGGTCTGCGTGGAGCAATGTCGATACTAAGGATGTCAACATCTGTATCTTCCTCATAAGCATGTATGCATCTCCGTTTTGGGGTTCTGCCAAGAAATAGAGCAAGAGCAGGGGAGTCTGCATGTAAACCGAGGGTGCGTGAAAGTAGGGTACTGGGTATGGCTGCCGCACCAGCAGCTCCCTGCCCTTCTTCAGAAACAAGAGACGCGAGCAGATTGACACCGACGGCTCGTTCGAAAAGTCGCTGTAGACCGACGACACTTCCTCCCCAAGGTACTTCAACACCTTCCTCCTCAACCCGATCTTTCTCCACCTCGTCACTGGAGGATACCGGAACAGCACAAGCCGTGATGCACGCGTCGTGGCTGGCCCACTCAATACCATGAGCGAGCCTCGCGTGATTCAAGAGCCCTTGAAGGGTGCTGAACTGCGTGCGAGTACAAGTAGGGCAAGTGAGAATAGCAATCTGCTCATCGACGGCTATCTGTGAAGGGGGCAGACGGATATAGAGTAGCTTTTTCTGCGGGTGGAGTTTTGCTGCAGCCGTACGCGTCGGCCTGACCTTTGGAGGTATTCGCTCTCGCAGTGTTGGGGCCACAGGGGAGAATGAACGAAGAGAGGGAGGTTCAGCATCGTCGTATACTGACTCTTCTCGATCAAATAAGAATGCGCAAGGTACTTCGACAGCGTTAAGAGCGTCTAAAGCAGCTTCTTGAAAGTCGTCTGGTGTAGCATCAGGAGCTGGAGTGGATGAGTCCCGAACGAGAGCCTCCTGTAGCATAAGTGCCCATGTTATACGAGAGTCGATGGTGCTTAGAAGGCGTTGGCGGATAGCAATTTCCAGGTCGATCTCCTCAGCAATAAGTTGGCGTATTCCAAGGTCGGCTTCATCTGAAAGATATCAGGCGCAGGTTACACAGAAAGTTCTGGGCAACCACGCACCTTCTGTCACGGATTTAGTTTCAAGGTCGACATCGTGGTCCTCGTGAGGTGAGAAGCGCCTGCGTTTGTGTGGACGAAAACCGACCACCTCATGCAAAGAAAGTGAATGGCTCATGTACCCATCTAGATTCTACCGTCCCTACTTGTCCCTTGAGAAGAACACATTAGACCAACCCCCGCAAAAGGGGTCACATCGCGTTAAGTCACAATCGCATCACGACTGTCACGCGCACGTTGTCACACGCCTCCTCACCACTGTCCACGACGTTAACATCGAATACAATAAACAAACAATGGGAATCAAAGGACTCACCGCGCTCATCTCCGAGCATGCACCAAAGGCTATTACAGAACACGACATAAAGACGCTCTTCGGACGCAAAGTCGCTATAGACGCGTCCATGTCCATATACCAGTTCCTTATTGCTGTCCGCCAGAAGGATGGCGAGATGCTCACAAACGACGCGGGAGAGACAACGAGTCACTTGATGGGTTTCTTCTATCGTACTATACGTATAGTCGAGAATGGCATCAAACCTGCGTATGTATTCGATGGTAAGCCTCCCGAACTCAAGTCGGGTGTGGTACGTGGCTCAATCATACCGCGTATGCATCGCCCTCACGTTCTCGCAGCTCTCAAAACGTTTTGAAAGGCGGGAGGAAGCCAAGGAAGAGGGTGAAGAGGCTAAAGAAACCGGTACCGCAGAGGATGTCGACAGGCTCTCTAGACGAACCGTCAAAGTCACAAAAGAGCACAACGAAGAATGTAGAAAGCTATTGAAACTCATGGGTATCCCTGTCATCGTGGTATGTCTTTTAATGTACTCTGTAGCTCGGTTGTTAATTCCCTCTCAGGCACCATCCGAAGCAGAAGCACAATGTGCAGAGCTCGCCAGGGGAGGCAAGGTCTGCAACATGTTATTTCGTCGACGTTGGTACTCACTGAAATTCAGGTATATGCAGCAGGTTCGGAAGATATGGACACCCTCACTTTCAACGCACCCATCCTCTACCGGCACCTGACATTCTCCGAGGCAAAGAAAGCACCTATAAGTGAGATAAACCTCCAGAAGGCACTCGAAGGTCTCGAAATGGACATGTCACAGGTCTGTTCTCTATCTGCTCCCTGATTCGTCCTGAAACTGAAGTTTTCCAAGTTCATCGACCTCTGTATATTACTTGGTTGCGACTATCTCGAGCCAATAAGAGGAGTTGGACCGAAGAGTGCTTTAAAACTCATACGAGAGTACGGTGGGCTTGCAGGGGTCGTCGAGCATTTGCGAGAGAAGTACGTGATTCCAGTCCTACACAACTTCATGTCTCCGACGCGGCCACTTTACTCAGGCAGGCAGAGAAGGAGGAGAAAGCTGCCGATGCAGAAGATGGCGCCAAGAAGAAAAAGGGAGGCGTACAAGTCCCCGAAGAGTGGCCCTGGGAAGAGGCAAAGAAATTATTCGAAAAACCAGATGTAGTCCCGGCTTCTGAGGTTGAGGTATGAAATCAATTCACTGCTGTTCCATTAACATGACTGCTTACGTTCTTGTCAGCTCGAGTGGAAAGACCCAGATATCGATGGTCTTGTGCAGTTTCTGGTCACTGAGAAAGGATTCAAGTAGGTACGATCTTCCACCTGCACAGCCACCAACTGACGCGCATACAGTGAGGACAGAGTCCGCAAAGGTGCCGAGAAGCTACAAAAATTCTTAAACGCAAAGCAACAAGGTCGTCTTGATGGCTTCTTCTCAGTACAACCTAAAACCTCGCCGAAGAAATCGAAGGCCGACGACGCAAAATCAAAAAGCAAAACCATTAAAGACGGAAAGGGAACAAAACGGAAGGTGAGTATCTATTCGAGGCACGACGATCTTCGCTAATATCATATCAGGCAGAAGAGAAAGCAGGGGCATCAAGCAGTAAAAAGAGCAAGACGAAGAAATAACTGGTCAACCGCGTAGCACATTCCCCTTCCGTTTTTATTATTTGCTAGGTGTTTTTTGATATCTGCACTATCTTATTAATGTTGTACTGCAGCATGGATTTTTCCGCATTGTATATTACCGCCTAATTATTTGATTAGCCGTTCAATCCAAACACCATCCTTCCACCGATGAAAAACGGACGATATCCCACACTCTTAAAAACACGTGTAGGGGGCATTTCAGCTCGAGTCAATAGCCGCTTCATTCTGCGTGATCAGATTGCAAAAGGTGGAGTAAACCAGGCACCACGTTCAAAGGTTCAAACGCAAGAGGCCTCGTGTTTCCCTCGGGTTCGGGAACAAACCGAGAGTGGCACATGCTTGTCTCCTGATCTTACCCTCGACATCGACAAAGGATCATCGCATCAGGGTACACAGGAAACACCCAGGTCCGCTGTCCATTGCGGAAAAATGCGGTATCGACGGTCAGATAGCGGTGAGTATCACTATCGAGCGATTGATCCACTGATTTGAACTCATCGATGGGCATCAAGATTCATCTCATGAGATTGTAGCCGTTCCAGCCCCCGTGGCTCGCAGACACAGACATCCCCGAGCACCGACGACAGTCCAGATCGTGAATGATGACTTTGATGCTGTAACCCAGGACGTCGACTTTGAGACTACGTCGGAGATGCGGGGGTTTGATGGTATCACGCAGGTGCATGTCCACAAGGAGGAGGTAGAAGATGCCGCACGATATAGTGGGGTTTATGGGGTTTATGGGGAGTGGGCGGAGAAACATGAAATCGACTATGGGCGAGGCGCCTGATCTGCAACAGGAGGAATATCTTTACGCCGAGGAGCTTGCGAGGCGCGTGCTTGATGCGGGGCTTAACGATCAAGAGACCGTACATTCATCGGACAAGCGGCAACAGAATGCAGGCACTATAAAGCGCCATGGATCCGACGCAAGATCGAAAGTCATGGAACGCGGAACGAAGGTCTCGATGTGGAGGGAAGATGTTGCGAGAAACGATAAGGATGAATTCGGGAACGTGGTTGGAAATATCGCCGCCGATGCCGCTCAACGGACCCAGGAGTGGCGAAGCAAGTCGCCGCCAGTACCCAGAGATATAGAGGTCTGCCTTCGTACATCATCAAATCGAACATGATGTTGACCACCAGAACGTACAGAACCTGAAATCAGGACTCAGAAGAAGCCGCTCGAGTGTTTCTCAGACATATCGCTCGGAGAGAATATACACACCGTCTGATCTCAACACAAACTGGTCACCTCAGGGGAAGAAAGCAAAACGCGACAAACGGGGTGCTCCTCCAAGCCCGACACGTTCTGAACGGATATATACAATGGCTGAACTCAATGCTCTATCCAAACATATCAGAACCTCACCACTACAACCACAGCCAGCCACCTTTCCGCAAGAACCAACACCAACCAGGAGTTCCAATAGCAACAGTACCTCGCCTCCACGTAGCCATCCTAGTAGAGGCTGGCCTTCTGCACCCGTGATGGGCGTTCGTTCAACTTCTACATCATCGGTTGAAATGGTGCTTGCGTCCTGCGAACCGACATTGCTTCATATAGCGCCTGTACTTGCTAGTCTCGGAATTCGGCGCGAGGAACACCTACGTGCATTTGCCCGATTGCGAGAGGAAACGAGGGACAGAGAGATGAAGGAGGAGGTGTTGAAGAAAGGGGTGACTGTACTTGAGTGGGCGATTTTGATGGACAAACTTCAGTCTTTTTGATATGATTTACTGGCTGCGCCTTGGATGAATCATGTCGATCAAGTTCGATAGCGTACTCAACATATGGCGATCTTTCCGTATATCCATGTCTAAACTGACATATGATGACGGAAAATATCTATGTTAACGCCAAGGAGATCATCGGCTACACAGACTCGGAAAACATATGAGACAGTGTTGCATTAGCGGTGGTTCAAATGAACTGCCTGATTATCAGATTATCAGACGCGAAGACATGATGCGGTGGCATAATTGAATTTGAAAGTCAAGACTCGATAAGATACAATCATCAACTTGCCTCCTTCGATGGTCCTTGAACGCGTCCCAGCTGATCTGCCGTGGTATTGAAATACATCTCCACGGTATGGCAGTGACATGATCGTATTGGATGTCCCGTGCCGGCTACCGAGCAACGTGTGGAGTTTCCAATGTCGTACTATGCATAGGAATTCCAACTCGATTCAATCACACTTATTTCCCTCCCTGACCATCACTACCACCATCAATTAATCACATAGCCCCGCCCATTGCAATGGGAAGTAACACACCCTACTTCATCGGTATTGATGTCGGCACTGGCTCTGCTCGTGCCTCTCTCGTCGCACAAAATGGCGAGATCAAAGCGTCCTCCACAAAGGACACCATCACCTGGCGCGATAAGCACGATCACCGTATCTTCGAGCAATCAACGAACAATATTTGGGAACAGATCTGTACCGCGGTGAAGGAAGTGTTAAAAGAGTCTAACGTTCCCGCAGCCGCAGTCAAGGGACTTGGCTTCGATGCCACCTGCTCTCTCGCCGTGTCAGATTTTGACGCGAATCCGATAACAGTGACCAAAGGCAATGATATCGGAAAGAATGGTGATCGGAACATCATTCTGTGGGCAGACCATCGCGCTGAGAAAGAGGCTGAGCTCATCAACTCCACCGGGTCGATTGTCTTGAATTATGTTGGCGGAACCATGAGTGTATGTAACAGCTACTAATCCGGTATACTTCGCTAATTCTACTTTGCGACCAGCTTGAGATGGAGGTACCTAAGATTCTTTGGCTCAAGAAGCACATGGACCCTGCCCTGTTTGCTCGATGCCAATTCTTTGACCTTCCCGATTTCTTCACATATAAAGCAACTGGAGATAGCACACGCTCCTATTGTTCGACTACGTGCAAATGTTCTTTTGTTCCCGACAAAGGCTGGCAACCGGACTTCTTCGAACGCATTGGTCTCGGTGAACTCATCGATGATGGTAACTGGAAGCAGATGGGCACAGCCCACGGCCGAGTGCAGACTGCCGGAAGCCCAGTCGGTCAAGGCTTGTCTCGACAGGCAGCTGAAGAACTTGGACTTGTGGAAGGCACTGCTGTTGGAAGTGGCCTGATCGACGCGTACGTCATATTCCATCAATGCATGTACGTTGATATGGATGTTCCTGCGTCATGCTAGGTATGCTGGCTGGATGGGCACAGTTGCCGCTCGATACACGGAGAACGGTCAGCTCTCAGCTGTACTTCCCTCTCTTGACGAGTCTCGGCACCGTTTGGCTGCTGTTGCCGGAACTAGCACTTGTCATATTGTTCAGGTAAGTTACCTGCACAATCTATCTTTATAGTGACGAAAACTTTGTTTCAGAGTCGAGAAGGTGTCTTTGTAAAGGGTGTATGGGGCCCATACAAGGTATTTCATTGCCATTCTGCATATCGATCGATGTCCCAACGATACATTCTTACAGGATGCAGCATTCCCTGGCTGGTGGATGAATGAAGGGGGCCAGTCGTCCACAGGACAGCTTATTGACTTCATCATCACCACTCATATCGCGTATCCCGAACTCAAAGAGCGTGCAAAGCAAGAGGGAAAAGCTATCCATACTGGTTCGTGTAGCTCTTCATGCTGGAGTAATGAACAGTGTTCTCACGTCTGTCTATAGTCTTGCTGGATGTCCTCGAAAAATTGCGCCATGAGAATCATGTTGATACTTACACGGAGCTTACGAAGCATATACATTTCTATCCCGATTTCCATGGTGAGATGAGCTACAGCGTGATGTTAATATCTTTGTTCATGTCTATCGCAGGAAACAGGTCTCCGATTGCCGACCCTCGAATGAGAGGATCCATTGTCGGTCTTGAGCTGGTAGGTCGCCACTTCGATCGAGAACTGAACTGTGGCTAAAGTGATCTTCAGGAATCATCTATCGCCGACCTCGCTCGCAAGTATTACCTTACCCTCGAGGCTATCGCCCTCCAAACACGCCACATTGTCGAGGCTCTCAACACGGCAGGGCATGACATCACATCTCTGTATATGTCCGGTGGACAGGCAAAGAATGTGGTAATGATGCAGCTCTTTGCGGACACGTGCAACATCCCCGTCATCCTGCCCAAGTCACATTCCGAGGCGGTGGTTCTCGGTGCAGCGATGTTAGGAAGGATTGCAGCGGAGGGTGTCAAGGTCGGAGAAGACATGTGGAAGATTATGGTAAGACGTCCTATGTACCACACTGAGTGTATATGCTGATTGTTGTCATTCAGGTCGAAATGACGCCGGCTGGTACTCTCGTGGCCCCTGGCGCTTCACCGAAAGTGAAGAAACTGCTAGATGCTAAATACAAGATATTCCGAGAGACGATTGATATCCAGAATCGGTGGAGACAGGAAATTGAAGAAGCTAGCGATTGAAATGTGTATGTGCAGTCAAAGAAAGCGCAATTCAGCTCACGATAGATCTCTGTATTATTGTACCAGTATTGTATGGATGGAAGAACAGGAGCTCGGTATCACAGTTGACTGCGAGGGCAATCGATCGAGAATTGGCTATCATGGTGGTGGAGATATTGTGGATCGTTGTGGTACTGCTGGAAGTAAATGTGGGACAACGACAAACCGAAGAAAAACCCACGGCAACTAACTTTATGGAAGGCTTCTCCCGTCCCACCAGCTGAGCCCTGGATCACGGTCATCTTTGAGGCCACCGTGCCCCTTTGTAGGGTGACCTAGTTGCGTTGAACGATTGACGTTATTACCACTCACAGTGTAGCATCGCTGCGGCTTGCCTCCGCGTTACATTCAGGAGCGATCCATAGTATCTCCATATTTTTTTGAATCGTGATTCATCAAAGAAGAGCGATCGTAAGCAGCTCACACTGTCATCAAGCAGGAGCTACATCGACGGGGCTGAAGCGACCATGGCATTGTCTGAGGCGCATTTGTAGGTCGAGCGTTGAAATTTGAATGCAGGGAACTAGTGCGCCACTGTGCATGTCGAGGTATGATTATATTGTATGAGTTGCTACTGTAAACACAGTATATCGTCGAAGAGCTGAGTGAAAGGGTGTCCTTGTGTGCAATAATATTGACATTACAAACAGCTATAAGTAAAACATCAATACAAATGATAATCGTATACTAAGAATATCATTGTCCTCGATATCGTCGGCAGAATCAGGGTCGTATAGAATTGCCCGCGCTTGCTTCCACCCCTTATGAGGACCTCCACAACGAATTCCCTCGTGCCCTTGCTCACCTACGCACCGGCACTCGTCCCATTACCGCCAAGGGAATAAACCAGGCGCTCACTTTCGTGTGTACGTTCAGAGGAAATGAAGACACTCCAGAATTTCTCTGCCGGACCAGCTGGTGGAGGATGTGTAAGATATGCAGAGGCTATGTCCGCAATGATGGCTAGAGGATGCGCAGTCAGATGCATAAGTGTCGGTGATAGGAAGTTCGAGTCAGTAGCTCGAGAAGAGCGCTGGGCTGGAGATGTAATACGAGGATCGAAGGTTCTTGAGGAAGATGAGTAGGCACATGGACATCAGTCGTGCTGTAAACACACCAGAACGCGTTGTAACTAGCTCAAGGAGTGTCCCAATGAACTTATAAAATCCCTGCATTCCTGTATATAGAAACGACCGATTGTAGTGACGGATGATGATCCCTGGAGCATTGTATGCTTCGACTTCAGGGAGGAAGATGGCCTTCCCTCGTCCATAAGCGTGTCTTGCAACTGAGAGTCTTTGGACGCGTCGATAGCCATGAGACCGGAATATTCAAAGATGAAAAAATCTGAGGAAGGAGACCGCTGATAATAGTTTGCAATGTCTGTGATATCGGGTCATTGCAAGAAGTCGAGAGACATCTTCGAAGTGTGGGGTGTTGAACCTGTCGGGTTAAATTATTGAACGGTCTGCAATGTGTGCGTATCAACACACCAATCCATGACGTAGAGGAATCAGGATGACAGCGCCCCAACATCCAAAGGCTGGAAGAGGTGCCAAATAACCAAGGAACCCGTACTCTGATTTAGGCCATCAACCGATATATTGGATGATGATGCATGACAGGGCCACCCAAGCACTAAGCGTCCCATTCCACCAGCTAAGCCTTATAAGTTGTGTTTGCGAGGGCCGTCTTTGGGATCATTGTGCCCCGTTGTAGGCTGACCACAGTGTGGTATCGCTTCGGTTTGCCTCTGCGTGACATTCGGGAGCAACCCGTATCTCCGCATTTTTTCAATCGTGATTCCTCGAAGAGGAGCAATCAGCTCATATTCAGGCTGGCATCGTGAGCAGGAGCTACATTGATGGGAGCTAAAGCAGTCATGGTATTGTTTGAAGCGCCTTTATAAGTCGAGCGTTGGAATTTGAACGCAGGAAACTGAAGAAACAACGAGAGATTATGGCCCTGCGAGCGGAGCTGCACGACGAGGCGTGCAGATTGGTGTGATGTAGTGGACGGCAAGATACGTCTGGAAGAGCTTCACCGTGACATCGTCGAAGCAACACGACTCGGAGATGGCCCACAATATTCGACCGTTAATCGAAGATGCATAGCTTTGTCATGGCACAACGGAGTATAAGCACAAAATTGATCAGTTGAATGATGCATGTCGATGATTGACTCTCGTGGCACTCGTAAGTAACTGATAGGTATAACATTACATAATCGAAATTCGCCATATTTTTGCCTTAAATAATAGCCCCTATACATTTCGATTTTCTTTTCTTACCATCGATCCAACATCTAACTTGCTACTATGACAACCCTTCAGCGACGTATCGTTCTGTGGTTCTCAATTAACATTTTTGTAATATCATTCATTTTCATAATCTCAATTCTTGCTCGGACGCAATAGCAGTACTTAGCTGGGTGTTTACATCATGCTTGGCCTCTACCCTGACCTTGCCAAGGGTAACACGGTTATGTTACTCACGACTATAACATTGACTGTAGTGTTGTGCGGGCCGGGCTTGGGCCTGGGCCATGGGCCTCCTAATATTTTGGCCCAGCCCTGACATTGGGCTTGGGCTTGGGCTGAAGCCTGGGCCTGAAAATGTAAAATAACTGAACATATCCTACTAACATCAGTGAGTGCTCAGTGGCTCAGATCTGCCTCAGAGACATCTCGAGATCTTTTGGCACCAGGTGATAGTGCATGAGAAGTTTCTGCTGCTGTGGCAGGTAGTGGTAGGCGTTGTTGGTGTTGCTCAGATGCACGCTTGACATCCTCGGCATGTTTGGGGGCAATAGCTTCAGAGTAAGCACTGATAGCAGTGTCAGATACATCAATTAATTTCTTCGAGGGAGCAGGTGCGCGTTTAGGACACAATGATGGCTCTTGAACAGTTTGATTTGTTGCCAGCATTATAGTACAGGGTGTGAGTTGTTGACCGCAATGGGCTTGTATCCTCTGAGTCAATGGAAAGTTTCTGGATTTGGAATACATATATTGACTATACAGATTCTGTCAGCATCAACCGAGAAATAGGAAGTCTGAGCCCGGGCCTGAGCCCTGGGTATGGGCCTGCAGAGGTTGTGGGCCCGGCCCTCGGCCCTCATCAGCCCACTCACAGGGCTGGGCTTCTGTGGAGCTGGGCCAGGTGGGCCTGAGCCCTGGCCCTCCACATCACGAATGTTTAAGTATCAACTATCAATCACTTATATAACACAGCCGAAAAAGACTCATACTACTTGTATGATTTGCATGTCATGCTTCCACGGCACTGCTCCAACTTAATATATTTATCATTATGCTGATATCTGTCCTGAGTTCGAGCCTTACTCACCAGGACATTCAACCGATCGACAGCAGAAGTGCGCTGCCTTCGATCATTATCATCGGCCGATGCAAAGCTTCCAAAGGCTGGATATCGCTCATTTGACGTCGAACGCCATCATGAAGGTACCATACTGGTAGGTGTCATTCTTTCACAACCCTTGTCAGCAGTCTTCAAACTGACTCTACAGATCTGAGAAATCACCCTACTAGTACATAGAACTCGTACTTAGGGGACTTAGGGAAGTATTAAGAGGCTTCATCCAGGCGTTATAGACGTGTCGAGTGTTATTTGATGTATGCTAAGTTGCTCACAAACGTTCTAAAGTCCCATTTCAGTTACTGACATGTGTTCGATTAATCAAATTTTGCACTTACTTAGTTGTGTCACGACGAAATTTAGAATATCTTCAATGGTTGGTCGAACATTGCAGGAACTCCAGCAACGTTCGATCATGCTCCAATGTTCTTCCGCGATCTTCGGCTCCTCCGGGCGTCTAGGTTTTCTCCCATCCACCACCATCATGATAATCTGCATCTGCTGTTTGATGTAATAATAAGGGACCTTTCCAGAGAGAACCTGAGACAAAGATATACTTCAGTGAGCAGCTATGCAAAGGACTGTACGCACTTGTAACATGATGCTGCCGAATGAGTAAATATCAGCTTCTTTAGTAGGGCGATTGGTTGAGCCGTCTTGGTTTTCCGGTAGAGCGAATAGCTCTGGGGCTCCCCACCGAATATTGCCGGAGATGGTAGAGGAAAAAGTTGACGAACCGAAGAATTCGGATACAACACCGGAAAGCCCGAAATCTGAAAGACAAGCGGTGCCATTCTCCATCACCAGAATATTGGACTGAAAGGTTGTCAGCGTGTTATATTGGAAGAGCTGGTCTCGACGAACCCCACTGAGGTCTCCGTGTACAACTTCATTTGAATGAACTAAGAGAACAATTAATATGGTCAACACATTGAATATTATCATGCCGGACAGATACGAACGATAACGTAGACCACTTGCAATATCGGATAGCTAGTAGCAGAATTGTCTCAACTAGTTTTGGACGAATTGAACATAACTCACGAGTTTAAATCGATCGAGGATCAAAATGTCTCGACGGGACTCAAGATACGAGGTCAAGGACCCATTCTTTGCCCATGGAGACACCATAGCAGTAAATGGACCGAATCCGAGGGCAACGCCATATAATGGGAGGATGTTGTCATGGATAAGTTTTTGCCATATGATTAATTCCCGACGCAACCGCTGACGAAATGGACATCATGGTTGCGTTTTCTTAGACGTAAAACCCAAGCACTCACCTTATCCTTCTTGATTCGATCATTCTCATCAAAGAAGTAAGATCTGATGGCTTTGACTGCCACATCCTGTAGAAGGTTTCTGCAGGGTTAGTGACTGAGGGCCTATTATATGTTGCAAGTCACGTCTGCAGACCTCTTCAGTAAATTGTGTAGACAAAACTAAGCTGCATCTCCAAATATCTCCGAAGCCTCCGTGAGCGATTGGATAATTGGATCGCTTACGAAGATGCTGGGTGAGGTCGTTGAATGACCTGATACAATAGAATAAGCAGGTTTCCAACAGATACTTGAAACTGACATTTATACCTTTGCTCCTCACCTCGGACTTGATTGACTGTGGTAGATAACATTGACACCAAAGGACCCGCTTTTTGATAGAGTGCGACTAGTTATTCGATGTAGCCTTGAAGAAAGACACGGAGACTAGTCAAAAACACTTATATCAGTAGACTCGAGGATGACTGGGAACTTGAGCGCCGACGTGGATATCTAAATCCCCACGGAAGCAGCGGATGACATGTGAAATGATGTTATGTACCGGTATTGGATTTAACGCTTTCAAACCGTTGGCACAATGCAATAAGTGGTTGAGGGTGGGTACGCTTCAATAAAGTAGAAGTTGGGAATTTAAGATGTGATGCTGGTGATGCCTCATTATCAGATACATCTAGGTCAGGTAGCTCATATCCGCTGGCCCGATGAGAACCTACGAATCTGATATCCCAAGAAGCACTAAACACACCATAACTCTATTTGCCATTTAATTATAGTCTGCCTAGTGGGGGAGCAGACCTGACTTCAAGTTCTATCACCGATCAGCCAGATATAACGTTTAGGGAAGCGAAAATCCCAACATCACATTTTGGTTTGCCCAAATCGTCCGGCGAGGTTAAGGACGCACCGTCTGTGAACAGGCAACCTTCAGGTATCACAGATGCCTTCTAAATGTGACCAAATTTGCTCGCCGCTTCTTAAATCTGGATCCAGAGAGATGAGAAACATTAATGTAGACTTAGTGCACAATTTTGTCATGGAGAATTGCTGAGCTCGCGACCATGCGAAAAAAAAAGACAGACACATACAATCACGTGGGAAGCCCAACGTCTTCAAAGTTCCTTGGTGATATTCTGTCCCGATATGAGCCCGTCGAACTTCGAAGTGCGTATTCAAAGTTTCGGATGTTATGAGTACCAGAGCCTGAAAGGTGAAGAAACATACTGTAGCATTCTGTAGGTCCACTGGTAGGATTTTTATTATACGAGTCAGTAATATGACCACAGCGGACAGGTCCGTACTAGAGCCAGAAGTTACGCAGAAGTTAGAATACTCGACGCCCTTGGACTCGCTCCAAGTTATCGCGGTTGCAAACCAAGCTGTATTAGTACTACGTACGTCATCCGAGTTGCCATACATGGGTACAACGCTTTCCACATCACCAATTTAAACCACAACTGTCGCTATTAGTACGAAACAATGCCGCGTAAAGATGCTGGCGGTGGGCCTATTTCTGCTCAGGCTCAGCAAGATCTAGTCTCAGAGGGTATCGAGAACTTCGAGCTTCCTAAGAGTCTTGTTACGAAGATAGCAAAGTCAGCAGTAAGGCGTACATCATGTGTAGCAAAATATTTCGTGCTGATCATTTCTTCAGATGCCAGACAATGCGAAGCTACAAAAAGAGACAGTATTGTCTTTGGTGAAGGGTTCGACAGTATTCATCAACTACCTTGGTATGCGAATACGTCTTATATTCACGTCATACTGAATCGCTGATCTCTGTACTAGTGGCAACGTATGTGTTACCGCTGGTTTTATACAATGTCTTCTGATATATCTCCTCAGAGCTCATGATGTGGCGATGTCCAAACAGCACAAAAGTATCTCTGCGTCTGATGTGCTCAAAGCTCTGGAGATGATTGAGTTTGGAGATCTCGTCGAGAATCTACAGAATGAACTTCAAAGTAAGACCTCGCCCTCTTGTTTCCAAGTTGTGCTGAGGAAGCACAGTTTATAGAGATAACACGAAAGGAGACAAGAGTCGAAAATCCGGAACGGCAAGTGCCTCGCACAAGGGCAAGGCCAGAGAAAGTGAATCCGCATCAGTCGTCTCAAAATCAAAAGGGAAGGACAAGGCGACGAATCTGCCACCGCCATTTACGTTTGCCCCGCGGCCAGCAGCAGCATCCTCCGCGTCCCAATCGGACATGCACAGTGCTAGGGTCGAACAAGAAGTTGATGATGAGATGGGTGAGCAGGCGAGGGGGAAGATGAAGAAGACTGAGGAGGACGAGGAAGAAGTGGAAGATGAAGTGGAAGATGACGCACTGGTTGATATGATGGCTATAGAAGATGAGGAACAGAGAAAAGATACCTCAGGGTTGGAAGAACCTAAGGTTTTGCCAGCGGAGGACTAGGATCTTAATGTGAGTCCCGCAATGAAAATCGATTATGTACCATCGCTACATCAGACATCGTGGACAGCCTTTGGCCCTTGATCCATTGCTTGTCATCAAATTGGCAATCTCAAGCTGTTGTGTATGATATCAATAAGATTGAACCTGCGTTCCACAGCCTTGAGCTAGTCTGGACGAACGCGGCGCAAGTACTTCTCACCATGTAAGTCGCTGATTTGATGGTGTCACCAGCGAGGAGAGTCATTGAAATCTAGCAGAACGCAAAAGACAACACCGAATCATTGAAGTGTCCTCAGATGAGTGTCGGTGAATGAAGCCATAGGAAGCGACACTCAAGGTAACAGGCGTGCTCCAGTATGGACTTTGTTAGCTAACTCGCCTTCCAGCTTGGCGTCTATCTTTATGGAAATCAAAAAGGCTGCGACGGCGATCGGCTGTATTATGATGAGGGCTGTGCTTATGATTGCCATGAATGGACACATCGTCGCTTAAGGTTCACAGTTCTCCTTGGACGATGTTGAGGTCGTCACAGCTACAATCGATGTCGAGGACGTGCGCTCACATTGCACATCCTGCAGCCGCGGGCTCCAGGCTGCTCGTTCTAAGGCTTTTCATCGGATTGAAGCGCCGTTTGCACTTTCAAGTGGAAAGTTTGACGATACAGATGAGGCAATGGCCCTGGGTATCCAGGCTAAGCTTTCTGGGGCAAGGTTTCATACTCCAGAGGAAGAAATAGCGTAGGCCTATTATTTGTGAGTAAATCCAAATACTGATGATATCTACAGATTTGGTCCAGCCTGCTGGCTCTGGGACTACCTCAGGGGCTCCCGTACTTTGCCCCTCTCAGCGGAGGTATCGATTCCTGCACTACAGCTGTGATAGTATATTCCATGTGCCACCTCGTGGCTGAGGCTGCACGCAAGGGAGGTACTGTCATTCATCTGCTAGATTCAGTGTTTTGGCTAACATGATCGCCTTAATCAGACAAGCAGGTTATTCTTGATGCAAGACGAATGGTAGGAGAGCCGGAAGACTCAGTTTATACCCCTTTGGATATGAGTTCTGCAACAAGATCTTCCACACGTGTTACATGGGCACCGAGAACTCTAGCGCAGAAACGAGAAAGAGGGCCAAGGGCCTCTCAGAAGCGATCGGAAGGTATGCGTACACTTTAGTCCTCGAGACCCTTGACTAAAAATTAAATCCAGCTACCATGTAGACTTGAACATGGACACTCTTGTCACCTCTGCCCATAACCTGTTCGCGTTCGTTACTGGTATGCGACCTCAGTTCAGAGCCCATGGCGGATCTGGCGTGAAGAATTTGGCGCTGCAGAACATCCAGGTAAGTACCATGAATTGAGACCTACATGGTCATTGATGACTGCTGTCAGGCACGGTTACGGATGCTCCTGGCTCATCTCTTCACTCAACTACTTCCTTGGGTGCGAGGCAGACAGGGTGCACTCCTCGCCCTTGGCAGTGCGAACGTCGATGAAAGGTATGTTGACTGGCTGGAATAGTGACAATTGTCTGACTTAGGGCTCAGTCTCCGCGGTTATTTCACAAAGTACGATTGTTCAGTAGGTCAGCCTATCTCGAAAGAAATGCCAACCGAACTCACATTAATCCCAGCTGATATCAATCCTATTGGGAGCATCAGTAAGACTGATCTCAAGAAGTTCATTGCCTACGCTCGGGATGCGTTTGAAATTCCCATCTTGAACAAAGTTAGTACAGCTGGGTTATTAGGATTGGCACTTTTTCCTGATATTCTGCAGTTTTTTGACCGCCATACCGACCGCTAAGCTAGAGCCAATTTCAGAGACGTGTGTCCAAGTAGATGAAGTGAATATTCACTCGATAGATGGACATAGGCATTAGGCATGACGTATGATGAACTATCAATCTACGGTCGTTTTTGCAAAGTGGAGAAGTGTACCATATGGCATGTTCACGAAGCTGGAGCACGAGTGGGGCTCATTCCTGTCTCCCATTCAAGTATGTCATCATTCAAGGTTGAGTGCAATCCGCTGATTACGTCTTCTAGATCGCAAGCATTTCTTCCTTGAATATGCGCGCAACCATCATAAGATGACAACTCTGACACCGGCATACCATGCAGTAGGAATATCTATCCTCACAGACTGATATAAGACTGACGTTGTCGTAGGAATCCTATAGCCCAGATGACAACAGTATGTTACGCTCAAAACTCCACATCACAAGTTGCCCAGACTGACATACATGTCGCACAGGATTTGATCTGCGTCCTTTTCACTATCCCTCAAGGTTCCCGTGGCAGTTTAAAAAGATAGATGAACTAGCTGCAGTCCTACCTAATCGCTCCAACTCGGCTGCAGATAAGACCAAGACTGGCTGAATAATGTAGAGATCAAGTCCGTGTACTTAGACGACATAAGGCCTTGAGACTCTAAGTCACAATGAAACGATACTTTGTATTCCAATATGGCGGACATCATGCGAGTATAAGTCAGTCAGATTATGTCCGCAAGAAACTTGATAGCGTGCTTTGAACCGTTATCTTCTTCATGATCGTAACGTTCTTGTCCATCGGGTGACAGTCTGACTCTGTCTGATGGGGCTGGAGTGTTACTGAATCGAAATTTATTGTCCCAGTCAAGTGCTCCTAGTTAATAATTGTACGATCAAACTGCGTCGAGTCGCCTGAAGAACTTGGATAAAGTTTACATACCTGTGTTTTCAAGACATAACACCGTGAAGTGATCATCGCGGAGTACAAAGGGTCCTTGAGGCAACGCGAGGCCTCAAAAGGCCGCATGATCACCAGTTCAAACACCATACCCTTTATCATCTTGATTCACCATGTCGTCCAACAATACGGTCGCAGTAACAGCCATCTGGACAGATGATCAAAATACAGTTGAAGGCAAGCTGCCAGGCCCAGGCAATACAGTGGCAATGGCTATGGGAATTTTACAAAATCACATCAGCAAACATGTTACTAAGATGTACGACCTCGACCCACCATTGGACCCATTTGCCATGCGGGCAAAGTACTTTCCAGCAGGTAAGCTTCAACCGATCTTTCGTTTACTGTAGAGGCCGACTCATTGATCCACTTCTCTTAAAGGCGCTGAACCTTCAGATTCGCTCAGCGTCTGCCGCCCCACTGGTCTTACAGCACTATTCACTCCTAATGACGAGACGAATCGTCGTATCCGGACCCAAAAGGCCCGGGCAAACCAGCCATCTGTGGAACCTAATACAACATTAGCCACCGATACTGATACAACCTCTCAGTCAAGCACACCAGCAGGCCTCACGTGGCAAATGTAAGTTGTAACATCAATAGCATACAGACACGCTGATCAGTTCCTCCGCAGCCAAGAAAGCCAAGAAACGAAATGCTGCATCAACAGCCAATACGGCATCTGTGGCCAATCTTCCTCAGGTAACTGCGGACAGCCAGCTCAAGGAGATGCTGGCCGCGATGCAGAACGAGATCGCAGATATTCGGACAAAGAATGAGAGGATTCTCAAAGAGAATGGCAACATGCACGGTGAGATTGAAAGGATTTCCAAGGAGAACGAGAGGACTTCCAAGGACGAGGATTCTCCAAGAGAATGGCAACATGCACGGTGAGATTGAAAGGATTTCCAAGGAAACGAGAAGACTTCCAAGGAAACGAGAGATTCCAAGGAGAACGAGAGGATTCTCAACGAGAACGAGAGCATGCATGATGAGATTGAGGAAATTCGCAACGAGAACGAGCGCATTGATAATGATCTCACTAGCGTCCGCAAGGATCTAGAGGCAGCGAGAGACAAACATACTTCGGATGTTGAAGCACTGAGAGAAGTAAGTCGTTCCTCTTTCCAATCACCAACTCTGACAACAATCTTTTTAGGTCACCGCGTTACTAGTCCCCTTACATCTTCGTGTCCTCCTTGACCTTGCACGCAAAAAGGTTCTGGAACACCTCGGTCACGAGACCTGGGAAGAACTTCGCGCTTCCCGCAGTGTCTTCCAACTTGCGGACACAATCTTTAATGATCTCAAACAGAAGGGTGTATCATACTCCCCGTCATACCAGTCCATTTTTTTCTTATGTTCATATAATAACATCAGGCGGGCAGGAAATACAGCTGCTCACAGCGCAAAAGAGGACGATGTCAGGCATGCAGTCTTAACCCAGTCGCTGGGGTCCCATGATCGAAAATGCTTGGAAAGTTTGTTTACATATGCGTATAACGGGGTACAAGTCTGAGGAGTTATCATGGCATTTACTATACTACTAATATTTGTACTTGAACTCAAATGCACCTGCAAATGTTGTTGATAACAGTATCCTCAGCTCAGGGCTCATTTGCGATCCCTCTTAGAGATGGTACGTACGAGCCCTATAAGGGTCTGGTCGTACGATGTGCCTTGAAGGCAATCTGCTTCAACGTGCTTCAACTTGCAATTTTTGAGTTTTTTAATCCTTCTACATAGTTTTATTCGTAACTGACAAACAAAAACACTTGTATTCGAAATCAAAAAGCGAATGTAGTAAAATGCTTGTATGATAGATTAGCCATTGGGTGACGCCTCTGAATTTTGGATCGTCTCGTAAAACACAATGCCATCATACGACATCGTGCATCGATGATGGTGATGTAGACTGTGGGCCGATTATCTTAACATTTGCACCCACAAGATGATGACATCCTACTCAGGGAGATGTTGAACATCATTAACTTGACAGGTGGAAATACACTCAGACTGCTCTAATAGCGCCACCTGTTCCTCATCCAATGCGAAAGAGAGAGCGTTATTGTGAAGAATACAGCTGCTGATTGCTTCGATGTAAGGAAGGTATGTTGTCACTGACATCTCGTCCTTGTTAAATGAGTGGTAAGTGGTAGCCTCCCGAACTACCTTGCCGATGCCGCGCGCCACAGCGGAGGTATTGAAATCCATCATCCGCAGCAGAACAGGGTCCTGGTCGTTGTAATTATTCAGTTTAGCAAACGATACCACACGAGATCCTCCCGCTCCATGAAGACTCCCGGAGAAGCAGCGACTGTTCTGTGGGCCCCATGATGACCAAGGAACAGACAGTCCATCTTCTGAGGTCGCATCAAACCATGATGGAGGAATATTCATGAAAAACAGGCGAGCAGTTATGACAAAAAGCGGACCGGGACCCCGATTCGATAGGCATAAGACTCGATCTGCCGTGTTTGTGGTCCAAATCCAATGATTATCGGGTGTCGCCAGATGTGCACAACTCGAGGCGCTGTGAAGAACCGGAGGATATTGAATGCCATACAGGTGCATATTGCTACTATTATAGGGCAACGTAAATCTTGCCTGAAGCCGTGGTGCCTTTGATAGGTCCTCAACGTCATATGGTTCTATATGGCCGTAGCTTGTGAAAGCTAAAAGCTTTTCTTTGGTAAGAAAGCGGATTTCGGAAAAGCTACGGTAACCTTCGCCGACCACACATATGTCCTTAATATAGGGAAAGGTTGAATGAGAATTTTTGAATGATAGAGGGAAAAAGACGCCCACATCAGCTTGAACACCTTCATGCCAATTCCAGACGTGCAGCGACCAGTATCCATATCCATCCTTCACAGCCGCCTCGCCATAGAGAGCAAGGCGGTCTCCGAGGACATTGACAAACGCGCAATGATACACGTGTGCCCGTGATGAGAGTCTTTTGTCAGGGGCTCTAGTCACAGTAACCAGCTGGGATCCACTGGCCGAGAGATGTTCCTTGCCCGTTGATAACTGGCGGAAATTGATTTGGAATCTGGAGTTGCGTCGGGGGCGCGTCTCCAATATGTCGACGGAACCCAAAGGTCATGCGTCTCATCTACGTAATGGTTCCGAGGAGATACGCCAGGGGCTGGATCATCCTTGTGCCAAATGCAAGGAGAGTCATCCACCGTCTCAGATGTGTAGGACGTGATGTCAATCACTTTTGACTTGACATACTCGTCATCTTCAGAGTGGGGCTCACAGTCACACTTAACCTCTGCGGAATGAGACGCAAAGCCAAATTGTCGAGGATGCATGCGTTCGCCTTCTCTCTCAGAATGCGCAAGCACTCCGCTATGGAGACAATAGGAGGATGAACCTGCACCAATCCTTGGGCACCAAGTTCGATAGCGTATTGTAGATCCACAGAGTTTTTCACTGTCGTGTGCATCGTTCGGCAAAGCTTTAACGTAGGCTGATCAGTACACGGGTTTAGATGAGAATAGGGGGAGCCCACCGATGCGCAGCGTAAGATTTGATTGTACGGAAGGAAGCTAAGAATATAGCAGCGCAACTCCTCTGTGATATTAAGGAGGGTAGCCCTCTCATAACGGAGACCATCTGTCCATAAAATAAAGAAGTCTGTCGATTCATCATCGAGTAAATGGATTGTTTGTGCAAAGAAATTCAAGAAAGCCTAAGAACGAGCCACGTGACAGGATTTGCGACACAGGTGAAGATGCACTGGGTAGCTACTCTGCCAGGGAATGGTGTAGGTATCAATGAACCAGCCAGAAGCGAAGAAGTCGAAGGGCCCAACACCGTGACGGCAATCCGTCTCGCCAAGGAGATATATCCTGAATTGTTCATGGTCCTATCATGAAGTTGTTTTGAGTAATTCGGTGAGAAGGAAATGTGAGCAGGGATGCGGTGAAGATTTTCCGATGTGGACAGGCCTTGGTAGAGTCATACACACCTTGTCCATGTGATGGACCAAGTCTTCTGCGGGAGTAGCTGATCATTGTTCACCCTGGCAGTGTGACCTTCAGACACTACCAATGCGATTGTGTGACCTGTGCCAGAAAATCGAAGGAAAAGAGTTAGCAGTTACCCTGTTGTCGTCGCAGCCCGAGAGAAAGTAAGCAAAGCTCTAACAGAGCTCGACCCAAGGATGAAAGTAAGGTGATTTCATTCTAGGCTGGGACAAGCTGGCTGGGGCCGCCGGGCACCCGCCAATTGGCGTTATGCTGAAGACTTGAACTAGGAAGGACCACGTATTCAGGATCAAACCCCATCAATCACGCAACCCTCGAGCCGGCGCAGGCTGAAGTTTGAACCTGCAACCTTCCAGTTCCGAAGTAGAGCTGATCACCTGCAAAAGTAGCCCGACGGCGACCTAACAGCATCCGTGGACCGTTGGTATATAAATTTGCTTGTTTCGAGAATCCGCTAGCATTGAGGTTGCCAGCCCGCTGGTCCTTAAAGAAGGAGTGACTGCCTTCCTTCTATTAAGGACAGACAATTTGAGACTAGCGCTGGGACGAGGAAGAAAATGTCAAAAATGGCGTACATGTAAACGAAAGTAACATAAAAAAAGATCTATACCAATACTGGCATTGCGGCATTTTCCGGTGATGTCTTGTTCTCCTCCGCCTTCGTTCCAGCTTAAGCGGTTATAGAGTCTGTGCGGGAGCAGAGGCGGAAAGCGTACGTACGGTGAGATAGACACTATTCAAACAACTTAAACTCAGAGCCATTTGCCTCACAACACTAGATATGTATTTAGGATAGAGGAAGCACAAGGTAGATACACACGCACTCGACACTGGGGGCCCAGATACTACAGAACGTTGCTCAGTCTGGCGCTGACTAGCCGTTACAGGGTGAATTGTCAAAATAAAACGTGGATTATTTCGACGAGGACAACCCTAAATTTAGTGGGAGAGCGTGCGTAGTAGTAGTCGCAGCAAGTCCCGTTTACACGTTCAGGGCCGGCTGTGATAATCTAATCCAAGACCACGACCCAACAAGTTCACCGGTGAAGCTTAAGCACTACTATCACTGTGATGCCACTGTGATTCTTACACCAAAACATGTACTATGATATTGCTTAATCAAAAATCATATTTAAGACCTTTATGGACGATTAGTAGACACAAGTATAGGACACTTATTGGGTAGCCTATGTGCGGCACGGACTCGGATGCGGCAAAATCCTAATAAGGCCCCAAAAGTAAACAACGCGCTTCACGAGCTAAACACATGATCATCTAATGCAAGTATATATCCTCCAGGTCTTATTGCTTTCACATACATATGCAGGATCTCACAGCACTTGACAGTCACGAGAAGCATGAGCACCCAAACAGTTGATTCAACTTTCAAGATAGAAGCTGGGTCCAAAGTTGACCCGCTAGGAATCGGGACTCCATTACCTTTAGGTCAGGTCTCCTCCAAGTCAGAGCTCCATCCATCGTCATCAAAAGCCCCAACATGCGTCAAAATATACCTCCAAGATGAATGTCTAAAGCACCGATTCATCCGCTCACGAGATACCTCGAGCATCGTGGAGCGACCCGAACGTTTACGCGCCGTCAAGGTTGGACTCGCTGCTGCAATAGCGCGTATCGAAGAGGCCGAAGGTGCTCTGAAGCCCTCAGATGCGAATATTTCCGTAGAGGATGAGCTGGTTGCTGCCCTCGGCAAGATGGATATCGCTACATCCGATGGTGGACTTATTCGAGCTCGAAGTATTTCTGTCACAAGAAGTACGGCTACTGTCGATCTCTTGGATGACGCTGCGGTGAAATACGTTCATGGAGATATAGATGGGGATGTGTACCTCCAGAACTTGAAGGCATGGGCTCGAGATAGCGAAGATAATATTACGAAGAAGGGGTCTGAAATGCCGGAGGGGATGCCACCACTTGACTTGTACCGTATGTATTTTTTGGGAGAGATTTCGGTTGTGAAACTAATGTTTTGCAGTATGTCCCTCCTCCATCGATGCTATCCAAGGCGCTATTGGCGCCGTGTGCCAAGCAGTGGACGCAGTCATCACGTCTACCCGTATAAATCCTTCTTCTGACCCTCAACGAGCATTTGTAGCAGTAAGACCCCCTGGCCATCACTGCGGCGAAGATACCCCTTCTGGATTCTGTTTTGTAAACAATGTAGCGATTGGTGCAGCTCATGGTGAGCTTCGCCGATTTCGATTAGTACTAATTTACTCATGCATTTTTAGCACATCTCAAACACCGAATTCAACGTGTTATTATACTGGATATTGATTTGCACCATGGCAAGTTCACGGGTGTGCGTCGGAGACACTCTACTTAATTGTTTTGCCAGGTAATGGCACGCAGTCAATAGTATGGCAAATAAACGAAGAAACCTACCAACAGACGCTCGAATCTGAGCAGTCGCCTTCTGAACCCAACTCATCTTCTCCAACTCGCGGTCCGCAGATATTCTACGGCTCAATACACGACGTTCTCTCTTTCCCGTGCGAGGTAAGGAACACTTCTGTCATTCGCTCGTTATCAGTGATTCAGCAGTGTATCATAGGACGGTAAGGCACCTTTTGTTCAAGCCGCGTCAACGTCAATACACGGACCGCATGGACAACACATCGAGAATATACATCTGCAGACTTACAGCTCCGAAACATACTTTTGGGATGTCCTCTACAAAGAACAATATTCGGTGCTGCTGAAGCGAGCATCGCAATTCCTTGACAGTACCGGTGGACCAGGCGATGATGTCATGATCTTCATCAGGTAAGTTTATTATATCTCGTGTTCAAGCATCCACGGTAGAGGGCTGAAACAGTTGTGGTTTCGATGCCTGTGAACACGAGTATCCAAGCATGTCTCGTCATAACCGAAGGGTTCCTACAAGTTTCTATCGCCGATTTGCTCTCGATACGTGTGCTATTGCCGATGTTTATGCTCGTGGACGCGTCGTGAGCGTGCTCGAAGGCGGATACAGCGATCGCGCGCTGAGCAGCGGGGCAATGGCACATATATGTGGATTCGTTGGGGATACCGTACAAGTGGATGAGAGGTGGTGGGACTTGGAAAACCTCATCAAGGTATTTCAGTTTGCAATGCGTCTCTCTGTACTGTACTCAAGTTTTATTGTAGCTCGAAAAAGCCACCAAGGCCCGTAAATTTGTGCGCCCCTCGCTGGGAAACACCGATCCCGAGCCATGGCTTACACGCACCTCAGAGCTGCTCTCCCATATCGACGTCTACCGGACCCCACCACAGCCTTCACGAAATTGGGTCCCACCAACGTCGAGGACCCTACGCGAGCGCAAGAAGCTTTCGAGAAACAGCAGCACACCCGAAGTGGCTAGTAAACCTCGCGAGGACACACAGACACCTGTGCCTATGTCCAGCACTTCCGCATCCACGTCCGAGAGTGAGGTTGTGAGCCCTCTTGTTGCGAAGAAGCTGCCTCGAGTGATTTTACATGTCAGACCGCCTGGGGGCACGTCATAATGTTGGTATATGTGATATTGTACTGATTGTTGGAAGTTTTTATATATATCTAACATGTACTTGTTAATACAAATACCAATGTCTTTATTAGCTCGTTTGAACCTCGCGCAGATCTTGTCGATTATGCCTCATCCAGATCGTGACACAGAAATCTTGATCAAGTGTGCGGGAGGCTCTATGGTGAACGTAGTGACTATAGCTTGGCTCTTTACCTGGCTTTGATACTCCTACCTCGAAATAACAAGTTGACTGTCATACACAGCTGTCCCTCCAATCGAACTTCTTCAACCGAACCACTAGCCTTCCAGATCGTGTAGAAAGTCTAACCAGTTTCTTTTCGCAACAGAGCTCAATAAGCATTTCGCCATTCCCATTTCACTCTGGACCCTCGTGCACTTCTGCTTGAGGGGACAATTGCGCGATTAATCAATAACATGGGACATACGTGTGCTATGATAAAATGGAAGGTAATCCTACAATTGACAGGTGCTACAGTGACCGAGATGAAAGGATCGAAAATCAACAACGTACAAAACCTATACCAGACGAAAGTGATACGGCAGGAACTACACACCAACGTGAACGAAAACCATTCTCTGCTCCAGCGGAACCTTCGTCTTCACAGCGTGCGTAGCACGATTGAGTGCCCAGGCCGCCTTCGTGCAGTCCATCACACCACCATCCTCCAAATCCTTGAACATATTCTCGTAGAAAGCTTTCACAACATGTTTTGCAACGGCGTCGTCGACCTCCCACAGCGTGCCAATGACGCTCTTGAACCCTGAAAATTGCAGTCCAGCCGCGAGGTGAATCACCTCGTCGGGAGTCTCCTCATCGCCGACGGCGGTATGACACGCTGATAAGAACGCGAACTCTGCGTGAGGAATGTCTTTCTCCATAATATCAAGTAGCGTGATAGGTTCATCTTTCATGACGAAATGAGAATTGTAAGGCTGTTCGCGGTCCTGTTTTCCATGGCACGCAAGGTGTACCCAGTTGTTGTCTTGCAATGCTTGCAGTGCACCTGCTCGTGTGGCTGCATCGCCAGAAATAGTGGTACGGTTGGCCGTCGCAGGTATGAGCTTTCGAACAAGCTCGATCTCGCTGTCGACAGTCAAGAGCTCCTTGCTTTTCCCTGCACGCGGCTGACCCTGTCCGATCGCTACAAAAGATGGAGGGACGCGCTGCTTCATCATCTGCCTAGATCTGATCAAAGCCGAAAGTGTCGGGGTGTAAGAACAGATGTAGAGATCCTCCAGGCATGGCTCCTTCGAGCGATCTGCCTTTGTTTGAAAGGGATGAGCGGCATGGAGAGGAATGGACGTGAAAGCGGCAGTTGGACATAGCCATATCCGAGATTGGTGCTGTAATTTCAGGTCATGCTGGAGGACGTTGACGATGGGTAGCATGATGTTGTCCCATACTACTCGCAAGAGGACAATTAGGTCATTCCGCGGCACCTTTGGGCCCATAATGGATGCGTGTCGTATCGCCCTAGCGAAGCGATCCTTGAGATTCTTCAGATCTGCAAGGGTAATAGACGGCAAGGGAACATGATGGGGGTCTCCTGACGTCGGGACAACAATGGCGCTGCATGAGTATCCACTCGCAACGAGGATGATGATTGGGCCATGACGCGCTGCTAATTGCAATTCTCCATACGACGGTGGGAGAAGGAACCCTGAGAAACCTTTAAGGTTACGGATTTCAGCTACCACAGCTCCCCACTGCTCCGTATGTTTCCTGTACTGAGTTTCTGCCCTGTCAGCAGCAGCTCTGTCTGTGCTGACTGTGGAACCTTGAGCCTCGGATAGACACTTGCTCAGCTCCAAAAATCTGTGGGCTAGAGTCGGATTTTCCGACTCGAGGTCTTCAACTGGAGTCTTGAGACGAGAGGCTAACGACCACTGTTGGCCACGACCCCGCTCCACGAGTTTCACTGCGTGTCGTAGATTGTCATGCCAGATGGCACACGATGCCGCATCCACAGGCACTGATCTGGCATATTGGAAGGCAGCAGCAGCTTCGCGCCGTGAAATTGCCGATGATCGTGTTGCCAAGTGACGATCAAGAAGGTCGAGAAATGATGTATAGGCCTCCAATGCAGATGGGTGACTGTGCTGCTCTGCTGTGACGATCCAGTGCCAGGCTGCCCGAATGCGGCCTGGAAAACCATGCGTGGGATGTCGTGATGCCAGCCTGAAGTTCTCTACAGCGAGCGACAAATCAGCAGATTTGCCTTGCACTCTGTAACGAGACAAATAGGCTTCCTGCAACCCCGCATAACCGAAAAATTTGTCCGGGTGCAGTGAAGGCAAAGCCTCTGACGATTCTTGGCACAGTCGAATTGCCTCCTCGACATCTTCATTCTTCTGAGTTTGCATGAAACGAGGGCAGAGCGCCGTGCTCAAATTGTATAGAGTTTGATGGCGATGTGGATGCCCATGCGGCTGTAACTGAAGCGAGTCCCGGAGCAGGTCGATGGCCTCGTTGAGATCTTCAATGACATCCCATTTGCCATATCTGGATTTGAGCGCGTTGGCAAGGTTGTTGAGTGTGGAATGACGATATGGATTCCCAGGCGGGCACAACGTCAGTGCCTCGCGCTGGAGGCCGATAGCTCTGTTAATATCGTTAACATCACCATGTTGCTTGAAACGGGTGAAGAGGGCATCCCCTAGGTTGTCCAACGAGAAATCACGAAATTTGTCCTCAACAGGGCGCAGGCGCAGCACTTCTTCATACAAAGAGATGGCCTCGTTGAGGTCATGATATTTGCCTTGGTGTATGAAGCGGTCTTCGAGTGAGTAGGCCAAGTTATTCAGGTAGATATCGCGTTCAGAATGTCCCTCAGAGCACAAAGAAACGACTTCACGACCGCGTTGGATGCACTCGTCTAGATCGTCAATGCTGCCACATTGTGCAAAACGCGATCCAAGAGCCCATGCAAGCGTGTTAAGTGCTTCTGGACGGTGCTCGTTGCCCGGAGAACAGAGCTCGAGTACCACTCGTCGGATGTGGATGCCTTCATCGGATGCGTCTATTGGAAGACCATTGCATTCACAGATCACATAATCGACGCCATTTGCCCCTGCCGCGATGTTATGAAGGTAGGTGCCCTCTGGACAGAGGGGCAATAGCTTGCAGTACAGCTGCGCGGATTCCTGGATATCGACGGCAGTGGGATCCTTGCTGTAGCGCCAGGTCAATGCGTTAATGAGGTGACAAATGGATAATGGATGATCAGGGTGGTCCTGCGAACGCAATGCGAGGGCTTCGCGGAAGAGAGAGGTGATACAGTCGATGTCTTGAAGATCGTCTCGAATGTAACCTTTGAGGCGGGCCCACGCGAGGTTGGTGAGAGCCGCTGCGCGGTCAGGATGGCTGACCGAACATTGGTCCAGGACCAACTGGAAATGCTGTACGGCTTCGTTCAGGTAAGAGACCGTCTTGCTTGTCACGTATGTGGCAAACTGTTCATAGCCCGCATCCGTCTCTCGAGCAATCTCACTTTCAACGATGAACTACATCAGATGTTCCGTCAACAAAAGCCAAAAGCCAAACATGCAGAGGGATGTCACTCACGTCAAGCAGTGCGCCGTCCTGATTGTCGCAAGGATGTAGAACAGCGGCCTTCAGCGTGAGGGAAGGGTGAACACCATCAACAGGCGGGAAGGAGATGTCTATGAGATGTGAGTATATGTATATGAATGAGAAGCAGGTTACTCACCGAAAGGCTCATTTCCATGATCGAGCAGCGCATCCCATGACATCTCAAGTTTTCCAATGGCTTCTCCATTGCCAAGTATCCGATCGAACTCGAAGGACGCCCTGATCTCCACTGATAATTCAGATGATGCGTCTAATGATCTACAAGCAGAAGATCAGTCATCGAGTCGCATCCGAAAGTCGTCATGGACTGTACATGGTCATGGTATCGCCCCACGCGACTGATTTGTCGGATGATAAGATTCTGATGGCTGATTTCCAGCGTCTCCCCGAGTCAACATTAATAGATATGTAGATACCAGCGGGAACGCGCTCGGAGGGAAGTTGAAGATTTTGTCCGCTGATAACTGTAGATAGGGAGTGAGGATACGAAGTAGATACGAAGGTGGTATGGAGCGACTTACCTTCGAGTTTGATATATCGACCTTCTAAGCTGCCAGGCATAGTGCGATGAAGTAAAACGGGAGGGATCGAGGATGGGGTGGGTAGTGTGTGGGGATATGGGGACTGTGAATGAAGTTCAGATGGGACGTGGACCTAAGAGAAGTTGAGGGTTCAGGTGGTGCTGCACGTGTATTTCCATGTTGTTCGATGGAAGTTCAACGCTAGCGTAGACATTTGCATACTAGTCACTATATTGTGGTGGAACCATAAAATTCACTGTCACTTGTCGCGGTGAATTTGTTGAAATCTCAGATGAGCAGGATACAAAAATCGGCAAAGCCGTTGCATTAGGATGTTGTAGCTTATTGGACAATTATGTAAATGGAGGCTTTGATGCGGGCGTCAATCTTTTCTTAAACCACGTAAGTTATTGAGGTCACAGCGTCCGCGCTAAAACTCGGTTGTTCGCAATGTCAACGTTCGACTACGTGGAGATTCCTCCAGACACAGTTCGTCTGCAATCATCTCCAGCATCTAATCCTGTCCGTCCGTTCACCAAAATTAGCACATCATTGCCATCATGCTCGCCCATTCCTGCGGCTGCGGCTGCGGGCAGCACCACCTTCAGCCCGACAAAGTCACTGTCTACCCTTCTCCTTAATACACCTTTCCCAGCTTCTATCCCCGCGTCCGCCTGCCCTCGCAAGTCTAGCACTGCGCTGCTGAGTACCAGAGACCCGCTCAGCATTCCTATTACTACTGTCAATTTCAGGAGATTCGTAGCTAGAGTAGGACCCGTCTTTTGGTTGCAGGATCGAGTGGAGGAGGTCCTTATGTGGAGATGCGGCTGGAAGTATACTGGCGTCTGGATTGCTAGCTACGCGTTCTTGTGTGCGTGTCGTCCTTCTTTTTTGCGATGCCGAGTCTTATATCACGGGTTGGCAGGCTACTTCCCTCGCATGGTGCTCCTTGTACCGCATGCCATACTAGCAGCTATAATGCTCTATACATATCCTACCCCTTCACCATCCGAGTTGATATCAACGAAGAATTCACCGGCTCCGATTGCACCACCTCCCTCAGAAGGGAGTGTTGACTGGCAAGCTAACCTTCAAGCAATTCAAAATCTTATGGGGGCATTGTAAGTATCAACTATGCGTCTCTGCCTTCATTTATAACCCCGTCTTAGCTCTGATGGCTATGACGTCCTCTCACCACTCGCTCCCCACCTCATCCATCGATCCACTCATACTTCGCTCGTCCTAACGCTTACCCTGCTCTCTTTCCTCTTTTTGCTGCCGGTCCTACCTCTAATCCCGCTCCGCCTGCTATTCTTTGTCCTAGGCGTATCACCATTTATATGGACTCACCCAGTTACACAAGCACGAATCTTACCACTGCTCAGAGCTGCTGTAAATGGCGGTATCGTAAAGGGAGGTAACGCGAGTGCCACATTGACGGGAGTAACGACTTCTAAATACGCCGCTACGAAGATAAAGCTCCGCCGCTGGATTGACGACGATAGGCTCGATGACAAACACTGGGGCGCGGAGATGCGGGAAGTGGAGCTGTGGGAGAACGAGAGATGGACTCCGGGCCCTTCTTCATCCTCCTCGTTCGTCACACAGGATGATCTTGACGCTGTGGGATCGGGTTTTGATGTTGGAGATGGGTCCGGAAGCGCATTGCCTGGTGCGGGAGCTGGGTCGTGGAGCAAGACAAATTTAAGGCCTGCGGATCGTGCACCATGGACGAGGGCGAGGGACGGTTGGAGTGGAGTGGGTGGGGAAGTGAGGTGCGTGTTTTTTTCCAACGAACTGGCCTTTATCACACAATTTGAATTTGCTACTAACTCCCTGCGACCCCAGCAGCAACCTCACTTTTTCGCTGGCACCAGGCTGGGCATTCGTAGAGACGGAGGGGTGGAGATCGGATGCACTGGGGAGCTGGGTCTCTACCGTATGTGTTTCTGTTTCTAATTCTTGTTCTGCTTCTGGGAATGGTGATCCTGTCTCTGGGGCGGACGACAGTAAGTTTTATGTGTTACTATCTTACGATGCGCTGATTTTCATCATGATTGATAACTAGACGGCTGGGTGTACACGAATGACGTATGGGCAGATCCGCGTCGTATACCTCTGGAGGCTTGGAAAGCGTCGGGCATGACAAGGAGGAGGAGATGGGTGCGGAGAGTGTATTTTGACCCGGCGCTAATAGAGAGTGCGTGAGGCGGGTGAGTTAGTTTCTAGGAGATGGAGCATGTTGATCATTGTACTACATAGCGTGAATATCGTGACATACTAGACTGCTAATCATAATCATCTGCAATTCACTCTTGTGGTTCGCCTGAGTACTTCAAGTTGTCACTCGAGCACTGGTGCACGACAACAAATAAACAACGAACCCTGAAGGCATTGATTATTTCATCTAAGGGTTTTGTCAGATAAAGGAGCACAGCTTCTGCATCATGGGCAAACATCAACGCTCGAGGCTTGGCCGCGGGTCCCCTCTTTGACGTATGCCATTTATCCTGTGCCCCATCAAATATCCGAGGAGCAAGCCCATACAATGCAGCTAGATCACATGAAACTGGACTTGCCAAGGCTCACGGAGAGCCAAAATGCTGTATCATGTACCTACCGCCACAGGAACCAACTGAGGATTAGTACCGCCTCGTAAATTCATACATCTGACACATAAAACGTTCGACCACCTAACAGGCTTGCCACCAGGCGAAAGACCAGATAACGTGGTGAGCGCCGATGAACCGTTGCCCTAATAATTGATCACAATGTCAAATTGCCACACCACACGCCTTGTGACAACATAGTACCTGGGTGCGGTCGTTCTCGTGGTCACCCAAGGATTACACGTCTCATAATGCATGCGAACGGTGATATTCGCCTCAGCTGAAAGCATCATAAGAGATACGTAGCATACGGCGGAGACCAAACTCTGAACTATCGTATTTTTACTAGAGACGGAATTAACAGAGACTTGAACATTCCCGACAACTAGATTCAGGCTGCAGGACCGGTCAGACACAAGGGCTCGTGTTATGTAGTCTGTTTTCCTAGTCGAGCTCATCATAATCATCAAGACTGATCCAGAACATGCGCCTCTTGTCAGGCTGGTCATAATCCTCAACACCTGACTGAAGCTCGCGCTTCTTGTAGGGCTGGTCATATGTAGGGATATCATATCCTTTACACGCCGACCGCTACTCCAGATAGACGCTCGGATCCGTCCAATGTTCCACGTGATTCACTGACGCGAGGAAGCCTCACGCTTCGCGTCCGAGTTACGGGGATACATCTCTTCTACATTCCGTTTTATTACCTTCACCTTGTGCTCACTCTCCACGATACCCGTCTCTTCACCGATATCTTTTCCGTTCCACATGCTCGTCTCGCTCCTTCTGGCCTAGTCTGAACCCCCCGAATGTATATATATTACGCATGTACTCTTATACCGATAGCAGAATACCACCCAGTGATTTCCCCGCTCGAAACACGACAGAAAGCTTCTAGTACCAACCGTTCGTCCATATTCGTCTCAAGCTAATATCTACGCGTGTCCTTTTTCTCATTTGTCTCGAACTATTCCCTTCCGAACTCACTATCAGCCTTACACATAGTCCTCGACACCCGACTGCAGCTCACGCTTATCGTCGGGGTCATCATAGTCATCGACACCCGACTGCAGCTCGCGCTTGTTGTCGAGGTCATCATAGTCATCGACACCCGACTGCAGCTCGCGCTTATCGTCGGGGTCATCATAGTTGTCGACACCCGACTGAAGCTCGCGCTTCCTCCCTGGTGCAAAAGGGTTGATTCATAATTGAATAAATGGCAGATTAGTGTATCCCACCTTCAGCAAGGCACTCTGTTCCGCAGTGCGGAATAAAATATTCCACGACGTCCTCCTCAAGCTCCTCGCGCTTCTTACTCTCTTCTAGGAGATCACATTTAAATTTGATGTTAAGGTTCTCTCACTTATCTGAGCGATATATTGTAGCATCTGAGTGGATATGGTGCTACTGATTATTGTGAATACTCACAGGAACGTTTCGAGATAGCTCCTGGCGTGGGTGACGCTGCCGCAAGGACAACGAAAGATACAAGTGCACTGAAAAGCACTGAAAGCTGCATATCTGGGGTAATAGGAGTGACTTATTTGTCGATGCACTACACTGAGGGCTTTTTATACGTTCTCGTAGGCCCGCCCCATTTTGGCCTCTTCCACGAACGGGGCCAATGGTCCTTGGACAGGTGTTTTTGAGCTTCAAAGTGTGGCATCGCTGCAATACAGGGTTCAATGGCCATGATGAGTTGCGCAGTAATTTCCCAGTGACTGATAATCATACAAATGAGTCTGCGGAGGGTTCATCGCCATGACTCCCAGTGCATTCGCAGTTGACCGACATTCAGTAGCTACGTGAGGGATGCCATATCAGTTATACATGAAATTATAAATATGCTGCCATCATGATGCCACCAGTCTATCGTTGCTGGCATCTCTTGCAATCACCAAGTGCAGTTTAGTTTTGCAAACCTACAACTCGGATGGAAGGATGAATCGCCGTGGCCAAAAGTTAAGTTTCTCCACCTTGCGGGAGCGCTACTGATGGATATGACGTATTTTTAACGCGTCTCCGAGAAAGACATTTGAAATGGCACGAATACTTTTTGAAATTCCTTGGAGCGCCACATCAGCCATGCAGGATCTGCACAAGTTGTGGTCGTCTCGCTCTACGGCAAGCTCAGATAGGTCGGACGCACCGAGTTTGAGAAGCAAGGTATGAAGAGCCCTCTCGAAATTTTCGTGACGAAGAACTCTTGACCCTCAACTGTGGAGCTTTCTGTCCTCTTCGGCGCACTCACGTCAGTCGTCCTGCGGTGTAACCCGTACTAACTAAACCATCGTGACATGATACTGTGAGAATTCACGACTGCTAGCAACGCCAAAACTCACGAATATAGGTGGGGAGGCTCGAGGCAAGTTCGGACAAATTATGAGATCTGAGGGCCGCTGGCATGTACCTGATGCAAACCGGATGAATTTAAGTGCGGTGCCAGATCCTTCATGTGGACAAATACAGGCAGAGATGGCGGAGGGATCTGGTCCGTATCCAGACAAATCGTTGGGGTGAAACGGCAGTTTGTCGGACTAAGTATGTTATTACGAGCTGCTCACCTGAGTAACACCAAGAGCTTGTTGGTATAAACTGGCATTCGCAATTCGGAACGTCTCCATAATCTGCTCACAGCAGTTACTATGGCATAGTGCATGTATCTGACAATGATGCAAATTGAGAAGGGATGTTGATACGCCGTAGTGTAGGACTAGCGGCGAATTGATGAAGTCGATGTGCTGAGCGTGAAGACTAGGGAGGGATGGAATCTTCATATGCGGGACAAAACAAGACCGAGGACAGGGATGGAAAAGATCCATCGATGAGAACCCGTGAAAAATGTGTGCATGATGGCGGTGAGGTCATGGACTTTATGTGTAGTGACATGGAAAACCTGGACAATCACCTCCTCGGCAAACACCGAAAAGTACTCGTCCCGCTTCAATTCCATGAGTCGGTATGTCACGAGAACACACTGGCCCGTACTAATACGGTAGACGCTCCTCCTCAGGACAACACACTTGCCGAGGCTGGCACGCTATGTCAGGTCTTAGAGCGCAAGCACTCAGACGAACCAACATGTTGCGTTCTCTGCTGTCCCTTCCAGATTCATTGATTGGTGTTTATTTACGTTGTACACGATATCCTCCCTCGTCCGTACCTTCTAGGCCTGGTCATCAGCTCTCTCCCTCTCCAAATCCAGATCTTTGCTGCTATTCTCGCGTGGCCAGCCTTTGAATGCCAGCATCGATGTTTCTGCGGCTGATGTCCTCTCATATTCGTTCGGCAGATTCATACAAACGTCCACAATATTCACAATGGTAGTAAGTGCTCACCAGCTGCACCCCATAATGATTGCGACCCTGCAGGTCAATAATGCCGAATTGCCAATAACTTGACGTACTATATACTTTCACAGGCTATGTGGTGGGGTCCATGAATGTACTTCATGAGCTGAGGATCGGCTCAGGTCAGCAAGTCAGCGTAACTATGTAGGTTAGGTGGAACAGGACCTTTCAAATTGAAGTGACCGCTGTGTCGAATGTTGTGCTTGCGGACATCTGGCTATTAGTGATTAAAATAAAGTGTACAGATATTCGAAGTTGAGAATTCGGTGAAGCGTCGTAGTGGAAGTCGGATGCATTGAGTTGGCACGTAAAGAAAATGCCCGTTATTTACATGAGCACCCTATCATTTGCCAGGTAACACAGCTGACGTACCGATTCGGATGTAATCAGGAGAAATGGGGACGGGACATAAAATTTGGTTGAATAGAGTAAGAAAGACACTCGTTTAGACTCATCACAATGGACATCGATATTTGCATTCGTTCATGCTTCTTTCCCGATGGGAGAAATAATCCCTGATGGCAATTGCGAAGCAGGTCGATAAGGTGCTATAAGCTATCGTGGAACTGAGGCGTATTTTGCGGTAACACGGAGAACGGATCCAGGGCGAACATGGGACAATGCATGCACGTAACAAGGGGACGTCGTCTGTCCTAGCGAACACCTCTGAAGTTCTGATTCAAGACGAAGATATAGTCCAACATCAGATGATTAATGTACCGGAAGCACAATGTACTCGCCTGGTGTGCCAGAGTTCCACTGCGCACTCGATGTCTCATACCCAAACCTATGTTGTCTCGCGTATGCCATGATTGCTCATTCTGGCATCAACGAGTACTGGAAGGTGTTGTGTTGTGTTCTTGGCCTAGAGTGGAGCTTTAAACGAGCGAAAGATGGTCAGAGTGCAGAGTACAACGATGAGTTCTTGAAGCAAACCATAGATACACACAAGCCTGAGAAGCTGTGTTGCTTAAAGGCCACTGTGTTGCCTCGAGAGTGCAATGAAGCACAATCCACACCATGCTAGGATGATTGAAAATAGATGAATGGGAATAATAGGGACCGTTGTTTGCAAAGATAAAACCGGCCGAAATGCTGTGTCATGGTGTAAACCTGTGAATAGACAATTAGCGCTGACTCGTAGAATCATTACCTTCCACCCGCAGGACATAAGAACTCGCCTGTCTTGTCAGATTTCCCCCAAGAAACCGACCAGTATACCAACCAGTGAGTGTTGGTCAACTCGATCGCCGCTATGATTAATCGCCGCCCGTGGCAGAGTGGGATTGATACACCAGATTGCCGTGACGGTACCGGGCTAATGATGGCTTCTGAATCTTCCACAAAGCCGATCAAGGAAATTTCAACCCCAGCGCAATCCAAAAAACCAACTCCAAAGCTCAAGTTTAAAGGACATGAGGAGAGAATTTGGGATTTCGTGTTCCTGCACGACAACATCCATATTGTAAGTAGTTCAGAGGACGGCATAATGCGTAAATGGAACTGCAAAACGGGATTTGCTGTCGGGAAACCATGGAAAGGTGAGGGAGGAGACATATATGCGCTGTCGCTTTCACCGAACGGGAAGATGATTGCTTGTGGGAGGGTGGACGGAAGCGTTCAGCGGTGGAGCACCAATGGAGAGATGATCAAAGGAGTTTGGACGGGTCATAGCAAGGCGGTGCGGTCGCTCTCGTGGTCACCCAGCGGAAGTCATATTGCTAGCGGATCCGATGATGGAACAATCCTGATTCGAAATGCAGAAAGTGGAAAAGTGAAGGTGGGCCCGATCAAGACGGAGCAGGAAGGGGTGGAATCTCTTGCATATTCACCTTCGGGTGACAGACTCGCATCAGGCGGGTTCAATACAATTTGCATCTGGAATGCGAAGACCGGCGAACCTGTCGTTACCCCCACCAAGGACCTGGGGAACACTGTGACATCGTTGGTGTGGTCGTCAGACAGCAGTAAACTGTACTCGGCAGCAGGCAGCACCGCACATGTTTTTGACAGCAAATCTGGCGAACAATTCTACCACTTCAACATGAAACACAGCAGTTTCCTGTGGTCCATCGCACTTTCACCGAAACAGAATGTCCTGGCGTGCGTGGGCAACAACGGCGTTGCACAGCTATGGGACATAGAGTCCTACCAACCACTCGGCCAGCCATTGTGCGAGGATGACGAATTCACCTTTCGTTGCGTATCGTTCTCTCAAGACGGGAGATATGTAGCATGTGGCGGAGACGACAAGAAACTCACTCTATGGATGGTCCAAGACATAATTCCCCAGCTTCCAGCACCCACACTACTTCAACGAAGTGATAGACAAAGCACACAACAGGAAACTCGGCCCAATTCCCCATTATCATCGTGCCTTGATGTCGGTACTTTCACGTTTGACTGCCGGTGTTCTTTGCTCACAGGGTTGTTGCAGGCTGATGCTACGGGAGGTGGTGGCTTCATCGAGGAGGCGTACGATGACCCGTACAACAACTTCTTCCAGGTAAACTCTTATTTTCATCCAAAGGCACTAACACTGACAACAAGTGCTTAAGTCTTCACGACAATCTCTTCCATCACCATCGCCACCGCTATCGCCTGGCTTCCATTTCCCCTCCTTGTTTTTGGCTCGCCGCTTCTTAAATGTCATCTCTCGACATCGCCCACCGCCAGACGAGTTCATTCCAAAAGAATCCTCCAAGCGTAGTTTCTTCAGTCGTCGCGCTCGCTCAAACTCGTCCCTGGAGCTCGCAACCATGACACCCAACCAACCAGTACCAGGAACGAAAGTGAAACAAAGTCAAGGCGAACAAGGTGATGATGTTGATGATGTAAGTGCTGTTTCGACTATCGCACACTGTCATTTCAACTTGACCGCTGCCAGTGTGGTTCCGCACATGATTCGCTCAGCACCAGACATGATAAAGGCAAACAGCGAGATGATCCTCCCGACAATGCACAGAACCCACCATCTTATAATTATAATCGCACTCTCCCTACCTACATGTATAGCAAAGATAGTCGAGGCCTCTGGGAACGACTAATGCAGGCTCGAGGCAATAATCTCACATTCGGTTTCCTGCATTCCAGCACTCCATCTGCAAATGCGCCCCGACGCCGAATACCACTCAATCCCTGGCACTGGAACTATAGCTTATTTCCAGCAGGACATTTTGGACTTGCCGTTGATATTGCTGCTTGCCGTGACGAGGATGTGAGTAACTTATCATCACTCCCCTTTCATATCATTGAAATCACTTTGTAGAGATACGGCATCACCCCTGAATCTGATGAGGAAGCGGCTGCAGCCATGCTACGCACTAATGACGATATGGCCGACACTTCAACACGACCAAGTCAATCTGCAGTGGTAGCACAAGTATCTCAAGGATGGCCTACACAAACACAAGCCTCAACAAACGAGCCAGAAGAAATTGCTTATGAAGGAGTAAGCTGCTGTGGATTTTTCTTTGGCCACCGTCGTCGTTCCAACTCGCATCAGCCATGAGTTTTTTTACTGAGACTCTCCGCCACTTATAGATTTATTTTGCGTGCGTACTATATGGGCTATTTCATGCCCAGCTCTGCGCCGTCCTATGTACACGAGCAGTATTGTATTTTTCTAGATTTGTATACAGTGCACTGAGTCACTCGTTCATGATCGTACTTTCCTCACCCACCTGCTCCCACCCCTGGTCGAAGCCAATTGAATCAAACTGTGCACATGATGAATTTATCACTGCCATTGTGCGAGGGAGAATCTGAGACTTTGGTCGGTAGCATGTTTTGAGGCATGCAAAAAAACATTGGAAGCACAGTGCATCTCTACTAGTTCATCGTTTACTACTATAGTGGTTTTGTGCTTTCCACTAATTCAACTATATCGTGATGTTTTGTGCGCTATTGTACTCGATTCGAATAAGCAGTCGATACTGAACACCCTCTGAACAGTCTGTGAGTGCCTGCGCAAACCTGGACTAGACGGACAGAGATAATAATTATATTCAAGAGACTTATTTGGTAGCTACTGGGCGGCTCTGTGAGTATCTGTGCAGAGATTGACAGAGAAAATTCTACTGTGGTGAACTGGCTAGTAATGATCAAGCTGTCCACCTGGTGCTCTGTATAAAGCCTGGTAATTTACTGATGATTAGTGTTTCGTTTATCTCTCATTGCCTAGCTCTGACACTCACGACCTGCTTACGCCCATCTTATCTACAAATCACCTCATACCGCACTGGTACTAATGTTCATGTTCCTCTCATTCTGCTGTCGGTGCTCCACTGCTATTATTTGCCATCCTGGGCATCAGTCTCATAATTGTCCAAAAAAGAGAAGTGGAGATTGACACGAAGCAAAACAAGATGTATGCTCTTACATGTCAACCTTCGGGTGACGGAATTGCATCGGGTAGATTGAACTGTATGATCTACATCTAGAACATCATGATTGGCAAGCTTGTTATTGGCCCCATCGAATGTAAATGCAAGTCCCCTCATGATGTCATTGGTGAGGTTGCCGGACCCGGTGTTCTGCGGTGATACGAGGGATGGGTCCAGGACAAACATGAGGCTGTGGGACAATATATGCAGTCAATAAGGGAAGATCGTCTTCTCGCGAGCAGGGTAAATCCACAGTCCAACAGAAGATGAATATATTCAAACACTGGAAGCATAATGTACTCGCCTGGCATCCCTTGCGCACCTCTGTGTCCTACACCGCAACTATATTGTCTTGTGTATGCTATCCTGACATCAGCGCGTAACAAAAGGTGTTGTATTGTGTTCTGGGCGAGAGTAGAGCTTTAAAAGAGTGAGAGATGGTTAGAGTGCAGGGTATGACGAACAACATGAACTCTTGAGATAAACCATAGATAGACGAGAGAAGTTGTGATACTTACTGGTTGGTGTGTTGCCTTGCATATATGGATCGAAGCATAATTCACCATGCTAGGATGACCGGAAATGAACGAATGGGATAATCGGGATCATAGTTTGCAAAGATCCAGATGCTGTGTTGCGATATGAACCTGTGAATGGACGATTAGCGCCGCCTTGTGGAATCCATACTTTCCACCCGCAGGACATTAAAACTCGCCTATCTTGCCAGCTTTCCTCAAGCAACAGACCAGTAGACCAACCAGTGAGTGCTGGTCAACTCGTTTACCCCCATGACTGATCACCACCCGCGGCAGAGTCAGATTGATCTACCAGATTACGGTAGCAAGCTATGGCTGCTAGATTCTTTGCAAGGCGGACCCGCAAAGAAGCTTCGACCCCAGCGCAATTGGAAGAACCAGTTCTGAAGCACGAGTTTGAAGGACACAACGATGCGATTTGGGGTTTTGTTTTCTTGCACGACAACATCCACATCGTGAGTGGTTCATTGGATGGCACCATGCGCAAGTGGAACTGCGATACGGGACTTGTTGTTGGGGAACCATGGAAAAGTGAGGGGGGAGGCATCTATGCACTGGCGCTTTCACCGGATGGGAAGATAATTGCATGTGGGAGGGAGGATGGAAGCGTTCAGCTATGGAACACCGATAGGGAGAAGATCGAAGGGGTTTGGACGGGTCATAGCAGGGCGGTGCGATCGCTATCGTGGTCACCCAGCGGAAATCAACTTGCCAGCGGGTCCGAAGATGGAACAATCCTGATTCAAAATGTAGAAAGTGGGAAAGTCGAACTGGGCCCGATAGAGACCGTGACGAAGCAGGACTCGGAAGGGGTGCAATCTCTTGCATATTCACCTTCAGGTGACAGACTCGCATCAGGCGGGTTCAATACAATTTGTATCTGGGACACGAAGACCGGCGAGCATGTTATCGACCCCATCGAAGGCCTGGGGTTATTTGTGACGTCGTTGGTGTGGTTGTCAGACAGCACAAAGCTTTATTCCGCCTCCGACGAGTTCGCACGTGTTTTTGACAGCGATACAGGCGAACTACTCCATCGCTTCGAGCATGATCATTCCCTGTGGTCCATCGCGCTTTCACCCAAACACAATGTCCTAGCGTGCGTGGGTATCCGAGGTGTTGTACAACTATGGGACACAGAGTCTCATCAGAAAATCGGCCAGTCATTCCACCAGGAGCATCACCAATGGCATTTCTGCGTATCGTTCTCTCGAGATGGGAGATATGTAGCATATGGCGGAGATGACAATAAACTCACTCTATGGATGGTCAAAGACATAAGTCCTCAGCTTCTAGCGCCCATCACACCTCAACCTCCTCTGCCCACACTACTTCAGCAAAGTGATGAACAAAGTACACAGCAGGAAACTCGGTCCAACTCCCCATTATCATCTTGCCTGGACGTCAGTATTTCACATCTGACCGACTGTCCTCCTTGCTTACAGTACTGTTTCAGGCTACTGGGGGTGGTGGCTTCATTGAGGAGGTGCACAACGACCCATACAACAACTTCTTCCAGGTAAACTCTTCTTTTCATTCAAGGGCACTGATACTAACAACAAGTACTTGAAGTCTTCGCAGCAATCTCTTCCATCGCCATCCCCTGGCTCCCGTCTTCCCAACCTGTTTTCGGTTCGTCACTTTTGGAAGGCAATCTCTCGACGTCGCCCAGCTCCGGATGAATCTGTTCCACAAGGACGCTCCAAGCGTGGTTTCTTTAGTCGTCGCGCTCGCTCAAACTCGTCTGTGGAGCTCGCAACCATGGAACCCAACAAACCAGCGCCGGAAGTGAAGGCCCCATCCCTGATGAAGTGTATCCTCTGGTTGATGGATAATTGGTTATGATCTAACTAAAAGAGGGTTGGCATATCCATGTAGACATGGAAGACGATTGTGACAATATTTGGCTGTGGGGACTTGAACTTGAAGGCACCCGCTACTGGATGAGTCGTTTCAACACATGCCGACATTTGCATTCGTTCGTGCTTCTTCCTGATTTATTCATGGCTCCTTCCTAAGCACAATGATGATAGCTTGATTAAATTCCCAAAGTCAACGTAGAACTGAGAGATGTGTAACTAGTATTCCGCAGAGTCTCAGCGAAAATGCTACCGAGGATGTGGGTCAACACATGTAGGCAATGAGGGAATGTCATCTTACTCACCTCGTGTACCTCCATGTCTTGTCCTGTTGGTGTGTTTGGCACGGTCGCCTCGGGAAGATGAGTTAGCGAATAGCTGTCATGGGGCAGCCCTCGATGCTGAGCGCAGATTCATGTTGGAACACAAATGAAACAGCAACGTGGGCCCCAAAGCAAACATAAATGGGCGCCAGGTTGAAGGTCATCATATACATATCAACTAGAGAATATGCGCTGAAACATGGTATTGATTTTACCTAGATCCGATACGGATGAACGTTGACCTGGGAATGCACCCGTGTTTCAGAAGCACAGCCAGCGACCGGATGATGTAATCTATTATTATCCTATGGCCAACCTGCAACATATAACAACCTTGCCATCTTACCGCCAGAGGCCGTAAGGTGAGAGACCACAGGCAACTTGGTGAGCCACTTGTCAACTGTTCACTGGCACCCTGATAATTGACCATGTTAAGATTGATACACCAAGCACCATATGATAACTAAAATATGGCTGCTAGATCCATTGCAAGGTAATTCCGTGATGAACTTCCTTCAACCCCGATGCAAGCTAAAGGACTACCTCCGAAGCACAACTTTGAGGGCCATGCGAGAGCTATTCGGGATTTTGTCTTCTTGCACGACAACATTCACATCGTGACTGGTTCAGAGGACGGCACGATGCGCAAGTGGAACTATGACACAGGACTTCTTGTTGGGAAACCATGGAGTGGGGTTGGCGGAAGCATATATGCACTGGCGCTATCACCGGACGGCAAGACAATTGCGTGCGGGAGGGCAGATGGAAGCGTCCAGCGATGGAATACGGATGGAAATATGATGCTTGAAGGTGCTCGGAGAGGTCATATTCATAGCGATTGGGTGCGGTCGCTATCATGGTCTCCCAACGGAGGTCATATTGCGAGCGGGTCCGATGACGGAACAATCCTCATTCGAAAAGCGACAAGCGGAATAGTAGAGTTTGGCCCAATCAAGACGAAGCAGTACCGGGTGTGTGCTCTTGCATATTCACCTTCTGGCAACAGAATAGCATCGGGCGGGTGGAACACGACGATTTGCATATGGGACAGCAAGACTGGCGACCTTGCTCTCGGGCTCATCCAAGGCCTGGGTTATGAAGTGACGTCAGTAGTGTGGTCGTCGGACAGTACAAAGCTCTACTCCGCATCCGATAAATTAGCGCGCGTCTTCGACAGCACCTCAGGCGCACTACTCCATTACTTCCAGCATGACGATATCCTGTATTCCATCGCACTTTCACCCACGTACAATGTCCTGGTGTGCGTGGGCGATCAAGGTATCGCACAACTATGGGACACAGAGTCCTACCAGTTACTTGGACAGCCATTTAACCAGAATCGTCAAATCCTCCGCTGTGCATCGTTCTCTCGAGACGGGAGATACCTAGCATGTGGCGGACACGACAGGACACTTGCTATGTGGATTGTCAACGACATAGTTTCTCCACTTATAGCAAATATAAAGTCATCATGGGGCGATCGCGTCACTGACGAGGGACACAACGATCTATATGACTCATGTCTCTGGGTAAACTTCATGTTTGTCATGCAAGAGCACTAGTACTCACGATAAGTATTACTTGCAGTACTATTCCGAAAAGTCTCTTCCGTCGGAATCACCTGGCCCCCATCTGCCCCACCTGTCCTTCATTCGTCGCTTGTGGAACGTCGTCTCACGATACCGTCCGCCTGGCGATGAATTTGTTTCACGAGAACGCTCTAACCGTGGTTTCTTTGCTCGTCGTACTCGCTCAAATTCGCCCTTGGAAGCCATGGCCATTATGCCTAGCCAATTAACAACAGCATGGAAAATCCGACCAGGAGAAGACAGCTCGGAGGAAGATGAAGAGGATGATGATGTGAGTCCTTTCCTGCTCTCTCATGTCGCCATCTCAACGCCAGCCTTCCGTAAATACTCAGCCAAGCTCAAGCAAACGTGGGGGCAAGCAACGGAAGAGATCTCTCGTCGACATACAAAGCCCACCTCCTTATGATCTTGCTCCTCATGTTGAGTTCCACAGTGAAGAACATAGAAACTTCTGGAGACGGATAATGCAGAGCCCACCTCCCTATGACCTTGCTCTCCCTGCTGAGCTTCGCAGCAAAGATAATAGAAGCTTCTGGAGACGATTAATGCACGTGTGAGGGAAGGAGCCTACTTCCACCAAATCGGCTCCAACAATGCCCACCTCGGTGTCACTAAGGTATCGTGTGTGCGCGGCCTCGAGGTAAGCTTCCGTTCTATTTTTATGCTTGTTTTTAAACAACAGGGGTATGTCGGGCTGACACGAAACCAACGATGTTAACGGCGGCAATGTGCAGCGCTTCTGTTGCCGCACCACGCACCATTGCTCGTCATACCCGAGTCCATCATTGCAAGCGGTCTCCGTATATGCAGGACCATGATGTCATGCTATGGCCTGCAACAGAGCCCAATATTTGCAAGCCACTGGAGGCTCATCAGCACATATGCCCCATCACACTCACTTTATCGCCACCTAACATGCCAGCCATGGCTCAAATTTGGACTCAATATGTATTCCTGTGAATGCTACCATTCTTGATGTTGTTTAGGTTTCCATTCGGGTTGGAGCTCTTTTATTCCGCTAGATGTCGAACTCATCATGCTTCATTACACTATCCTTATTTACGCTCTCAATATATGTTAGATATTCTATTCTGGTGTTACTGATAAAGATTCACCTATTCAACATTACATGTACGCGCATTCTACTACATAAATGTACTACCAACGATTGGTCCTCGAGCGCAAGTCATATATTTGATGCAACCATCCGCGCGTGGACTTGAATACTGCATGACGAGAGTATTAAGGTATGACGTTGATAAGGAATATATATGAACAGGTTTATGAGAAGGATCATGGGGAGACCGTACGATTGACGAGATCTGGAGAGGATTGACTGAAAGTTCAAACCAATTTCCAGTCCTCAAGCTTAAGTGAATCACGCATGAGTCGCAAGAGTGCCAAATTTAGTATCCCATTATCATGCTGATTTTGTCAACAACTCGCTTTTAATCGACATCTGTGCCCATTACGCGAGAGCCAGTAAACTTGGCCTGCAGCGCTTGTGCTTCCTCCACTGCACAGCAGACGCATTTGGACCGACCTTATCCTGAGTACACACAAAAAGCACCCGCGGTGGATCCCCAAAAATCTCCATCATTCCTATCCATCTGAAAAGACAGCCGCCAGATCCACGCGATGTGCTCTGCGCATCTCGGCGCGCCTGATCTGTGCCTGTGAATGGGACCTTGAGCGCCCGCACAATATCGACGTGTTCATTGGCATACATAAACTTAGCTGGGTTAATCATATCGATCGGAACGATTCGTTGCAAAGATGGCAAAATCCAGGAGTCAAGATAGCATGATTCATCAAAGGATGGTATGGTACCGTAGGCTTACTTGCGAGGCTCCTCATCTGCGGCGTCAATGTTAAGTAACTCGTGGTTGAATAGATCCCCATGATGGAGAGCGGCATCTAGTGAGTCTGGTCGGTTGGTGTTAATGAGGATTACTATCTTGCTTTCGATCTTCTCCTAGGACATGTTTGGGATGAATCGGGTTAGAGGATGATGGCGAAGGGGATGGTATTAACGCTACCATCCACGCAGAATTATGCGACTATGCATTATTCCATCTCGACGATTCCTTGTGCACTCTTTGTTTTGGAGTGATAGCATTGATCTCATCGATGAATAGCAGGCATGGCGCGGCACGCTGGGTGTTGAGATTAAGAAAGATGCATGCATAACACGAGACATAACTTATCCTTGTCAAATGTATCTTATGCGTTTTTTCAGCCTCTCAACGCATGCTGGACAAGATAGACAGGAGCAGATATCATGCTGATGAACAGAATATCCAGTTCCTCCGCGCAATCAGTCAACTTTCATACAATTTGGTAAGTACACTCACTACAGCTATTGCGTTCGCTGGAAGAGTCTTGCCACACCCCGGAGGGTCATGCAGCAAAACACCACGTGGAGGCTGCACACCAGTACTTGTATAGATTGTAGATCCAGATGACAGAGGCATGTCGACAAGTTCGGGCATCATTTCAACGCATGCTTCCACAAGATGAGACAATCGAGTGTGATCTTGGCAATAGCTAGCTTCGATCGGCTTCCAGACTTCCAGTGTTGAACGCGCTGAGCACAATTTTGGTTTCGAGGAAGGGAGACACGGTGTGTTGGGTGAGGTTAATTCATTCGTTGCGGGTGTTGTGGAAGACGGAGAGGCACCAATCCGACTGGGATTTCCTAACGCAGGAGTGAGGTTTGTATCTTCTGGAGGAGGCATCTCGGCTTCGACAGGGCAGAGCAAGAGAACCTGACTTCCACAGGCTTTGCATGAACATGTTCAAAACAGTTGAATCTAACCTTGTTTGATTCGAATAAAGTGCACAGCCACTAAAACTTTGCCAAAGCCGTACCGCTGCCCACAAGCTTGCACTATCTCATTCTGTTCGTTATCTGACCAGAGTCACCAGACACATCCACAGAGGGTCCGTCTCCAGGCTACCGCAGAAGAGATGTCGATCCAGAAAGCACTGTTGAACGCGAAGAAGAAACGCACCATCGCGACAACGACAAGCCAAGATTGACTCGAGCTCACAGTTGCAGGTGGTGTGAGAAGAGAATTGACATTTTTCTCACAGCAACTGCAGCTGTACAGCGCTGGCAACGCTATTGCAGGCCATTGTGCTTGTAGCGCCTATGCAACGCCAGGGAGGACAATGCACACGAGGAGAAATGACAAAGTCTGTATATCGTTTACTTCGTTAGGCTTATCTTCTCTACCCTGCTTCGAGCCCTCTGATGGCTCTTCCTCCTCCCAGAAGGTCTCTGTGAGCTAACGCGATACTCGTGAGAGGACGGTTGCAGGTGCGAAAAGAGATATATGGCGGTGCGCCACTGCGCAAGGGGGATTTGGGGTATTGGGTGAGTCCACTTTTCTGCGAGTTCGTTAATAGAGACTTGAAGAGTCATGGAAAGCGCGACCACCTGTCCTTCATTTGCTGCTTCTGAAACACCGTCTCTTGACACCGTCCACTGACAGACGAATCTGTTCCACAAGAACGCCAAAAGCATAGTTTCTTCGCTCGTCGCGCTCACTCAAAGTTGCCCCGGTTTCGTGTGTGCTTACTCTATATCCTTGCTTCATTGTCTGGTACTCATACTGCATTCCTCGCGTTTTTATGTTCTCGTTCGTGACTTCACTTGGACTCTTGTTATGCATCCATTTGATCACGGTCTGTTGTAATGCGAACAACTCCAGAAGCAGTAAGCGCACATGGAACAAAACGGAGCCTGTAGCGGTATGATGATGTCATTTATTTCTGTACACCCGTGACCGAGGATGACGCTAATTAGGGGTTTCACGAAACGGTTCGTCCTTGTCGTCATGTAATGCCGAGCCTTGCGGGTACTGCTGCGAGAGGCTCCATTCGGTCTCAGCTGGAGCGGTCCACATTGACAAGATTCCACGCTCGCTCCTCAATTAGCCAACTATACGTCAACAGCGCCAACCCCCTTCGTCATCGCTACATCATCGATTTATCGTATATAAAGCCCTATCGACGTACTTTCTCTTATCTTCTTAACCATAACACACAATCAATGTCTTACGATCAAGGAACCAAGGTTCACGTCGTACGTTGGTCGAAACTGTTGATAAATCCCAGACAGACTTACCATCTCATCATCAGGGAACTTCAACGATGATGACTCAAACTATGAGATCCCTGGCGATGATCAACGCACTGTCCCGGGGGGAGACTCCACACTTTCAGAATCATATGGGGGCAGCGGGTTTGGCCAAGCTGGTGGATACACAGGAAATCAAAGCCGCGTCGGTCGACAAGGTCAGCAGAGCTTAGATCAAAGCGACGAATACTGCGACACAGACCCTGGAATGGCTGGTACTCGCGGCGGTCAGAACATTCAGGGCACGAGTGTCCCTGGAGTTGGCCAAACTGGTGGTGAATACGACAGTGCCAGTGGCCAGAGCATCAGCGGTGATGGCCGTAAGCCGCGGGTATGAGCGCGACGTTGATGAGTATGATGACTCTGGCATCGGCAGTGGTCAGGGCGCTGGCGCTGGTACCGGTCGCGCTCCAGCGGGCAAGTTGTCTTCCATGAGCTCCAAATTGATGGGTTGGTCTTTATTCATCTGACTTCTCAATTATATTCATAATTGTGCATAGGCGGAGTGGAGAAGATGGCTGGCAAACTTACGAAAGACCCCGAACTCGAGGCTAAGGGCGAACAGCGCAAGGTATGTCGTGATTTATACTTGTACAGAATGGATGGCTTATAGTTTCGTAGAGCGGCTTCTAGGCTACCGCAGATGGAATTGTACTTATATTTGTATCATAAGCGTGCTTAATGAGTTCGAGGAAAAACATGTCCTGCCTGTCTGTAAATAATAGACTGTAATTGTATGCTTTGTATCTTCTCTCCAATCGGACCCCATTGTACTACACAACGAATCTTCCTCTGGAACAATCAGATCGAGGTACTTGAGGCCACGCGTAGAACACACCCTCGCGGGTATTTGTTGAGTCATGTATAGTCAGCGGGTGACCTCCTTCGACGCGCTACGACAAGTAAAAGCGTACTGTATCGCCCTGACAGATAGTATCACATACCGTCCACCAGACAATCATGGCAAATCAGCCAGTGGGAGTCGCACGAGATCGTGTCAGAGGTCGTTTTCTTTTAGTTTATCATGAGCCATACTGATGGATCTGAGCTTGTGGCGATGACCAAATATAGCACTTACAATCACTGCAGAGACAATACCAAAGGTGGACCTGATCAGTTAACGATAACGATGAAACCGCTCATTCTATACGATATCCCCTCCCAATTGCCTGGAAGCTACTGGTCTCCAAATACATCGAAGTCCAGGTTAGCCTATTTGACTTGAGTGCAAGGATAACTTCCTTACCTCCAGCGTCAGGTTCGTCTTAAGCTACAAGGAGCTACCTTTCGAAACTGTCTGGGTCGAGTACCCAGATATTGCAACTGTTTCCAAGGATCTTGGCTTGGCACCCAAAAAGAGATCCGATGGTCCAGACATATACACCGTCCCCGTCCTCAGCGACCCCAACACCGGTGCTCTAATCGACGAATCCCTCGAGATCGCAGCATATCTCGAGAAAACATATACCGAAAAACCCATCTTCCCGTACGGCTCCGAAATGCTCATTCGCGTATTTGATTCCGCATATCTCGATAACGCACACCCCATCGTGAGGTTGATATATGTGCGCGTTGCGGAGATTCTGAACCCCGCAAGCGTGGAGTTTTTCCGTCGGACGCGCTCGGAGAGGTTACAACTTCCGTGGGAGGAGTTTTCACCTGAAGGTCCGAAACGTGATGGAGATTGGGCATATCTTGAGCAGGGTTTTAATAAGGGAGAAACGTTACGCGAGAAGAGTGGCGGGGAGTGGGTTATGGGAGATACGTTCTCGTATGCGGACATTATCGTGGCAAGTCGGCTGTTTTGGTACAAGTGTGTCTTGAAGGAGGATGAGTGGGCCAGGATCAGCTCTTGGAATGGAGGAAGATGGGCAAAGGTGCTGGATAAGGTTCAGCAGGAATGTCACCTCGCGTGATAGTATGGAATGCCAGTAATTTGAAGATCCCAAAGTTATAAATACCGGAATCATGTATCAAGTCCTGTAGCTGCCAATTAATTAATGCAACTCATTATCCTGTACGGTAAACATACCAAGCAATCTTCCCGAGAAGAGATGGGTGCCCAACCTACCAGAGACGACATGCCGCGATACCTGGTGGGCCGCCGACTCACATAGCCTAGTACGCCGTCGCGCTGATTCTGCCTGGGTCATAAAGGCCTTTCACATAAAGTTATCTAGGTGGAGTTTTGTGATAACAATGAAAGGCAGGGAAGATGTAGCTCCCGAAGGAAATACACAACATCATTTGGGCTGCACTCAAGAAGGGCCTTGGAGGGGTGAGGGTGGTATCTAAAGAGCAGAGGAAGGGGGACATTCGAATCGTTCGCAGACATTGTCATAGTTTCTTCGGTGGCTCGGTGCAGCGCTGTTTTGAACGAATAAGAACGTCAGGAGATCCATGCCTTGCATGGTGAAAGATGGGCACGTCGCTTGGCGGATGTGAACTCCGGTGTAACACTGATTCTGCTTTGAGAAACATAACCGTTCCATATAATTTTCATAGATTCCCTAATCAAAAAAATAGCTGTGTTAGATGTTTCTCCGGAATTCAGAATCTCAGATCGTAAGAAACTTGACAGGTTTTCACCTGCGAGTGGAGGGGTATGTTTATGTGGTTCGAACTTCTCAGGATACCCAGCAGCTGCACAAAACATTCAAAAGAGCGCGATAGCAGTAGTTTCTGGAAACACATAACCTGAGGGCCGCGATGTGTATGTTCAGAAAACCTCAGGCAGTGACAATGAAGTACGACTACCAGCTCACGGGAGAACGTCATCTCCGGAAAGTATAGGAGATCAACAGATCTAGCAAAAGGTCGTGAGATCATCCTCTAACATCGTAGCGCGTGAGGCGGCATATTACATAATTCTCGAGCCTTGGTTTGTACTTCAAGTTGGCCGAGCTTGTAATGATGACGTTCGATCAGAGCTGGCGTGTTCATCCCCGAAGAAATTGACCTGACCTTTGGAGCAAATGGCACACTGCTACACGCAGCTGCGCAGGCATCAGGATATCATATGCGAGAAAAGAGAGTAACTTGTGTCATGGAATACTGCGTTAATTGCTGGAGCGTGCCACCGAACCCACCTGCTTTTTAGCTGTAAGCTCTGGACGTTGTGATGGGTAGGATGACGAATTCAAGCGTTATTGTTAAGCGCACGTCCAAGAGCCAGACTGAAGGTACCAGAGAATTAAAAGGTTTGTCATTGAATAGATATAATCGAACTTAATGTAGGGCGATATGAGTCTTCGTAAATAACAGTGTTGGAATCGCGAGAATCGTTATAAATGCACGCACCTTTGCAAGTTTTTGCCCTTCAGATAAAACTAACGAGGCAAAAGTCGTAAAAGCATTTAGAGTGCGGATGATCTCCCTGTGTGGTGAAAACAGACCTCCTGACAATACAGAGATGGAACGATCCCGGCGCATTGACACCAAGAACATCGACAACATCCGACAAGCTCTTGAACTGCTGGATGACTTGGAATGCTGGCGATGACAGTAATTCTGGGAAAAGATATTCTCATTGGCCGTGGGGCAGGATCAGCACCTGGAATGGGAAATGGGCGAAGGTGATGGATAAGGTTAAGCAGAAGTGCCAAGGACTTTCACGTTGTGCGATATGAAATGGTATGAAGACGACAGCTTTCATGGGTCGGTGGACCGGTTACCTGAGATACACAAAGCTTCGTGACGACCCAAGGTTATAAATACTAGAATCACATACCAATTACAGCTAGGTGCAGTCACTATCAATGCAACCCATCATCCTGTACGACACACCATGCAAGCTTCCCAAGAAGCAATGGGCGCCCAACCCGTCCAAGACGAGGTACTGTGGGCATATCGCAAAACCTGATGGCTAACTCACATGTTCGTTAGATTCTGTCTTGGACATAAAGGTCTTCCTAATAAAGTTATCTGGGTGGAGTTTTGTGACATTGCCGCAACTATGAAAAGTCTCGGCGCGTCTCCAACAGCTGGCGTCGTTCTCCAATGGTGATGAGCCAGAGGCCTGGCTCATTTACAACATGAGAAATGTGTACAATCCGTGACCAATTGAACATACCACGGAGAGTAACCTAGACCATATATCTTCACGACTCCTGAGATAAAGCTGGTCAAAATATGATGGAGTTGAAAATCGTCCACCTCTAGGATCGATAGTGACTCACATCCTGCCGACGTGTAGCATATTCTATCAGCATAGCCCGAAGTCAAAAAGGATGAAAAAACTAACATCCTATTGATGGGTCAGCGATGTCGTTCGCGAGCAAGGTTCTAGGATTAAACACTCACACCTTATCATAAGGGATATGCAATTTCAGTGGTAATACTGCAAGTAAGACTCAACGAGCTCGACGGAGGATCAGCACACTGGCTCTCAGAACGATATTCCTGTCTCAGATGCCGAAAGTGAGGCAGACTCCGAGTCAACGACATGACTCGGTCTGCCATCCTCGGTTGCACTGGAAGAGCCAACGACCGAAGGAATGTCCATCGATGAGGTTTCAGCGAGGCCGAGAGGTTACATCATTTTCCGAATCCTGACTACCAGATTTACTCTGTCCTCAGCTTGCGTGCATTCATCTGGCCTCTAGGCTCCGGTCTCACTAACATTTTTTGTTTGGTGGTGGAGCCCGACAGTTTTGGTCAGTCTGTCGACAATCTAGGTTGACACGTCCGCACCTCAGGATATATCTTATGTTTCTGAGACGACGCTCACGGGGCGTGAAGGTGAAAAAAATGTTGTCAGCACGTTTCGAACGAACTCCAAGATAAACAGATTTTAACTCTGTTATGGTAACCACTCGGCTAAGACCAATTAGATAGAGGTCCGAGGAAACCATCCATGAGTCGATGTCAAGGTATATCCACGAGCGAATCTTCGAAGCTTGTTCAGATAGAAAAAAACCTGTCGTTCAGGTTTCGAACCTACACAGTCCAAGAGAAACAGATTTAGATTCTGTTGTGCTTGTCACTTGACTAAGACCAGTTAAAACGAACCTCCGACAAAACTATTGTGTGTTCCTTGGGTAAGCCTTAGATGACAAATCATCATGCGCACAAAATAATAATGCCCGTTATTGACACGTCGCCGCATCAGCGAGCTTCATTCCAATTATTTTGTGCGCCCACTGTTCGAACGAACATCGCTAACACCATGTTGAATAGTTGATCTGGCGGTCCCTTCCATTCCATCAGCAGAACATGGCCTTGCCATTTCTAGATTCTCAGGCGGTTATCCCCTTCAAGGTCACTCATTAGATACTCACTGAAATGATCCAGTTCCAGCGGTCATATACTGCATGTACTTCACATTGGCACTGGCTGGGCACATCAGTAAACTGGTGAGCCGCAGATATTGGTTGATTTTTTGTAAGCCCGGGCTGCCCAATGCTTCCTTCAATAAAGTAATGTATACTAATCTAAAGCAATACAATCAAGCCAATTCACGCTCGGTCCAGGCCCTTTACATTGCTTTACATTACATCATATTGGTTTTGCCACTACATCATGGTCTCAAATGGAATAATGGGCGCCTTTTCTTGGTTCAAAGTCCCAGCGCTGCCCCTCAGGGCCTGGTGTTACATTTTCCACCCCCAGATGGATCCCATCACCGACGGTCTGGTCATTCTTCAGCTCGTTCAAACGATAACGCAAGCTTCAGCCTTTTTATATGGATATGTTGCATCCGTTCGCGATGCTCCCTCGTCCTGTAAAAGGCTCATTGACCAGTGTAATTCAATCAAGGGTGTCCTTACCACCGTTATGGACATTGAGAAGGATCAATTTCTTCCAGACAATCTCCGTTATGCACTTTCATTTTGATGACAGAAGATGGACCAGTGGCGAAATTAGACTCGGAACTGAAAAACCTTCTGCCGGATGACCTGGCAAACGGGAAAATGAGCAAAAAAAGCAGATTGACCTGGCCATTCAAGGAAAAGGAAACAAGAATGATTGCTGACAGACTGAAACAATATTATGTCGACATTTCAGCAATTCTGGCAATTGACTCATGGTAAGCTGGCTTATTCGTGATACATTCCAAAATCTAATGCAGCGCAAGGAATACAATCAAGGAAATCAGTCAAGGAGTCCAGGAATTAAGAGAGGATTCTACCGTACAAAAGATGCATGAAAAAGGTGAGTCGCTGACAGCTAGTTACTTTTTCACCTTATTTGAATGCGCATAGCCGAGGAACGTCAGAAATTCCTTCAATGGATGAACCCTGTGTCTTGTACTGAAAAGCATGCCACTTGCCATGGTCAGCGAAACCCAGGGACTGGTCGTTGGATTTTCCACACTGATGAATATAAGACCTGGAATACATCGGATTGCGCATTTCTATGGTTGGATGGTTTGCGTGAGTTGTATCATTCATCATTGATTCCAAGTCGCTGACACTCACAACAGCCGGACACGGAAAGACAATTCTTGCGTAAGTTCGGACTCGTCCGGAGAATTTTTAGAGAGCTCTGATTAACTTCTGAACATGCAGTTCCTCCATTATCGACGAGATTCAAGGTAGCAGTGAAGCAGAGCCACAGACGCTCGGTTACTTCTATTGCAATTTTCGAGACGACAGGACGACAAGCGCAGCTGCAGTATTGCGCTCCTTGATTGTTCAGCTGCTTCAACAATCTCAAGATGACTGGATCACAAAGATAGGCGAGCAACAAAGTTCGAACACAAAAGGGAACCTTGATTCTCTGCGAAACCTCTGGCAGCAAAAATGTGATGCAAAGACGCATCCCACAGATTTGAAGTTTCTGCGAAAGCTCCTGGTTGAAGCGTCTACGCTAGTTCACCGACCGGTCCTTGTGATTGACGCCTTGGACGAATGCAAGGACTACCCCGACCTGGCCAGACATCTTGTAAACCTTTCCGAAGATGCTCATCTGCGACTTTTCGTCACTGGTAGAAGCGAGGCAGACATCCAAGACGCATTTAATGATCTCCCCACCATGTCGCTGAAGGACAGCGCAGGACAAATGAAAGAAGATATACATGTGCATATTACGGAGCAGCTGAAGAATCAGAAGCGTTTGTCACGCCTGCCTGACGTGCTGCAGAAGACTACTCTGGAGAAACTGCTAGAAAAGGCTGATGGCATGTAAGCAAAGCAATTTGCCCTCGTCCTTGGAAATTCATTGTCATGCTATCACATGCAGGTTTCGCTGGGTTCAGTGTCAACTGGACGTCATCATGACGTGCAAAAGACCTGACAGTATTCGGAATGCCCTCGACGACCTTCCAGCAGGCCTATATGAAACTTATGATAGGATCATTCGCTCCATTGAAGAAAGAGGGAAGGACGACGGCCCGATTGTCCAGCGTTGCTTGCTTTTTCTGGCCGGCGCATTCACCCCTTTGACGCTTGAACAGCTCAATGAAGCGATGATGATCGAAATTGGGCGGCTGAGTCTCAATGAGGACCTTGGCGTTATGGACACTATGGATATCGTGTTCGCGTGCGGAAGCCTTGTGACCTACAACGAGAAAACTAGGGTTGTTGCTCTATCTCATTATAGCGTCAAAGTATGATATACTAAACTCCGCCATCCTACTCGTCCGCTGATGCGCTGTACAACCAGGAATACTTGATCAGTCGCCCTAATAAAATCCTCAAATCAATCTCAGACATGCATGCACGGATCTGCGAGCTCTTGATTACGTATGTGTTATGCGACTTTATAGATGAGATATGCGCAAAAGGTACGATACTGTCTTTCACATGTATGAGCTAAGAACTGATGCTTGCATAGGCAAACATCCATTGATAGATCGTTCTGATTTTGATTTCGCCAATGGTAGCAAAGACCATCCGTTGCTTAGCTATGTAATTCGAGGATGGAAGCACCTTAGACATGTTTCGGACGAAGATCCTTGCGTTATGGATGTCCTGTCACGGCTGAACTCGGAGTTTCTTCGGAACACCAAGAAGCATCGTGTGCTTGCAGCTGCTGAATATTGGCAAAGTTGGCCTGAGGGTCGTAGGCGGTTATATGCCGTTGACACGTTACCTTTACCCTCACTTCTATTCATCCCGCTTGTGCACGGAAAACCGTGGATGGTCGAATCCCTCGTCAAGCAGCACCCCGATCTCCTGGACGTGGATATTGCCCCTGGTTTGGGTTCTCCCTTGATTTTCGCTATAGCCAAGCGTCCTGACTGCCTCAGTATTCTCCTGAAGTCGGGCGTCGATTTCAACAAGCTTGCTTCCTTCGTACCTTATTTATATGGCCGACACATTAGTGGCGGCTCCCATGCTCTAATTTCGTGGGCAACTGTGATTGGAAATGAAGTTGCCATGGATTTCTTGCTGTCACAAACGGGGCCCAACATACCTGATGACATCCTGCACATGGCTGTGATGGCGAGCAAGCCGTCGCACACATTTATCAGCAAATTTCGTCAACGCGGTGCAGATGTCAATTTCATTATCAACGGTACTACCCCTATCCATTATGTCCTCTCATTTTACTCCGATTGGTCATCCTGCCAATTGCTACCCATCCTGAAAGCGCTGGTTGAACCATCTTGTAATCTTTCTTTGCAGGACAGGACTGCCAGAACAGTACTACACATTGCTCTTGATGGACGTTGGAGTGGGGCACCCCCTAGTCAAAGGGTCGCAGAGGCAGGGGTTTTCCGGAGGTTCGAGTAGCTTAGTCAGCCCAGATGTGCCATTCAGGGCATGGCAGTAGACACAGACTTCATCCTATTCGAGTGCCTCGCACATTCACTAAGGTTGGAGCTGCTGCTCCATTGTGGTGAGAGAGTGGGATTTGATCTTTGCATCAGTGCATATCTACCTTCCACATCAGAATTTCCAGATTTTCATTAGATTGATTCAAAAAACAATGATTGGTTGATATAACATTACAGCATTGAAAATGTCAAAGAAAGCAAGGCTTAAAACATCAAACGACCAAATGTCAATGTACACATGCAGAATGCATTCCAACAATATTGTCTAGGAAGGATGATAAGGAACTACGTCAAAAAACGCCCCCCAAACCCCAAAAGAAACAACCAAGAGGCCCAAAAGGACAATTCATCTCAAGAAAAAGCATAACTAGCCTCACTGATGCTTCCTCCTTGAACACTTCAGCTGAATCCTCCCCATTAGATACACCAGAACTCAGACCCAACAAGCTAGAAGATCAAACTGTAAATCAAGATAATTCAGAGTACAAATCCTACAAAGTCCACAGGCAGCTAGAGCAGATGGACAAAGAAGATCAGGAATTGTTAGAAGGAACGCCAGATCCCAAAGCCAACACACTCCCCACCTTCAACTTCCAACTGCCAAAGGCCCTAACCTCTGCAGTACAGTCACAAATCCCAATCGCAGCATGGCCAGCCCCACCTACCACATCAATCAGGACCTTTTTGAAACCCATCAAACCATTGATCATAGCACCCCATCTCTACCTCAGCCAAAACCTAAAAAGATGACAGGGAGCAGCAATGCCCCAGGATGGTTTCATGGCAAATCAGATGAGAATGCACAGAACTTCCTGTGTGAAGTAGAATGGTACATTGTACTCAACAAGCTGAAAACTGAGCAAGGGAAGATCATAGTATTCAGCACTCTTCTTTCTGCAGGTTCAATTGCAGACACCTGGTGGAACAAATTGGATAGTACACACAAGACCATGTGGACAGATGTCAAAACAGCATTCACAAACTGCTGGCCAGTGATCACAGTAGCAGAGAAAACGGGACTCGACTACCAATGTGAAATATTAGCATTGTGTTTATGGGAGGAAGAAATAGGCAAACAGATCACCATGGTGGGTGTCCCTACATGGGTGCATCTACAGTTCCATATGAATCTCCAGCAATTGGTCAATGAAGTGGGAGTTGACATGACAGCAGGGCTCATGTACCAAGTTCAAGAGAACCTGCCAACAGTAGTCAAAGTGCTCATGACCCCAGGGTTAGCAAAATGGGACAAGTTCCTAGATGAGATCAAGGCATTGGACACAAACAAGTTGTGAGAGACAGCAGAGACAGCATGGAAGAGGAAGGAAGAAGAGAAAATGCAGAGTGCTCGCCTTGCAAGGCTCAAGACTATGCAAACGGACGTGATAGAGGTGATGTGTTTGCAGCTGCAATGCACTAACATAGGACCCATGCCAATGGAACAGAGTGCCACACCATCACCAAACTCAATGCCACACATATGCTATGTCACTAAAGAACAACCACCAAACTCTCAACAAACCTTCTGTCAGTGTCAACCTCTCACACAGGAAGAATGAGACCTCATGCGAAGCCATATCAATGACATAGCCCATCAACCAGACACTACAATAGGATGAACGGCATATGAAGACCAAATCAAACAGTGGTTCGGAAAGTATGGCCAGACTGGCTGAGTCACAGAGACCACCCAGTTTCCACTTCATCCTGGTAGTGCCATGATATGCTCAGGGGAATGTTTCAAATGCAGCGCACATGGACATAGATCTGCGGAATGCCCAATCCCAGAAATGTCACAACTCCCAATCCAGGAGAGAATCTGGAGGAGTTTAGCAGCAAGAGCATTAGGCAGATTTAATCGTGCAAACACTGTACAGATCAATGTAGCATTTGAAGAGGAGTATGAATGGGACCAGGGAAAAGGACCAGGGTTGTCAGTGTAGAGGGACACCAGATGACCCAGGCAGACATCATACCCCAGCAAACAGAACAGGCAGTCCTTGCACATGAAGAGGTGCCATGCAAGGACAGTGCCCAAAGCCCTGTTGAAATGACTATAGACACAGAACCATACAGTGTAACAACAACACATGATCAATATGATGTCAGTGACTTGTATTTGACAGAGGAACACGAACATGAAAAGCGACAATGTGTACCATTCCTACACCACACCTCATTCCTGGGAGTACAAGGCAAGGTAGTCAGGGTTAAGGCATTGTTTGATGAAGGAGCTATGACCAGCATCATGAGCGCATCAGTATTCAACAATGTCAAACATAGGCTGGGAAACTGGGCACCATCATCAAAATGTCTCTGAATGGCAAACAGAGCAATAGTCCAATTGGAAGCAGTCTGGAGAGGAGAAGTGAGCATAGGAGGAATATGAGCACAAGGAGAATTTGAAGTATTGCAGAGTGGTGGAGGATGGAAGTTCCTATTTGGGAAACCACTGCTACAAGCATTCAAAGCAGTTCACAACTACAAAGTAGATGAAGTCCAAGTCACAGGAATCAGAGGCACCGCAATGTTACACAACCAGACACAAGCAACAAGAGCAAGGGTCAATGACAATGAAACAACTCCAAACCATACAAGAAAGCAAGAAATCCCAATCTGTATGATGACCAACAAAGAGATGGCACTGGCAGAAGAACTGAACATCACCTGGAAGGAAGTTCCTACTGACATCTTAGTAAACAACAAAGCAGTATTCACACGACTCACAGAACCACACAATCCAATACAAGCAGCATGGATAGTAAAACATGTTCAATATGGGGAAGACCTTACACCTGGAGAATGTGAACAGGTAAAAGCACTTGTCACGGAATATGCTGATGTCTTTGCATGTTCCCTAGGCGAAGTAATACCAGTCCCGGGAGCAACACACAGATTGAACATACCAGAAGGAACAACATTTAATCTTAGAGTCCAACAATGACCTCTCACTCCTCCAGACAGAATTCCTTCACAGGAAAATTGATGAAATGCTCAAGGCTGGAATCATCGAGCACACACCTCCAGAAAGAGTCAAGTGCTGTGCAAACATGGTCCTGGCAAAGAAGGCACATGAACAAGAAGGCATGACACTGGAAGAGCTACAACAGGCAGTAAATGAGCAATGCATATGAGAGGGCCAAACACCAGCATTCAAGCTACCAGAGTGCAAAGTCCCAGAAGGACCAAGAAAGCCAGATATAGCACCAAAACCTCAAAAATGGAGAATTTGTCAAAATTTTAATGAAGTCAATAGAGTCACGATGATTGCACCTATGCCCCAGGGTGACATTAGGGCCAAACAGTTAAGATTAAGTGGACATAGGTATGTATCCATGTTCGACTTCACCTCAGGATTCTATGTGGTCAAAATCCCAGAAGAGTTGAAGCGGTACACAACATTCTATGTCGAAGGGAGAGGTTATTTCTGGTATAAGAGAATGCCTATGGGTCTAACAGGCACACCTTCTACCTTCTCTGAAATGACAGCTAACAATTTGCATGATTTATTAGCAGAAAGCACTATGGAATTGTTTGTTGACGATGGAGGATGTGTGGCAAATGACTTTCAGGAAATGATGAGTAAGCTGAAACAAATCTTCCAAAGGTGCTGTGAACGTCATATTTCACTCTCCCCAACAAAGTGCCACTTATTCATGACAAAAACTATATTCATGGGAGCCACAGTAGGCCCAGAAGGAGTACAGCCAGATTCAGCTAAACTCACTGCAGTAGTCAACTGGGAATGACCACCGGATGCACTTAATCTCAAGTCATTTTTAGGACTAACCAGCCACTTCAGGGATTTAATTCAAGGCTACTCACTACAGGAAGGACCACTATGAAACCTTGTCAAAGAAGCACCACTGATAGTACCCTACACAAAAAACACATATTGGCGAACATTACAGAACTTTAAATTGCAAGATCTCTGGAAGGAACAACACACGAAAGCCTTTTTGGATCTGAAGGCTGCACTTGTGTCCAAACCAGTCCTGCAAGCACCAAAGTACAACGGTGCTAACTTTGTGGTAACATCAGACAGCTGTGCAGAAGGCTTTGTGGCAGTATTGTCCCAATGAAACTGCACAAAAAGCCCATCCAGGAAGTGGACAGAACGCCTACAACCAATTGCATTCACCTCAAAACACACATCCTCAACAGAACAAAACTACAAACCCTTCTTACTCAAGTTTGCAGCTCTGAAGTTTGGACTAGATACAGTAGCTCAAAAAAGTGTCTCAATGTTTGTGACTTTTTGTGTAATTGCTGTACTATGAGCTAGAGTGTGAGAGTATGACTAAGCCATAGGGAGGTGTGGGAAAGCTCTGCTTCTAAGCTTCATGTTTGATCCCTCTAGCGTGAGAAAATTATGTCACCAAGTGAAGATATGGTTAATTTAATTTGGTGACTCATTGAGACACTTTTTTGACTTTCAGTTTGACCAACACAATCTCTATAATTCTGGTACTTGGTGTTTCCTCCTGTTGCTCTAATTACTTCTTCCACTCTTCTATGCATAATATCTATCAATTTGAGGCATTCCTCATCAACAATCTTGCCCCACTCTGCTGCAATTCTCTCCCACAGCTGAAATAACCCCTATTGAGGATCTTGATAGACTGCAAGTGATATCTTGAGTAATTACCAGGGCTGTTTAACAGGGTTGAGGTCTGAGGACTGGACTTGCCATGATAGAACATTGATACCATAGTTTTCAAACCATTTTATGGTCAACTTGAAGTATGCTTAGAGTCATTATCTTGTTAGAAGGTAATGTTTTCTTCATTAATTCTTAATTCTTGCATGCTTCTGAGCAGATACTTTTCCAAAATTGAAATGTGCTTCACATTCATCCTCCCACCCACCTCACAGAGAATTCCTACTCCATTCCACCTCATACAACACCATACCATCAAGTTTCCTACTCCATACTCTAGTGTTTTCTTGACCTTTCTTTCTTCTAGTAGTTCTTTTGCATTTCATTACATATATTCCTAGCTATCTGGCCCCATCCTATTTATTTTTGTTTCATCTGACCAGGTAGCCCTATTCCAGTCCTCAACAGTCCAATATTGAGGCTTTAAAGCAAAGGCCAATCTCCTTCCTATATAGGCTGAAGACAGGAAAGGCTTTTCTGCCTGTTTACAGCTTTAAGATTGGCTGCCTTAAGAGTACCCCTGACTATTTGAGTGGAGAGAGCAGTGTAGATGATGTCATTAATGAATTTGGTGGCTTGAGTAGCATTGGCAGCCTGCCTAGTTGGAATATTATGAACAAGAGATTTTTTGTTATATGATGTAAGCTTGAAAGGACAATCTAATTTGATATTTTTCTTATCTGGAATGACTTTTTATGATCCTCATGATAGTAACCCTGCTCAGACCAGTTTTAGTAGCAATCTGCCTGGTATACAGATTAGAAAAGCTGATGATAATAACAATAGGGGCTATTTCAGCTGTGGGAGAGAATTGCAGCAGAGTGGGGCAAGATTGTTGATGAGGAATGCCTCAAATTGATAGATATTATGCATAGAAGAGTGGAAGAAGTAATTAGAGCAACAGGAGGAAACACCAAGTACCAGAATTATAGAGATTGTGTTGGTCAAACTGAAAGTCAAAAAAGTGTCTCAATGAGTCACCAAATTAAATTAACCATATCTTCACTTGGTGACATAATTTTCTCACGCTAGAGGGATCAAACATGAAGCTTAGAAGCAGAGCTTTCCCACACCTCCCTATGGCTTAGTCATACTCTCATACCCTAACTCATAGTACAGCAATTACACAAAAAGTCACAAACATTGAGACACTTTTTTGAGCCACTGTAAGTTTTCAGATACTATCTGGGGATTCCCAGTCAAGATCAAAATGGACTGCCAAGCATTAAAAGACATACTGATTAGCAATCGTTTAAATGCAGCTCATGTGCAATGGAGGGATGGAATATTGGCCCATAACATAGTAGACATCCAACATGTACTGGGGAAGCTCAACATCATAGCAGACAGGCTCAGTAGGCAATGGGAAGGGCACCCATGGGACATAGGGTTAATTGACGGGAGCAAATGGACAGTTAGTGAGGACTGGGAAGATAACACGGGTTTGATCAATGACTTACTTCAAATATCTACTAACATCGAAGATTCAACAGCATCACAACTCCTAGAATGATTCACAAATGAACCAGTATTTCAAGAAGTTGTCAAAGCAATGCTGCAGATTGACAGGGGAACTGCAGTCCACGACCAGAAATGCGCTGTCTTACTACTTGAGTGTCTTATATAAGTTGAGGTGAAATACAATGACTATCACAATTGTACTTCAATAAGACTAAGGTGCCAGCTCCTCAAGTTCACAGTCAATGGATTTTCTACTTCTCGGTTGATAACGTGTTGTTCATGGGTGGCCAAAGGGTAATAAATTACTTCTTTGCTAGATCACTTTTTGATAGTAAAGGGAAGTATATATTTTGTCAAGTTAACTTAAACCTAGTAGGTAATATGGACCTCTGCTGAATCGAATATGATAGACTGTTGTATAGGCAATCCCTGTAAGATAGTATACAACCAATCTAGACTAGAAATACTATAGTTTTCAAAGGCAATCTCAAGGCCTTCACTTTCTTCATAATCTCACACTATTGAGACAGAAAGAGGGAAAACTCCTGCACTTCAAATCTTATGAATCTCACGGTTTGAGACAAGAAAGAAGAGGGAAAAACTTGTTGTATATCTGAGAATGGAGTCCTTATATACATTTTAGAAACCATCCTTACTAAGCAATGACTCATCACTGGATTGGTAAGAATATGCTTACGAACCAAGCCTTTTGGTGTGCTGAATCAGCTGCTTACTAAAGTACATGAGTAAAATATTACAAAGCATGACAAATCATGACAAAACATGATAAGTCATGGAAAAATCCTTACAAATCAGAATATTACCAGTCACATGACATGCTTACAAACATATCTGAGTGGTTCACTGATGTAATCAAGTGGCTGAAACTATAAATACAACTAAATAAATAAAGGGAAATAGATGACTAAGCTCATGAGTGAGAAATATATCCTCATACACTCTCCTAATCATCTCCTTCTATACTTCTTATATATGTCATGGTATGAACTCCATACCATGCACAACAGCACAAGACATAGGGCATCCCAGTACCTAATCAAAAATGGCAAACTCTGGAAATTGCAGGGCAGAACTGCAGTTAGAGCTCATAGCAAAGTCAAATGTATCAACAGAGAGGAAGCTCAGGCACAAGCAGTAAAACAGCACAGCACAGGCAGTCACTGGGAATGGGACATGATTAAGATAGCACTAACCGATCAGATTTACAACCCAAAATTAGACACGTCCATCATGGCAGCAATAAGTGACTGCAGTCGTTAGAACTTCAGGGCAATGCCTCACCTCCACTCATTATTAGAACCAATAACACGCAGGCACCCATTCAAACTCCTGGTAGGAGACTACCTCACATTGCCAAAGGCAAAAGGATATAACACCCTGGGAGTATACCTAGACACATTCTCACAACATGTGTAGGTATTCAAGCACAAAGGAGGAACAGCAAGGACAACTGTTGAGGGCCTAGAACAAATATTTAGGAACTTCATAGCATCCAAGATGTTCATGTCTGACGGAGGGAAGCACTTCAACAACACTGTTGTCAAAAAATTTTGCACTAAGTGGAATTGTAATACTCACATTATCGCTGCATACTCACCATGGATCAACAGCCTAGTTGAAGGCACAAACAAGATCTTGTTGCACGTACTGAAAAGGTTATGTGCACCAAATCTAGGAGAGGACAACTACGATACACTTTCATGGGATGAACTACCACTCAACTGGCCAGACCACCTAGACAACGCGGTCACAGCACTGAACCATCACATACTTCCAGTGCTTAAGTTCTTGCCAAAAGAGTTACTCCTAGGCCAAGTAATCAACACCCCACGCATGGACTTCAGTAACAGCACCTCCATAATATGCACATCGGATGTCAGTGCACAAATGGTGTATGTAGCACAACAGCAACTAGATGGTTACGATGCTGCAGTCTGACATGCCATCAAATGCAAGGCCACATTTGACAAATGCATCTTAGAACACACACCAGGTGAAGTCATTTTTTCTGTAGGACAATTAGTTCAATTTTATCACAGTAAACTTGACTATACATTAAATGCCAAATGCAAGCTACTCCCTAAATGGTCACCACCCCATCATATTACCACAAGACTCAGGAACTCATACAAGCTAGAGACACTGAACAGAGAAGCAATGGCAAGAGAAATGCATGCATGGCGCCTGTGCACATTCATACCATGCAAAGGAACAAGACTAGCCAAAGAACAATGGAAGTTCAAAGAAGAACTGTCAACACAAGAGAAAGAAAGGCAAGGCAAAGAAGGAACAAACAGAAACATACAAGGAAGAGGATGCAGAACAGAGGAGGACAATGAGGAAAACCAAGATGAAGAAGCAGATAATGACAAAGACCAGGAAATAAGGAATGGGAAAGAAACGAGAGAGCAAGAGAGTGAGGGCAACAACAAAGATGAGGAAGGCCAAGGGTGAGATGGCAAAGAGCAGAGGAGAGCAGTGCATGAGCGACAAGGACGCCACCAGGTTTTTTTCAAGGGGAGCACTTGGAGTGGGGCACCCCCTAGTCAAAGGGTCGCAGAGGCAGGGGTTTTCCGGAGGTTCGAGTAGCTTAGTCAGCCCAGATGTGCCATTCAGGGCATGGCAGTAGACACAGACTTCATCCCATTCGAGTGCCTCGCACATTCACTAAGGTTGGAGCTGCCGCTCCAACGTTTAGAAGATGTTGTCACATACCTTCTCGAGAAAGATGCAGGGCTGTCAGCAACTGCGACTCTTGATCCAGACATGTGGAGCTGGGCTAGAAACATGGCGTTGTTTCCCAAGGTTCAAGCAGCGGTTCTTGCTGCTGATCAACTGTGCACCAGAATTAAGGGGAAGGTTGTTAATGCTACTGCGGAATCTCAAATCGTCGAATTTTCGGTTACAGTCAATGCCGACCACGATAACCCTAATCCGATTTGTGCTATTGTTATTTTAGCGATACTTGATGGTGAGGTGTCAAATGATGCGTCAGGTGAGTAACCGCTTTCACCCAGCCGTATAATTTATCGATTAGTGAAGGTTTCGGCCAGATGGTTGGCGTCGACCTTTCATGCTGTCATCAGTCATTTCAAAAGGACATCCGAAACCCCCCGAAGGATCGTCCCCTCGAACTCGGGTTCGTCTTTGCATGGATACGTGGGCAGCATGCCTCGAGTTGGTTGTTCGGCTATCATCAAAACAACGTAGTTACCAGGATGCTACAGCAATTAAGCGATGATAAAGACTCGACTGGCACCTCCCTCTTTTTGCGGATGCACAAAAATGAGCGGAACACGGAAGTCTTTGAACTTGGGATCGAGTTCATACTCGACGTTTACAGAGGTCCTTTATCTTGGTCACGAGGTATGTGATAATTCTTCTCAAACATCAGGTGTTCTAGATCTCATCTTTACGCGCAGGATACTACAAGCGGTCATTGACCATCTAGGGTCATGAGGAGATGTATGCTAGTGTGTTTATTCATCTGTCATGTTAGTGTATTCTTGAATTGACCTTCGAGGTGGTAGACACGTATCATAATAGCTTTGCAATCACTATTTACAATTTGTCCTTTAATGCAATTACATTTGAACTCACAGAACCGCCTTCATTATGACCGTCAAGGAAGGCTATTAGGTAGAAACTGTATTGCTTGAATTATGAAACTACTTGCATTAACACCATCGATGGACGAAAGGTGAAGACAAACAGAAGCGAGTCTACGTAGATATTACGGTGCTCGCAGACGTGCTCATCCCATCGCGACAACAAGGGCATGACTTTGAGGAGGAGCGGCATGAAGACATGGCGGACATGATACATGTTTTCATATAGGCGAAAACTGAAAATCGAGGAAAGAGCGAGGAAGGAAAGGTAAAGGTATGACAGAAAGGGACTGACATGATAACGCGGTTGAGGATATGAGCTTCGGTACGCACAATCGCTCTTCCCAGTCCACGTCTGCTGTCCGCCTGTTGTTCCCCGGTGTGTCCGTTGTAGAGCGAGGTGCTGATCAATAGATTAAACGCTGTACACCCCATGCCGCTCCCAATGATTGCTGTCACTTCTGTCGCTAAGAAGCCTGCTTCTCCTATGTCCCATGATACCTTTGAATGAACGTGATCTCGTGGTACTGCGACCCGAAGCTGAAACGAATCTGATGGCCGCCGCTGTGTAGATGGAGGGTGCTCGTTGTGGGACGTTTGAGACGAGGGATATTGAGGAACTTGTGATTATGCAGACAGTCGTGCTTATGGAGTAGGTCCCAAGTATTGGAGTACATGGGATGAAGGAGCAAACAATGTTAGTGTATACAGGAACACGCCAAACTGCAGGTGTTGGGACGTGTCGAGATCGTAAGAAAGCGAGGGGGAGGAACTGACGTTCGTTTGTCCCTCATCCCTTCAAGTTGTCCTGGTATTGCCTGCTCTGAATTTCACTGTATCACTCCGAGTCGCATTGGCCTTCATTGGGCTCTTTCCTGTTAGTGTATCGTTTGATTCCTCATGCCCTCGTGTCTTCTGATGTCGGACGTTCCCTGACTTCCGTCGGGTATTCGCAGCCTGGTGAATCGCGCTGTGGGTGAATTATGATGGGTCGACTTGACAATGCCAAGTCGGCAGCTGGCCGAAGAACGACTCTAACGAGGCCGAGCCGATATATTCCAGTTAGTATGACCATCTGATCAAGATATTTCTCATGTGATATTAAATGACGACAACTTTCACAGGTCGGTGACCCGAGATACTCAAAGTTTCTGAGGTTATAAATACCAGAATCACATTGCAAGTACAGCTGCTTGCTCTCAATGCAACCCATCATCCTGTACGATATCCCATCCAAGCTTCCAACGAAGAAATGGGCGCCCAACCCATCAAAGACGAGGTGCTGTGGGCATATCGCAAAACCTGATGGCCGACTCACAAGCTTGTCAGATTCTGTCTCGGCCACAAAAGCCTTCCTTATGAAGTTATCTGGGTAGAGTTTTGTGACATCGCCGCAACCATGGAAAGTATTGGCGCATCTCCAACAGCTGGGAAAAGGTACACCGTGCCAGTCATTAAAGACCCAAACACTGGTGCAGTGGTCTCCGACTCCCATGCAATCGCCAAATACTTCGACGAGACCTACCCTTCGGACAAACCGCTTATACCCCACGGGACACACGTACTTATGGAGACCTTCGAGACCCTATTCATCAACACAGTCATGGCGCCGTCCTTCAGGCTTATCATGGCCAGAACTCTCGAGATACAGAACGATATTAGCCGGGAAGCATTCATCAAATCGCGGTTAAAGATGGCCAGAGAAACACGCTGGGAAGATATGGCTCCTGATGGGAAGGCGCAAGAGATGTGGGCTGCATTGAAGAAGAGCCTTGGTGTGGTGGATGGGTGGTATCAAAAGAGCGGGGGCAGGTGGATTATGGGAGATACGTTCTCGTTCGCGGACATCGTCGTGGCTTCTTGGCTAGCTTGGTGGAACGTTGTCTTGAACGAACAAGAACGCCGAGAGGTCAACGCTTTACACGGGGGAAGATGGGCACGTCTTTTGGCAGATGTGAATGGCAAGTGCAACACAGATTTAGGTTCCCTTGAGGAACATAGACATTCCCTCTTATGAGTTTCATGGAATTCACTAGCTGTAGAAACAGTTGTGTTAGATACCGATATTTAATATTTCTCAGAGTCATATAAGATGTTGAAGACATTATCACGCACGTGACCGCGTTAACACCGCAAAAACGCGTCCGTGCTTGTCATAAACGTATCCCCAGCGATGAATTATGATTATAGCTTCGGTATGCACTGAGGCAAGAATCCACGCAGATAACTCATATTTCGCTAGACACCGAGGAAGATTCTTCACATGTACCCCCAGGTACCCTTCAAAATCTTGCGGCAGAAAAGGAAGCTGAAAAGGCGGCAAATTGTGCTAGGTTCGTCAGTCATGTGTTCAGCTCTTATCGTATCCTCTTACATGATATGCAGAATTCTGACGGAAAGTAGGTTTCTGGTTAATGTCATTGCCTGGTACCACTGAAGCGACCAATGATCACTGGCAGCTTTCGGTCACACAGAGTACAAAGGGAAGCAAAAGGAAATTGTCGAGGCTGCTACTTCTGGTGAGTCATGGTGCATTTGTGTTAAAACGATTAATTATTTGCCATACAGGATTGGATGTCTTTGTATTAGCACCGACGGGAATGGGCAAGGTATTTGCAAATGAATATCCTCAGATTGCTCATTACATTTCATGATCTACAGAGCCTGTGCTTTCAGATTCCAGCGATCGCAGATAAGGTATTCTTCTGAAATTGCTGCTTGACAAGAGCTGACTTCATCATAGTTCGGCATCTCCATCATAGTTTCGCCACTATTGGGTCTGTCAAACCTGCCAATTGAGGTTGGTTTAATGAACTAATCCGTTACTCCAGCCTTGATGAAAAACCGTACGTTGCGTGTCTGTTTGTCTTTCCATCTGAGGCTGGACTGGATTGTGCAGAGGTATCGAGTCTACGCCGCAAAGGACTTCCCGCGGTCTCTTGGACGTCGGACACACCGAAGGGTGAACGGGATCAAGTATTGCTGCTGCTCTTGTAGACTTTGTGTTTACTGAGTTACGTCCCATAGATCATCGAAGACCTCGAATCAGGGAAACCACAAACTCGTCTTCTATATAGTGAGCTTGCTTAATGCGAGAATACATATGCAGCGAGCTGATCACAATTTCGAGCAGCCACACCTGAAAAGTTGTGCACGCGTGAAATGACGCGTCTTCTTGACATCGTTTATGTCGAGGGCGAACTCAATAGACTGGTTGTGGACGAGGTGAGCGCTATCTGCGGACAGCGTGAAAACTGCTTATTCATTCACTCACAGGCTCACTGCATCTCTGTGTGCATCGTAACACTTCTCACTTTCAGAACTAACAATATTTGTTTCCACAGGAGTGGGGCCATGACTTCCGTGAGGAATATCGCAGGTTAGGTTCTTTCCGGGAACGATTTCATGGAGTACCCATTATGGCCCTCACAGCAACTGCTACTCCGAGGTATGTTCCTCAGACTGCAGGCATTATTCCCTGCTTGATTAGGACCTCGCCGTTCGGTACTTGCGTTGTTATGGCTCCAGTGTTCAAACAGACATTATACGCAACCTCAAGATGTCCGAAGAAAGACTGTTCACCGCTTCGCACCCCTTTAATCGCACCAACCTATTTTATGATATCAAATACACCGCTGCGCTCGACTCCCTATCTCGTATGTCAGCTGTATACGATTTCGTAATGACCCTACACCGTCGTCGGGCCCGACCGAGCTCTGGGATCATTTACTGTCGTACCCGTGCAGCGTGTGATGAACTATCGGCCTTTCTAAGGGGAAAAGGAATCAGTGCCAGGCCATATCATCGTGGAATTAGGTGCGTATGAGGCGAGTCTAAAGCGAGGTCCCTGGTGTGATTATGCTTCGTAAAGACCCCACATGCTTGATAAGACGTTGAGCGAATGGGAAGCGGGTGGAAATGGCGATGGTGGTGTCGACGTGGTGTGTTCTCTCTCTTTTTGTCAATCGTCTCTTCTAAAACATTGCTTAGGTGTGCGCAACCATCGCTTTTGGAATGGGGATCGATAAAAGCGATGTTCGGTCAGCCCTCTCTACTTGAGAGTCTGTGTGATACTGACGCTGATAACTAAGTTATATTATTCACTACGACCTTCCAAAAAGCTTCGAAGGTGTGTGTTCTTCATGAACTACTGTGAGGAGCATCGTTGACCCGCAGCATATATCGTGCTTAGGGTATTATCAAGAAACGGGTATAGTGGTACTATCTTAGTTTGTCCATCTTATTCTAATCGGTCTTTCCATACAGGGCGAGCAGGCCGCGATGGCTGCGTGAGTTTGTCTTTCGTGTCATTCTCCCTTGTTGATTGTTTCGCTCTAGCCATCTAAATGTGTCCTCTATTACTGTAAGGTCATCATCGTTCGCTAACGGGTACAACTGACGCTTGAACACAATTTATAGCTCGTGAAGACGCCTTCCGCCTCCGCAAGCTGGTTTCTGATAGCCATGCCAAGAGACAACACGTAGCAAGCACCATACACGGTCCCCAACCCAGTCAAAGATCCATTGACAGTTTCAGTGCAGTAAGTAACTTATCCTTGCTGGCGTCAGAAAACTTACGAGATCCAGTTGATTGACTATGCGGAAAACGCAACTATGTGTCGGCACGTGGTTAGTCTCATCCTTGTCACTGGCTAGCTATATTTGGTCTAATTTCAACCAATCCAAGTCTATCTGCAAGTATTTTGGTGAAAAAATCGATACGAGCGACAAGGAGGTCGTCAAGAGCTACTGTGATAATATGTGTGATGTGCGTCTTCTTCGTTCCCTTCTTCAGTACAAACCGCGATAGAGCGTACCCAGGTGTGCAAATACCCTGACAAAACCCTGCGCAGAAGACAGAATCTCTCCTCAGAGGACCGCGTTGCTGCACTATCGCACTCGCGTTCCTTCAATGCAGATGCATTCGAAGACGACGCCGAGAATTCACGTCCGGCGCCTCGAAAGCCTCCTCCCGGCCAGCACAATCCTGGACAGGCGGGAAGTGTTGGGTTGAGAGGGCCTAACACCTGTCCTACAGGTCCGCCCACGAAGAAGGCAAAGCTAGAGGCACTGCCGCCTGCATTGAGTGAGCGGTGCGCGTTCTAATGTCGAAGAGTCCATCTGACACCGTGATAGTCACGAAGCCTTATAGTTCTGTCAATACCTTAAGGAAGCCATTCAAAACGCCATTTAAAGTGCCGTTCAAACAACCTCCACAAGAAACGTGTGCCATACAGTCTTCGGATGCTCAGCAAACCACCCAAGAAGGTGAAGAACAAAACCACGACAATGACGAGATTGAAGTCGTCGAGGTTTGCTTTAATTCTGCCCGGCAAGCTTCGCGAGACGAGCTGCTACAAGATGATGTCTTGGAAGAGGAGCCTACGGACTTTGGGCAAGGCGGTGGCGATATCTTGCTCGATGATGGTATGTCCAAACGTGCGCGGCAACCATGCAGAAACTTTAAATATCATTATCTTTCAGAACCTCAGATAGACCTGCCCGACATTGATATTGAACTGGAAGCGATGATCTCCAAGAAAATACCCGTAAGTCGAAATCCTGCATAGCACACTAAAATGATGGACGATATTACTTAGGAACCAGCAAGGAAAGATGTCTTTCGCACTATTAGACAAGCATTGCACAGAGTTCTCCGCTGGGGCGATAACGATGAAGGGTTATGGGTTAATTTGAGCAACGCTCCGTCCAACGCCGAAGCAAGGTACTCCTCATGTATTCACGAAGTGCCCATCCTGACGATTATCACCGGCTTAGATATCTACTTCTGGCAGAAGCCGCTAAAAAGATAGAGTACTCTGTGCACACAATGTCTGCCACTGAGTCTGGTTACAACCAGAGAGCAAAGGCAAAATTGGATGTGGTCAAGCTCATGGAGCATAGGGAAAGTCTTTGGCCAATCGACGCGGCTCATTATGACGATGACGAAGAGGAAGCGATTGAGATGATAGGATTGTTGAGGAATATCTGCAGTGGCTGGAGAAAGATTGGTAAAAGAAAAGCCCCATGATCTTTGTCTCTCACCTGCATGGATGTGGAGAACATGCAATATAAAATTTATCAGACAATGCGACAATTCATAATGATAAAATCGAGATCGTACCATACCTGCAGTTTCCTCGATCCAGCAAGGCCCAGTATAGCGACTGATTGGCCGGATAAGCCAGTCCAGCCGTTTCAGCTATTTATTTGGTGAGCCCTTGCGGGGGCACGCTCTGGATAAGTACTGAGGATAAATCGATTATTATCTGAATCACTACTCATAGCCTAATTATAGGTTGTTGCTGTGGCATTCAATCTGATTATCGATGGGACTCGATTACCGGAATTGAATATATCAAATCCTTGTTGATTCGAGTCTGGCTTCTAAAGTGAACAACGTTGATTGATTCACTAGCACACCACACGATGAACGAAGGACATAGCTGCTGAGTAGTCCAAATATGGCAAAAGTGCTCAAAGGACCCCTTGTTACGACGTCTGGCACCTTCCGAAAGGATAAAATTAAAAACCATAATATTTTATTCGAGCCTGCCGGGAGTCACTGGCCAATATTCAACATATATAAGCACGCATTTTGGTCCGACATCTCTCTCCCTCCTTTCGCAATCATGTCGTCGTCGTCGAGTAACTCCATGAAAGAAACCGGGGTCCTCGTGGACTCTGGTCTGTTATGTACGAATGAAAATACCCTAGGCTACCCAAAGTGAAATGGTCCTAATTCGATGGGGGATAGCTCAATGAACTCGTATTTGATGATAAGTTGTTGACGCAACTGGATGTTGCATCAATAACTCATCACCAAATACAATGAGTTCAAACTTCATTGTTTATCGCGACATCTTACCCCCATCACCATTTGATTTTCTCGTAGGTTCCACATTATCATCCAACTGTACACGCTTGCTTGTCAGTCATGCTCGTCTTATATAGCCGTTGACAGAGACATGGACCCACGGGAACTCAACACTGTCCATCCTGCAATTGGGCAAACACCTCGCTGTGCACTTTAAGATGCCGCGAACCCACACATTCCGCACGGTTCTAAATAAGAACAAGTCAAATCTGGCGTAGTTGAAGAAACTTCAGGCGGATGAGAACGCCCGACAACCAATAGAAGTCATGGAACAGACACAGACATTGTCAAAGTCTTCTCGACGCAAAAAAGAAAGGTACGTGGTCTCAACGTCTTCGTTTCTGTACTGAACGATATGAATCAGGTGATTCAGTGGTGTGCGGGTCAGCAGTCGACATCAACGCCTCGCTTAAGGAGACGATGGATACTATGCGCCAGGAGCCTCTGAGATACGCCGGGAATTTACGGGCCAGGCAAACGACCTTGAAGCTTCAAGGACTGAACAGGTATGCCTCGGGAATTTGTAGGGCAATTAAACGAGCAAGCTGACGAGATAGAATACCAGACTGGGCGGATTAAAGATCTCGAGGCTTCACACGCAAGGTTAGAAGCTTCAAACGAAGAGATATCCGCCACCCTGCAGCGCGTAAATGCTCAATTTCAATGCCCTGTAATTCCTACTGATTTTTATTCCAGCATCTTGCCGTGTTGCTTGATGATGCACGTCCGCTTCTAGGCAATCGCTAATGTTCGTGCATAGGGAAACTATAGCGATTGGCTAGAATCGCTACGGTTTCCCTATGAACAAACTTCGGCCGGGAGGTCAAGGAGTTGTCGCTGCTCCTGCACTGCACGACGATGCCTTGAAAATGATATTTTATAGCAGTCGGGGTACAATACGCTCAGAAAGCAATGCTGTGGCTCCTAATGCCTCCAAGGAGGACAGCTTGGCATTAGCTATCAAAGGCCCGGATTTGACTGCATCGCAGGCAGCAACCTTGAAGGATTTCGACGTATTCACCCATCACGACATTCCAGACTTTTAGATACTTCTACCATGAGTTGCATGTATGAACTTACGTGCCTATATGTCTTACTTGGTCGTCTTCAATTGTGAGCTCGTGTCTAGGACAGCAGTTGAGACACGTAGCAACTGCCAGACGCACGCTGATCGTGTCTGGACGGATGTGTCGGGCTGGATAGTACTGGGGCTTCCAAAGACCTATCAGTACTTCGGATATATCGATCATCTGAATCAGGCTTGCGACTACTAATAGTCTACTAATAGGTTGTTGCTGTGGCGTTGTTCCAAATGTTCTGAATATCGAAGTGACTTGATTATTGTAATTGAATATATTGAATCCTTCGTTAATCTGAGTCTGGCTTCTAAAATGAACAACGTTAATGTACACCACACGATGAACGAAGGACGTAGCTTATGTCAGTGGGTATCACAGGTGTGAGTAGTCCGAATATGGCATTTCAATTTATTCTCGTCGGTAAGGGCCCCTAGTATAGCATCGTTAAAACCTTGTTACGACGTCCGGTATCACACCTTCCGAAAATTATAAACCGTAATATTTTATGTATTATTCGAGCGTGCGGGAAGTTACTCAATATCTAACATATATAAACACGCATTTTAGTCCGTCTCCTCTCTCCCCCCTTTCGCAATCATGTCGTCGTCCACTGTAATTGTGACAGCGAGCGGGGACCCCAGTTTGTCACGTGTGCTGCGAGACACCCCTATTGAAACTCTCATCTTCCATTTGCGTCAACAACTAACCACGAAATATAACGAGCTCATCAAGACTTTTTCCTCGAACAAATTAGGACCATTTGGTCTTCTAATAGGTTGCACATTATTATCCAGCCATACACGCTAACTTATCTGCTCGTCTCATATAGCCGTCGACGGGGACATGGATCGACAAAAACGTATATCCTCGCTGTCAATCCCGCAATCGGGTAAGCCCCTCACCGTACACTTCAAAATTCCACAAAGCCACACGTTCCGCATGGTTTTAAACAAGAATGAGAAAAATCTGGCGCTGTTGGAGGAAAGCCGGGCGCAAACAAAAGAAAGGTAAGCGGTCTCAACATCTTCGCTTCTGTACTCAACAATTGGTTTAGTGGCGGGCGGGTCAGCAGTCGACAACAATGTCTCGCTCAAGGAGATGATGGATAATATGCGCCAGGAATTCACGGACCAGATAAATGACCTTAAGACTTCAATGTCTGAACAGGTGCATCAGTAATTTATGGGGCAATTAAACGAGCGAGCTGACGAGATAAATACTAGGCCGAGCGGATCAACGAGCAAGCTGAGCAGATAAAACACCAGGCTGAGCGGATCGACGAGCTGGCCGACGAGATAAAACACCAGGCTGAGCAGATCAAAGACCTTGAGGCTGCGAACGCAAACCTATCGGCTTCAGACAAAAAGACGACCGCCATCCTACAACACGTAAATGCTCAATTTCAATGCCGTGTAGTTCCTACTGATTTTGTTCTAGCATTCCACCATGCTACACGCTCTGCATCGTCGTGTGTTGCTTGACGACGCACGTGCGCTTATAGCCAGTCGATATGGTTTCCCCATAAACGAACTTCGGCCGGGGGGTCAAGTTGTCGCAGGGAAGCCGAAGACTCTCCAGCAATTGGTGCGGGATGTCTGTTCGCAGCTTACCAAGGACAATGCGCGTTGGCTGCATGACGACGCCTTGAAAATGATATTTGACAGCAGTTCGGATACACTCTGCTTAGGGGGTGGCTGCGGCTCATCGTGCCTCCAAGGAGGAATTGGGTTTAGCTATCAAAGACCCGAGTTTGTCTGCGTCGCAAACAGTAATCTTGAGGGAGGTTCGCTCATAACTGCATTCTGGACATCTAGATATTTCCAATATGATTGAACCAATGTGCCTTTTGGATTGTATCTCTTACTTGGTCGTCTTCAATTGTGAGCTCGTGTGATCATACTCCAGGACAACGGTTGAGGCCTGAGGCATGTAACAACTGGATGCGCGTCGCATCTGACAGGTGTCCTGGGAACCTAAGTACATGTCACGGTGCTCAATCATCCTGCTTCTGTATCAACTGAGTACCAAGGTCGTGGTTCCCATTCGCTATAGCCAGACAGACCACGCGCGCTGAGATCTTCGGTGACGTATGGAACCGTCCGCTACATCGATTTTCGAACGCGGCAGGGTCCTAGATGAGTCCCGTATGCACTAGTTCTCTATGGTGCGTCACGGCCACTGTTCGCACTGTATTTTCTGGAACTACCATGTGCCAGGTGATTCTCGCACGTGCCTTCATATATTAGTCGATTCTTCAGCTTCGCAGGGCGTCTATTCGTACGAGATTTTCGCATGTACCACGAGCAAAATCTTTCGAGTGGATAGCAGGTGCATGTCAGGGGCGACTACTCTTGTGACATATTTACTGATGGGCCTCTTTAATATCCGCCATACGTTTCTGACGAGCTATGTACTCACAATCACTCGAGTCATAATAATGCTTCGCAAGCGCTATCATCACATGAATCGCAGACGCGCGTCTTCCATTTGATAGCTGGTGTTTATGCGCGCTCCGAGCTTCTAACAATAGTCAATTTTTTTTGTTCCAGGTTCTTCTGGTGAGAACAGCGTTTAAAAATATCCTCCTTCGAATGACTTGAGCTATGGAACTTTGAATCGACTTCGTGTTCTTCATGGCTGCACACGAGTTTTTGAGTGTTGACTTGCGTGCGGTGAGTGGGGTTCATTGGGATGAAGGTCTAGGCGTTGGGCTATTATCCACGGACGATGAGGAGATATGAGTGCCGAAAAGATAGCTACCGGCATGTGCTTGAAACCGAGTAATGAGGGACGATGATGTAGGAAATAGACCAAATGAGGGGCCAAATCATGTGGACAACATGCGATATCGAATGTCATTATCGTGCTACTATACAGTCATGTTCGCAGTCCAAAGACCGATACCTTCTTCCCTTTGACCCATCATATGCAAGAGTCGCGGTCGGCCGGATCCTCGGCGAAGGGACATGAGAACAGACGATCCTGCAAATCTGCTCCCTGAACAAAAACGATTTACCCAAGATAGTGCCACAAGCTTCTAAAACACTCACCACCTTCGTTTCCAAATCGGTTGCAAACAACCACCAGTAGCTCGTCAGGGATTTTACATTCGCCTGGTTTCTTCTCGTTTTCATGTGTTGCCTTCTGGATGGTCGCCCATAATGGGTTCAAGCGCATCGCCCAGTATTTCAATACTTCCCAACTTGGCTCCATCTCATCTGTATCTTCATTCTGTTCCGGAGTTGTGTAATCAGAAGATGAATCAACATCTGATTCTTCTCCATTTTCATCAGGATGCAACCATGCATTCAGAAGTATCAGAAGCCGCGTGCCCGATCTTATGCAGTATCGAGCAAGTTCATAGGGACCTTCTTCAAGAGACTCCCACACGGCCGGATCCTACACATTGAGGTCATTGCAGATCGCAAGTGTGGTTGGGCCCAGTGGATGAGGTAGCGTCATCGTCGTAAACCCAGATCCAGGAACAGCCCAAGGAAGATCAAGTTTATAGAGGTTGGTCTTGCGATATGATCCAACACGCTCCCCTGTAGGATCAAACATGACTGCACTGTTTGCACCGATGCGAAGTTGATGGAATGATAAGTTATCGCCTCCAAGTGGAGGGGCGTGTTCATGTGGTTCGAGCTTCTCGGGATACCCAGCTGCCACAAAACATCCAAGGGAGCGTGCTAGCTCCGCGCAAAAGGTGGATGTGGGCCCTGTATATGGGTGCTCAAGGTATGGCGTGATAGCAGCTGTGTCAGGAAACACATAACCTGAGCGCCGTGATATGCGTGATCAGAAACCCTCATGCAGTAACGATGATGTTTGAGAACTGGCTTACCGGAGAAAACCATCTCCGGAAAACACAGGAGATCAATAGATCTGGGCTTCAACCTTAAAAATGGTTGTGAGGTCATCTTCAAACGGTACCTGCGTGCGGCCGCATACCTATTGCATAATTCTCGAGCCTTGGCAATGTTGGCTTGCACTTGGCCGAGCTTGTAGATGACGTTCGATTATAGCTATTGTTTTCATCCCCGAGGAAATGTGCGCTGACCTTGGGAGCAAACTGCACGACGGCCACACGCAACTGCGTAGGCATCATTGATAGCATGAGTGTGGTGGGAGAACACACAATTGTTACCGTTGCGACCCCTTTAGCGCTGCGATCAAGCGCAAACACGACCTCATGTTGAGTATATTACAGCGTCAAAATTCAAACGGTAAAGGCAGTGCTAGCTCTACAATCACGAACGTACAAAGATAGGAGTAGGCGATAATAGTAATGATTTTCTACCAATGTTCGATGACAACGTTTATACACAGAACCTCAATCGAATGTCGGCCCCACATACTACCCCATTGCCAGCACATTCCTCGCACGGCAGGAGTCCCCACAGGGGCCCGTAAATCGGTCTTCTAACCTCCAGCCCGAGGGCTTACAGTCAAGAAACCGTGATTCCACTCTTACGTTGGTATATTCTCGCCGTAGGGTTATCTAGTCAACGAGAACAAGCCTCATGTCATCCCAGAAGACCGTCACCTTTTCCCCCAGAGCTAGAGGTCCACATAGCGGGGGACTCTGGGGGAGAGGCAGTAGGCTATTAACAATTGGGAAGTCGGTCACGCCAACTGGAAGTTACTTTTTGGGATTGGAGAGGGAATATCTGCAAAAACAAAACCATCCAAAAACAAAGATGAAATAAGATGCCAAGAAAACCACGAAAATGCCAGAAACGGGAACTCAATAACACAGCATTCAACATAGAATAAAGCCAAAAGAAGTATAATATAATGGACTCCACTTGCATAGTAGATGTGGGTGAATAGATCACTGCTCACGAGACCGCAATGAAGGACCGCTTGGAGGGATCTCATCTCGGGATCCCGGACGCGAGTGAGGCTCCTCTCTTGCGGCTGAGGGGGTAGGATACGCATTCATTATGCTTGCGAATGTTGCAGGCACAGACGGCGCATTGGCACCGGCAAGATATGGCGACTGCTGTTGCTGTGGGGGAGGTGATGCTTTGGAGGTGGGTGTCATATTTGGCGGTGAAGGATTTGCGAGCTGACGGGTGCTTTGTGAATGAGAGCTACTCTGACGCCTGTCTTCGGCGTCCCTCTGTGTAGGAGGGCGGTACTCGTGGATACTTAGGGTGTCGGCGGATTGAGGTGGGGGAAGGACGATGGTTGTGAAAGGCTGCGATTGCAGATGTGGGGGAGGGTGTATGTAGGAAGGAATATCTTCAGCGTGACCATCGGCAACACTAGATTGATCTTCTGGAAGAGCTGGAACGACAGCCGCGTGTCTACCGCCTAAAGGTCTGTGTTATATCGTGTCACAATTCAGAAAAAAGGATGAGAGGAGAAAGAAAAAGAGCGGCCAGCATGAACGATAGCACAGCCTGCGGTACCCGCTGGTCCGCCTCCCATTCCAGCAATTCTAAATACTACACCGGCCATAGAAATAATCACTCACCCTCCTTCGACGAAGTTCTGCCATACATAGTCGCGCAGGCGATCAGCATTTGGAAGCTCCTGGATCAAGTGCTTGATTGTATTCTGTCCTAACCCAAAGAAGTCGGGCCCCGAGACAGAATTCGAGTGTTGGCGATTGCGGATAGTATTGGCTTGCTTCACAATGGTAGACCATGCGCCGGTGGCGGTACCAGCAATTTGAGGACGATCTGGGACATCAGATGCGACGATCTTGAACTTGGGTCCATCCCCGCCATCGAGAATTGAGCAAGTGTATATAGCGTCTATGGTGGGATCCACCGTCGAGGAATATTTTCTGCAAAGAGATTAGTTGAGAACATTATTTTGATTCAGATGAGTGCTCACCGTGTTACCTCATACCCAACAGGGAATATGTACCGTTCCGTGTGAAAATGTTCTCGCATGCAAACCTCTCCAAGTTGGTTCACTGTCATGATGCCGACGGTAAGTGGTAGTAATGGACGTCCCTGTTTATCACGTGGAACGGTGGGGATGCTGTAGCTCTTTGTTGTAACAGTATGGGCTTTCAGACGTTTAGGCTTAGCATGGCGCTGAATCTCGGTTGCACGAGACGATGGCGTAGGTGCAGGGGGAAGTCCCATGTGCGGAGGTAACGAAGGAGATGGACCAACAAGTGGAGGCGTATTTCCAGGGACAGGAACCAAAGCAGGGTGCTGTCCGCCGCCGTTAACACCAAAGCGTACAGGATCATAATGAGGTTGCTCGTCGCGAGGCGATAACAATGGAGAAAGTGATGATTGGGAGTGCGGCGCATTGCTTGAAGGGACAGGGTCATTAGGCGAACGCCGCACAGGAGGCTTAAGGCGCAGACGAGTGCCCTTGGTCGACACAAGAACAGGGGCTCCTGGGCCACCTCCTTCCGGAGAAGGGGCCACGCCCATAGCGGGCTGCCCATGGGGAGGCTGACCCACGGCCTCTTTCCCTTTAACAGCAGCTCGAGGTCGCTTTGGTTGGCGACGGGCTTCACGAGCCTCCTCCTCGGCACGATCTCGATGTTCGTCTTCTGCGCGCTTGCGAGCCAACGGGCCGACATGCCGCGAAGTAAGCAGTGGATCAACCTCATGATCATCAGTGTCTTCTTCCGCCATTGCCTGACGGAGGTTTGATACAAAGTACGAACGGGCTTTCAAGGTTGAGAGGGAGCGAGGAAAGGCACTGGACGGCGGATAAGGAACACCCGAGACGTTCGGCTCAGAGTGTGTTTCAAGCTCACGAATGCGGTCGAGCATCTTGCTGGAATGGAGAGTCAGACTAATGAGATATCGATATTGCAGTTACACGCACTCCCGTTCTTCCCGAAGTTTCACATTACGTTCCCCAGAAAGCCTTAACTCGTGCTGCGCCTCTTTGTGTTTCTAAGGCAAATTTGTTAGTTCGATAAGCCATGATGAAGTATAGCTGCTCACATCCTCCAACTCAAAAAACTTGCGTTTCAATTTCGATATTTATCGAAGACGTTTTCCTGATTGTCTTTTGGAGGGGCGGGTGGCGGCTGCTGGGTCACTGACAACGGCGGCGGCGGTGGCGGGCCCATGACGACATCAGCGGGTGGGCCCATCGTTGTTGACGATGAGCGACGGCGAGACATGGAGTATGTGTGAAAAGTAGAAGAGAGACCCGCACAAGAAGCGCGCAAAGGTAAAATCCAACCAAGCTCAAACACGACTACACAGCCTAGCCCAACAAGACTTCAGTTTTTTTGTCAACGTCAAACCACCACATTGACGGCAGATTCAGCCTTTCAAAACTCTCTCCTTATCTCCGGTAGTTCTTAATTAAATATTTTCAAGAATGTACCCTAATTTCTTTTTAGATTATCAACTTAAAAACTTGAAGACGACAACAGAATTTGGTGTTTTTTTGAGATCCCTCGTCAACTTTGCCACGGCGAATCTGCCACGGCGTTGAGTCTGCCACATCATTTCACCATCCTACTGCTCCCGGAACCTTGGGCCACGCCACTACCGCTTTCCTTTTTTCTATTTCTGGCAGTAACATTTCTCTATTATTCGGACCAGAACGGCCACGATGTAGTAACCATGGGCCATCAACGCGCTGTCAGTTTGCAGTAACGTCGTCACTGCATCACTCAATTGTACATTGACTCGACCCACCAGGTACTCAGACTCAGAGTCTGGGTCAGAGTAATCAAGGACGTCATGTGAGAGAGGGAGGTAAAAATAGCACTGCTGCTCGAGTTTTGTGCCTGTGCCTACCACCACTGGAGACCAAGATAATCGCCTGGCTTGGGATTCAGAATGAAACCCATATCGTACACGCTTGGCAGGTTAGCGTGTTCATATTTTGATCATCAGCAGGGACAAACCAATTGACTGATAGCGATTCTGTCAGAAAAAAAACAAGAGTTGACGCGTTGACGGCACGGTAGGGCTGTGCAATGCCTATGCTGGCCCCATCAGGAATCTGTATTCCTGCCAGTGCGAACCTGATCTTCAGAATTCCTTCCATGCACGTGAATCATCACCACCGATCTGGCTCAAAGTAAAAGCCGCACGGGACGCCGCTCAGACGCTCTGTGAGCGCAAGATAAACATTTGGAAGGCTGGGAAAGACATTGCACTTGATCTGTCGTTTGAAGTGCCAGCACGCACATGTACGTGTTACGACACACAATGAACATACCTGTAACAAAGAAGCAGTGGTTTCAGGAAGTCATCGCGGCGAAGACTCCGCGAGAATAAATTATGAACTCCAAATTGCATCGCGCTAAACGCATTCAAATTATATATCATGACAGCGAAAAGACACAGCTAAAAGTGTACACAGACGAACGAAGTGGAACATGGTATCGAAAAAACAACCACATGCAGAGAGATGCAGATAGTGTGGTATAGATGCCCGAACTCATACTTTTGAAGTCGGACGAAGTACCAGTAAAATTCCGTCCGAGTGCCCGGAGAAAATAGCGTCAACAGAAATTTCCTGATCAGAGGTGGACGAAGACATCGAAGAAGATGGTCGTGAACGGGAAGACGTCCCGGGCGATGAATGAGAGGCGCAACGTGAGCTTGACGGCATTCGGCAGTTGATTCTTGCGTCTCCGGGTCGGCGCCGCGATAGCGGCGTATCTTGCTCATTTTCACCCCTTGAGTAAGATGAGAACGAGATACGGGCGGAAAAATCCGGTCAATACCTTGAATCCCTGCCAGCAAGCAGCAGCCCAAACTTACCAAAACCGAAGCCGCCATCACTCGGTTGCCCTCGATCGTTGACACCCCATGATTTAATGACATCAATCCAGCTGCGTACGCTATTTTCTGTGCGAGTAGTAACAAAGTCGAAGAAACTCCGACCCAAAACCTTGGTAGTTGAGAGGAGAAGGTCGTTGGAACAGTAGAGGACCGTGCAATGAATCGAGAACCGGTCAAGGATGAGTGCCGCTCTTGGGGACTGAGGGGGCAGCGGATTAAAACTAATTATTGCTGGTTTCTTGCCTCGGCTGCGGTTTGATGACGCGTCACTAGCACTGTCCATAACTGTGGAAGGGCAGGCAGCCTGTGAAGTGAGGTCGGGTATACTAGGACTAGACGTCATCGGTGACGGGTCGCCCCACCGCTAGTCATTTTTAGACAAGCAATGCTGAACAAAGTATGACGCCTACCCTAAGCTCGAAGTTCTTCGCAGAAGGTGTGACGACTTCAACTTCTTGCGCAGTAGAAATATTCTGGAGCGCCTTTCCGCCTGGTGTAGCAAACGATACGCTCCCCACCAGAACGTTGTGCGCGACAGTCCGAGACTGAACCGAAATTATGAATCAAACTCGTTAGATGAAGGGTCGAGACTACTACTCACAACCGCACAAAGAATGTATCCTTTGAAGGGATCTTTATGTTTCAATCGGAGATATGCGAGAGCAGCGGCTTTGTCTTCTCGGATAGTATCACTAATTGATGCAAAATTTAGTCATTGGCATCGGCAAGTGAAAAATGTTATCCATGAACGTACTAGTGCATCTGCTTTACTTGAGAAAACTCATCTGGATGTACAAGCTCCAAAGCAGGGCGGCCTATTAACTCGCGGGGTTCAAAGCCTACAGCAGCGTTAACGTCAGAGGAGCACTAAATGGCAATTGTCGTACCTAGGAGGTCGGAGACTGATTCGGTGAGAAACAGCCATCGAGCCTAAACAAAAGGGCTTTGTTCGGGGCCAGTGACAAAGGCAGTGAATTATTAAACCTACATCCTCAGAGAAGTCTACGATGGTGACTTCGCACAACGTTGAGCTGGTGTCGTACGGTCTGAGGTAAGGAGGCACGTACTGAATGAAACGCGTGGCGTCTCTGATTCCATAGGTAGTCACGGTATAATGGATTACCTTAGCAAATGGGAGGGGGCCGTTATGGTCCGCGTGTAGGCGCGAAGTGACTAGGCGAGCCTTACACTGATTCTGTTACACCAACAAATACCGTCAGAACTGACGGAGAGAAGTGAGGCTACGGAGGGTCGGAGGTCAACAGCGCTTTTATCTCTCCATTGCAGAGAAGACTTAGGGTTTCCAAAGCCGAGGACGCTTGAACAGAATTACCAGAGTCATAGTATTATTTTTTGGAGATTGGGTTGAGCGTCATTATGTAGTGGTATTAGTTGAGTATTACTATCATTGATTAATATTGGTTCCAGAAAGGATATGCTTCCGTAATGAGCACGATAGATCTGAGCAACATAAGGTAACATTATCCTCGTTCATACGCCAGGTCGATTCAAACCGTGCAACGCCTGAACAACGCGGGCAGGTCTAGTGGGAATCGGAGTCGCCCAGGACTAGAAGCGGAATACAAGTCCAGTGCCCCCTTTGCTGTCAGTTTGTGCCTTGAGCATTTAATTTCATAATCGTGGGTTTACCAGATCTCTCACACAGACCGGTAACGGCCCACTCAATCTCGCCCCGGCCCAAGCTTGTAGTCACTTTGTCATTGGTTCAGTTGTGCTCTTCTCGAGTCAGAGATATTAGATGTGGTCGACTGCTCGAGACGTCGCCGCAGGCGACCTCGTTATCATTTGGCAGGCACGTTCCTCACCCTTTATGGTTTTAGGGTAGCTCACATGCCTGTAATTGATTTATGTCAGACTCGAGAACTCATTCAACCTTTACTCATCACTCCAGGGAAGGACCTTAACTCCAGGTTTGGATATTACCGGCATGCAGACCTTGTTGGAATTCCCTACGGGTCTAAAGTCGGATCTCGCAATGGCAAAGGATTCATCCATGTCCTTCGACCCACTCCGGAGCTTTGGACTATGGCACTTCCCCATCGCACTCAGATCTTGTATCTTGCCGATATCGCGTTTATCACCTCATGGCTTGACATCAAACGCGGAAGCAGTGTCATCGAAGCTGGTAAGCGTTAAAAATTGGACTTATAGCGGAAAACACTGCTTTTGCTTGGCCATCGTCCACGATGCTGCACCACTTTTTTAGGTTGGTCACAGCGAACAAAGACACGTGGATCATCGTTCTAGTTTTCATTCATCCTTGTTCACTACGCCACATTGATGTGTCCTCTCGCGATTGATGAGCAGATTAACAACGTGGCTCAGATTGAAACTCGTTTTCTCTATCTCTTTTTATGTTCATATCCCTTTCATTGCCTTTCCCTAAACGCCTGTGCCAAACGGAAATTTGACCTCCGTGGGGTGAACCCTTAATTCACTACGTACATCACGCAGGTACTGGTTCGGGATCGTTCTCCCACTCCGTCGCAAGGACGATAGGGTCGGTAGGACATCTTTGGTCATACGAATTTCACGAGGCCCGTGCAAACAAAGCGAGGTATGCAGCCTTCTACTTTAAGCCATAGTAAAGAATTTAATGCCATTCTAGGGAGGAGTTTTCGCTCCACGGAATGGCAGACATTGTCACCCTTACACACCGCAACGTGTGCAAGGACGGTTTCACAGTTGAAGACACGGTTGATGCAGGCATGTCTCTTCCTTATCATACAAATTGATCGCCCGAGCTGGGTATCTATTTTCTACAGTATTCCTCGACCTTCCGGCTCCGTGGGACGCTATCGAGCACGCCAAGAAGGCATTGAAGGTACGCCCACTATTCGTTAACAGTCAACATGTCCAATTTACCCGGAAATGAATAGAAAACCAGCCCTACTCGTATATGCTGTTTTAGTCCATGCATGGAGCAAGTCCTTCGAACAGTCAACGCCCTAAATGATTCAGGTTTCACGGGTATGATTTATTTTAATGTTGAATGTTACGTGGAAGTCTCATCCGTGTACCTCTATCAGACATCACGATGTTTGAGACGTTACTGAGACCTCACGAAGTTCACCAACTATCACCACAGTCTCTAACCCAAGCGGTCGAGAAGCTCAAAAAATTAGAACAAAAACGTGAAGACAAACGTCAGCATCAGATCGCAAGGTCGAGTAAAAGAAAGCGGGATGACTTACCGGAAACAGACATTGACAATGTGGGAGTGAAAAGGCTCAGAACTCAGGAATCAGAGGAAGAGGATGTCTGTATCCGCGATATCCCGGATGCTGTGGTGGACCCTGGCCAGTCTGCCAACCAACCACCACCAATCAAAATATCTGTTTCAAAGGTGTCTCCCGACGTTCGGGGCCATACGTCATATTTAACTTTTGCTCGGCTGGTACCTACGGTGCCTTCAAAATCTGTCTCAATTCGAGAGTAAATATTGAATAAAATTGTATTCTGACAATATGAATCATAAAGCTATAAAGTACAGAGAAGCCCCTCAAACGGATCTACTCTGCTATCGCTCTTCTAAACGCTCGTTCCAACTCAGCTTCTTCACGCAATTTAGCAGCGTTCTTCTGCGGGCGAGGCCGCAGGACTCTGCCGGGCGTGGTGGTTGAGTTTCCCTTAATGGAATTCCCATCACGTGTAGAAGCTGCATTGTCGAATCTATGATCGTCCTTTGATGCGCTATCGGTGTCTTCTCTGATCCGCTTCTTTCCATTTTTCCGCTTTACAGACGAATTACCCTTGGAAGGGGTATTAGTACCACTCTTCATTGGCGCCTTCACTTGCCCGCCTCTCTTTGTCCTCGCAACAGGAGTAGAACGCGACCGACGGTCAGGTTCATCAGAAGGAGCGGTCTCCGAGGCTTGTCTCCTCAAGTTGTCTTCGGCCAGCTCGCGCATAGACTTAGGCATCGCATTACTCCGCCGAGAAGGCAAGTCAGCAGATACCTCCCCCATCTGCACATCTTGGGCGAAATGAAGCGGCGAATCGCGGGGATGCGTATAAGACACCGCAACACCACTACGCTCGGGTACAGCCTCGTCGAATTCGGCGCCATCGTCACCGGTGGTCGAAGGAAGTAAGGACGAAGGCAAAACGGTATGCTGATCTTTGGGGAGATGAAACGGCTTCACCACATCGTCCGCGGTGGTGAGGTACCCTCCTGGTTGCTGAGGGAGAAATCAACTTCACGTCCAAATCGCAAGTATGAATGGAAATGAAACATACTTGCTCGCCTTGATGTGCCTCAGCATTCTGCATGTCCAACCAATGCTGCGGCGTTGCATCATCCGCATTGGATGCGTATTGCTTATGGAGACGATCTCGAATCCGAAGCCCTTGCACGAGACGTATCCAACGCTTGTGAACTTGATCCAAACGTTTAGCATGCGCTTTCTCTTCTGCATCATTTTCAGTTTCCAAATAAGCCTGTAGGCAAGGTTGAGTTCAATGGACGCAGCAAGATCCGTGATGCGGCAAGTTCACCTCCACTATGATGGCTTCGTTCTCCTCGGCCACAACAATTCCCTCAATTATCGGGATAGCTCTCCGATTCCTGAATTCAAAACCAGTCTTGAGAGCTTGTCAGCGCACGAGCAATCGTGCAAGTGAAAAACTCACCACTGCTTCTGCATAATCAAAGCCAAGCCTCTTGGCTACTTTGGCAACGCCCTTGACTGAAAATGATCGGAATTGAGTTCTGCGTAGCGGGTATCGCCGATTTCATCACGTACACGGGATATGAATACTACCCTCAGGGAGCATTGACGGAACATACAGATCAATGTTCCCAAAATCGTTCTTAGGAACTTTTCCCTGCGAACACGAAGATCAGTCATGTGCCAGGAGTCATTACGACCAGACATACGTCAATGACTGGGTCGGGCTTGTAAAGCTCCGTCTGGGACCTTGCGTATAGGCCTTGCATGTCCTCCTGGCCATCTCCACCATGGGCGTCTGTTCTTGCTTTCTCAAGCGCAAGCTCCATTTCCCGCTTGCGGCCGATAGTGACAGCACGTTGCTTGACCATCTTCATAGGCTGGCAGCCTTCTCGAACCACGCGCCCTTGGCGCATCCAGTTTTCCGCGGTCTTCAGAGATATGACCGAAGATCGAGGATATACAGGTTCTCCCTGGAACTTGCCCAATTCGACAGGAGGATCAATAACCTCTTCACGCCTCAGATGCCGTGAGAGAACATATCTGGACTTTGAAATTAGTATGATGCATGAAGAAGGTGAAATTACGCTTGTACAAAGGATGTCCCTTGAATCCGGCAACCATGGTGGGCATGCCCTCGGTAAGCTGATGGTTATGCAGTTCCGTATCCTCGGTATCATCGCGTTGCTACATGATCCGTGAGACTGCATTTACAAGCATAGAAGACATGACACACCAATCGATAGGGTCTAGTCACTAGCTGCACGACACTATCCCACCACTCTTTTCGCCTGCCTATCCCAACTCCTTGCACCTTCGCCACTTTAGCAGTGTAGTCTTTGGCGTATCGCCCCGTCACGTCACGGCCGAAACCGTCCTCTTCTAGGGCAACCACGTAAGTCATTCGATTCTCTTGCGGTACTCCAGTCCTGAATGTGTTCTCAGCGGAAGGGTCAAACACATGGCGTTTGTTGACGAAACCACGAATTGGATCGACAGGAAGCCAGCGGCCATCTGCGCGCGAAAAAACCTCTGTCCAGAACACAGGAGGAGTGATTGTAGGGTCAAGTGTAGCTATTCAAGCACAAGCATGATTTCTGATGTCTCGAAGGTTGAAATATTTAACATACCTCTGGTGCTCGCTCGATTCTTAGAGTAGCCCTTAGTTTTCCTGAGCCTGATGACCGGCCGTGCCTTCCCTTTCCCTTTGGCTTGAGCCGAAGATTCCCCAGAGGATGAGTCGCCTAGAACTTCTGCTGGTGACTGGGAATTGATTGCTTTCGCTCCTTCGAAGTCGCTGTCTTGCGACAAAACATCAGTGTCTCTGGCTCTCTGCTTCCCCTTTTGTTTAGATGATGGACGGTCTTTGTCGGCGGTTTTGAACTTGGATTTTCCGACACTAGACTGCCACGGAGTGCTCTGAAGACTAACAACCAATCTAGCAGGGATATCCAATGCTCGACACAGCGCAGTGAATAATTGTGCACTTGTATCACGAGAACCGCTTTGCATCAAGGCGTGTTTCATAAGACTATTTGGACTTCGAATACGTTCCCCGTCGTCGCTTTTCTCGTCTTCAAAAATTGCGTTTCCACGTAGGGCAAGATCACGCTCGTTCTCGCCGAAAGTCCGGTTCCTGATGTGTCCTGTAGGAAGAACGCTGAAAAATGTGCCCGTCCACCATTCCACCAAGCGAGTAATACTAGCCTCAAATAATCGACCTCGCTTATTCTGGTCGGGTACACGAGACTTGTGTATTAGAGCAAAACCATTATGAAGATGAAGTGGTGTTAAGGATAGCAACCGAGCCTAGAAGGTATTGACGGTCGCACTGATCGGAGAGAACAAGCCACTTACGTGAAGAAGTTCATCATTCAGCCACTTATTCCGCACTCTTGCATTTGCAAGAAGACAAACTGTGTGGACCTTGTGGGTTCCAATCCTCAAGATACGTTCAGCTCGTGCTGCTGCTGCCGCTGCCTTCCTGGATGATCAGATATCAGCACCTACGCAATCGTATGTGAAGAATACAAAGCAACTTAGAATCATCCTTCTTCGTCCCTGAGTGTAGGGTGATTTCAATGTTCGCGCGTGGAACCGGTCCTTCCAACTGGAGTTCCAACTCTGGGTTGGTTTCATGAATTTGCTGAGGAACATCAACCTCCTCCCACTCAAAGTCTTCTTCACTGCTATCTCCTGGTATCGACTGAGAGTCTAGCATCATGGTGAAAACTTGGTTGGTGGACAAGAGCCAAAATCTTTCACAAGTCACGATTAATTAGTGTCACGGCACCGCGTCCATCACGTGGTGTATATGGCTTGCTTACGTGTTGATGAACTCCGCGGCCAAAGTATTACTCACACTGGCAGCACTAGAGATTACACTTATCGAAGCAATATGCATCTGCCAGCTGGCATGCCTTTCGCCACGCGCTTCAACGAGATAAATTTCGAGGTGAGTCACTACATAGCAGTTGCTCTATCGATATCTTACGCCAGCCATGCAAGAACCTCATTGCAAATGCGACACTAGGATCCGTTCAAGCAATCGCGCAGCTAGCAACCCTTGCGTCAGATCATGCTTGCCTCCCGACCCAATATGAGCGCATGATTAAAGTCGCTTACCTCTTGCTTGATGCTATGCGTATTCCACACGGTGAAGATCCATCAGTCGATGACGTAGAAGCTCAATGTGCTGCCCTCACTTTTATTGGCTCCACATTTTTCATCTGGATATCAGACGATAAGATGGCAAGTGGTCTCATCGCAGACCTGCTGAGTCATTGGGGCGATATTCGCCGCTGGATCCTATATATTTATGACGAATTCATCCAAGCAGAGTCATTTGTCATCAACACCCGCCGGGACTGCAAGACCGCCGTCGTGACCTTTCTAGCGTTGACCCGCGATAGGATGTTGAGTGGTTGGTCGAAGAAGGTGGTCGCTGATACCAAAATAATGCCCTTGATATTTGCCCTTTGGAACCTTGAAACCACGGATGCTCGATTCTCATCTCACACGGGGCAATTCAATGCGTATCGTGAATCTGTTGTCCTCAACTCCTGCTTCCTAATCTCGCACGAGACAAAATCACCGATTGACTGGGATAAGGCTTTGCTTCCTTTCGACGGACGGCCAGACATCGCGTCGAGAATTGCGCTCATGCATTTGTCGCAAGAAATGGCACGGCAGTACCTGGATCCAGAGTGTATAGCATGGGACGTGCATATTGTTACAGCACTTTCATTCCGCGATGACATGCGTGGGGCATTATTAAACCTAGGAGCCATAGTAAAAATCACGCATGTTATCCACCTCATCGTCGGACGGTCTTTTGATCGAGCACACCTCACATATGCTGCGAGGTGTATCTCCAACGCATCGCTGTTTCTGCGGATCCGTATGCAAGAAAATGATGGTAATCCGTGGATGTCTGAAGCCATTCGGTCAGATCTTATCAAAGGATTGCTCAAATCCGAACGGTACATACCGTTCATGGACAACGACAAGGCTCGTGATGCACTCTCCGACATACTTCACATGATCATCCCCGCATACACTGTCTACCGCTCATTGCTCCTGCCCATAGCAAAAGCAGTGGATGAAATAATAAACCTTGGACTAGACAAACAGCTGGATAAACGTGGGAAATTATATGAGGGCTGGGTATGTCTGCAAGAAACGACCGAACGGCGAAAATTACTCAACTACGATGGTCCTGAAAAAGTTCATGTACAGACGTGCCATAACGATAATGTGTGTCGGATCGTCTATATTTTTGGCGCTACGTTGACGCATAATCAGTGTCGGAAAACCGTGTCGACAGGTACGCTTAAGCGGTGTGGGGGATGTCTCCACACGTATTACTGTAGCAAATCATGTCAGCGATATGACTGGAGGAGAGGAAAACACAAGGCATACTGTACCAGAGTTCAAGAACGTTCTGCTTGGTCTCGTGAGCGTCCTACTGTGCTCGTTCAAGATCCGCATTAGCTTAGCATCATCTTACAGTCGGAGAGATGAACGGCATATCAAATCGCGACCTCAAATTCCTCGACTGCGTCATAGAAGATGAGCTGAAGAAACACAGAGCGCGTATCGCTGGCCACGGGCTCAAACTCAACGTCATAGAGTTAGACCTCACTCACGGAGAACCAAACATCACTTTCGACTCCAGAGGTGTTAACCCAAGCCCATTCAAGCTCTTATGTCGATGCGAGCACTACGCGAACGACAATTGGAAACGTTTGCGACAACACATCGCCAGGACAGATGAACCTGTTGTTTTGGTTCGTGTGTTCATTCCAGGTGGAATTTCGAGAAAGGTCGTATTGCGGGCCATCCCGCTTTTCCAAGTACTGGGACGGCCTCCCGTGCGACAATCACGCGTGTACGCCACCTACGTTTATACATGCTGTGGCAGACCGGGACAGGAAGCCAACAACAGTCCTCTCAGAAATTTTGCAGGTTGATGGGTCGTGAAGTGGAACAGATATTGTACGACGAGTGTGACTACCCCATTGAGCAGTTAGTACAACACATAGGTCGTGAATGACCTTGGAGCACGTACTATGTAATGCCTCATATTTAATCAGTGGGTCGGGACCCACCAGTTCACACATGAGTTCGGCATGATGTGAACCACACCTCGAAGTGCCATGAAAAAAAATACGGAGACAGTGCCAACTTAATGCGAAGGGACAGGTATCTTCCTTTGATTAGTCCGGCTAGGGGATTCGGAGACTAAAAAAGCAATAACCAAGACTGGCAGTGCATCGATAAATTCGAAGTGCATGACGCGTAGACAAAATCGTGCCAATACTAGCGTGGGCGTGGGGGAGATGTATGGATAATGTGAAGAGACCAATGATAACTATAGCAGTAGGTCATATAGTAGTAAGTGATTAAAATTTGATGCACGCTGCCTTAAAAGTGGCGGTCCGACAAAGGCTGGGACTTTGGAACTATACTACTTACAAAAGTTCAAAGTCAGCTGCTTCATCGTTAGTAGTAACTAATAATTCCTGTACCGTAACAGAATGTCCGACACAAGTCCATTTGTTGGTGATATCCCCAGCACCATTGGTTGTCCCTTCGCACCAAAAACTGTACAATGTCCAGAGTCACTTGGGAAATACCTCCAATTTCAAACTATCTTTCTGGACGAAGGTGTCTCGGTGGGGGTGAGTGGCTGCACTCGTCATATAGCAAGCTTTATGTCTCACATATAATAAGGAACTTCGGTTCAAAGATTACCAGCTCGGTGGTCGACCTCCCTCGTATCCGCCGAAACCAGAATTTTGTGGCGTTTCCTTAGCATTAGAGCAATGTAGCCTGTTTGACATCAAAGAGGGCCACTCTTCACCTTCACATCCAAACGGCATAGAAGAGTCCCACTGTCCACCCCCGCATCCGAATGGCCTCTGGTACGATGATGGGAGCGTTGTCTTGAAAACTGGAGACAATTTCTTCCGTGTGCATAGATCTATTCTCAGCCAAAAATCTTCTGTTTTTGCAACCATACTTCTTCCAACTCAGGAAGAAAACACGGAAACCCATGAAGGATGCCCTGTGGTCGTACTGGACGATGACTCTGAAGAGCTCCGGCAGTTCCTCCTCACTATATATGAAATATCGTATGTATTGCATTCTCAAAGATCAGTCGCTCCAACTGATCTGCTGAGCTAGGTACTTCGAGGACAACGCGCGATATTTCGTCTATTTACGTGCCATTCTTCGTCTCAGCACGAAATATGAGATGGACCGATTGCGTGACTTGGCACTTCAGCGACTGAAACGCGGCGTTCCAACGACGCTTGCATCTTTCGACGATCCTAAATATAAGGACGACCGCGCAACCGCACAAAAAAATGTCCTTGCGGTCATCAACATCGCCCGGGAGACCAACTGCTTGGAACTGCTTCCTTGCGCCTATTACTATTGCTCCCGTTTGCCGACAGGTACAATTTTCGAGGGTAATGGTGGAGTTGTCCTAGCCTCACCAGACATAAGCGCTTGCGTCCTCGGAAGAGACCGGCTTCTGAATATGCAACGCCAGACAACCCACTCGTTTTTGTACAAACTTCCAACACTTGCTGTTGGGTTTGGTTGCAAGGGTTGTGGAGCAAATGAGTCTGACAGGCTGTTGTTGGATTATTTGCAGCGCCAGGATCTTACGAGACCGTGCACGTTCGAACAATTCACTGATTGGAAGAAAATAGGAATGTGTAAAGGCTGTGCTCCATTACATCAACACATGGAATCCCGACGAGACGCATGGGCGCAACTTCCTAGGATTTGTGGATTGGAAAGCTGGGAGAAGATCGTCGCATAACTTAAAGTTAATTCATGGGTGCAGCACGTTTCCGCGAAGAGACGGAAAGGTACACCTAAGAAGGTTTTACTAGGCTACTTTGTTAGAGTATGCCATCACATTTGTTGTCTGCTCTATGCATGTGCATCGTCTGATAGAACGAATTTTCTAACGTCCTCAAACTTGTTTGACTGAAAATGTCACAGAAATCACGCGATCTACATGCAGAGATCTATCTTAGAAGTATCAAATATAATGTTTTATTCATTCGCTTATGGGGGCACCTCATAGTGTCATGAAAAAATGCGACAACGTTCCGAGACGTGAAATGACAGCATAAAAAGTAATAACCAGGACGTTGATGAAGTGCGTGATGCGTAGACAATCGTGTAAATGACGTGAGCATGAGGGAGATTGAAGGTATGGATAATGTGGAAGAGGACGAATGATGACAATAGCAATAGATAAGAGCAATCAAAACTTGATGACGAGCAGGGTATGTATACTCCAAAAGAGGGGAATCGAATGAGATCAATCATAGCGACAGAGAAATGACACGGGAACGGCAACCATGTGCACCGAAATATTAGAACCAACTAAGTGATGCGAGCGTAATTGATGAATGAGAAATAGAAATGAGGAAGTGGGAAGAAGCCAAATGGATAATAATTTTACTCATTAGAATCAGGCAACGATAGTGCGGGACAATCTTCTGGAGACCGTCCTTCCAGGCACTATCGCCTTAAACGCGCGGAGAACGAGCGCAGCAGTAGCAGTGTTCTTGCTATCCTCCTTCGATGAGCGTGACGTGCTTGCACTGCAGGCCACGACACCAAGCTCATCCACAGACAGATTGCTCCACATATCATCACTAGACACCGGCTGAGGCATTCCTCGTCGAGTAGAATTAAACACCTTGAAGTTACGCGGATTGTTATTTGTTGGTTTACATTCTAAAGTGGAGGATGCAGTGTGAACGGGTTGAAGGTTGTCGGATTGGTATCCCTTGCCGACGCGTTTGACACCTGTGGTAGACATAAGGAAGCGGTCGTAGACGCCTTCCACACGACGGAGGTCAGGCGAGTTGATGACCATGTGCTCCCCAGACTTGCGCGGAGGATAAGGTTCAACATGGAAAGGAGACGCAGTGAGATCACTGTCATCGAATAGAATCGACCGTTGTCTGATTGGGTGAGGCGTTCGTGTCCCAGTCCCATCTACATCGCCTGACCATGGCGTGATTGGAGGCGCGATGAACAGATTCCGATCGAGCACGGCAGACAACCGGGGCGTAGGCACCGCTACCGTTTCTGCTCGAGAACAATTAGCAACTGAGCTTATCACAACATGCAGGGAACCCACCTCTCGTAAGATCAAACTCCAGCTTATCTACAGGCCTGATATGCCTGTCTAAATTTCCCTGGGACCGCGACTTCTCCCTTCTCCTCGACGGCGAGCCCAACCCGTCTATGTCGTTTTCATCGACCTTGGGCGAGCGCGTCGAAATGGTGGCGCGACGCTGGCGTCGGGGAGTCTGAGAAAGCACATTAACGGTAGGCACACCAGCACGCTGGGTGAACGCAGAGTTATCGGGAGACAGATACCCCGAGAACGAGTTGGTCTGATCCGCAAGTGCCGATCGTCCAGGGGACAGCGGTGCATTAGGATCATCACAAAAGATCTCATTCGCAGCAAGCATACGCTTTGGAAGGCGCGAAGATGAACGCGACACATTGAGCGCCTGCGAATTAGAACGTGAAATGGGTGGCGAGAGCGGAAGCGCGGGAGGTGGAGTAATGCTAGTGGATGCAAAAGCAAAGTTCTGGCGCGTTTCCTCGACGACTCCTGAAAAATGAGTTGCATGAGCCCCACCCCGTGAACGAGAGTGAATACGCTTACTCTCGACATTCTGAATCCAGAGATTCATTCTATCAATGGCCGTCTCTCGTTCCTTCTCAGCGGCATTCTCTGGGCGAATATCCTCATAGCTGAATCTCCCAGCTTCACCCGAACGGCGCTGCTCAAACTCGATGGGCTCCGGGGATGCACACCACACAGGTGTCGTACGACCACCCGTGATTTGGCCAAGCGTCGAGGACTTGTACATCCGAACGCCTTTGTCTGTATCGTCAAAGTTCAGAGTTAGACAAAGGAGTGGTGATTGAAGAAGGAAGGACATACCAATAGAAGCTTTCACGCTGTGTTTGAGTCCAACGAATCCAGACTCACTCACCCGGTGCATCTCACTTGGGAGATTACATTCAGCTGGACGCATGTCATCAGTCAGCACATATCCCAGATAAGACGCATGCGAAGAACTACTCACCAGGCGCCGTCGATGCTGAATAGCTCCTGTCCACCCCAAGCACTGAAACACTCCCTTTGCTCATCGTCAACAACTGCGCACTCGCCCTCACCCCTATCCTCGCAATCTCAATGTGCTCCGCGCTCAAATCTGCACGATAGCTCGTAACATTTGGATCAATCTCGCTATCCGTCTCCTCTGTCTTCGCATCATGTTGCACGTATACATCCACGGGACCTGTCTGGCCGTTCGGAACGGGGGAGCGACGCGCCTCCTGAGCCTCCTCCCTTTGAATCGCACACTCCACCTCTTCGTCGCTCAACTCCGTCTCGTCATCATCGTTAATGTTTCCGTTGGCTGACGTCATGATAGACTCAGCTTCGCGCTGCATCTCCGTCAGTCTCTCCATCTCCCGCAACCGCTCACGTTCACGCTCCCATTCGCGCATACGGTCACGTACACTGCCCTTGCCTACGGTCGAGGACGTGGTATCGGCCATACCGCTGACATTTACGGTTGTCGATACGTTCGCGAGGTCTGTAGTAGAAGCGTTGGGGGTGCGGTGCTCGTTCAGACTTGCCCTCGACGTGTTCTGTACGACACTAATGTCCGTCCGCGATACGCTTTGAACGTCTGTTTTCGATGCATCACGAAAGTCCGGCCTCGACGCGCTCCTAAGATCCGTCCTCGAAACATTCCTCAGGTCCGAAACACTCTTCAAAGTGCCCTTCGCCCTCGCCTTTGGTAACCCATGCGCACCCAAATCCACATTCTTCGCAAAACCCGTCAAGTCTGCAAATACACCCGCTCGAGAACGCGAGCGGGGTTTACGACCGCTCATTTTAGGTGTGCCGTTTCCTTTGTTTTGGGGAGTGTTTTCCTTGCTATCTGCGAGTGGCGAGTTTTCTTTTGCACGTGGCATGTTCTCCCTCCCTATCCTCGCGCCCTTCTTTCTTCCGCCTTCTAGATCTCTGAGAGAGAGATTCGAAGGCGTCCTCGATCCAAGCGGTTTCCGGACTGGTGTAAGCGAATTGAGTGAGAACAACCCGGAGCTGCTGCTCGTGTTACCACTCATGTTTGTAGTGCCGACAAGACTGAGGGGAGCAGGTCCGAGCTTCTTTGCGCTCTTCACAACAGGTGATCCTTGTACAGTTGACAACTTCCGCCCTTGGCGATATCCATCCGCGTGAGGGTAAGGTGAGCGGAGCTTAGGTTGTGATTTTGATCGTGCATGATACCTGTCGCCGGCGCGGGTGTCATTCTGGATCTCCTTTTCAGGTGTGCGGGAGACCGAGCGGGATGCTGAGGAGCGGGAGGAAGAGCGAGAATTGGAAGACCAGGGGAGTGAAATGTCGAGAAGCCGCGAGACAGGTGCGTCTTTAGGTACAGCGTCTTTTGGAGTGGAGGTATCTTTCGACGGGGGGGATATGAATGAGGATGAAAGTGTATGGATGGGTGTCTGCTTCGCGGGGGAAACGGCAGCTGAGGCAGATTTCTCTGTGATAATGATGAATATGCACATTCTGACGAGGATACGACGCGACTTACTATGTACATGTTTGTCTGGAACTGCCGTTGTAGCTGCAGCCTGCCAATATGTATCAGCCATAGCCTGTTTCGCCGTACACCTCAAATCTGCATTGGGAACAATCATACGCTTGAGGAGCTTCTCCACGGGCCTGGGAACGGTGTATGAGCCTACCCATTTGCCGCGCATCTATGTGATGAGGATCATCAATTGTCTGCTTGTTAGACTTGAAAACCCAAGAAAAACACTCACTGTCCTGCCCCAGTACTTCTCCAAGTCTGCTTTGCTTGCAAACTGCTCGCCCTCTTCATACTCAAATGGCGTGCGACCAACCAATATCTCGAAAAAGGTGACACCAAGTGACCATATGTCAGACTTCCGCGTGTCATGGGGAAGGCCACGAGCACGTTCTGGAGAGAGATACTGCATGCCGTGCAAAGTTAAATATTACGTTAACGTAAAAATAGGGCGGAGAAAATGCGAACCTCGGGGGTGCCGTATGCCAAATTACTATGGAATGCTTTAGGGGAAGAAAGGTCATACTTCTCTGCAAACCCGAAATCGACCAATACGGGTATATTCTTGTGGGAGAGCAGGATGTTGGCAGGTCTGTGGCGCGTGCAAATATGGTTAGCACAGTGCACGACAAAAGATACGGACGGAAAGGGTTAATAACGTACTTGATGTCGTTATGTACGACCCCACGCTCGTGCAGGAAGTGGACACCACTCAATAGTGAGCGGAACCATTCTTTTGCGCGGGGTTCGGATACCTCAACGGGGACGAGGGTTGGTAGATACGCCCTGCAATACAAGGCTGATTTGTCAAGCATGAGATTAAAAACATGTCAAGTAGGACGTACATTGTGATAAGTGCATATGACGGGGTGATGATAAACGAGTGAAATGGGATGATCGAGGGATGCGGGTCGGCCTTGAATGAGCGCACAATCTTCATCTCGTTCCATCTATGCGTAAATGAAGATATAAAATATGTCAAAAACTCGTGTTAGATTGGCCACGAGGCAAGTGGACTTACAGCGAACGCACACGCGCAGCCGTTGTACTGGTCTTGGAGCGGTGGACGAGCTTAACAGCTACTTCGACGTCCTTGTGCTTGTTTGATGAGGAACTGGATTTGGGACGGCACAGCCAAACACTACCCCAGTTTCCGAAGCCGATCTGTATGACATTCATATAACTTGTTCAGAAGAGGGGATACGAAACGTACCTCTTTGACGAACTGAAGACGTTCTGCAAGAAGATGATCTGAGAGGGAGAAGACGTCGTTTGCCTCTGTAGCTGAGGCTTCCATAGTCATTCTTGCTAGATGCTAATGAATTCGTAGTTAGATGCTTGCTGGTATGTAAGGAGACCTGGGATTGGCGTTGGTATACAAGTACACTGGCAGATGTGAATAAGAATCAGAGGAAGGAGGAACGAAACACTGCTCGTCGTCGTCTGCTGTGATGAACAGAGTCAGAACCAACAATACCAGTAACAAGAAAATTGGTGGAACAGCTTATACAAATCACAATCTCACATACATATCACACTCGAACACTACCAAAACATTAGTAAATAACGCGTCGTTGACTTCTCAGTCACGTTACCCATCAATCTATCAATAACACTGTCTCACGTACTTACGTACTCAGACGCCTCCCTGGCGATGTTCTCTAGATCAGCCACCACGACTCTGGGATTAGGAACATGTACTGACACGGAATAATACCTAGTGAGCCTCTAAAATCTATGATCATTCGAAATGAGGCAGTACCACCGTCTGGGCCAAGCTGAGTGTTCTTCCGTCTGTGATAAGTCCACCGCTAAACACATTTCGAATTCATAAATAGCATATTTTCAAGTGACAAGGAACGGTACGTAGCAAGCGACGACTTTTATTAATTACATGTATCGATTCAAACGCATTTGATAAAGCCTGGTCAACGAAAGGTACATTCTGCTGCTCTTCAAAAGTCGTACAAACCGCTCACCAGGGTCCTGTTGTGCAATTCAGCATTCGTCGAACAAGTTCCTTGGACCTAGTGATCTCTGCCAATATGCTCAAGATCTGAGTCTTTGCCGCGAAAGCGTAAACACGGATACTTCGAATTACGAGGCTGGAATATTCTGTATGCGGATTCGTAGCCCGGGTGGTGGACAGCCCACATACAAGCACTCCTTCGATATTCTCCCAGGCGGATCAAAATTCTGAGCACCGTTTCCAGGTATGACTCGGGCATCTCTCCCAGACCTATTTTTACGAACTCCTGGCACCTTTGACTGTGATCTCATCAGGCCAACGACACTGTTCAGGAAGACAACTCTAAAAAGCAAATTAGGAATTATGATGCTCGAGTCCCCAGGTCTGTTCGGCAATCCCACGCAGATAGTAAGCTTCCAGCTGAGGGCAGCTTATTTTCCATTCTAGCTGTATGGCGGGCGATCGGCCTTTGGATGAAAAATCCAACACGGACTCGACCAACAAGCAACTAGCTCCTTCGTGCGAATATAATCAGTGCGTTGCGTTGCAGTCGGTCATTGAGACGAATGACGGAAACACTGTCGTCAAGTCTCTTGCAAGCGATAAATTCGTGGCCACAAGTTGCAATAACGTTGTTGCATAGTGCGACAGTTGTAACCTTGACAGAGCCTTTCCTGTGGGAAGTGGATCTAGTGCGGTGGCCAATTTGCATCTCTTCTAAAGCCCAACCCTCTATCAGGCGGTACTACGGTGCTCATGCAATGCGCTATCCTCATAGTGGTTACCAATGACAGAAACTTCAATCTGACTTGCGAACTTGTGGTTGGTTTCCTGGCATGTTTTGTATTCATCAAGTTAAACTCAAACTAGTCTTTCTGTGTTGGTAAATGACCGCTATCAATGCATACTGTTCTTCGACTCGTAGACGTCCATCTTAACCACTGGAGTGTTAGCCAAGTGGTAACAACAGAAATCCGTTGCAGGTTCGAAGCCTGCTCAACAGTCCTTTTCCTTCACGCCTTGATTATTCACTCATGGATCTGGATCCATCCTTGAAGGTCTATCTTGAGTAGTCATAACCAACTGACACCAGAACAGATCTAGATCAGAAATCTGCTCTCTTGGATGGTAACCTGCCGGTAAATGACTGTCCGTCTTATCACACCTTGACACTCACCCACGGACAGTTCTTCGGGAGTTCACCTAAACTCCGGAAGCCCCGTAGCCAAAGCGGTCGTCACAACAGAATCGAAATCTGTTTCTCTTGGACTGTGCAGGTTCTAAACCTGCCAATGCCATGGATCTCTTTTCTATTAGAACACACACCTTCATTCACTCATGGATGGTTTCATCGCAGGGTCCAATTCAATTGTTGTTAGCCAAGTGGTAAACGCGACAGAATGGAAATCTGTTTTCTTGTACCGTACAGGTTCGAAACCTGCTGGTGATAAGTTTGTCTTTATCAAAATACACCCTAAAGTTCACTTATGGATGGTTTCCTCGGACATTCATCTAACGGGTCTTAGCCAATTGGTTACCACAACAGAATTAAAATCTGTTTCTCTTGTACCGTGCAGGCTCGAAACCTGCCGACGATAAGTTTTTTTCTATCGGAATACACCTTGACATTCACTCATGGACGGCTTCCTCGGACATTCATCTAACGGGTCTTAACCAATTGGTTTCCACAACAGAATTAAAATCTGTCTCTCTTGTACCGCGCATGCTCGAAACCTGTCGCTGCCAAGTTTTTTTTCTCTATCAGAGCACCCCCTGGCATTCACTCATGGATGATTTCCTCATATCATCTCAACTGCTCTTAGCCAAGTGGTTACTGCAACAGAATCAAAATTTGTTTCTATTGGACTGTGCAGATTCGAAACCTGCTGATGACAAGGTTTTTTTCTATCAAGAAACATCTTGACATTCACTAGTCGCTCAGTACCCATGAATGGTTTCATCAGGGGTTCACCTAACTGGTCTTCGCCAAGTGGTTGTCACAGGTTACAATGGAGTGGAAATCCATTTCTCTTGGAGTTGGTTCGAAACCGGCTGACCGCCTTTTTGCGGTGTATAGACCCCAAAACATCGTGTTTAGGTGAAAGCACCACCTTTAAATGCAGGTCATCGTCAAGCATACAGCGATAGAGTCGTTCGCCTGTGATCAAAAATACGTGCAAATTGATCGGAAGCGGAACAGGGTCTTCACATTTGCCCTGGATCCGTCCCTCATGTCGCTGCGGAACACTGGTTGCACATCTCTTAGTTCCACGATAGCTTGTGGCTCTTTATCCGAGTCAATCTGGAGAGGAGCATGAACAAATGCAGGTATCTAGTCCAACAAGTGCCTTTCTTCCTCTACTCACTTCATTCAACTAAACGCCGTCACATCTGGTCTTCCCTATCTGTATGTGTATTATACTGATTCCTCTCCCCTAGTCACATCTTGACCAAGACGTCAACCGTATCGTCTGGCACACGATAACACTTATTTAAGGATCAATGGTCCTTTTTTTCACGCGCCAGCTCAACGTTGGTGACCTCCGCTGCACCGAGTTTTGGAACTTCGAGCACCTGTACAGCCTATTTTCATCACTGATGGCCAGATTTCCGTGGGCATAACACTCGTGGTCGTTTCACGCTGAAAATGACCTGCTCTATCTAACCTACATCAATATTTAGACCGACTTGCTAACTCGAATCGATGCGCAGCGCTCGGCTCCCGAAGTACTTCAACACTCGTTGGACCATATCTTGCGAAAGTGTGTGTAGTCAAGGTGTGTCAAGTGATTGGCACTATTGACCTTCGGGCATGTCACGACATCGGGCGCTTGCAATCGCACCTTGGTTATATACGTCGCTTTGCGGCGGTAGTCACATGGTTATTCTATGTGACATTTACTACCCATGCAGTGTAGGTGTGAAATTTCGCCGCTGCAGCATATGGTGTGCTGATCGTTGTGAGGGTATCATTACAGTTTCGCTCTTTGCTTTGGCGCGGACTGCATCTCGAAGAAGACATCTGGGGCTGTTTTGCAAAACTTTAGGCAAGTTTTGGGGAAGGGTAGCCACGGATCATGCACCCGAAGCTATCAGTTCCAGCGGGCAGAATCTCATAATTCAGGCCAGCTTATTGTTGATACGTGTCGCTACATTTGCGATGACTCTATTAAATGTGTTGCAGGATTTTCAATCGCTGACCATTCCCGCTTCCAAGGCAAATCCTGCCAAGGTTTTCATCCAGGCCTCGCTGTTAGAGATGTACTGCGCTTCCAATTTTTCCTTGCATGTCTCAAAACGACAATTTTAAACCAAAGCTATCGACTAAAGCCTCAGATAGTCCCTTGCGCAATAGCAGTGATAAATTCATCGTATACCCGGTTTTGTTCAATTGGCCTTGACTAGGGATGCGAGCAGCTGGGCGAGGAAAGTGCACCATGGACAACTCTGAATGAATATAATACTACTCGCGTACATCTGACGACGTATAAAATAGTCTGTATACAACACACATAAAATAAATAAATGGTCGAGTGATAGAGATGCCTCGGCAAATAAAATTACTAGTGAACATAGCCAATGAAAAATCCGCAGCATCTTACTATTATTTCTTCATGTTCAGCAGTTGAGACTTGTGTTTGTGTGGGCCGTCCTTGAGAAACCTGCACCGCCACTGCAGGTTGACCCGGTCGCGTTGAACTGTCGGCCATATCGTCATTCGTGCGTAGCATTGCAGCAGCCGCTTCCGCGTCAGATTCTGGCGTAATGGCGTATCTCTGCGGAGCGATTTAAATGATATGAAAGGGGAGTGATGACGAGTTACTCACATCTTCATCGCGGCAAGCAGTAATATCAACGAGATGTCTGGAAGATCGTCCTGGACATAAGCTAGAATTCCAGTGCCAGGGATTGCGCGGTATTCTGCGTTGGGGTGCATTTGCAAGTCGAGTGCTGGAATACAGGGAACCGAATGTGGAATTTTTGCCTCGAGCCTGCATTAACCGTTCCCAGGAACCTCGACTATCTTTGCTATCCAGGTGGCCGAGGAGAGTGCGATCATGAGACGGTGGGCTCTGCGCGTCGGGGGGAGGATCATCGCGCTGTTTGCCTTTATTTTTTCTGGCGCTGAGCAAATCATGTGCAGAGCCACGCTGACAGCGGTCGAGTTGAGATGACAGTGTGCGAGATGGGGAGGATAGAGCCGGCTGCGACGACCCGCTCGTGTGAGCTACAGCGCGGGGAGCACTGCACGTTACCGCCGATGACTTTGTCGTGTCAAAAGCGTCTCTAGTAAGAATGCAATTGTTTAGAAGATGAAACAGGAACTTACCTGGAACCCGCACACAGTAGACACCCCAACGACCTCCGGACATGGAGCCATGCTGACGGATGTGGGATCCTTCCCTCGAACACGCATTGACCATTTCCAAATGTTTCCATTGAATCCAGCAAGTGAGCTCTGTGTGTTGGTAAGAGACTCTCCCCGTTGCCTGCTTTCATCCCCCTCTAGTTTGCTGGCGCCCAGGCCAGTATTTGGGGGACACTGATGGCCCATTACATTGAGATGATTGTGTTCAATAGCATAAACATGACCTACATTGACATCCTGGGCGCCGGCCTTGTCGTTTCGTTCTGCTCGCAACCTCCCTTCTGGTGTTGGTTGGTTGGATGCGGTGGTTTCAGGGCTCAGAAATGTATTTGAGCAAGCGCGCCACGCCAAGAACTTGCGCTTAGGGAAGTCTCGCAATGGAACGGACTGATGTATTATTGTCCAAAAGCGTCAAGCCGGGGACAATTTTGAAGGCTGAGGGGAACTCGCTGGAAGAGAAGTTTGAGAGGACTACAAGTGATTATCATCAGTAGTACTACATCCTTCGCATGACAAACATAATGTATACCTGGAAAAAATCGTTGTATGGGTCATCACGCACGTCTTCAATGATGGCATCACCCCCCCGTAGCATCAGCCTGTGATAGACTGTAAGCCAAGTAAGATATGCAGTTAACCATAAGAGTACTAACGTCGAGAAAAGATGATGATGAGGACTGGGGTCGAGTTCTCTGCTGTAGCTCGGGGAGAGTTTCTTCAGGTCGCCGCGTAGCTTCAAGTTGCCCGTGACCTTGTTGAGGTAGTGTGGGTGCTTCAAGCTCAGGAGCTATGTCTTTCACCATCCAGAGGGTAACTCCCCCATCCATTCCGCAATATGCTAGATAGTTCCCGTCTCGAGAAAATGTCACATGGCGAAGGGATACGTGATCGTAAAATGGCTGTTCGAATGGCTGATAGGATTCTGTATCCCACAGCTGTGCAACACCTTTACTGCCCACACATGCTAAGACATTATTTTTGGGTGAAAGTGCGACGGAAAATAAGATATGGTCGTGCTCCAAGGAATGGAGTAGTGCGCCTGATTTGCTGTCAAAAACACATGCAAAGAAATCAGATGCAGAATAAAGTTTAGCGCTGTCCGACGACCACGCCACCGACATCACAGAGGTCCACAGGTTTTCGATGGGGCCAACAGCAAGCTGGCCGGTCTTCGTGTTCCAGATGCAAATTGTAGAGTTGTACCCGCCTGATGCGATCCTCTCCCCTGAAGGAGAATATGCAAGTGCAAACACCCCGACCTGCTTCGTCTCGATGGGGCCCACCTCTACATCTCCGCTTTCTACTTTTCGAATCAGTATTCCTCCATCAAAGGATCCGCTGGCGATATGGCATCCACTGGGAGACCACGAGAGCGAGCGCACCCAATTTCTATGACCCCTCCAAACACCTTGAAGCATCATCTTTCCATCGGTGTTCAACCGCTGAACGCTTCCATCTGCCCTCCCGCACGCAATCATCTTCCCGTCCGGTGAAAGAGCAAGTGCATACATCCTTCCACCTTTACTTTTTAATGGTTTTCCGATAATTAGTCCTGTGTCACAGTCCCACTTGCGCATCATGCCGTCCTCAGAACCGCACACAACGTGGATATTGTCATGTAAGAAGACGCAGTCTCGAATCCTCTTTCCGCGTATTCCAAACTTGTTCTTTGGAGTTGGTCCGTTGGATTGCGCCGGGGTAGATGTTTCTCTGGGAGTCGGCCTTGCAAAGAGTCTGGTAGCCATAGCTTGTTACCGATAAGGCGCCTAGCGTATCGATCTGGCTGTAACGTGGTTCGTAAATAAATTATAGGTGCAACAGTTCACGGGTTCTTACCCTATCTCTTGTCTGGTGGCAAGCTAGCTGGGCAGATGAGTGATTTAGTACGAATTCTGCACGACGTTGCTAATCCTCGGTTGAGAGGTTCATATGGCGATACTTACAGCATAGCGACCTTCGATATCGATGAAATAGCATCCCGCCCATTAAAGTGAATACGAATATTTTATTTGACCATCTACGCTCACATAAGCTCAGGCATCATAGCTAAGTACCTCGATGGTTCAACTACAAATTAAGCAAAGTAGTTGCTTCAGAATACACGTGTTTACATGTAAGTACTCCAAACCCCAACTTAAACACTATTGTGACGTCTCGCTCAGAAAACAGCACAAGGCCTTGCAGTACTCGCTGACGTCAGGGTGCCGATGAGCTGTCATGGCATACGTGAGACTCGGGTATAGTTGCATGGTTATATGAGGCTGGATCAAGAGACATGGAGATGAATTTAACACGCTAGGTGTCAGTGAGCGAACTCGGGCCCTCGGCTTCCAGTGCTCTTGCTACACATTCATTCCGTGTTAGACGGTAAATCAGAAACAATCACAAGTATAGATGAGCTGCTTCCCTTGTTGCCTGCATGTATTGTCCCAGTCTCATCTCCGCCCAGACTAGACTCATTACTTGTGTGATCAGAACACTGGTTGCGCGTCCCGCGGCTTCTAGCTTCACATTGACATCATTGATTATCGCACTTTTGTTGGGCATTGAGAATCATGTTATTTGCCAATCCAATCCCGGATACAGCCGGGCGATCTGGGCAGAATACAATGTCGCTCAGCACAAATGAACGGTGATTGAATATTGAATGAGGGTTAGTTTGCTAACCGGCACACAAGTTACCCGATAGTTTGAAGGTGTACGGACGGTCACGCGTTTCGCAATTAGCAAATTTATGCTACCTTTTTTTCACAAAGAAAACTTATTTATGTCCTTTGGGCCGAAGACCTTATATTGGGCGTAGCCCTTATCGCAGGGGGCTTACTCCCGCCTGTCTATCATTGTGCTATCTTGGTATGTGGTCCTTACAAACTGATCTATATTTTTATCTTGTTTCATGAAATGGATTGGAAGCACGGAATCTTGGATGTGGATTTACTAAGACAGCTTCTTTCTTTCCGCTTCTTCGCTGGCCTTGGAGGCAGCGCACCGTTGTATGTGAGCTTCATATTTGATGCCCACAAAGTATTTGATCTGATTGACTTCCACCTTCGGGTTGGCGGTGGTGTTCCATGCCGTCCAATCATCATATCCGAACTCGACCTGGAGATAAGCGGTATGTGATACTTCCGCAAACATAAGCTGTCCTCATTCCCCAATAGTTCTGGTCTTCGCAAATCCTCGCAGCGTTTGCACCGCAAGAGAGTGAGTGTTAAAGTGGTTTTAGTTCGTTCATTCTGATCGATTTTGTTTCGCAGAAAGTGGAGCGTATTCATCCCTCGTGTCACCGCGGGCACTGATTGCGCGTTTTTCAGTTTTACATAGCTTGAGGACCTTGTTGACGTGCTTTGTAGTGGTTGTCACCGGTCATTTCTCCAATCGGAAGTGGAAAAGGAGCATGAACGAATGCAGATGCAAATGTCGATGTCGATGTCCATTGTAATGCGATTGACGGGTGGCGTCCACTGTCTCTCTGCTCACACCATACAACCAAATGTCATGTCATGGTTTTCCCTCTCTGCATGCGTATGCTGACCCATCTCTTCTAGTTGCATCTGAACCAGTAGTTCAGCCATGTCACCTGGCAAATAATAGGGTGCTCGTTTAAATAATGGTGCTTTTTTTACGCGGCAGTTATGAGTTTCGCTGCAAGACTGCACTGCATTCTCGAACTTTGAACATATGTACACTATTTCAATCGCTGATGGATAGATGACCACAAGCATACGTCCGACACACCAGTCATTTCAATCTGAAAATGTCCTGCTACACCAGGACTTGCTTACCGGAGTCGGTCCTCAGCTCATGAAGTACATTTATGAGCCTACTTACAACCTGCGAAAGTATATAAGCTACAGGGACGTCAGGTTATTGGCGCTATTGACCTTCAGGTTCTTTTGGCAAGTCACGACAGTTAATGGGTGCGACTGCCGAGTACTTACCATCCTCAATGTTGTGGACATTTGTATGAATCTGACGAACAAATGCGAGGACATCTGCCGCAGAGATATCGATGCTGAGTCTGACATTAAAGGGGCTGGCTGGTCACACAAAAATATTGGACTGGGAGACGGAGAGAGCTGGCTGAGCCTGGGAGGTATGGATGGAGATGTGCGCATTTGAATTCTGGAAGGACGATAGCTCTAGGAAAGAATATCATGTACACTGTAAGTGAATATCAGTCAATAAATCTGGAAGTGACGAGATTGACAAAAGAGAACGCGACATGTCAGTTCGTCCGAGTGGTTGCGCTCTAAGATCTGGGAAGCTGTGAATCGGGTCCAGTTTCCTCCTGTTGATCGAGTCATGTTTCCTGCTGTGGATCGGTCTGTAGTTGAGTTTCCAGATGTGTAGCTTCAAGTTGAGCTTGTCGAGGTACGAACAAATGTAAGGTCGGGAACTATGTCTCCAAAGAGTACCACATGGTCTCCACCGTATGCTACGACGTCGCAAAGCTAGGTATGAGATATGTCGTCCATATGCAATGTACATAAAAAGAAATGAGTCGCTGAATGTTAGAATGTCTCAGTGAATGAACTCATGGCTGATGCGAGTTGGAAAGACGATGACAGCCGAAGAAACATCCACAGCAACTCACTCCAATTTCTTCTGGCCCACTTGTTGAGGCTTGTGTTTGTGTGGGCTGTCCTTGAGAAACCTGCACCGCCACTGCAGGTTGACCTGGTCGCGTTGAACTGCCGGCCACATCGACATTCGTGCGTAGCATAGCTGCAGCTGCTTCTGCGTCGGTTTCAGGGGTAATGCCGTATCTCTGCAGTGATTTAAATAATACGAATGGGGAACAATGTCGAATTACTCACATCTTCATCACGACAAGCAGAGACATCGACGGTACGTGTGGAAGATCCTACGGGAAATGAACTGGAATTCCAGTGCCAGGGATTGCGCAGTATTGGTTGGGGCGCATTTGCAGGTCGAGTGCTGGAATGTCCGAAACTGAAAGTGAGACTTTTGCCCCGAGCCTGCATTAGTCGTTCCCAGAGGCCTCGGCTCTCTTTGCTATCGAGGTGGGCGGGGAGAGCGCGATCATAAGACGGTGGGCTATGCGCGTTTTTGGGAGGATTATCTCGCTGTTTGCCTTTATTCTTTGTGGCGCTGAGCGAATTATGCACGGAACCGCACTGATCACCGTTGTGTTCAGATAACAGTGTGCAAGAGTCGAAACTGCACTCACATCGTCAACAGTTTCATGTTGTTCACCTTCCACTTCTGATACTGGCTGTTTGAGTATCATGGTTGCGAGCTCCTGGGACGAGTTTGAGTGAGCGCGACTGACTGAAGAAACTGCGTTTGGAGTGTTCTTGTGGAACGGACTCGTCTGGTGTTGGGTGACGTCGAGAGATGACATTCCAGAGGCGGCGAGCCAGAAACAAAGGGGGTAGAAGGAAGCCAGGGGATGGCGATGGAAGAGATTGCTGTGAAGACTACAAGTATTTGTTGTCAGTGCTTGTATCCTTGAAAGAACACAAGAGTTTTACATGGAAGAAGTTGTTGTATGGGTCGTCGTGCGCCTCCTCAACGAAGCCACCACCTCCTGTAGCATCAGCCTGCAACCACAATATGAGCAAAGAACACAGATAGTTAAACGTGAATGTACTGACGTTGAGGCACGATGATGATGGTGATGGGGAGCTTGACCGAGTTTCCTGTTGTGTGTTTTGTCTATTGGGTTGTTGAAGTAGTGTGGATGCTGGAAGCCGCGGAGCCATGCCTTTGACCACCCATAGAGTGAGTTTATTGTCAGATCCACCATATGCTAGATGGCTCCCGTCTTGGGAGAACGACACACTGGAATAGTAAAGGGTGTCATCAATACGGTGGAATGACTGGCCGATTTGCTAATGGGACTCTGTGTCCCATAGCTGTGCAGCACCCTGGAAGCCCACGCACGCCAGGACATTGTGTTTGGGTGAAAGTGCGATGGACCAAAGGACATGGTCATGCTCAAAGCGATGGAGTAGTTCGCCTGTTTCGCTGTCGAAAACACGTGCGAACCTGTCGGATGCGGAATAAAGTTTTGTGCTGTCTGACGACCACATCAATGAAGTCACATCTAACTCCAGGTCTTTAATTGGGCCAACGACAAGAACCTTCGTGTCCCAGATGCAGATCGTACAGTCCCTCCTGCCTGATGCAATTCTCTCACCCGAAGGTGAATATGCAAGACTCCACACACCGCCTTGGTTCGCATCAATCGGGCCCACCTCGACTTCCCCACTTTCTGCATTTCGAATCAGAATTGTTCCATCATCGGACCCGCTAGCAAGTTGTCTTCCGTTGGGTGACCACGAGAGTGACCGCACCGCCCTGCTATGACCCGTCCAAACCCATCTGATCATCTTCCTAATATCGGTGTTCCACAGCTGAACGCTTCCATCCTCCCTCCCACATGCAATTATCTTCCCATCCGGCAAAAGCGCCAGTGCATAGATGCCTCCCGCCTTACTTTTCCATGGTTCTCCAACAACAAGTCCCGTATCGCAGTTCCACTTGCGCATAGTGCCATCCAATGAACCACTCACGATGTGGATGTTGTCGTGCAAGAATACGAAACCCCAAATCGCATCGTTGTGTCCTTCAAACTTGTGCTTCAGAATTGATTTTTCCCATTGCGCTGCAGTCGAAGCTTCCTTGCGGGTTCTCCTTGCAAAGAATCGAGCAGCCATAACTCGCTACCGTAATCTGGTGGACCAATTTGACTCTGCTGTGGGTGGTGATCAGTTATGGGGGCAAACGAATTGACCAACACTCACTGATAAGTATACTGATCGGATGCTCGAGTGCAAGCTGGAGAGACAGGCGAGTTTCTATGTCCGGTATCCTGTATGCATAGATTCCGTGAAAGTGGCGCTAATCATCCATTCATAGGTTCATATCGCAATACAGCATTTTGGTTTATTATTTGCAAGCCATGTATCTGTTATCTCCCAATCATCCTAGCATGGTGAATCATGCTCTGATGCATATCCTCAGGGCAACACGTGGATCAGTTACCCGCGTCTATCCATGGTTTTCTTTAGAACTCATGTCATTGTACTCTGCATTCTAGCCATCCCTCGCTCGTTTAAACTTCTACTTTCTCCTGGAGCACAACACAACACCTTCCAGTACTCATTGATGTCAGAATGAGCGTCACGAGATGGCGTAGGTGTAGAGCAAGAAACGTAGAGTGTTCAAGGAATTTTTGGCACACTAGGCGAGTACAATGTGCTTCTGGTGTATATTCATATGCTGTTAGATGTGTCTTCGCTCTGAGTCAAAACTTCAGGAGTGCTTGCCAGTTCGGGCAATCCTCCTTCATTACCTGCACCCATTGTCACACAGCCTTATTGTCGCCCCGGATCCATCCCTTGTCACCGCGGAACACTGATTCTCAGTTTTACATAGCTTGAGAGCCTTATTGACATGCTTTGCAGTTGGGACCACGGGTCGTTTATCCAATCGGAAGGGGAAGAGAAGTATGAATGAATATAGATGCCCGTGTCGATGTCCATTGTAATGCGATTGACGGGTTTCGTTCTTCCTCTCCCCACCGTTCAACCAAATGACATGTTATATCTTTCCCTGTCTGCATGCATACGCTGAACCATCCTCCTAGCTGCCTCTGAATCAGCACCAGCCGTGTCGCCTGGAAAATGATTGAGCGCTCATTTAAATAAGAGTTTTTTTCTTTACGCGCCAGCTCAATGTTAAAGACTTCCGCTGCGACACTACAACGAACTTAAAGCATCTGTATACTCTATTTTAATCGCCATTGGGATATAACATTCAACACACTGGTCATTTCCGAGTCAATCTAAAAAGGGCCCGCTCCACCTAACCTACACTAATAGTTATGCTGACTCGCTTACTACAAGTCGACCCTCAGGTCATGAAGTACATTCACGGTCCCCATTTTCAGCCTGCGAAAGCATATAAGATACAAGTATGTCAAGTTATTGGCACTATGGACCTTTAGGTTCTTTGGCAGGTCATGATAATCATTGGGCGCGACTGCCGATTCTTACCATCGTCAATATTCTAAATATTTGTATGAATCTGACGAACGAATATGAGAGGACATCAGTCGCAGGACGTATCGGTGCTTGCATTTAAAAGCTGGCCATGCGAAAATAGCAGCAAAGATCTGGACTGGGAGAGGGAGAGAGTCGACCAAGCCTAGGAGGTACACGAGTAAGCTTTACAGCTGAAATATTTGACAGTGTATATACCGGTTTTTTTTGCTGATTGCCGAGGTAGAAAGCTCGGTGATCAGACACAGGAGAAGGGGGATCGAACCTGTAAATAAATACATTATACAACGTGATGGGGGAGGATATCACGTACGCTATAAATAAGTACTGGTTAATGTAGAAGGGACAAAATCAACCAAGGGGAATGCAACATGTTGGTTCGTCCGAGTAGTCGCATGGTTATTCTATGTGGCATCTGCTACCGGTCCAATGAATGTGAGGCGTGAAGTTTCGCCCTTGCAGCATATGGTGTGCTGATTGTTATAATGATATCATCGCAGTTTCTTTCTCTCGCACTTGTCCAGACTGCGTCTCAAAGAACACTGTGACTGTTTTGCAAAATTTTACCCCGAGGCAGGGTACACAGTCACGGATTATTCCCGCCGAGCACGAGGGAAAATAATGCACCTGAGGCTATCAGTTCCGCTGGCTCATTGTTTATAGGACTCGCGTGTCGCTATGTTTGCGATTATATAGTTAAACATGATGCAGGATTTTCAAAGCTATCAACCATTGTCTCAGATACTCCTTTGTGCAGTGACAGTGATACTGTGCACAGTTTTGTTCAATTGGCCCCGACCAAGGGTGCGAGCAGGTGGATGAAAAAAGTACGATCATGAATGGAGTGACTCACAGGGCACCATGGACAACTCTGGACAAGTATAATACTGCTCGTCCACATCTATGAGGACGGTGCAAGAGTCGGGTATGAGATATGTCGTCCATATACAATGTACATAAAAGAAATAAGTGATTGATCAATGTTAGAGAGTGCCTTAACAAATGAACTCATGACTGACGTGGGTTGGAACGACGAACGTAGCCACAGAAAAATCCGCAGCAGCTTACTCCTTCATAGACGATCTCTCCTGGCCCACTCGTTGAGGCTTGTGTTTGTGTGAGCTGTCCTTGAGACACTTGTGCCACCACCACGGGTTGACCTGGCCGTGTTGAACTGTCGGCTACGTCATTATTTGTGCGTAGCATGGCTGCAGCTGCTTCCTCGTCAGTTTCAGGCGCAATGCCGTATCTCTGCAGAGTGATTTAAATAATATGAAAGGGGAACGATGTCAGGCTACTCACATCTTCATCGCGGCAAGCAGCAACATCGACAGTATATCTGGAAGACCCTAAAGGATATGAACTGGAATTCCAGTACCGGTGATTGCGCAGTATTTGTTTGGGCGCATTTGCAGATGGAGTGCTGGAACGCAGGAAACCGAATGCAAGATATTTGCCTTGAGCGTGTATTAACCGTTCCCGGAGGCATCGACTATCTTTGCTATCCGGTTGGGCGGGGGGAGTACGATCAGCAGATGGTGGGCTCTGCGCATTGTCGGGAGGATCATCTCGCTGTTTACCTTCATCCTTTCTGGCGCTGGGCGAATCATGTGTGAAACCGCACTGACGACCGACGTGTTCAGATCACTGTGTGGGAGTTGAAACAGCACTCACATCATCAACGGTTTCACGTTGTTCGCCATCCCCTTCTTCCCTTTTACTTTCTAGCACTTGTTGATCGGGTTTAATAGTTGCGACCTCCTGGGACAAGTTTGAGCGAGCGCGACGACTGAAGAAACCACGCTTGGAGCATTCTTGTGGAACGGACTCGTCCGGCGGCGGGCAGCGTCGAGAGATGACATTCCAGAGGCGGCGGGTCGAAAACAAAAGGGGAAGACGGAAACCAGGCGATGGCGATGGAGGAGGTTGCTGCAAAGATTACAAGTACTTGCTGTCAGTGTTATATCCTTGGATGAACACAAGAGTTTTACTTGGAAGAAGTGATAGTACGGGTCATCGCGCGCCTCCTCAATGAAGCCACCACCTCCCGTAGCATCAGCCTGCAACAGCACTGTGAGCAAAGAAGGCAGGTAGTCAAAGGTGAAAGTACTGACGTCGAGACAAGATGATAATGGGGAGTTGGGCCGAGTTACCTGTTGTGTGCTTTGTCTTCTATTTGGTAGAAGCTGAGGAGCTATGTCTTTGAGCATCCGCAGAGTAAGTTTCTTATCGTATCCGCCATATGCTACGTATCTCCCGTCTCGAGAGAATGACACGCAGCGGAGGGTGAATTTGTGATTCTTATGCAATGGCTGGCCAAGTTGCTGGTGGGACACAGTGTCCCAAAACTGCGCAACGCCATTGGCGCCCACACACGCCAAGATATCGTGTGTGGGTGAAAGTGCAACGGAATTCAGGATGTTATGATGATATACTTTCGGTCTGTCGTATGAATAAATTGCAAAAGAATGTCCTGAAGGTGGTGGATCCCCAAAACGCGCTGTGCGGAATCGATCAAAAGAATGTCCCAAACGTGGTGTGCGGTGCTCGTCGGATGTGCATCTACTGTTGAAAGCACGTACATCGGATGCGTTGTTGCTGCTGAAAACACGTGCGAATTCGTCGGATGCATCGATATGGTCATGCTCAAAGCGATGGAGTAGTTCGCCTGTTTCACTGTTGAAAACACGTGGGAATTCGTCGGATGCGGAATAAAGCTTTGTGCTGTCTGACGACCACACCAATGATGTTACAGAGTTCCCCATGTCCTGGATTGGGCCAACAATGAGCTCGCCGGTCTTGGTGTCCCAGATGCAAATTGTTTTCTTGTCCCCGCCTGATGCAATTCTCTCACCCGAAGGTGAATATGCAAGACTCCACAACCAGCCTTGTTTCGCATCGATCGGGCCTACCTCGACTTCCCCACTTTCTGCATTTCGAATCAAAATTGTTCTATCTTCAGACCCGCTGGCAATTTGACTTCCGCTGGATGACCACGAGAGCGACCACACCGTCTTGCTATGACCCAGTCCAAACGCCTTCGATCATCTCTCCGTCGGTAGTCCACCGCTGAACCCCTCCGTCTTCCTCCCACACACAATTATCTTCCCGTCCGGTGAGAGTGCCAGTGCATATATGCCTCCTCCATCATCTTTCCATGGTTCCTCGACAAGAAGTCCCGTGTCAGCAGTTCCACTTGTGCACTAGTGCCGTCCACTGAACCACTCACGATGTGGACATTGTCGTGCAAGAAGACGAAACATCAAAATTGTCTCCTCGTATCCTTTAAATCTGTGTTTCAGAATTGGGTTTTCCCATCGAATTAGTTCTTCCTGTATGAGTTGATTCTTCCCGTTGCGCTGCAGTCCAGTCATAGTTCATTACTGTAATCTGGTGGATCAATCATGGGGGTAAACAAGTTGACCAGTACTCACTGGCTGGTCTACTGGTCCGTTGCTTGGGGGCGAGCTGGAAAGACAGGCGAGTTTTATGTTCCGCATGTTGCATCCATGGATCCCACGAGGCGGCGCTAATCGTACATTCACAGTCATATCACAATACAGCATTTGCAAACCACGGTGCCTATTATTTCTGATCATCCTTGCATGATGAGTCGTGCTCCAATGCATTTACTCAAGGCAACACATCGACCAGTAAGCCGTGTCTATTCATGTTTTGCTTCAGAGTTCATGTTATTATACTCTCCACTCTGACCACATCTCGCTTGTTTAAAGCTCTATTCTCCCAGATCACGACACAATACCTTTCAATACTTGTGGACGTCAGGATGAGCATCACGGGACGGTATAGATGCGGGGTGACTGATATAAATTGCCCAAGGCAATTTTAGCATGCCTGGTGAGTACATTGTGATTCCGGTGTTTGTGCTGTATATTCATCTGGTGATGGATGTGTCTTCGCTTCGGTACAGAATCCAAGAAATTGCTCGTCAGTACAGACGACCTTCCCTCATTACCTGCACCCATTGTCACTCAGCCTTATTTTCGCCCTGGACTGTTGCCGCGGAACATTGATTGCGCATTTCAGGGCCTGATTCCCACACTTCGTAGTGGCGGCCACAGGCCATTTCTCCAATCGGAAGAGGAAGAGAAGCATAAATCAATACAGACGTTGATGTTGATATCCATTGTAATACGGTTGACGGGTTTCGATCTTCCTCTCTACCATTCAACCAAATGTCGTGTCATGTCTTTCTCTGTCTGCATGCGTATGCTCTCTCAGCTGCCTCTGAACCAGCGTCAGCTGTGTCGCCTGCCAAATGATATGATAGGGCACTCATTAAAACAATGGTGCATTTCTTTACGCGCCAGCTCAACTCTCAAGCGCTTACGACTTTCACTGCGACGCTGCACCGAATTCCTGACTTCAAATATTTGTGTACTCTATTTTAATTACTAATGATCGAGTCACGATGGCTCTTGGTATGCCTTACACCGCAGAAAGACTGACGAAGGACGTGAAAGCACTGAAGAGAGTAGAAAGCTGCAGCTGAGTGACTACTTCATCCTGAAATTTTCAGGACGGCTTTCCATACCGTTTTTACCCTTCCTCCTCAAGCTCGGTGTGCTCGACCCATCTGAGCTCGCAGTAGAACAGGATGATCACAATTTGTGCACTGGCGGATCCTGCTACTCTCAAACACATGGCCGATGTGGCGGCCCAGGGAATTGCAAAATGCACTTAACCGTTTCAAAGTGTTTTTCTCAAAGATCCGTAGAAAATATGCCATGTCCACCAATAGCACCCCGGCACGGTGGAGAAACTTAACTCTAGGTCACCATGATTCATCCTTCCATCTCAGGTTGGAAAAAACAAACCGTATTTGGTGACTGCATTGCGCAAGATATGCTGGCGATGACATGACAGCACATTTAAATTTGAATTCACGTATATCTGACGTGGTAGTCTAGGCTCCTCTCACGCTACCGAATGTCGGCCAACTGTGAATGCACCGTGAGTCATGATGTTGAAGCTTCCACACCGGACCCATTGTATAATATATCAGTCACTGGGCAATTACCATGCAAAGCCATTGAATGCTGTATCATGGTGATGCCACACTTCGAAGCTCGAAAACTTGGCCCAGGAGTCAGGACCACTGGCCCCAATCTGAAAATGTATCGTGGAAGAGGCCAAAATGGAGCAGGCCTACGAGAATGTATAAAAAGCTCTTAGGGAAATGTATCAACGAAGTAGTCATTCCTCTTATCCCCAAATATGCAGCTCTCTGTGCTCTTGAGCGCACTTGTATCTTCCGTCATTCTTGCTGCTGCGTTGCCCGTGCCAGGAGCCAACTTGAACTGTTTCTGTGGGTATTCATGATCATCAGCGGTATCATATCCACTCAGTTGTCGTAATGTATCATTCAGGTGAGCCAGAGGGCTTTGACCATTTCTCCATAAGAGAGACTATGGCGTCCCAGCTCCCGTTGGGTTATGATCAGCCCGTCAAGAAATATCAGCTCTCGACGGGTCTTGATGATTATGATCAGCCCGACAAGAGACGTCAGCTCCGGATGGGTTTTGATGATTATGATCGTCTTCTCATGCGAGAGATTATGGCGTTCCAGCACCAGTTGGATTATGATCAGCGCGACAAGAAACGTCGGCTCTGGGCGGGTCGGTGATGCTTATGACCATGGTCGATCAGAAACGTCAGCTCCAGTCGAGTCTTGTTAATCACGATCAGCTCGACTAGGATAACAGACTACATAATATTTGACTGGTTTTGCAGCCCGGATCCGGTTGTTGGAAGCATTATTGACAATTCCTACATTGTGTATTCTCACCTGATTACTGTTGGATTGTGACTGTAAAGTCTTCATTGCACGCCGACTTCATATAGAAGCTGATCTGTGCCACTACTGGCAATGTACGGGTGGAAAATATCAATGTATCTTAGCCGTTGGGTGTACATACTCAGAGCGTTGTTGTTGCGCTGTTGTTTGAAACTTTCCCAACCACTTCATACTCGAGGGTGTCTCCGTCCTTATTGTTGCGACCTCTTCATTTCTGCTTGAAACACGTCGGTTATATATCAATGCGTCGCGCGCTCTCGGTGAACAGGACAGAGTACTAGTGAGCTTGTCAATTCTATCTGAACAACAGAGCATGATAAACAGTCGTTCCTTCGCAATACGAAAGCGAAAACCACACCACGCAGTTCTTTCCAGTCATCTTCGCCTTACACATTTGTGCCTGGAACTTACACAATAGGGTCTGTAGCACTGTCATGTAATGTTCCTTCATGAGATGCCTCCATACCTGTCTTATCATACAAGTGTAACACAAGACACGGATCTATTCACCTAGTATTTCAGCTCACGCTCCTCACCTTCCTTGCGCCACGATTCTCCCTTGCGCAGTACCAATATAACCATCAACTCCGTCACAATCAAGATGCCGGCCCACACAGTATACAACCCCCCATCTCCTAAAGCATTCTACAGGGAGAGTGGGCTAATGTCAGGACTTGTGAAACACAGCAGATATCGAGGGAACTCACTTGAAGCGGTACAGCAATCACCACCGAAACAAAAGCCAGGGATCCTCGGAATGAGTTGTTTGTAGCCACTGCTGTACACGAGCGACCAGGGTTGGCATCAACGAGGTATGCCAATGTGCAAGTATACATCCATCTGGGAGTAGATGTCAGAGAAACAACGACGAACAACCGGTGTACCGACATGGAGGAGAATCCAATCAGAACAAGCATGACGCAAATGACAGCGACATTGACATGTTTTTCGCACACCCAGGCATAACCGATGACCGCCGGAGGTAGCCACAGCATCCCCAGTGTCGAGCTCTGCAAGCGCATCTTCGGAAGACGTCAATCAAGAGCTCCGGTGCGGGAGTATGAAAAAGGTTCACTTCTGCGTTCCACTTTCCTCCATTCGCTTTCATCATCTTCGCAAGCACCCGGTCAGACCAACGCCCACCAATCACACTCCCAGCGATGCTTCCTTCATAGTAAATTAGTCCTCTGCCACAATCCAAGCGGCACAGATCTTACCGACGCCCAGGCAAAGCAAGACCAAGCCAACACTCAACGCATTATAATCATATGCATTGGCCAGAGTGCGGGCACACGTGTATGAAAGGCAATAGGTAAAACCGAAGACGAGTCCTTGTCCCAAAATGAAGTTACTAACAACGTGTACAAGAGGCCAACTGTCCACTCACCATTAGCGGTAAGAATTAGAACATTGTTCTTTCGTGACAGAATTCGAAAGTATGACGGGAAGGGGTTGATGTCTTTAATTGATAGCCTGACATCGTCCAGCCCAAGTGTAGAAGTCACCACTGATTTATCAACTGGAACATTCAGCAATTGGAGCTGCTTCTCAGTGTCTTTGACCGATGTTTGGTCCTTCCTGGAACTCTGAACAGGTTCTTTGGAGGTATGAAGTCGTTGTAGAGCGCAGCGATACGTGAGACTTCGTTCACGTCGGTATGTATCCTTGAAAAGAATGAGGAAGGACAAGAAGATTACTCCTCCACAGATTAGTAGAAAGTAGAAACTTGCACGCCAGTTGAAGGCTTGTGACAACGATCCGCCAAGTATAGGGCCCAGTGCGGGTCCTAAGAGAGGTGCAGCATAGAAGATGCCCATCATGGTGCCGCGCTCGTGAGGCTCATAGATATCGGCCAAGGTCGCAGCCGAAATAGAAATGACAGCGCATGACCTTTAGGGGGGGAATCAATCAGAGATCAAGGTTTTGAGATGGATACTTACCCCGCAGCTTGAAGTGCTCGCATACCAATCATCACCTCGATGGTCTTTGAGAGCGCTAAAGCAGTATTTCCTACCACGAATATAGCTGAAGCCACCAAATAGACAGGCTATGATAAACGAGTTCCGCGCTCATTAAGCAGATCAAAAAGGGTGGGTACACCTAGACCCACCTTACGACCTTTAATCTCACTTGCGGTGCTCCATAACAGCGGAAGGTTCCCTTGTATGAGTTGGAACGCCGCTAATGTCCAGCTAATCTGGCTAGTTGTTGCATGTAAATCCTCCTGTATCAGAGAGTTTGAGGCTGCGGGATGGTGTCAAAAATGCTCATAAGGAAAGCAAATGCGACAAACGATTTTGAATGTTAGAAGCTAACCCAGACACCATTGTAGCCAGTGACACCATGCACAAAGTTATCATCTATAAGTGGCACAACGTCAGGTGGGTTACACCGCACGAATGTCATACACGCACTTTTCTGGTACGACTCCACTGACGGGGGTCGTCATCAACCGGAACATGTTCTATGTCGATTGTATCATTTGTGTTTGTGGACGCCTCGATGTCTGACTTTTGGCATGGCGTTCTATGTTCAGGCCCAGAAGGCGCTTTCGCAACGGTTAAAGTAGACATGAGTCGCAAATTGAAAAGATGAGGCAGCTGAATCTTGAGTACCTGACCCAAAATCGATTGCTTCTTATACAGTCAAAGGGGGCACTTACAAGGTGATCTTACACTCTCCGAAAAATATTGCGATAACGGTATGTACCGAGTACGTGTACGCACCATTGCGTGAAGATAATCCTAGCCTGGCTAGTCAAGATCGGTCAGACAGGATTACTCACGAATCTACTCCGGATTCCGAAGGACGTACACATTTACTCCTTCTGCGGTGCTCGAGCATCGCTCCCTAGATTTTGCCTTTGTGGCATCGGTCCGAGCTTTCAAGTTTCAAGTCGAGTCCAGTATTACAACAACAATCCCTGTTCGAATACCTCAGTATGGTGCCCACCTACAAAGAACAGAATCTACAGACCGCACATAGGAGCGACATAGCGTATAAACAACACCCCTAACGGATAATAAAACAAGGATTATCAAGAGATAAAAATAATAATCAACACCTGTCAGGATATGAGGGCGAAGCGGCCTCCCGGATATAAGGTTATTCGGATGTATTGACATCATCTAAACGTATGATTTTGTTATCGCTCTCAAGCTCACGTATATCTCGCGATTGCGAATGGGGGACCAAAATTTCCATACTCTAAGTATGACTCCGAGGTAGCTGCTACCAGTCACGTAAACATACATCATTTCGGCAGAAAGAGAATGGGGGTAAATAATCTGCCAACGCAGTAAAAGAAGATTATGGGATACTGGAGCATCAAGACAAAGGAAAGTAAAAAAATATCGAGCACGTACCTTGTGTCTTTCTGTATCTTTCTTCCTCGTATAAAACTGCGAGCGGGATTTTGTCATATTAGGAAGTTCAACACTGGTGAGTAATCAGATGCATCATCCTTATACCCGCGTCTTCTCGATCTCCGATTGGTGCAAATACTTTAGACCCCAGTTGGTCCCTTTGCGCTTTCAATTCTTCTGAGTCTGACTAGCCAGACCCACGACTACAATCGTATCATCTGAAATAGAAGCGAGAACGAATGGAACGGGGATAGTGGCTCCATCGTTCTATAGCCACGCTGAGGCGGACGATGCTCGATATGTGGAGACAAAACCCGAAGAGACGCTGGATTAGGCAATAGTCTGAGAACGAACTTGGATACTGGGGTGGAGATATGTAAGAGACGTATGTGAGTGCAATGCCAAGGACTGGCTTGCCTAAGGTTGGTTAGGTCCAATGAATGGAAGGTCTAATACCCGTGTCACGAGGTCTTGAAATGTCTTGCTCGCCAAGTCCGAAGTCTTGATATTACCATCGATGTCGAAACCCGATTCAATAAGTGTTCGGATCATAAAGATATACAGGTAAGTGTAAACTTACTTGAGGCATTTTGCGGGAAGATGTAGTATCGATCCTACTGAACAATAAACTGAATTGCGAAGGCAAGTATGGACTTCCTTGGTTAGGCTTCATGGGCCGAATTTTAACGAAAGAAACGAGAAACGAATACGATACGCGCTGAATCCCGAGGAACTTTCACCGCAACCACCACGGTTTGGATTTTTCAGATATGTACAACTTCCACTGAAAATGAAGTTCAAGCTCAGCAGCCTGATATCTCCTGCACATGCTCAGAGCCTCGAAGTTGACCATGTCAGGCCATACTGGGGAACAATGAATGAAGCCGACCGGGAATGGAGACTCAGGACTTGTAACTATCTACTCAATGGCTGAGCACTCAAATGCATGTTAATAACGCTTGCCCAGATTTGAAAGCAAAATAGTTCTCACATTTCTTCCTTAATGCGCCTATGGGAGACCGGTACGTGTTGCTGGATGTGATGCTGGCGGGACGGTCTTACTGCAGTCTGCGGGTTTGTGGTAATTTAGAACATTGTGAGTGATAAGGTTCTGTGCACATTTGTTTGGCAAAGCCTTTTGAGCCCAAACGATCACAATTATACGATTTTCATTTGGCCGACTACAAACTGCTGCAATGAACATTTTAACATCGTAATTTCGTTCATCGTTCACGTGGACCTCGTTTTAGTGCCATCCCAACTAGTCAAGCAGACATTATACGCGTTTCACTCGTCAACATAGCTTCTGGTGCCTGTTCATTTTTTGCTCCGCATTTCTATTAAAATGACTTGTGTTTCAAGTCTCGCTGTGCACTTCCGAAGGCTCTTGAGTCCTCCCAAGCCACCAGAAGGAAAACGCAATTTTTCCTTGCAAAGACAGTCCTCACAGAAGTCTGGATGAGTTGCATGACGAGAGAACGAGAAATTGGGAACACAGGGAATATGATACTAGTCAAGTGAGTCTGCTCTACCTCTGGTTTGTTGTTACACACATATAATAATGACATGCTTGCACCCTCATCCAATGAACCACTCATGATGTGGTTGTTAGAACACAAGAAAATGAAACACTGTATAGGAGTTCTCATGGACCTTGGATGTGCTTTGGAGCCGGTTTTTGGATAGTGCTGGGGGTGAAGCTTTTGAGGCTGTGCATGCGATGCAGCCATTATAAGTGCTCTTGATGGTCAGGCCTCTGAATCTGGGGTATGAAGTGGCTCTGTCATAGGCTGAGGGCCAACAAGCACACAGGCATCATACTGTTCATGGTCCTTAATGTTCTCTCCTGTGATGCTCTACTGTACAGGGCTGCGACAAGCATCTGTTGAATTAGAAGCATTCAACATCTACAAATTTGCTTGCATCACAAGTATGGCATTCACTGGTTGTCAAAATATTGCCCCCACAAGATTTTGTAGTCCTCATGCAATGTTTTGAATCACATCTTGCCATGCACCAGGACAATTGAGGGTTATTTCCTCACCTGACTTGGAGGTAGGATGAGGATGGCCTCGGAACTCTCGTGGGCATGGCACCAGATGAACAAAGATGAAAGGGGATTGTGAAGGAATCATATTGGATGATGACAACATCATCTCCAAGCAAAAGGCATATAAATGTGCTTGGATCAATGGAACCTGCCAGGCAGATGAAATATCCATTTTCTTCATTCAGTGCTGTCTTTAATATGAGGTTAGCAAGCTCCTGAAAAACCCAATCATGGGTTAAAGGTAAATGTTCGGTGGTCAGCTTCTGATTGCAGAGTCTTCACTTCCTACTCAAGGGACAATACTGGCTCACTCTAACCTGTTGAGCATTCTAGTAGCTGCACTGCAGATGGTAACCAGTCCTGAGATACCAATCACAATGACTGTATTCAAAGTATGTATCATATTTCATGATGCTCTATTGCTAATCTGTCACTATGGCCTTCCTCTTCTCACCAACAATTACTATCTAGATGGTCTGCACCTCAAATAGTGGAGGATTTTGTATTGATGCGTTGGCCAAGCCAACAAAATCAAGGTTGGGCATGGCTATCGATCAACCATTGCTGCACCTGAGTGTCTAGATCCTTCTGGTCTTGAGCGATATAATAGTGGTGAGTCAGGGTGGGCCTCAGTGTATAGGGATTTGTGGTTGGGATGTATGTTCTGTCACTTCTGGTCACCCTAAAAGTTAGGTGGAATGGCTCTGATGCAAATTACCCTCCACTATGACACCCCCCACTTAAAGTGAGAAGATGAGCAAAAACGCACACGACAGATAATAATGTTTGCCTACAAGATCTCAACAGCTTCCACGCCTTGAACATCAAGCCCACTGGACATGCAATGTTTGGTCAGGGTGTCTTGGATAAACTGCCGTATGTCCAGTGACCCCGCATAGGTGTTGTTAAGATATCTGATGGTGGAAATCAAGTGTTTTTGAAACCAGCTCATGTCGAAGAAGTATCAGTTCACTGATGTTGCATTTCTGGACTGCTGCTCCTGCATTTATAGGAAATTCAGTGCTTCAATGGATTCCTACAAGTCTTGTGAGGTTCCTATGGGCTTCTCACCCTCTTCACTATAACAAGGCTGGGCAGGGCTTGTAACAAGAATTTCTCCCATCCAGAGTCCATGACTCATGTTCCTATGATGCATGGCCACAGAAGGTAGATCCCATCTGCATTATTGCCAGATTGCAATTGTCAATCTGATTTTCTTCAGTGTACTTGGGATATTCTGATCACCTTCTGAGTCAGTACTATCAGGTTGATCTTTTCTCCCCAATTGTCGTAATTTGATGGGTGAAAGTGTTCTAGGTCTCTGTAAGGTGCCACAGCAGATTGACTGTATCCAAATAATATTGGATGTGTGTCTGTGCACATACAACATGTCATGTGTGATAGGCATGCCTATGAGTGCTCAGTGCTTACATGTATGACCACTATTGATCTGCACAAATTCTCATGGTTCATCGATTGAATTTAGTCACCTTTGGAAAATTGCAGGTCATGTGGCGCATTCTGGAGCAGATACAGACAAGAACTTGAATATGAGATTGTGAGGCTCCATATGATATATTCTGTGAAGACCATGCTCACCTCAGGCATTACTTCTTGGTGGTATTAAAGGTCAGTAAGAGGGTATTATTATGTTAGATGAAACCCTATCTCGTAGACCTAGCCTCAGCAATGTTCTATTTTTAGTACCACCAAATATACCTTGCTTCCTCCTGCAGCACCTCCTGGGATCCTCGACAAACCATCCTGGCCCTCCCAGGATACATGGCACTCCTCTGTGATGATCGCAAACCTTGTCAATATGTCCTTAAGGCTGCCATTCGTGCCTGACAGTACTCTGCTCATGCATTAAGTCCTTTTCAATTTTTCCTTGTCCTCCACTACTAGCCATGCCCCCTGCCCGCAATGTGTGTGGTGCTCTGCCAACATCTTCAGGGCTTGGCCTTCATTTTATAAGCCCCAAGAAATCTCAAGACCTGAAGAAAACTCAGGCTTTTGTTCACATTCCTGGCATTGATGCCAAGCATAAGCATCTCCTTGACCAAATGGCCACCCTGATGAATCCACCCCCAGTTCTGCATACCCAAAATCTTAGTTCTGTCTCCACCCCTCCTCAATCCAAAGCCGTGATGAGTATTGATGATTCTAATTACAATGACCTGACAGATTACATCTATGATGCTAACTCAGATGACTATGTAGTCATTGCAGACCAGCCCGACCCAGGCACTTCTGACCCTACAGATGTGGAGCATGAGAACCCTGGGTGTCACATCCTGCCAAACAAGATGTCCAACAATCTCCATAGCACTTGGAAGGCACTTGTACCTACCCTGGTGGAAGCATTCTTGAAGTATTCAGCCAGAACACATGGGCATCCTCTTCCAGAAGCATGCCCAGTGATATCTGCCTGTGCAAAGCATAGTTGTGCACTGCAACAAATTTCGATAATTTGCCTTTTATTTGATCGTAAGTTGTTCATTTGTTCAAGCAGCTCCAACTGATGATTGCAGGTTTCCTTCTTGTAGATGTATTAGTCTGTGCATGCTCAACACTCGCACAAGTTCTCGTCCACCATGGCCTGTTTCCTACCGCGCCTTCTCAACCACGCATGGCCATTTCCATCGAACTACTTGCGTTTTATTGAGCCTTATTTGAGCATTCCTGCGATGCCATTCATGCGCTTGCATCTGCTCTCAAGACTCACTATGCTCACAGAGGGTTTCAAATGACACATGGAGATGTAAGTCTTTTTTTTCCATCAGTCTCTCAGATGGTTGCTCATTACAAAAGGGCCAAATCATCCAAGAACCTTTTCGATGTAGCCTTGGGCAAGCTGTTCAATGGTTTGACATCTTGCAGGTCGAAGTTGAGCATCAAACTGAAGCAGCAGTACAAATCGCTCAAGAACGAGTGTACGAGGCTTGGAGACCTCAACTTCCAGATGACAGTGGTATATCCATGCCCACATCATCCAATACAACACTTGTCAAAGGCAGGTGCTCCTCCATTCTCATGCAGCATTGTCCTGCATGCTTCGCAGGTGTGCTTTTTGGAAGACCACTCAGTGAGGGTGGCAACATTCATATTGCAATGGACAGGAACTTTCATCATAGACACCAACAGTTTGTGGGGGACTGCCCACGCTTCTACAATCCTGCCTATTTCCTTCCCAAGGCTCAAGTGGATGAAGTTGGGCACCGCATACAATCACTCCATAAACGTGCCCCAAAGAAGCACACTTCATCAGTGCCAGATGAAGTGATAGATCAATGTGAACATTCATATGAAGCTGTGGATGAGAAGAAACAAAAGGCTGTGATGGATTCGTTTGATGATACTGGAGTTATGGCACTCATCTGCTGGCATGACATTCCATTGTTCTTTGCCAATATTGACTCGCCCAGCGAGCAACAAAAATATGCTGTAGCGCTACTTGAGCATTTATTCTCCTTGGTCCCACAGGAAGCCAATGTCATTGCCCTCTATGATGTCGGTTGTGTGCTCTCACAGTCATTGTCACACGTAAGCTTCCTTAAGATACAACTTCTCCTGCTTATGTGATACTAGTATGATATCCTTCCTTCTTTGGTGACATTGTGTCTTCAATTTGCAACCACTGCTATGCACGCATACGGCCATGAGTGGGCCTGTCAGCTTGAGTACAACCCTTGGATGTGCATTGGGCTTGGCCTATCAGACAGCAAGGGTACTGAGAGGTTATGGTCAAGATTTGTTAAGCTGATTGGAATACAATGTTCATCCTCAGTAAGTGCCTACTCTGCTTTGACAAAGATTCTTCAAACACACACACACAGAGAAGCAAAGGCACCTTTGGTTGATAGATAGGCAAGTGGCTGCCATTGGTAAGGAGATGCAAGTAGATCTTAGGAGATTGGATCAAACATTGACTCAAATGTGGAGTTAACAACCAAGGATCTGCAGCAAAGGAAGCTCTAAGGAAATGTGGGATCACTGCTAAGGATCTGCAGGTGCAGTGGGCAGATCAGAAGAAGTCCAAACTCTCCATTCGTGCCCATATGTCAGTTTAGCTTTCCTCATTCAAAGATGAAACTTACATCACACATTGTGAACTACAGATGCTCCTGCCTGGCTCAAAAAGGAACTTGACATGGTGCTTGCTCTACAGGCAGATCTAGATGCTTCAGATAGGGCTTTGCAAGCCACACATTCTGTGGTTGAAAAGGGCTTGGTCAGTGAAGAGACATTGGATGCTATAACAAGCCTTGAGCGCAGCCATGAACATCTAATGACCAAGGTTGAAGTACTGTATTTGTCACTCAATGTTCATGACAGGTTTCCAGAGCTCCAAGATGTGGACTTAGATTTCATTTGGACACTCTTGATGGCCTGGAACCTCAAAATCAATATTCAGAAGAGAGCTATAGGAAGCTTTTTTGAGTGGGACAAACTTGATCGCACTGTCAGTGGTGCAAATCAGGCCCTTGGTGAAGCATTTTCTTCCAATTTCAGATCATCAAAACTGACTTGTTATCTCACAAGGCACAAAGCTTCATCAACAAACTCATAAGGCAATCGCAAAGGCACCAGCCAGCATTAATGACTGCAATTCACAAATTCAACTCATATTGTGAGCGTCTGGAGAGCCTCTATGATCCATCCTGGAGCATCCCACTTCCTACTCCTCTTCCTACCAAGCTTGTGGACCTTCGAAATGACCAAACATTGATGGAGGATGTTTGGATCACCCTGTCAGTAGGTGACATTCCTCGTTGGATGGAAGATCTGGATGTCAGAGATGGGATACGAGCGTTGTTGAAATGGGAATGGTGTCAGGAAGAACAGCACTGCCTTGGGCTTGAGGCTGACAATCTTTGCTGATGGTTTGGAGATGAACTTGCAGGCTCTTGAGCTTGCTCTGCACTTGCCTACAAGTAAGTCATTTTGCATGTCAATGATCAGTGCTAATTTAACAAGACCAAACATTCATGTTCACAATTCAGCAATGGCGTGATCATGTCCTTCTACTACAGACTAGATGGGTTACTCCATTGGCATCTTCCACTCATTTCAATGGCAGTGGCAACATAGCACTTAAGCTTGCCACTTCTCTTGCTGGGAGCCACAGATCACCAACCACTGCTGCATACTCGCTCATACTGACCTCCCTCACACTTCTAGATCCCTCCCCTGAAGAAGACATTGTTGAGGAATCTGTTCCACACACATTTGAAGAAGGCCCTGAACAAGCAGCACTCTCAGATGTTTTACAAGACAGTACCATTAGTGATGAGGATGACAAGGACGATGATGAAGATAAGTGCATGGGAGAACCTGAATATGTCATAACATGGCAGCTCCCAGAGGTACATTTCAATATCTTGTATAGAGAGTCATACTTATCCTACCTCATAGAACCTTCAAAATGATCACTTCAGAATTCCTAGCCCGAGGAGATCCCCATCAAACATACGAAGGACATCTCCCAAACCCGCGTGCAACCAGCACAAGATGGCTTCCCTCATCAAGTATTTGAGTCTAGGGATGTCTCCATGCTCACACAGCCTACAGCCCGACTCAATGACACATGTATCAATGGTGTCGCTGTATTGCTCTACTCCAAGATATCAACTACCTCTGATATATGTCCTTGTGCCATTCTCTCCACACACAATCTCCCTCAGATTTGATATAATGCGTCCGATGATATACTATGGTGGAATATGTCATGGACGTCATATTGGGAGAAAGATTTGTGGCTTCTACCTATCCATTGGCCATCTCCTGTTAGACATTGGGTATTTTGTGCAGTCTACATGTCAACAAAGGAACTGCACCTCTTTGCCAGTCTCACAGATAGACAACCATGGAAGAATGAAGTCAAGGTCAGTATTACTTTCAATCACACTATCTTGATTTCACAATGATGATTATAGGATATCATGAAACTTATCACCCAGTTATCATCTATTGCCCATGATCATCATGGCTCAGATCTTATTGACATCAAAGGCTGGGTAGCTCACCTGCTAGTAGTCCAGCCATTGCAGACAAATGGCTATGACTGTGGGCTGTGAGTGCTCACAGTGATTGCAGTGGTGTTATGAGGAGTGCTGTAGGGATTTCATATTCTGTGGGCTTGTATAGGCAGATATTGCTTAGTGTTATGTTCGCACTTTTGGTGCTTATGTAATCATCATAGTTTTCACCACCTACCAGCACCAGTCTGAGACTGAGAGTTATTAGCATGATTTCCTACTCTCTCTGAGCACTGAGCTTAGTCCAGAAACCCTTTAGGGTTGAATAGCAGCTAGGCATAACACATTTAGCCCAACATTAGAAGTCTACTTTCCAGTCCTCTTCTTGTTGTGTTTCCTACAGTGCATCATACAGGCATGTGCGAGGACGACATGATAGCTTTCAGACATTACATATGCACACTTGTACTTAGAATACCAGTTTCATGATATAGAATCATGCTTGTCAACCATCCTTTCAGAGCAAAAATGTCAAGGATGATATGTGATAAGTACGACAACCTGTTTGAAGCTGCAACTGATGGCTAACAGAAGAACACACTTGAACTTGTGACAGGCCATCTCAGATACCTAGCTAGATATATATTGGTTGAATTAGCTAGTAGGGAGGCCAATACAATGTTCAATTGATTCACTCTTAGTGGGGAAACATGTACATAGCTGAATAGCAGAAAGGTTGTGTCAAAGACTCAAAGTTAGTACATCTGAGTGAGTTAGAACACTTACAACTCAATGAACTACTTAGCACTATATCATAGTTGGATGCAGTAAGCTCATTCCGCATGATAAAACCTCATAAATTTTTATATGGTCAGAACCAGACTGATGAGGCCTTCCCTCCTGGCCTATTTGTAGGCTTTCATTGGGATGCATGAGCCCCCACAGACATGTTTTTTGTTTTGTATGAGATTTATAATCTATATCATTGGCTGACGGACCTCTCTGGAGGGTGCTTCCTCCCTCCTTCTGTGATCCTCACAGGAGGATCAGTGTCGCAAAATCTGATCGTAACAAGGCACCCAGACCCAGTACATCTCTTCTCCTTCCATGGCACCACAAAAGTTGTTTAATTTTGCCATTTGAGTCAGTCTCCATGGCCTTGTGTGATTTCTTGGCAGATTTGATTGTAATTAAAATTGTATATGCTACAAGGACATGCATAGTATGGTACAACGACAAACTAATGTTCTACTTAATACTCTGGTGACTGACCAGCCATCTCAAGTTCATCCATGGCATCTCCAGTGGCTTCCATCACTGTTGAATTCTGGGTAAGGCAGGCTATACCCAGAATGAGCTCTCTGGCATCAACTCCTCTAACAATTGGGGCTGGGGGAGGCATCTGTGTCATCTTGAGTCGATGAGAAGGGCCAGGAGAAGCCTCCTTGAAACAATGAGAAGGGCCAGCAGAGACAACTAGAAGGGCCAGGACAAGGACGCGAAGGGCCAGGGCATGTCTCCTTGAGACGACTAGCTGGGCCAGGATGAGGACACAATGGGGCAGGGTGAGACTCCTTGAGATGACTAGTTGGGCCAGGACAATGACGTGAAGGGGTGGGAGAAGGGGTGGGAGAAGAGGCAGGGGATGATTCATCCAGTGAGAGTCAGCTAGGGCCCTTCCGATCAATGTGACCATTGACAAACAAGCAATGTCCAAATGCATGGGGTGAATGAGGTCCAGGAGCCTCACCATAGATGACAGGGTCGTGAGACACCAAGAGCCTATGGGGATAATCTTTGGCATGGAAGCATTTGAGGGTCAATGAGCCATCTTTCAGAGTGTCTGAAAGCACACCATGCTCACAAAGGGTTAGGTCACTGATACCTTTGCTCTTTTGGTTCGTGTCACAAAGTTCACCAGGCATGAGGGCAGTCTTCTGGGTAGTTGTAGAGTACCAAGCCATTTTTTCCTAGGAAGGTGGGCAGGGTCTTCCAAGGGAAGTTCAACCCCTGCCCACTGAGGTTTCCTGTAAAATCTACAATCAGACATTCTACTGAACATTTGACAGCAAGACTTACCACAAAGTGTGGTTAAACTGCCCATGATGCATGGTAACCCATCCAGCAGCCTCCAACTCTCTGAATCATAGCTTTTCTGCCTCTCTACCCATTCCTCTAACACTTCCTCCACAGATAAGTCATGCTTGGATGTAATGTGGTTGAGTTGAATTTCGAGTCTTGCAAGGTCAGCATCCATCGACAAGGACACCTTGGACAACACCTTGGATTGGTGAGACTTGGTGAGTTGGTAAAGATAAGTAAGAATCCCGTTGATAACAGAGGATTAGATCAATAACAGAGAGTGAGATCAATAGATGCCGGCATCAGTGTTGGGTGAATTGGTTCCCACATGAGAACATCCATCGGTGTTCTGGCCAAAGTCTGGGTGCCCCTCAGCAGGCTCAGCAATTTCAAGCAGAGTCAGGCACTCATTGTGACTGATTCCTTCAATATTCCCGCCTGTCACTCGCCCACCCTCCACACCCTCCATAGGAATGCTGCAACATCCTACTTGTCTCTTCTGTCCCACTCACTTTGCATGCAGCTGTTGAAGACAATGTTGACACCACACAGCTGCTCTAGAATTTGGTGAGCATCTGAGCACATTTGAACTCACAGCTCTCCGTGTGCACATACTCTGCCTGTTGGAATCATGGTACATCCTTGCATCTTTTTGCGTCTGACTGGTGATCCACACTTTGAACCATGCAGCTACTTAATCTTGGACAGCTGGTTAGGCTCTGGCGATGCGCTTGCCTAATGGCCAGCCTCTACAATACCATATGTGAGTTGTCATCATGGCATTCTTAACTTCTGCTTTCAAACAGTGGATCTCTTCATCAAACTATATTAATATGGAGGGCTGCCTCCGCTCATCTTCTCAACCACACCACATTTCAAGATCATCTCAGTATGTTTTTTTCTTCTCCTCGCACTCTAGGCTTACTATCCAACCTCTTGTCACAAAAGATGGACATCAATCAGGCCGAGTTCCTGTGTTCAAAAATTCCGATGTTCCGAAGACATCAACCTTGGGACAGCCACACCAACCTTCTTATTGATGAAATATTTGATGAGTTTGATGAAAGGCGGCCATTGTGTGACAAAGTACTGCCCAACTTTGATGTCGAAAAGGACGCTCCTATCACCAACTGGCAACTATGGCAAGTTCATCAGGCATATGACAAATTCCATGTTGTGAGTACCTAGAATTTCACTTAGTTATCAATGTGCTGACTGTCCAGTTTGTAGGAGATCAAGTGTTTTTTATTGTGGGAAACACACTAGTTACTGAGGTGTGAGTTGCAGGAGAGTAGGTGTAAGGCCATGGGATTACTGGACTTATTGGGGAGTAGGATGCGCATCAGACTGGGCTTACTGGGGGGCCAGACGGTGATCTGTAGAACAGTACATACAAAAAGACTTTGCTTATGCTCAATTCTTTTCACTGCAATTGCGATGCTTGAACTGTATATACTAAATGCGTCCTACATGTCACAGTGAGTTGTTCTTTAAGTTGCATATCATGGCTATCAACCCTTTCAGAACTCAATCATGAACATCTTCAGATCCTCTGGCAATGTTTCTGCCTAATGGCGATCTCCTGGACCATATTAATAAGTGAACTGATTATAGGCATTCTTGACTTCTGTGTTCAAACAGCAGATCCCTTCATTAAGCCTTATGAAGATGGAGGGAGGTCACCATCAATCTATCTCCTGCCTCCGCTCATCTTCTAAGATCATCTCAGTATGTTGATTCAAGTTTTTTTTTCTCCTCACGCTCTTGGCTTACTATCCAACCTTTTGCCAGGAAAAAAAATGTCTGCAACCTCATTCAAATCTTGCATTTGAATCGTCTTCATAAGGTAAAGTCTCAATGATTAGAATTATACAATCACTAACACATCCCTAGCTATGACTCAAAAAACTTCAGCAGATTTACAAAAATCTCCTCCTCCTGAATACGTTCCTGCTGAGCCTCACATGGCTGACAGAGAACAAGGATTTCCTGAGGAGCAAGTTGGCGGGGGAAGGTGTCAGCTGACTCCCGTCATTGAAACTCTAACAAAACTCCAGACCCACATCAAGGCTACCAACTGCGATGGAGGCTTGGTCAAGGAGGCATCAGTGTGTCGGGCAAGGCTTGTTGAGCCAACCTCAGAGGACTTGGAGTCCTTGCTCGCTCTCCCCTGACAATGTTCAGTGCCACCTCAGCCTCTTGTCAAGCCAACCTCAGAGTTCTTACTCACTGGCCCCTGCCAATGCTTAGTCCCATTTCAACCTGTTCCCCGACAACATTCGGTCCCATTTCAACCTGCTGTTCCCCAACAGCCTACACCCCCTGGTCAGGCTTAGCCTGTTGATGATTTATTCTATGACACTCCTCAGATCATCCCTTCCCACTCACACGAGCCTCCACATGAGCCTCCACAGCTGAACTTATTCGCTACACCTGCCTTTGTGCAGGAGGAGTACAACTTCTGTGGTATTGACTTCAGTGTTTTGGATGGGAATGTTGATGGGGATCCCATAGCTGGACCGTCAACAATGCTGCCTGCAGTCCCTCACACACAGATCATCCCTCCAATGCCCACTGTTGGGGACTGGGATATGCCTCATCCTGAATTCATTCCCACAGACTTAGATTTTGGGTCCAACATGGCCATAGACATGGATGATCAAGGTGATATCCCTACAGTGAAAGGTCAAAGGCAGGGGGCGGCAAATGCCTTACTCCAAGAGGGCTTCATGAGGCTCAAAACTGTTATTCACGAGGTCAGCTGCAACACCTCTATTCCCACACATCAAGTCATTGCTTTATGGCACAAGAGCAATGGGTGTTCTTTCAACAATGTCAACCACTGGAATGCTTACAGCAGCTACTTCAAGGCAAATCCCCAGCAGGAGCTGAAAAGACTTGGCAACAAGGCTCCCAAGGCTCCTGGGACACCAAGTGAATGTCTATCAATTTTGTTTGATGCCTTCTTTCTAATTTAATGAATTTTAAGGTGCAATCATGCATCACAATTGTTACGAGCTTTTCAAAAACGAATATCCAGACTCCTGGCAAACGATCCTTGAGTATCATGAGGAGGCCACAGTCCTCATGGGTGCGCCTCAGACAGTTGCCATGCAGGCCCAGGAGTTTCATAAGTTTGGCAAGAAGGTCTCAGCTATGGTACACCCACTTCTTTGATTTCAAAATGTTGTGTTTCTGACATTGCACAGATGGATATCACTGCTGCTCATTTTGGGTTTGAGGGTGCACTGGTAACATGTGGAAAGGTTGTCAATCAGGATGGTTCTCTGAGTCTGGCCCATACAATGCCTGGAGCTGCAGGGGTAGGTGTATTTTTTGCACTATGAGGCCCAGGGGATGATCTGACGAGCCTCTTGTAGTTTTGGCTGATGCACTGTAAAGCCAATGATGATACCATCATTGGCCATCTCAAAGCCCAAGTATAGTAAGCATGGATGTATTTCATTCAGAATCTATACTAAGCATTGATACAAGTAATCTAACATCTCTGGGTGTCGTTGATGAGGCCTTCAAGGATGAAGCTGAGATCGTCCAATGCAACCAGTCCGAAGCACCAATAATCAAAGAGACGACAAAAGAGTGCCTGGATATTTCAAAGAACGGAATCCTGTGGATCAAGCAAGAGTTAGGTCAACAAATTGGTATGTCTGAGTACATTTGGTTGTTTATTTGTCCGCTGATGGTAAACAATAGAGAAACTTGGCAGCAAACTATCATCCAAGAGGAACTTTCCATGGAAGACTCTTCCTGCAGAGCTCATCCGTCTTGGGATGATCATCAGAGGATATCCAGAGGATGTGTTGCTCCCTGGCAATTTTCATACAACCTCAAACAAAGGAATCACAAATTTGACTCTGAAGGAGACTGGGATTTTGATCATGGCCTTGAAGGCAGGCTTGATGCAGGTCAAAAAGGTTTCCAAGGCTATGCAAGGTATGTTTTAATCTAAGTTATTATGTACATGCTTATAGTGGATCCTTCTTTATAGCTAAACTCCTCACCTCCAAGATGCCAGTACTAGAAGGAGCACCTCCCACAGAAGATTGCACTCATAGAGGAGGGCGACATCTTTTTGCAAATGGCCAATCAGACCGCCTGGGACTTCCCCATGCAAAGCCAAGTGCGGCTGCTACCAGAATGAAAAAGGTGCCAATGAAATCACACAAATCTCCCATAATTCTCTCTGATGACAACAACTCTGATAATGACAGTTCTGTTCAACCCATTCTTAAACCTCCCCCATCATGCGAATTCAAGGTGGTGAGGCTCCCAAAGAGCCAGAAGAAGGTCAAGAAGGACAAGAAGAACATCATCAAGAAGATCGTCAAGAAGGAAGTCATTTCGCTTGTGTCTAGTGAGGTCAGCAATGCTCACTCTGGCTCTGAGAAGCCTGAAGATGACAACAAAGCCAAGAGTGACTTGGACTATGAAGACGACTCTCCCACGTCTAAGAAATGAAAGGCAAAGTCAGAGACCACTTTGCAAGCATCAAAGAAAAGGGTTTCACCTGCTGAGCCTCCTTTGCTGAAGGCAGGAAATCTGAAGAGCATGAAGGGGAAAGGCAAAGCATGTGCTGAGAAGAGTAAACAACCTTCCACTGTCGAGTCCTCAGATGATGAGGAGGCTCCCAATGTAATCGCACGAGGTGAGTTTTTGTGTTTGTTGTGAGCTGCAATGGTACTTACCCATGCTACACAGCGATAGAACAACCTTCTAAATGCCTGCACGATGGCCCCAAAGTTCAAGGTAATTGTTGTGCATTAATCAGTGTCATACCTACGAATTGATGATGTCATTAGAGGTCCCAAAGGCCAGTGTGGTACCAAATGATGCTGAGGGCACTACCAGAGGCTCTGAAGAGGCACCCATAAGCACTGAGCCTGTTGCTGTGGCAGGTCATGTTGATAGTGAACTGAATGATGCTGATGGCACTGCCAGAGGCTCTGCAGAGGCTCTCACGAGCACTGAGCCTGCTGCTACTGCTGGTCATGCCAATAGTGTGCCCACACGCCCATTGCCACCCTTGTCCCCCTCACAAATTCATCAGCAAGTACCTTCCCTCCCAGAAAATTACATTCAGACCAAGCCAGCTACTCATGTGGTGGCAAGCAACACTTTGCACACAGACCCCGTCTGTGCAGATCCTACAACTTGCACAGCAAGCCAGGACAACACCATGCATACAGACCCCATTCATTCAGACCATCTTCCATCTCTGCAGCCTGACCTCACACCAATGTTGGCATCTAATCATGGGCACAGTAAACCTGCTATGGAAATCTCACATGATCAAGAGGTCAGACCAATGTATGACCCACATCCAAGAGGTCCATTACTGCCACGTTATGGTCCAGGCTTCACTTAGTACCCCCAGTCTGACTATTACCATGATCCTCATGCTATGCACCACGCTCCACAACTTCCTCATGGCCCTCAGCCTTGTCCTCATCAGCATCAGCCCACTCATGGCCTGCCTCATCAACCCTCTCATGGCCCTCAACCTCAGTATCACAATGGCAGGTATCATGATGCTCCATACCATGACTCTCAAGATGGATATGATGGATGTCAACAGTTATTGGCACCCTCCAAGCAGTGCATATTTCGGTCCAGGAGGGAGATATCAGCATGGATATGAGCGTGAGTATCCCAACAAGTATCCTGAAGACCTGGAGGATGGAGGACGAGCTCCTTAGACTCACAGAACTTGATTTATCTCAGCCACAATGGACTGTGTCCCTCCCCCTTGCATATATTGAGTATCATCATCTAACTACACCATGAGCCTTTTCATCTGACCTTTCTGCCTGTTGATGTCAGTTACAAGTCTGTTTGTATCTACTATATATTGATCAATGCATGTGTCTGAATGTCTGAATCACACTTGAACAAGGAGGATGAACTGGAAAAAATAAAATAAATTCGCCAGAAGTATCATGGGAGCCTCTAGAGGGGCCTCTAGAGGAGTACAAAAACATCCACCATCACCTCACTAACATCGAAAACAACATATGGAGATGGTAATCATCAGATGGTAATACCATCTAGAGAGGTTATTTGTAGAGGGTCGAGACCATCTGGAGAGGTTATTTGAAGAGGCTCAAGAGCAAACATCAAGGAGACATCAAACCCAACCTCCCCAAACCTCCCCAAATATCAAGTAGTGATGCTCATGAGGGAGAGGTGCAAGATGACCTGAAATTAAGGGGAGGACCTCATCAGAGATGATGTCTTACAGACTACTTGTATTCAACATAATAATAGGGTCTGACAGTATGTGGGAACATCTTGAAAGTGCTGCCAAGGGTGACCATGCTGGCCAGCAGGATGAACCAAAACTGCCTGGAGAGCAACTATGGAGATGAATCTTCCTGGACACAGAACACAATCACTGTTAACTCATTGCCCTCAGGCTGCACAGCAATACACCTGAAGGCTAGACTGTGGGATCCAACAGAAGGATACTTAATTGCCCTCATCAGCACCGCTTGTTTCATTGCATCCTGCCGAAATCAATAATTCATACATAAACTCACAAACAAGGCCACATAATTGGCACATATGTATAGGACTGTGAACCAGAAACATGATGTTGATCACCTGATCTTGAATGGGATATCAAACAGCAGAAGCAACATGACAAGGTACCTGATTGAAGGAGATGACAGCAAGCGCTGTTTTCTTGGAGTAGCACCACACAAGATAAGATTGATAACTGGACCAGAAAGGGCGGGTGATATAGGTCAGGAGTGTCTGTGTGAACTAATCTGATCCAGGGCATGAAACGTATTTAATAATTATAGAGAACTGATTGGTATACAGGCTGACATGGATACAATTTATTTCTGAGTACACAGAAGGGTGCGGCATATCATGGAGAATCAACTTAGATACTATTTAGTTTTATTGCAGTACTAGTGTTCGAGCTCTCTCTGATATCAGCACAGATCAGCGGACAGAGATCAATTATTTTGATGCGCCACAAGCTTCAAGGTCAGACAGTGACTGATGGCAAGATGACGAGTTCTGCAGCTCTGTACACATTATCTATTTTTTGGTGGCACTTCAGTTTAAACCTTCCAATGGGCGCCCATCTGTTGTTCAAATGAGTCAAATAGAGTCAACTGAGCTCGCACCCACTGGCACCCAGCTTTTGATTGAATGATAGGCGGCGAGCGCTACAGCTTTCGTTTTTGGCGAGATCGGAACAAGAACGCGTTTAATATGATTGGATACGAGTCGTAACGTAAGTATGTAGGCCCTTGTTTATTATTTATTATATGCACATAAGTATCAACGCCCATATTCTTAAGCATGAAAGAAAACTATCTCGACTTTAAATAATGTTTGTCGTAGCCAACTCACTTCGTAGCGCTCTAAGGAAGACCCTAGGTCGCACACTTCCTCGCTTTGCTTCCACATCTACCTCACCGACTCGCGACTCTATTAAAAGACCTTTGGACGATCCGTTCGTCCGTGTACAGATCAACGACAAAGATGATGGGGAAGAATTTGTGTGCGATGAAGAGCCACTTGTGCTGTCGCCCGAGCAAGCTTTGGATATTACCCCATTACCTTGGGACAGCATTTTGGAGAGGGCAAGCTTGAAATCATAAGAAAACTTGGATGGGTCGGTAATTCCAACGTGTGGCTTGCGCGGTCCCTGGGGTAAGTGCATCTTTTTGTTCCTGTCGAGTCTGCTTATCAGGATCACAGGTAAATTTAGAAATGCTCATCCAACGAAATATGTTGCTGTCAAGGTTCTTACAGTTAACGCCACCGCAGGTGTGGTGCAAGGACTTCTACTGTGAGGTAGACTCTCTTAGGACCATCAAAACAGCTAATCCTGATCATCCCGGCCACCAACACTGCCTTCATCTCTATGACGTAATCGCCGAAAAGAGCTGCCATGGTCCTCACATTTGCATTGTGACCAACATTCTGGGGGCAAACATGATCGGTCTCCTGTGGGCTGCAACCCAACGGACGTGCTTTCCCTCTTGCTGTCACTAAACGTATAGTCAAACAAACACTTCTTGCTCTGGACTACCTTCACCGCGAGTGCAGCTTCGTACATACAGGTATGTATTCCAGCTCTGTTCTGTACCGAAGTCCGTAATCGACAGCGAGATCTTTAAGATGTAAAACCCGACAACATTCTCGTCTGTGTGGACTACGAAGATGAAGCTATAACTCGCCTCCTTGAAGAAACACCATCCTGCCACATACGAACCTTGTTTTGAGCCCACTTATCTCCTGAACCTATCATCACAGTAAAGTTGCAGCTGCTCCCTAATTTCGGTCTTTGGGAAGATGCGAGCAACCTCAAGGTTTGTCTGATTGATTATGGTTAAGGTAAGTGTCCTTATATTTGAACGATGATATCTCATCTGTCCCGTCATCAACAGCAACACCTGCCAAAGAGCATCGAGTAGAACTAGTACAACCTGTTCTCCTCTGGGCGCCAGAAGTTACTCTGGGACATGGGTGGTCTGCACCCATCGACGTATGGTCCATGGGATGTTTAGTAAGATATAGTTTATTTTTATTTGCTGTCATGAACCGAAAGTCATCTAGGTTTTCGAATACCTGACTGGTGCAGCTATGTTTCAACTCTCGGAGTCTTCTTCCATCAGCGTGGAAAATCTTTCTCTCCAACGAATCCTCGAACATATTGGTCCTTTTCCACCTAGCTTTTTGGAACGATGTCAACACTGGAGTGATTTCTTTGACGAACGAGGTAAGGTATCGCGCCTTCCTCAGCGGGTAGATTTGAATTCTTTTCAAGGATCACTCCGCATTCATAATTTGATCCCTCAGGCAATGGAAAGCTGTCTCCGAGCATATAAAGTTATGGACGAGAAGGACATAGCTCCTGCCGCTGTTTTTATTCGGAGGTGTTTAACTATTGATCCCCACGCACGACCTACAGCCTTGGAACTACTAGATGACGAGTGGCTCAAAAACTGTGAGACAGCGGCATGGATTTCTGGTAGAATTCACCGTTTCCTGTTGTCCTACATAATACCGGGCTATTTTGCAGGTGCAAGTGCTTTGTTAGGTTGCTCATCTGGTATGTCTAATAGGAAGTCGGAGACGCAGAAGAATGCCATAGGAGAAACTGACGACACTTAATTTCGTGGTTAAGGTGTGTTGCGGCCGTTGCTCGTGTGGTGCATCGACTGATGTTCAGAAAGTGTATGGTGCCCATAGGCAGGGAGTCTAGGTACACCAAACAAAAGTGTGGTTGGAAAACACACCCGTTGCTGGCCCTGTGAAGGTGAAGGAACAGTCTGGAATGAGCTTGCATGTAGATGGAAATAAAAGTTGAATGCAGCCACCCCATCTTCTTTCTAGTAAAAAGAATCCTCCATTATCTCCCATTGCGAGATGATCGCCGCCGCCGAATATAGAGCGCTCATCGACCAAAAATGCAACATGAAACACCGCACTTAGTGCTGAAAGTGGGCGACTTCTGTGCCTGTGGGGAGCTGCAACATATGCTGCATGGAGACAGCAGATGCTGATGCGATCAGGGTATCAGCCGGGTTCAAAATGATATAGTTGATTGCCTGATCTTCGGGCATGGCCAGTCCTAGCCCAGGGATCGCCGCGGGCAGCCTGTTTCCGGGTGTGGGTATCCTAAGAGTGGATGATAGGATCAGTATGAGTTGTTGAGAGAAGTCCGACGGATGCCATCAAGAGTCCAGGTGAGCCCTGAAGTCATGGTGGCTCTTGAATTGTGCAAGACTCGGTCCAAGTTCTATATTTAGATATCTTCGGCACGTTGTTGCAATGCCAAGTTGACCAGACGGAGAAGATACGGGGTTGATGACGTCCTCGAGAGGAAGCGCTGCAAGTCAGCACAAGGCCTTCTGATGTGCAAACGGTACATCTCCCCTTGGTTTACATCTCGCAGCGACTGACACTAGACTCTACCTGTAGCCTTCTTCACTCACTGACCGTCCTTCCAATCGGCCTTGACTCCCACCCTTTGCAAAGAAACCAGCCCCTCCGCGCCCACGCATGCCTCCACCCAAATTTGTCAGCGAGCTAATGCGAGAAAATCACCTGCGATGATACCCTTGCACGGTGATATTTTTTTCTCTGTTGAACCTTGAGCATGCTAAACTCCTTTCCGACCGCCATAGGTGGTGTTTGAATACCAGAGATGCAGAGAGGCTCTCAGTGACGAGGCCCTGCCTCACCGTACTTCGTCTGTGTTGGCAGACTGACGAGTACAAGCTGTGAGAGCGCTGCATGTGTTGTATTATAGAGCATCAGAAATGCGAGTAGCCTGCTGGGGCTATTTCTAAGAACGCATGTATGTTTTCCTCGGGCTTGTTTCCATGAGCCATGGTTTGTTACCTTTGATATGCATTCGCAGAATACCGTATGCATCTTTCTGCAAAACGCTTCTCAAATACCGAGGACCGGTCGGTAGCTCTAAAGCCGCTGGGGCCAATGTTGACTCAGTATGGTGCCTCTGTTCCTCATGTAGTCATCAATTTGCCGCATAAGAACACGGTGAAGGCAACTTCTTCCACTCGGCTTGCACCTGGATCTTCCTCAGTTACTGTGACAAGGCAGGCGAAACATACTTCCCACATTGTCACCCAGCTGCCTATGCCAAAGCCCTCTTTACACTCCACTTCACCTACTATTTCGACCGAGATAATAGAACCACTGTAACGCAATCCGTGAATGATCTCATGATACTGAGTTCCCAGAAGAACTGCGACTGGTCGACATGCGAAATCCTAAAATCCCCGAGATTAGAATATATGCCTCCCCGTCTGCTACTTTGGGACTTACAGCATTTAAACCCCACCTTCAGCTGGCACAGAGCTCTCGACTGCCTCAGGCTTGAGATCTTGACTACATCGATATGTTCCCTAGCTGCAGGCTCGTCATATCATGCGGTAGACATCCAGCACCTTCTGCATGTAGTCAGGGCAGGCCTTCAGAATATCTATAGCATCCAACACGAAGTTGTCATACGACAGGAGCGTTTCTACGAATTAGCATCTCCATGAGTGACACGTGCACAGGAAGCAGTGGCCTATACAATCAACAGGATCATCCTTGAAGAAACCAAACATCAACGCTACATATTGCGTAGAGACAGCAGGGAAGGGTGTCCACAAAGTAGAGGGTATAGAACAGAAGTCATGGGTGCTATCTACGCTGTGGCTAGCCTGCAGGATGTCGAGAATGAAGCTTCGAGTATAATTTTTGGCTTGATCGATGAATTCAACTACGAAGATACCAAAACACTTCTTATAGTATCGTACACACTCGAGCATGAAAAGAGGAAGGATGACACAAAAAAGGGGTACATGGGGATCGCAAAAAAACGCTGTTCAAGTTAGCTGGGATCATTAATATTCACAAGAAGGCGGCCATCATTGTCAGGATCCACTTCGACACTCAAACCCAAACTGCACGACATCTACGATGAGAACCACCTTATGGGGTACATTCGCGATGCACATACCTTCTCCCATATTCTTGGATTTCAGGTCTGATCCTGGGGATGTTGTTTTCGCAGTGATTTCCCCTTCCTGAGCAGTTTTGCAATCGATGAGGAACCTGTTCCTGAAGTTGAGTGTGCCATGGATGATATCTCACCTGTGATCACATGCAGTGACGATTCTCCACGGTCACGAATCCCTTGAACAGCGTCGTCGAAGTATACCTTGGCTTCAAAGACATAGAGTCTGTGGAGATCAATCGTGTCGGGTCCGTGTCCCTGGGAAAAGCGTCGGACAGCAGCGTGATTCATAAGAACAACAACAAACTTTATTATTCCCTAGATGAGGTTGGAGGTAAGTTGGCAAATCCTGCACACTCCGTCCATCGGTCTCATACCTTGAAATATCTTTGTGCTGGCTTCCTTATCTAAGCGCTCCATGTTGTCTTTGTGCGCCTCGCCCCCCTGGGAAAGCTGTTTAGCGAGCCTTACCTCGTTACGAGCGTACGCTTCTCGGCTTTGATTGAAACATTCTTCCATGCGATTCCTTTCATTTCTGGCTCTGAGACGAAGAGAATCGATATCTTCGTGGGGGTCAATTACAATGGGCGTCACAACAACCTCTGGTGCTCTTGTAGGTAATTCGGGTCCAGAAGAATGACGTAGTCGCTGTGTTTAAGAGGTGAGTAGACAGCACTGCCAGATGGATTATACTAAGACAGACCTGAGGGATGCGACTTCGAGAAGGCTCAGTCGCGGGAGTAGCGCCAGGAGATACGAGGGGCGTGGGTTGTGCAGGGAATTGTACGTTCGGTTGGCGACGAGGCTCTGTAGCTAATTCAGGTCCAGAAGAACGACGCGATCGCTGTGTCAAAGAGATGAGTAGACAGCACTGCCAGATGGATTATACTAAGACAGACTTGAGGGATGAGACTTTGAACAGGCTCGGTCACGGGAGTAACATCACGAGATGCGGGGGACGTTGGTTGTGCAGGGAATCATACACTCGGTTGACGACGAGGCTCTGTAGCTAATTCAGGTCCAGAAGAACGGCGTGATCGCTGTGTTGAAGAGGTGAGCACACAGTACTGCCAGATGTATTATACTAAGACAGACTTGAGGGATGTGACTTTGAGCAGGTTCGGTCACGATAGTAACATTAGGAGATACAGGGGGCGCGCGTTGTTGCTGCTGCAAGCGGGTGCGTTCATATGACCTTCGATGCAGCGGGTGAGCACTTTCGTATGGTAAATCAGATGGTGAATATAAAGCCGAGGATGGTATCGGCGGGGGCGGTGGGGGCAGCGGGTACTCTCTCCTGCCAAAGAATATGGAGATTACTTTGCATAGGAACCAAATTGAGCCCTTCAGGAGGGCCTTCAGAGCCGATAGTACGGAGGGGATGAACTTCATATGCATGATGCAGTGGGAGACGAATCAAAGGCCTTATCTATACTTGGACTCGAGTGGTACAACGAGCGCTACGCATATATTCCACGATGATGATAACACGTGAGAACGCCGACCGAAACGCCATCCCATGCGGACGACTGATCAGAAGTTATATCACAGCGGTATCTGCGCTCCTGAGTGATGCGCAAGGCGAGAATGACCTGCCTCTGGTTGTGACTGACTAGCAATTGGTGTCAATTCAATTTCTTCGCGAATCTAGGATCCATAACCCTACTCAATAACAATTTGTTTCTTCAGTTTATTTGCTGTTTGAGCAATAAGCGATGGGAAATGAACTGTCAGAGTTATTGAGTAGTAGTTGATTTGCCAGCTTATTTCATACCTAAAGTAGTCGGCAAGATGTGGGAGTACACTGCGTCTGACTGTGTGCTGAGCCGCCGAAATGCAAAGATTACAAGTAAAGACATACCGATATCGAGTATGAGTGACTGCTGGAACGAAGGCCAGTACAAATTACTCCTGTATCAAGTTCACTGTACTATCACCGAAGACACCGCGCTACTGCCACTAAACAGTCCTGCGAAGATGTTACACATAGTTCCGACAGGCTGTTGTGTTTCCGAGTCCTGTGCCGCGTGAGAAGCCTCCGTCAAAAACCCCACGCCGAGCGCAGGCCAAAAAGCCTGAGGCTGGCACCAACGAAGGAACAGGCAGTAAATCTGAGCCTGCGGCTCGTCGAGACTATGGCGGTTCAGACACCGAAATCGTAAAATTGAGTGCTGAGGCAACTGAAGACTCGAAAATCAAAACCCCTTCGAAGTCAGAAGGTGTCGAGTATGTAACGTTACCGAAGCGCTGGCCGAGTTTTTAAAGTCAACCAAGCACATTATTGAACGTGTATAACAGGTCGAGTGTCTTGCACTCGTGCTTACCTGTACAACACATCTCTGGGAATTCGTTGAACGAAAACAACAACTTACCGCAGCCAAACTTTGTCCTATCTGACGAGACATTAATAGAGGCGTCGAAGAAATCCTCAGACTTTTGCTGGTCATATACTCCTCGTCCGACGTCTACTATCATGCCCACCACTGCGTCCATCCCGTCGTCGGCGGTACAAGGCCACCAATGCGAATGAAATAACAATGAGCTGATCTCCAGAGTCTTTTGCCTCAGCGAGGAGCGCAACTGCGAGAGTTTTCAAGAGGTTTGTTGTGGATTCTCTCTGTCGGCGCTGACGTAGTTGTTTCACTCTCCGCGACAGTAGCAGCACACAAACCTTACTTATGTATGACAGTTTATCTCGTCCTGCGTGATCGAAAAATAAACTGGTATAGTTTATATATATCCACTTCCTCTGCTTTCAGAACACATGACCCCAGACGCTCATATACATATCTCGCCCACTCCTCTTCCCGCCATATATTCAGAAGCGGCCTAGGATAAAGTCTCGTGAAATCCTCGTGACTGCCTACCGCTATACTCATACCCCTTCATACGATTTTGAGCTAAGCACAGATCACCTTCATGGCCTGCATATATCGTCCCACAACCTCATATTCGCTCTGGACCCATCCTTCGTATCGCTGCGGAACATTGGCTGCACGTCTCAGTTTCACGATAACTTGAGGATCTTATCGACATGTTTCACAAGGCTCATCAGGGGTCATTTCTTTAATAAGAGCCAGGAATGAATCGCGACGCCTACGGAAGACGACGTGATCGAAGAACTCACTATGAGTATCATGAACAAATGCAGGTGCTGTAATGAGTCTGCCGGATGCCTTTCTTCCTCTGCTCAATTCAAACAAATGACACGCTCGTGTTGCCTGTCTACATGCATATGTTGGCCCAGCTCTCCTATGTAGTCTAATACATCTTCGGCGGCTATAAGTATATTCAATCTATACATCATCAGTCATAAGCTCTTTCAGCTTCGCAATTTCGATCCGAGGAATGACGTCGACTGTCAAATGGCGCTGCACGGGCAATAACAGCGTCCATGAAAGCATTCGTGTCGATCGGGGCGTCAGGTCGCTGAGCAATGCGGAAAGACCACAAGAGAAATGCGAGGCTAATGTACAACGAGTGGTTTGCGAGGTGCAGGCCGGGACACACACTTTTGATGATATGTGAACTTAAATGATCGGTGTCAAAAAACTGATGTCGGCACGACGCACCGTCTACCGAAGCCGTATGCAATGAATTTGATATTGTCCTTAAGGCGACCTTCTGAATCAAGCCAGCGCTGGGGATCGAATTTTTCAGGACCTGGGAAGACGATAGGATCGCGAGAAATAGCCCTGAAAATATGTACTTAATGAAGCGACGTGCATTGAGAAGTAACACCTTACCATTGGCACCCATAGACAGTTGCGCCCTCGGGAATGCAGTATCCTTGCTGATATCACACAGACTAGAATGAGAACGTAGGTTACAATGAGTTTAAGACACTGACCCAAAAAACATCCTTAGTTGCACGGTGTGGAAATCCTAAGGCACATGTCAGCATCGTGCAGGAGTATGCTGGATTTAAAACTGACCTATGCGAATGACAGGTCTCCATCTCAAAGTTTCCAACAAGAATGCGTGCAATTGGGGGAGCGAGCTTGAGTCTTTAAATGTCGGCGCTACCACGAGAAATTAGTCGAGAAATCAAATCTTTGTATCCTTTAGCAGAACCTCTGTCTGACCCGATGACCCTATCGAGCTCCTCATGCACCTTTGCCTGAGCCGCTGGGTAGCATGCTGCAGCCATAATAGTAACGGTAATTGCAACAGCAGTCTGAAGTACAGATGAGTCACTTCATAAAGACAAATCAGTTGCATGGCTTGCCGTATCAGATCCCGCTCCAAAGAGTGATCCGGCGAGATAGGACATCTCGTCTGTAGAGAGTTGGTGTTCTTTGACGTTCTCCAATAGTGTTTTGGTGAAGGAGGGACCAGCGTTGTCTTGATTCTGGGTGCAAAAAGATATAAATGACATACGTTTGTAGAAACAAAAAGCCGCTTACTACTTCACTCTCGACGCGCCCTAACTGATGCCTGTATAGCCCCAGTTCCTCATGGTGCCACTCAACAAGTTGTTTTCCGTAACCAGGCCAGTAGCGCAAAAGAGGCACACGATCGACGAGATAAGCTCCTGGGCGCATCACAACCTGGAAATGCTCCATGACCCCGTGGATACGGACAACTTCAGGATCGGTGTTGGCAGTGGGCACAGACTTCCCATAAGTCACTCGAAGAATGACTGATGCTGCATACCTTGGGGTACATATCTATGAAATCATCACACAAAAGTGATAGTAATGACGTACCGCTGTGCGTGCCTCTGGTGGTTCTTTGGATCATTTAGCATATCCAATATGAGGATCATCGCGTTCTCGCGCTGCATATCCTGGTATGTATCTGCTACCTTTGGCTGTAGATGGGTATGTACTGCTTTTCGGAGGCGCCGGAATCGGTCTCCGGAACGAGCCAGGAGAATACGCATTCCCTTTGAGAGAATTTCACCTGCGGCAATGGACCGAGGTCGATCTACTAGTGATCCACCTTCCTTTTCCATGATGTCCGCGGCTGCCTGGTAAAGTGGTCGATATCTGGTCATTCAAATTGTCGGAGGAAAATTATGGTGTGGATGATTTACCTCAACGCTACCAATGACAACTATCACTTGGCTACCTTGTCGCAACGACACGAGCGGGCCATACTCTCGAACCAAGTCGGTCAGCGCATGGGCAATGCTGAGTGGACGATCTTCATCAGCCTCTAATATCTTGGATTTGAATGGCGTCAAAACTCACTTCACAGTAGGTAAAGCGTTGCTCCAGAACCAACGGGCGGGAGGTCCAGGTGGAAGCGGAATGCCGTTCCTACTCGAGGATTTCTGGTATAACACGGCGAGTAGTACCGCGACGACTGCAACAGCGCCTGCGGCATAGTTGGCGCTGATGATGAGAGTTTCCAGCATCATGGTGTTAAGTGGGCTGGAATAAGATGAGTGAAGATTCAACATCTTAATAGACGTAGAAAGTGCGTCTGATAGTAAGCTGCACGGTCCCTCAGGCTAAGAAAGGGAATCGGAATCCGCAAACGCGGCAGAAGTCGAATCGCTGATTGCTCTCCAGCACGGTGAATAGCTCGGTAAGGGCAATGCAGTTCGGGATTCCTCTTGAGAAGTAGTGCTAGCAGCACATATGGGCCAGCTACCGGGATATTGATGACAATTCAGGATTGACTCAACATTTCCCAGAACAAATGAACGTCCTGATTCAGCCACCTTGACACATACTAATCCGACAACATGACCGATATTCTTCCTAAACCCCATATGTGCTCTCATAGCAACTTGGATGGTCGGTCCGAGGGTAGGTTTGACTCGTGACCAGTCTTACTGGTGTTAAGTGCTTGTCGTAGTACACCGCGGACAAGTCGAGTGGATCACAAGCCAGGCGTCACGGTGTGGGAGTAAATCAAATTAAATTCAAACCCCCGGGCCAAGTTGGCCGATTGTGGGGGTGGAATTTGAATTTAGCTGACACAAGGTTTTTACTCGTTGATCACATTATTTGTTGGATATCGCCATCCTGGATCAACAAGCACAGCTTACATGCTATATCATACGGTGAACAATGCTTCAGCATACACTCGAGACACACGTCGTGCGCTGGGCCAGTGCTCGCACCCTAACTCACAAAAACTATAGCCGGCCTCTAATTTATTGCTTGTATATATTGTCCTTGAACTCACGTTCGCCTGGACCCATTCCCTCGTGTGACTGAGGAACACTCGTTGCAAATTCTGCTCGTTTACAGTCAGGAATGTACAATATTAAACCAACATACATCGCATGTACCCATTCAAGATCACTCACAATCGCCATTATGAAAAGTCCAAGGACCCCAAGACTCAGATCGAGGTTTCATTTCCATTTCCTGCTGAGGATGTGGTTCCGCGAAAGGTCATCGAAGCTGGTGCGGTCCTTGAAGTGGGCAAGTAACCCTGTTTGCGGTCAGATATTGAGCGCACTGCCGAACAGCACTTGCTAGTTAGTCCACTGGTCCAGGTCTGTCGTGGCAATGTGATGAGGGAGGCGAGGTTTTATATGTGCATGAGGCGGCGCTAATAGTCAATTCGCAGGTTAATACGATCAAACAGCTTATCCCCTGGTTCAATGTCGGGAGGTTACAACTGCTATCATCTTGATGGTCATTCACCCGATTCCAATCATACTAGGGAACATGCCGTAGATACATAGTACACAAACCTAAGACAGACAGGTAACCTATACCTTCAACATAGCTAGTAGACTGGTCACCAATCCACATAGGTAGTGCCATTCATTGTTTAGTTACTTTGGAGCCATGCTTCTACAGGAAAATAATTGCGAGATTATTTTTGCTGTGTCCCCCTGAAACTTCTGTCTTCTTCACGTGTTGATACCACACCTCAGAGACTATCCTCTATATTTCATTTGATAAGAAAAGGATCCGAGCAGCAGACGTCATGACCTACCAAGCTCATGTCCAGCATTTTCTTCACCTCCTTCCGCGCCGGATGGGCATCTGAAATACTTCCCCTTATTTCCCTGAGTCCTAAAACGCACAACGAAGTAAACATATGAAAAAAAAGTGAACAACAACACGCACCATTTTGTAGCATATGATTCGACTCCTCCGCCCGCGCCCCTGAGAATTGCTTGTTCTCTCCTCCTCTCTATGAAGCGGCGATGGTGAAATGGCCCAATGTTCTTTCGAAGATACAGTACTTACCAACCCGAAGCTTATCTCCATAAGCTTTATTGAAATTTACGAAAAATTGCCTCTGGTCTTGTTTCTTGTGACGTGCCTCTCGATTCTTGCCCTCCTGTGTCTCCATCCGTTTGCGTGAGACACGGCGACGTCTCTTATACTTCTTGGCCACCATCCTTCGCCTGTACTCTAAACAAGATATGTCAATTTGAAATGATGAACAAAGGAGAGATCCAGCACTCAGCACCTACCAGCTGTCTTTTTTCCTACCTCACGTCTCCAGATTCCCCGGGCAATGTTTAATAGGCGCGCATCCTCCTCCGCCTTCTTCTTCCAGTACGCTGGTCCTCTGATCTCCCTCTTCACTTCCTTGTAGAACGGTTTTCGTTTCTTCTTCTCCGCTTTCTTCTCTGCTTTCTTCTCCGTTTTCTTGCCCGCCTTCTTGCCCGACTTGGGTGCGGGCTTTGCCTGAGCAATCGGTGGGTCCGTCCTTATCAAGTGTTGTTGTGTAGATTGACGAATTGGCATCTTCGTCACCACATCTTTCTTGGATGCTTGAGGAGCTTCCACGATACGCAATGGCTTCGACCATGCAGAAACAACAGCAAAGTTAGCTTGTTGGCCTCCACGGCCTAGCGTGTCACGGCTGCCCGAGGGGGCCACAATACTATTCGGCTGCGAGAGAACATAAGAAGAGACAGATCCCAACCCATCCGCATGAGAAGGAAATCCTCTTGTCCTATGATCGCCCGCTAAGCCTATAGTTTGGCTGGTATCAGCACCAGCATGCGCGCGATCCTTCGCAGCTGATCGACGGCTTCGACAGTTTTGACGGGTCATTTTCATATGACTAGCAATGATCTGTGGTGCTAGTAAGTAGACTAATAGTACATAGAAGTCTGAAGGTGTGTTAGCAGGACAATCAAATGGCGATCTCCAATAGATAATAAAACCTGGTGAAGTACGATACAGTGGGCAAAACAAGTATGGGAGGCACCTTAGGATCAACCCCAGTCAGAACCCACAGATCAACTCGGGATGGTGGCAGTTCGTAACAAACTCACTGGATGTTTTCTTTGCAGTGTTGATTGATGTGGAGATCGATAACAAAGTGAGAACAGTGGCTCTTTTGTGAGTCGGACTATCGGCGTGGGAGAGAAGCACTGAGGTCTGGACTCTGCCTTTGTCTTTGGCGCTGTAAGCACATGGTGTGAGCATGGGTGAACGTTACAAGTTGCACGCCTTATTGTTTTGTAATCAGTGGACGAAACCTTCCAAGCGACCTCTCAGACTGAAACCGACTACGCCTTCAGGAATCAGAAGGCACATCAATGACTCGGCGAAGGCAAGACCCAGCTGTCAGAGAGCAATCAACTGTCAGGACATGGCGATACCACAAATGCGGAGCGCCTATACCTATAGTAGCCTAGAGTCTTCGACTATTTATGAACGTTCGAACGTTCAACTTTGATTCATAGTTCAACTTGAAGTCGGGGCTATGGCAAGTTGAGGCTAAGCCTGTCAATGTCATTGAACAAACAATGCACAACAACCTGGATGATGCCATCCTAAATTACTCAATTCCTTAAATCATTCGATATGCCACTACCGTGCTCTGTCTTCATGACATCTATTTACGATAAATTCTCAAGCTTTGGCTTCTTCAATGGGCCGGAATCTCTGCACAGGGACCCTTCATCCGCTTGGCAGGACGACCGCCACGTGCTTGGTATGCGCAATAGAATTCGGGCGCCCACAGGGTCGAAGTGAAACTCCCTAGTTGATGTGGCTGCGCGCTAGGTTCAACATCATTACACGGAGATGTTGCACAGCTCACCGATAGGCATTGATGTGGCAATGAGTCCCTTGGCATGACGTACACTTTCAACTTTTGTTATTCAATACTCAACTCCCTTCAGGCATGGACTTTCTTGTTCCATGGGCAGGAAGATGTACTGTTAGTCAGGTCTTAGGCTTTTCTGCAAGCCATACATGGCTTAGTCTGTCGAGGACGATTTGAATGAAAGACGGAACAATTCCGGCAAGAAATCTGAGGCAGTACGCAAGGACTGCCTCCGTGAAACTACTCCCAGTGTGTACCATGAGGCGTTCAAAGGTACCAGGGACTAACACAAGCACGGGATGATGATTTCCGCCGCCAAGGGGAATTGCCTTCCCCTAGCCATTACTCCATCCAAGTTCCTAAGGAATGGAACCGAGGTACCACCTAAAGTGTGACTCTCGGCACTGATCAATGTATCTTCAAGGGACCCCTGGTCTTGTCCCGCCTCCAAATTTTGCACATGTCGTAAGGCATGTGAGCCTATTTCCCTTCTAAATTGAGTGCTTGCTGTGTCACGTACCTGATCCCTAGACTGAATTGACGGCCTTAGTTAGCCTTAGGTGCGTCGAAGAGAAAACGAGGCTATTACATATATAGCAAGGTACGCATTACTCTTCAAATGATTTTCTCGGCCCCTTATTCCTCTTTAAATGAACGGATAGTGTCTCAGCCGAGCTCTTGGATATCACATCAGGCCATCGCCTGACAGTCAAACTCCGACGCCCCAGGTACTTACAGGCGGAAGACATTAATATCATTGATGAGCCAGCCTGAACATCATAGGTAATTACTCAAGTTAGTCATGTGCCTACCGAGCTATGTTTTCTCATGAATTCCGGCACGTCTCGCGAAAGGAGCGGTATCGGTGCAAACCCACGATACTCTCGCAGACATGAAGTGATTGCTGTCACCAGCATTCCTTAAACTGCTAATAATTCTACTGCTATACCTAAAACATGAGGTACCAGGCACTAGGACAGCCTCCATGTATTCATGAAGAAAGGGCCTGTGTACGACATTATTTTTTACTGTCATGAGCGTGCCTTGCGTCCGAACACTCGACCGGTCTACAGCTGCAACTCCCGACAACCCTGGGGCTTGCAGCAGCAGTCTCACGGCCCACTCTGAGGTATAAAACCCATGTTTCGACGTGCAGAGTGAAGCATCACATTGAGCTCAATTTCTCTATTCGGTTCACCCTCACTATTAATATGTCACAACAACCCAATCCAGATGCCCAGTTGTCCCAATATTCTGAGGACATGACCACGTATACGCTGGAGCAGCTTATACAATGGCGCGCCTCGCTAGAACGCAAGGCGAAGGAGCAAGAGGAGAAGGAGCGAGCAGGTGGGTGTGATAAAGTAAACGCCATGACACAACTGACAAGATTGAACATGCAGCGAAGGCATCACAAAGCAATACTACAAACTCGCGATCTTAACATGCCTCAACCTACGGCAGGTGTGTCCGCTATCAACCGTTTACCTGCGTCGACCTGACACCCTTTCCTAGAACTACCATAATTGAAAGCACGAATATATGGACATGTCTATTTAATAGTGTATCTCACTTCTCTCCTGAACTCCCCTTGATTTTCTTTTGGGTATTAGATATTTACGATCCTTCGCTGCACCACGTACTGTTGTATCTGCACTACAAACACATAAATGATGGCTGCGAAGGACGAATAATGGAGTTCTGAATAAATTTATGACGATGGTTCCCATTGGCGCGACCACTTCTTCAAGCACCTGAAACTGGAGCCTCGCGACACCCAACTTGAAGACGGGACCGGGGTGTCTAAGGCTGATGGCAGTCTGCAGAGCTAAGAGACGGCATTCTGATAACCACCCAGGCTGCGATACTTCGGGGAGCCGTAGGAACTAAGTCAGAGAAGCCGACGGTCTCCCGCGAAGGAATCTGCAAGGTGCCACAGTTTGCGTGTCAACCTCGGGCCATCAGCCCACACCTCAAGCTTCGAAGTTCAAGTGATATGACTGATGTCAAGGCGTACTTGATTGGAAACGAGGGTCCTCTTTTCGTGCTGATAATTGAAGAAGGGGTGGCCATAATAGAAGCAACAAGTAAACGAGGGGGACGCACCGTGTAGTGCGGCATTGAACGAATGCCTTATCGGCGACAACCACGAGTTTCCTGCTTCTTATGCTAGAACACGGCCACGAGATCGAAAGACCTGTCGGTTAGAACCACCCCCAATATTTGACATCTGCTAAGAATAGCACGACCATAGCGCCTTGCTATTTGCTTTGTCATGGTACTTTAGGTAGTATACTGAAATATGTGACAACTAAATGATACAACATGATAAAGGGGAATAATGTACAGAACTTCGTAACGTATTGGGCTCGAGGGTGGGAAGAGAAATGAAGAGCAGTGCTATCTTGTCCGACATGCACTGATGCAAGATCCGGTCTGCGAGCAGTTAAGTTCAGCTGGAAATGACGGTGGTATTGGCACGGCACACCGAAATATCATTTTACGCACCCAAAGCATTGAATTAGTTATTGTGGGGGTCAACATGTTCTGAGATATAGTTTCATCCCTGTACACTCGCAGATAAGAATCAACTGGTTACCTTTAGGATCATGCTGGTTGACGCTATCCTGCACACTCTCCCGCTCGCATTCCTCTGACAGGCGTTTCAGCGAAGCTCGCCATTCTATGAGCTGCTTCAAAGTGTGCGAAGCGATACTGCGAGAGTACTCGCGCTGTGCCAAGGATCCATCCCCCATGATAAAACTTTTGAAGGCGAAGTAGGATTACTGACGTCACTGTGAGGCAAGCAAAGAGTGAGAAAGCTGCGAAACTACACTTGGGATGGATTTGAATTTTTTCCAAGAAGCACCAGATGTCATTCAAGTTATATGCGTAGGCCCATGGAAGTCTGAGTGGAGGCTCCGTTGTTATCTAAGCATAGGACGTATCTGTGGCGTTTTCCAGCTGACAACCCCAAAGAACTTTGATGCCGCATTAAGAAATGAACAGTGGAGTGCGAAACGAACGGGTTGTGATGGAGCGGAGGATTTAAACTCGGCACCAGCCCTCTCGTGTTCGCTTTGAAAAGAGCACTTATCACCGAGGCCTGCACCTTTTCGACGTAGTATACATTTTGTAAGGATGTTGGACCGCAGCATGATAGCAACCTCGCCTCAGCTATCCTATGGAGCTTGACGATCTCGAGGCAAGCCAATAATTAGTAAGAAACAGAAGCAACTAAGTAATGTCACCAATAAGTGAGAGTGGCGCGGCGTAACCTATACCCTCGGGCTTCACGAAGTGACTGTGGTGCTTGGAGTTTAACAGGACCGCTCATTCTTCGAAATTCGACTGCCTTCGATGAGAGGCTCAAAATAGAAGTGAGCTCATGCCGAAACGAATCTACGGTAGTACTCCACAGCTACGTTTCAAAGTTTGTTAGTAAGCCCAGACCTACCGCTTTATGCCGCAGCGTGCAGGGACACGTATATTCGATTATGCCTTGTGTCACAAGTGGGGCCTGAGATAACTGCTTATCATATTTTAGCTTCAGGTAGTGTTCTGACTGACAGTACCAGCAACTCACCAGGGCCAAACTTGCCGAGTAAAACTCCCAGAAAAGTAGCTAACATTATTGGAAGTCAGCCCTGAAATATAAAACGTTGTACGTCAAAGTGGAGGGCTACATCATCTAGCGTCAGTGCTAGTGGTATGCCGCAAGCCGGGTTGCTCATGGCTGCACACCGAGTAGTAACGATTGCTAGTAATACTTACCATACACCCATTTAAAATGCCAGAGCTGAGACTGGGAAATGAAGGGGACCGGCTTTCTCCAGCCCCAATCATGCAATAATCCAGCAATTGACAGCTTGAAGGTACCTATGAATCTTGACAATTGCCACTAGGTCGATAGGTCGATAGTACTGGTAATCCACGGTTGGAGGAACTGGCCATTTCGGGAAGAAGTATTCAACAATTTCAAACTCCGTGTCACTCAGATCAATTGCAACTGGCATGTTCCGGATCCGCGTCATTTTGCTTTCAAGTTAACGCTTGTACGATATAAGTATCGGCGCTATGCTACAACTGGGCGCAGCTTCTGACAGACTGGTTCGTCCGCTGCCTCAAACACTCCCAACCGAAACGTGTCGGTCTTGAATCTACCATAACTCCCAACCCAGCAACTTGCTCCAGCCAGGTTTCACACAGACGAACTCGTACTTGGTATTTGCGACAGCAGCATTCGTACTCAGCTTGGCTTAGCGTGTGGAGTTGAAACGTACCGACATTCAAGTATGTGGATTACAAGGTTGTACTGTTACGTTTAGTGGTCATTGATCACGCACAATAAATTACATCCGGATATCAGAATGTTTAAATATTCGAACTCTTAAAGCTGTTGAAGCACTGCAGAGGCGTGTAAATCAAGAATCCGACAGTAAAATCCAGGTTGACAGAGAGTAGTAACAATAAGGTATCTAAGGTATGGAGGGTTCGGCATGTGCGATGTAGTGCAACATAAATGTCTCCAGATAGGGCGGTCAGTGAAGTACAGAAGGGCCAAGTTAAACAAGCAACATATACAAAAATAAAACAATGAAAGAAGTGGTATAGCCGACGATTTTATGAACCGTGCAGGAGCGGAGGAGAACAGGATGAGGAATCAGATGACCGAGATAGAATGTATGGATCCTTCTAACAATGCAAGAAACTGGAGATTGACATGCGATCAATGATGAATATCATAAATCTCTAATAATGTTGGTATCACTGAGAAAGACAACGAAATCAATGGAGGCTTCGGTGAAGAGAAGAAAACCTTACCAATTAAGTGTTTGTCATTCAAGGCGCATGGAAGCTACCCGCCAACATTTGGGCCAGTTTATTTGGATCAGCTCCATAGCTGCTCACCCGCTTTTGAGCTAGGAATGCTGGGAGGGCCTGGCCGGCTTCGCGTAAGCAGTCCACGGGAATGAGACCCTTCTCGTTATGATTCAAGAATCCGCACTGCTTCTCGACGAGCGCCCAGCCGTCGTCGAAGACTTTCACAACGAGGACCTGATCACCTGGGGCGACAGAGACTTCATCGTCTAGGGAAGGGGCGAATGGGCGACGGATGGTCTCGAATTCGGGATGCGCAGGGTCGGCAAATGGGTCGGAAGATGTGCCAGGAATCGCTGTCAAGGAAGCGCTGGGTGGCAGGTAGGAGGCAGCGGGAGCGGGGGGCAGTAAATCAGGATTGAATATGGGGGGAGGAGAGTGAATCTGGACGAGAGTTGCAACGGATGACAAAGGGGAAACGAGGCCGCGGCCACTAATAACAGAAACGGACGAAGGACACTGCCCCTCATTGGGGCATAGGGGTGGCTTGGGGAACGCGAAAGATTCTGACGGAGAAAACGGACGGACGCACATGGGACTAGATGGTCCGGGAGGATTGAGATCATTTCCTACAATGAGGTATTGAGTATCGGGGTCGCTGCCGTTACTCATCATGCTACTCATGGACTCCCTACGAGCAACAGCACTAGCAGAAGGGAACAAGAGCGAGGTACGCTCGCGCACTTCCGCCATGGGAGGGAACTCGAGAATGGTCCCGAATGCGGCGAGATCAAGGTTGGGTAGTGACGTCGGGGAATCAATGCGGAACATGAGTCCTTGATCAAAGTTGGTAGCAAAGCTGCTGCGAGCACTCGCCCTGTTCAGGGTAGGTGACCCCCTATTTTGAGAGTCTCCCACGCTGCCTCCTACGATAGAGAAACTATCTGATGTCGTATTTTCACCAAACCACCATTTTTTGCGGCGCTGAAGACGGCGAGCCATGGAGCGACGCCGCACGAAGAGCACGATGAAACCGATCAGGAATAGAAAGCATACGACAATGATTCCTGCAATTGCGCCTGAGGACAGCTGGTGCGAAGAAGTCGCAGCTCCGGTGGCAAGAGTGGGAGCAGCGTCACTCGGGGAACTTCCAACACCACTGGATGTACTCGAACCTTGGAGACCGGCGGCGGGCGCACCTGTGGACTGGGACATTTTGGAATTGCCCGTCAAAGATGAAGACTGGACTACCGGAGTGCCTTGGACGTTCATGGGCGGCCCTCCGCCGTTAGAATTGAGCTGATTGACGGTACTATTGTTAATGATGGGTGGTGTACCTCCCAGAGATGACGAAGGGGAGCTTTGGAAGGCTGCCGGTGACGATGCAGACGTGGTGGTTGCTGCATCGCCTACTTCCCTCGGGACTGCCGTCTCCACTTTCACTTCCACTCCCTCCCCCGTTTCCAGCTCCAGCTCCAGTTCCACTACCAGTTCCTGTTCCTGTTCCGGTTCCGGTTCCTCAGCTCCAGATCCGGTTCCAGTTCCACTACCAGTTCCAGTTCCGGTTCCGGTTCCAGCTCCAGTCCCAGTCCCAGTCCCGGTCTCAGTATCCAGTTCCAGTCCCACTACTGCTGCCACTTCCACTTCCACTTCCACCTCCACCTCCACCGCTACTGCCACCGCTACTGCCACCGTTACTGCCACTGCTACTTCCACTTCCACCTCCACCTCCGCTACCAGTTCCGGTTCCACCGCTGCCGCCTCCGCTTGGAGTGGTGACAGGGGATGGTGACGACTTTGCTGGCGACGGGCTTGCTGGTAACGGACTTGCTGCTGGAGAGTCCCCACCGTTACTTCCACCGACAAGAGGGGTCACCAAGGGAGAAAGTATTAGGACAGATGGTACCGGGATGGGCAAGTTAATAAGAGAGGGATCACGCTCGTTGAGCATCCTGTTTAGAACCGCGTGGTGTCGGACAGAAACGCGTTGCATCTTGTATAAAAGCAGGATATGTAGTCAGTATAACTCGAAAAAAAACTATACTGATATAGAGCTCGAGACGTCGAAAAAGAGTGTGGAGATGAAAAGAGTGTGGATGTCGTCGTTCGCCAGGGCCAACGACGTAGACTGTGCTGGCTATTGCAGCGGTGCAAAAAGCGTTCGAACCAGCAACCCTGGGAGACTGGGGATAGGAAAGCCGGGGTTAATGGCGTTCACCATGACTACAGACTCATCGAATATGCGAACGAAGTGATCAGATGATTAAAAAGGATCAATGGCATTTCTTGATGGAAGGATTTAAAAGTAACCCTTTCGCGCAATATATTGATGAAACGTTACGCATGCTGCGCTAGGCTGCACTCCCAAAACGAGGGTTCTCGGCCACAATAAGTGAGAGATGTCAAAGTGGCTTCAAAGGATTGACAATCTGTGACAGATGTAATCGATCATGATGCAGCACTGGTAAAATCTGATATCGCATACATTAAGTGATCATCGATCGTCCTTTGGAGCCAACTTGCCTCTGCAGTCGTATTGTCGGCTGCACTAAAGCGCAACTTCACAACAGTGGAATGAAATGAGTTATTAGACGCCCATAACAAAGTTTCGACACACCTGACACGGTACGTCATTGGACCCTGAAGCTGAGATCAGCTCTGAGAAAAGCCCTTGTACTTCCCGGGAACAGTCTCATGTCGGAGCAGAACGTCCCATGGATACTCGTGATACGGCGATTGGTGCAGTATCGATTATCTCTGGACCCAACCTGGCTAATCTGGAATCATAAGCCAACGTTCAGGGATAATACGCACCGCTATCTCTACGACGCGACGCCTCAACTCTAGTCACTAGAGGGCTCTATTTAGGGAATCGTTGAGTGAACTTCGGGTCTCCCAAGCATAATAGAACCGCGGACAGCTCAAACTTTGATGTTGATGGGCAAGCGGGTAGCTTCCGAATTGTCTTCATCGCGATCCCTCGTAACACTTAGTATGACGTGTATACCGTTTCCTCATTGTGGCCGATAGCCACCGGTGAGAAAATATGGTGAGGACTGTGCTGAGGTAGTACGCAGACAACAATACAAAAGCAAGCCTTGACGACGGACGTTATTTCCATAAAAATCTTCGAGAAGAACAATGATTAGTAAGGTCAACTATGCATGGAATCGAGAGACACCAAACAAGGGAATTTGAATCAACATCTGGTAAATTGATCAATGGCGCACGAACATCATTGCGAGCCAAGATCAGCCAGAAGTTATGGTATGTAGTATTGCTTGCAAGGAAACAAATATCATGTACCGCTGCTAACAACTGAGATAACAGCTAGTTAACGCGCTTCCACATTTGACGGGGCAGTAAGAAAGATGCGCCAATTGCAAGGAGTGCCAGCACCATCATAAAATAGTACACCGCCCACGCATAATAGGGGTCCCTCACAGAAAATGAAAACATCGACATCGCCGACGCAGGTCCAATGATGCGCACAGACGCAGCGACTGTTTGAGCAAGGCCATTAGTGGCGCCCAATGATGCACGATTTGGAGATGCAGCTGCTATATACATCGCCCCGCAAGCTATCATGGATTGATCAGTGATGACCACGATACAGGGCATAAAAAACGAACAGTAACCCATATTGAGAGCGATGGATATTGTGAGCTGAAGGCCGACAGCAAGCCAGACTGTGGCGCCAATCCCATACGTCCGACTCAACATGTTGATTATCGGGAATGCGATGATGGTCGGTACACTAGACGCGACTGCGCAGGTAAATACCGCTTTTGTGCCAAATCGGTCGTGCAGTCGAGCAAAGAAAAACACCTGGAATAAACCATTGGCAATACCGAACACTGCAAGAATATTGCCAATCCGTGGAGGGTCAAGGCCAAGGCCACCCATGTCCACTGGCGTAGCATAAAACACAGGTATTAGGGAGCGCAGAGCGATGTCAAAGAGAGCCAGAGTTGCGTAATTCAACGTCGCAACGAGAACATGTGGAGTCATTAATGCGCTCAGAGGCAGGGGCCTAGAATCGTCAGGGGAACCTTGAACAGTATCGGAGTTTGATCTATCCAGTTGTGGTGGCTTGGTATGTGCGAACGTAAGGATGGTCCGACATTTGTTCCGAATTAGACTCCATAAGGATGTTGTCGTTGGCACAGTCTAAACATAGATGAGATGGATCAACCAAATAAGTAGACTACCACTTTACCTCCTGTAAAAGCACATACGTAACCAGCCATGCTAATGCAGTGAACAATGCTGGACCAGCGCAAGCCAAGAAATAAGGATGTGTCTTCAGAAATGTCGACTGCCCAAACAGTCTAGGGAAACGATCCGCCGGATGGGACAAGGACCCGCCAATGAGAGGTCTAGCCGACCATTCAACGTAAGAACGGGGTATACAAGGCAACGTGCAGGACCCTACCCGAGCGTATTCCCGGTCATCCATGGAAGAGGAAGAAAACCGAACGCCTGAGCAATGTTGCTTGAGTCTGTAACATCTATCATCATACTCTTGATGACACCACTGTTGCCGTTCAGTGCTCCACACAAGACACGACTGAACAAAAAAATTAAAATTAAAACCATCATATTTTCAAACAGAACATGATGCCCGAACCTCAATATCAAGCCCCCGAAGGTCTTTGAAAGTCCAAATAGGAACATGGAAGCCGATATACCGAATAGACCAGTCAAAATGACTGGCTTTCGGCCAACATGATCGGAAAGTCGATTCCATTGAAGGGTTGTGAGGGCTTGAGCTACGTAGAACACGGAATACTTGGGGGTGAATCAGGAAACAGCTATTTATAGCGAACACTACGCACTCACCATGATACCAACGAAATATCCTACCCTTGATTCATCGCCATGCGTCACTCCAACATCTCTGATCAACTGAGAAACGAAAGAGGTTTGTCAGAAACTCGTAAAATACGAACTCAGGCTGAAATTACCTGAGGTGCAAACGGAGCAATTGCCTGAGCAGTTATAGGCTCAGTGAGCTGCAAGAACAGTATAATGGATAGTTGGCGCCAGGGTAATGGTGTTTTGATTTTGTGCTGCTCCTCAGGCTGCAATAGAGGTGTCTCTTCATCCACTTGGTTGGACATGACCGGTGAAGGAGTCCATTCCAGCCCTTGGGATATATCGTTTACTATCCAGAACGTATGTAATAGAACAGGCCCCTTGTTCTCATTTACAAATGAGAACTCCCACAGCCTTACATAATTCCACGGAGTTGCCTTCGGACCACTCGTAAACGCTAGTATGGCCATTCTCAAGCGTCATGCTTTCTTGCATGATAAGTGTAGTACGATACTACTAATAGCCCAGGAGTCCGCGTTTGAGATCATGATGAGGAACATTTCAGACCGACCCGGATTCGAGTATTGTGCTTGGATGTACAGTCAAAAGGGTGTACTACGTGTTGGGTACAATATAGCTACGGAGTTTGAAAGACTCATTTCAGTTGTGTCAGAGGAGGGCTACCTTCCAGATGTCAGTTTAGAATAAGGTGTTTTTCAGATGCGGATTGGCGAGGCAGTGGCATTTGACCCATCGGCAGGCGGACAAATGACTTAAAAAAGGTACCGTTCTAAACGCCATGCAATATGATTATGAAACCACCAGTACCAGTCATATAGTGGTGACCCAGCACCCAGTACGATCCTCTAGCCAAGACATCCCTGCCCTACAACTGGGCTCGACAACGTGTGGAAAAGAACGACATAACATCGATCTCTCAAATAGGTTATGTTGGCGAACCTATGGTGTGATAAGATGCGGCATATTGCGATGTGCAACAGGTAGGGGTGGGGGTTTTGTGGGAATAGGTAGTACTCGTAGAATATGTAGGTGCAAATCACATATAAAGTCGGTGCGGAGGGTGACACAGATGAGAGCTTCTGTTTGGGCCATAGGCGCTAAAGAATATAGTCAGTTTTTGTGCCTGAGATCAGGTGTTGCGCATGTGCTGCCGTTACAGTGCTACTGTTGTACCATCACGCGTTTCAGTACGAGCCAGCCGATGATTTCGCAACACGCGTACGTACCGTACAAATTTCCCTTTAGCAGCCTTTGTTTTTGTGAGGGCCGAGTCCAATGCCACGCTGTATCTCGCGTTCGAACGGAGTGACAAAGTTATGTTCGTACCTTTGGAGGAAAAGCGAGAGCAGCTCAGCACCTGCACACCGTCCTTTGTGGGATTTATCGCAAAAGATGGGATGAGCTTCATTGTTAGTTAATGATTTCTTTGGGAGAAACGGAGCAAAGCTAGGTGGCTTGAGAGGTTGAAAAGGTCGAAGTGGTGGGGAGCGTGGCTATAGACAGGATATAGGAGGATGCACAGATGCTGATTCCAACAGGGCAATCCGAGTCGCTTCACAATTGGCACGTGAGACGTGTCTGCCCTTGTGTTTCTCGAAGTGATAAATGAGTTCAGTCGCTTGCGATTGCCAGCTGGGTGAACTGATATCTCCTTCTCCCTTTTTAGCTTTCTGTCCAAGTGAAAGTTGGGGAGTTCGGCAGCGAACAGGTTTTGCGATCACTGTCGAACACGAGTCGAATCCTTGCTTGTCATCAGGAACCTTTGTTGATGGCCTGGCCTTCGGTGGATCAAAAGAAGACACGAAGGGCGGGGAATGTTTGCACGCAGGTTTCGAAGTATCCTTTCGCTACTTAGAAGCCGTCGGGTCCTTGCAGGCAAGGTCTTTTGGCTGGTCGATTAATATATTGGGCTGTCAGACGTGGATCAGTATTTGAAATCAGAAGAAAATACATGTGCCACTGGCCTCCATGTTCTCTTCAGGTCGAGAAGATGACTGCAATGGCTGTTAAGCTTTCGTCCTGCAGTTTGTAAGTGAAGTGATAGGAGCCACATGTCGGTGCGTATATGAAGTTCCGGTTCGTTCGGTGTCCGAGCTGGCGAAAACTGTAAGGAAAAGAAGAGGACTAAGAGTATGTGGTAGCACAGTGGTGCCCTGTCCCAACTCGAGAGCTTTAAGCGTGAGCATGTGTGAATCACCCAGGTCCCTGCTAGCGCAGCTAGCATAAGCTACTGATGGACAAAAACGCGCAAATATCAGAAGAACGTACGAACTCAGTCATTCAGAAAAAAAATGTGTTGATACAATGATACCATATGCAGATCCCGAGAATCTACTGATAAAAAATGAATAGTATATAGGTCACTCTCGGTTGCACTACTGGCAATCTTCCCATCGACTAGGATCGCGAGGAAGCAACAGAGAAGTACCTACAGCGAGAAATGCAATCACCATCAAGAAGTAGTATACCAGCCACGCATCATGACCTTCCTGAATCGAATAAGAGAAAACCGAAGTTGCAGATGCTGGGGCAATGATCCTTGCTCCTGCGGCAACCATCTGGATAATTCCATTGGTTGCCCCAAGCGATGCGCGATTGGGAGCAGCTGCCCTGATGAACAATACCAAGCAAGCTGTAGGTTCTTGTCAGTTAAGTACCATGCACGAAGTACTGGGTTGACATACGATTGCACATCATCAGGCTAGTCGTCAGCACATGTTGAGCGGCAACACATAACCACACTGTCAGAGACATTCCATGGACTCGGGCCAGAGCATTGATCACTGGAAATAAAATGATGATAGGTATGCCAGAGCTAACACCAACGGTATGAATGGCCCCTGCGCCAAAGCGATCATGTAGACGAGCGTAGAAAAGTAGCTGGAATGCGCCATGGGCGACACCCGATACCGCAAGTATAGCCCCGATGTGGGGAGGATCAAGGGAAAGACCACCGAGTTCAATGGGCGTCGCATAGAACAAAGGTAGAATCGAGTTAAATGCCATATAAAATACAGCCATAGTAACATAACTTGCTGTTACAGTCAGGACTTTTGGCGTCAGCGAGGCGCGCAATGAAAGTGGCTTTAATGGAACTTCTTCAGAGTTTGCTTCCCCAGAACTGGCCAGAGTATTGTTCAATGGTACAGGAAGTTGTGTATCTGACCGTTGCGAGAACAATCCTTTGATTAGCCCCCAAAGTGGTACCTTTGTTGAGATGCTCTTGTTACCGCACTTAGTATACTCCAGATATGGTCTTTAAAAACATCACTCTCACCTCTCTGATTCGGAAAAATGTAACTAGCCAAGCCACCGAGGCAAGTATAGCTGGGACAGAGCATGGCAAGAGGTATGGGTAGGTTTTCAGGAGTTCTGATCGCCCGAAGATTTCGGGGAACCTATCTGCGGGTCGGGAGAGGGATCCTCCGATGAGTGGTCTAGGATTAGCATTGTGAACCCCGCTTCAAGAACAAGCAGACATATTGTAAGTGCCTACCCAACTATGGTCCCCAACATCCATGGGAGCGGCATATAGCCGTATGCCTTGGGCAAGTTGGTTGTGTCAGTAATGTCCATTACCATGCTTTTGACGATGCTATTGCTCCCATTGAACGCCCCACAGAAAACACGACTAACCAGTATATCAGTAATTGACTGTTGGTGTTATTGTTTAACATGCTGACCTGATCACCAAGCCGACATATGATTTCGAGAGCCCGAACGAGAACATCGAGACTGCTATCGCGAACAGAGCGGTCAATATCAAAGGCTTCCGCCCAATGTGATCAGACAGTTGACTCCAATGGAGGATAGTCAGTGCTTGAGCTATATAATACGATGATTGCTCGAAACGATATCAGGAAGGAACGCAAGATAACGAAGCATTGTGACATGCTCACCAGGATGCCAATATAGTGTCCAACCTGGGATTCGTCTCCGTTGGTCACACCGATGTCTCTTATCAGCTTGACAAATTGTGGTCAGATTAAATTCAAGCAGAGGGAATATACTCACTTGCGGGGTAAATGGGGCAAGGGTCTGGAAAACAAGCGAATCTGGAAACTGCAAGAACAATATGATCCAGAATTGATCCCAGGGCAGAGGTGTTCTGGCTATCGGCTGTTGCAAAAGAGGAGTCTCTTCATCATCCTGACGCGTGACCATGGTGGTACGAGAAGAAGACAGAGGGCGCAGCTTGTCACACTCCTTTTAATCATAATGAGCTGGCCGTCGATCGGGCTCATTGATAAGTAGTCCAAGGACTCATCACCTTTTTCGGTCTTTGGAACCTTCTTTTAGAAGGGTCAAAACCTGACTATATCCGTTCACATGCATGCGGAAACCTTTCTGAGCTTGGAAAGGAGTCAAATAGCTTTTGAAAAAGGCCAATGAAACAAGTAGCAGCCTACTAGTATCACGGATGCACCATAACTGCTGTCCAGATATCCGGCCGGTAGAGTTGAGTACAGTGAGTTTGAGGGACTCCTGCCAACTGTCAATGGCCTTTAGGTATGTCATAGGTAGGTTTTTCACCTCGACGTTGTCAACAGCGAGTGTGCGCTACTAGTCTGGGGTCGTCACACAGCCGCCGTACGCGCTTAGTCATCCTCCTCTGTGCACTCACTCTTCCAGTCCCGGGCCTGTTTGGGATCAACTTTTGCATTCGCCTATTTCTAGAGGGAGCAAATGGCCCGTGCATAACTGACTTGCTATCGGTACTTATTCAAGTTGTTGCAATATGTCAGCCACGAGGCAGACAGGCCCACTGAGTGTCGGACCTTCACACGGCCTGAGATGGCTAACCAGAAATCTCATCTCGGGTTCTTTCGTTCCAGCTGGAGATTTCCTCAACTACTATCCAGCAAGACGAGCTTGGATGTTCGGTATCTGTACCAAAATTACTTAATCTTTACAAGCTCATTATATCCCCCTGCTCGATGTTTGCCCGAAGTGTCGGAACAAGGTTCGCTCTCCCATTCACTACGAAAGGTGTTACAAGGCTTGTACGTCTCCCAGGGCACTTACACACTCGGGAGTGAATCCGTCCAGTTCTGCATAGTGACGCAGTTACATGTCAGCTTGCATCACGCTGGACCGCGCTGTGATTGTATCCCTGGGAAGGGACTGCTACCTTACTTATCTAGATTTTGTGGTCTGCAAGAGCGCGCCATTTGTTTGTCTCCGTGTTCGAATTTCACCATCCTCTTCGCTGCTTTTGAACCTTTTTTTTTCGTAACAGGTCCTCACTTTGATTCACAATGCACCAGAAAAGCCTGTAAAACTGCAAGGAGTCAAGGACGCAAAAAATATCTATGTTTGACTACCGCGCCATACATCCAGAATGCATTCGTACAACAAAATCACTGAGCGTACATATAGCTAAAAGCAGATAACATGCGGGTCGCTGGTAAGGATGCTATTGGCGATCTTCCCATATACTAGGATTACGAGGAAGCAACAGAGAAGTACCTACAGCGAGAAATGCAATCGTTATCAAGTAGTAATATACCAACCACGTGTCATGACCTTCCTGCATTGAATAAGAGAAGACCGAAGCTGCAGATGCTGGACCAATGATCCTTGCTCCTGCTACAACCAGCTGGATAATTCCATTGGTTGCTCCAAGCGATGCGCGATTGGGAGCGGCGGCTCTGATGAACAATGCCAAGCAGGCTACGACCTCTCAGTCAAGTAAGACACCGGAAGTATTTGGTTGACATACGATAGCACATGACCAAGCTAGTGGCCAGCGAAAGTTGAACGCCAACAGACAACCACACCGCCCAACCCAGGCCATGGACTCGAGCGAGCGCATTGATCACTGGGAATAAAATGATGATAGGTACGCCGGAGCCAACGCCAGCGATATGGATAGCTCCTGCACCGAAGCGATCATGTAGCCGTGCGTAGAAAAGTAGCTGGAATACACCATGGGCAACACCTGATACCGCAAGTATAGCACCAATATGGGGAGGGTCAAGGGAAAGGCCACCGAGTTCAATCGGAGTCGAGTAGAAAACAGGTAGGACCGAACTAAATGCCATGTAAAACAGAGCCATAGTGACATAACTTGCCGCTACAGTCAGGACCTTTGGAGTTAGCAATGCGCACAGTGGCAGCGGCTTCGATGGAACTTCAGAGTTTGCTACCTCAGAAATGGCCAGAGCATTTCTCGGTGGTGGGAAAGGCTTTGCATATGCCTGTCGCAAGAGCCATCCTTTGATCAGCTCCCAAAATGGTGTCCTTGTTGAAACACTCTCGTTACCGCACTTAGTGTGATCCAGACAAGGTCTTTAGAAAATCTCCCTCACCTCTTTGAAACGAGAATACGTGACTAACCAAGCCACCAGTGCGAATATAGCTGGAACGGTGCATGGTAAGAGGTATGGGTAGATTTGTAGGAGCTTCGGTCGCCCAAAAATCTCAGGGAATCTGTCCACTGGTCTGGAGAGCGATCCACCAACGAGTGGTCTAGGCTATTGTGAATCCCGTTTCAAGAGCAGGAGATAAATTATATCCCTACCCAACCAAGGTCCCCAACATCCATGGGAGCGGCATATAGCCGTATGCCTTCGGCAAGTTGGTTGTGTCAGTGATGTCCATTACCATGCTTTTGATGACCCCATTGCTCCCATTGAATGCCCCACAGAAAGCACGGCTGATCAGTAAATCAGTACCTGACGGTTGTGGTAGTTATTAAACACCCTAACCTGATCACCAGACCGACAAAAGTTTTCGACAGCCCGAACGAGAACATCGAAATTGATATCGCGAACAAGGCGGTAAGTATCACAGGCTTCCGCCCAATGTGATCAGATAATTGGCTCCAATGGAGGATAGTCAGTGCTTGAGCCGTATAATACGATGATTGCTCAGAATGATATCAGGAAGGAATGCAGGACAACGAAGGATTGCGACATGCTCACCAGGATGCCGACATAGTGTCCAACCTGGGATTCGTCCCCGTTGGTCACACCGATGTCTCTTATCAGCTTGACAAAATTCCGGTTGTGGTCAGATTCAGGTCCAAGTAGAGGGAATATATTCACTTGAGGGGTGAATGGAGCAAGGGTCTGAAAAACAAGCGAGTCCGAAAACTGTAAGAATAATATGATCCAGAACTGATCCCATGATAGGGGTGAAGTTCGGGCCGTCCGCTGTTCTGGCCGTTGGAGAAGAGGAGTCTCCTCATCATCTTGGCGCGCCATCATGTTGGTACGAGATAAAGATGGTCAATGTGCGCAGCCTATTAAACTCATACAAATGAGCCGTCAATCGAGTGGATCCTTGATTAGTCAATCAATAAGTAGTCCAAGTCTCACGAGGTGAAGAGGCTCGGACTAGGAGACAAAGGAAGAATAACTCAGTCTTGGCTGGAAAGGCTGAATTACGACAAGTGCATACCTAGAAGACGAAGGGTGAATAATTGTGTATCGTTAAGTATATATACGCAGACATAGTGATGAATTATGCTCACCTCTTGGTTAGAAAGACTGAGGGAAAACGATATCGTACCAAGGAAGACATTACAGAATCGTTGAAACGGAGAATGAAACGTGAACGTACGTGAAACGTGAACGTAGATGAAACGTGTATCAATAAATGAATGTGTATGTAAAAGAAAGTACGTACGGGATCACACATCGTGACACCGAGGGTACATTGACCATAGGAATATGCTGCTTCTGGAATCAGGTGACAGCAACCTTGAACGGAACCTCTTAAGTACTATTATTATCCAGAAGCACGAGCAGGTCCGCATTAGGTTGGGCCAGTACTGACGTATCCCAGCTGCAGCCAAATGTAAACATCCAGCACGAGGGCACATGATTTCAAGCAGGCATGACAGTACAAAGGCCAGTGATTTGTGGAGCATGTTCTCTGTTATGAAACATGATGGCAAAAGCGGAAGTCACGACGGTGCCACAGCATGGGCAATGGCGAATGCGATAAAAGTCGCGGTCAGGCCATGTTGCTAGCTGACCTCGTAATTCCTCCATGAATTCACGATATGCATGTCACTACTATACCCAGCTGGTCAGTGCCGCAATCGCTTTGACTCGAGAGTTTTCGTGTAATACGCATCTCTACGTCGCAAATGACAGTACACTATCACGTTGCTTTGGAGTGGCGGTCGCGGATATGAGTCAGGATTGATATAGTGTCTGAGGAACACGACGAGTCACATACCATCCACGTCTCCATCTTCATAATTGCTTTCCCTGAAGGCGCTCAGAGAGCTCCCAGAAGGAGGATATCAAGTCACGAACACGGGAAGGTCTCTGCTTGACCACTTCATTTTTTATACCCGGAAGATGCACTGACATGGCTGTAAACAGATAACATGGGGTCGTTCGCTATCGGTGATCTTCCCATACACTAGGATCTCGGGGAAGCAGTAGAGAGACACCTATAGCGAGGAATGCAATTGCCGTCAAGTAGTATACCAACCACGCATCGTGCCCTTCCTGCATTGAACAAGAGAAGACTGAAGCCGCAGATGCTGGGCCAATGATTCTTGCTCCTGCGATAAACATTTGGGTGATTCCATTGGTTGCTCCGAGCGAGGCGCGATTGGGAGCAGCTGTTCTGACGAATAATGCTAAGGAGGCTACGAGTTCTTCTCAGTTCAGTAGAATGCATCAAGTGCTGGATTGACATACGGTAGCACATGATCAGGCTAATCGTCAGCGCAAGCTGGGTGGCAACGCACAGCCACACAGCCAAACCTACCCCATGGGCTCGAGCCAGAGCATTGATCACTGGAAATAAGATGACGATGGGTATGCCAGAGCTAACGCCAGTGAAATGGATGGCTCCTGCACCGAAGTGATCATGTAAACGAGCGTAGAAAACCAGCTGAAATATGCCATGTGCGGCACCTTGTGCCGCAAGTATAGCACCAATCCGAGGAGGGTCGAGGGAAAGACCACCGAGTTCAATCGATGTCGCATAGAAAACAGGTAGGACCGAACTAAATGCCACGTGAAACAAGCCTGTGGTGGCATAATTTGCTGCTACGGTCGCAACTTTCGGGGTTAGCAAGGCGCGCAGCGGAAGTAGCGTTGATCGAGCTTCTCCAGGATTCGCTTCCCCGGGATTAACTAGCACATTGCTCGATGGCTGGCGAGGCTTTGTGTATGACTGTCGGAACAATCCTCCTTTGATTAGCTCCCAAAGTGATGTCCTGGTAGTTACGCTCTTATTACTACACTTAGTATGATCCAGATATGGGTCCTCAACACCACGCTTACCTCTTTGAGACGGAAATACGTGACTAGCCAAGCTATTGATACAAAAATTGTCGAAATAGAGCACGGCAGGAGATGTGGGTAGGTTTTCAGCAGTTCTGATCGCCCAAAGATATCAGGGAATCTGTCTGCTGGTCGGAAGAGCAATCCCCCAATGAGTGGTCTAGATGCCGTGAACCTCAGTGCGAGAGCAAGTGTACTGTATGCCTACCCAGCTGTTTGTCCGATCATGGCCGGAATTGGTATATAACCGTATGCCTTAGGGAGGTTGGTTACGTCAGTGATGTCCATCACCATGCTCTTGATGACACTATTGCTCCCATCAAATGATTCGCCGACAACAAGACTGTTCAAGGATATCAATAATTGACAGTCACAACTGCTATTCGATATTTAACACACTGACCTAACCACCAGACCAAGGAAGGTCTTCGACAGCCCAAATGAAAGCATCGAAACAGAAATTGCTAATAGAGCTGTCAGTATTACAGGCTTCCGCCCAATGTGGTCAGACAGTCGACTCCAATGAAAAATAGTCAGCACATGAGCTGCATAGTATGATGATTCCTCGGGAGGATATCAACAAGGAACGAAGGGACAGTGACGAAGACAAACTTACAAGGATGCCGACATAGTGACCAACCTGGGATTCGTCTCCGTGAGTCACTCCAATGTCTCTAATGAGCTTGACCAAGTTCCGATCGTGGTCAGATTCAAGTCCAAGCAAAGGGAATATACTCACTTGAGGAATAAATGGGGAAAGGGTCTGATAAGAAAGAGGTTCTGACACTTGCAAGAGCAATATAATCCAGAATTGATCCCAAGGCAGAGGTGTCTTAGTCGTTGGTCGCTCTGGTCGTTGCAGAAGAGGGGTCTCCTCGTCATCCTGCCGTGCAATCATGGTGATACAAGAAATCTGGACAGACGGAGAAGAGGCAATCATGCGACAGCTGTCTCTATATTTGGCCTTATCCACGCTGCCAATGGTCGTACGTAGGGAACGACTTGGACAGTCCTTATGAACTCATTCCACGGATGCTAGCCGACTTGTTGGCTAGGTCATTGATAAGCAGTACAACGGCAGTCCACAAGAACCTGCTTTGAGTGACCTAAAAGCATCACACGCTGACGTAAAAGCAGGCACCTCCTATTACGCATGTAGCCCCGTATAGCCGCCTGTAGCCAGGCCCGGAGGTAGGTACGTACCCCGCCTACATAGACTCAGGTTTGACTATTTCATTGTTTATACCCGGAAGATGCACTGACATGGCTGTAAATATATAACATGCAGTCGTTCGCTATTGGTGATCTTCCCTATACACTAGGATCTCGGGGAAGCAATAGAGAAACACCTATAGCGAGAAATGCAATTGCCATCAAGAAGTAGTATACCAACCACGCATGATGCCCTTCCTGCATTGAATAAGAGAAGACTGAAGCCGCAGATGCTGGGCCAATTATTCTTGCTCCTGCAAGAAACATCTGGACGAAACCATTGGTTGCTCCGAGCGAGGCGCGATTGGGAGCAGCTGCTCTGACGAATAATGTCAAGGAGACTATGGGTTCTTCTCAGTTCAGTAGAATGTATGAAGTACTGGATTAACATACTGTAGCACATGACCAGGCTGATCGTCAGCGCAAGCTGGATGGCAACACACAACCAGACCGCCAAACCTACCCCATGGGCTCGAGCCAGAGCATTGATCACTGGAAATAATATGATGATGGGTATGCCGGAGCTAACGCCAGTAAAATGGATGGCTCCTGCACCGAAGTGATCATGTAAACGGGCGTAGAAAACCAGCTGAAATATGCCATGTACGGCACCTTGTGCCGCAAGTATAGCGCCGATGCGAGGAGGGTCGAGGGAAAGACCACCGAGTTCAATCGGTGTTGCATAGAAAATAGGCAGGACCGAACCAAGCGCCATGTAAAACAGAACCAAGGTGACATAGCTTGCTGTTACAGTCAGGACCTTTGGAGTCAGCAATGCGCGCAGCGGAAGTGGCGCTTCTCCAGAGTTCGCTTCCCCAGGATTAACTAGCACATTGCTCGATGGCTGGTGAGCCTTTGTGTATGACTGTCGGAACAATCCTCCTTTGATTAGCTCCCAAAGTGATGTCCTGGTAGATACGCTCTTATTACTACACTTAGTATGATCCAGATATGGGTTCTCAACATCACGCTTACCTCTTTAAGACGGAAATACGTGACTAACCCAGATATCGATACAAAATTTGTCGAAATAAAGCACGGCAGGAGATATGGGTAGGCTTTCAGGAGTTCTGATCGCCCGAAGATGTCAGGGAATCTGTCTGCTGGTCGGAAAAGCGATCCCCCAATGAGTGGTCTAGATGTCGTGAACATCAGTGCGAGAGCAAATGTACTGTATGCCTACCCAGCTGTTTTTCCGATCATCATCGGAATTGGCGTATAGGCGTATGCCTTGGGCATATTTGTTACGTCAGTGATATCCATCATCATGCTCTTGATGACACTATTGCTCCCATCAAATGCTCCGCCGACAGCACGGCTGGTCAAGGATATCAGTGATTCAAGGTCACAGCTGCTATTCGATGTTTAGCTGAACACACTGACCTAACCACCAGACCAAGAAAGGTCTTCGACAGCCCAAACGAGAACATCGAGACAGAAATTGCTAATAGAGCTGTCAGTATTACAGGCTTTCGCCCAATGTGGTCGGACAGTTGACTCCAATGAAAAATAGTCAGCATATGACCTGCATAGTATGTTGATTGCTCGGGAGAATATCAGGAAGGAACGAGGGGCAGGAACACTGAAAACAAGCTTACAAGGATGCCGACATAGTGACCGACCTGGGATTCGTCTCCGTGAGTCACTCCAATGTCTCTAATGAGCTTGACAAAGTTCCGATTGTAGTCAGATTCAAGTCCAAGTAGATGGAATATACTCACTTGGGGAATAAACGGGGAAAGGGTCTGACAAGAAAGAGGTTCTGACACTTGCAAGAACAATATAATCCATAATTGATCCCAGGGAAGAGGTGTCCTGGTCGTTGGCTGTTCTGGTTGTTGCAGAAGAGGTGTCTCCTCGTCATCCTGTCGCGCAATCATGGTGATACGAGAGATCTATACAGACAGAGAAGAGGCGATGGCGCGACAGCTGTCTCTACTATATTTAAATTTGGGGTTATCCACGCATAGAACCGCCGCCAATGGTTGTACGAGGGAATGTACTAAAAGATGTGGCTCATTATACGTGAAGTCATTCCAATGAGGCGGTTGCTGACCGGCTCGTTGGCTAGCTCATCGATAAGGAGTACAACGGCTGTTAAACGGCAGTCCACAAGTACCTGCTTGTTCTGATCAGTGACAAGAATGATCACACGCGGATGTAGTAAACGCAGCTTATTACTCTCCTATTATGCATATTAAAAGCCACGTATAGCCGCCTGTGGCCAGAGGGTAGGTACGTACCCCACACCGTCGCCTCAAGCTTATAGCTGGCTAACCCTCACGGTCTTGAGGTCTGCGCCCACACGAGGTGAGATTAAATAGAGCGGACATAATAACAAAAGCCCAAATCAACGACGTTGCGATCTGAGGACTTACATCAGGTACGACGCTGGTGCTACAGCATGAGGCGCACCATGTGATGAACGTCTACGGATGACTCCGATACGTCAATTGGCCAGGCACTACACATGTATTTCTGTGGCACCAACCAAGCTGGCTTCAATACACCTTCAAAGCGGCAGCTCCCGAGCCCACATCAGCAAGGGAATTTAAAGCACGAGCAATGGACCAGTGACGACCATGATTGTCGCGCGTGTACTTATCATTGGCAGGCGACGAATGTGGTCAAAGGTTCGATAACTTATTCATTTGTGGTACACTGCACACAAGCGAAGTGAAAGCTAACGCAGTGCGGATCCGGCCTCAATAGATGAGAAGTCGTTGGTCGGTGCCAGCTCGTCGATAAGGGGTACAATCAAGAGGCGTGCGTTCGCAAAATCCCGAATAGTGACGGCTTTGGGGTACAATGGCAGTTATCCGCTCGCAGCCAGAATTACGAACGTAAAAACAAGTACCACCTATTACGTTGTAGTACTTCAGCTACTCCACAAGTACACGCACGCGAGACTAGATAATATTAGAGTAGACATAGCAAAATGTAAAACATGGACCATATAAATAATCAAACGTGTTGCGCGCACGCGCAATGAAAGTTCGCTACGTTACGTCTACTCAGTGATATGATGACTGCACATTATTTTACGAACTGTCCTTGCTCGGCACTACACCCGACAACGTAGATTTCCACCCACCATCGCTATCGTGGCACCAAGACACCAACCAAGCTCTGTGCCTTCAATACGCTTCCCAAGCTGCACCTCCCGATCATCACCAAACTCGTAGCCAAGAACCAGCAAAGCGTGCTGGAAACTGAGATCAAGGCACCACTCTGGTCGACCTTCTAGCTCCTCCATGACTTCAGGATAGGTACCCCAGTACTGTTCCCAGCTGGTAGGTCCCGCGCAGACCCGTTTAGCAAGCGTGGCGAATGTTGAAATTGACATTGGGGGCTGGGGATGATCTGGTGACGAGTCTGCTAATTGTAATGGAGTGACTCGATCGTAGAAATACGAGAGAAGAAGGATTTTTCCATTAGGAAAGGCGTCCAGGAGTGACGGCTGGTAAACACCATTGAAGGAGCACGGTTTGAGTTCACAAACGCTATTGCGAGCGATCAATAAACACGAAGGACATCGATAGAAAACGAAAGGACTCACTCATCCTTTGCCATGACAAGCTCCAAGATACGATTGCAGGCCTCAAAATTGCCAACATCCGATCCTGTCATCGTCACTGTCATGGTATCGCCATCCCCCGAGGGAAGCTTCACCTCTTTCACGGACCCTTGAGCCAAGCAAGGGTTGTGGATCATTCTTACCCGATCATTAGCGTCGTTCTTGCTGGACCTCAGAGAATCCATGAATTGGACGACGCGATGCACGCTCTCCCGAGCGCTCTTGAGGCCATATCCAAGATATGAGTGCTGGTATAACACTCGCTTAGCCTCACCAAACTCGAGCTCATACTTGTGCTCGCCCTCCTTGAGACCTTTGTCGCTTTTCTCATCGCCAAACTGGGGCTCGAACACAATCTGCGTGGACCCTCCACCCAAATCGAGCACTGCATAGGGCGGTGCGTCCTTGGGCGAATCACCTCTGATGGTATTGAGAAGATAGTTCGCAGTGATCCATGCATAGACACCTTCGTCTTTGCCATCCATGATGACTACACCATCCTTATCGGGGAATGGGAAGGGGTATTTGGAGAGGATGTGGTCATGCACCGCTTTGAGAATATCGTCACTTTGGCGGGCGCCGAGAAGTCGAAGCCCAGCGGTGGCTTTAACAGCGACAGGCGTGCAACCGCGCAGGGATTCTGGTACCACGGTCATGGCTTCGTCAAGGAGAGGGTCAAGACTCTCTGCCGCTGCAGTTGGGAGTCCTGCATACGAAGAAAGCCCTGGTTGAATCATGCGGAACACCTCGTACTCAAAGGTTGGCGAGGGTCCGCAGTTGTGGAATTTGTAGATGTGGATGCGCGAGCCAGTAGAACCGGCGTCAATCATGAGGGCATACTGCACAAGAGGGAGGGTAGGAGAATGTGGGGATGTACAGTGTACAGTTTTGAGGAGGTCTGGGTCTGTTTCGGGAGAGGTAGGGAAGGAGGTTTGGGATGGTGGCGATATAATAATAGTCTTGTGAATGTCGATTTCATCCTCTGGGGGATCCAAAGGAGTTGTCTTTGTGGGTATAGGTACTACTGGGGGATAATCATCGTCCATGCCAGGCAATGACGAGCCTTCGTTTCATGATATGTAAATACATCCCTGGACGACAACTATCGCAAGACGTACCAGGTATCAAATCTATGCTCGATCTCGGTCCAAAAAGCCAGACCACAGAAATGAGCAATGCAGCACCAATTGCGAACTTCTTCCATGCTAGCATCCTAGCCGTACGACCTGGACCCAAGCCGCCCTCGAGACGCTCGTAGTTGCTGCTCGAAGTTGACGTGAAGAACATGTCAGTTGTCAGGAGCCTGCGAGCACGAGCCTCGTGTCTAAGGTCAACGGACGTAGAGCGACCTGAAGGATTTAATCGCGTAATGGCGAGTCGGCAGCCTTTCAAGACAAAGTGTTGGTATCGTGGAAGTATTTAGTCAAACCTTCAAGCTTCAAGCCCCAAGCTGAAGGAATAGTCTGGGTTGTTCCAGGTGGAACGTTTACCCTGACCGACACTTCTGAGACAAGTTTAATTGGCATAGCCTCAATTCACAGTCACATTGACAAGTTCAAACCAATGACAACGCAGAAACCAGTACTTCTGATTTGCAGGTCTAATCGATAACGCATATGTATGTAATCAACCTTGGGCATATAGGCGGGGAACGTGAATACTACTAGGCGGTGATGCGTAATGAAGATAAGAGGATAAAGATCAAGAAAATATCGAAGGTGGGGACGAAGAACGCAGGTCAGAAGGGATCAAGACCGATCACGAACATGTGGGAAGGGGATACGACGATGCTCTTCGCCAGTGGATGGGGGATAGGGATGGTGAACGTAATAAGAATACACAGAGCATCGAAGTCCAGGACTATTAGGTATCAAAAGAACGACGAAGAAAATGAAAAAACTACTCGAGTGGCTTTTCATGGGTCTGGAAGCTCGGGATACTCGATGTTATGACTTCGCAGTAGGGCCTGGTAAGTCATTGCCTTCGATTTCCAGATCTCACTTTCGCGCTTGTACTGCTCAACACTCTCCTCCAACTCACGTTGGTACTCCAGCTTACGCTTGCGACTTCGTCGAGCAGCGATCGTGTTTTGGCGCCTCTTCGCCTCAATCTGCTGCTGCTCAGTCATGGAAGGGTTGATGTGCACGTCCTCGACGAGCTCGTCTTGCTCGTCACCAAAAGCAGCCGCACGCGCTCGCTTCCGAGCAAAAACAGCAGGAACCTCCTTACGAGAGGTCACTGACGGGGTAAGGTACTTGCGCTGCTGCGTGGGAGCATCGACAGGGACAAGGGCCTCCGGCGTAATGTTCTTACGCGTGCCAGTGACAGCAGTCTTCCGCTGCGGTTGTCGATTGGCAGGAGAGTCGAGGGGTGATTCGAATGGAGTGTTGAGCATTGGAGTATCGGGAGACATTTGGTATAGTGCATCGAAGTTGGGTTTTGGGACGTGATACGGCTCAGTGGGCTTGTTTGGGGCATAAATAGAACCGAAATCATCGAAGAGAGATGGGAGTTCGCCGTAAGAGTCACCCCCGAAATCATCCAAAAGCGGACTCGTGAGGATGTCCGCATTGATGTCCGCAGAGTCGAATGCGGGCGTAGTGAGCAGCTCATCATCGAAGGGCGAGTCAATTAGGGGTGAAGTGAGGTACTCATTCAAGTCATTCGACATAGTGAGTTCCGGTGTGGCTGGTAGCGACTGTGTGAGCCACGCAAGTGCGGCGGGAGTGAACAACTTACCACCGAGAACGTCCATGAGGGTCTGAATGGCTTCAGCGTCAGACGGCGTAGCCGTCGATGGCGCCGTGTCCTCTGCGTGGACACCGGTCGCATCGTTGTTGTCTGGTTTTTGTGACAACATGTTCAAGTAATTCGAGCACAAATTGGCGAAATCGGGTGTGTTTGTAGATGCGAAAGATTCAACAGACAGTGTTGAAGATGGTTCTCCTGGTTCTGGTCTACGAGGAGTTGTACGAGGTGCGTTGGGCAAAAATTGGGGTATCCCATAGTGGGCTGCAAGATCCGAAATGTTATTGAAGACCGGAGTAGACGTCGTTAGACGTGTTGAGTTACTGTTTATCGCGACATGGCGAGTGGACGAGAAACTTGAAAGTTGGGAACTTTCAAGGAAATTATGCGAGACATGGTGACCGGGTGTTTGCGATGGACCAGGTTGGTGCAAGAACGACAAGCGATTTACAGGCGGAGGGTCGAGGACATGTTGGCTAATGTAGTGGGTAGGTTTATGTGAAATTGCGGGAAAGGGGGACGTGTTAAAGGAGGAGTTTGACGCAGGCGGCAACTTCGGCTGCCTGGAAGCTCTGGACGACGACGCAGTCAGTTTCCCGTTCATATCACGTTGAGCATGGTATTGAGGCAAGAGTGGTGAGTGTGCGTTGCATCGCGATGACTCCCCTGACCCCAAAGGCTGCACTGAAATTGTTCGTGAAGGCCCGGGAAGGGGCATTGTACGAGACAGATCAGGTGACCCCGAGGTCGATGGATGATTATACGCCGACATTGTTTAGCCACGCGCACTCTTGATTTCAATCGATTTGATAGAAATCGGCAATATGATTCTGATATGATTGTGCGCAGCAATGCAATGCAGACAAAGCACACGTAGAACACAATGAAATGAATCAGACAGAACTGAGTCACTCACGGTTAGCTTTGAGTACTTTAAGACTCGTTTGGACGCCTGAGCAGTACAAGAACCGCTCTCAGGTGCCAGTTGGTGGTTTGAGGGGAAAGAGATATGGAGACGATTTGTGACTCGTGTGTGCTTATATGGGAGTTTTTTCACCGCTTTTCAAGCTCAGAGCCGCGCATTTCCTAAGATAGTGTGAAAGGTACAACAAATCCGGTGATTTTAAAACAACCGACAGATATTGGAAAAAACAATAACATATGTTATTGGTTGAAAAATCATCCGGTAAGATAACTGCCTTCATTCTCCCTACAAGTTACCAAAAAACGGTGGTTCAAACGTTGGAAAACACTCCAAAAATCATAGTATATCGTCTGAGTCATGCCGATGGCATCGGGACTACATCGGTGGCTGAGCCGTCGTTACCGCATCCTGACTCACCTCAATAACCACGGCTCAGACAATAGGCCAGAATGGCGGCCCGCTGTCTATCAAAAGTGCCAATCGGATAGCTTGCCGGCCAACGGGTTGCACAGCCTTGCGAATAGCTGCGGACACATCACCGCCAGAAAAAACACGTTACACAATGTGTTGGCGAGTAATGCGTGAGAGCCGAGGAGACTGCGCGATCGCAGCTGCTGCGAGCTAGTGTTCAGTTCTAATGCGATACCTGCAAGTGCACATGCCTGCGGCGTCAGCGACTGCGAGTACTTATTAATCCGTATTCGTTTGCCTCACAATTTGATGCGAAAGGGTCGGCACAGTAGTTGCTTCTGGAACAGTCAGAGACATGGGAGAACTGGCGTTCCGATGCTGTTTGATCGCCGCAAACTAGTGGATGGACTAGAACCTTCTGTGCGAGAGGCTATTGTTCCCTAGGAAAGTTGCAGAACGCTGAAAACTCCAGTAGCATTGTGCACTTGATTAGGCGATTATCATCACAATGATTACATGCAATGGACCAACTTAATCAAGGCACATGATCAACCCCGTTTTTAGAGAACTTGATCTAGTGAATTGTTTCTGATCTCTGTATTGAGACACGATTAATGAATCTGTTCTCGAATGAGACAACGGAAAAATTCTAAGCCAGTGATGGCACCCAGGACACGAGATGGAACGCAGGTCTGCTTATCACTAAGCACGTAGGGAGCACCAAGTGACCGGCAGGTTGTAAGTCTAATACCCAGGTAGCAAGCTAGGCATCTTTGATATCGTGATAGATCGTGTCGCTATGTACCGTTTATGAAATCCTCTGAAAGGGAGTCGGAACTTGCCCTGAGCCGTTGATTCCCACGTGCCAAGTATGGTCACGCAGTGTAGTGTGAGGGAGGGCGGTGAAAATGGTTCGAATATTTGCCAGGCCCTCAGCATTGCCTGGAGGAGTCCCCTTTCACAAGCGAATGGTCCAGTGCGCCAGAATTTGGAGGCAGTGTCTGCTCAGACCGCGGGTGACATATGGCAAGGCGATGCCACAATTTCATGGAGAATAGAATACCAAAAGAAGTTTGAGGACATGAGAGTAAGTGATTTGGAAGAGTCGAGCGGAGGGGACATTATATAGTCTCCCGTAGGCAGTTCAGATCCTGGACGGAAGGTTGACTCGCAATGACACAGTGAACGGAACATCAGTATGAGTCAAACAACTTGTGGAAGCAGTTACCAGTTGAACTTATTACGTAATTTTATCGGACCTTTCCTTATGGGATTAGATAAGATCAATCACATAGCACCCACCGGTCGTACGCGAGACCGTCACATCCGAAACATCAACGACATCCCCAGATCTAGAAATATACAGAATCTAGTTGAACCTGTGCTAAAGTTGGCTAGCCAACGAAATGCGAGCAGTATAAGTACTTGATCCTTCTGAGTCCAATGTTCACACAATCACCTACATCTCCTTCATCAGCATCATGCCGCATCATCACAACCATCACGAAGACCTTGCTAACGCACATGCTGAGGTAGTTTAGCACTCATTCATTACATATTCCATCTAATCGTGCGCATCGCAGGTCACTAATGCACCCCACAAGGCAAAGCTCTCTCATGAGCTGATCGCTGCTGCAGCTTCGTACGAGGTGAGTTATCCTGCTTATCGATCTTCCCATCCAACCTCAAAATATCATCGCAGGCAATGAAAGCTTACAATGATCACTGCGAGAAGAACGGCAAGCCTGCAAGCCATGACAAGGCCAAGGAGATCTTGTAAGTCTCTCGGCCGCGAAAGACATACATCGTAACTGATGTTGAGCACAGGGCTGGCTTTGCCGGAGCCTTCATCGACCACATGGTCGAGACGAAGGGTGTACGTTTTATCTTACCTGATTGTCCGTGCAATCCATAACGTGAATCATTATTCTAGTTGGACCTCTTAGACAGCCAGAAGGCCAAGCACCAGGGTAAGTATCACAGATCTTACTCGTGACACTCGAATTGATTGTTCTGTAGCCAAGGAAGCTGCCTACGAAAGGACTGGTTATTAACCGTCAGCAACAATCTCATGCAACCTAATACCCAACCAATACCATCGTTGATCTTCATGTAACAAATGTAACGATAATATATACACACAACCTTAAGTATTATATGATATGCATCCATGTTTGAACAGTATCAGAAAACGATCAGCTCATACGAGCGAGGTCATGATATTATCAGCACTCAAGCGTAGCTGATGAAAGACATAAATATAAGTAATCCGTCAAAGTGAGAATGTCTAGGTTGCAGAAGTCGTGGTCTGAGGACTGGACTTACAAGTGAAGGAATAAGTAGTAGTATACACATGAGTATCAGCTAGCTGGTGAGATCAGGGAAGAAATGTAATATGCGGAGGTATACCTGCAGACATGGTTGGGAATAAAGGATCGTCGTTCAAGAACTATGTCCGAGGTAATATCGTGTAGCGTATCCATTGTTCGAGAATATCTATAATGGGGTCCGTAAATCTAGAGCAATGACACGAGTATCGTGCATGCCATTGCAAGGAGTGTCCACGAAAGTCCTTTGGGATGATATGTCCATTCCGCACTAGTGCATTGCAAGAAGTTAGCACAAATGGACATGTGTCGTAACCGAGATAGGGACCCACCCGCTTGAACTACCTGCCTGCTGGACCATCTTAACGGTTAATACCGCCACCAGTCCATCGATCGCATTTTGGCCATTGACAGGGACACTCTGATAGTGATTGATGCCATCGCTAGTGTTCTGTAGCAACCCAGAGACGTACGTCGCAGTGGTCGCATAGGTAAAACTATTAAAGGATGTTTGCCCCGAGTACGTTGATGTGTTGGTCATGTTTGCTGTTGGAAGAATTGTCGACTGAGAAGTAGCATTCCCGACGAGCCAGTCTCGACCTAGGTTATAGCTGCGGGATGTAAGTCGAAGACAATTGAAAAACAATTCGCTCCCACCCATTGACTATGATATTATGCTGCTCTGAAACATAGTCATTAAGAACTCTGATCAAAGTTACCTCTCTGACGCACCGGCAATAGGCATTTCATATGAAGTTGCCATGAATATTGCACCCGAGTCAGCGCTTGGCCCATTTTGTACCCAATAGCGAAAGTGGTTCCCTCCTTCGACCGTCTCTTGGCAAGTTCCAAGGTTAGCATCACCGTAGTCCCACCGAATGACGGCAGTCTGGTTTACTAAAACACTAAGCTCCGGGCAAAGCCGAATTACGATTAAACAGGAAACGTACAGTAACCGCTCCCGTCGCCAAGATTAGCAGTTTGCACACTATCGTCACTCTGTCCCAAACACTCGGTCGAGAACCCGAATGATCTGCCTGCACGTAAGAACGACTCCACAAGAAAAAAAGAACCATGCTCACTGAAAATAATTGATAAGACCGCCGTTTGCCAAAGTATTCTGCAGCACCCGAGAATCAGAGTAGGCAGAGATGATGACATTCATGGGTTCTCCAAGGCCTGACGGATAGGTGTCCTGGACTTGCTGCAGAGCGTATTTCTCACATCAACACCGTCCCATAACACGAGTCCACGTATGAGAAACATAAAGAACGTACAGTAAGCATACTCCCACCAGCATCCATCGGGTCGTAGTACCCATAATTCGTCGATCGTTTGTGCGGAGGAAGTGCGGGTGCAGGTGGGCCCGTCGGTGGACCTTTAGCAGCAGCCATTGCAAGTATCGACAATAATACAACGTATCAGGAGAGCGCTGAAGCACGCGTGAGCACGACGTTAATAAGTGTAATTGAATCGTACGTCTTTCGAATTTTGATGTGCCTGGATCTGGAGGGGGCGCGTCTGTCACTGGGCACGTTCTTGAGAGCAGAAGTCTAGGTGGGCCTGCCAACGAGAAGAAATATAGCAAAGAGTGTCGTGAAAGCTGAAAACGTGTTAGCCATGTATTTCGGTTTCCTTCACATAGTTACGTTGCGTTTTGCATTCGTGTTACATAATCAATGTTCGGGACAATGGACTCCAACTCGATCCGATCAGGCGAGAGTTTCTCTTGTTTTTCAATACCCCTTTTGTCGCTTCCAATTGAAGCTTTGTCCCAAGAGATTCTTCTCAACATAAAGTTTTACCCTACCAGGTCCATCTAGGTCTCATGCTTTAGCCAAACGCAGATTAAAGTTCGAGGTCATTTTGGGTGACTCATCGGTCTAAAGTTCCCGAATTCGTGAAGCGGGGAACTCGAGTCTTTGACACTTGAGCTATATATGCGGTGGTTCGCGATGAAATTAACACCCTCCGCGCCTAATATTACTTCTGCTAATCAAAAATTTAAGGTAGGTTCATGCAACATGTTGAGCTGCAGACGCTTATATGCAGTGTTCAAATCCCCCCGGTCTGGCACGTTGAGATGCACAGGTCCTGTAGGACTCGATCACTTCCATCATTAATGCTCACTACTGGCGGAACAGCAGAAAGAGGCTGAAAAAATGTAAAAAAAAAACCTGTCGAGGACATGCACTATGCTACAGTCGCGGACAGAGCGAGAATACAATGGCCAATTCAGGTGCGCAGCAACTGTGCTCACCTTCTGTCCCACCAGCCGATGTATCATACAACTTGAAATTGGCCTATATCTGGTCGTGATCATGGGCGTGTACTCCAATAAACGCTCGAGCTTCACTCTGAACATGCAACATTATAGAGGCCTCGGCGCACCAACTTTTCGCCACCGGGCCAGGAAGTCTTCAGTTCACGTTCTCAAATTCTCTTGAGTCCAACTTCGATCCGCATCGACATCTCGAACTTTACTAAATTTCCCCTTCGAGCCCCAGTCTAAATCTCGCTGTCACATAATTATATATACCGCACATTCGTTAGCCGGCTTGGCTCTTCTTGCGAGTACACAAATACATACCGGGTTATTACTTCAAGCTACCCACGGTTGGCTTTTTCTGGTACGTAGCTCGTCGCACGATCTGAGAGACTGAAATTGTGATTGCCAAAGCCAATGTCTCATATTCGGCGGAAGGTCTTTTGTTTATCGAGCTTTCCGGCCATGAACAGCACTAGCAGGCTTTGTTCAATCAGGCTCGAACCAGCCATTTTTGCACGCTGGCAATGACGCCTTTCAACCTCCACCTCTAAAAATGGTAGCGGCCTACTGGTAGCGAGTCTATTTTTCGATTGGAGAATATACGGTATACAGATCTGCGCATCCCATCAAGTAGTTGCTCAACCAGATACTGACAGATCTAGAGACGGACGTACGAACGCAAAAACAATTTGGTGCTACCAACCGTCCCAATACCTCGATACCGCCGTGCTGCGCGCCAGACGCTGTGAGCAGTACATCTATATTTTCTGTGATCTCTCGTTTGGTCGTTCCCTCTCTGTCGCCGTGCCGCATTCGATCCCATTGCTGTACATACCACGCGCTGTGCTACCAAGGCAACGCAGGGGGAGCTCCAAAAGGGGCTCTATGAATTCTAGCTCTCCGTCCCTCCTAACCCAGCGCCGACAAGTGCGCAAGACGATATACCGCATCAGTATGCCCACTACTGGGAGCCGAGGTATGATGACGAAATGCGGGTCGGGTACCACAGACATTATAACGCTTCGAGATGACCGCTCAACCATTTCAGACGAGATTTCATCAGGCTGAGGGTGTAGTACAGTAGCCTTACTCTCCAGTTTCTGCCGTATAACATTTGTGATGTCAAAGTATGCATACCCCGGCAGTGATCATCATCCGGTCACCCCTAAGCCGCTAGTGCCAAATTATTGATGCCGGAATCACATCGTGCCCTCGAGTAAAATAGTGTACACACACTCAGGGAGGAGAATGATCACTTCCACATCGAAAATAATTTCTATTGATTTTAGTAAGTTGCTCGATTCAGAGCATGCTACACACGACCCCCGATAGTGAAAGAATTTTTTCCAGTGTTTATTGAACCATATCATGATCCCCCAAAAACTCTTCCTTCCCAACCCAGTTGAACGACCCCGAAGTTCGTGTAGCCAGCCCTTCCTCTGGTCGTCCTTGACGTCCTCTCACCAACCCCGGCTTGACGTTGTCCAATGGTTTCTGACCCCGCTTGCATAACCGACCTGCCGCTTGAAGTATTAGAGCACATTCTGGTTATTTCGGACCCCATTGACGTCGCAAGTACAACCCAAGTGTGTCGACTCCTCCGCGGGCTCGTCTACTCTGCCGGTGATGAGCATTTCTGGCGAGCTCTTTACTTGGCGCAACCATTTGATGACCCCCGTGAGGCGGTCACCTACCTCGGCAAACGCCGGACTGACATCAAATGGAGGGAGGAACTACAACGCATCATTCGCGCAAGGACAGTCGTGAATGATGTTACTGTCTGTCGACCAGATGAAAGATGTCAGGTGCTACGAACCCTGCTTGACATGGTGACCAACGTACCGCCTCTACCTTCCTCTGAGAGCGAGCCGACGTCCCGTAATGTGTTGTGGATGCAGGCGCTCTTGCAGGACGGCGCGTTCCTAGATCTGGAAAGCCATTCGCATGAAGAAGAACAGCTGCGCGCACGCTTGCACACATGGTTTGGGCTGACTGACATAGACGCTTTGCCAACGAAGAGAGTAGTATCCCGAGCGTATGTGTACAGTCAGCGCAACTACCAGTCCTCAAACAGCTTTGGGCCTTTTATGCAAGATGGGAGTGGAGTAGTCAATTGGGTGCATATGCAGAAGCTCGCACACGTCTTCGCTAGCGCGTTGGTGGAGAGGGAGGAGATGAAGGACTTGCTTTTGAGGGTTGCTCTCTGAGCCTGACTTTCTGTCAGGCTGTCATACCACCCAGCCTGAATATGAACCGCGAGACTGATTGGGCTGGCGTCGAAGGCTTGTGGCACATCTCTTATTGTTTCATGGATCATCGGGAGTTACTAAGTAAGCCATCAATGTTCTTGTTCTTCAATTTGTCTCTGACGTGGCACATTGCTCCCGTTCAGTTTACAACGATCCCAATGTATGTTCTTATTGCCTGTAATTATTGTCCCATCTGACGGAAATTTTACAGATACCAGAGGACGAGCCACTTGATCTCACTATATTCGAAGAGGGAGAGTTACAAGAGACATTCAGTGCAATAGACATATTTTTCCGCGTGATCAATGTCGAGGAAGACCCGGATCACCCGGCACGGCCCATAATCAACTACGTAGGAGAGATGGATGGCAATTTCTCCATCGTCGGCTACGTCAAACTCACGCCTGACAACCAGATACGATGGCACTTTGTAAGTTTCACCAGTCAAGTCAATTTGTTCTTGCTGACGCCGAGACCGGGTACAGGTCGCTGGTAACGGAGACCAGCCAGTGTGGTGGTATGGTCCTCGCGCTTACTGTTCATCATTTGGTAACCACATACTCTAAAACAGGGGTGAAGCGATTGTTATGGGCAACATCCGTTCTCAATATGGAGTTCTTGGAGCTTGGTCTACGACCTTGCATGATCTACAGGATCCTATTGGTGTGTACAGATTATCTTCAGGTCAATCTCTCACATCAGCTACTAATACCCGACCTCAGGTCCATTCTGGATGCAGTGCCAGCATCCCATTGAAGACTAACCCCTACTGTTCTCACCTTCGATCATCCGACGCCCCTTTTTATCCATGTTTTCATTGGGAGTGACTGCTACAAATCCAGTCGCAAATGTTGTACATAGTATGTGTTATTTGTTTTTTTTTTCTGGGACACGCGGAATCTATAGATCAACATGTAATATTGACATTGATCGAACACGTTGGGTTGCCGACTTGGAATTGATTATGATCACGAGTCATTCCTTTAGTTAGGAACGCACAGGAATGCAGATGTGCCTGTGGTGAGAGTGAGCAAATGATGATCAGTGGCGTTGGTCAATTTACAGATGGGCCTTCCTTCGATTTGGATAGAGAGACCAGTAGAGTTGTTCTACAAGATGTTTTACTGGTACTAACTACATGTGTACTCTTTGCTTTATGGCGTAACATAGTTTCCTCTAATGAATTCAATGAACCACGTGTGCATGTGAGCGCTTGAGCGTCTGCCAAGCGCCTGATAATCCTAGACACCATACCATAGAAGGAAGACTGCGCAACGCTTCTTAACTGATAACAAACTGATAAGACCCTTCACTCGCCACCCCAACCTTAAGCCAACAGATGACAATCTCAGTCCTCATCGTCTGCCTCGGCAACATCTGCCGCTCTCCAATGGGAGAAGCCGTACTCCGCAACGAAGCCCTCAAACGCGGCATCACCGATATCCACGTTGACAGCGCCGGCACAGCTGCAGCACATATCGGGGAAGATCCCGACGAACGGTGAGTAAGCACCTGTACTCTCGTATGATCCCACCGGACTATCGTAAACCGTAGGACTATCGAAGTATGCGGCATGGTATGCTCCTTTCCTCACCCAGCATCTTAATATGTAGGAGTACTATCACTGTGCCACCTGCAGAAAGACGTTCCTATATCCCACTCTGCGCGACAAGTCCGCGCTTCGGATTTCACATCCTTTGACTACATACTCGCAGCTGATGGTTCTAACTTGCGTGCGTTGGAGCGACATGTCGGTCATAGTAAAGGATCGAAAGCGATAGTGAAGCTTTGGGGCTCTTACCTGCCAGATAACAAGCCGATTCAGGATCCGTATTATGGGGGATTGGTGAGTGTCTCATTGTCATCATTAAGAGAGAATTGGTCTCAGAAATGGCGCGTGCAGGATGGGTTCACGGAGGTCTATGAGCAGTGCGTCAAGCTTTCAAATGCGTTTTTGGATGAGGTCGCTGCTAGTGGGAAGAAGAGTTAGAGGCGCGGTCAACGGTTTGATGGATGGAACTGGATAAAGCTTGCTGTCAGAGGGCAGGAACAAGACAGGGAGATACCCACTATAATACCTTTGCTTTGGTACGCTCAAGTCGTAATATCTCAAATTTATTATGTAGCGCTTCATCTTCCAGCCTGATGCCGACTTCATCGGTTTCCGTTAAACAGTATTTTGCGATTTGATCTCGTGGAGGCTTCTGGTCTTCTTCCATCAATCGGGACTGAGATCTCCAAGTCCGACGGTGTTGGTGTACAAGACTCTACTTATTGGTAGTACTTACAATTTGGAATAGGAGATTTCCAGCGAGTTGTGCGCAGTGCAATTCAGGAGTTCAAAACGCATCCACCCACTTATCCACCAGTAGTATGCAGTAGTGCTAGGATTCGATGAAAACGTAGCCTTCTTCACCGAGGACCAGTACCTTGCAAAGGTAAAGAGATTGAAATCGAAATTGCTATCATCCAGTACTATTCACGATCAGTCCCTCGAATCTGATATGATGTTGTCGTCGAACTGGAGTGCGTGCGGCGCCGCTAGATTGAGAATTCTATTCGAAATTACAAGAGTATTCAAGTACTCTGTACGTGTACAAGCATCCCGAAGTGGAGTGCAGATCTGAATAAGAATCATGTCGTACAGATGGAAATAAAAAGGGAAGATGGTAGCGCGGCCTTTCCACTGAAGGAAAGTCAAGATAGGGATACAGTCGAGAATAATCATAGCTGCACGGTGAACTTCAGTCTGCCGTCCGCACACGGCTCGCACTTCACTTTCTCCATGTTTTCCACCAAAAAGTGGGCACCAGCGTTCTCGATCTGCCTCCTCTCATGGCTGGTACACACGGCGATTACAGTGGCACCGCTAGCCACACCTGCGCGGATCCCACTTGGGGAGTCCTCGAACACGACACAGTTTTTCGCAGAAAAACCGAGTTCGCTGGCAGCGAGAAGGAATGGGTCTGGGGCAGGCTTGCCAGCCTTGAGACGCTTGTCATCTGCAGTAATGGTTATCTTGGGCGGGGTAATGCCAACGCGAGTCATGCAACCATATGCTATAGTGATGATAAGTATTATACTTGATCGCAAATAGAAATCCACATACCATATGTTTTTGCACCAGAGGTGGCGACGGCGTAACGGCCTTCGGGAATGGAACTTATCATTCTCTTCACACCGGGCAAAATCCGGACTGAGCGATCAACACTTGCTGCTTCCTGTTGCCAAGCCTCGAGGACGTGCTTCTTCTGATTCGCCTCGAACATGACGATGTCATGTTGATCTTCCTCCATGATGGAGTCCTCGAATTGGGGACCCTGACCGTAGACGGAAGCTTCGGGTACAACCGACATAGTCAGCATGTTATTCAGCTTGCTGGCAAATGATGGCCGGCGGGGTGAAACGAATGATGATGCACGAGAAGAAGGGGCTGAACTACTTGGGGAAATGGAAAGATCAGGGGTCGCGTAACCGGAGCTAAGAGGGGAATTCAAGAACGGCGAGCTCGTAGGAGAGCTGGGCTGGGAGCCGGGTCCGTGCATGTTGTAAGCATCGGCGAAGAAGAGAATGGTGTTCTCGAAATTTTGAACCTCATCGTCCATCTCATGTGCCTTGATATGCGGCTTAAATTGGGCGAGATTGTCGACGGCGCGCTTGCCGTGGGTTGCGGCAATAACGTAAGCGGGGTCTTGACCAATGTCTTTGGCGACTTTACCCCAAGCTGCCTCGACAGCTGCAATAGAGTCTGTGAGGGTACCGTCCTGTAATGCACTGGCCGAGTTAGATTTGGAATCCCAATGAAAGAAAATACACACCATGTCGAACAAGACAGCGTCGACGTAGAATGTGTGAGATGACATTATGATTTCGTTCAAGAAGGTGATGGTTATGAGTCTATGAGGAGGGTGGGTATCGAGGTATACCGAGACAAGGTATGAAAGGCTGAAGTGAAGGGGCTAATGACTTGACTTTTAGTCGACTGTTGACCCCATCTTATATACTTTCGCATCTCCTTGTGACGTCAAGGGATAAAAAAATTACTAGAAGCTGCAGCAGTGGAGTTGCCTTGACAGAGAAGATTGCCAATTTCACACCACACTAAGAGATGGTGCCCGTTTCATCACGGTAGTGTCCTAAGTTCATTGACAGTTGCCGAATACCGGACATGTACGACTGGGCTTGGGTAGGACGACAAGGGACAGCGGTTCCAAAAGGGTGAAGTGAACTTGAAGAGTTGCCTAATTAGGGAGATATTTGTGATCGATAAAGAATCAATGTTGCGCCCCCGGGTATACATACAAAAAATTGGGACCTTTACTTCCAGATTAGGTCAACTAACGTGACACATCTTGTCATTCGTCACGGCCCTCCGGGCAACCCAGGACCCGTAATTATTTCTTTCTCGTCGCATTCCACATTCAAACTAATTCATATCATATATTGATCTCATCATATCTTTACGGCCGCTACGTGAAATTTATCTTCCTACCAATGTCTTCTATTGTCAGGGAGTTCCCCATCGGACACATCCAGTGAAACGGGAGGCACGAGCGAACACAATGACGCTCCACATACAATCATAGCTCTGTATCACGACAAGTCTCTGAGACAGACATGTCATATTGATATATATTTCGTGCTCTGAACGTGAAACCCCAAGGGCTACCATTGGTAGTTATCGTTACGGTAGGTTTCCTCAGTTTCCACAATGATCGTATCTCCTTTATCAATTCAAGTTGCCTATCATTTCACATCATGCGACCTCATGGGAGACATGAAAGGAGTCTGAGCCGCGTAATTGCACTGGCTCCCGCACGCTCACTGTTTGTGGCCTGAAAGCAGTGCATTTTCGCGAAGTCTATCTATATTTGTTACATTTATTTCCGTGCGGGCCGTGCTGTATCTGTCTCTGCATCGGGACAACTAACGTGGTGACATCCCTTATCACTCCTCATCGACGCGCTCAGCAGCGCCTCCAGATAATGATTACAGGTGACTAGCGAACCGATAAGGTCGCTCTAATTACGCTGGTCATCTACTTAGTCTGGTGTCAACTGATTTGGTCAACGTTCCCTAACGGATTCTGAAGATCCACTTCCGAGGAGTTCGACTTCGTGCTACAGCATCACCACTTTCGCCACGATATATCCCATTGTTCGCGAGAACCTGATGTAGCCAAGTGTTCTCACATGTGATTTCAAACCATGTAACTAGTTGGATTGGTCCACCGTGGCAGGACTGGCAGAATCCTTCAGGACCCTCGTTCAAAAGGTTCGCAAATCTCTTTCTTTGTGCCTAACGGCATAAACATTGCCTATCTAATAGCGCGCGCGTAGGGGAAGCAATTCGTCAAACACGTATCTCTGCTTGCGTCAGATGCGCCCAGTCAGCTTCGCTCCTCTCGGTAAGTAGCTCGATTTGACTGTTTCGCGAAGATGCAATCGGACCCTGTTGCCACTCCAAACGGAACTTTATCTGTCTACAAGAAAGATCTGGACATATCCAGTTACTCGCTTTCACGTCATCCATTCGTGTATTCATGAGCTGTGACGTTTCTCTTGTGGAGCACTAATACTACGGTCTCTCTCTTGGAAGCGGGAGAGTCATTGACGTCATGTGAATTAATTGGGAGCTCGTGTATGAATCATGGTGGCAGTGACGATAAGTACTGACTTCGTCGTTCGCCAGTCACAAATATGCGCTCTCCACCCAAAAGCAATCAAACCTGATCAATCAACAGTAAAGTTCCGCGATAAGCACTGTCCGGCTCTTTCAGCCAGCCGCAAAAACGCGCTCTCCACCCATGAATCGGTCAAACCGTCAATCGGCTTCGAAGGTAGCGATAAGAAACGTCTGTGTCTTCCAGCCTGGACCACTCGCAAAAACGTAACAAAGCAGTCAAATTGTCAATCAACTTCGTGTGTCAGTGAGATGATCTTCCAGACAGTTGAAAAAAAATGCGCTCTTACCCATAAAGCAGTCCCAACGCCGAAGGTCGGCAATCGCATTAAAACCGATGTTCTTGATGCGACAACTCGAAGGAACTTGCTGGGGTCTTTGGAACTAGATCTGCAGGGATCCGAGCTTCACTGGGCGGGGTAGCGGACAGAGAACCAGCCGCACAACCGGAATTGGTGTTCACCGACCCCTGTAAACCAGCAAGCTGGGAACATCAATGCTTTCTGCCGTTCTGATCGACATTTTCATTCTTCTCCTGTCCCGGAAACTTGGAATAGGAGAACATGCACGTTTGCTTGCGAATGTGGTGTGTGATTCGGCATTAAAGGATATTCAATACATGCGTAACTTGTGTGTAACTGTAATTAGTAGCATAGTACGTGGAGTTAAAGCACAAGGTCTTGAACCATAAACATTCCCAAGACTAGCCGATCAGGAGCGCTTTTTGTCTGATATCTGGGAGTTGAGAAGGACGTCGAATATATTTTTGGGAGGACGGATATCTTTAGCCGAGGAGCGCCTGAACGTGGAATAGCCCCAACGGCCACTATACATAGCTGAGCCACTGAGGAGCAGATAATAACATATATTGTGTCCCGGAGGCTTCGACCTATCATAGAAGTTCAGTGTGATATACTTTACGATCCACCAACTGTTGAAAAATAAGATACAGCTGAAATGCAGCTGGATCGATCTGACAGGGGATCAGATGTATTTTTAATTACGCGTTTGCATCCACTGAATATGAATATATTCAACTATATATTTACCGTGACCTGTCACTACACCTCACGGATTGTTGTCTAGCGTTTCCAGCTACAGAAGACAATCTGGTAAGTTCGGCCTTGTCAGCTAGCCGTACCATACCTTGTAGAGACAAAGTTCATATCTGTCAAATGGCAGGCTCGTGAACGGCATAGTTCGCGTGCCTGCAGCGAAAAACCCGCACAGAAAGCAGGGGATTCATGCAGTGAGTGGTTGACCCTGCCAATGAGGCCGGAGCTACGCTCAAATTGGGATACCACAAGACCCAAGAATCAAGGCCATCAGCTCAAAGGAGGACAAACAGAGTACATACAATATTGCTGCCCGACAAAGCTTAGCTTGCGATTAATACATAGAAGTTTACGCAGTGACAACTGTGGCTGTCGTGGTTAGGGTTAGAGGACCTTGGGACGCTCAAATTTCACACCCACCAAATACATACAAACATGTTGCGTCGACTGAACGTTTTTATGCTGCATGGAGCGACGGCGGTACCTTGGCCTGCACCGAGATGCGCCCTCGTCGAATGCAAATTTGCTACAACGCTAATAGATGTATTTGCTTTCACAGAGCGCCACCAAACTCTCCCTATATCTGATAGCCTCTATCCGAGCGACTTCTTTGTGAAAGCTCGCGAGCCTCGAAGCAAATACCGAATGGACAATTTTAGCACCGTACTGATACAAGGGCTTGATTCGAGTCTTTCTTTTAAGTCGATGATAAACGAGGACGCCAACCAATTGATCGCTCGGGCCTGATAACCATAAAATAAATTACTAGTGGTGGCAGATGAATAGACACAATATATCAGTATGCAGTCACAACCTACCTATGACAGTCTACCACGAGCAGACAGGGGCGAAGGAGCTCTTTCCGCTGAGCTTCGTGATTGGCTGGGATTTGGAATATGATGTGCTAGACACGGCTCCCACTGGGGCTGTCGCTGTATACGAGCGCTAATCGAAATCCCAGTGGAGCGAAACCAGGCTTGACTGGGGTTTGAAATATGATTATCAGTGCTGGACACGGCTCTCAGTCCGCGGAGTTTGAAATATGACTGCTAAACTACGCCGTCATCGTTCCTAACCCATCAACGAAGTGCATTGGGAGAATAGCACAAGCGTAGCATTCAAAACAACTCAACTAATTCACAATATGCATTTGGCCAATCAGGATAAAATTAGGAAGCTCTACGATAATCTTCAAGAATACCAGTAGTGTTTCGACGGAGGACGTATCATATTCGTGCATGGTATACTCGTAGCCAAGGACATAAGAACTTACGTGCAGTGTAAGGCACATTGTATAACAAGACAAGATAAACAAACAGCGAGAAGAGGAGAGACAGCAGACAAAAAAATCAATCGGAGAGCCTGCCAGGGCAAGGGTATGGGACCAAGAATAAAGTTAATGAGAGGAGGAATCGGGCAATGCTCGCGGAAAGAGTCCATGTAGTCGATATGAGTGCCGGGGATATAATGCACAAATGGCGGAAAAGAAAAGATTACAACCCAGAATTCTTTCCCAGTCATCAGTAAGTAGTCACCAACAGTTGTCAATTGGACTTACTTTAGAAAGAGGCGGGGAAACACACGCACAATGACCCTACAATCGCTATGCAAACACCTCAGTCACAGTCCGTCGCCTCTCCCGCCTTTGCGAAGGTATAGTGACGGTGCGTGACTGAGGACCCCCATTGTCACCTTCCCTTTCGTCACGAATACTGTCCAATGACATACGAGCTGCTCGTACACCAAGCGTCCGCCGGCGAGTATCTCGCTCCGTCTCTGAACCAGAAAGTGGAGAACGGACTTGAGCAGGCGAAGGTGCCGGAGGAACATCTGCGTCTTCTGCAGTGTTAGAAGAGGAGGTAGTGGCCTTCCTGCGTGCCTCGTCCCGTATGTGTTGTTGTTGTAGCGCAGATAGTGATACTTCAGAAGGACGCGAGAAGGTTACAGACGAACGAACGGAGTCTTTGGAGTCGGCGCGGGTTAGAGGGAAAGTTGAGTTTTCAGGGGAGTTAGATACCGTATGGGTAGTTACAGCGGTAGTCGGATTGGCGAATGGCAGGGGAAGCCCTCGGATAGTAGCAGTGGATGTGGCAGATGGTTTGCGATGGTTGCTTTTATCCAGTAAACTGCTCGTCGACCTGCCCATAAGCGATTCAGAAGGCAAGGTGGGGAGAGGAGGGGGGATGGCAAGAGATGGAAGTGGTTTTTGGTGGCCCGCAGGCACACCCCGAGCAGCAGGGGTTGGTGAGGGCTCATACTCCAGGGAAAGATCAACAATATCGGATGAAATATTATAAGAAGCGAGTGCATTTGACGTCATTTGATGATCACGCTGTTCTCGCGGTGTGAAAAGCCTACGCGTAGCAGACAGCGGCAGCGGAGGGAGAGGAAAGGAATTGCGTGACGAATAGGGCTGATCCTGATCTGGGTCACGGTCTCTTGACGAAGGCGGCCGTGCGACAACTCCTTCACCGTGGCCAGTTAGCCTTCTAGACAAGTCAGCAGTGGGGGCAGAAGGCTCCCAACTCTGTCTTGACTCCACACTCCTCCTTCCATCCTGTCGACTTCTATCACTGCTCCTATCTATTTCGGGTGTTCGGCGGGAAACGTCATCACTAGGGCCGCTTCTCGAGTGCTGTGGTCCGGGATCATTCAAAGCACCAGCGGATGCCTCCTTCACAATTTTGCCGACTCCAAGTAAAAACCCTGTGATCGTTCGGACGACTTCGTCGCTCACACGCAGGCTCTCGCGATACTCCCCTCCCACCCTCCTCCAGATTTCACCCGTGGGTATCTCGCCCGATCTCTCATCATCCATTTCGGCCTCAATCTGTTGCTCTAGCGCTCGATTTGTACCCGTTCTCAACAACGCATTCAACTTCTCGGAAGCAAGAACGATGGTCTCTGCGCTGCGGAACAGATCTGGCACAGACGTAGACTGATTTGGCAGACGGGACAAAATGTTCTCGAACATGGTCAAAGACTCTAGCATGAGCTTAGTATGCTCCGCAGTCTGTTGGTGGCTGTGAAGACTAGAAACCGACCCGTTCCCAAGAGGTGTCATTGCGGTATGACGTCGAGTAAGTGTGCCGCTACGTGATCTGTCTGGTGGTGTTGGTACTGCTGGGACTTGTTGAGGAGGAAGCGGACGGATGCCAGGCGATTCCCCCGAAGGTTGTCGCTCAATGCCCGAGTATTGCCGTCTGGAGCGGGGCAAAAATGCCGCGCCCCTCCCAGCACTTCCATCCTCCCCATGATAGAACTCTGCCATCGAGGTTGCTGGCCTTGAAGAAGCTGTGCGCCCCCCTCTCGAATCTCGTTCAACCAAAAGTGCAGATGATGCTCTGCTCGGATCTGACGACAGATGTGGCCTTGTGAAGGGACCTGCACCTTCACTGAGTCGCGCGCTACTCGAGCCACTTGCCCGACTCCTGTCATCCGTCGCTCTATCTTCATCCTCCCACTCGACGGTTCGACGGGTGTTAGAGCCAGCCGTCCGTGTGCGACGTAAAGGAACATGCGAGTCATTGCTGTGCGCAAAGACGTCATCGTTCGCCTGGGTCCCGTTCCGCATACCTATGCCAGCAGCACGTAGGCCTTCACCAACCAGACGTCCTCCAGCTCCCAGGGTGCTTTCGGCGCTGCCGCCGCGTTGTGTTTGTTTGCGACCAGAATCTGGAAGGCTGGGAACATCGTCCGATAGCCAACGCGTTTGGTGGCGGCGTGTTAGTTCGCGAACGGTTGATGAACGGTTGGCACGAGCACCGCGTGGCGAGTATTGAGGATTGGGATTTGCGTACGAAGAAGTTCTGCGAGAGGTGTTGGCATTGCTATCCTGATGCGAGTTGTGAAGTGGTGTCATAGGCTCAAGGGAAGTCTGTGAAGTCTGTCTGTCAGCGGGAGTCAAGGAAACGACAATAAATTGTGTTACCCTGCCATCCGAAGTACGGGCTCGATCACCGTCTCTGAATTCCCTTGGAAGCGGTTGCCGCGAACGTCGGTTAACGCTACCTGTACCTGTTGGACTCCGTCGTGAAGATGCTACGGCAGCTAGCGCAGCGCTCGTCACGTCGTAAGATGCGTCATCTCTATGCACAGATAATGCACTGGCGATAGATACTCGTTTCCGAGGAGTATGCGAGGGCGCAGGAGAAGATTGTCGAGATCTAATCGGTGAGGCAGGAGCAGATGTGCGGCGCTCTCTTGTACTAGTGCTTGGAGGAGGCGTTGATAAACGTTCTGGAGATGAAGAGCCATAGGAGCGAGAATTGGAATGCGAACTAGAGTACGAGGGAGTTGGAGCACGCTGACTTTCACGTTCTGTTTCAGAGCCAGAAAGTGCTCTATCATACTGTCTTGTCATAGGGGCAGAATGCGAGTGGGAATGGGAGGAAATTCGGGAGGCTGCAGAAGAGGAAGATGAGGACGAGGATGCATGGATAGGAGGAAGCGGGGATCGAGATGCACGGGAAGTTGCACGGGAAACTGCAGGGGACGGAGTGCTTAGATGGGAAAAGGAAGAAAGCTTGTTCAAAGCCTGTGTTAAGAAGAATCAAAGGTAGCAAGGTCAGATAGCATATTTCCAGGTATAAAACATGGAAAGTCGCGAGGACGAAAAGGTGAGGTTAGAGTTGTTGCAATTCAAATTACGACAATAACATACAACACGTGCAAGTTACCAAGGGTAGGCTTCAATTAGAATGAGCGTCAAGGAACCAAAGGAGCACGTACCATGCGGTTGCGCTCAGCAAGGCTTTTAACTCGTTGCAAGGCCACGAGGTTCTCGTTAGGAATCTTTACTGAATGACTACGGTCAAGGCGAGCGGTGTCATCTTCTTCATTTGAATAATCATTTTCGTCGTCGTCATCGTCGTCAATATTTCTGGAAGATTTTGCGGGTGTGCTGGGTGTGTCATAATTACGGTGGGTCATGTTTACGCTGCTGGCATACGAGGCAGGTCGCTGGCGTAGACTGCCCGCGGTTGCACTCTTGTTGTCACCTGTTGAACCGCTTCCCGTTGAATTGGTTGCGGGTGGTGAAGGAAGACCAGATGAACTTGACACTGCAACTGGGCTTTCTGGAGGCTCAGGAAAGTCAGGAAAGATCTGCTCCTTGGGTGGTAACGATCCCAGGAAGATGGCGGACAAAGGACGCCTCGAAGAAGAAGAAATGAGTGGGCGCGGCGTCATCACAGCCTGAGAGGCTAATCATCAACCACAAAGAGAAAATAAAAGAAACTTGAGAGCGTCCTCGCTGTGGAGAACAGCGAGCGGAAATTAGTGATAAGGCGAACTCGACGCCTTGGGCAGTGAAGACAAAGCAGATGGTCCAAGGGAAACAGTCGTGGGAATTTAAGGAACATACTTATGTCTCGATACCGAAGTCCGAACTAACGTTGCCGCGACAGCCATACGGTATACTCCAACTCTATCGTTGCCACAAAAACTCCAAGACGGTTTAGCTGATCACACTCAAGTGAACCGTCACAGACGACGAAGTAGACGCACATCTGTACATAGTCAGGGTCACATTAAATGCAGAGAGATGCGTCTGATCTTGCAGAAGTTCAGAATTAATACTACGTAAGTCAAATTTAAGTGCCCTGAGCTCAACCCGGCCGGGTCCGTAGTACCGTTAGCCTCGCTGATGACCATCTCTGAGATGGCGAACACCGAAGATGATGATGTGAGTGGACGTGATCTAAACCGCCTGAAACTGATTACAATGTCCCGTTAGCCTGTTCGAGATCATACCGCCATTGGAGACGAGCTGTATACCCTGTTTGGAGATCAGGGTGATCTGCAAGCCCTTCAGCTAGCTATTGGTCATTACAACGCAGCCCTCACTGAAGATGTCCTTGACTCTCAATGCAGCAGAAGTAACCAACTTTTGAAGCTGGGTACTGCACTGTCTCGGCGTTTCGATCTCGTTGGTGATACTGCCGACTTGGACATTGCCATCGATTGTCACCGTGTGGCCATTGACCTTCAAACGCCAGACAGTCCTGATGTCCCCATCATGCACGTCAAGCATGCTCAAATGCTCATGAAGCGCTTTGGGCTCCACGCAAACCAACCAGACCTTGATCTCGCAATTGAGCAATATGCATGTGTCTCCGATCAAACCGATCCTACACATAAAGCATGGCTGGTTGCCCTCGCCGATACACTGGTCACTCGCTTCTCTCATCAGGGGAACGTCAGAGACCTCAGCCAAGCTATTCACCTATATGAGTCTGTAGTCAACTTCGATGCATCCAACGCACCCACTTTTGTGCTTGGGAATCTATCCCTCGCGCATTTCTTTCGCTACCAACAGGAAGGTGACGCTCCAGATCTCACATCATCCATTGCCTACTCTACAGCAGCTCTCGATAAGATATCCTCCGAAGATCAAAACCGTTCCGTCCTGCTCAATAACCTTGCGAACGGCTTAATTTCTCGCTTCAAAAAGCTCGGGAGCACTGATGACTTGGAGCAAGCCATCAAGTCCTATGGTTGTGTTGTTGAACTATGTCCAGCGGAGCACAAAGGGCGCCTCCATGCCCTCAGTAATCTCGCGAGTGCAATCATGACCCGTTACGAACTGCAAGCGTCTCTAGCAGACCTTGACATCTCCTTGAGTTACTTTCATGAAGCGCTCGAGATTTGCCCCAGAAACCATCCAGATCGCTCCACATTGCTCGATAACCTTGCGACCACCCTCCGCAAGCGTTTTGAACGCACCGGTGACATAGTTGACTTGGAAACAGCCATCGAAAATCACTATGAAGCACTACATGTCTTGCCGCCGTCTCATCCCCATCGCTCTGATACATTATGCTCGCTTGGGAATGCCCTCCAGTCCCGGTTTGCGTTTCAGGGGGATCCTGATGACCTTGATGCAGCTGTAGACCGCTACAGCGAGGCCCTCCGCCTGCGACCTCCATCACATCCAGAGCGTGCTGATTTGTTAAACAACCTTGCCAACGTCGCTTGCAAACTGTTTAACGAGTGGGAAAACCCACATCATCTCGACCTATGCATCGAGTACTACTCTGAAGCGCTCCAGTTTAGCCCAGAAGGGTATCGTCGGCCGTTGTTGCTTCACAATCTCGCCTCATCTCTTACGACACGTTTCGTGTACCACAATGATGCCAAGGACCTGGACCGGGCATTGGAGCTAGGTGCTTCTGCATTGGAACTACGTGAAGGAGGCAATGACTATAGATTGTCCTCTCATGTGGTGCTAGCTCACGCAAAAGGTCTCAAATACGAACTTGAGGGTGACCCTGCCATGCTTCAAGCTGCATTTCAGCATCTTGACGAGGCACGCAGTATGTGCACTCCTGGCTGTCCGTCCCTTCTCAACATCTGGGAAGAGTATTCCCGTATCCACCTTCGTGCCTACTCCAAGGCGCCGCAATCTACAAACCGCATGGAGGAAGCATTTCGGTACTTTAGAATGGCATCAACTCACACATCCGGGGGTTCGCTGCCAAAATTCGACGTTGCATTACGATGGATTAAAGAAGCGGAGATACACAAGCACTCGTCAGCACTGGATGCCCACCAGATTGCTTTGAGCATGTTCGACCGCCATGTCACGATGATGCCATCCATAGAGTCACGACATCGCATAGTGCGTAAATACGCAGCTTCGTTGGCTGTAGACGCCGCATCGTGTGCTCTCAGACGTGGGCTGGTCACACTCGCCGTGGAGATGCTGGAGCACGGACGAGGTCTTCTATGGACATACCTCGCGCGTTTCCGGACGCCGCTGGATGACTTGCAGAGCGCCGGTGAACATGACTGTCAACTAGCCTCTGAGTTTCTAAGGCTGAGCTCCCTTCTCGAAGACGCAGCCTGTGGTGCTGTGACTGAAGAGGGGTTACACCACTACCGATGTCTCCTCCGGGAATGGGACGGTGTAGTAGATCAGATTCGGCTCGTAGACGGGTTCGGTGACTTTCTTCTCGCACCGAGCTTTTCTAAGCTTAAGGAAGCTGCAAAGAATGGGCCAGTGATCATCACCAATGCCAGCCGATACTCCTGTGATGCAGTAATCGTCCATCACAAGCACGACCCAATCCATATCCCTCTGACTGACATCAACGCATCTGATGTCCTTCGATTGTCTTCCCAGTTCAGGGACATTGCTACCAACCGCGATAGAGGACGTTCCACAGAAAGGCAGCTTACCGAGTTACTACGTCAAATATGGGACACTGTCGTCTTTCCTGTGGTCAAAAAACTAGAATCCTCTCTTCACCTTCCCAAAGGTTCGAGGATATGGTGGTGTCCCACTGGCCGTTTCAATAGCATCCCGCTCCACGCGGCAGGCCCGTTCTCGAGAGGAGAGAAAGGTCTGCCAAATCACTATGTTTCATCGTACACACCAACCCTTTCTGCCCTCCTGCGGTGCCAAAAACCACGTCACGTCATCAACGACAAGACCCCGCCACGGGTTTTGGCGATAGGACAGGCAGCACCCACTGGTGGTTTTGCAAAGCTCGGGACCGTTGATGAAGAACTCGACTCACTTCAAAGCATCTTAGCGCCGGCCATTCCGATGACACGAATGACCGGCGAAGGCGCAACACGCTCAGAGTCCCTCCGCGCTATTCATTCAAGCCCTTGGGTTCACCTTTCCTGCCATGGGAAGCAAGATGTGACTCGCCCTCTCAAGTCATGCTTTGCCATGAGCGACGGACCTCTGATGCTCTTGGACATCGTTCGCGCACCATCCGAATCCGTGCAGTGTTCGGAATTTGCATTCTTGTCGGCGTGCCACACTGCCGCTGGGGATCGTACAACCCCAGACGAAGTTGTGCATCTTGCTGCTGCGATGCAGTTTGCTGGTTTTAGGGGAGTTGTTGGAACTATGTGGGCTGTGGATGACGCTGTCGTGGTCAACATGGTCTCGGCTTTTTATGAAGCCCTCCTCGAAAATTCACCAGAGGGACTAAATTCTGAGCACGCAGCACTGGCTTTGAATACAGCTGCAAAGAGAGTGGATAAAAGTGTTGTTCCACTGGAACAAAGGATTGTATTCATCCATATTGGAGCATGACTAGAAAGATGCTTAGGGAAAACGTACATACCAGCTGAAAGGCTAGATACAGATACACTGTATTATTTACGACTCCTAGAGGCGACACGTTTACTTTTTCCCGGCCTCTTACTACCTCCTGCACCCCCTCGTCCTGCCTTCGGTCTATGTCCTCCCCTTTTTCCTGGTGCAGAATCAAAATCGTCCGTAGAGGATTTGGTATTTTGTTTTGACCTCCGGCCTTGACCACCAAAGCCGAATTTTTGATCGCGTGCATTACGCGCCATCTTCTTCCCACCAGGGCCTTTGGCATGCTTAGCAGGCCTGTCAGCAATGGCATCTTCAACTGCGATATCGAATGCATCGCCACCTGCGCCATCGGCCTCGGCATTTTCCAGGGCACCTTTGCGTTCTACGAGGACATTAGTGAGTTGATTGTCTCAGCAGCAATCAAGACATACTTCTTTTGAGCCCTTTAAGTCGCTCCTCCATGTCCTTTTTACTACGTTCTCTTTCTTTGAGCTTCTCCATCTGCACCTGCTTGCCAAACTTCTTCCCCTCCCTCTCTCTTCTCTTTTCTTCCGACTTCTTGATTCCAGCGCGTTCATCGAGTAACCGTGAACGAAGACGCTCCATGTGGGCGTCAGACTTGACCATCTCTGCAAAATAGTCTGAAGGACGCGTAAAAGGCAGTGAATGAGAGGCAGCAAGCGTGCGGGCAGTATTAGCAGCGTGTAGTGCTTGTTTATAGCTGGATGAAAAAATGAGCTTTAATCAACGAAGCGGAATGGAAAGTACACTGACAACGCAAGCTCGCGATTGAGGTCGTCATCTACATCGACCTCTATTACTTGAGGATACGATATAGCGAGGGTATCTGTCCATGGTAATGATGGGTCGAGCCGAATTGCCTCTCTTATGCGACGAAGAGCAACCTGCGATAGAAAAGTCATGAGCTTCGCATGTCGCTCGATCAATGGATGGACACATACGATGTTGTCGATTTCGACTTTTTGTTTTGGAACCACATCTTCATCAATATAACCGTCTTCGAGATCATCAAGTGCCACCACCTCTTCATGTTCTGAACCATCTGAATCTGCTTCGCTCCCATCCTCAGGATTTTCTTCGTCTTCAACCTCTTCAACCTCTTCCTCCTCCTCGCTGTCACCAGCTGAGCCCTCGTCCAAATCGTCTAAACCATCTTCTCCAAGGAGTTCCATTAGCTTTTGAATTGCCTCCTCATCGTTTTCCTCGCCATCACTTCCACTTCCTTCCTCTTCCATACCCTCGCTTTCTGCGAGGTCGTCGTTTGTATGCGATGGTTTTGCTGCTGAGGGTGGCTTGACTTTTGCAAGCTGCTTTGTGTTTCGTTTCGGCGCAGAGACTTCTGTTTTGGACTTCCGCCTCTTTATACTTGCACCTCTCTTGATATCCCTGGCGTCCGCTGACATGGCAGAAGTGCTGGTCAAGTTATGTACACCAACAAGTTGACGCTATGTAGAAAACCGATAAATTACCATTTGAGGTCCGAGGAACCGATTTTTGAATTTTGATCCGAATGCGGCACATATTATGAGGAACATCTTAGGTGTTGACTTCTACTAACCACAGCTTGGACAATCGACGGCGACGAGATCTACCCTCCTGAACGGTGCATCACTAATAGCCAACAGACCGGATGTGAGCCAATAATTTGTGTGTTTTGGGTCTTACTCATAGGCGAGCTATTTCCTCAGGTTCTAGCAGGTCATGCACAACTCAGGCTGCATCGCTGCAAGGCCGCCAACCCTTTAGCATTTAATATCTTCGAGCAGGAGGTTGACAGCCTGGGAGTAACGGATCGCGTTCTAAGGATATTTTACAGATGGAACTGGGCTTGCTGTCTATCCGGCTGGTACGAACTATACTTCTGGAGGAGACGGTGGGTCTGTGCGGGTTCATCACTTCGAAAAGCCCAACTTCACAATGAAGCCATACAAGAATCTTGAGATCGAGAAATCATTCCATGACTCTAACACGATATTCCACTACAGCATATCTACTACCACGACCGAGTACAGCACACGATTCTATCATTTCTATTGAGGCCCATTTAAATACCGACATGGACGAACGCAATCCTTTGCTCTAATGGTATACCTTCTTCAACCATATTTAAGGCTTGGCTCAGAGCCTTTGCTGCGTTGGCAGAATTCATCACACCCTTTGACTCCACAACAACAGAATGATAGAATGCCGACGCTATCCGCCGCGTGACCTCTTCATCCACAGCCCACACAGCGCCAACCACGCTTTGAAACCCTGCCATATGAAGTGCGTGGGGAAAGTGCATGGTCTCGTGTCCTTCCGTCCCATTTGATCCGTGGCTCACGGATACAAACGCGAACTCCGGTGGCCGCTCCACTTCCGCCAGGGTCTGTGCTATCTCCAACAGAGACATCGGCTTGTCGTGCAAGGGCAAATGCGATTCGAATGAGTGGTCGAAGTTGGGCTCTGCTCTGGAGGTAAAGTGAATCCATGGCTGTTCGTGAATGGCGCGAACGACATGTTCGTATGTTGCGTTGGCGCCCGTGATGCGAGTCATGGTGCAGGTTAGAGGAAGCACTTTGCGGAGCATGTCGATGTCCTCTGTCCTCTCATTATTGCAAATGGCGGCGAACGTAGATGACCCAGGAACTGGAGTGGAAGGCCTCGAAGACTTGCTTTTTCGACTTTTGAGAAAATTGGTCAAGAAAGGAGTGAAGGGTGACCGGCGCGGTGTGGCACTACTTTTGGTCCTTCTGCTTTTGATGAGAGATGACAAAGTCGGGGTGTAGGAAGATATGTATAGCTGCGAGAGGTTCAGCTCGATACCCTGGTACATGCCTGCAGCATGCAGTGGCAAGGCTGTAAATTTGCCAGTCGGGCACCACCAGATCCGCGAACCCTTTGGCGTATGTGGCAGAAGACGGTCAACCACTGGACTGACCACCAGGTCCCATAACTCCGTGAGCAAATCAATTAGCCGTCTCTCCCTGTCGCGACCAGGGTCGGGATCACCAGAAAATCGCACGATATCGTGAAAAAGAGTTGCTAACCGAGCAACATCTCTCAGGGTGACCTTTGGAAGGGGAACAAGAGCCGGTTGTCCAGTGGTAAATATGATGATGGCATTACACATATGGTGGCTAGCGTTAACCACAATCACTGGTCCATCAATAGCTGCCCTCTGAATGTCGGCAAAGGAAGCATGCATGAAGAAATTGTTGAAGCCATCCAGGCGCCTGATTTGCGCGATCACCGCATCCCTTTGTTTCTGTAAATCTCTGTGGTGGTGTGGGCTTTCTCGACCACTCTGCCCCCTCCACCCGCACTCTAGTTGGTGGTTGAGCTGCTCAAAATGGTTTCCAAGACGAACTCCCTGCTCGCCACAGCTCCTGAGATCATCTAGAGTGCTTCGATGAAGAGCCACCTGGCTCCAAAGCAGTAGGCGTCCTTGTTCTAGCATCTCAACTGCTAGATCAGGTTGGTTGTGGCGGATTGCTGCAGAGAATGCATCTAGCATCAGCTCGGCATGCCGTTTTGCTAACTCCTGTCGGAGCTCTGGAGCCTTTGCAACCATGACGCAGCGGTCTAGAAGACGCAAAGCCGTTCGGTATGCATCGACAGCAGACGCATGCCTAAACACCTCGGCGCTCTGCACCCAATCCAGCGATGCACGTAACGCGGCCCATATCCCTCCAGAACCGAAAGCCATGCTCAGCTCATGATAGCCAAGAGCTTCCTTAAGATCCATGGAATGCTGAAATATGAGATAACGAAGAAAATATATTACGGATAACTCTGCGTGGATGTCAAGAAGCAGCGAATGCCCTGGTTTACAAGCATCTTTTGCTGCGCGAAGGTGTTCGAAGGCGCTATCGAGCTTTTTTGGGTCATCCCAAGGCAAGAACCGGGACCGACAAATTCTTGCCATAGTCAGCAAAGAAATTGGCCTTGCTGGATGTCCTGGCGGGCGAGCATCCAGTGCTACGGTGCAGTAGAGCGAGGCCTGATCAAGATCAAATTCATCGCCGAGGAGCTCAAACCTGCTCAACAGCGCACAAGCCAGGCCAGTCAAGGTAACTGGCCGGTCAACGTGGGTTGTGAGGTACAGTTCAAGAGCTTCCCGATAATATGCGATGCAGCGGTTGAGTTTGTTGAGATCTTTGTACTGCCTGAAGTACATCTCCAAGGCAGAAGCAATATTATTCAGTATGACAGGCCGCCGAGGGTGGTCCCGGGAAAATAACGCTAATGCGTCGTTGTAGCAATTGAGGGCTGTTTTGAAATCTGCTAGTTCTCCTTGTTGCTCGAAACGAGCATCAAGGCAACTCGCCAGGGCTGCCATTGTGGCTGGCCGACGATGGTGACCGAGAGGATGCAGCTCGAGAGCTAGACTATGGTTCTCAATTGCGCGGTGCAAATCAGCTATGTCTCCACATTGTCGAAATTGGAGTAACTGTGCAATTCCTAGATGATCAAGATGCAACCCCTGATCAGGCTGTCCTTCCGAATGGATGCAAGCAGTTCGATAGTGGCCAATGGCGAGATCAAGGTCAAATGAATCGCCCTGATATTTGAAACGCGCGAGCAAAACATCAGCGAGGTTGTTAAGTGCAAGGGCATGATAGGGGTGTTCTTGAGAGCACAGATCGAGTACAGCCTGATAGTGTTTCTTGGCTGTCTCAAGATCAACTGCGTCTCCTTTCTGACGAAAACGCTCGAAAAGGCCACCCGCAAGTATGCGGAGAGTTTGTGGTCGATCAGGATGATATGCTGGAAGAAGATGAAGCGCGGAGCTAGAATGCTGGATGGACAATTCGAGGTCGTTTAGCTCATGAAACTGCTGGAAGCGGGACTGAAGGGCGTTGGCGAGATTATTAAGGGGAGCTGGGCGTTCGTGAGGAGATGATAAATCGACAATCGTCTGATATTGTTCGATTGCACGCTCTGCATCCTCAGCATCTCCGCAATACTCGAAACGCGACAGGAGAGCACTGGCGTATTTCATGATGAGGGCACACCTGGCTGGGTGGTCAAAGGGACATAGAGATAGTGCAGCAGCGAAATTATCAATGGCAAGGTGGATGTCATTGAGCATGCCGTCTTCTTTGAAACGAACAAGGAGAGCTGTGGCAAAGTCCACAAGGGTGATTGCTCGCATTGGATGTCCAATTGGGCGAAGAGCCAATCCTTTAAGGTGACATTCCATGGCACAAACAAGATCTGCACGACTGCCCTGTTGCTGAAAGCGCACGACCAGGGCATTCGCGAGATCGCCCAGTAATTGACTATACCCATCGGAGGACAGATTCGAGATTACGCTCAGCGTTCCACGGTAGTGTGCGATGGCGAAGTCCAGATCTGAGGGGTTTCCTTGCAGAGCCTTCGTGTAAAGCTTGTGGGCTCGCTGCAGGAGCTGAAGGTATCAGTTGGCAACATGGCACTAAAAGGTATATTCGGAGTCTAGTACCTCATCGATTCCCTGCGACGCAGGATCTCCGAATATAGGAGGCTTTGACATGGGTCAGAGTAGTGAATACCGAATAGTCGTTGTGCTCGGCCGATGACTGTAACTAGTAAGTGGTAAATCATGATACAAGGGTTAGTATGCATATTGTGGATATTCACCTCACTGCTGTGGTTCGCGGAGTAAAAACCGCAAGTGGATCATCTCAACTGAGGATGGGAGTTTTTGTCTATCTGGTATGAATCAGTGACAACATAGTATGCATGCCATAATGATCACTGATCGGTGACAGCTTCCAATTCACGACTGCTGAGACTTTTCGACGTCTGCTTGGGAGCAGAACTCCCCACGTTAGGGTAAAATCTATCAAACGCGGTACCGCATCTGTGTGAAATTGATGTGAAATGATACGAGATATCCTCCCCCAGCCTGTCAAACCCACCGTAGTAATGGCCGCATCGAGAAATGACCTCATCCTCATTCAATCCTGAGTTTATCGTCGTTTGTTGTTGTATACTGGGCCCGGGTAGCTAACTTTGCTCATTCTCGCAGACACAACTTGAGACAGGATAAGGAAGCCATAGTAATTGTGATCGTCCATGAAACTTGCAACGAGCCTCCCAGTTACTATTTTCTTGTTCCATCTGGAGACGTGGAGACATACCTGCGGTCGGATCTGTGCAGAGAAGACTGAGATAGATCAGGCGTGTATCAGGAGCGCACATCACGGCGACGCCCTGGTTGCCCAGCTCTACATCTTTGAAAAATGCTGGGGATTTCTACTTGAAGCAAAGAGCTTCCCACGGTCTTTCGGACCCGGTTTGGGCTGAAAGGCCGGGAGGGTCTCCCTTATGTAAATCGATAATAGGGAGGATGCTCCCATCATGGAGGTTCAGATAGAGGCTCTTGTATCAAGTTTAAGTCTGCTATGCTTATACTACCACTGCAGATGCTCCCTCAATTCCCATGCCATCCCTCGGCATGCAGTACTGTCCCCCACTGCTGCTCTCGTTCACTGCCATACATGCTGCACTATCCTCCTCCACCCACAAGTCCATCCGAGTCAATGTTAAACCTCCTCATTGTAGGCTATAGCTAGCGTGAATAGCACATCCCAAGTTTTACATTTCACACTCAAAATTCGCACGGCAAATCCAAAGTTTACGCAAATGTGTCGGGGACTGGCGTGGCCGAGCGCCGTTACGATAATGGTAATGGTGAGACACAGGTGCCTCAGTCAGCACTTACAGTGACAGAATTCTATTCGAAGTGGACTCAGTGGAGTTCTTGTCACTCGACCCTGTCAAGTTGTACACACAGGAGGGGATCCGAGCGCATCGTCAAGCAAGGTGTGAACATGGTCTATATATGCCAGTGGCCAGAGTAGGTTCAACCTGTATTACCGAGTCCCGAGTGTCCCGGGCCCTCGAATTTGATCCCACCATCGTCTGCAACGATCCACACTGGCTCGGAATTCATTTCTATCATGTATACATGGACCGGTTCCTCAAGGCCATCTGTGAGTGCGTTCTGTTGTGTATTTTCTGGCGTGCGGGAGGATGCACTTCGTGATCATGTAGTTACTCATGACGTCCCAACAGACACCATGTATTTGTGGGACTCTGTCAGTCGGCTAGTCCGCATAGCCCTGCACGTTTTTATGTGAGTATTACGCCTAATAGTCAGATGACACGCAAAGGGTCTTCTTGCGTCACATATATAGCTAATCTTCAACATCTGCATGTGAAGATCATCCTTCCTCGTTATCTGATAATGACATACTACTTTTCCCGACTAGCAGGTGAGTGGAAGCTGTGTAGTCAGTATGTTGTATATTTTTGTTTATCATCCTTTTGAGAGTCGCGGCGTCGGTATCTCAGGCTCATGTGATTGCCATACTCTGTACCATCTTTAGGCTTGTTTACAGAGGTTGGACTCGTCACTTTTGGTGGGAAGACGCATGGGCAGCATTTGCACTGATCTCAGACGGTAGAATTTTCCTTGCATACTGCATGATTCCGTAACCAACTACCGTATTCCCCAGTTGTTTGCCTGCTATGCATCTGGATCCATACCTCGACAAGTTGTGAGTATTTGACTTCGCGCTCCAAGATTTATCTTACTACTTTTATGTCAGTCCCAATCTGGACCTTCCCTGTGGCTTCCACCTCCGTTGTGTGGTGCGCATCGTAGCTCCGAGTCACTCGGTCATATTTCTAACTGACTAGTCCAGGGCTGCGCGCATGAGCATCATTTTCTCTGTCATCCGAGTCGCCAACTCCTCAGGTTGCAAGTACCAGAGATGGATCACCTATCTCATTACAGTATCCTTCGCGTGCATGTGGATTGCGGTACTGATACAGAAGAACATTACGTGCGTCTTCATATGCCAGATGACCAAGTCGGTAGCGCTCTTGCAATTGATTAGTCAGTGCCTCTTTCTGCTTTCTATGCCTGTTATGGTCCTCAAGTTTTTGGGTTCCTGCAGCGGACGTCATCGCGGATGTTTCTCTCATTATTGCGCCGCTGCAGTTCTGGAAAAATATAAGGCTCTCACGCAACAGTAAAATATTGATCTTCTCCACATTCGGGGCATCGCTTCTTCTCATCGCCGTCACAATCCCCCACTCCATAATGCTCTTTCATTCCGCCTCAGAAACGACGCTCATCATCACGCACGTCAAGGTATGTGTGCACTTACTTGCATCCCTCTGCAACATTTGACAGAGGTTAGGCCGCCCTCAGTCTTGTCATCTGCAACCTCCTAGTAATCGTCACTGTGGCATACCGCGTGCGCTGGAAGGAATCACTTGATCCAGACCAAACATTTGGATCTCCCTTAATCTTCACGAGCGCCGTCGCGGTGCAAACCCCCGTCAACGCGATTCCCATGACATTGCGCTCTGGGAATGAGGAGACAGCTCCGGATGATTGACCACGGGCATTTAGTAGGAAAATAGAAGATAAAAGACGCAAACGTCCTTTGTGCCGAAGAGCTCACTGGCATGGAGGGATAGAAAGCAACATTAAAGTATGGCGGTAGTAATCGATCGCTGGCGGAGTTGCCAAAGATGATGCGCAAGTACTCTGTTCACCTTACAACACAACAAGGTGTTTTATGTGCTGTACGGTCTTGAGCTTGTCGAATAACTGGAATTGTAATTGATCGTGTGGTTTACCTTTGTCTTGTTCATTGTATGCAGCGCGAAACTACATGCTTCCAGGTCATCTGGGGGAACCGACGTCGAAGATTCAAATGCGGTCTGAGTGCTGGCTTGAGTTGCGAACTCACGCCATCCGCTCGTCACAGATGGTATGTAATTCAAAGTCCACTGCGACGTGCTGTGGATCATAGTATATTGGCATGTACTTAAGTTGCACAGAATTTCTGATGGCTGCGCATAACCAAGATATTGATGATAAATTAGCAATACAAATACTGGGCAAACAAAAATATTATACGTATCTGTGATATAGTGCGGGATGTCGGGTAGTATAAATTATTTCGAGCCCACGATCATGGATGTATATGAAGCTTCAAGTGCTGTGTGAGGTTTGAAGGGTGGGATCGACTATGAAGACTCCACCCCTCAGTGTTCTTTAACTGCCACAAGGTGAGTCTTCTTGCTGAGCAAATTGGACGCTACAAAGCTGCGTCAGGGAATCAAGTTTGCTTCCCTTCCTGTCTGGAAACAGTGCCAGCTGGGTTCAAGGCGATATGCCCGATCCATGTTTCATCACCATGGCCAGTCCAGGGATCACCATCCCGTTTCCGGGTGGATATGTTCCTGCTGGGGGAAGGTAGGCTCCATCGTCCAGGTGAGCGAACTTGTCTTATCGTAAGGTCCAGTCCCTATTCTTTTGCCGTCTGAGAACATGACAACAGAAATGATGTCGTCCTGATGACCTTGTCCTTGATGGCTCAGGTACTGGTTTCTCAGAGTCTTTCGTCTTGGGCCATACATTTGCCTCCACAAAGGCAACGGTTTTGCTTGGCATGCCTAGCAAAGGTTAGAGAAGACCTATACGAGAATGAAATGACCTACTTACCTATCGCTCAAGTGATGGTTTGTGATCAAGGTACGTTGCTGTGCAATGCAATATACAACATTGCATGAACGCCGCGCATGATCTGTTTCTCAGAGTCAGATACTAGATGTATCTATACACAGCGCCATACAAAAGACAACTCAGGAAACCTGAGGCATGGAGTGGTCCTGATACAACCTGACACCGAACGCAACTTCCTCCACTGGAATAAAATAGATCATCTAATTCAACAATATGCAAATACAGCGTGAGCGGAGATAATCGTACGATGTATCATATGTAGCACAGCGATCATCATCGATCAGAAGCAGCAGCACATGAATCCAACAGTGCTATAGACTTCTGTCAGTACAAGATTTTGGTCAGTGCACGAACAACCGCTCTGCGCCCCCATTGATACTCCCGGCAGACTCATGCAAGAGCAGCACAAAGACGCCAGTGATACCATACACGACGACGCTCGTCCACACTGGGAACCCGCGGTTTAGGACAAGAAGTGCACCGCCGAGTAGAGGGGCAATCATCCCGCCTCTGAGATCGATGCATGTAAGTTAGGTGTATTTTGGTAACAATGAGACGACGATACGCACATTCGTGATAGCGCGGATGCAATGCCGCATGCTGTTCCCCGGACCTTGGTCCCAAATATTTCCGGTGTCCAGCTAGAAAGCGTCAATACCATGCGCTCATAATCGGGAAACTACTGGGACATACCCATATAGTACAGCATACATGGTCTGTATCGACTCGGTAAGCACGAGCAACAGACGTATTTTGAGGAGAGCTACCCACCGTCGCACTAAGACTAATCCCCACCGAACTCACGCGCACTAAAAGCGCGCTTCTGACGAGCGCGAATACGATACAAAAGAACGCTGTGACAAATGTGGTCGCAGCCAGTGAGCCCCGCCGGCCAAGAGGACTTTCAACCATATAGGCTCCGAGCTGCAGCCGACTGTCAGCATCAACACATTATGTAAAAAATAATAATGAAAGACATACAATGGCACCAGGACATCCTCCCAAAGTAAATATCAAAACATCCCATAAGCTGTCTTCTAGAGACTTGGTCGAGGTATCGTCACTCGACCCAGTTTCGAGCAGCTTGGGGAGGTAGACATTAAACATCGTGTACGCTAGGTACTCCACATGAAATACCGATGCTTCGCATGACAAATAGAAAACCCACCTAATGACATAAAGAACCACACGCCCCACATGAGTACCGTTGTCCGGAACCACTCGGGGGCCAAGACCATACCGACACGGTCTAGCCATGCAAGCAGTGGCCGACGCACCCATCGAGGTAACACACTCCCAACACGCTGTTTCATCTCAAAAGAAACCACAGAAGACGTCCGAGGGCGTACAGTTCCTTGGCGAGGCCGCGGGCGCGCCTCGGGGATGAAAAGGTCTTTGGATTCGGACCCCGAGTCTCGAGAAGAGCGAGAGTGATGCCCACGCGCAAGGCTTTGTCCGTGCGGAGGCACTTCACCAACGGGAGTTACGAACGAGTGTCCATCTAATGCATCATGAGTAGCTTCGTCCATCGACTGGTAGACTTTTGTCCCATTCTGATCGCTCGAAGTACTACTGCCATCCGCACCTGCATCGAACAACGTCTCGTTATTTGTGAGAGGATCTTGGGAGCTGGAATTAGGGAGGAATGGTATACGCTCCCCTGCAGCTGCGTGTGTTTCGGAGATGGGTGGAAGCCTGTCATCGACGTCCTCTATCTCTATTGATAGCTCAGAGCCATTGAACCTAGAAATGAGCTGGAGACTTTCTAGTGCTTCTTGGTGACGACCAGCATGTACGAGGTACCGCGGAGACTCGTGCAATCGAAAGAAGACCATACGTGCGAGGAACATCGAAAGTGTCTGTAATGATCAAGGTCAGAGACAGTTACAAATCATCCGAGGAGTAGACATACAATGATACCAAGCGATACGAGCATGAATTGCCAACCTGTGTTCTGGGTAACGACATCGCATGGCTCGTTAGGGGGACATGAACGAGAAGGGATGACTATTAACGCAACACCCGCAGATAGAACAGAACCAAAGGAGAAAAAGACGGAAAGGGCCGTGACGAGATATTGCTTCCCGTTAGGCATATGCTCGAGAAGAAGGGTGCCGTCAGTTGGCATTGAACCCTAAATCGAATATGCCCAATAAGAAAAGGAGGTAAACAAGATGGGAGATTAACGCACACCAACTGCGCTACCAAGGAAGAATAGCAGGATACATAATGACCAAAACGACCATGCAAACGATGAGAGGATACCAAATAGGGCAGTGAAAAAGAGTGTTGCGTTAAATGCAGCACTGCGCCCCAGGAGGTCGGAGCAGGTTCCCCAGCCCACAGCACCGAACATCATGCCGGCGAACATGGACGATGAAAGAGACCCGATGTAGTTGTCAGGTACTGGGCGAGGGTTATATGATAACCCACTGTGGGCATGAAGGGAAATTACCTGAAAAATGCTGTTGTACTCTAGGGAGAATTATTGCAGTAGTTTGAATCCACATCTGAGCGACATGTCAGGGAGATAGGGAGTGTTTCCGTGAGCCACTCACATTATCTGCCATCCATCCTGACAGAACATATCATAGTCAGTTATGATTGAGAAGAATGTCGTCGAACAGCGAGGAATCGTAGCGTCATGATGGTACTCACCGAACCCGCATAATGACAGCAGCGTCCATTGATAACTCCCTGCTCGACGTTACTACTAGTATATGAAAAATGCGAGAACACGACGCACCCATCCCGATCCTATCAATAGTTTTGTCCAACGGCGTCCGTGTATCATACTCGGCATCCAAATCCACCTCGACATCGTCCATACCCTGTTCCGTATCCTGAAAGTAGGACATCCTGTCGGTGTCCGTCCAGAAACCGGATGCGCGGCAGGTGACAGAAGCCATCTTTGACTGCAGTGCGACCGCTTATATATTTGGGACTGATTACGCGAGTAAGACGCAAGACTGCGGCAATGTAGATAGCAAAGCAAAGACCCGTGTTAACCGCACTGAATAGAAGCCTGGCGGATGAGCAGAGACTTGCTCGCTGATAAGGATGCTTAAGGGAAGGATGAAAGATCTGCAGAGTAGAAGAATGCGCTTTGCACTTATATCATGCTGTGCTAAGACTGCGACAGGTTTGAAATTATTTCATTTCAGACTGAATTTGACTTCTGACTGGCCACTCCGCAACCGACAGAGTTCTATCAAAGCTGTGACTGATAATTATCGGATAGCAATCCGTTTCACCCATCTACGGCAATTCGAGAAATGTACTAGCGTGCACTGTACGCTGGCAGTTCTTCCTGCTCTCCAACATCATCACCAAGCTTCCTCACTTGTCTGTCCACCTTCCATCTCCACTCATTTCCTTCCAGCCTCTTGAAAGACGTACCACCTAAATTTACCGAGACGTCACACTCCCCAGACACGCCCACAGCAGCATACACATCAATCCCACTGCGGTTCTGCAAGTATATACCAGTAAACGCATCTGGCAGGCGTTGACCGTCGATTGTGAAGAACATTGTACCTGTGGAGAAATAATATCCGCAACCAATTGTGTGGCCAACGACAGACGTAATGAGTGGAGATCCCAATGGGAAGTAGGGGCGCCCGCCTTCTGGGTCTTCAAAGAATTTGTGGAAGTCGTCGAGGTGAAGACCTGCACTCAATCGATTCCAGCCTGGGAGCCTCCACGATGGATACGGTCTGCAAGCAGTTCCTAGCAGAAAAAAGTTGAGGTGGAGTGGAACGAACGAAAATATACATACCAATTGCGATTACGCCACCTTTGGATGGATCTGTCATTTTGTTTACAGTGATCTCGAAGTACACTCCACCATCATTAGGAAAGTGATATTGACCAGCGACGATTGGCAGGTTGCTGAGGAGGCATGTATCTGGGCAGTCCGCTCTAGAGCGTATCTGCGAGAGTCCGCCCTTCCCGTCTGAATTATGGACTACGGCAACAAGGGAGGAGTCATGAGCTTGGATTCGCCATTCAGAGCATCCATTTCTGTCGATATCCGCGATGGTCCGAGAGGGTAGAATTGTTGATGATTCAACAGGATGTTTCTCACAGAACTCCAGGGCTTCTTCGTAACTTTCATCTGAGGCTTCGTTCTGAAGACCGTATGTGAATGATTGTTCTATGGCGGGTGCCCATTCAGGAGGAGCACCTGATGAAACATCAGGCTGCCGGCGAGCACGTTGCTGACGGTGTTGTTTGAACCAGTCCATGCAGTTTGGAGTTGGATTTAGTACGCACGATGAGAATAGGAGTCAGTGCTATTACACAACATCCGAACGCGATGTCGGAGTTTGAAAATAACAATAGGTCGCTCAAGTCACCTCACCCATTAGCAGAGGTATCGAGAGGTTTCCATTTACCATCTGGTGCAAGAATCCCGGCCTGGCAGTACGCCAGACAATCCATAATTCTAGTAAATTAAAAGGCGTTTCGACATTTAATCTTTAGAAACACTATGAATCAGAAAAACTTGCCTGATTCAGTTGCCAACGACCCACAAGTGCCACTTCGCACTACCCACTGTGCATGGCCTGAATAGCCAGATGGAAATCCGAAAACTAGAGCTGCGAACAGTATCGGAGGGGATGGAAGGTTTGCGTAGGTCCAGGTAGTATCACTGGTATGACACACGATTGGCAATCATTGTAGGAAATGACAATGAACCGCGAGCCTCGATGTCTTCTGAACAACTGGGAGTGAGCCGGCGAGACGCAAGATAGGTGTCACCAACCTAGTCAGAAATCATCCAAGCTACACTCGCCATGCAAGTGCCAACATTCTTTCCTTGATAGTCAATTCCAGAGTCCAACAAAGCCAGGAGCGACAGCTCGGCGAGCTTTCGCATTCCAATCGTTATCATCCTGGCGTCTTTACTGGTGATTCTAGGATCGAATAAATGTAAATCTTTCAAGAACGCGCCTTGTGTGGCAGATACCTCACTGATATTCACTCCCTCATGATCAAGACTGAGCACACCGTCGACAATTGACAGGTAGCATGGTTCAAACAAGACGCACGCACGCACGCATCTATGTTGAATCTATCGCTCGGGATCTCACTTGGTATCCGTCCACGAGAAAGTCGAAGAACGATTGATAGTCAAGGTTCCATGGGGACTACTTGGGGGTTCTACCGAAATGCCGACCTGTATGGATAAAACATGTCAGCCAAGTACCCAAGTAGTCGGACACGAGCTTACCGGTGCGACAGGGAAGTATTCGTTTGAAGAGACTATGATATTTGAGTGGAGATGGGTCAGCTTGAACCACGAGACTGAGCTTGACGCGCCACTGACGGATGTGTGGATGGGGTTTGACACAGGGATGACTAGTATGAGCTCTCAGTAGTGATTCTGGAACAGGATTATGACATGGCTTGCAGTCCAAGGTAAGGGTAGCAATTTCACATGTAGGTGACGTTGGATTCGTGTCACCCATTCTCTGGGTAGTTCTTGCTGCGCGTCGAGATCGTTACCTTACCGTTGGCACTACTATGGATATTGAATTGTCAAAAAGTTGTTCGTGTGCTGGATGTCGACAAGGTTTCAACTCGCTTTAAGTGCAGCGCTGGCGCCAAGCTGTCGTGGATTGTCCGGGTTTAAGATTCGCCTCAAGAACTAGCTGTCGAGGGAGACAACGTTGTACAGAGGCACCGCAGGCAAGGCCTGTGATAGAAACCAGCCGCATTGGAAATGTAATGCAACATAATGTCCGTGCAAATAGTCGATATTGAAAAACAGGAGAAGTAACATGATCGTCTTGATGACCGTTGTAGGTTATTCGGATAATTTGCCACTAGGCAGCGTGACGGAGTTTGAAAATGGTTACGAGAAGCTCTCCCAAGTTACAACGGAATTAACGGTCAACAGACACTACACACAACCTTCCGCAGTCACGCGGGGGAACAGGAACCTGAGGGGACATACATACGGGTAATAAAGGGAGTAGAATGGCGTTTTCCTTCCGGTGGCAGAGGTCCACAAATAAACAACGATTTGTAGCAAATAATGAAGAGCAACAATTGACAATTGAACGTTGAAGCCTGAGGGCCGCGCAGTGTCTGCTGGGAGCATGTGCGATTCACCGCACCAGCATCATTTATATCAGATGAATCATGAAAGAAGATAGCGGACATTGTGGTTTACTCCTAGCCGAACGTGCCCGAGAGACATAAAAATTGTCTAACTTCAGAAAATTGCAGACAACTGAATGGGGACTGGTCAGCTGTTCGCCACTATAATTGCTCACGAACCGCGTAAGAGCCAGGCTGATACAACAGACGCCGCGAGTCATGACTTCTAAATCCTCCTCGAATTTTTTTGCAGACAACACAAAGCAAAAGACGGAATCCAAATGATAAAATTGAGGGCCGTCGTGAGGATGCCGTCCCTTTCCATGGTTCTCTGACTGGTGTGTCACAGTTCCACCTGCCCATCGCGCCATCTCCAGAACCGTTTATGACGCGGATGCTGTCCTGCAAGAAGACGAAACCGCAAATGGTGGAAGCATACGGGAAAACATCGGTGCTATTGTCGGACAGCGAGACAATCGCGTGCGAGAGGGAGACGGAGGCAGAAACTTGATTTGAAACGCAGAAAACGGAGAAGTAAATGTGAGTCGAATCGAGCCTGAGATCGAGACAAAGCATAGCTGTGTCCAGACCACCTCCGGGTATCAGAATTTTATCAGACGGAAGCAGCAAAACATATTGCACCCAATAATGAATGAGTTGAATTCGCCAACGTAGGTCAACAAAGAAACTCTTGGAAGCGTTTGGACAACAGACCAAAACAACGCCTCCCGCTTTGCCTCACACGGCGGTGAGTCGTACTTACCAGTAGTTCTATTGGCTCTCGTGCCCTGCTGGCAATCTGGCACAGTTTCAAAGCTTCAAGGGTGCTCAGAATCGCGTCATGCGTGTAGCTTCATCATGCCTTTTGACACAATCGTGATAACCAAGAGCGACCCCATGCCAGTGTGTCACGGTGATCAGGATCATCGATATCCCTAACTCAAGTCGATACGTGAGTATCAATATTTTCCTGATCCAAAGTATTGCTGTTGACCTCTAGCACACAGCATGTTGCCCGCATTTCGCATCATAATGAGGATATCACGAGCTGCGTCCATTACACCACCAGTTAGTTCATATTTTCATATGGAAGATAATGTCACCTCGATGATATCATGGCGGAAATTCCATCTACAAAGAATGTGGTGCTTTCAGTTGCTAGATAATATTATGCCCTCCCTTTATCACCCGAAAGGTAAGAACTTCATTGGGTCTGGCAACACGACGAACAGCGAAGGTAAGTGCTTTTGCACGTTTACAAATAGAAATGTGACTGACCCCGCATATTTCTTCAAGCATCTGTGCTACGTGCCTTCACATCTGCTACCTAGCAAGTTTCAGTTATCGTATATCAGCTGTCCGCTCGTCTGGAGGTCGCTTGCCGCCACCAAAGTTCACCATACCTATGGTTGAGTGTGCCATGGCTACTATACATACTCGACCAGAGCGATAATACCATTTTTCGGATTCTTGGAACCTTCTTGAAGTTGTCCTGCTCCAGCACATGTAGTGACATATCCACTAGTGAAGAAGCCACAACTTGTAGGTGTACAAAGCATGAGCGTCGTGCTGTGGCAGGTTGGCATGTCTTACGCATTGTTGCACATTTGGTACCACAAATCAATGGGTTCCACAGAATTTGATGCCACGGGTGCGTTGTCTTTGCAGAAATATCCACAAACCTCAAATGGGTCCTTTATTTTATGTGTATATAATCTTGCGCAAGGTTTAAAAGCCGACATCGAGTTAGTTCTCTCTTTCCCATCTTCCATCGTCTTCCTTAATTTTGCACTCCCACCTGTCTTCTTATTAAATCCACATCTCTATTAAATCCATGAATATGTCTCGGTAAGTCCACTCACCTCTCAACTCGATCTCTTCGTATACTAACAATGCCCACCCCATCTCGTCCCTCATATTATAGTGGGCAAGCAACTGTAGATTTCAGCAACAGGTCAGTGTTCAAGAGTCGGATGATGCAGGTCAACTCATGATTTTATTAGCGGGTCTATCCTCGAATCAAATGAGCCTCCCTCGTACACGGGTGACTGCCAAGTCCCTCTGGCAAGGTCCCATCCGTATGGATCACCGCCACATCATATACCTGGCCCTCCGTTTTTTCCTCCTCTTCCACATCAACCTCACTCATATCCAGATCACTCCCAGTTTTTTCCACTATCCTTGCAGGAATCGTATGTGCTTCTGCATCATCCAACATGTTGATTCAAGCTCACGGCCTTTGGCAGAGTTCGTGATTCGGATGAACGCGATGAACTAGATGTTCACACGCTCCAAAACGCACAATATCAACACTCTGACACATCCGTCGGTGACGAAAATATGCCGGCAGGCCCAGTCGCCACTCAGGTGGTTGAAACGATGTAAGCCACCTTGATTAACCTACCTGGACCCACCAGCTCACGTCCAACCACAGGCAACAGTATCATGCCATCTACATACCGGAGGAGGAGTACGTCCCACCCCAACCTGAGTGCCTACCGTGGCTAATGTATGTCTCCAGAACCCTACACGACATTCGAAATACCCCGATGTCGTTTCAGACGTTAGATGTATCCAGCCCCCCAGTTGATAACCTCCCTCAGTGGGCCCAAAGTCAATCCTCCGATTTTCAACATTCTGCGATGGCTCAAGCGCACTCTCATCCGGCTCAGAACGGACTTGCTGCTAACTACAAGAACGACCTCAGTGCTGGTCGTTCCGCGGAATCTTCCATTGTCATGGACTCAGATACTTCGGCAGGCGGGCAGTCCAACGCGTCTTACCCCCTGCAGGTGGGTAATTTCCGCGGACATGCTCGTCCTGTGGGGTTCCTCGATGGGATCATCGCAGACTCTGATGGAACTCAGTATCTGAGTGAGGACGCCAGATTGGAGCCGTTTTCCTTTGTTCCCTACGACACAGCGGTACCTTCCAAGCGCAAACTTACTGAGGCAGGTAAAAAAGTTGGCACCAGGAATTCTGGTGCGCGCAAACGCAGACGTGCGAGAAGCACCAAAGGAGTATTTGGCCAATACGTCTTAGCTGACGCGAATGCCACCGTTATGGTTAAGCCTCTCATCGACCACCGCCCCGTAGACATCAGCGGCCGCAGGACCCATGATGCTGAGGGTGAGGTTCTTCGAACCAGAAAATATGGTGTAATGGAGATTGACGACCCCCACCGCGCTCGGTCCGCCACTGTTGCGAAGGACCTCCCTGCAGGATTGACGTGCGTGCGGGCATGCGAGTGGACCGATCAGCCTTGTGGCTTATACGTGGAAATGAGTAAAGAACGCGTAAAAGGCCATCTGTTGCAATGGCATGGTGTCAGTGCTGATTTGATGGCTCCCTGCAAGTTTAAGGGTTGCTCAGATCGATCATCAATGCAGAGTTTAGGTCGCCATGTCACAACGGTTCACTATGCTACGTCCTCAAAATGTGACTATTGTGGTGAGGACTTCTCGAGGAGCGATTCTGCGACGCGGCATCATAGGGCATGCGACTCTATCATGTCTGCAGCAGAGAGTGAAGGTGACATGTTCAAACTCCGACCCCCGAAGACGATCCTCCACGGATACATTGTTCCTGCTCGGAACGCCAAGTAGGACGCTGTACGATGATGTATATCTTCTTACTTTTTATACATATGTCACTCCGCTGACCTTCATATTGCAGCACTCTAAATTGATCTCCGAGTCTTGAATCCAATCTTGCATTTTTGAAACCACTTCATTCTGCCAACTTTCTTGATCGACTGCTTTATTTTCATATGATCGGCATTGCTTTCTGCCTCAAAAATTACGGCTCATGCTCTGTATTTCCTTCTCTACGTTATCACTTATGGTCTCTTCGGTATCTGTGGACACCAGCGTGCTGCATTGCCAAAAAAAATGAATTCTTTGAGTTTCTCTGCTTTACAGTGGTCCTTTGAGGGAAATTCCTCGACATCTCACCAGACTGGTGACACATAATACAAACCTCCACGACATGGCGTTCCCTTTCGGCCGCGCTGGCCGCTCAGCCTATCAACAGGACGCGAATATATTCATCCTCTTAACCTTGCTGACTCGATCTACTGGCTGCTAGTGAGCACTTGAATTACCTACCGAGCCCAAGCTGTGCTGACCGAAGAAATTCCAGATCTCTTGACAACACTCCTCTCAAGGTGGTTCTGTACCATTGACGTTACTCACTGGTAGTGGTGAGTTGTAGCCCATGTCTCTATCTGCTTGCCTAATCACCGCTTCCAGGACGAGCCAGAAGTTCTGGAACGTTCTCGTGCTCGTATTCACTTTCATCAACCACTGCACTTTCGGTAGTCACGTTTTTTGGTGTAATGTAATATAAGTATTTTTGACCTTGACTGAAAATGAGTGAATTCTGCTGTCTATGAATTTTACTGTGGAATTTGAACCGGACTTGAATAAAACTGCGAAGTATGATTTCACTCGCAACCAGATAAATTATTAGGAATTATCAGAAATTACTTCGATTTCAGGGGGGAAGTTTGTCCTGATGACACGGAAGCTGGATGTAGCTATAGCATGTCACTCGGAGGTTTACATTCTTATATACGCACAGGTTACACACCAAACATATACTATGTGTGACGGGCTGGTACGAACGTTCAAACATTTATCCTTCGAGATCGCTGCCGTAATCCGGCAGTTCTTCAAGCTCCAGTCCTCCTCTACCCTTTGCCAACTGGGTATACAATTCATCACGACTCTTTACATTGACAATACGCCACCCTTCCTGGCTTGCCGTGTTCCATAAGTAGTAATCCTTGCCTGATGAAAAAACGTAGCGCGAGCCATTGATTTCGGCGAGCTCAAGGGTCGCTGTCAAACCAGTAGAATAATGGAACATATTTTGTACCGTGTCCGGATTTATGAGTTTGGCAGTCCATCCCGTTGGGACAGGGGGACTCTTAAATGAGTCGGCGTCCTGCAGAGGGAGATAAGCATTTCACCTAACTGGGTGCACTTGTTGTATTACCTGAGAAAGTTCTGCAGCAACCTGACGGGCAGGAGCCTACTATCAGTAACATAACATGGGAACCAAAGGAAAACATGCAGTGGGACTCATTTAAAATGGCGAAAACTCTAGTCTGATTGGTGCGACCTTTATAGATATTGTTAGGCTGAACCGTAGGAAGGGGATGATTCCTCCTTTTCAAATGGAATTCAACTCCTGGTGGAAAGCGGAGCGATTGAGATATTGTTTGTAAGCTTGTTAGTGATACTGTGACTCCTCATATGGTCACTGGCGTCGCGGGATATCCGAGTAATTGTTTGGATCCAAGGGCTTTGCCAAACAAAACTGCACAGCCCCTCTTGTAGCCCAAGTTTAAACGCCTACATCATTCTACTTACATCATCTCAATTTTTGTCTTCTTTCACAACCCAGAAAGAACTGAATAGATGGATCAAAATGACCTCTACTTGACTAAGTCAAACCTCGAGATCGAATGTTCATACTTGACGGCATTAACACAGTTTCGTCTCCCAGGCTAGTGTTTGAAGTTACAAACGAGAGGCTCTCGGAATATCAGACCCCCATGTAAACCATGGCTTCATGCGCAATCGATAGCATGATCTACATCACCATCTCCGCAACTGCCCACCTCGTTCTGCGTCACCGTGTCAATGTTTCCAGATTCAGAACTGGCTCGGGGAGACAGTGCAATGATACCTCCCTGATCGACAATGTTTTATTTACTCTGGCCTTTCCCTGATCGTAATTCATGCCATTTGCCAGGTGCTGTGCAGTTACATAGCGTTGATGCCAAGAAATAGGTCACAAGGCCACTTTTATGTATTGCCACTGTATGCAGTCGGTGCCTTGTACAGGTACTCATCTTGACCAGACCGTCAGTTAGCGACAAGTAGGTTATCTGCCTTGTTGCCTAGGACTTCTCTAATCGTTTTACGCTATGCATGCCAAATAATGCAACCGTACCCGCAAAGCGAGGTCAAAAGCCTAGCGCGAAAGGCTGCAAGCAAGCGCTCGAGTTACGTCGAGAGCCTTTCAAGACATTTGAAGGTCAAAAGCAGCCTATCAGATCCATTGCCACGTTTTAAGACGACCAGAGAATAGCGATCGGGTCTTGGGATAGGACAATATGCATATGGAGGCTTGAGGATGGCGCGGAAATGATGAAGTGGGATGTGGAGAAGAACATCAGCTCACTTGTGATCTCGCAAAACAGGAAACATATTACCGCCGAGGGACTGTTCCAAAGTGCTGATGATATCCATACGGAGTGTTGGAAACTTTGGGTGCGTGATGCTGAAAGTGGAAAGGTTGTCGCAGGTCCCTTGGACGTTCATACCAACGTCGTGCGTGGTTTGGATGTTTCCCCTGATGGCAAAATCCTGGCCAGCGGGTCGTGGGACCACCCAGTGATTTCATGGGATACCAGCTCCTGGCAGAGGAAAGGCGGTCCTATCTGTTACTTATACGTCCTTGACGTCTAGTTTTCCCTGTCTGGTCAACTCGGTGTTGCTAATGAAGAAGATAACCAAATATGGGACTTGGAGCGAAGAGTGCGTCTTGCTCAATTCAAGGGCTATGCTGACTTCAAAGGTGTATGGAACATGTCGCTCACCTAGACTCCTGATGGTGTCCATCTCCTCTCAGCAGGTAGTTCCGGTGACCTGCTATCATCCGCTGTTGAGACATCTCTACCTGGAGACAGGCTGGTGGCCACTGGACTGGCCACGACAAGAATGAGGACATCAACCATATCATGTTGAACCTAGCAGACACCCTTCTCGCATCTGCGTCTGGAGACTTCGCCGTTTGCTTGTGGCAGCTGTACACTGGGGCGGAAGTTGCACGGTACGAGCACACGGGTGGGGTGCGTTATGTTGCGTTCTCGGTGGACGGACGTTTTCTGTTCAGTGGCGGCTGGGACTGGAAAATCTCACAATGGGATATACCAGAGGCGGTGCTCAGAGCAGCATGCGGTGATCTTTTGGCCGGGAAACTCAAGAATAAGGTGACTCAACTGTTTATCATTGCGTGCTCAAGCTCACGTGCACCCACATCAGGCCGTCTCGAGACAAACAGAAGGTGCTTGGTCTAAACACATGCTCAATATTTATACTGATCTTAAACAAAGGATATAGATCGCTTTTTTGATGTCCATAGTTTCATGGTCAGCGATTCAATGTGTGCTTAGACACTCTTAGTCGGATATTACTGGCCAGCGCTACTATAAGGTGCATCGACACCCCGACCTGTCTCCACCGCAGGCTACTTCCCCTGTAATGCTATGAATCCACTTCGTTTTCTCCCTTGCATGATATCAAGAGCTTTTTCAACAACATTCGGCCGTCGCTTGACGGGAAGGAGAAGAAAAGGGAGCATTGATCGAAACCAGGGGCTCTGGAAGTCATTGATGTCCCTCTTGGACAAGCAGCATTTGTTTGTTTTTTTGCGATTCTATTGGGTTGTGCGATCTGACTGTCCTTTGCTAGGGTGACGTTGTTGGTGTGGATGACGGAATACGACCATGTGCACTCTTACTTGCCTCAGTTGGTTCCAGGAAAAGGAGAAGCTACCCCCGCCAGTATACGACGTCGACCTCATAAATGATGGATAAGAGGGAGACATTCTTGGTGTTCCCTTACCTTATCAGGTATCGCAAGTTTATTCGCTCTTACTCGATGGGTTTCCTGATGTAGTTTGTCCTGTAGCCGCAGTCCAATTCGTCCAGCAGGAAATTGAATTGAAATCAACACTAGCGAATCACATCTCCTAGATACAGGCCCGGGCGGTCACTAAAGAACCGTCGATAACGCAATCATAGAAGTTTCAGTCTTAATCAGATTTTGAAAGAAGGAAGAAAGTCATTCCTCTTTTTTAAGGGGTGTTCCATTACCCTGACTACTTTATTATGTATATGTTCGCAGGCTGCCTCATTCCCTCCCCTTCTATTGATTTCAATATTAACACGAAATGTCGCGTTTTCACGTAAATGTAGAATACGCAGTTGCCATGAGTAGAGCGTGAGAAACATGAGACATTGATTGCCTCGTGTCAATGAACGCAGCCAAACATGCAGCGCTGTCGCAGTTCGCTGCTACCATCTCCATCTACCAATCTACCAACCAACTATGAGTGAAACGCCGCCAAAGCCAAAGCCAGGCTCGCTGCGTGACAGGATCGCTGCGTTTGAGAATGCTAACAAGAGTGCAGCGCCTGCCCCTGGGCCTGCACCACGCCCAAAGCCCTCGACCCTCCAATCATGGAAACCAAAGGTACCTTCACCACCTCAGTCGCCAGAATCTGAGCGCAAGACTGCGGGGATGTCTGCATCAGACGCAATGGAGAGTATCGGCAAAGGCGGAAGTCTCAAGGAGCGCATGGCTGCTCTCCAAGGAAAGGGTGCGTTTGGAGGCGGCACCCCGCCCCCGATCCTCCCAAAACCTGCAGACAAACCAAGGTGGAAACCGCCGCCGCTAGTATCACTTCCTGCAGATGAGGTTGTTTCCCAAGATGGGGCGATTGATGCTCAAGGGTCTTCTCCCCCTGCTACGGGTGATCCTGATCATACCGACCTAGAAGGCGGACACGAGGCCCAGCAAGATGCCGCTGAGATTGAACAAGATCCGGAGGAGGAAGAGAGACAGCGCCGTGCTGCAATCGCTGCTCGCATGGCTCGTCTTGGTGGTGCACGTGTTGGCATGGGCCCGCCTCTGTTTGCTGCCAAGCCAGCTCGCAAGAAACCTGCGACCCCTCCACCTCAGCCTGAACAGGATGAGGAAGCCACCCTTCCGGACTCAGATGGTATGCCATTCCATCTCTAGTTTATCGTATGGAATAACGTGTATCCTAGTGACTTCACCCCCTGCGGAAGCTATAAACCCTCCTGCTGATTTCAAGGATGAAGCGCAAACTGATCCAGGTGATTGACATTGTAATGATTCCCGCCCTCAAGTCAGTATTCATAAAGTTCTACAGATTACTTCCCTCCTCCTACACACAAAGACTCCTCCTCCTCCTCGCTCTCCTTTACAGATTCCCCATCCAACGCAGCGACTACCCGCTCAATGCCGGTACCCGCCGGTCCACGTCGCGCAGCTCCCCCGCGCAAGAAGGCGTACAAGTCCCCTCCTGTGTCCCAGCTCCCAGAGGTCCCTGTACTTGATGTGGCACCGGAAGTTTCTCAAGATGCCCCAGACGCTGAACTCACAGAAGAACCCGCCGCTGAGCCTACTACTGAACCGGAACTCGAACTCGAACCAGAGGCCAGACCGTCTGTTGTGACAGTGACGTCACACGAAGTAGTCGAGAGTCCAGAACAAGTCAAAGTCCCATCCGTGGAGCAGATTCTTGTCATCGATGACGTACAGAAGGAGATTGGCGAGGTGGGCGTGAGTGTCGAGCTTGACACAACCGAGGTAGATTCCCCAGACAAGCTCGAGGATGAAGATAATTGTGTCGATGCCGATGTGCCTGTGCCTGAGCAACAGGACCAGGACCAGGAAGAGCAGGAACATGAAGAGCGTGAGCAGAAGGAAGAAGAAGACGAAGCAGAAGAAGCGCATAGGCAACGTGTGGCTGCTAAGCTTGCCCAGATGGGCGCGTTTAACCCACTTGGGGGACCTCCGCCTGTACCCCGCCAAGACCCCATACCCTCACCTACTGCCAGACGTGAGTCAATCACCGCTCAGCCTGTCTCTTTAGAAGAACCTCTCGATGTCGGTGAAGCAACTCCCTATCCCCCTGCTGCCCATATCCCGCCCCAGTCCTACGTCGAGGAAGAACTAGAACAAGCCAAAGAAGCAAGAGAAGTAGACGAGCCCGCTTCTCGTGCTGGTGAATTCTAATTTTACCACCTGTATCCATGTTGTAGTGTATTAATCGATCTTTGGTTGCTTTTTTTGTACCAGCCGAGTTCGACGATGGATCTCAGCCTAACTTGGGGGCAACTCGCCGCGTGCTGTATCACGATGAGAAGGACGAACAAGAACGATATGATGGTTCGGATCGGCCTTTGAATGAATCCGAAGCTTGGGAGCCTGCGTCACAGTCACACAGTCTTGACACTCCTCCTCTACCGCCGCCAATTTCAATCCCGCAAGAACACGAGCCCGGCCAGGGCGATCTGAATCAACCAGGCACAAGCGCCCATGACAAGGAGGCCGTATTAACAGATGCCGTTAACTCAGAACCATCATATAACGCGCCTGAGATCCTTGCACCGGGACTAACCACAGACCAGCACCAGGACGACGACGAGATGGCCCCTGCCCGTATCACACGTCCAATCCCGCCTCCACCTGTTAATTTATCATCAAAGCCTTCATTTGTACCATCATCCCCACCGCCACCCCCAAGACTGCCGTATGTGCTCCAGGCTGACGAGGAAAGGCCCGAGTCACCCGCACCGCGGCCTGTGCCTCCCCCTGTGAAGAGTGGTAGGTGATCATTGTACGTGTGTGAAACTGGCATGGCGCTGAATTCATGGTTTGACAGTGAAAGCTGCCGAGGAGTCACCTGCACCACCCCCTCGCGTTGCTCGGCGAACGAGTGCGGGCGTCAGGTCTTTGAATATTGCGGAGGAGTCGCCTGCCCCACCCCCTCGCGTCGCTCGGCGTACGAGCGCAAGTGTCAGGTCTGCGGATATGGAGGAGGAGCCACCCTCTCCACCCCCTCGCATTGCTCGGCGTACGAGTGCAAGTGTCCAGTCTGTGGAATTGGAGGCTCCGCCTACGCCTCCGCCTGTGCCGACCTCTCCTCGCCCTTCGTTGCGCAGACCGACTTCTCCACCGATAATCACCGCACTACCACTGGTTGTTCCTGTGACAACAAAGGAGGAGGATACTGAGCAAAGTATGTTGTTGTCGGGCTAGTATCGTGGCAAGTTCTGATGGGTGTATCCTTTGGCAGAGTTCTCAGATAGTGAGACACCCTCTCAGCCTCAGCGAATTCAGGAGCCTGAAGAAGAGGACGAGGATTCTGTGCGCAGACGAACCATCGCAGAGCGCATGGCGCGTTTAGGCGGGATCCAGTTTGGTGCACCACCAGTCCCCACGCCACTTACTCGACCCACTTTTCCTCGTGCACCTCCCCCGACATCTATCCCTCCTGATGAGCCTGAAGTCGATGGTCAGGAACCTGAGGAAGGAGATGAGACAGCAGAGGACGAGGCTGCGAGGAAGCAGCGGATCGCTGCAAAACTTGCAGGTCTGGGTGGCATGCGATTTGGGATGTTGCCTCCTGGTGCGGGCGTGGCACCTGCCACTACTCGACGACTTGCACCAAAACAGGATGATAGTGAGAATGAAGACGCAGCGCTTCCCGTACCTGCACCCGCTCATCCCACGCGTCGGCCACTACCACCTGTTGAGGTCGATCCGGAACAGGAATACCGCCAGACGAGGTCAGAAGACAGCACGGGCGTTGAAATGGAGGAGAGCGAGGTCGAGGAGGTGTATTATTCAGATTCGGATGTTCGAGAGCCAGTTGAGGAAGAGGGCCCGCCCCTGCCTCCTCCTCGACGGTCGTCTTTGACGCTGAGGTCTTCAGAGGTACTTCCGACCCCTCCTCCGCGTCTGCCCCCTCCTGTTGGAAGACCTCCGGTTCCATCCATCCCTGCTGCCCTGCTTAACCGTCGCTCTAGCGTTGCAACGGTATCGTCCTCTGGGAAGTCCTCGGTTGACTACTCGAGTGTGACTGAGACTCCCGTACAGAAGCAGCGAACACATACAGCCCCAACCATGGAAAGAGCCTCATCAGATTCCGGCACCCAATCAGAGTATGTGATGGTGGAGCCTGAACCAGAGGCCGAGGAAGAACCCCTTGCGCCTCCATCTCGCCGCTCAAGTCGTGCCCCTCCTCGCTCGTTCCCACCGCCTCCTCCGCCTCCATCCGCCATCGACCCTCCTGAACAGATGGCTAGCACTGCTCAGTGGGAGCTCCCGTCGATCCCCCAAGCTGCATCTGAATTTGGCGATGAATCGGACCTAGCTTCATCCAGATTCTCAGAGGACTCGACGTTTCATGGATCCACTTCAATACCAACGCGTAAACCCGATTCTCGCCGCACCTCAGGGCAGACTGCGCGTCCCGTTGACCAGCAGCTCAGCGCGGATGACCTCATGGCTCTCTGGGGCAAAATTGGGGTGCAGGTGGTGGAGTCTGCGACGGGGCTGTTTGAAAAATCTAAACGCTCGCTTGTTGGCGACGGTTCGTACGCGGGATTTGTCAAAGCTGTTTTTGCACAAGTTCCCGATGCGCAACGCGTCTCAGAGGAGGGTGAGGATTGGGGGTACTTGATCTATGTGCAAACTGCCGGCTCGGTGCAGCGCCGCATTGCTGATATCCTGCCGGGCGACGTGATCGCCCTATGGGATGCGAAGCTCAAGGGCCACAAGGGACTTCACACGTATAGCCAAACTGTTGGCGCAGGGGATAACGGTCCGCTTATAGGTGTGGTGAGTGAGGTGGAGAGTAAAAAGAGCAAAGTTCGCGTATGGCAAGCGAACCAGCATGTCGGTCAGCAGGTGAGTTTACTACGAAGATGGAGGCGAAGGGCGAACGGCATGCTGACACCGAAGGCTACGCAGACTGTGGAGAATGTGAGTTACAGGTTGGAGGATTTGAAGAGTGGGGTTGTTAAGGTGCGCCATCTTCTCTTTTTATTTTGGTAAAGTGTTTGCTGAATCCTGATTCATTGTCTTCGTTACAATGCTTAGGTGTTTCGTGCCATGGAAGCCTGAGTTTGTACAGATTTCGGTTGCAGTGGTATGTAGAATCTGGATCGTGTAATACTTTGGTTTTCATTTATATTCGGAACCTTTATGTATAATTCTGTAGACTCTTACCTAGGTATTCACGTGCATGCACAAGTCAGGCATCGGAGGAGTACTCTTCTAGCTTAGTAACTACCGTGATCCCACACCTTAAAATATGCTTACTGTTGATCCTGTGATACAATCCACGGTTGTTCCTTCTGCTACGGGTCTTCGACTGGAGATTTAGTATGTCATCGTGGGCCTCGTCCTCTTTGCATCAGGATGAGTCCTTTACGGTCACAGACACGCCGTATGTTGGATGTGTCTCGTCATTTGCATCTTTTCCTTCGTATGTTATCCTCGGGTTCTTACTATGGGGTCTATATACCTAAATTGACAGCGGCCCTGCTGGGAACCGAGGGGCGACCCTGGAGGGCGCTTTTCTTCAAGGATTATTCATGCAAGCGCTTAGCCCCCATTCCCTCTAGCTACCCTCAACCATGGCGACATGGAACGTCGTGGGCGAGATTGCGAATGTCGGCGGTGTTACTTCCATAGTTCAACTGTCTCTGCAAGTCGTCTTTGCAGTCAATAGTTATGCTTCATCCGTTGCAGGGGCAGAAGCTGCACGTATGAGCCTTTATAACGCACTCCTCTCCCTCAACCAAACTCTCAGCCATATATATTTACTCCTTCAACAGTCAAATGCTGCATTACCCACACGAGCAAACGACTTATCCCATTTGGAAAGCGCATTAAAGGAGTGCGAGAAAGTCTTACAAGGTCTTCATGAGCGGATAGGACCGAAGAACAAGCGTCAGACATGGTTCGGTTCAAGACTAGCGTGGCCATTTCAGCAAGGCGATATAATGAAGGCTGTTGACACATTGGAGCGTTGCAAAAGTACCCTTTCGCTGACGATCTCTAGTGGGGTCTTGTACGTGCTTTATTTGGATTCTGGGCACTGATACACAATTGATGTTAAGACCAGGTCACGTGTGACAGAGCTTACAGCTACAACCGAGGAGATCCAGGTGAACGTAAAGGATCTGGTAGAAAACGTTAAGCAGGAAATTAGCAAGAGAACCAGTGAGCAGGAAACGATCGCGAGAAGGCGCGAACAAGAGTGGCTGGAGATGCTGGCTGGTGTGTCTATTGGCCATTATTCAATTCCGTTCTATCGTTTATGTGCGCGTTTACTCAGCACAAGAACGAAAGGACTTACTACAGTGGTTGGGTGGGTTTGACTGCACGGTCAAACATGAAGAAGTTTCCGCCCAACGACAAGAGAGCACGTGCACCTGGGTGTTCGGAATGAAAGCGTTCCGTCAATGGAACACACCACCAACAGGGCAGTGTGGTAAATTCCTATGGATCAATGGCAAGCGTTAGTACTTATCTGGGCTTAATTACGAATGATCTGTGCTCATTATACTTCAGCCGGAGCAGGGAAAACTGTCATTGCGTAAGCACTCGTCTTCGTTAGCAGCCCGCGAATACTGAGAAGGCTGTCTAGTTCTGCAATTATCAACGAGTTCTTGACCCGCGGCGAGACACTAGTATATTTCTACTGTGATTTCCGCCAGGAAAGGACCACAGACGGAGCTACCGTTCTACGCTCCCTTCTTATCCAGCTGCTGAGGCAAGCATGCGACGGATGGAACTTGGAATTTTCCCACCTCTTTCGTAGGAAATCAGAAGGGGCTGAGCCTCCCGCTGACACTGATGTCTTATGTAACCTCATCTGCTGCTCTTTGAAATTCCTTCGACGGCCCGTCATAATAATCGATGCCCTTGATGAATGCAAGCGCGTTGGGACATTCCTTACACGGCTGGTTCGTGCAGTGAACGAGGGCGAACTGCGACTTCTTATCACCAGTAGGACGGAGCCAGCCATTTCTAGTGCTCTATCCGGCTTACCATCGTTGTCGTTAAGCGACTATGCCCGCTTGATCGATGACGACATGGAACTTCACATCGACAGAGAACTGGAGGTTCGTTCGAGGCTTGCATCTCTCGCCCCGGATCTGAAAGATGAAATACGCAAATCACTCTTGCAACAGTCTGACGGGATGTCAGTGAACACCTACGTTTATTTGTTTTAACTTTCCTGGCTAATACTTCGCTTGACAGGTTCCGGTGGGTGAGTTGCCAGCTGGATGCCATCAGCGCTTGCCGAACTGTGCAGGGAGTATCAGACTCACTCAAGAGTCTCCCGAAAGGCCTTTACCAGACATATGACAGAATTTTGCAGGAAATTGAAGAGGCCGGACCCGATCGTAGCTCTATCGTAGAGCGGACGTTGATGTGGCTGGTCGCTGCTTTGGAGCCACTCAACCTATCTCAACTTGTTGAAGCATTGAGTATAGAGATCGGATGCACGACACTCAACCAGAAGCTCAGCGTGATATCCCCAACAGATCTCTTGGATATATGTAGCTCCCTGGTGAGCTTTGATGAGAGAACTGGTATCGTTACTTTGTCACATTACAGTGTGCGGGTAAGGTATATTCCTCCCCCGATAAGATGGTTTCTCATGCACGCTATTCAAGGAATATTTAATGTCAGGCGAAAACACCCAAAAGTACCGCCATCTACTTGAAGATGCCCACCGACACATTGTCCAGTACTGCACGCAATATTTAACCAGCGACGATGTTCTTAATTCCACCCACTCCCGCCCCATGCTGCGTTATGCACTTGATCTTGGGCTTGGGGCGCATATAACTTCTATCATACACGAAGAAGACTCTGTACTTTCTTGTCTGGAGGATCTCCCGGAGCAAATATGTGTTCGACATCCTTGGAATAACCGAGTGGCTCTTTTCAACCCCTGGCAGATTTGGCTTGCTGATCCCCAGAGCATCTGCGACACTCTCATCCGTTTTGGACCTGACTGGATGGTACACAGGCATCTGCGCAAGCATCGGGAGCATTGGAATCATGCGCTACAATATGCAATTTTGGAGGGAAAGACATCACTCGCCGATGTTGTATTGAGTCTTGGAAGAAATGTCAACTTACCCATCACAATTGGTTTGGAGACTACAAGCCCTGTGAAGTTTGCCCTTCGGCATAGTCCACAGGAACTCGTCGAATGCTTCCTCAGTAGAGGTGCTCGTCTCCCAGTTGATGCTATTCATACTGTGCTCGAGGAACGGCAGGGTGTTGACTCCGATATTCTTGCATTGCTCATTCAGTATGGGGCAGATGTTCATGCGACACACGTTCATTTCCAAGACAATCCTCTCCACACTCTCCTTCGTAAAGATGCTCAGAGCCAAAGATCATACCTGGAGACTGCACATGTCCTCGTTGGTGCAGAGTGCGAATTCAATTCTCGAGACCCAGTGGGAACGCCAGGCAATTCAATGCATTCTCTAATTAGATGTACGGATACACGATGCAACTGCCTCGATATAGCGGGAGTCCTCATTGATGCAGGGTGTGCATTGGACGCCACCAATGGAGCGGGAAAAACTCCCCTTCATCTTGCCATTGAACGGCAATCATTCTCTTTCATAGAGTATCTAATAGGAAGAGGTGCCCGCATTCCTGCGGACGCTATCCATGTTGCACTTCAATCCAGTCCGATAAACCTGGACGTCGTCTCTGTGCTCGTCCGGCACGGAGCAGACGTTGATGTTATGCAATTTGGTGTCAGCCCTCTCCACGTTCTCTTCGCTCGCTGGAATTTGGGAGACGATTGTCTAGAGGCAGTATTCGTCCTCATCGAAGCGGGGTGCAACTTGGATGCCATAGATGAAAACGGGAATGCCCCACTCCACCTCGCTATCAAGCGCCAGTCGCTCCCTTTAGTCGAGTATCTTATCCGAAGAGGGGCCCGCCTTCCAGAAGATGCCATTCACCTTGCGGTTCAACCTAGCCATCATTTGGAAGTCGACTTGAATCCCGACGTCACTTCTGCACTCGTTGTTCATGGCGCAGATGTGAATGCGTTACGCTGCGGTGCCAACCCACTTCATACGTTGCTTCAACGCATGCAGGGACAAGACTGTCTTGCAATAGCTCGCATCCTTATCGATGCAGGATGCGAATATAATTGTCGAGACTCGGCTGGGTATACGCCACTTTGCCTTGCCATAATCCACGAAGCATCGTCTGTGACCGAATACCTCCTCCTGAAGGGTGCTTTATTGCATATGGATTCAATTGGCACTGCCATAAAAGACAGCAACTTGGATGTGGGCCCCGATATCGTTCGAACTCTTCTCCAGCACGTTGCAGATGCGGATGTGTCCAGTCAGCTGCTTATGCTATTGGGCCATCGTACATCGTCCCAGTTGTTGCATGATAACAACTGCCTAGAAATTGCCAGAGTTCTCGTTGATGCAGGATGCGAACATGACGCTGTCGACTCAGCTAAATATTCACCCCTAATAGATCTCGCCATCACTCGGTCACTCCCCCGTGTCACGCAGTACTTCCTTCAAGTAGGCAGCCCTATCCACATGAATCATCCGGTAAACGTCGCGTTCAATAGCGACGTACCTGTTCCGTTTACCAGCCTCAACATCCATCCTGAGGAGCAGCGGATCGTGCAGCTACTCGCATGGCAGACAGACTGCCGATTCCAGACCATGCGGGCCCTCATCGAAGCCGGCCATAACGCTAATAGTCGAGATTCAGCTGGACAAACACCACTTGGCATTGCTATCCAAAAGCGAATCCCCTCTGCAGTTAACTATATCCTCAGAAAACTTGCATGCGGACAGCTCGATTTCTTCTGTGGAGATGGACTAGAAGAACACAATGTGGAGGTCATCGAGGCACTGCTTCAGAGCAGTACCCCACTCCACGCGCTGATTCGCAACGTATTTACAGGTCATGCTAGCACTCACCACTTCTACCTTGCAAGCAACGGGATGCACGGCCCATTCTCCGAGCGGGACTGCGGGGAGATGCTGCTTATTCTCATCGACGAAGGCTTTTCAGTCAATGTCGTAGATTCACTGGGAGACACGCCCCTCCATATCGCCATTCAACGCGAGCTCTTCCTCGTTGTTGAATATCTTTTTCGACGGGATCCAATAATTGACGTCGACAGTGTCATCGCCGCGTTCGGCACCCAGTCTCACGTGTGGAAGCATCTTCTTCAAAAATACATGTTGAATGTGGACCCCTTGCATACCTTGATCTCACGGATGCACTCCGGCCGCACTGGCGTGGATTACCTAGCAATTACGAAAGGCCTTGTACACGCTGGCTGTAATGTCAATGCGCGGGACAGCAGTGGGATAACTCCTCTCCAGCACATGTGTAAACTTGAAGTTGATCGAAGATACCCTGCAGTCAGAGATTTTCTATGCGAGGAAGGGGCGCTGTAATCAATGTGGTGTTGGGACTTACGATGTCACATAGCTATAGGCTGACTACCTCGACGGAAAAAAACACTTAGATCATTCCTCAGTGTATCATCATGTTCAATTGTTGGGTCTCGGGCACATTTTTCGGTCAAATATACAAGTTCGTTACTATGGGGGTTTGATCAAAAGGAATTAGGTTCATTGCTGCAGCCGTTCTTGTTGCATATTGCGATTTTGGACGCTCGAGCGCATCTGGAAGGCAGCAATTTCAACAGTTTTTTTACGTGGCAAACGTTCTGTAATGCGAGTAACTCATATAGCACAGATTGTTGCTAATAACGAGTTGGCGATGATGCCTATGTGTACTAGTGCACTGGTAGTCTGTGGAATGCTTCAAAATCACGTCATCGGCCCATTAGAAAACCTACCAAACTCACCAACTAAAAAATTACATCAGAGCCAGAGTCAGAACCGGAGTCCACATCAACACAATGTGTATAACCATGTGGTCTCTCGCGTTCTTTTTCAAGTGCCGCACGCGTACCATGATGTGGTTTGCGAGCTCTCATGTAAGGGATGGCGGCCTTGATGATTTTCTTCCATCCCCGTGGAGTAGTCTTCTTAACAGAGATCATTACCTCCTCTGTCATAACACCCCAATGCTTCCGCGAGAATCTAGACTCGAGACGACTTTTAGGCTTGACGCAAATACCAGTGGAGTACATCCTCAGCGCACGCTCCACCTCACAAACAGTCAGTAGATAGCGCTATCGAGCAACGACAGTCTTACTGAGGCAGTTGCGAGGACGAGAGCACCGCGAGGACTATCCTTCTGCCGCAACGCCTGTGGAATAAATTCTCTGATCTCCAGATAGAGCGCAAGGGTATCAGAAATTGGACGAGAGCATAATGCACCTTTTGTTTCCTAGATAACGTCAAATGTGAGCCCGTAGAACGCTGGTATACTTACCGTGCGTTCGATATGTCCGTCTTCGTTCATAATGATTTTCGCTTCCTGCCACATGAATGGGTAGCATTTGGCAGTCTCTTCATCACCGTGTATCTCTGAAACTGATGGAACAAGGAAGTTGATGTGTTGGGCGATCTCGTCTGGGGTTTTCAAGCCAATGCTATGCAGGTAAGCTGCGACAGCGATTTCGCCGCGTTTGGCAAAGTCATGACGGTATGTGTTCGCACGTTGGAGTAACTAGGAAAAAATTAGTAGTACTCTACGAAAAATGTTTCGCTTACCAAAAAATACACTGGATCATTCGTCTTTTGCACAGTGTAGTCAATGTCTGTAAACGTCATGTTCCAGATCGTTTGCATAACATCGATATGGTTAGTAAGATCCCAAGGGTTCTCGAGGGTGGAAACGAAGTCAAGCCACAAGGGACCCAAGTTCTCACGGAAGCGCTGCTGACTGCCATCCGGTAGATCCTCCACGCGGAACCGTGGCTGTGGTTTCTTTGCCGGCTGTTGTGTGGAACGAGCAGGGACGCGATCCTGAAACTGTGTAACTTGTGGTAATGTGTCCGTGACTTTGCGTTGATTAGATACGGGTGGGGTAGATTTACGCTGCACACCAGCGGCGCCGTTAACAGGATCACACGTCCCAGATTGCGAATTATGTGCAGGACTTACGGACGCGTGCCGTATGTCATTTGAGTGCACACGCTGGGAAACTTCGGATGGCGTATGCCAGTGGGGGCCGTTCCGGTCGATGAGGTCTGATTCCTCATCCTCGTCCTCCTCAACAGCCTCGTCTTCGTCATCATAATCCCCGTAATCAACATTGTTTGCTTGCGCTGGCTCGAGGCCTGTTTGATGTAGCAGAGTTTAGTCAGTAGAATAAACAACAACTCACCTTTCGTTTCTTTTGGACGAGTCTCGTGGGACTCGAAGGTTTGCTTCAGGTGCAACTTGGCAACGTCACGTGCAATAATTGTGTGCCACTTGGGAAGAAGAACTTCAACTCTGCCAACTGGCTGGGAGATACATTCATCGCGTTTGAATTTTTTTGACGTAGACCTAAGGGCAGGTGTTTGACGAGATGCAGCGAGTGTTCATGTTGATGTCAGATGACTGATCAACGATAATGATGCGAAATCTAGACCTCACCTCTCATCATCAGTACTAGCACTGTACACGACGCGCTGCTTTCGCTTCCCGTGCTGTGCCAGTTCCGGTTCCTCCTCATTTCCATCCTCCTCGATATCAAAGCGATACTGTCTCTTTGTATCGGCTACCAGTTCTTGCAGCGTCGGTTGCTTTTTCAGCATATGCTTGTATTCGTGGGGTTCCCTATTCTTCGCAGCGGCTGTCGGATCGCAAACAATTTGTTAGAGTCCGTCAGCCCTGATCGATGTTTCAACCATCCGCTCCGTACCTTTTTGCCCTTGCTCTGAGTTGACGAGTTCATTGCGAGCATGTGTTCCTGAAGGGTGCGCGGCCTTCGCATTCGACGGTGCTGGTGGACGAGGTTCCCCTTCCCCCTCCCATGTATCACCCTCATCCATTTCTTGCTTAACCTGAACCACCTTGTCAATAGCTGCCATTTTTGCAGTAGTTTTTTTGGCCGAGTAAGCACCAGGGCGCAAGATATACCCAGGGTGCTTGTCTCTGTTTGACACTCGTGTTGTTGGAGCCATGAATTCTGACTGACAGGGCATGCAGAAACGAAGGGAATGTGGCGCACAGTAGATCGATCGTTGAATTGGATTTCAAATTCGGCCCACAAACAAAACACTTGTGGGTCCAAGGCTTCTGATTATTCAATTCTGTTCGTGTGAACTTCATCTACAAAGACAGCACGGACAGAATTGTACATCTCGAGCGCTGGTCTTATCGAGGTGTCTGTGGCGAACAAATTCTAGCCCCGAAAGTACTGTGTGAATCCGAAGACCCTGGCCTGTGGTCGTGGCTGTGCGCGAGACAACACCAACGCCTCCACGACCACAACCGACCACGGTACTCAGATCCATCCACGACTCGTGGCGTGCCTAAGTCCGATTATGAGTCAAGCTCGACTGACTCAGACGATAACTTGGAAGTTGGGTGCCTATGACTACCAACATCCAGTCCTGAATAGTACTCAGTGTGATATCAGTGGAAGTTCTGAACCGATAAGAACCTGAGGCTCGATCCCGGGTTGCCTGATGGAGAGCGACCACAATCTGAGCCTGGAGATCTGTTGTTCTGGTATAACTAAATTGCCGACTCAGTGCCGAGCAAGCATGACATGGCAGACCTCAACGATAACAGAGAACCCCCATTTGCTAGCAACTCTGACATGCATAATACCATTGACTCGATCGAACTTGGTGATGCTCAGTGGCAGTCAGTTATATATGATGAACGTAGACCCCTTGCATACCTTGATCTTACGGATGCCCTCGACGAATATACCCTGCAATCAGATCTTTTCTATGTGGGAAAGGGGCGGTGCAACGCAATGGGGTGTTGGGGACTCACTAATTCCAATAGGGTACCCTTCAGCGGATATAAATAATTATACCATTAAGTACTCGGTGTACGACCATGTCTGTTACTAACTTCACTCGGGGCTCGGTCGCATTGTGCGGTCAAATGTACGATTAATTTTGCAAGTACTAGTGAGCTCAAGACAACATAGTGAAGGCGCACATTATAAAGACATCTTGGGGGCGTAGTGATACCTGGTTGGCTTCAGGGTCATGTCATTAGTACCGATGATGCATGGGGGACCGCGGACAATCAAACAATTGGACTCACTATAAGTACAATCAAACGTCAATTTATTGATTTAACAGAACCGTGACAATACTTCGGGAAGAGAATCCATTGTTGTCGACAGTGTATCCTTTCGCATAGTGAGCCACAAGTCATTTACAGAAAACGCGTACTCACATGAAGAGGCACCGTCGACCTTGACTTTCTTTGTACGCTTTCCTTGGGTGACTGTAGAAGAACTATCAGGTTGAGGACGCTTGCCCCGTTTTCTCTGGAAATTGCAGAGGGTACGAGTCAGGCCGATGTAGAACGAAATAACACTTGTGATACTGACAAATCTGTCATCAAATTGCCTCTTTCTGCACAAATGCACAAACGTGATGAGGTTTCAAGCAGCACAAAAAAGCGATCAAACTTGCCTCGCGAGTGCCTCTTCAGCTTTCCGTTTATCCTCCTCCTCCTACTCAGACGACCGAATACATCAGCAAATCATCTAAGCAAAAGATAGAGGATATCTACGGGGGCCCACCTTCTTGCTCCTCTGGAACCTTTCCAGAAACGACCCATCGTTTGAGAATACGTTGGCCGGTTTCGGTTTCGGCGGGACCTTGCTAGACGAGGTACCAGGGGGAAAAGTTGAGGGCAAAATAACCGCGGTCGGAAAAGCGTATCCCGGGTAAGGCTGAGGTGACGCAGTCATCGATATTATGCTTTGGCAAATGGATTTCTACGGGCTCTGGGACTGGAACGATGAATAGAAAGCGTTCTTCGGGAGCTGTCCTTATATAGTCGTCTATTTATTTGTAGCTGTTGGCTCAAGTTGTTCCTGGAATATCTTCATGACTCGGCCGTCTGGCGCTTGGACTCTGTAGTAAGTTTAACTCTGATAGTACTTGCAATGACTACTAGCGGGACCTCGCTGGCTCTGCTTTCAATGGCACGAGCATGCAAATTCGCTCTAGCAAATGTGGTTTGATATCAGATGGTCCAGATCGCTCGTCTCGCTCTCACTTTCGCGCTTCCAGGTGCTTCCTCTCCGAGTTCACACCGAACCACTCGCAATATTAATATTCCTTCCATTCGCATCCATCCCCCCTGTTCCCAGACGATATTAGGCTACATCCGGATAACAAGCATAATGGAAGGTGATGCGTAACACATATGTTTTCCTTGGCTTGCCTTGTGAAATATCTTATCGCAATACACCCCAAAAGACTCTAGATCTTTCGAACCAACTCACAGCAAGTTTCTTCGCTCGTGTTTTCAGGCGATTTCACATTCAACTATACATTTTTTCGAACTGGCTGGAGTTATGATATCATTTGGACGGATCCCTGGATTACGTGCAGCGGGCTAGCATGACAACCCAGAGACCGCGATATCAGCATGCACCAGGGAGAAAGTACCAATCATCCAGTAACCACAATGCAGCAATACCGTCGCAAACTTCCAGACACTCCTCTGAGCAGAACTCAGAGATTACAGCCATCATGGTCGACAAACATCCTGGCGCGAAAGAGCTGCTGTATACTTGATGAATGTTTGACAGCGCCGATGTACTTCGGGCGTTCATACGGTATCATGCCTGGGCCAACAAGAGCACAGAATTTGCTCATGATCAAGCACTTTGATGCTTGCACCTGACGTATACGTAAACGGTTGACCACCAATTGTAGATAACCTTGCGTATGGTCCATGACACAAGCCCTGGCAATGAACATCTCTTTACATAGGTATGCAACTGTGCTGGGTCACCTTGTAAGTAGGCTGATCCCTCGCACGCCCGCAGAAAATTAAATGGAAATAGCAACATCGGACGTCGTCCCCCTGCGTGAGAAGACGTCGCAGAAGATCGAAACAGAATCAACAGGGACATGCAATCTGCAAATTGTTCAGTCTTCGCATCGGTTATGATGCGGAGATAGACGTTCTCACCTTCTTCACATGAGCCTTTCATACTGAAGCTAATTAGCTGGTTCAATCGGTGCATGCATGCGATCCGTTCCCGGGCTCTCCTGAGATCCCCGTCGCAGTTTCTCGACATATATGAACGTCAACACTACCAGGTCCACCATATGTTCGACTGGCGAAAAGACCTCTAGGTATGCTTCATGTCCTGCCTTCTTGAAACCAAGGTTCAACGGGTGATGCCGCGCAACTTCCGTAGCACCGAGCATGAGCTGACAGACATGAACCGCGTTATACATTTTTGGTTAAGAATATGCGCAGCTGACTTACGATGCATTCGCGCGGGCCGATCTTCCACTTGTATAAGTGTCCGTCAGGACCTCGGAAAACGCGCCGCCTGCAAGATAAAGTAAAGTATTAGAAGAACTGAACAGACCATACGTGATACATTCTCACCGTCCAAGAATCCCCTTAGTCGGAATGAACTGAGAAGTCGCCAAATTCATCCCGGCATACTCGATGACAGTTGAAGTAAATGTGTGCCACTCGATCTTTGCTAGGATTTCTGACGATTCTACTCGGCCAATATTGAATTCGTTTGGGACATGCTTTTTGACGACCGTCTCACGAGTGCCGAACGAGAAGGAGGTCGAGGTCGAGTACAGAACATGACCCTGCTCATTTGTAATCACGGTGTTACGTACATGAGGTGGTTTGAAGGTGAGCTTCATATCCGTTGTCTGCGGAATCAAGGATATTCGACAGGTTCTTATCGTCTGCAGTGTCAAGTTGCGACAAAGTAAACACTATCATCGTGTTCGTGAGAGGGCCTATCAGGATATTTTAAACCTCGAGTCTATGGCACTAATAATCTCAGACTCAGGATGAACGTAATGTCATACATAAGAAGTCCTTACAGCAAGATTTGGTAGGTTACCGATGCGACTTGGGCGATTTTGAGTGCTCGACAATGATGTCCGGTGCCCCACACCAGGGGATGAACTGTGCAAACTTGAGTGCGCGTTTGACAAATATAGCTGCAGCGTACATGAGGTCGTACCGAAATAGATTCATACTGAAACATTGATCATATATACCTGTCAATCTGACATGATAACAAGCCTTGTTGTGACTGTTCACAAGAGCTGTGTCCTATCGGTTGCGGATCCTGAATTAGAAGAACAGAGTGACAGGCGTAACCTATGTGGAGTCTCATACATGATGCGAGGTCAATGTTGGATGCTTTCACGGCGGTCAAGCAGCAAGAGGCAGAGAGAGTATCCGACTCACCGAAGGAAACTTGGAATCTATATGTAACTTGCAGCTGTAAATGGGCTTGTGTAATTAGCACCGGTCCACCGGATACCCGATGGATAAATCTATCGCCTCTGGAGTTGGAACGGACAATAATACGACTCTCGCCCAGGCCCCATGCTTGCTCCTGCGGGCTCTCGCACCTAGCGATCCTCCGGCTATGATTTTGGGGTTTCATAATTGAAGGGCAGCAGGGCATTCGGCTGCTGTCGATACTGACATGCGGCAAGGGTATCGCCGACTGACACGTTTCTGTGAGGACAAGTACACGTGTTTCTGGTGCATACTCCGGCCAGTAGTGGATGATATATGCATAGTCCGGTCTCCATGGTCGTCATGGATGACGAGGAGGAACTACATAGAGCCTAGCTAAGCACAGCTTTTTAGAAGCGGCATCACACACGGCAAGGTGATCGCGTAGCCTTTAGTTGACATCATCTGGCACGTGTTGTCGGCGCTGTGGGACCAGGGGCACCATATAAGGTCCTCACAATTACAACCGAACCAGCCTTCGATTTCTCTCCCAAACTTTCATCCATTACCCCCAAATTCATATTCAACATCGAAATGGAGTCCACCGCTAAAGCTACCACCAACCAGCCCCAGGCTGCCATCCAAATGAGTACGTTTTTTGCGACTGATGAGACATGATGTTATTCATGGCGACTGCGGGTCAATTTCAATAGGCGTTGTGAGCCCTGCTCCTGTCAACAACAGTCAGAACCACCAGGAGCACCACGCTAAGCGTCTCCGTGGAGGAGGAGCTGCCAAAGTACAGTTTTTCGAAAGTTGAAAGTCGAGAATGGTAGTTGACCTTTGTTCGCTCTACCCTAGGACTGCTTCCTTGGTGCACTCGAGTGTTTCCTGTGCTTCGGTGAGTCCAATCCCAATAACACCTTTCAGCTATAGACTAAAACTCCTCATAGAATGCTGCAAGGTGATTGGTGGAGATAGTGACTTCTTTAGAATTAACCTGACTATGACCGTCATTTCAGGACTGCTGCGAATGCTGGGCAGATATTATTTGTACGTCCTACGTCATGTATCTTTTTCAGCTGGACGGCACTGACTTGTCACATTTAGGCTGCCCTTGCGAGATGTGCTGTTAAATGCCCTCCCGCGTTTGAAGTCTGCTCATAGCATGTATCTTTCCTTTCACAACCATGACTTTTGTAACGTCGCCTCTTCGATTAACATTGTACTGCGATGAACCAGTTGTTGTAGAGATCAGATAGGCTTGGCATATTATGTACCTTTGATGTTCTTGATACACCTGACAAGCGCACTACTATTTTCGGCCCCTCGGGGTTCACGGCAATTAAGTTTCGTTTCGACAGTCACTACATGACAAACGTTCGAACTTCGAAGTGCTAGATATATGATACAAGGACTCCCCTTCGGTCGGCTCTACGACAATGTACTGTGTTTACAGTAGCAGTCACATTGACACGAATATCTCGCATTTCTGCAGTCACGATAAAGCCGTCGTATTGCCAATAATTATTTTTGTCGATCTGATACCTGCCTCCATTCTGAAGTCCGACAACACCATGAAACGAAGCAGATGTCGCCATGATAGTAATGAGCAGCGGTAAAAAGGAGACAGAATCATGAGCGCACGACAACACAGCACGACGTGGTGGACGCAGTAGCACCCGATGCTGGCGGTATCTCGTGCTTAATACATGTAGATGGTGTGGTATCGAAAAGCTCAAACAATCTCCTTCACCTGTCCTCCCCTCCTAGACCATGGCGTTATACTGAATTTACCCCACCACGCGGGCCATAGTGTCAAGGTAGTAACAGCAATCCAGCAAAGGCCTACAACCACCAGTGTTGCCGGATTTGTTGAGTGGAAAACAGAGATGCCCAGAGCGGTAACAAAGCAGAACATTCTGCGTGGAAGTGAATAAACCTTGAATCATGCTATGCAGAAATATTGCTTACGCCCAGATCAAGTATGCATATGGAAGGCTGTACATGATCGCTAGCGCTTCGACGTCTGCTTGTGTGTGAATCATACGGGCCATGAACGATGCCTTGAAGGATAAATGAACATAACACCCTTCAGCATACAAACAGACAACGCACGGCGCCTTTAGCTGAGTCTGTGCCCCATCCACGGCACTCGACAGCGAGAAGCATGGATGCTACCAAGGAACTGACGGAGCACATCGCCGACAGATAAATGACCACGGCTGCTGCGCTGATGACCCCAGGAACAGCCAGAAAACCAACGTTAACAGCCAACATCACGGTGGACTGGCCAAAAAGGTTCATCACGGAAAGTGACAGTTTGAGAAAACCACTTACAAAGATGGTAACGTTGCTCCAGTCGCTATTGAGTCTGCTAATGAGCTTGGACCATTTAGGATAGTTCAAAATATTGTCTATCCATGTGTTTTGCAGGAATTTGTACTGTGCAGCTGGTGCGCCCCAAAGGAAGGCGTTCGCAAGCCTTAGTCGGAGTGTACCTTTTTGTCTACTTTGTTCAACTTCGTAGACTGACTGATTGGCGTTGAGACGCGCGCCGACTTGCCCATAGAAGTTCAAGAATTTTGAACGAGCTGAAGAGTCGATTCAGTGATCACGTCCATTGTCTCCTGCACGGTTTCTATGCTCACCGAACAACCGCATGAGGCGAGCTTACGGTGTGTAAGTGGAAGAATGATACAGGAGGGCTATACATCCCACCTAGTACGCACATGAGATGAGCAGGCAATTCCACACGCTCATCACCAGATTGTGTTAGAGGCTTTACATATTCCACTAGATGGTTTGAAAGATCCAGCATGCTTTGTAGCGTGGAGAGATCATAGGGAACAACAGAGGTATCGGATGTCAGAAAGTCTACAAAGACGTCCCAATTCATTATTACGCGAAAACTAACTGGGAATAGCCAACCTGAGTGTGCATGAAGAAGAACATGCTTCAGTTCCGTGGCAATCTGAGGTTGGATGGGAGCATTGTTCGGGTATAGTTCGCAGTGCGCCCTTCACGATCATAATGTCGGCCAACGAGAACGTTAAACTAAATGCATCGTTAGAGATGTAGGGCAATATAGGTGATGAGCTACGTACACAACGCGATTCGACGAACCAATACTGTGCCTCGAGTGCGATCTCTGTTGTTTGCCTATAAGTCAACCTGGTTCAGGAGAGCCAAGAGACACCCACTGATGTGAGTATCTGATTTGACGCCCTTGACATGTTCGTAGATACGTATAGGATCCTCAAAATCCTGCAGCCAGAACAAGAGCCGTTTGTCGTGTTGCACGAAGTAATAATAACATGCGTCTTCTCGCAACTCTAGAACAAGATATGTAGAGTCATCGATGAGATCATTGGCTTTCAAGAGTAACTGGTGGGCTAGGTGGTTGATGACCTTGAGAAGCTTGTTCTTTTTGCTTCTCAGATTTGCGTCGGTAAAAACGTGCTTTAGAAATATTATAAATGCAGACCAAGAATCAAAATGAGACACTACGACGTACCCGGGTGGCATCATAGAAGTACAATGCTCCCTCCGGATGTACGACAGTTTCCCAACCGTCAACAGGCTTTTCTGAAAAATCCTTCTTTTTGGCTGGGATAGACGTGGTCTTGCTATCACTCCTATATCATGACCAATCAAACAAGTGAGATCAAAAGAAACACGACAGAACAAAAAGCATACACGAGTACCCTTCCCTTGTATCTCTGACAAAGCTGTGGAGCCAACGGTTTGAACTTGCTAGGATCCCATTCCATTGGCGATGGTGACCAGGAATTGATGGAACTGCAGGAACCTTGAGCAGGATGTTGATTGACCTGAACTTGAAGCTGGTTTGCTTGGAGAGATGAGGTCTGACTTAGACCGTTTACTGGCGTAAGGACTGGATGCATGGTGCTCGCAGCTGTAAAAACTGCTGTCTCTGGTTCTGCATCGCTATTCTTTAGCGAAGCTCTCTGATGATAGTACGCAAGGAGACGGCTCAAAAACGTTCGTAAACCAGACTGCACAGCTCGGATACCTAACTTGCGAATGCGGAATATACATTGGCGTATGATGGACCGGATGTGTGGTGCAGCTGTGTTGAATAGGAAGCCTAGCCAGTTTAGGATCGCCCGTAGGTACAGAACCATGAAAATGAGCTTCAGGCCTAACCCCAGTGAGTTGGTGGACTAAGAGGTGCATTTGGCTAGCGTCAGTGGCTGCGTCACAGCATGAGCGCTTACCGCACAGCCCATTTTCGCAGCTTGCATTTTCTAGGCCCTCTACCGCATCAACCGAAATTCGAATATTATCGCGCAAAGTCCGAATCATGCCATGCACCACTTTGTTTTCTCCCGAAATTACAAGGAATATTTTCAAGTTCTTGAATCCTTTTCTCAGAACCCGAAGCTTCTCATGAGCCCAATCCACTTCGTCTCCAGGATCTCACAGCAGTCGCGACAACATGTCATAGAGTGAGTAGTGCCACGTCCGGTGCTCGACGTCGGACGTGCTATGGGATACTCAAACGTTTCTTGGACTATTGCTGATGTGCATACCGTCGTTTGTCGTTGAAGTTCGGGATATTGATTTTGAACCATCAGACGAGTCGGATGATTAGGATGATATCCCAGACTTCTACGAGGAGCTCATGGGTCGAAATATTGTAAGTGATCAGGTCTTCCCGTGATTGGTATGCGTCTCCTCTCATATGTTTAAGCACCTGGTTCAAGACCTTTTGCCTCCGGATTTGTTATACATGCTTCCTTATGCTCGCCAGATCAAGAGGATAGCTTCGCCTGAAGCCGAGCATCGATGGCCTCTCCCCGAAATGCCTTCGATTCCCTGCTATATCATCAATTGGTCTACCCAATGGAACATTTTCTACCCCATCCTACTTGCATGATCATGAACGATCAAAGGGAGGATTGGTTATTTCATACATGACATGCATAAACACGCTGCAGTTGTAGTCGTACTCATTGTCTAAGTAGCTGCACATTTTAGTTTCCTTTCGTGTTATGCCAGTCATATAGCGATACTCGAGGCTGAAACATTTCTGCAATAGCTAAAGAGGGCAGAAAAAATACAATAAGGATACAGTAAAACGATACAACAGCTGAAGCTTAGGCTACACTTTCTCTATCCATCCGCCGGCGTTTACGCTCTTGCTCCTCCATGATAAGCCGTTCTGCAGCTGACATCGGCGCCGGCCGTTTCCTATCATTCTCACCGCTACCCTCTAAGCTCTCAGACTTGACAGGAGCAGCAGACTTGAAGACGTTAGGCCGCTTTAAGGGATTAACTTTGAAAGGGTTGACTCCAGGCTTTACGGCAGTTAGTTTCAGCCCTATCGGAGCAGCTGTGGGCGTTTCTGATGTGGCCGCTGGCTTTGCAGAAAATGATAGAACGATCTTTTCTGCGCCCTCCTCTCTCTTGAGGCCCTCCCCGGCAGGGGGGCTCGCGCTTCCCTCATCACTTGCCTCTTTCTCCGACTTTGCCCTCTCAATCTGCTCTGCAATCAGAGTGCGCTCCCGCTGTTCATCGTCCCGCGTAGCTCGATCCTTTTTCATAGAGGCTTCTTGCTTTGCGAGAGCTTTCGGGCTGCTGTCGATCCACGCAATGAACCACCCTTTCTCGGTCTCATCCACGCGCGCGATACCTGAGCGCCCTAAATGTTTAGCGAACTCGGTAAGAGTCACCCAGCGGGTGGCGTTCATGTGGAGGTGATTCTTATCTTGGATGAATTCTTGGTAGACTTGATTGACACGCACGCGTTTCGTGTTATATCTAATGAGTGACGAACAAGGTTCCAGATATTAATATCAAATTGAAACAGAGCTACGCACCGTCTGCTTAGAAGTTGGACGAAATCATGCTGGAACTGGCTCGAGAAATCGGCAATATGCCGCCCGGCATTCTCGCCGACGACAAGCATTTGGCGAAGATGGGCTTCAGACTGAGCATGGCACTTGAAGCCGTTCTCATCTCGGCACTGCTTCTCGCAGACTTGGCAGTACCACCGCAGGCGCTGTAGGCCCTTGGATTTCATCTTATTGGCGAGATACTTTGGAGTTCCGACTGGACATTGAACATTAGCGGAATTCGTTCTTATAAATGTTAGTCTAACTGACCTTCTGCGCGCGGCATGTTGGGCAATAAACAGGAGGTCTGGGTAAGATTAGGGTAGTTCGCTGAATCACTGAATGGGATATGTGGTCACTAGTTGAGAAGCTCTAGAAGATGAGCTTAGTCATCTTGAATGTTGTAATATGTCAAATGCTCACGTGACCCATGGCTATGTAATGACGGTCTCACTTGCCAGCGCAGCCGCTTTCAGACTGTACAAAGGCCCACAGCAAGCGCAGGGACTATGCTCAGCGAGAAAGCCAAAGGGAAACAGCGTGAAATAGACCCGCCTCTTGAACGGCCCTCGTCCTCAACACCGCCGGATGATTCTAGAGACCTGACGATCCGGTTTACTGAGGGTATCCCCGACTTTAACCTCACAGTCCGTCCGAAGGACACGGTCAGGGATGTTAAAGCTCATGTACGTGGTTGAAAGTATGATTGTTATTTGCCTTATGTGCAGATAAATACAGATAGTTGAAGGTCTCCCCCAATTGAAAGATCGTCGACTTCGTCTCATACACGCTGGGCGTCTGCTAACGGATGGAACGCTCCTTCACGAATGGCTGGCAACCCTCGAGGAGCGACAAGTCCGTGCTTCTGCCCGTTCACAAGAGATTTCAAAGGAAGACCAATTGGTGACGTGGTTGCATTGTTCTGTTGGCCCTGTGATCGAACCTGGAGAGAGTGAAGAGGAGAAACCACAAGTGTGTGGCGCATGGATATATTGATTCGTGTTCACTTATTGCTTGTTGCTATAGGTCGCTCAACTGCAACCGCTGAGGGGATTTGACAGGCTTGCTGCTGCAGGATTCTCTGAAGATGACATTGCGAATTTCAGACGGCAATTTCATAGCCAATCATCGTCAAATTATCTTGACATTGAGTTTGAGAACGAGGATGACTGTACGGTCTCTTAAATTTACCAGAAAATATGCTTACCATACTGCAGATGACGAACACGCGCGAGCTCTCGAAGAACAATGGATAGACTCCATGGATAACGTCAACACAGCGTCCCTTTCTTCTGCCTCCTCACAGAGTCTCATTCTCCGGGGTATTGTCATCGGATTTTTCTTCCCGATCATACCATTTTTCTTCCTGCGTGAAACGAAGGCCGCAGTTTTCTGGGAAGAGGGTGAGCACGAGAGTGGGGAGAGTGTGATATTTTCGTCAGTGTCCTTTTCTATTTGCGAATTGACCGTAGCTGACTGGTACCTTAGACGGCGCACACAAGTAGGAGTTGTTTTTGGATTCTTGGTGAATTTACTCTTCGGGATGTGGAGATATTTGCTGGACACGTCATAAGTGCACATGGAATTCTTATCATTGGAACTTGGTGAGGGTCCTCGAAAACACCCTCATCGATTAGAGTACACTAATATGGAGCTTCTCCACAGAGTTGAGCTGCATTGCAATTACCTATACACTGCAAACATGGTACAACATTCATATCGATGCAATAAATTATCCGTGGATTATTGTCAGGTGACTTGCCAGATGTTTTGAGTGACGACACGATTTCCTCAGCTCCTCACCCAACATAACATCTGGTTCCGAGAATAGACAAGTATCTATTTGAATTTCTTGCAATGGAACGACATCGATATTACAATCTATGGTTTGGTTTCTGAAGGACGTACTTTTGGTGCATACAATTTCAGTGGGTGGGTGTTAGACTTGACATGACAGTGCGTGACTCTTCGCAAAAGACCCCTCTAGCTCTTACGAAAACCGTGCAGATATGAATATGGGAAACTCGTCATAGCGTTTGACGAAGCCCACCCTCTGAGCAACATGAGTAGCAAGGGTATTCGTCCATCCGATATTCTTGGCAGGACAATCAACGCCTACTGTCACAACAATGATGCAGCTTTATATATATATATATCTTGGTTGGGACTAGAATGCAGACTCTCTGTCTGGTACATTGGCTAATAATGTTGGAAAGTTCCGCCATATCATCGGATTCGGTCGTCCACTGTTTGTCCTCATGTTTTGTCCTAGTGTTCAGTTTCGTTGACCATGAATGGGTAGAAATCACTCATGAACAAACGGACCATCACCGGGATTATGACGCTGGCTGCTCAGAAGCTCTGCAAATCCAAAATGTTTAATCCTCGAGACATCAACCAGGCTCTCGCCGTACTGTCTCAGAGATTCGGTCCCGACATTTGCTTCGGTCACCTTAATGTTGTCTCTTATCTCGAAAAAGGAGTGGCTAGTCACCTGCGCGTGTGCTTCTCGATGACCGAAGATAGGTCGTGGGCATTCACCGGTTATCCATCGGAGCCCTTTATGTCTTGCGTTGCAGCAATTCTACTCCACGGGACGTCCAGAAGTCTGACGGACGCTTTGGAAGTTTTGAAGGCGAAGGCTGACGACGGGATGGTCGAAACAGGACAATGCGGAGAGCTGGCCAGCAGACTTTTGCTACTTCTTGCCAAGGACATGTACGTTCGCAGTAATATCTCCACAGGCACGATCTCGGATCTACACTAGAACGGAAGCGAGGATGCGGAACTGATACAACTGCCAGAAAGTCTCTGTCGTCAATTTCCTGGAATACCTTTTTGGCGATGAGTTCTGGCCGAAGGCGGGTGAAAAGGCTAAGGCAGCTTTTCAGCATGCCTATATCAATTTTTCGCATTGGGTGTCCATGGAAAACTTTATCTCGGCGAAAGATTCCAAGTTAGCTAGCATTGAGTCGTTGAGGTAAGCTTCTACTCGTTGTCAAGCAATATTATTTCTTAGATACCGTTACACAGCGCTAGATGCGACTCCAAAGAGTGGACTTTACGACACTAGCATCGTACAAGTGCGGTGCAATGCTGCCATCTGCAGCCGCTCGTCGACAAGATGATTCCCATCTATTTTGACGATCCTGCCCTTGGCTCCAATGATGCAGACCGCGTGTCGCAGATGTTTATTTCAGATAAAGCGGGGAAGATTTCCAATGAGCGAGACGTAGGGTTCATCACGCGTAGACATGATTCCATACAATGCTTATCGGAGCTCCCCTGCATCGCTCTCCTTCTCGACCTCAATGTGGACTCGAAGCTTAGCGTTACATTTCCCAAGAAGTCAAAGCATTCTAAAACCGACCAATATCTGCGGATCTACGCTTCTGGAATATGCGGCACCACATTTCCATTCTTACGTGATCATTTCAATGTTGCGAAACTGCTGCGTGGGGTTGTCTCGCGACAGGAAGAAGCGCCATCGCAGAGTCTGCAGACCAATTTTAAACATCTAGATGCACTCGTCAAATTTGGGAGTATTGCTACGTTACGCCACTCGCGATGGGAGGCACAAGATGTACTGTGATTCATTCACAACTCGAACCGCATGTGAAAACCGGACTCGAGGGAAGAATTCCGCACACTGCGTCCGCGCTAACTGTTAGTTGTATGGCGATTATGGGGGAAGCTCACGATGTCAAATACGTCCATGTCATTCGTTGATCAAGGGTCATCGGGAAACCCATTAATGCTTCCGGTGCGGGTCCCAGGAGCTCTTGACATTGGATCACTAGTCGCTGTCACAAATCTAGGAAGTGGTTCCAGACACGCGTCAAATGTAAATATATTGCATGCTGAGCGCTGTTCAGCCGGGATCTTTGAAACTATCCGCCAATCAAAAGTGCCAACGTGATAGAATGTCTTACCGCAAACTGAACGTTCTGTGACTGTGAGCCTGTTAGAGCAGTTCATTGCGTGAAGATGCTGGTAGTTGCTGTACAAGTGAAAGAGCTCGAGGCATGATGTAATCTTATCATGATCAATTAGGTTAACACTAAACGCGCCGCCGCGTGTTTGATCCCAAATTTTCGACCGAAGCTCTCATTCAGCCTTTGTAAACGACCTTTACGACCATTCATCCATCGTCTCTTTCTCTTCATAATATACCTGCCTGAGGTCTGTGTTTTGTTGCTGATCTATAGGTTGATTTTAACGTGAAAAAAATGTTAATCTGATTATCATCATGGATGACGCACAGATGGATCTTCAATCACTTGCGAACTTGTTCGCGACAACTTACAACCCTGATCCTAATGTACAGAAGACCGGCGAGCTCCAAATACGCAAGGTAATGTCTTGTTTTATTAGACTGCGGTTATCGCGCTGATCGCCCCTGCAGATCGGTGCACAGGAGGGCATGCTAACTGCTCTTCTGCAAATCATCGCATCTGATGGCGTTGAAATGTACGCCTACTCTTTCTGCAAATAGTTTCACGGTGCTCATGATACTAACTCCATGACAGAGCTACTCGTCAAGCTTGTAGTGTTTACCTCAAGAATCGCGTGCATACCTCTTACATCCTTCCGCCAAATCCACGCCCAGACCATGTTCCAATTGCTCAGTCGGACCGCACCGCACTAAAAGCCAACATTCTTCCACTTCTTTCTGCCAGTCCGAGCCGCTCCATCACCGTCCAGGTCGCAGCAACACTTAAGGACCTTGTGGCGCATGACTTCCCTGATCGCTGGTCATCTCTTTTGGATGACGTGAAAAGGCTCTTGGGCAGTGGAGATGTGAGAGAAGTGGGAGCTGGTGTCGTAGCCTCACTCGAGTGCGTTAGGGCGTTCAGGTATGTATTTCATTGTGTTATCTTTCGTATTGCTCTAATGAACGCGTAGATTCCGCCAAAAAGCCGACGTCCTACCAAGCATTATTGCCACTCTTTTCCCTACCCTTGTCACCATCGCTGATGGCATGCTCAATACCTCCCCATCCCAACCTGCGTCCCAGGAGATCCCTGCCATGCTGCACCTTATTCTCAAGACGTACAAAACTGCAATTATTGTCAACCTTTCCCCACATCAGCAGAGCCCAGAATCACTTGTTCCCTGGGGAAGACTCTTGTTCCGCGTTGTGGGGATGGTTGTCCCCGTGGAAGGCGTTCCAACTGACGAGGAAGATCGGGAGAAATGCGAATGGTGGAAGGCCAAGAAGTGGGCGTATGGAATCCTCGGTCGACTGTTCCATCGGTGTGTATCATCTTTACATATTATACGTGTCTCTAAGAGCATATTAGCTTTGGAAATCCCTCTCAGCTCCCGTCACCGATGCAGAATGAGTATGGCGTATTTGCAGAGCACTTCGTGACTACCTTCGCTCCTGAAATCTTCAAGGTGTACCTCCACCAAGTCGAGCTATATGTTTCAGGGCAGGCATGGCTAGGCAAGAAATGTCAATACCAGATCTTCCAGTTTTTCACTGAATGGTTCGCATTGGTCTTCGATCCCTCGGATTTTATTGATGCGTTTTTCCACAGTATTAAGCCGAAGTCGACGTGGATACTCCTGAAGCCCCATGTCGACAGCCTTGTGGCTAACTTTGCATTCCCCCAGCTCACTTTTAACGCGTCCAAACAAGCCATGTGGGAGGCCGATCCCGTAGAATACGTCCGTGCTAGTGTTGGTGAGTTTACGTGGTCGCTCTCTCCTGTTATCCGTGTCAGTGTCTCACATGCCAAAGACGAGTACGAGAACTTCTCGTCCCCCGTGAGTGGTGCGACTTCGTTCCTCCTCTCCCTCGCAAGCAACCGCACAAAAACGTCCTTCCTCCCGATGCTCCAGTTCATCAACACTGTCTTGCGCTCGTACGTCCCTGTTACTTCTACTACATTCATCAACTCACCAAAATACGATATAGAAGTCCTACACCGGCACAGCGCTTCGGCGCACTTACGATGATGTCAGTCCTCGGCCCTTTCATCGTCCGCCATCCCGATGTCAAGGGAAGCATCGAGCAGTTCATGGTACAATACGTCCTGCCAGAGTTCACATCGCAGGAGCCGTACTTGCGGAGTGTGGTATGTCTATTTATATTACTCAATCTTCTTGAGTTGATGCGGTTCAGGCATGCGAGGTGCTTGGTGTAGTGACCAAGGCCGGTATCACATGGGTCACTGAAGAGGTAGGCATCTCTACTACAAGTTTTGTTTTCTCGCTGACGTCGATCCTGCCTAGAACTTGAGCAACCACTCCCGTGCTGTGGCGTTGGCCCTGGATGATCGTGAACTCCCGGTACGTGTACAAGCTGCGCTGGCCATCACCGAGCTGGTTCTCGTTCACGATTCTGGTGCGTTAGAAATTTTCTCCCTCTTATACTGCGTCCAAGTCAACTTTGGTTCTCTAGTCAGGGACGCTGTCGCTCCGCAAGTAGGCAAGGTCGTGCAAGGTGCGTCTCATGTCCAACCCCACTGATTTACTCTTTGATTTCGATTGTGGCTGTTACAGATCTTCTCAAACTCTCCGATGAGACGGACCTCGATGTCCTCAATCACAGCATGGAAGCCATGGTTGACCGGTTTCAAAACGAGCTTCTGCCTGTGGCTTCGCAGCTCACTGCACGCCTGGTGAGCGTTTGTCCTCTAGTCACCTCTATGATATGCTGACGGCATGTATATAGTGTGAATCTTACTTACGCCTTGCAAGAGAGGGTCTGGCACAACAGAAAGAAGCGGTTCCGGACAGTATCGATGTAGAATCACTCATGACAGATGGCGATGACGATAAAGTATACGGCGCTATGGGGGTCGCCAAAACTATTGGGACTGTGCGTGTAGCCTCGCCATCATGTTCATTCAACGCATCTCATAAAGCTGCACAGGTTGTCTCGTGCATTGACTCCTCGCCTGAGATCCTGTCGCAGGTGCAGGAGGTGATCATACCCATCATCCGGTTCACCCTTGAGAATAAGTTGATTGGTGCGTCTGCTCTTTTTGTTGCTCAAAGGGTAACACTGATCGTAGCGTCTGTAGATTTGTTTGATAATATGTATGACCTCGTAGACGCCCTTACCTTCCGTCTTCACGCGATATCACCGAACATGTGGCCGGTGTTCGAGTTGACTTATGACCTCTTCAAGAATGATGCTGTTGATTTCCTTGATGGTGCGGCTCGTTACTTCCCGCACATATTTGGATTGTGTTCCTCATGGAGGTGATAATTTGCAGAAATGCTCCCCTCGCTGGACAACTTCGTATCGTATGGTACCGATGTGCTGAAGGCACGCCCTGACTACAGGTCGAAGGTGTTGGACATGTACCGCACGGCTATGACGAGCCCACAACTGGGGGATAACGACAAAATTAACGGATGCAAGCTGGCAGAGTCCATGCTCCTTAACCTGCACGGCCACATAGACGACGTAAGCCTTTGTGTTCATAATTCTCACCCGCGACTCCTCATCGTGCTTCTGCAGCAACTCCAGGATATTGTCATCATCGCCGCAGACCACATCGACAAAGGCGAGACTGCCTCATTCCGCCTTGCCAACCTCGAAATTCTCGTCAACGCCGTCCTCTACAACGCCTCCGCGGCGCTTCATTTCATGGAGGCCTACAAGCCAGGGTTTTCACGCACATTTTTCGAGCGCTGGTTCGTAGCAATCAACAGCGACGCCAAGCTCCCACGCGTGCACGATAAGAAGCTGAGCATTTTGGCGCTTTGCAAGTTGTTGGAGATGGAGGCTGGCGCGATTCCGGAGGGATTGAGGGATGGATGGCCTGGGATTGTAGGCGGCGCTTTGAATATTTTCAAGGCGCTGCCTCAGGCTGTTGCGAGTGGGTTGCGCATTGTTGGTATGACTGGTAACTTGACTGATGGTATGATCTTGTAGAGCGCAAGGTGTTGGAGGATCAGCTGGTTGAAGGGAGCGACGATGAAGATGAGGACGAAACTAGATACCTCAATCTTGAGGGAGAGGAAGATGGTAAGCGTATATTACCTTGATGCGTGTTCCGATTTCTGACACCTGTGTTTTAGAGGATGTGTGGGACGAAGATTCCGCGTATCTCGAGATTCTAGCGAAAGAGGTTCGTCATAATTCCATATTTGCAACCTACCGCTCATACAAATATTATAGGGTGCTCGTCTGAGAGAAAAATCCGAGAATGCAGAGACAGGAGACGACGAATCAGATACATCCGAGGAATCAGAAATCGAGGAAGAACTCGGGTTTTTCAGTCCACTCGACAACATCAACACATATGTCACCTTCAAGCAAGCGATGCAAAGTGCGCCGTTCATTCTCATTGTCTTATACTGTTCCCCGTTTACAATGACCATTTTCACAGCTTTCCAGAATCAAAACAGTAATTTATACCAGGCAGCGACGACGATGCTCACGGTTGAGCGGCAGACTGTGCTTATGGAGGTGGTGACGATGGCGAACCAGGCTAATCGTAGTTGAGGTAGTCGTCTTTTCTGGCTATCGTAGTCGTTTCGCTTCTGCTTGTTCGATGCGTTATTGACGTGCGCTTTGCATATAAGACGAATGAATATTTACTTGTTGTGGTTATCGACGTCAAAGGGACCGAGTCCCCTTTTCTCTTCATACGCAAACGTCCTTATGTAGCACGTGGTCTGCTTTCCTCGATAAACACGACACCTTGAAGCTTTTGAATTATAATGAAGTTATTGCTTTTTGGAGGCACCTATTTCTGGTTAGTTTTGCCAAACCCCAGCTGACATCGAGGTGGCTGATACAAAAACTTCGAAGTACTACTTTATTGTGGTACTACCTGAACGCAGACTACCAAAATAGTATCACGTTGATCATATTACACAGATCTCTCCAGTTATAAGCCCACTACTTACACGCTCAGGCTTGGAGGTACGGAAGCCCGGACGTCACAGGTGCCAATTCATTACTGATAGTTAAGCGTTAAAATGGTCTACGCTAAAATGATCCGGGTTTATGTTGCCCAAGCGTGGAAGGACGACTTCACAATTGTCGCACGGGTCCTCGAGCAAGTCCCTGCGCAGCGTTTGTGTATCTGGGACATCGAGCTTGTTCGGCATCCCAGCATCGAGAGCCTGGAATGGTTTGACAGCGATACCTCTGGCATCCGCCAGCGTCACTTTGTTCCCTAGCCTTCATAAAGCAGTTCAGTTACAATAGAGGGGTATCTGCCAAATAGGACGACTTACGACTTGATGAACAACATTGGAAACGTCTCTGCACAATGCCCAATGAGCTGCCCACCATCACCCGTATAAGGCAGGTGCCTTTCATATCCTAGGACCAATCCATCCCGAGAGAGCATGTTAAATCTCGTTGTTCTCGCTATTTCTTTACGTGCGCTCTTGGGCCTATCCATATTACTTCCAATGCAAACTCGTTTGGTACCCTCTTGAAGGAACCAAGTGATCTGCACCATCTGCGGCTCCTTCCCTTTATTGTTGCACAACGTCCGACACCACTGGCAGTAAAGAATCACCAAAGGATAGTAGTAATTAGCTGTGGTGGCATCTTCAGGAATGTGTCCGGCTACGGAAAAGATCCAACCGACGAGGTCAAAAAGTGTTTCGAGCTCGAAGTTCGTGCCTTGGTAGCTGACTGTCAGTGCAGCTCCGTTTGGAAAGATACTGCTCATCCCCCTAGACCGGGCGTGAGTGCGGAGCGGGGTAAGCCTGCCGCACTTACAGTAAAGTTTCGATTCTCTCAACAACACTAGGGAAGCTCGCGTGGGCATTGTCAATGACCCCGTAATCGTTGGGCTTGTCCCTGATGTCTTTGAACAATGTTACAATCTGTAAAGATATGGTGTCAAAAGCTCCGCTATCATATAGCGAGAACCATACTTGTGTTCGACTCAGGTTGAAAGCAACCGGCATGTCTCTGAGAAACGCTTGACGAATTGGCATCCTGGCAATTCTGGTGAGTGAACAAGAGATGACAGTACAAGGTTGGGAAGTTGTGCTTTGCGATGTGAACTGGGGATGTTGACGCCATGATACGCAGAGCCTCGCTCTTATAACTAGGGCAGGAGGGAGCTCGGCTCATCGGTTCGTGTGAGCAATAACAGGTCCTGCGCGAATGCTGTCGAGTCGGAAAGTGCGCGACACGGTCCTGCTAGGTCCTGCCAAGGTCGGGACGTACCTTGACGCGACTGCGACGTGCCTTGACGCGACTGCGACGTGCCTTGACCTGTGTTGATTGGGTGATACGCCAGAGAAAGGGTTTTGAAGTTTACTTCATATGCAGTTTCGAGTTCCTAGAGGTCCCTAGTCCCTGTACCTTGACACACTTTGACACAGTCTCTAGTAGGTAACGCGCCAGTGAAAGAGTTCCGAGTTCCTAATCCTTTATCGTAATACCAGCACCGGATGCTCATCCCCGGTTCGTTTATTTGACGATGAGTTATCATGATGCTCAACGATTACCGCTAGTCGTCTATAGCATCGCGATTGACGAAGAGGTGACAAGTTGAGACCAACGAAGACAATCTGACTAATCAGCAAAAGCACAAAGTACTTCCAAGTCTGACTCGACTCGTTCCTTGGTTCCTCATCTAGATCCATCGGAGCTACTCTGAATCCGTCTTCATGTCTAGAATTTGTGACAGCACCATACATCACGGGCGCACCTGACCCTACGTATACTTCATTGTTCATCAATGATCATTTCCCACTGTTCAGCTCTATAAAGGCCACACCAATCAGACTAGAGTCCTCACCATTTTCACCGCAATGAGCCCCCCTGTATGTTTTTCCTTGCTTACCATGTTATGTTATATTGACTCTTACCTGTCAGGTTGTTGCAAGTCTTTCTAAGGTAGTACGATGAGTACACACAGCTCGGCAAAATACTCATTGCCCTCTGCAGGATTCCAACTCATCCAGGAGCCCCCCTAGAGGATGGTCCGCCAAATTCACAAATCCTAAGACTGTAGAAAAGATGCTCAAATATTCCACTGGTTTGGAAGCGACTCTTAAACTCTCCGAAGACAAGGGCTCGCGCTACATTTTTTCATCGGGCAAGGACTATTACATTTGGAACACGGCGAGCGAGCAAGGATGGCGCATTCTCAATGTAGAGAATCCCGAGGAATTGTATACCAATGTCGCAAGGGGCAAAGGAGGACTGAAGCTTGAAGAACTGCCGGATTATGGAAGTGATCTCGAAGGATGAATGTTCTTGCGACTCAGAATTTATCGTACATGGTACATGTTTGGTGTGTAACTTCACTTGCACAAGATTGTATGAGATTGTAATTTTTAATACTTGGGCCATGGGGTCGATCCGAATGTGTAGCTTGTCTTTACAGATTCAATTTCGCTCTGTATCACCACGTGCTTGTGCAGAAACCCCTCTCTTGCATGGTGTCAAGACCTTTTTCAATCGCATTCGCTCGTCAGACAAGGAAAGTGAAAGGGGTGTCAATTGACACCAAGGCGTCGGTGTCCCACTCAGATAAGCTACATAAGTTTATGTTCTATAGTTCTATTGAGTTTTTGGGATCTGACTGCACCCTTCTCTGGGGTAACGCTGTTGATATAAACGACGGAACATACTCTTCCTTCGCTCCAGCTGATTCCAGAAAAAGAAGAAGCCTGGCACGGCCCTATGGCGAGGACCTTGAGGACGACGAATCTGAGGGCGGCATTCTCAATGTCCCAAAACCTACCACTAGGTAGTATTAAAATCTTATCAGTATCAATTGAATTCATTCGACGGGTGAGCTGATGCAGTGTCATAGGATCCAAATCGCCTAGCATAAAGGAATCAATTTGAAACGAACTACTCGTCAGTCACAACCTAAAAGACCATCCCGTCTTGTGGTAACTGAATTCAAGAATACCTTGCAGCGCGGTCTTCTAGCTAGTTGCAATGCTGAGACCCTGCGTCGTACTCAGAGCTTCACCCTTCCTCTGATGACTGACCCCTGAACGGCCATTGCGTATCCCACTACTGAAAATCTATAGCCTAGAGTATATACAGCATTTTCTTCCTTGAGTGTCTGTATTGTCAAGGACTGCGCAGGATTGATCTGTTGATTCGGCCCATTGACCTCTTGGTTTTGTTGTGTCTATTTCGTGATTACGGCGATTAATATTCTAACAGCGTCTTGCAGGTTCGTCACGACGTAGATTGTCGCCACGAATACTTGGCTGGTAGGCTACGAGTTCACTCGTGACTTGTGTTACGACCTTCCGCTCGCTACACAACAGTACCATTGATTCCTCACCTCTCCCCCGCCCATTCTGCATTGTCGTCTGCCGACCAGCATCAGTGACACAATTCGCATGCATATTACTCTGCGAGTACACTGCTGTGCTTCAAGGTAGTTCAAAAATCTCGTTCACGAGTTTCAAGTAAAATAAGGCTAAATAAGGATCCGGTGAAATTGCTGATGCTAGAAACCTAACGAGCTGTCTCACAGACATCTTGCTATGTTTGGGTTAACGTCAAAGAAGCAATAAGTACACATGCATAACAAGAATGAACGCAATGTTCCTTTCATAGGTCCGAGACTGTTCTACTAGGGGTGAGTAGTATTTGTGGGCATGGACTAGCAAGTATAAAGTTGATGGAACGGGAACGTTGACGACACGAGGAACATGATAAGCACGACATCGATAGACGATCACAGAGCTTCTGATAGATGTTAACGGCTAATTCGCATATCGAAATGTTCTCGAAATCCGAATTCGAAGAAAGGCGTCGATCCCAAAAAATATGACCGTGGTTTGGCACATCAGTCAAGCGTGGCACCATGATACTTCGTTATTGGAATGATTCTCCAAAGTTTTATGTCATGTCGAACGCCAGACGTGCACGTAATTGACACAGTCAGCGGTCTCCGTGGTGTTTAATGGGCTCAGATCTACCGTGATCCAGAAAATTCGGGGGGGGGAGGGTATCGACGAGTACCGTGACGAAATAGAGGGGCCGAGGCCATGATTTGCGATAATGATCATTGATCAGGCGCTCCAGTAACATGAGGGAAAGGTACTGATTTCATTTTCTTGAGCCGAGATATCTGCGAGTGGAGATGACAAACCTGCGAAAAGAATGGAATAGCACGCCCTCCGTTATCTTGTCCCCCTGATAGGAGTAATAATACACCGCGGCTATTGCAGAACGGTGTGGATTATAGGAATGCCGCTGTTGCAATCAGTGAGCCAACAAGTTACGCCCAGCATCAGGAAAACGTAATTCATTACAGAGTGTTACAGAGCGCTCTGTAGCACTCTGTAGTGAATTACGTTTTCCTGATGAGACTCGCGAACCCAACAGCATGTCGACAAACTTGGGAACGAGCATATAAGACACTCGAAGTAGAACGATTCGGTCATATATGACACTCAAGTGTCGAGACGTTTGTATGGGGCAGAGGCGCTCACCAATCACCTGTGGACCTTAATCCATTAAAAAAGGCCAACTAGAAAGTGAGACGTGCTTGCAAAAGGAATCAATAGGCATTTACACTATTATTCAGACCTTTCCACAATGATTGGGCCACAACGTCGGCGCAAGTACCAGTCATGCCACAGCCTGTCTTCCACAATGCTTTGGCCCTTGAAACCTATATAAACTAGAGCAGTGTCACTGTTGAGTGTATCAGACTAACCGTCAGTGTCTGCCTATCAACATGTCACGCCTCGAATCTTTATCACCATTGTCTCCTTCGAGCACATGCTGGATACCGTCTAGCGCAGATGCCTACACGACGTTTGAGGGCTTTTTCTCTGAGCGGCGTTACAGCATCGCTCAGAGCCAATCAGCGGATGCACTTACAGCATCTTTTGACATATTCACACCTCCACAAAACCGAACGAGCGCAAAAATACGCCCAGGGACGTTTGTTGTTTTTGCGTTGTCAACAGCAGAGCTCGCGCAAGAATATCCAGAGGACTCCGAGGACTATCGCAGAATCTGCCAGTACATCCCTGGACGTTATCTCGGGCTCGTAACTTCAGCGTTCGTGCGATGGAATGAAGACGATGACAGTACAGTCGAAGACGTGATCGTCCACTTTGTATCAAAGTATACGCCACAGCCGTCAGCGGTTGCGAATCACTTCATCCCCATCTTTCCGGTCAGCAGCGCCGTACCAGCAGACAGCTCTGCGCTCCACACGAGCATCTTGTTCCCGTGGATTGACCACAAACAGTGGACGACATTTGGGGTTCGCCTTCGCGTCTGCCAGACGAACCCATCGCCGCTGGTATTCGAACTTTGTAACGAAGATTTTGAGCACTTTGAGGAAAAGGCGGGAAAAGATTATACCCGATTGGAATCTCTCGATGCGACATTGGACGATGAAGCCAAAGAGACACTAGCAAGGCTTTTGGTGGCGCCTTTCGCCTTGCCAGCTGAGATCTGGTTCGACATTAGAAATCATCCGGACATAAAGGAACCTCCGTGTTTCATTGAGGACGTTGACTCTCTTGAAAGGTGACTTCTTTAGTAATCCTTGTTGATCCGTTCCTAGTTCTCACTAAGTGATAAATGATTTTAGTATCGTCGCGGGAGGCGCGCCAAGGGATCATGAATCCAGTGCTCTTGACGGGGAGTGAAAGACATAGCTTGAATCGGCGGTTGGAAGTCATGTTACATGTATGTAGATACTGTGGTTGATATGTAAATCAGGAGATATGGAAAGTTGACACCGGCGCGCGCCGACGGAGGTGCTAAGGTTTCAGTGTTTCAGTGTTTCAGTGTGAATTTATAGCATCTGATTGTAGTTTACCGCAAGTGTGTATGCCACTATTTGCGACGGCCAGGTGCAGTAGTCGTCCGCATCCGTGAACGGCTAGGCTTGCGGTTAGGCTGACCCTGATCTTCCATCACTGACTCCTGAGTAGCCTTACTAATCTCCGCGTCCCCAGGTGCAGACGATGACTGCCATCCAGGGAATTTCTTTCGTGAGGCATTGCTACCGACTTCAAGATACTCTTCCCTTGTAACAACGTGCATGGAAAACGCAGGATCATTCGCAAAAGTAACTGCGGAACGATAGGCTTCGGTCGCAGCGCTGATATTTGTCATGTTGGGTATATAAATAATCAGTGAGTGTCGGACGGACTCTCCTGACCGATATATCTGCAGATCATATTCGACCGGGGTGTGCGACAACAGTTCGGATGATCTGCGGGCAGTTATTACATGATATGTCATGACATAAAGGGTCTTACAATCGCTCGTAAAATCTTGGGAAGTTGGTACTACCACCAATCAGACCAATATTCGCCCAAAACATGCTTCGAAGGCCATCCGGAAGGAGCGAGATCGAGCTGGTAGGCTACGAGTGAACTTGTGACTTGTGTTATGACCTTCCGCTTGCTACACAGCAGCGCTTGTCGTCTGTCGATCGGCATCAGTGACACAAATCGCATGCATATTACTCTGCAAGTACACTGCTGTGACTAACATTGAGTGGACAGCAACTCTAAATTCAACTAGCTGAGACATATTTCCAACGCAAACCAACCCACACGACACCAGCGGGCAAGACAATCAAGATTTCTGAGTGGACGGTATGAAAAACTCACGAAGGCGAGGGCGGACAAAGACTACTTGCGATATAATTCGCAACTCGCTAGATGTGTAGGCCAAAGTGTGTCGAGTCTACGCCCACACTGATGATATGGATGTCCTTCAGGCATCCCCTTTTAAATTATAATGAAAGTCATTGCTTTTTGGGGGAACCTATGTCTGCTTAGATTTGCCTGAATGAAAGAAGTTCAAGGCAGGGTGTTGCTCAAGGCCCCAGCTAACATCGAGGTGACTGATACGAAAACTTCGAAATACTACTTCGAACCATTGTGGGACTACCTGAACGCAGATCATCAAGACAGTATCACATTGATCATATTGCACAGATTTCTCCAGCACAGTTACATATAAGCCTACTACTTGCACGCTCAGGCTTGGAGGTACGGAAGTCCGGGTGTTACAGGCGCCAATACAGTACTGACAGTTAAAGCTTAAGTATGCTAAAATTGTCCAAGTTTATGTGACTGCCCAAGCGTGGAAGGACGACTTTACAATTGTTGCACGGGTCCTCGAGCAACTCCTTGCGCGCCTCTGTATCTGGGACAGCGAACTTGTTGGCCACCTCACTGCTGAGAGCCTTGAATGGTTTGACAGCAACACCTCTGACATCTGCCAGCGTCACTTTGTTCCCAAGCCTTCACAAAGCAGATCAGTTTCGATAAAGGGGTGTCTGTCAAATAGGACGACTTACGACTTAATGAATAACGCTGGAAACGACTCTGCGCAATGCCCGATGAGCTGCCCACCATCACCCACATAACTCTTCTCCCTTTCATCTTCTTTGGCCAAATTGTCCTTGAGAAGCCTATCAAATCTCTTTATTCTCGCTGCATCTTTACGAGTTCTCTTGGGCTTATCCAGATTACTTCCAAGGCAAACTCGCTTGGTGCTCCCTTCAGGGAACCATGTGATTTGCACCATCTGCGGCTCCTTCTTTTCGTTGGCGCACAACGTCCGACACCACTGGCAGTAAAGAATTACCAAAGGATAGTAGTAATTGGCCGAGGTGGCATTGTTGGGAGTCTGTCCGGTTACAGAAAAGATCCAGCCAACGAGGTCAAAAAGGGTTTCGAGTTCAAAGTTCGTGCCTTGGTAGCTGACTGTCAGTGCATCTCCGTCCGGAAAGACACTCTTCTTCTGCCTTGATCGGGCATGAGTGCAGGTTGGGATGAGCCTGCCGCACTTACAGTAGAGTTTCGATTCTCTCAACAACCTTGGCAAAGCTTTCGCGTGTCGGGGTATCATTGATGACTTCGTAATAGTCAAACTTGACCTTGATGTTGTTGAACAATTCTACTATCTGTGAAAGTATAGGGTCAAAAACTCTACTATATAGCGAAAACCATACTTTTGTTTGTGTCAAGTTGAAAGCAGTCTGTATCTCTAAGTGGAACACTTGATGAATTGACATCCTGGCAATGAGTGAAACGAGTCAGCGTCAGTGAACCGATGAAAGTATTAAAATACCATACTAGTATTAGACCAAATTCCACAAATGCGGAGGGGGTCTACATCGAGACACTATTTGACCTTATGTAGCCTGAGGAATGATGCATTTTGAAGGCGTCTTGGTATGTTCAAGACACTGCCTTCTGTGTGGATGTTCATGCAAAAGAGCTGTAAAGCTGAGCGGAAGGAAACAAACTCCAGATTTGTCAACGCCAGCACAAAGCTTGCCGCCTAAAGTCACTATCAGTGAATGTCCGAGTCCTTGATGTTGTATCCGTGGGAACTACATGAGAGTCCAATTGTTTTACTGCCAAAAATGACTATATATATAAAGCCAAAAGACGTGTCAAACGGTAACCTCATTCGTCCTCGATGTGTGCTGAGCGCTGATGCAGTACAGTGGTCTCGACAGGTCTATTCCCTTTCTGGAAGGGTGATGTAAGCCTCATGCAAAGCCGATTAGAAAGGCCACCCCAGTCAGACTAGAGTCCTCACCGTTTTCACCACAATGGGCCCCACTGTATGTCTTTCCTCGCTTATCATGTTATGTTGTATTGACACCTGCCTGTCAGGTTGTTGCAGATCTTTCTGAGGTAACACGATAAGTACACACAGCTCAGCAAAATGCTTATTGCCTACCGCAGGATACCCACTCATCAAAGAGTCCCCCTGTCCCAAAAGGATGGACCGCTAAATTCACAAATCCCAAGACTGTGCAAAATATGCTCCATTATTCCACTGGCTTGACAGCGGCCCTTGAGCTCGCTGAAGACCAGGGCTCGCGCTACATTTTTTTATCGGGCAAGAACTACTACATTTGGAACACGGCGAGTGAACAAGGATGGCATATTCTCAACGCAAAGGATCGCGATGAATTGTATACCAATGTCGCAAAGGGCAAAGGAGGACTGAAGCTTGAAGAATTGCCGGATTTTGGAAGTGATCTCGAAGAATGAATGTTCTTGCGACTCGTATATGGTACATGTTTGGTGTGTGTAATTTCACTTGCACAAGTTTGTAAGAAATTGTAACTTTTAGTGCTTGGTCTCATGAAAGCAATGACCAGTCAATCACAGCTTGAAGCAAGACCATCCCGTCTTGCTGTAACTGAATTCAAAAACACCCAGCAGCGCGGTCTTGTTTCAGTGCTAAGACCCTGCGTTACTCAGGGTTTCACCTTTCCTCTGATGACCGACATGATCTGAACGGACCCGAAGTTCATCGTCTATCTCACTACTGTAAGTTTATAGCCTAAGAAATGTACAGCATCTTCCTTGCGTATCTGTACCGTCGAAGGCTCCGCACGGTTGATTTGTTCATTCAGTCCATTGACCTCTTAGCTTTGTCACATCCACTTTGTCACTCCTATCATTTTCACAGCGTCCTGCAAGTTTGTCGCAATGTGAATTGTTGCCACGAATATTGAGCTGATAGGCTATGAGTTCGGTCATGACTTGTGTTCTTGACAACCTTCCGCTTGCTACACAGCAGGTCACTAACCTACCACGCCTCTACCCGTCTATATTGCCGTAGCGATCGGCACCAGTGTGACACAAATCGCATGTATATCACTATGCCCTGCGAGCACGCTGCTGTAACTGATATTGAGCAGACAGCAACTTGAACTCTGAATTTAATGGACGACTGGTTGACATGTAGATTTCCAATGCGAACCAGCCCTACATTACGCCAGCGAACAAGATGATCGAAATGTCTGAGTAGACGATATGAAAATCTCACGAAGGCGAGTGGCAGAGAAGATCACTTGCGATGTCATTTGCAATTGTCCCTGCGGGTTGTGTTTTCACTTGTGATCGTTGCCGTAGTCTTGGATTTGCTGGCTCTCGTGTTTGGTCCTAGGACCTGCACTGACGTTTATATTAGCGCCTGGACATGCCGAAGGCAGTGTGTGGCTGGACGTTTTGGGGGAACTCAGAGAAAATCGCAAGCTTACAGGTATAATATAGCTGTCGAGACGCTAGCACATCAATGCTGTATATAATGTAACGAAGCGAGAGTTTTCAATAAATTGTACACATTGTTCACACGCAGACTGCCTTGAATAAAATACTTACTTTCAACGCCGATCTTCATGAATGTCAGGTGGAATTCGTTCACCGTGCTAGGTGAACGGTCAATGACACGCACAAAAATGTTCAACAGGTCGCCCAGGTGTGAGTAGTGAGAGGGTTTGTCCAATACTGAAAAGCGTGAAGGGGAGTGGGCGAACTATGGAAGAGCATTCGAGGTTTGGGGTATAGATACTAGGAAGTGGGTTCATGGGAGTATGATAGAGTCTGATTGTATGCCATATGGGGCGAGGTACAGCGGATAGAGGGTATCATGAATGATTCGTGTTCCAGCGCTTGGGACACGAAACGGGCCAAGGAATAATTATAGCAAGCCATCCCGGGTGAAGCAGTGCCTCGGCGTAAAGTTTGAAGACTCAGCGCCTATAAGGCGAACGTAATGAGCTGCATGCTGTAGACGCATTGTACCAGCAACGCACCTCAACCAAAACCATTACAGGTAGATCTTTCGCATTCTCCTCTCTGGTGTATCTAACTTCCCACTAGGCATAATTCACGAAGCACCTGCCTCAGGATAACAACCGAGGATGAATTATGGCAAACAGCTACCTGGATCACATCAAAAGCCTATCATGACATTTGAGGGTCATGAGCATACCATCATGTCCATTGCAACTTTTCTGGATGACAAGAGAATAGTGACTGGATCGCCCGACAAGACAATACGGATATGGAGGCTTGAGAACGGCGCAGAGATGATGAAGTGGGCGGTAAAGCAGTGCATCATCGCGCTTATAATCTTGGAAAATGGGAAACAGGTTGTCAGTGCGGAGGGAGAGTTCCCAGATGATTTGGATGAAGACGATTTTGATGCGAATATTGTGTTGTGTTGGCAGTTATGGGTACGTGATGTTGAAAGTGGGAGGGTTGTCGCAGGTCCCTTGGAAGGTCACACAAGCTTTGTGATGACTTTGGACATTTCCCCTGACGGAGAGATGTTGGCCAGCGGGTCATTTGATCGCAGTCATTTTATGGGACACTAGCACCTGGCAGAAGAAAGGTCATCCTCTCTTGTGTGGCTCACCTGTCGGCTGCATCCGATTTTCTCCGACCGGTCAACTCGGAGTTAGTACCGATGAAGATATCCAAATATGGGACTTGGACCAAAGGAAGCGTCTTGCTCGATTTAAGAGCCACCATGACTTCAACGATGCATGCAACTACTCGCTCACCTGGACTCGTGATGGCGCGCATCTCCTCTCAGCAGGTAGTAAAGAGGATCCTGTCATTCGTTCATGGGACACATCTACCTGGAAACAGGCCGGTGATCCCTGGATTGGCCATGACGAAGACGAGCCTGTCAACCATATCATATTCAACCCAGCGGGCACCATTCTCGCATCAGCATCTGATGACTGCACTGTTCGATTGTGGCAATTTCCCACAGGCACAGAACTCGCCCAATTTAAGCACTCAGATCTAGTGTTTCATGTTGCATTCTCAGCGGATGGATGCTCTATATTCAGTGGTGGCTACGACAACAAAATCTCGCAATTGGAGATACCTGAGGATGTGCTCATAGCAGCGGAAATTGATGCTCCGGCCAGCGTGAAGAATGAGGTGACTACTTTCAACTGTGATTTCATTCCCTTCCATGCTCAAGTGTATTCATTCCAAGGCTGCTCTCCGCAAACAAAAGGTGTGTTTTCTACCCCTGCATATGATATGTATCCTAACTCTCGACAAGGCGAAACGCCTGTTTAATGTATGTGGTTTGAAAATTGTTTGACGGTTTCCCCTTCAGTAGTTTCTCACATACTTCTTAGTCGGAGCTTCCCGGCCAGCGGCGAAATAAGCCGGCGACCTACCAGCCCTTCGACACATCTCAGGGATGGGATACTCACTCTGCATCACCATTCGCTCATGGGGGACGCCCTTCATCTTCTCGCTTACCCGATCTCAAGACCTTTTTCGATGGCATCCGGCCGTCATCTGACAAGGAGGGGAAGCAAAAGGAGCGCCGGCCAAAACGAAATGCTCTCAAAGTCGTTGATGTTCCTCTCGGAACAGCATCACCTGTTTGTTTCATGCAATCTGATTGGATTTTTGAGAACTGACCTTATCCTTCGCTAGGGCGATGTTGTTGGTGTGGATGACGGAATACGACCATACGTACTCTTCTTTTACCTCAGCTGGTTCCAGAAGAAGAAGCCGGATCCACCACGACCAGTCTATGATGATGAACTCGATGACGACGAATCTGACCATGCTGTTCTTGATGTTCCTATACCTACTACACGGTAACACAAGGTCATCCTCTTGTTAAATCACTTACCTGATGCACTATCGTAGGACCCAAATCGACACCGCCAAAAAAATCAAATTGACACCAATGTCTTTTTTCCAATCACAGCCGGAAGCGGGACCATCTCGCCTTGCACCTCCAGTTGACATAGACGCTGTTGATGTCCCGATACCTATCACCAGGTATCAAAATTTTGTTCATTTGTTTGACGGATGACCTGATATGGTGTCTGATCAGAATCGTCCAGCACAAAGAAATGGAATTGAAACCGATTGCTAGTCAGTCACAGGCAGAGGGAGGACCGTCCCGCCTTGTAGGCCTCGAAGACCATGCAGGAGAACGGTCTTCATAGTAAGTTTTATCCTGGCGCTTTACATCGTACTTACGGCTTCATATCATCTTTGATCGTCCCTGCAACAACCGTGACTCTCGCAATTGATTGTGAAGGTTCTTTTCATCAGACCAAAGCGTCGGCTGCTATTATATAATTCAGGGGACCGAGTCCCCTTCATACGCAAACGACGTTCTGTAGCACCCTTTGGTCTACTTTCCTTGATAAACATGACACCTTGAAAGCTTTTTGATCACAATGAAAGTCACTGCTTTTCGGAGGCACCTATTCCTAGTTAGATTAGCCCGATTGAAAGAAATTTAAGGCAAGGTATTGCTCAATTGGGCCCCAGCTGACATTGACTGATACGAAAACTTTGAAGTACTACTTTGAGCCATTATGGTACTACAGATCGCCAAAACAGTATCACCTTGACCATATTACACAGATTTCTACAGCATAGCTATAAGCCCACCACCTACACGCCCAGGATTGGAGGTATGGAAGCCCGGTGTCGCAGGTGCCAATACACTACTGACAGTTAAACGTCAAAATCGTCTACACTAAAATGGTCCAGGTTTAACGTAGAAGGACGACTTCACAATTGTCGCACGGGTCCTCGAGCAAGTCCTTGCGCAGCGTCTCTGTATCTGGGACATCGAACTTGTTTGGCATCCCGGCGTTGAGAGCCTCGAGTGGTTTGACAGCAATACCTCTGGCATCTGGCAGCGTCACTTCCTCTCCTAGTCTTCACAAAGCAGATCAGTCGCAATAAAGGGGTATCAACCAAATAGGACGACTTACGACTTAATAAACAATATCGGAAACGTCTCTGCACAATGCCCAATGGGCTGCCCACCATCACCCGAATAAGGCAGATGCCTTTCATACCCTAGGGCCAATCGATCCCGGGAAAGCATGTTAAATCTCCTTGTTCTCGCTATTTCTTTACGTTCTCCCTTGGGCCTATCCAAACTACTTCCAAGGCAGACTCGTTTGGTACCCCCTTGAGTGTACCATGTAATTTGCACCATCTTCGCCTCCTTCTTTTCTCTAGCGCACAACGTCCGACACCACTGGCAGTAAAGAATTACCAAAGGATAGTAGTAATTAGCTGTGGTGACATCTTCGGGAATGTGTCCGGTCACGGAAAGGATCCAGCCGACGAGGTCAAAAGGGGTTTCGAATTCGAAGTTCGTGCCTTGGTAGCTGACTGTCAGTGCAGCTCCGTTTGGAAAGATACTGTTCATTCCCCTAGACCGGGCGTGAGTACGGAATGGGGTAAGCCTGCCGCACTTACAGTAAAGTTTCGATTCTCTCAACAACACTGGGGAAGCTCGCGTGTGGCGGAGCATTGTCGATGACCCCGTAATCGTTGGGCTTATCCCTGATGTCTTTGAACAATGTTACTATCTGTAAAGATATGGTGTCATAAGCTCCGCTATCATATAGCGAGAATCATACTTGTGTTCGACTCAAGTTGAAAGCAACCTGCATGTCTCTGAGAAACGCTTGATGAATTGGCATCCTGGCAATTAAGAGAGGATAGTACAGGATTGGGAAGTTGTGTTTTGCAATGTGAACTGGGGATATTGGCACCATGATACGCAGAGCCTCGGTCTTATAACTAGGGCAGGAGGGAACTCGGTTCATCGATTCGTGTGAGCAATAACAGGTCACGCGCAAGTACTGTCGAATCGGAAAGTGTGCAACGCAGTTCTGCAAGTCCTGCCAAGGTCAGGACGGACCTTCACGCGACTGTGATGTGCCTTGACCTGTGTTGATTGGGTGACACCAGAGAAAGGGTTTCGAAGTTTACTTTATATGCATCTTCGAGTTCCTAGTAGGTAACACGCCAGTGAAAGTGCTCCGAGTTCCTAGTTCTACAAGTCATTCCTTTATCGAAATACTGGCACCGGGTTGATGAAGGCTAGCACAGAGTCTCAGCGGACGTGTTAGACGACGCTGAGGTAGAACAACTGTCGAGGAAAACATCCATTACGCAAGTATCAAGATGTCCGAGACGGAAGAAACTGCCGGCGATAATGACGCCGGTAGAAACGACATATGGTGTCGAAGATGGACAAGATGCGATAAGACTCAAGAAAGGGAAAGAAGCGTTGAAGAGAAGCCCCACAGGCTTTGAATCCCCCGGGGCTGGTAGCACGCGTACGTACCGTATCGCCAACACGGGTGCTCGAGTGATGATGAGTTATCATGATGCTCAACCACTGCCGCTAGTCGCCTAACGAAGTGGTAATAACGGCGACAAGTCGAGACAACAAAGAGAAGATCGACAATCTGACTAATCCAGCGCAAACGCAAAGTACTTCCGAGTCCGACTGAGTTGGCAGTACCACGCTTCACGGGCGCACCTAATCCTACGTATATTTTATTTTTGCACTAGGTTCAGCCAAAGAAGATCTGTAAAAGTCACACCAACCAGACTAAAGTCCTCACTGTTTCACCTCAATGAGCTCCTCTGTATGTTTCTCCTTGCTATAGTACCATGTTATGTTATGTTGACTCCTGCCCGTCAGATTGTTGCAAATCTTTCCCAGGTAATACGATAAGTACATATAGCTCAGCATAATACTCATTGCCCTCTTCAGGATGCCGACTCATCTACTGCGAGTCCCCCTAGAGGATGGAGCGCCACATTCACAAATCCTAAGAATGTGGAAAATATGCTCAAATATTCCACCGGTTTGGAAGCAACCCTTCAACTCTCCGACGACAGGGGCTCGCGCTATATTTTTTCATCGGGCAAGGAGTACTACATTTGGAACACAGTGAGCCAGCAAGGATGGCGCATTCTCAACGTACAGAATCGCGAGGACTTGTATAATGGTATCGCTAGGGGCAGAGGAGGACTGAAGCTTGAAGAACTACCGGATTATGGAAGCGATCTCGACGGATGATCGTTCTTACGGCACTTGTTTGGTGTGTAACTTCACTTGCACAAGATTGTAAGAGATCGTAACTTTTAATACTTGGGCCATGTGGTCGATCGAAATGAGTACTTTGTCTTCACAGATTCAATCTTGTTCTCCTTACCACGCGCTCGTGCAGCTGAAAGCCCTTCAAAGCTTCATCTTCTCCCTTGCATAATGTCAGGACCTTTTTCAATCGTATTCGGCCGTTATCAGACAAGAAAATAAAGCGAAGGAAGTGTCAACCAACACCAAAACATCGGTGTCCCTCTCAGATAAGCTATGTATGTTTGTTTTCTGCAATTATATTGGGCTTGCGAGATCTGACTGCATCCTGCTCTGGGATAACGCTGCTGGTGTGAACGAGCGTGCATACTCTTATTTTGCCTGAGCTGATTCCAAAAGAAGAGGAAGCCAAATCCACCACGGCCAGTCTATGGCGACGAACTCGAGGACGACGAATTCTGAAGGCGGCGTTCTCGATGTTTCCATACCTATTACCAGGTAAGTGGTATTAAACCTTGTTCGTTTGATAGGTGAACCGCTGATGCAGGGTCATGGGATTCAAATCGCCTAGCACGAAGAAATCGAATTGAAACCAACTACTAGCTTGAAATAAGGCCACCCCATCTTGCGGTAACTGGATGCAAGAGCACCCGGCAGCACAATCTTCTAGTTAGTTTCAATGCTGAGACCTCGCATCGTACCCGGAGCTTTACCCTTCCTCTTGATTGTGACCTCTGAACGAACCCTCCATTGTGCATCTCACTTGTCGGAATCTGTCATCCAGGATATGTACAGCATGTTCTTCCTTGCACATTCGTGCTGTCCAGGGCTCCGCACGGTTCAAATTGATTTATTAATCCAGACCATTGACCTCTTGGTTTTGTCGCATCCACTTCGTTATTACTGTTATTATTCTCACAGCGTCCTCCAGGTTTGTGACAACATGGATCGTTGTCACAAATACTTCGCTGGTGGGCTATGAGTTCAGTCATGACTGATGTTCTTGACGACCTTCCGCTTGCTATACAGCAATGTCATTGGTTTGTCACCTCTTCTCCGTCTACTCTGCATTGTCGTCCACCGATCGGCATCAGTGTGACACAAATCGCATGCATATCGCTATGCCCTCCGAGAAGACTGCTGTAACTAATATTGAGCGGACAGGAACTTGAACTCTGAATTCAATGGACGACTGGTTGACACGAGTTTCCAACGCGAATCAACCCCACATGACATCGGTGAAGATGACAATTGAAATTTGTCTGAATAGATGGTATGAAAAGCTCACGAAGGCGAGTGACAGAAAAATATTACTTGCAATGTCATTCCCGACTGTCCCTGTGAATTGTGTTTCGCTTGTAATCGTTGTTGTGGTCTTGGATCCGCTGGCCCTCGTGTTCGGTCCTAAGACATGCGCTGACATTTATATTAGTGCCTGGACATGGTGAAGGCAGAGTGTGGCTGAACGTTTTGGAGGAACCCAGAGAAAATCACAAGCTTGCAGGTATGATATAGTTGTAGAGACGCTAGCACATCAATGCTGTATATAATGTAACAAAGCGAGAATGCTCAATAAATTGTACACACCGTTCGTACGAAAACTGCCTTGGATAAAACACTCACATTCAACGCCGATCTTTACGAACGTCAAGTGATATTCATTCATCGTGCTAAATCAACAGTCAATGGCACGCGCAAAAACATTCAACAGGTCGCCCAGGTGTGTGAGTAGTGAGGGTTTGTCCAACACTGACAAGTGCAAAGAGGAGTGGGCGAACTAGGGAAAAATGTTCGGGTTGTGGGTATGGATACTGGAAGTGGGTTCATGGGAGTATAGTTCTGTGGGATAGAAAGTCTGATTGTATGACATGCAGGACAGCGTACCGTGGGTAGAGGGTATCATGAATGATTCGCGTTCCAGCGCTTGGAACACAAAACGGATCGAGGAATAATTATAGCAAGTCATCCCAGATGAAGCAGTGCTTCGGTACAAAGTTTGCGGACCCAAGCGCCTAAAGGCGAACGTAATTAGCTGCATGCTGTAGACGCATTGTACCATCAACGCACCTCGACCAAAACCATTACAGGTAGATCTTTCGCATTCTCCTCTCTGGCATGTATAACTCCCCACTAGGCATAATTCACGAAGCACCTGCCTCAGGATAACAATTGAGGATGAAGGATAGCAAACAGCTGCCTGGATCGCATCAAAAGCCTATCAAAACATTTGAGGGTCATAAAAAATACATAACCTCCATCGCAACTTTTCCGGATGGCAGGAGAATAGCGACTGCATCGATCGACAAGACGATACGGATATGGAGGCTTGAGGACGGCGCAGAGATGATGAAGTGGGTGGCGAAGCAGCGCGTTACCGCACTTGTACTCTTGGAAAACGGGAAACGGGTTGTCAGTGCGGAGGGAGAGTTCCCAGACGATTTTGATGAAGACGATTTCGATGATGTGTTGCATTGGCAGTTATGGGTACGTGATGTTGAGAGTGGGATGGTGATCGCAGGTCCATTGGAAGGTCACACAAGCATGGTGATTGCTTTGGACATTTCCCCTGACGGAGAGATGTTGGCCAGCGGGTCATACGATCGCACAATCATTTTATGGGACACTAGCACCTGGCGAAAGAAAGGTCATCCTCTCTTGTGTGGCTCATACGTCACTTGCATCCGATTTTCTCCGACTGGTCAACTCGGTGTTGCTGCCAAGGAAGATATCCACATATGGGACTTGAATCAAAGGAAGCGTCTTGCTCGATTCAAGGGCCACTACGACCTCAACACTGCATGCAACTATTCGCTCACCTGGACTCGTGATGGTACACATCTCCTCTCAGCAGGTGATAAATATGATCCTGCCATTCGCTCATGGGACACATCCACCTGGAAACAGGCTGGTGATCCCTGGACTGGCCATGACGAAGACAACTACATCTACCATATTGTATTGAACCCAGCGGGCACCCTTCTCGCATCAGCATCTGCCGACTGCACTGTTCGATTGTGGCAGTTTCCCACAGGCACAGAAGTCGCCCGATTTGAGCACTCAGATTGGATGTCGCGTGTTGCATTCTCGGTGGATGGACGCTATATATTCAGTGGCGGCGACGACAAAAAAATCTCGCAATGGGAGATACCTGAGGATGTGCTCATAGCAGCGGAAATTGGTCTTCTGTCCAGCACGAAGAATGAGGTAACTACTCCCAACTGTGATCTCGTTCCTTTCCATGCTCAAGTGTATTCATTCCAAGGCTGCTCTCCGCAGGCAAAAGGTGTGTTTTCTAACTCTGCATGTGATATGTATCCTAACTCTCGAAAAGACAAAACGCCTGCTTAATGTACGTGGTTTGAAAATCATTTGACGGCCTGCCCTTCAGTGGTTTTCTCAGTCAGAGATTCCTGGCCAGCGCCGAAACAAGCCGGCGACCTACCAGCGCTTCAACACATCTCATGGATGGGATGCTGCATCACCACTCGCTCATGCAGAACGCTCTTCATCTTCTCGCTTGCTCGATGTCAAGACCTTTTTCAATGGCATCCGACCGTCATCTGACAATAAGGGGAAGCAAAAGGAGCGCCGGCCGAAACGAAATGCTCCCCAAGTCGTCGATGTTCCTCTTGGGCAAGCTACATACGTGCGTTTTCTGTGATCATACTATCTAGTTTGTAATATCTGACTGGGTCCTTTGCTAGGGCGATGTCGTTGGTGTGGACGATGGAATACGACCATATGTACTCTTCTTTTGCCTCAGCTGGTTCCAGAAAAAGAAGAAGAAACCGGATCCACCACGACCAGTCTATGACGACGAACTCGATGACGACGAATCTGAGCATGCCATTATTGATGTTCCTATACCTACTACACGGTAACACAAGGCTATTCACTTGTTAAATCGCTTACCTGATGCACTGTCGTAGGACCCAAATTGACACCGCCAAAAAAACTAAATTGACGCCAGTGTCTTTTTTCCAGTCGCAGCCAGAGGCAGGTCCATCTCGCCTTGCACCGCCAGTTGAAGTAGACATTGTCAATGTCCCAATGCCCACTACCAGGTATTAAAATTTTGTTCATTTGTTCGACCGATGACCTGATATGGTGTTTATATGATAAGAATCGTCCAGCACGAAGAAATGGAGTTGACACCGATGGCTAGTTAGTCACAGCCAGTGGCAGGACCGTCTTGCCTTGTCGAAGAACACGCGGGAGAATAGTCTTCGTAGTCAGTTTTATCTCTCGAGCTTTACGTCGTACTTACAGTTTCATATCATCTTTGACTCTCTCCGCAACAACCATAACATTTACAATTGATTATGAAGGTTCTTGCGACTTTTTACTCAGACCAAAGCGTCGACAGCTTGAGAACTGAACATTCAACAATTCATTGCAGACTTGACTTATGATGCCTATGCGTTGTTGAGACACTTGTCAATTTCAAGCTGGTTACCCTCAGAACATCGACATTCAAGACTAATAGGCGTGTTCACGCCAGTTCTCAAATGCTTCTGCAATAGCACATTGTCCGAAAGGTGGGTACAAGTGACATCTGCAGAACAGCCTGCCATCCGCGACATTTTCAGCTCGAAACATAAATATGTAAGGGCAGCGGTACCCATGTGGTGGAAGAGCCCGCTACCATCTAACTTACATGATATAAATCCATCTACAGACCAGCCACTTGCTCGCCCTTTGCCTCTGAATTGCCCTTGTCATATCTTGCATAGAATTAACCAATGGGAGTGGCCTGTTCTGCCGTTCGCAATGTTGCTTGCCGTCGATCAAGTGCATCCATGTTTCTCACAGCGGCAACAAAGTCGGCGTAATTGTCGCAGACAGTGCGCCAGTGCCTAGCAGCTAGGATTTCGAAAACTTTGTGGTGCGAATCCACTTCATCCCGACCAAGGCCGTTAGCGAAGCCTTTGTCGAAGAGGATTATAGGTCTAGATTTATGCTCATCAAAGTACCGATCAAGGTGGGTTATGGGGAGCCCAGAGGAGCGAAGAAGATTGTTGAGCACTTCTCCAATAGCCCCAACTTCAAGCTGATCGTTGGCCTCCGCACTAGCTGCGCGATGCTCAGGACAGTATGAGGAGCTGCGTGAAGTGACGTGACAGTGTCTACGGTCCATGTGCGAATTGACATTGTCCGCAAGCTCAGAATCTACGTCTTCTACTTCAGCACCTACAACTTCTTCATTCCTACCTTCAGCTGACACGGGACTCTCAATTGCATCAACTGTGATGTCAATTACCTCGGGCTTGATAGCTTTGGAAGCATCAACATCGATAGCATTGAAGTTTTTCCCGGCCCTCAACATAGGTAGTTGCGAGAGAGTGAGGGAAGTACGTTTTGCCTGCTGTGTCATCGTGGACGAGGAAGGGCCTGGCGCAGGCCGCGTCAGAGAAGTTGCTTGCACCGTGTTCTTGTGCGGAAAACCAACATCTACCTGACAAGCAGATTCGGAGGTACTCGATTGAGCCACGATAGACCCTAGCAGCTTTGGAGCTCCCGACTGGTCGTCAGTGACCGAGGGGTGTCTTGACTCGGAGCGTTCACGGCGTTCTGTCAAAGTCAACAAGTTAGTACCCCATTAAATCACAGGAAACATACCAGCATTCTCAATCGCAGCGCCAGCAGGCCACTCGCACTTCTGCCTCTCTATTACACAGCGTCAGCAGCGCTCAGAAAGCTCGTACTTGCCGGTGTGTTGATTCTGATGAAGGATTGTAAGGCAGGGCCTTGCTGAGTGCTTCTTTGTGCATATCTTGCATTTGCGCGCCACCTGTTAGTGCTCGAAAGTTTAGTATCTGAGAAGTTCAAGTTAGACGAGAAACTTACTTCTCGAGGGTCTTGTATGCTATACTGCTGCATTAACTCTTGATCAGAGCGGCCTTTGTGAGAAAGTGTACGCAGGCTCGAAGGGGCTAAGTTCATTGGCAAGGGCTGCTTGAAAGAGAGTCGAGAGCATTTGGCAGGACGGTCTACAAGCGAAGAAGGCTTCAAACATAGTCTAGCATAGTTACCGTGAGGTGTGGACTCAGAATAGACGTACCATTGCGGTGACTTGCGTCACGTCCTCTCGATGATGTTTGACCCGAGACATGCGGCGCACAGGATGCTTCTCACCATCACCCACGTCAGCGGAATTCATCGACTCTTGAATGTCGTCATTGTCATCAGTAACGGTAGGAGAGGAGATAACACCAGAGCCGTGGTCAGCAGTAGGAAGCATAGATCGACCTTTACCTTTGTTGATGTTGGAAGGCTCAGGCAGAGTCGCGGGTCTCGTAACGGCAGGTGGCGACTGCTGGGAGCGAGCGAGAGCGATAAATGCCCGCAGTGATGCTGTCGAAGCCTCGACAGTGAGCGGAAGCCAGCGGCGGCCCCAAGACAGCCAAGGAATATGCCGACGCACGTCCAACTGGTCTTGGAAGGTCCTGAGGAGGTTGGCAACCTGAATTTGACTGTGAGTAACACCTTGTTGTGGTCTTCAGTGTGGAGGCAAGTCTAGGCAAAGAACTACGATCAGCGACGATTTGAAAAGGTTTGAAGAATAAGGGAACTCACAAAAAATAGTGCAATGTCGCGTCCCCATGCCTCCAGCAGGTCGAAAGGATCGTCCGCGCTGGGAGCTTGTAAAGTGAGCATGCTGGCTATTTCCACGACTTCAAGTTGGCGGTTGAAAGCGGGAGCAGCAGTAGTAGTTGCAGCGGAGGCGGGCATGGTACCGGTGAAGATAGATGACAGAGTCAGCTGTGGATAATAAAGCTTGCGATTATGATGACATGTATTTGGAAATAGATGAAATTCGGTCGCGCGTTTCCTCCACCGTGACTCTTGACGCGGTCACGTGCTTGGTCACTCGCAGATTGGGTGAAGCCAACGACAAGAACTTTGGTTGGCGGATCCTCATTCCAATGTCGTCCAGCATATATCAAGTGTTCCTCAAAAAACCTGTTCATACTGTATTATACATTATATTTTGAAACTCCAATAAGACACCCCGAGGACCTTGTAATGCGTAAATTCCCGAACTCTGGTCCATTCTCTTGGATGACGTGACCCGCGCGTGCATGTCAATGGTCTTGGCACTGTGGGAAGCATTTGAGAAAAGGTATGTGTACCGGCAATTCATGGTGACTTGGGATCATAGATGGTGTTCAAGTCATCGCCTCAGGCTGTTGCGAGTGAATAGCACATCATTGGTGGGACTTTCAATTCAGTCAACGGGCTGACTCTGCAGAAAGGCCACTTGGCAAGGACCAGGAGATGATCAGGACAATAGGTGCATTTAATCTTGAGGGCGAGAAAACTGTAGTTCAAGCCGTCCTGTTGCCTATTCCCACTCACGGAAATGTGTTTCAGCATGTCTAGGACAAGGATTCCGAGAATATCGAGATTCCATCAAAGGAGGTTTGTGCCACCTTCCTGTATCCATCCTACAGTCTGATTGACACCATAAAATAGCTGTTACCTTCAAGCGTGCATTACAACCGCTATGCACTCTCAGAACTCCTTTGCACTCATGGCCACTAAGCCCACAGCATTTCCAGGACTAAAATCGTGCTATGTAGCGACTAGGCAGCGACAATGATGCTCACCATGAGCGGCTCGTGCTCTTGAAAAAGGAATGACTGTCTCCTCAAAGACACCCTACCCAGGTGACCATGGCACGCAGCTCGCACAATTGTGTGTCGAGGATGTGATGTCAAAGAGGATCGAGAGGCGCCCGAAACATGTATATGCGCAAGCTCGCTTTGATGCACTTCCATCTGCCCATAACGCACGTGTTTTTGCAGTTGCGTCGAGGTTCCAGACGTTGAAGATATGATGGAGAATGCCGCTCCTAGATTACCATAAGAAAGCTAGGGGGTACATCGGTCTAAACACCTGTAAATGTCACTTTCCTCCAACGGTGTATTCTCGAAAAGCTAAACATGAATGCAGGACATCTTGTTAATCCTGCCTTTTATGGTCGATAGTGTGCTGAAACCAGGATGGACAAGGCCTCCCAGGTACATTGGCACTCGGGATGCAATATGAAGGTATCTTGGAGGAGATGAGCAGGGGAGACAGATAGATGCATGTTACGGGAAGTATCGCAGATGGTTCGTGCTCAATTATCGCTTCGTTAGACTGCAAACTCGGACCAAGGGAGTGAGTATGGTCATTTAGGGTTAAGTACGCGCCTCGGTATGATAAGTTCGGACACTAGCGATTATCAGCATCCCACGAGGCTTCGGATAATAAGTCGATGTTGTAGACGGGTTGCAACACCAAGCCCACAACTCCAGCAACAGACCTGTAGGTTGCTCACATTCTGCTCCTTGCCTCGTCTAACTTCCCACTAGGCATAGTTGACAAGGAATCCGGCAGGATATCTGCTTCCGTAGAACAAATCAACGTCAAGGCCGACAATGAACTACTGAATCATATCGAAATCACGTCAAGACATTTGAAGGTCATGAAGAAATATCACCTCCTCAGCAATTTTCACAGACAGCAAGAGAATGGCGACCGAGTCTGACGATAATACAATGCATATCTGGAGGCTTGAGGATGGCATGGAATTGAAGAAGTGGGAAGTGAAGGTGGTTACTGCACTTGTTATCTTGCGAAATGAGAAACACCTGCTGGCAGTCAGAGCTGATGAGAGAGTTGTTGGTGCCTGATACTTGTAGTGGGACGATCGTTGCAGGTCCTTCAGACTGTCTCACCGAGGTTGTGGATGGTTTGGACGTTTCCCCTGATGGCGACATCCCGGCCAGCGGGTCATGGGACCGCACAGTCATCTCATGTGGCACTAGCACCAGAGGAAAGGTGATCCTCTCGTGTGGCGCTCAAACCTGTTGGGTCCGATTTTCTCCAACTGGTCAACTCGGCGTTACTACTCATAAAGATATTCAAATATGGGACTTAAACCAAACAGTCCCCAAGTGTCTTTCTCGGTTAACGGCCACACCGACTTCAGCTTGACTGGATGGAGCTCATCATTCATATGGACCCCAGTTTTTTTTTAGAAGGGAGGGCCTTGTTTATTGTCTGCTGGGGCCAAACCTGTAGTGAACACCACTTACTATGAGCCCCTGATGGCGCTGATCTCCTCTTAGCAGGTATCAATACCTCTGCTCTCGGGATAACTCCACCTGGAAACAGGCTGGCGATCTCTAGACCCAACATAACAAATTTATCTTGAACCCACCTGCTAGCATCGTTATCTAGTGACCACACTGCTCACTTGTGGGAGGTTCCTGCAGGCACAGAAGTTGCTCGACATCAGTACTCCGATGAGGTGGATCAGGTTGCGTTCTCAGTTGACGAACGCTCTATATTCAGCGGCGGTTATGACAAGAAAATCTTGCAATGGGAGATACCAGAGCAGATTCTCACAGCAGCGTGCGGTGATTCTCAGGCAGAGATGAAAGGCCGGGAAAACAAAAGATGCGTTTTCTAACTTTGCAAATTATGTGCATTCTGACTCGATCAGAGTATCATAGGCCTTCTTGATGTATGTATTTTCTCATATATTGTTAATTAAAGGTTCCTGGCCAGCTCCACAATAAGTCGGTCACCTACGAGCGGATCGACAGGTCTCGCGTGCAGGCCGCTTACTTTGAACTACTGCGCTCTGACACAGAAAGCCCTTCACAATCTCGCTTGCTCGATGTCAGAAACTTTTTCAATGGCATTCAGTCATCATTCGAACAGGAGGGCGGGGGGGGGAAGGATTTGGAAGGAAGGGTTCCACAATGCTGGTGAGCGTATTTGAGTTTGAATTCATGCATATTTGACGTGGCAGCTCCTCTTACGTTACCAAACGTTGGTCAACTTTGGATGCACTAGTACTGTGAGCTACGATGATGAAGCTTCCGCAGCGGACTCATCTTTATCATTCACTGGGGAATCGCCACGCAACTTATCACGGCTAATTCATCGAATCTAGTTATTTGTCACCAGGTCTCATTCCCATGTCAGATATTGCATGCTGTATCGTGGCAGTACCACACCTTGAAGCTCTCGACAACTCCTGTGTGAGGTCCACTAGCCCCGATCTGAACATGCGTGCAATCGTTCAGAGAAGAAGCCAGAAGTGAGCGGACCTGCTAAAATCTATAAAAGCCCTCCTGGATTTCCAGTGTAGTGTATCGACGAAGTAGTCACTCCTCTTACTATCCCTGAACATCAAAGATGCAGCTCTCTGTGCTCTTTAGTGCGTTTGTATCTTTCGCCATCCTTGCTGCAGCGTCACCCACGCAAGGAGCCATCTCGAAACGTTCCTGTGAGTATTCATGTTCATGATCAGTATCATATCCACTCAGATGCCACAATGTATCACTCAGCTAAGCGAGAGAACCTTGACATCAACTTTCAACGTGATCTCCTTGAAGAGAGTGAGAAGCGCGCGGAGCTCGAGGCCAACCTTGTGGGATATATTGATTACGGCGGAGGAAGCGGCCCTTCTGAAGGTTGGATACACTGATCTGCAGTTTATTCATTCATGGAATAACCCTTTCGCAGCAAATGAGAAGCGCGAGGAGCTCGAGGCCAACCTCGTGGGATATGTTGATTACGGCGGAGGAGGCATTTCTGAAGGTTGGATACACTGATCTACAATTTATTCATTTATGAATTAATCCTTTTGCAGCAACTGAGAAGCGCGAGGATGAGGAAGATTATGCACCTGCTACCTAGATGTGGCAATTGCCCTAATCGATGAGCGAGCAACCGGTCACAAGGTCTAGAGTCGAAAGCATGACCGTCATAACAGTCTTGGAAGTTTCAGTATTTTCGTTTAGATTATCACGGGCGCTCTACTTACTGAGTATTTGATTCTTACTCATTGTAAAGTCCCCTTGGAATTCTCCCAAATATAACTAGGCTGGTGTATCACTTGCGCAAGATACTCAACTTTGTAACGCTACCTCGAATCCACCCAACTTCAACCTGCCGTCATAAATTTGCTTCCCCTCGCCTTTCCTTCTTTTTTAAATGACCTCTTCGTCACTTCGTCAACTGTTCTGGCCCATGACGTTACATGATAGTGACATACATATACCCCATAATGTCCAACACGGCCTGCGCTAGAGCTAGCTCATTGTTGACGCTTGCGAGTGTCAAGAACTTCGAAGTAAGTGATGCGTTTGGAAATCTTGTTGTTAATGTACTATCTACATTCTAGCGCTAAATTTCCAGCGAAGGGTCCCGGCCTCACAGCTGCGCTGCTCGACTCTCTTGAATCCCCTTTGACTTCGGAGGGGCGGTGACCGGAAACAGCAGTTCGTCTGATCGTACTACAGCAACGTGGTCTGTGCAGCTAGTAGCCCTCCCAACAACTCTAGAGTCGAGCAGGAGTATATTAGTATTAGGTATTGCAATTAGTGCCGAACTAGAAGGAAATGTTAACACCCCTGCTGAAGGGACGACGGAGCACATTACCTTTCGATCGAATGAACGAAGTGAGAGTGGTGACGGTCGACCATGGACTACGGTAGGCAAAAGAAGGGGCCATGGTAGGAATAGATCCGAAGACCAAGTAAAGAAACCTGATGAGCTCACGAATGAGAAATAGTAAACGCAGCGAAGGAGAGGCCCACTGAGGCGGAACTTCATATATTGAGCTGATGCGAAGAGAGCGTCAGCTGGCGCGAAATTACCCGCTCGACCTCAGAAATAGGATCTGCCGGCCCTACTTGGCCTGAAAGCCGCGGCTTTAGCTTGGCTTGGAGCGGTTTTGGCTTTCAAAAATCTTAGGTCATGCCGTCAGCTAAAGTGGTGGTGAAGCGTTCATCGTGAAGCTGAGAGCGGAGACACGTGTCAATAGACGCGTTCTCATTATATTGAGGACAGCATTTACAAAGCATTCACGAGCTATCCCACTTCTTGCTTAGCGTCGGGATCACTGATATATTGACGTAGTTATCAGAAGCAGACAGCATTAATGAAATACGTGCGCACCATGAGGTGTTCTCGAGGTGCGCAGCGCACAATTGCGATATCCCAGATATCTGACCTATTGACTTCCCTGATTACCAAAGGACCACCTCATGTTAAAAGGTTGTCTTACATGTGCTTTTCGTATTTGGGAAAAATGAATAGTGGATGCCGGGCGAAGCGCTGACGCTGAGATCATGACCCACATTGCACAAGCATCGAATGTGATACGCACGAGCCATCCACTCAGTGACAGGCAGGCTACCTATCCGTTCTCACCTAAGCCAAGCTCACCCCCGGTAAGGCGTGCCAGTTGAGCAATGCAACAACACAGCACCTGTCTCTGCAGAACATCAAAAGCTTGGCACTAAAGACGACAGGCAGTCACCTGAGTTATCTCACCTCGAGATATAGGTCGTTAGGATTATCACGAGTCACGATCCTATATGTTCGCCCAGGCTTGCTAGCGGACAGAGTAAAAGGATGTCTCCATTTCTGAAAGCGTGACGAACCACGACAGAACGTCGTAATTGTGGATGGGCGATACTTGGAAGGCAGAGGGAGGTGGATTATAGGAGATGCGATAACATATGAATCCTTAGATTTGATCCTAGCAAGGAAGTATGGGTATCTCATTAGGGTCGATGGTCGATGGGGGATAGGCAGTTGGGAAATGAGGTGGAAACTGCAGTGGTAGACAGTATACAGGACAGCACTAGACTGGTAAGCCTCCGTGTTGTTATAAGGCTTGCGTAGAGTTCGAGAAGGGAATTGCTTAGAGAGAGGACTTTTTCTTAAGGAGGGACTACTTGAATCAGATGGGGGACGACGACTTCTTATTTCGATGCAATGTACAAGTTGTGTTTAAGAACGTGAGGCGCTAAGGGTCCTCGGGTATACCTAAGCCGAACGATTAGGTGAAAACGTAGATGGAAAGTAAGTGGCAGCGATCCTGACAGGGTAGAACTAGCGGGAGCGAAGGAGAGTACGAAAGTATTGAATGAGTGGTGGTTTTAGACAGTGCAGTTTGCACAGGAGTGACGAGAAGTTTAACTGTTCTTGGTACAGCGAGGTGAAATGGGGAATGGTGACGAAAGAAAGGTGTAAGAAAGTTGGTAATGGCAAGGGTATTGTGTGGCGAGGACTGAAGAGCCCTGCTGAATGTCGATGATGATGAGATAATGAAGGTAAGAAAAGAGAGATTGTATCCGCGTAACTCGGATGCGAAGCGTGATGCTTCTTCGCATCCTTGAGTCACGTGGCTGACGGGACGTATGTCCGTATGTCTCGCTGTGAAGCTATAGTCGGGGCGTAAAGGATATGAATCCTTACATTGTCAGCATTGCCAACGTACCTGTTGTGACGCCCTGCCACCCAACATACCATGTATGTCGCAAGTGTTCAAGTTGTTGGCGAAATGCTGGCTTGCTCAGCTTAATGATATGGCCAACCAGAATAATACTGTAACCTTGAATGAGGCACGTTGAGTGAATTGCATAGGAGAATTAATGCATATTAATGCTGCAGGATGGTGCTATGATCGTCACATGGCCACCACTGTTCGATATTCAATACTCAATGATCAGCATGTTCAGATCTGGCGTCAACCTATGTACAGCGAAGCGCTGTGAGGCTGAGCGCTACGGCGTTGATCGCACATTTCCATCATGATGAAATTCTGGTGCGCGGGAACTTCAAAGAGCGTGTGCCATCTCATACTTGGGAATCTCACGGGTGCTCACTTCAATCTTTAATGAAGTTCAGTCGATAATCGCCCACCTTCAACGAATCAAAGTCCTACTCACAAGTTCTGGCTGATCAGATCGATCAACGGTTGGCTCTGCGCGGCATCAAAATTCCAAGGGCGTCCAATAAGATCGCGGTCACTCTTTTATGCAAAACGTCTCATTTGACTTTACTACCCTCCACACCCTCTCATCTGAAGCATCGAGCACCGTGAATCTACGAATTTTTCGTTTCTTGCTCTTGCTCTTCGATAAGATCATCAAATCACTCCTACCTTGAGGTCCGAGAACCACCTTGTAAGATACAACACCATGTTGGCGATGCGGAAGTGCCTTTCCCGCAGCCAAGTTGTAGAGCCTCGAGGTTTGCATCGCTATCTGCATCGAGTCTGCCTTACCAAGTCAATCGCCAGAGTAATTGGAACGGGGTTCTTCATATGGAGAACTGGAAGAAGGGATGTTGCATGGTGAAGTACAACCACACAATGATTTGATCGATGAGAGTGTGATAATCTCAAGCGTGGCGCTAATCGCATTGCGGCACCTGCACACTGTCACAAGCTGCCTGAGGCTGCCGGACATCGTATCTACCAGTGTCGCTCCAAATATTATGGCTCTTCGCTAGCTCCTGCACGTTGTCCATATAGTGGGCGTGGATCTGCAAGGTCGCGAGCATCATGTCCGCGGTGCGCAAAAATACTTACCTCGCCGACACCGCTGTTCCCAGCTAAGGAGGCTTGGGCTGGCTTCTGCAGCTCTTCACATTCACCGGGAGATTCTTACCGCCGCGCTGTTCTAGGTTGTTCCTATTACTCGGGTAAGTCAGGGGAAAATGTAGCTGAAGAGGTTTTCGAGGTCTTCAAGTTGTCATGGCGTTCTTACGTTACGCTGCAGCTTGTTTTCGGGAGCCGAAGTATTCGGACGGGCACTTATCGCTCCATTGGTAGAATAGAAAATTTTAAAAACAAAAGTAAATGAGATACTGCAAACGGCGCATCCGACAGCATGGCTCGTAATGCATCTGAACAGATAGGGATTCCACTAGAAAACTAACGAGCTGTCTCACAAACATCTTGCTATGTTTGGGTTAACGTCAAAGAAGCAACAAGTACATATGCAATAACAAGAAGGTGCATAACTGGGGTTACGCTGGAACGTTGATGCTTTTGACGGTGGGCGTTGATTATTTGTACGGAATGGTGTCATAGATATTTCATGTTGTCTTTATTAGAAGGAACGCAATGTTCCTTTCATAGGAACGAGACCTAGGGGTGAGTAGTATCTGTGGGCATGAACTAGCAAGTTATTAAAGTTGATGGAACGCGAACGTTGACGACACGAGGAACATGATAAGCACGGCATCGATCGACGATCACAGAGTCTCTGATAAATGTTAACGGCTAGTTCGCATATCGAAATGTTCTCGAAATCCGAATTCGAAGAAAGGCGTCGATCCCAAAAAATATGACCGTGGTTTGGCACACCAGTCAAGCGTGGCACCATGATACTTCGTTATTGGAATAATACTCCAAAGCTTTATGTCATGTCGAATGCCAGACATGCACGTAATTGACATAGTCAGCGGTCTCCGTGGTGTTTAATGGGCTCAGATCTACCGTGATCCAGAAAATCCGGGGGGGCATCGACGAGCACCGTGACGAAATAGAGGGGCCGAGGCCATGATTTGCGATAATGATCATTGATCATGCGCTCCAGTAACACGAGGGAAAGGTACTGATTTCATTTTCTTGAGCCGAGATATCTGCGAGTGGAGATGACAAACCTGCGAAAATAATGAAATAGCACGCCCTCCGTTATCTTGTCCCCCTGATAGGAGTAATAATACACCGCGGCTATTGCAGAACGGTGTGGATTATAGGAGTGCCGCTGTTGCAATCAGTGAGCCAACAAGTTACGCCCAGACTCGCGGACCCAACAGCGTGCCGACAAACTTGGGAACGAGCATATAAGACACTCGAAGTAGAACGATTCGGTCATATGTGACGCTTGTATGGGACAGAGGTGCTCACCAATCACCTGTGGACCTTAATCCATTGAAAAAAAGGCCAACTGAAAAGTGAGACATGCTTGCAAAAGGAATCAATAGGCATTTGCACTATTGTTCAGACCTTTCCACAATGATTGGGCCACAACGTCGGCGCAAGTACCAGTCATGCCACAGCCTGTCTTCCACAATGCTTTGGCCCTTGAAACCTATATAAACTAGAGCAGTGTCACTGTAGAGTGTATCAGACTAACCGTCAGTATCTGCCTATCAACATGCCACGCCTCGAATCTTTATCACCACTGTCTCCTTCGAGCACATGCTGGATACCGTCTAGCGCGGATGCCTACACGACGTTTGAGGGCTTTTTCTCTGAGCGGCGATACAGCATCGCTCAGAGCCAATCAGCAGATGCACTTACAGCATCTTTTGACATATTCACACCTCCACACAACCGAACGAGCGCAAAAATACGTCCAGGGACGTTTGTTGTTTTTGCGTTGTCAACAGCAGAGCTCGCGCAAGAATATCCAGAGGACTCCGAGGACTATCGCAGAATCTGCCAGTACACCCCTGGACGTTATCTCGGGCTCGTAACTTCAGCGTTCGTGCGATGGAATGAACACGATGACAGTACAGTCGAAGACGTGATCGTCCACTTTGTATCAAAGTATACGCCACAGCCATCAGCGGTTGCGAATCATTTCATCCCCATCTTTCCTGTCAGCAGCGCCGCACCGGCAGACAGCTCTGCGCTCCACACGAGCATCTTGTTCCCGTGGATTGACCACAAACAGTGGACGACATTTGGGGTTCGCCTTCGCGTCTGCCAGACGAACCCATCGCCGCTGGTATTCGAACTTTGTAACGAAGACTTTGAGCACTTCGAGGAAAAGGCGGGAAAAGATTATACCCGATTGGAATCTCTCGATTCGACATTGGACGATGAAGCCAAAGAGACACTAGCAAGGCTTTTGGTGGCGCCTTTCGCCTTGCCAGCTGAGATCTGGTTCGACATTAGAAATCATCCGGACATAAAGGAACCTCCGTGTTTCATTGAGGACGTTGACTCTCTTGAAAGGTGACTTCTTTAGTAATCCTTGTTGATCCGTTCCTAGTTCTCACTAAGTGATAAATGATTTTAGTATCGTCGCGGGAGGCACGCCAAGGGATCATGAATCCAGTGCTCTTGATGGGGAGTGAAAGACATAGCTTGAATCGGCGGTTGGAAGTCATGTTACATGTATGTAGATACTGTGGTTGATATGTAAATCAGGAGATATGGAAAGTTGACACCGGCGCGCGCCGACGGAGGTGCTAAGGTTTCAGTGTTTCAGTGTTTCAGTGTGAATTTATAGCATCTGATTGTAGTTTACCGCAAGTGTGTATGCCACTATTTGCGACGGCCAGGTGCAGTAGTCGTCCGCATCCGTGAACGGCTAGGCTTGCGGTTAGGCTGACCCCGATCTTCCATCACTGACTCCTGAGTGGTTTTACTGATCTCCGCGTCCACAGGTGCAGACGATGACTGCCATCCAGGGAATTTCTTTCGTGAGGCATTGCTACCGACTTCAAGATACTCTTCCCTTGTAACAACGTGCGTGGAAAACGCAGGATCGTTCGCAAAAGCAATTGCGGAACGATATACTTCGGTCACAGCGCTGATATTTGTCATGTTGGGTATATAAATAATCGGTCCAAGTCGGACGTACTCTTCTGACCGATATATCTGCAGATCATATTCGACCGGGGTGTGCGACAACAGTTCGGATGATCTGCGGGCAGTTATTACATGATATGTCATGACATAAAGGGTCTTACAATCGCTCGTAAAATCCTGGGAAGTTGGTACTACCACCGATCAGACCAATATTCGCCCAAAACATGCCTCGAAGGTCATCCGGAAGGAGTGAGATAGACGCAGCCACGGTCGCCGCCAACCCCGACTGTTCTAAACCTAAGGGGATATATTTCATTTGGTGGTGCAGTATCGAAGCAATTAGAACACACCGATGTCATCGGGACGGAACAACAGCTCGGGGATTGCAAATCGCTCATTTTCCATGTGAAGGACTTGGTCAGTAGCCGATAACTCCTCGTTGGGAAGCCTGACATGGCCGTGCCTGTTCATTGAGAAATTTGGTAGTACATACTCCTGAACTATGCTATTCTTTTTAGGATTCGAGCTTTCAGGGGTTAGGTAATTGCGTTATCGCTAACGGACATGATCTTACCGACAGGTCTCCAGGTCCTCGAAGAATCTTGTCGACACATAACAGCATGTCTCCTTGGCATGATTCATAATGTAAGTTTCATCCATCATATTCCATTGGCGATATGAGACAAGTTCTTTGAGCTGGTTAGTTAATAACTTGCCGCCTACATCGAGTCTAACCATATAAGCTGTTATCTTCTGGTCGATTCATATAACTCACCTCTTCACGGCATACCATTGTATTTGATTGTTGATGATGGGGACTACATGCGTGAAACTGAACCCCGAATCGATGACAACAAGGCACTCGGGTGGTGACGGTCCGCCTGCTTGAAAGAGACGGCCAAAGGGGATTGTTGCAGCAGCTTATGAAAAAAAGCTGAGGGATGCGAAGAGAATCGGAACGATGCAACTTACGTGTACATCTGTGATAGGAATGAAACTCGTATTCCTCGAAGACAAACTGGTCGTAAACATCTTGGATATTGGGCAGATTGAAGTACGGTTCTGTGATGAGCAGCGAAGACTCGGCGGTGTCCACCTGGGTGCCAAGTCAGTGTTCATTCAGCCATAATCACAGGAGGGACGCACGTTCAGAACCTCGGACGAGAACACGCCGTCCCAAACAGCTTTTTGTGCATCCCAGTCCACCAGATAACCCTGCAGTGCTTCCACAGATAATGACAAATTTGTATAGGAGAAAGACATTTCGATCACGAACCTTTTCAAAAGGCAGACGGTAATGAAGAGCAGAATAATCGCGACATCGTTCCAACTGATGGCCAAAATACGTTGTTTTATCACCTTTTGAGCGCACGATAGCGTTTGGGACCAATCTCGAGTTTCCTCTAGCGTCAAGTCGTTCTCAAAAGCAGACACTCTTACTTGGGTTGGTCGTCATCATCTCCCTCAGGTCCTCTGGCCAAACCAGCCTTGATTGAAGAGGCACCATTATCCAATATGACCGTAGTCTGAGGCTGCATTAGTTCACGGCGGACAGAAGATCTTGCGACTCGAGTTGCCAAGGTGTACTGGGCCAACGGCGATCAAACTTTTTGGACCCGCGTGGACGTCAAGTGCGCGTGAGAACGTTGAACCAGCTTTCGCTGAAGAGACCTCCGCAGCTCTGTTATGAGGATCTTCATTGATCTCGTCACTTGCGCACAGTCACTGCCATATTCTTCAACTGAGGAACACTCGAATCATTGTCAGTGAGAATAGCCGGCGTTCAAAGTCAGTATTGACTTTTCCTACGTGATACATGATTCACAGGACCCATCGTAAACCTAGACTTCATAACATCATTGCAAGTAACGATCATCTGATCTCATTTTTGATGTTGAAGCGGTAATCGCAGTCATGCATTGCGCCTCATTGTGATCTCTTGACTTGCGCCTGAAATAACCATCAAGAATGTGTGTTGGCTTCTACACGCTCGAGCACCCGGAATATGCCCTGTACGTCCCCGCCCTTTCGTCTTATACGTTATCATGACATGTCAATGACCATGCGGCAAATTAAGTGTACTTTGCAGCAACCGTGACGAATATCTTGAACGACCCACTAATTTGGCTCGGTTTCATTCCTTCGATAAGCTAGAGGAGCGTAGCCTTCTAGAAGGAAATATTCTCTCTGGTGTCGATGTTCGTGCTGGTGGAACCTGGTTGGGTGTTAATCGGACCGGAAGAGTTGCCTTTTTGTCCGTGCCCTCTTCACCAGATTGCACGCCCCTGATAACTTTTTTTCTCACAGAACAAACATCACAGAAGAGTACAAGACGTATGGTTCTTCCAGGGGTGACCTCGTTGCCAATTTTCTCTCGTCCAATTCGGAAGAGGACGTACACAATCTTATCCCGTGCGATGCTAAATATGCAGGCTTTAATTTATTACTCTTGACACCATCTACCCGTGGCGAACACGACTTGAAATTCGATGGAACGTATGTCACCAACCATGGTGGAGGGGGAACGCCCATTGTCCGCCCACTGACTGATGCCGAGAGAAGATGCGGGGGGATGTCAAACGGGATTGATGGTAGAGGTGCTGAAATGTGGCCAAAAGTCCAACACGGGCTTCCTTCGTTTAAATCGATCATGAACGCAGTCTCACCGACTACGCCGGAGAAGGAACTAGCCGATGATCTCTTTGAGCTGTTGACGTGGGTATAAGCATGCAACAGCCTAGCCTCCCACTTACTTTGGTCAAATTTCCCAGTTGGAAATCTTCGCAGCCGCCAACCGCACGGTCAGAGCTGAGGAACACGATCCAAGTGGAACCATTTATAATTCAAGGGTCACGAGAATTTTATGGAACGCGCCTTTCGACGGTGATATTAGTGAAAAGAACCGGGGAAGTGTTGTTCATCGAGAGAGATAGGTGGAAGTTCGTTGACGCCAAGCCTGTGCTCTCAGATCACTCTTCGCAGCGTGAATTCCGTTTCAGCTTGCAGCCGGTTCATTAATGATGTCTATGTAGTTCGCCGCACATTGTATGATGATAGTACAGGTCATGTAATGTACAAGTGCTGTAGTTTTGCTACTCTAAGGCACAAGAGACTATAGGCATCATAACATCGTCATAGCCAGCGTGACGAGAGTAAATATATCTGAAAGGGGCTGCTAGGACTAGCTCACGATGGAACGGATGCCCGCTCATGTGATAATATTACTATACAAACCCTGTTCAGTTGGGGAAACGGGGAAGTAGGGATTATATCTCGAAGAAGCCATGGCATTCCACTCTGATACAGAAGCTGATGAGGATCCGTGGAACGGGGTACTTGAGGACGAATGCGACGACAAAATGTCACTTTCGGTAGGTGTGGGAAGGGTTCCATATGGTGATCCCGATGCCTCATCCGGATCATTACCACTAGTTCTCACAACAAACAAATTAGTTAATATGAACACGAGGTCGCCGCGAGGCAAGGCAGGGACAACACACCGCATGAGATCATGCAATTCAATGATGCGCCTGAACAGCTGGCATTGGGTATTTTCGGGATGCTGAGCATACTGCCGTAAAGAGTTGAGTGTACTTTGCAGCTGATGACTCAGAGATATGAAGGCATGACCGGTGGCAGGGTTTGTTCGGCACGAACAAAAAGAATGCGATACCGGGGAGTCAGAGAAATGATTGCCAAAAACTTTATCTTGTTCGGCGGAGTTCATCGGATAGACGTGACCGTTTTCTTGAAACGAGGAGTCGGTATGGTGATGATTATACGTCATGTTCTGATTGGATGTGGGGGATGAATACGGCATGGAGCGCCCATTACTGGGCAAGCTGTTGCTGTAATGATGGCCATTTTGACGCTCGAATGGTGGTGATGAAGGGTTATCTGAATGGAATGCAGAGTAAGACGCTGGAGGGGATGGTGAAAAGCAATACAGATCGGGCCGAGATATGTCTGTAACGGGTTCAATTTTGATGGGAGCACCAGCGGCAGAAACCAAGCCCCGGGGTTCTTGGTTGGTGCGCTCTAGTACATCGTCAGACCGACCGCGCCGTCTGAGTTGCATGTTGTTTTTGGCTGCTCGTGAATGCCACCGTTCAGATGGATCTCCGTCTCGGAAATTGGCATCAGCCCAGCGAGGATGTGGTTTCCCTGCCGTAAACCAGACAGGTAAGAGTGCTGCAAAGGGATTAAGATTATGTGAAACGTCATACGTACCACGCAACTCCCTCACGAGACTTTCGAGTTCTGCAATTCTGTTTCTCAAACGAGTGGCTTCATCGATCGTGGGATCATCCCTGGTATTATGAGATAAGCCTAACCTAGTTTCAACGCCACAAAAAGGACAAACCTCAGTGCTGGGTCATCAATCTCGTAGACACAAAGGCCAGTCTGAAAAAACGTGGAATTAATATGTAATAAGAGACACGAAAAGGATGGACGTACTAAGCCGAGTTGTATACAGCGCTGGCATGGTCGCTTTCTATCACACTGGTGGCGCGTCAGAGATGGCCAAGTTGTGAGAAGGTGTCACTGAACCTTGCGCTTTGAGGTGTGACAATTAAGACATGACTGAGTTGTTCTATTGCGTCTTCTCTTGCGATGGTCAGTGTCAACGGTGTATTCTGAGAGATCCATGATTTCGCCTTTTAACTGAAGTGGGGGTAGAATAGAATCAGAGGACATCCAAGATAAAAAAGATTTGAGGCGAGGAAGGAATGAGTTGAAACGAGTTTAAGAGAATTAAAGCTAGTCTTACTTATGTGTTCACGGCGCATTAAGTAACTGACCAGAAGAGATCTTAAGAGATCCAGATCGCCTCGGGCTGATGTAGACTTCTTCGCAAAAACTTGTCTCTGTGGGATCCAGCCCTGTACAAGGTTGCCTTCCAGTCTCGGCAGTGACATAAATACAACGTGTGAGCGTAGACCTGGACTACCGCATCTGGACTCATCTCCTTCCTGCCAATCTAAGCCACCATTCGTCTTATGTACTAGTACAAGTCACATAGCTCAAGAGTCTAAATTCAAAAGCAGTACTGGTGACCTCGGAAATCTGATTAGCCTCCACCTAATTCATCATATCAGATGTGCATGTGAACCAAAAGTTGAATCTCAGCGAACGCCGCCGCGACAGGATATGCATTGCATCGTCGCCTAGTACTAGTTCACCGTCAAACATCCCCTAGCTCAAGGGAGATCAATTGAACCCAATATCAATTATTTCAACGCTCAGTATTCGCTCATACGAAGTAGCGTTTCACGGATCACTGACTCCAAGTGACTACACCCGACGTCATTCATCCAACCTCGCCTGAGAGTATCACCGTCTTTACGGGGATCTTTGAGGTCCCAATAACGTGAACATCTAAATATTGATTCACAGGCGTTCACCTACGTCTTCATGTCCTGCCATCGCACAGAAGGGAAATGGCCGTCACGTTTTCTTGACGCTGAATGATGGAACTCCCATGACTTTAAGCGTAAGACACACACCTCTTTCCTAAAAGAACAAAGGTTCGCCTCCACTCCGTTCATTAAAATCATTTTGGTCCATCCTAAGCAATGGATGGCGCATATTAACTTGGTCAACAGCTACATACATGAATCAATTTACCTGTGTTGTGTCATTTACTCATTCCTCAAGTCCGACGCTGTCCGGACTCGGCGCAAAAATACTGACTTCGCTTAATCCAGTGCTGTTCCCCTATCACCCAAAGGCACGCAAGATCACGAGACAGACGGACAGCGGCTTCCGGGGACACTGGTCCTCACGCTTACGTCTTAGCTCGGTGAGGCATTGCCCGCCCCAATACTGAACGGTCACCGTAACTTGTCAAGATCGGAGGAAAGCGACTCCACATATCAATCCATAAAGGATCCGCTATAGTCGGCAGGACAGACTGAATCAGGATCTGAGGCCACAGAGTTGAGTTTGAACTGCGAACCTACCACATGCTTGGCTCTGATCTTCCTTTTCGAATATCCTGGTCACATATGGTCAGATTCCCTCTCACCAATCAATCGAATTAGGCATTTGCATTCAAATCAAGAAACGTAGAACGAGATTCCCTGTGTTTTAGAACGACGGTCAACACAAATACGAACCAATTTGAAGCGAACAAGCGCACAAATTCGTCATGTGAACATTACCTTATGCGGAAGGAATGACAATGTCACAGAACAGCTGAGTAGAGATAAAATTTCGGTGTACTCACTGAGAACTTATCATAGTGCTTTTCCGTGACGACTCTGAACATACAAGGACCCAGATAATTGACTCTCATGAGCATGACACTGTAGGTCAAAACAGGTTGTAACTTGCTGTCACCATGTCAGGTATTACCTTGATGGGGAGCCGACTTGACTGATAGGGACCACGGTCATAAATTTGTTTCAGTGCAGTCATTGCCTTATCGCCTGGTTTCGACGGAATGTCATGTCCTCAATTCAACGTCTGTGCGCCATTTTTCAGATTGGCAAAACCTAGGCAAAATATTGATCACTGAGAACCAGTCATGGAGAAGACCGAATTCGATTTGTTCCAACCTGCCCGTCGCGGGATAAGCCGACGTCACGTATTCTGGCGCACAAGGGAGTTTCCGAGATCAAGACACTCGCATGAAATGAATACCACCGCAGAATCAGTCCATTCTCGAGCACATGGGGACCTAGGGTCTGGTCATAAACGTCGCAAACAAGTTCGAGGAGAGGTTCCTTAATGATCTTTGATGACTGTTGCAAAATCCCGCGAGAGTAGAATTCTACACCGAGGACCCCAGATACACGTCGGACAACTTGTCGAATCATCGGTCCGGATAAAGGCGGTTGCCATCAGCGTGCTTCTCTCCTCAAAGCTTCAAGCTTCAAGGTCCGACGAAGGAGGACGTGGTGGCCACTTAGCGAGAGAGCTTTAGTCACCCACAAGGCCTGCTATCAGGGTGATCAGTGAAGAGAAGTCTCGAGCTACCACGCACAATCAAGTCTGCATGCTACGTTGCTGTGTATATTCTTTATCTAGGGTGGAGCTGCTGACGATGCCGATATTCTTGCGAATCACGCCAACGAAGTTCAACTTCGAATAATCGAATTCGCGATGACTTGGCTCCAGCATTTGGGTAAACTTATTGGCACTGACCCATACACATTGGTCCATATTGTGGAGGTGCGTAAGCAACTATATGGCGTCAGACTGCGGTCTAACATGATCCGATCAGGAGTCTTCGTCTGTACGACGTGGCGCCAGCTAACTCGTGAATTTTGGGTAATACTGAAGGAGCAGCAATAACACGCTGTTGGCAAGCCTGTTTTCTTGGACGAGGGGCTTGGGATGGAAATAATTCACCAACCCCTTACTGGAAATTCGGCTAATGCAGCCGCTGGTGCATAACTGCCCTTTCCTTGCCATTCTCGGTGAGTCGTGCCAGGTCTCATCGACCATGGGCGACTTTGGCATCGTACATGCCCCCTCAGGACTTTGAATTATTGGAAGTGAGTATATTCCTCAAAAAATCATACCATGATGTGATCGAATCGTATTTGGTTGTACCCCCCTGATGGAAGGGTAGGTGAAATGTACGACAGGTAAGCACGGTGCTATTGCCAGCACTGATGCCATTGCCGCTCCCTCCAATCTTTCAAAAACTTACTGGTGACAATTCCGCGAGGGATATCGCTGATTCCCGCGGCGACCGCATGCCATTGTTATCAACACGTACTTTTACGGCCAGACGACTTCTATTCATGCTGACTACTGGCTCCAGAGTTGTTACTCCGGGTATCAAGAATCCCGCTACTGATCAGCTGCTACTGGACGGACTCTTGACAGGCGCAATGCCAGATGATCACGCTCGCAAACTCAAGATAGCGGTAAAGTGTGGAGACTATACAGGGGGGAGATTTAGGTTGACAGTTTATCTCTGCGGTCTACGGTGATTACACGAAGCCTCCCGTGTAGAGAAATAATTCCAATGTATGAAGGTCTGGCTAGACGCGGTCCCCTGAGCGAACCTTCACCGGACTTTCCAGAAACGGACCCGGGCTCCGGGATCAAGGTTCTTTGGGTATTGTCCGGGGTCCTTGCCACGCACCTCCACAGTTGGTTCAGGGACATCGATGGCGTGGGATCGCCAAAATGACGCTGGCACATTCAGGTACCTCGTTCCTGCGCCGAGGATCGTCAGGAGGAAATCCGAGGACAGCATTCGATCCCCGGTTACGTGGAAAGTTCACCGGCGGCTACCAGGTCACCTTGTATTGATAGTTCTAGAAATTCGAGAAGGTGTTGTACAAAATGAAGTGGAGACGCTATCAGTCAAGATGTGCAGGGACGTTATTATTGACTAGTGACGGAAGAAGACAGAGGCAAAGCTCAACCATTTTACCAGGCTGATGAGATCGTGCACTGGAAGTTGACCGATCGACAATCAATTGCTGTATAGCACTAAAAGTCTTGGCAAAACACCAACTCTACGACGATCGTATGTTTAATTTTACACTAAGTGGGAAGGATATCAACAAAAGCACTCACTGTAGTTCGTCCCGTCGTGATGTGGATAGATAAGCACTGCCTAGAATGAATCCTGCGGTCAACTTGTCGTTAGCTGAGATAGTTGCGCCAGTGCTCATATGACCATGATGCTCCAAATGCCTCAAGTTGTATTGCGAAGACCGGAAGGTTTACACAACTAGCTTCGGTACTCCTATGTAGTACATGTATTTTAACCACCGTCGCGTCAAAATATCTGAGAACAAATCAGGAATAGCAAAGATGCACTAAATGTTCCGGCACGGATGGAAACATTGTTTGATACCACCGAAGCGAAGCACTCGGAGAAGAGACCTCTCACCGATGGTATCAAATAGTGTCCATCACCACTGGTTCTGACATTAATGTGTCATGAAAGTGTGTCATGGAATAGATGTTCATCAGACTTCTCTGTTCGTCCATCCCGCTTACGTTGAAATGGAGGTGTCGAATCTCGCAAGACCTCGTACCTCGAAACCGACTGGGGATGCCCCACAACATGTGGAGCAGAAGGCCGCAAAGGTCGAAGAACTTCAAGCCATGTATATTGCGTTCGAAAGTTCGCATAGCTCGCGAAATGAAACGAGGAGCATCCGAACGATGGTCGTCCCGATAAACCCGGCCGGAGATCCGGGTGGGGAGAATAATTGCTGGCACAGCGTGACGCTCGTGATGCCGTCGGAGAATTCAATTGGAATGAGTGATGAGAAAATGAATTAATCTGGACAGATATGGATAAAAGTGAAGGCGCTGAGTAGCGGAGAGGGGGCAGCTCCTGCCGGCACCTCTCGACGGCGATTCAGTACGGTCACTTAGCGATGAGTTTCGACTACATAGCTTGTCTGATGATGATCGTCCCTCTGGGGGTTGAGAGCCACAAGCGTACTGAGCGGGGGAGGGGTAATATAATGAAAAACGCCGACAGTTCAAATCGGGGTTCACTGTTTGAAAATACAGCTTCGACTTATAGCAAGCGATCAGGCACTGATCAAAGAATATTCTGTCAACATTGACTTGATTACAACAGAACAGAACATAACTACAACCTATTACAGCCCCCTTCAAAGTTCATTGATGACGATTCGGTGGTTTGCAGTAGGTTGGTAGCAAATCGAGGCAGGTTGATGTTGCATGATCATCAGAATAAGCTAAGGCGAGCGCTTAGCTGGCGTTCCATGAATCGAAGTGCCTATCACGGCGGCCGTAAGGTTCGAGAGCTCTCGCTAAGTATTTGTCCACTGGGTTCGGGCCATCAGTACCTGGCCTTGACCGATAGTTATGCTCTCGTGCCTTTTCAGATGAAGTTCGATTGATTGATCAATGATGGGCGACGTTCCATATATCGTTGGCAGAGACCATGGAAGCCTAGGGATGATAAATTAGTTCCCGTATCGACCGCAATTGCCCATGCCTTCTAACACTCGTCATTTGTTCGAATTCCGCCTACGCACTGGATACGTGAGATTCTTCCTCTGTTCGCCGTTGATACGCCCAAGGCTATGCCATTCGCCATACTAGATCATGGTCTGGCATTCGCGACAGAAAAAGGAATGACTGTTTTCTTTCTCTATGTGATTAGGTTTGAGAAAGTATAATAAATCTTGACATACTGCAGGAGGGTTGTGCGCAGTCGCTTGATCAGTCGATATTGGTTCTTTCCGCGATTTGGTATGTGGAAAGTGAAATTCCTTCAAAACTGATCCTTATTGGTAACATTGCTCACGTGTCACCGAAAGAGATGAAACGAGTAGCATGGCAGGCCAAGCCTACAGCTAGCTCTTCGTGCGTGTGTTCAAACTATCATCCACATTGCGATGGCTTACGAAGCCGAAAATGTATCGCCCACTTCTCAAGCGGAAGAATCAGACCCCGATGCGCTGCTTTCACCACCTCCCGATGCTAGGCCAGAACCCGGGCTTAATGGCAAACCTGTTCGCTGTGAGTAGCTCCGGTATTTTGCGGTAATCCACAGTTTGAGCGGTCTCCATAGGGTACGATGTGAGTGGACGAGTTTGGAACTTGGAGTTAAATTTAAAGGTTAAGTGGGAATTATGACATATAGGCGGATAGGACAGAGTCATACACGCGAATCGCGCCTTTCCAAGAGGGGCATGATACCTCTGTAGAGTGAGTAGTAAACATCAAGATAGTCTTTCGCGCTCATAGCCCTTAGGTTCTTCTATAAGCCAATTACGCTAACTGCACTTGGCTTTGGCCTGGCTGCACTGAGCTATGTGGCCATGACCCAGGATGTCCTGGAAGAAGGCCGGGACAAGCGGCGTGTGTAGGTTTGATTGATGTATCTGTGTGAGGTCTGATAGTAACCGCCAACATTCCTTAACAGGGGCGCTTATGCTGCAGTAGTCTCATTCCTCATGTTCTCGATGATCCAATTCCGGGATGGACCATTCATTCGCCCCCACCCTGCGTTTTGGCGTGCAATACTTGGAATTAATTTACTATACGAGCTTGCCCTCGTCTTCCTGCTGTTCCAAGATTTGAACTCTGCGCGACGAATGATGACTCTTTTGGATCCTTCACTGAACCGGCCTTTACCTGAAAAGAGCTACGCGGAAAACTGCGAATTGACACCGCATAATATTTGGGTGAGGTATTTTTAACGTTACTGCATAGTTCTGTGGTGTTGATGGGTCAACAGGATGCGATCGATATCTTTTGTCTAGCACATGCTCTGGGTTGGTTTGGCAAGGCTATGATACTGCGCGATTATTGGTTTTGTTGGGTATTTCCAATTTACCTTCTATTTGATTTCACAGATCTACATCTCAGCTTTAGATTCTGAGCATTGCATTCGAGTTCGCAGAGTATAGCCTACAACATCAACTTGCGAACTTTGCTGAGGTATGTCTGTTGGATTTGTCACATATAAATTAACGTTCGTTTTAAAAAAACTTGTTGATTGACAGTGTTGGTGGGACCACGTACGTTACTACCTTCTTGGACTTGGCGCTGAATAATTTTGCTTCCGCAGTGGATACTTGATGTTCTAGTCTGCAACTGGCTAGGAACTTATCTGGGTGAGTGTTGGGAATCTCGGATGTAAAACATCTGGGATGCTAATACGACACGATAGGCATGAAGACTTGCCAGTATTTGGAAGTGAAGGTGAGGAGCCACCTAAGTTTTACCTGCGGGCGCTAGAAATACATGCGTTTCAGCCTTACGAGTGGCGCGGCCTACGGCAAACAAGGGGACTGCGGTCAAAGGCTCGCCGCGTGCTTAGCCAGTTCTCCCCACACGACTGGACAGCATTTAAATGGGAAGGAACTGCATCGTTCTTGCACTATTTGATAGTTGTATTGCTCCTAGCAGTCTTTCTTGCTGCGGAGCTGAATCCATTCTATCTCAAGGTGAGCATGCTGATATGCCAGTTACCCTTGTTACGGTTCTCACGGTATCTGTAGAGTCTGCTTTGGATGGAACCTGATCATCCGATTGTGATACTAAGGCTTGCAGGCGTCTTTCTTTGCGCATTGCCTGCTGTGCGAGAGCTTTACCTATACATAAATAACCCAAGGTATGTATGCTGTGTGAGTGACGCCCGGGAATCTTCTTACTTCCATCGCTATTAGGAAAGCGAAACGGATGGGGCAACATGTGTGGCTCCTTCTAGCCACGATCCTGACCGAACTTATGGTTATCACTAAATGGAGCAAGGGCCAGTTCACGGAGCCGTTTCCATTGTATGTTCGGTGGGCATGGATGATTGGGGGAATCTTGTTGGTGTTATATCCTGCGATCAGGGTGAGTGCCCCTTGTTCATTGAGCGTTTGTATCTTTGGCGTTGGCTGAAACTGAGAATATAGTTCGGCTTGCCGAGCGTGCGCAAGTACGTCGGAAAGCAGAAGCAGAAGCGAAGAGGGAAAGGAAAGGGGAAGAAGGCGCAGTGAGACTTCATATTATATTGCTGATATCCCTTATATACTACTTGTAGGTACTTATTGCGCATGAATGAAGTTCCTCTGTTATAATTAAGTTATGCTCGACATTTGTCCGAAGTGGGAGAGAAACAGATAGGGAATATTCTGGTGCTTACTGGAGGGTACCACAGGCTGTGATTGGTCATCGATACTGCATTAGTCATCAACACGGCATTGTGCATAGATTGCCCTGGTCCAAGAGACAATCGTTCGTTCGTTCTTGTTCTACGACCGCCACTGCCACTATCACCAGCACCACTACCACTTTCTTTTCTGCGACTGCATACACTGTAGAGCAGAGTTTCAGATTTTCCATGGACAACAATAACGGCGGTAATGAGGACGGTCGTGGTCATCGTTTTGGTCACAACTTCCATCTACCAACGTCAATTCAGAACGTATTTCGAAATATAAACCAGGCTTTTTCCCACAGTCATAGTCATTCTGCACAGCAGGACTCTACACAGGAAGTCGTCATGTCTGACGCGCCTCCACTCGAGCCCATAGACGCTCACGCGCTTGCCGTAGATCGCGACAGGACTCCAGTCCCAGAAACTTCTGCCCTGCCGCTCCGGACTTCCCAGTCTGGACCATTCGCTGAAGATGTAGATATGCCATCTGCTTCAACCATCTCATCCTTACAAGCTCAGCCCACCCGCGATGACGATGAGGACTCTATGCCTGAGCTGCGTTCCGTGTCAGACTCTGATGAGTCAGACGACAGCCAATTCTCTCGTGCAGAGACACTACCCAATCTCCTGACTGTCGACGATGATCACGACAGTGACTGGACGGATGATGAAGACGATCTGCCACCGCTCGAGCCTATCGCCGGGAGTAGACGCGCTCGGGTGGATGATGATGTAGACGAAGCGCGGGATCGTAGGCATCCTTCAGAGCGTGTAGGTCGTCCTGCCTCACCTCCTATCCCTCCTCCACAACCGTCTAATCCCGAGCAGCGCCCACCTGTCGGCAACCAGGCATTCCTAGACGGGTTCATGGCTCCCTTATTTGGGATGAATCCATTGCCTGGTGGTAATACATTTCCAGGTCCTGGTCCTGGCGCTGAGAATATTGCGGTAGAACATACTGGTGAGGGCATCGCCCATCCTCCGCGACCGCAAAATAATCCAATCCCTGGTCACGTACATCATGCCGTGCCTATCTTGACTGCAGGTTTTACTTTCACAATTCCTCTTGGAGGTCCTCCGAATCAGAATGGAGGCGTCCCCGCCCCGCCCCCATTTGGTCCAGCAAATGTACCTCCAGATGCTGCTGGAGGAGGTCGGGATGGGTTTCTCCAAGCATTCGCAGATTTCTTGCAGCAAATGCAGCAATTTGGGGGGCTTGATGACAGTCGAGAAGATCCTGAACGAGCGAAGAAAACTCATTGCGGGTTTGGAGGCTGTACCCGTAGGGCTCGTAAAGCGCTTGGAAAGAGTTGGTGGTGCGCCTGGTGGACACGTAGATGGTGCAGAGACTACCGAATCTTCCTCTCCAGGATGCGCAATCTGCTGGGATACTTTATTGGATGCCGAGAGTGATAGTTTCAAAGCAAAGGCTCCAGAGGAACCCTCCGCTGGAGCCAGCACCGAAACATTGACTACTGCACCTGAAGGAGAATCAAAATACGCCGATGAGCACCGATTCTGGGTCTACTCCATCGATTGCCCATCCCGACAGATTCAGATCTGCTGTCCAGCTCTCAAAGCTCCAACTCTCCGTTAGAATCATCCGTCCCTGAGGAGCCCAAAATCATCTCCCTCCCTTGTGCTCATGTCTTCCACGAATCCTGTTTGCTCCCCTGGTTTACAAGGGCGAAGCAAGCGACGTGTCCAACATGTCGGTTCAACATTGATCCCGAGAACTACCAGTTCACCGCTTCCTTATCAGCCTTTCAACTTTGGAGCACCTCGTTCAGCTCCACAAGCAAACGGTGCTGCTCCTGCTGCCCAAGCAGCTCCCGCGCCTGCATCTGGTGCAGCACAACCTGTACCAGCTTCTACTGCCGAACAACCTGCGGCCGCTCCTCCGCCTGCAGGACCCACCGCCTTTGAAGCTGCAGCGCTGAGCCAGCGCCTCAGCCTGCAAGCTAACCAAGTTCCTCCTAATTTCTTCAACCCTGGCCAACCTGGCCAGGGCTTCACCTATCGAACGGCGTATCCGCAGGCCTGGAGCCACTGTACATATCCTGCAGTTTCCCGAGGAAACGCTTTCCAGGACTTCTTTCGTCGTGCTGGAGCAGGCCCCATGCCACGCCTCCAGTTCCTCGAACACGTACGCAGTCCCTTCCTACTATTGCAGATAACCGTCCCTTCGGCGGGCCGCAAAGCAGGCGACTTCATGACCATCGGCCTTGATCTGATCTTCAACGAATCGTTACCCGCAGATATGCCACTGCCGCAGCAGCAGCCTCACACACAGGGGCAGTCCCAGCCACAAGGGGAGCCGGAATCACAGCAGCAGCCTCAGCCTCAAGATGGGGTCCAGGAGCAGCAGCAGAACCAACCTCCAGGGCAAAGGCAAGGCCGAGCACCGCCTGTCGGCGAGGTGCCCCAGGAGTTCGAGTTCCAAAACTTTATCAACAATCTCATTCAAAATGCTACACGTACTTCATCCCATCCCAATGTTCAACAACGGACCCGCTGCACCAGAGGGGCAGCCTCAGCCTGCACAGGGCAGGAGCCACCTGCTGATGAAGCCCAGGTTCCTCCTATTAATGCGCCTCCGCCCCATCCAGGCGGTGCTTCCCTACCGATACCGCCATTCAACTTCCCACACACGCACCCTATCCGCCCGACGCGCCCAATGCCTCCGCGCCGCGAGAGGAAGACATGGATGCTGCTGCCGCACCCGGTCCCTCGCTGCGGCAACGAGTGGAGCAGAAGGAGCGCGAGGCGGGCCTACGGTGCTACGATCCGTCGTGTGGCATTGGCCCGTCTGACGAAGACCCCGTCCCTGAAATACTGGCTGAGTCAATGAAGCAGCTCTCAATACATCCATTATTGCATCCTGGAGAAGGATCTTTGTGCGCGCACACATTCCACCCTGCGTGCTTAGTTAGTGCGGAGCGCGTTGCCGGATGGGGCGCGGAAGATAAAACGGAGCCGCACGTGGAGGTGGTCGTGCCCAGTATGCCGTGATTTGGGATCTGTCACGAGGGAAGAGTGGGAGGAGGGCGTATTGGCTCTCTGAATGATCGATCGATATTGTGATCGTCCGTTCATTTTGCATGCTTCTTGGAAGTATACCTGTATGGTGAGTGACGATGTGTAATGTTAGGAAAGCTGTGTGTCTAATCGTATACAGTCTTGTCTCTAGTAATGATGTTTCATAACCCACGAAATATGTGACTTCTCGGATTATTTTACGTCTCTAGATTGTTATTTTCATTGCCTGTTATCGCAACATAGTTACGTGTATGTATGCCTCATTCTAATTGCACACACGCAATACATGCATTCATGAACCTTCAAATACTCATCGAACTTTATCGCCGCAGGTGAATATATATGCTAGCAATGCGCAGAAGAAAAAGTCTATTGCCAAATACACGGTGGATTTTGTTAATGTGAACCGAAGTGTAACTACAGTATTATTACAACTACTCATTCCCTTGTTATAATCGCCGAAAACTCAAGCACGCAACTTCTGGCGGAGGAGCTTTTGAGGGTCTCACCATCCTCAGCAAACTTCTTGATACCCTCGTGCAACTTGTCGAATGCCATCGAGTCCTGGAGAAGGGTCCAGCGGAACTCGGGCTCGTTGTCGACGAAAGAGACCTTGGGCAGGGCTCGGCTTGTGCAGCTTAGGAGGGGATTTAGTCGTTCGTTAGATGGAAGCCACAAGGTACATACCAACACGGGCGTCGAGCCTCTTGGAACGGGCTCGGTCGAGTTCTTGAGTTCCTCGAGCAGCGCGGGGGCAATGGTGAGGAAGTCAACACCAGCAAGGGCCTTAATCTCGCCAACCTGCAAACTGAGTAGACTCGTGTAGTGTTGCATGAGCGAACAAGTACGCACGTTACGGAAGGAAGCACCCATGACGATGGTCTTGTAGCCGTGTTGCTTGTAGTAGTTGAAGATCTTCTTCACGGACTGGACACCAGGGTCCGCATCACCCTCGTAGGTCTTGCCCGTCGACTTCTTGTACCAGTCGAGGATCTGAATCCAGATATCAATCAGTCGAACATAGATAGGATAAATGATGGAGACATACACGTCCAACGAAGGGCGAGATGAGGGTGACACCTGCCTCAGCGCAAGCGACGGCCTGGCCGAAACCGAAAAGAAGGGTCAAGTTGCAGTGGATGTTGTCATCACGCTCGAGTTCACGAGCGCCTGGATACCCTCCCACGTCGCTGCGATTTTGATGAGAACACGCTCCTTCTTGATACCAACAGACTCGTAGAGGGCAATGAGCTCCTTAGCCTGAGAATAGATAAAAATAAGGAGCCAGTCAGGATATGTGACAACATCACTTGCCTTAGCCTTGGTGCCCTCCTTGTCAAAGGAGAGACGAGCATCGACTTCCGTCGATACACGACCAGGGATGATAGCAAGAATCTCCTTGCCAAACTCGACAAGCTGATTATAAATATTGATCAATAAGAGTATCAGCGCAAGGCTGACAAAGACAGACCAGACGGTCCATAGCAGCATTAGTTTGATGCTCGAGGTCACCCGCCCTTGCTCTTGCCGACTTTGATGGCGGCATCAATGAGGCGGGAATGATCCTGGCTTGTTGGCAGCAGCCAAGATCAAGGATGGATTTGTAGTAGCATCCTAACAATATACTGTTTAATTACAGGTGCATTAAACATAGATTCATTGTAGCGATTACCTGTGGTTTGTAAACATCGATTGCTGATAAGATTAACCAGAATATCAGTGCATGATCAGCAGGATGGACAATGGCGAACATACATTCGAAGTCACCGGAGTCGGAGACAACAACAGTTCCAGTCTGTTTAAGAAGGTCAAGAGATGTGGTCATGGTGGTCTTAGAGAGAGAGAGAATTGGTCGTTCGAACGATGCTTACTACTAGTGATATACGCGCTCAGCCACGGTGAGATCATACGATCGGCCCGTTTCGAACGTGAGTGTTTTATTCCTCTTTAACAGTTACCGGTGCCAGTTGCCTTTTTTGGTATAGCTTTTGTTAAAATACATCGCAATTTTGCACGATTATTAGTAGGCGCTGTGGGATCCCGGTGTCGGTTTTCCACAAGCGTGTCTCTTTGGGGGGCGCCGATCCCATCACTTCTTGCTAATGTCGACAAACGTGTCTTTGACTTTTGTAGAAATTCGCCCGAAATTTGTCGACAGGAATAGCATTGGACTCTCAGAGATCAGTGGCAGTCGCCCTTGCAACCACCATTCAGCTCTTGGGATGGCTCATGGCCTCCGGTCTGTGAGCTGAATTGGCCTAGTAAAGGCCCGCGATGTAAGATTGCTGTGCGTTGCTTACACGTTTATCACAACTCCATGCGAATTCTGTTTAGGCTAACCTCTCATGTCAGGCCCGAAGCCACTCGACAATGGGCTGTATGAGAGCATTTGTGGTGGAAACGAATCATGGCTGTTCAATGTTGCGATAGGAATGTTTACACAGACAGACTGGTGCAAAACTTTGTTTCAATCAGGTTTTCCCGGTCGCTCTTGCCTGACCGTGAGGGTTCGTGGATTGACTCTTGAATATCTGAAGAGAAACTTGGTAAGTCAAAGTCACATCTTTAACTCTGTAAGAACTTACCACTGGGTATTTTATAGGTACATTAACAATCAGTATAGATGTCTTACCTGATGACTTTGACCGTAACAGTCAAAGTCATCAAGTAAGACATACGATACCTTCACGTCCCATCCAAATTCCTAAATTGTTTCCTCGTCAGTTCATCCCACACAAACTTGCGTCTACCATTCGTGGTACGGAAACTAACCACATAATTTGTCCTCTTGGTTACCCTTCAGGTAGGTTTCATTGTACTATTGCAAGCGAGCCTGAGCACGTAACTACACACGAGCCTGCAGTGTAATAGCATCCAGGACCTGTCGCGAAATTTTTCAAGCAGAAACCCCTCGCCTCGAGGTTCCACGAATTATCTATAGTTTTTTGTTCCGAAGGTCGGAGCCCAAGAGTTTGGCAGTACTGGTACGCACGACTTCGTACTTCTTCTCCAGCTCGGGCTTCCCTACCCCGCGAGCTTCGCAAAAATAACGCTACTTGACGTACTTCTTCGCTTCCTCGGTCTCGTGAGGTCGCAGACCCATGATATCGTCGGAGTTGACAACTTTCACAACATGGGATCGCGATTACCCTAAGTAAACGAGATAGGCTTCGCTACGTGTTCAAACTTCTAGTGGTCTTTTGGAACGATGACGTCGAGGGGTTTCAAGGATGACGAGATACTGGCCTCTAGGCCAAGAACGCCGTTCAAGATGTCACCGGTTTGTGAAACTTCGCGGAGTTCCCCGGTAGCCCTGGCAAGAATGCCTAAGTATGTTGCGTGAAACTTGATTCTTATCAGCCCGAGTTCATGGAAGATATTCGGTGGCGTTATTGAAATCTTCTGACGGTGAAATTGTTCCGTCCTTCTCGATGCACTTGACGAGAGATCCCATCGCTTAGTGCTCATCAATGGCATGGCGAAGTTCCGGGAAATAGTACCGGTTATGTCATTAAGTTCAACTGTTTAACTAGTGGTTCCACCAATGAGACGAGTGCATGTGAGAAGGGAAAATCTTGTAGCCAGCGGTAAAAGGACAGAAAAGATGAACGTGGTGTGGAATGGTGAAATACCGAGTGGAAGCTCAGAGCTGAACTGCTCAAACATTTCAACAGTGGTAGATCGACAGCTAATTACCATCGGACGATACTGGCTTGCCGAGTCAGCTTGGAGGGGAGACATACCATGTTATCGTGAGTGGAATACTACAATAAACATCAGGGTGTATATGCACACTGGTGGCTAGGATGCGGGTTCGGCAAACAATCTGACCCCAAGCAAAATCAATCTGACTAGTAAAACGGATGACACGAGTTTCAATCGCCCATTTTACTGGTGGGGTTGGAGACTTGTGTCATGCCATCGGTAGAGATCAAGAGCTCTCGAGTGGCTGTACTTTGGGACGCCCCGCCAGAGGTACCAACGAATAAGCGACGAACAGTCAAGTATTGATCCTGGCATCAATCACGTTTTCAACTTTAATATCGGCTCGAGACAAATAGGAGCTGCACACTCTATTTGTTCACAAACCCAATGTTTGGTTTGAGATATTCGGATCAAGCCAGCAGCATGAAACTTCAGTCACGTACATGTACACACCCAAAGAATTACACAAAAATGACTAAGCAGTGAACAGAGTACTTACTCTGCGAGTTGGCTTCGGAAACCCACTTGCAGTAGACCCCTTAATATCTGGTTGGAGGATAAGTGCTGAAGTGACTGCACGTACGAATGCGCCGTGCGCATGAACCCGTGGGGCGAATACCACGCTTATTGAGATGGGCATCCACGAT